CCCCCCCACCACTACGACTACTCTCTCTCTCTCTCTCTCGCAGGCAAACCTGGAAGTTCCCTCCTGTTGCCACCCCCAACCGATTAGTAGAGCGAGTGGCTTCTTCCACCACCACCACAATTGGGACAGCTCCCATAGCCTCCCATAGCCTCCCACAGCCTCCCCCGGCCTCCAGCCAAGGTACCTGTGCCGTACTCGAGGGCGTGGAACGGTGGAATCACTTGGTACGGGCAGGGTTAGTCAGGTATGGCTTCTCTCGTTCTTTCGTAAGGCGGTTAAGGTTGCTGTGGCGCCCCAGCGCAGTCGCCGATCCATCCCACGGTTCCCACCCCGTCCCCTTCCCCTTCCCCTTCCCTTTTCCCCCTTCCAGGCCTTGTCGCGGTCCCTCCTTTTTGTCCAGCGGCAGAATGTTGGGGTTGGGCATACATCCGCAAGTAGGTACGGGTACTTATATCACTATGGGTTTTCTCTTATAAAAGGACCGTTCCTCCCCCACACCCCATCGTGAGATCTTCCGAGCCGCTTCAATTTCTCTGGTTTTCGACGCATTCTCTCTCTCAACGGAACAATCCACTATCGCTACTGCTACTGCCACTGCTACTGCTACTGCCGCTTGTCTCTGTTTAACCCTCTCGGCCTATGACGTAGCCTTGAGCCTAATTGCTACCTTCACTGCTTCCATACACACTGACTGGTACTGGTGTTTATTAACCCACGAGCCGCCGATTGGCTATTTGCAATATCCATCCGAACGAACTTTCCTACTTAAACAGCAAGATGCTATCTTACGAAACCCGACCTGCCATCGGCCAGCCAGCACCACCCGCCGATCACCTACCAATATCACCCCCTACATCTAATACCATGGCGAATGGCACCAGCCAGATTTCGAAGCCGGAAACAAAATACCACCATATCTGGTTGATTACGGGGCCCGCGGGATGTGGCAAGAGCACCGTCGCCCAGTCCCTAGCGAATGCTATGGACCTACCTTTCATCGAGGGAGACGAGGTAAATAATTAAAAAAAAACCTCAAACCACATCTTGATTCCCCTTTAATGTCGCATGTAACATCCGCTAATAGCTACTAGTTCCACCCCCCAGCCAATGTTGAAAAGATGTCCCAAGGCATACCCCTGACGGACTCTGATCGCTGGGACTGGCTCACGCAGCTGCGCGAGGAGGCGCTACGTCGACTATCCGCTGGCTCGGAAGGCGTGGTTCTTACCTGCTCGGCTCTCAAGCGCAAATACCGCGACGTTATCCGGGTTGCGCCGTACTATTCACACGACGTGCTAGTGCATTTCGTATACCTGCATGCGAGGGAGGAAGTGCTGATAGAGAGGGTCCAATCGAGAAAGGGCCACTTCATGGGTGCCAGTATGGTACACAGTCAATACAGCATCCTCGAAGCGCCGGGCGCGGATGAGACAGACGTCATAAGGGTGGACGTCAGCGGCTCGATGGAAGAGGTGGAGCGGGAGGCACTCGCTAAGGTTCATGAGGCATTACAGGAGTCATAGGAGGAAAACTCGTGAAAGCACATTGAGGCTTCTGCATTAATGGAAGGGAAGGCCGGCTTTTCATGGCGTTTTTGTTTTTTGCATTGAGATGGTCAGAGACGGCGATACCATTACATGATGGGGCTTCTTTTTTTTGGCATCTTTGCCCCCGTACGCGCCTCATGCTGTGTAGCTCTATTTCCCATTTTGATCTCGCTTGCACACTGCATCAGAGCATGTACGGGGTGTTACACAAAACTGGCGTTTTGGGCTTTTCCTAGATCTTACCCTTTCGGGCTGCAGGAAGCTTATTGGCAACCATACGAAATGCGAGACGCACTAGATAAATCATATCACAAGACACCTTTTGATGCAATGCCACCAAGAAGAGTATTCATAGCCGCACTGTCGAATAGCTGTCTCGACATATTCCCAATATTATCGCTCTATCCTGGCTTATATATTGGCATTTCGCCATATGCGGGGTAGCTTAAGACAAGGTTGGTTTCAGTGGACTGTCTCATGTTCGCAACTTTGACAACGCATCAATATTTCTTCAGCATAAGGCTGAGGCCAAGTAACCTGCCCGAGTTGTTTGCTCCAGATACTTCGTACGCTTCTTACTCAGCACTAAGTAAGCAATGTTTGACATAAAAAAAGAGAAATAAAAAAGCAATTGATTCAATTGAGGGGGAAAGGGTTGGAAAGAGTGCAGGTACTCTATATAGCTATCTCAAGACTTGGCTATTAAACATCGTAACAGTACCCTCCTTGGTACCCTTTTACTTGGATTTTAGTATGTATAAGAGAAGTTGTAAATAGTAGATGCTATAAGATTTCGAGTCAAGCACCCATGGAATATTTAGAACCCGGGAAACGCGGCCTGATTTACTTTTTTTGTATTGCCTATTATATAAGCTCTAGCTTCTACCCAACGTCTTCCTCTAGTAGGCTTCGAAAGTGATAATGTAACCTTGTGTACCTATACACCTGTCCGGGTAGATGGTGCGTCCACTTCATACCCGGCTCAGTCCAGATCCAGATCCGCCTGCATCCCTAGGGCGAAAGAGCTGACAGCCACCTAGCTCATCGAAGATGCATAACCATGCTATCTGGGTCTTCGACGAATTGCCTAACGATTTCTGCGGCCCGGGCCATAGTCGCCCCGTCGACGACTCTGTGGTCCGCGCTCCAGCTGAAGTTGCAAACTTGTTTAGCTACCACCTGCCCGGCGTCACCGAAGGCGGGAATGGTTCTCATCTTCCCGACGCCTAGGATGGCCACTTCTTTCTCGACTATGACTGGAGAGACATATGTGCCGCCGATATTGCCGATATTTGAAAGCGTAATTGTTCCACCGGTAAGATCCTGAGTTGACAAGTTGCCGGATGCAGCTAGGGACTGGAGCCTTGTGAGTTCTGCGGCGATATTGAGAATGCTAAGGCTGGCGGCGTTTTTGATGACTGGGACTATCAGCCCTGAAGGCGTATCCATTGCCACTCCAATATTGTGTTGGCTCCGATGGACCAATGCTGGCTTGCCTGTCACGGGATCCATATCCACGCGTGCATTCAAAATTGGATAGGCCCGCATAGACAGAGACATTGCCTTGATGATGAAGGGTAGGAAAGACATTTTGTTAACCTCATCTATAGGCGCCTTCGCTAGCCCTTTGTTTAGCCTCGATCGTAGTTCTGATAGCCTGCTAAAGTCTATTTCGTCGGCATAGAGGAAATGTGGCTTGGACAGTGACTTAGTCATCGCTTTAAACATTTGGGTTTGTATGTTTGTTAATGGGACTGTTGTCTCCGTTGGTTCTGTGGTGCTCATCAAAGCGGAGAGACTTGACTCTTTCAGTGCAAGACGAGGGTCATCCCGCTGCTTTGCAAACTGGTTCACGTCGTCTTTCGTCACCCGTCCATCCTTTCCTGTTCCACGGACCTCTGCGATATTGACATTCAACTCTTTGGTTAAGTGCCTGACAGCAGGAGTTGCTAGGGTTGCATGCTTTCCAGTTGATAGCACTGGCTTTTGAGGTGCTTGAGCTCTGCTCATGACTGGAGTTTTTTGATCTGTCGAAGACGTACTTTGGCTCACTGGAGGAACATATACGCTTGCTATAGGTGCTGCCGAGGACCTCTCCGTAACCTCCCTTTCCTGAAGTTGGGATTCCTCCGCAGCAGATGGGCCGGTCAATGCTGCGACATCCTCCCCGTTGCTCTCTATATCGATGTCCAGCAGGGGTTTTCCCACTTTCGCCATGTCGCCGGCATCATAGTGTAGCTTCTTGATCACGCCGGCGAACCGGCTTGTGATTTCCACCGAAGCTTTGTCACTCTGGACTTCGCACAATTTGTCCCATTCCTCAACTCGGGCTTCAGGCTCGACGAACCATTGGATTATTTCGCATTCTCGTATTCCTAATAGGCATCAATTACGTCAGTATATTGTACTTAGTTCTCGGATTCATGAACTGACCTTCCCCAATGTCTGCTAACAAAAACGGTTTAACAATTTCAAGTCTCCTAGATGAATGGAATGCACGCGCTGTTGGACCTCGACTGTGTCTGGAGACCTTAATGCCTCTATAAATACACTTTTGCTGAAGAAACGAACGCGTTAAGGACTGGAGAGACATCGTGAGAAAGATGAGTGATCCTTCCTTATGATCGTAGGATCAAAGGGAAGGAATTGCACGTCGCTGCTGTCCGAAGATACTTTACATTGTATTGTCCAGGAGGGGGCGGGTTAACGATAAGATAGCTGGAACTGTGGGGTTCTCCGCAAGGTCGTGACGGCTACCATCGGCGGCTACCATCGGCACGGGGTTCGCGACACAGGAACCCGACAATTGGGGACTTCCAGCGACCAGGCTGTAAGGCTAGCGAGCCTAATTGAGAAATTTGAAGTCAGCTATGGATTGACCAATGCCATTGACCAGAACACAGCAACCATGATCGTGTCACGAAGACCACTCCGTTCTGCCAATGTTGGATATGATGTGGCGGCGTGCCTGCTATGCCAATGGCGATCATTCAGCACATCATATCGCCAGCTAGCTGAGAAACCGCCAGCTACAGATCCATCCCCATCCAAACCTCAATCCAAATCCACTCCAAATCCATCAACGCCAACGCCTAAAGGTCCGACTACACCACCCTTACCTACATCGCCTCTCGAAGATGCTCCACGAGCATATGGTAAATCTCACCAGGAGTTTACCCCCAAACCTCTCAGTCGGCCAATTGGCCTTCCATATCCCCCCAAAGCCGGAGAAAATTCCGGCGTAGACACCCGGACATTGAAGCAAAGGAGAGACGACTTCGTAGATTACGACAAGCACCTTGCGCGGAGAAAAGTACTGTATGTATAGCTTCCGGCGAACATAATTATGGATTGGAGTGGAATCTGATAAGAGGATAGAACCCATAAAGTAGCAACACCATACTTCCGAGAATGGAGCAACATGCGCTTCCACAAGGGGAAATCCTTCCTCGCCCCTCCGCGGATATTCAAGTCTGATCTAGCCCTATATTTCCCCAACCTCCAAGGCCAGACGCTTGTGAAGGATAAGGAGCCGAGGGATACGACGCCGCTGTTCCAGGATAAGGTTACCGTGGTCAGCATCTTCAATACGCAGTGGGCGGAGAATCAAGCTGCTACTTTTGCATCTGAGAAGAACAATCCCGAGCTACATGAGGCTATAAGGAATAGCGGTGGTATAGCGCAGATGGTGCAAATCAATTTCGAGGAAAACTGGATGAAAGCTATGATTGTCAGGATGTTCATGCCGAGTTTGAGGAAGAAACTTGCGGCTAAGAACTGGGGACGATATTTTTTGGTCCGAAAGGGGTTTACTGAGGAAATTCGGGATGCCATCGGTTTGCTCAATAGTAAGGTTGGCTACACCTATCTTTTGGATGGGGAGTGTAGGATTAGATGGGCTGGAAGTGGTCGCAGTGAGGGTAATGAGAACGATAGTCTGGTAAAGGCTGTGACGCGGCTGGTCGAAAACGCCAGAGCAAAGCAAACCGAGAAGGCCACGATCTCACAAAAGCCCGTGGATAAGGGTTTAGACTTGGCAGGTAACGAAAAGGCCGCTACCACCGGGGAATAGTTTCGAAGATATATCCATACTTGTACAAAATAATATCCCGCTCCCGCCCAACCACACCAAACGCCCGCTCCAATGCAAATTGACGGTACCAAATGCTTCCCTTTACATGAAATACAAGAACAAAAGAAAACAGGCAGCAATAAAGCTCCCCATTATAATCCCATCTCTCCTCTTCTTCGCCGATATCTTCCCTATCAGACTATTCAGCCCAGGGACTTGGCTCGCCGCCCCCGTGATCCGTCGATTGATACTAGCCAGCGTCTCCCTCTGCAAGCCGAAACTCTCATTCACAGCATATGCCTGGCTGAGCACGCTATCCGCCACATTATGGCTATTGTCAATCCGTGCTCGCTCGCCTAGCATATAGTCCGCCTCTGCCGCTTCGGGATTGCTGGAGTGGTATGCATCGATGTCGCTCCGCACATTCGTGAGCAGGTTTGCCCGGTTGCGCGCCTCTTGTATGTGAGACTTTAGGCGGGCAAGCTCGCGTTGGTGTTCTTGGAGGACCTCGCGATGCCGAGAAAGATTGCTTTGTTTGAGGGCTGAGGCTGTGAGGGTTGCTTCAGAGTCGAGGAGGCGGGTGAGTTGTGACACGAGGGCTCCTCGCTGGACGGGTAGTTAGCACAAGTAAACGACTAAGCATAGATGAATCGAAGCGTACTTTATCTAGTATCTCTTGGAGCTTTGCCTCAGTCTGTCTTTCATCTTCTGAGGGCTTTGTTGGTATATTCGCGGCGGATGCGAACTGGGAATATGTATGGAATAGTGTTTCTGTCTATACGAAATATGGCGATTAGACCAGTCTTCATGCAACCCGGAGGGAAGGTATACCTGTGTTTCTAACGACCTTGCTTGTTGGCGCAGTTGGGCCCAGCCCGTCCCTGTTGAAGAAGCCATTATATTATTTGTTGTACGAGGGAGATCAATAGGTGTGTTTGTGTTTTCTAGGAGATGCTTTCATCTACCTCACCCCTTCATCGTACGTAGCTCGGGCTCGGCGCTCACCATGATCCGCGCCGTGCACATGACTTCCATCCTACTTAGTACGAGTGCGGAGTACGAAGCTGGTTCTCAGCCTCTTTCAGGGAGTAAAAGCGGCGCTCCACCGTGGCATTGTGTACGTCTCCGCGCCACCTACCGCGATCAAACCAGAAATAAATCTCTTGAAAATGATTAACTAAATGATGCATATCGTTCATATAAATATTCAGCCAATTTTGACAATTTTCCGACGCTTCGAAGTTCACAGTCAAAGCAACTGAGCGGCGCTTTAGAGTTAGACATCCCTGCAGTCCAGCTTGACTTGGAGGGGTTGCTGCTTTTGCTAAGCGAATTTCTTTGGGATCCGCTCGCACACACGAAATAATTTCGAGATTTCCAGATCTGAAAATCGACGACAATCCACGACGACCCCGGACCTCCATTCGACAACATACACACGACACAAATTCGCCATGGTAAGCAAAGGCCCTCAGATGCTGCTCGCATGCTGCTACTCCTGGAATTTTGGATACACAGTTGAAGCTGCGACCGAGATGGACGGATGGCTAACATTACATGCGACAGTCGTCCGGAAAAGTTAAGACTGGCCAGCTCTGGTCCAAGAACAAGGCGGACCTCGCAAAGCAACTCTCAGAGCTGAAGACCGAGCTGGGACAATTGCGGACGCAGAAGATTGCCGGAGGATCAGCATCGAAGCTCACAAAGATGTGCGTACCCTTTTCCCTCGAGGCTTGCGGGCTCCCCTCCCTCGAAGCAGACGAAGCCCCAGGCTCTTGAGATGAGAACCACCAAAAACAACGAGGAGCAGTATAAACTAACGAGGGTTTCTTCGGGTTTGCAGTCACGATATCCGAAAGTCCATCGCAAAGGTTCTCACAGTCATCAACGCCAACCAACGCGCGCAGCTCCGCCTCTTCTACAAGGGCAAGAAGTACATTCCTCTCGACCTCCGACCCAAGCAGACCCGCGCCATCCGAAGACGCCTAAGCAAGTACGAGAGCGAGAAGACCCTTGATAAGACGAAGAAGCGCCAAGTCCACTTCCCCCAGCGGAAGTTTGCTATCAAGGTAAATACACACACATGCCCCCACCAGATACCTAGAAGCACGGCGGTGGTCAGGGCACTGGTTAGTGATATCGAATATTGACTGACATTGAAAACAGGCGGAGGCTTAGAGTTCTACTGGGTTTGGAGAATTGCGTTTGTGGCATGGCTTCTTTGCAAATGGCTTGATTTTTGGCCCCGACGGAAAGGGTCACGGTGTATCATCGAGAATAGCATGGTTGGCATGGAGTCCGCCCTCCCAAAAATCACGACATTAAGCAAAAAATTGTCTATGTTCGTGATGCGGGGCACTTGGAGTGATATGTGACTAGATGCCACTGAATATTCGACTGGACTTCTTGGAAACCGCTTTTCACGTTTCTGTAGCTGGACTATCCGTCTACCCACCCTCCTTACGGTTCCCTCGGGGATCACTCGCTCATCTTCTCCTATTCCCCTCTCGCATCTCCTATCCCAATGATTCATAATCAAGCTCTCAATCCCCCTTCTAAGCCTCCCCACTAGAATCGCTATACGTTCTCGCTCCCTTAGCGCTTATATTCCACTCCAACAAAATGGAAGCAGAGATCAGGGCCAGCGAGAGAGCTGCACACCTCAATTGAGAAGTCTTTTAGCGCTTAGCTTAAACTCAGTGCTTCAAAGCCTAGTAGCATCTTAGAAGTCGTTAAATCGGCTAGGTGATTTGATGACCCTCTTTGCTGCTGCTCATCCCATTCGGATGTTTGCTTCAACTCGACACTCATCCACCGAATGGCCCGTAAAACTGATCTCGGAAATCAATTAACTAAGCATTCGCCGGTCTTGACGCTAATAAGGTACAAGCCCCCTCCACCGTGCCAGCGTACATCCCTTTGGAATAACCCCCTCCCAGGGCCTATTCTGGTTAACCAAGCCTACAACAACACTCTGTATTTCTCCTTCTACACATCTATTTCACAGCAGCGAAGCGGAGTCATGCCATGTATAATCCATACTTGTTGTGTATTAATAATTAGCTAAGATTATTACGCTTTGTTAATTATAGCTCGAACGCTTGTTTAGGGTTTCCGTACTCTTGCCATGAACGAATGCCCCTCGTACTGATGACTTTTCCGTACTTGCCAAAATATCAACCCAACTTTTTTGAACTTCGCATACGGAAGTAGTAGAAGTCGCTCAACGGCAGGCGTTAGACACACCGAGAAGCTCCAACCACGCTTTTTACCCATTGACCAAACATACCCAAATCAAAATTAAACGCCAAACTAAAGCAAAAACTACCTCATCTGAAGCAAAAAACTCCCGAACAATCCTAAAAAACAAGGCAGGGTTCCCATGTTACATATCGCCCTCTGACTTAACAGTGGACACCGGGCTCGCTCTCGCGAGCTCCTTGGAATGCACAGCATGATGTCTCCTCAACTGATCCAATCTGTGAAAGGATTTTGTGCACCCAAAGTACTGGCAACAATGCATGCCCTTCTCGCCGTGGGTTTTGCGATGCTTCGATAGATTCGAAGACTCGGAGAATTGCTTGCCGCACTCCTCGCACTTCAAGGGCTTGTCTCCCGTGTGGGTTCGCTCGTGGATAGCTACAGAACAAGTCAGTATTTCAATGGATCAACTATAGAGGGCGACGAAAAGGGAACTTACTGCAGGCGCTTTGTTGCGGAAAAGCCTTGTTACAATACTTGCATTTCCATGGTTTGATCTTCTCATGCAGATTCATGTGCTGCGTCAATGATTGTTGAGCGGAGAACTCCTTGCCGCAGATTTTGCACTTGGCACATTTGTCTGCTTGGGGGTTAGAAAGGGATTTCTTCAATGTCGTTGGAGGGACTTACAGCCTGTATGAGTAGCTAGATGCCGCTCGAGTTTCCCCCTTTGCGAAAACCCTGATTTTTCCTCTCCCCTTTTCGCCAGGCGACCGCAGTCTTCCCATTGACACCTGTAGTTGGAACTTTTATCCAAGTCAACGAGATGCTCCTTTACGATGTGCATCTGAAGGCTGGCCTCATTCTCGCGAACTTGGCCGCAGACATCACCGTTTTCATCCTTCCATTTGCAACAATGGCAGGAGAAGTGGTCGATAGACGCCGCGCCGAATTCTGGCTTGGGGGACCAGCCATCGGGAGACGTGAAGAGGGCCCCGGTACCAGAAAGTTCCCCAATTGGTCCTGAAGGGAATGTCTCGGGATAGCTTGGGACATTAGGAGTCGGAGGAAGAGAGGGGGACATCGAGTCTTGGAAATCGAACTCGTCGAACCTCATGAGCGAAGAGTCTACCATGGAATCGGTGAAAGGCTGGGATGAGGTTCGGGATGTCTGAGACGTCCAAGCAGTGTTGTCCCAGGCGGACAACCGCGCCTCTTCTTGTTCGAAGTGGTCTACGGATAACTGCTGGTCCTCGAAGGCAGCGTCGAAACAGTTTAACTCGTTGCACCGAGGAATTCCGCCGTCGCAATCAGTACAAGCTGTTGCGACGTCCAGCTGGCAGTCAGGTTCCGCGCAAGGGACACCTTCGGGGCAACTGCTGCAGCAAGTGCTCTGTGATCCGGTCTGGGAGTAGCATCTCTCCAGGGCGGTTGCCGCACCATCGGCATGCTCGTTGGCGCTGGGGTGGGGGTGGTTGACCTTTTGACGTTTGGTCGAAGGGGAAGGTATGTACGTGCCCGGCCGAGCAAGTCTCCTGACGGAGGTATGTTCTTGGACTTGGACCTGAACTTGGCTTTGGCTTTGGAAAGACAAACTTGGCGTCGCTCGAGCTTGGGGTTGAGGAGGTGTGCGAAAGGTATAGTGTATTTGGCTATTGGGGCCCGAGCCAGGGACTTGAAAGACACCATTGGGAGGGAGTTTATCGGCCGGTTGGATTGTAGATAGCGGGATCATCGTGGCCGGATAGGCAACGTGGTTTGGGTCGCAGAAGGCGTTGGAGTAGGCCGCGTTTGGATCCTCGGGTTCGGGCCATAGGACCTCATAGTTCCCGGCCGGAAAGCCATAGCCATACTGGTCGTGGGGGCTATCGTGGAAGCCGTGAGGAGGGTTCATAGTGGGCAGACCAGCTAGTGAACTTGAGCGAATGCGACGTGATGTGTGATGTGGTGGGATGTGATATGGAGTGGGTAGCAACGCCGAGGGCTGTCGATGTGAAGGCGGAGCCGTGAAAGAGCGAAGAAGTGAAGGAGAGCGAGAGAGAGAGAGGGGGGGTAACAAAGTTATGAAGTGAAGGAAGAAGTGAAGTGAAGTGAAGAAGCGTAACTGTAGAGAATTCCGGGGGGGGGGGGGAGGTGGAGGAGGTGGAGGGCCGAATATAAATGCAATTTCTATGTACGCATGGGAATGAATTGTGCGTGCGAGTTGTGCTCGATAGCGTAGTAGTGTAGCGGGTGACAATGAGCGAGTCTAATGGTTGTTGAAGCCCTTGGTGGTTGCTGGTGTGGTGTTCGGGTCCCAAAGACTGTGGAAAGTTGCGACTGAAAAAGTGCCCATCAAGGTTGCTGGAGGGTTCCGCGGGGTTGATGACAGTGGGAGAAAGTGGTTGAGCGCTCGAGTAGTGGTAAACGGCAATGATTTGTGCGCCGAGCCAAAGAAAAAGAAAAGAACCGGGCGACCCACCGTGCGAGGCTGGCGAGGCTGGCGGAGGATGGAGCGAGGGAAGGATGATGGCGTAGGATGGCGTGGTATAGCTTCCCCAGCAATGCAGTATAGCGTGGCCCAGGAACACGCGCCATCTGCTTATCAGGTTAGAGGAGGGGTCTCCGATACTTGACTATTATCCATACAGTAGCCAGTGTATAGTCAAGTACGAGTATTAGCCTACCAAGATCCAAAGCAAGAGGTACAGAAAACACTGCTAAAGTGGTACTTCGCAAGTCCGCCGACGCAGCCTCGGAAGCACTCCGGTCCATAGACTATTGTATCCACTCAAGCATAAACAAGAATTTGAAGAGTTGCCGGTGTCTTAACTAAGTTGCTCCAAGGGATAATATCATTGTATAGCGTCCATTTCCTTTCGTTCCTGACAAGGCCTTTAAGGCCCTTAAGGCCCTTAAGGCAGCCCAGCGACGGGGAGATGATCTGAGATGATTCCGAACCCTGAAAACAACGTCATCCCGGGGGGCAATATGTCATGGTTGTACGACCTGAGAGGGAAACAGTCATATCGCAGCACCACTGCGACAAACGGCGGCTAATACACCGACTACGAAATAGTTAACCGCTCTTTTACCTGCGGTATATTCCGTACTCCATTGTTCTATCAGTAGTCTGGCCACAAGGCTATTAGCATCGGCCAAGCCTAATCATCATCGCCTAGAGTACGGGGAGTGCGTGCGAGCTACGTAGTGCAGTGCAGTACAGTACAGTACAGTACAGTACAGTACTCGAGTACTCTATAGCGTCCACGCAATGCGCCGATAACATCCCACCCACCACTTCTCCCTCCTCCCTCTCCCCTCCAGTTCCTCCTATAACGACAGCGAGGGATCTTTTCCCGCTGGTCGCCAACTGCCAACTGCCAACTGCCAACCTCGACACGATGGGCAATCTCTGCGGCAAAGAGTCTTCAGATCAAGACCCCTTCGCGCAGCCCGGCCGCACCCTCGCCTCCGCCCCCGCGGCTGCCCGCAATCCCACCGCACGAGTGCCAAAGAAGGTCGGCGGGCCTCCACGAACACTGGGTTCTGCATCTTCAAATCAACAGCAGAATCAACAGCAGAGCTCGTCACAGCAACATGATGCGCGGATGAACGCCGCCGAAGCCGCCAAGGTACGTACCTACGGTAACTCTCTACGCACTTGCTCTAGGCTCTAGGCCCCGAGCAACGATCAATAACTCCGGGAGCTAAGTGTGTGTGTGTACACTTGCCAAAACATCCCGTCGAACCATGGAAACAAAACGGTGGCAGCCAGGCACACACACACACACAACCCTTAGCTCCGGCTGCTTTGGAGTCATACCCTAAGCCAACAGCGCCCGGTGATGGAATATGAGCAATGAGAGCTGTGGATCTGATCTAGTCAGGCTAACACAACCCCCGATTTAAACAGGCGCGAGCAAAAGCAGCGGGCAAGCCAAAGGGCAAACTGAGCAGCCAATTGCAGGACCAGAAGAAGCAGACCCAATCAGCTACACTGGATGCCGCGAGTAGAGATACGCGGCTGATGAGAGATGCAGATGCGGCGGCGGAGACGAGGGCCTACAACTGACGTGTGGTAGTCTGAGCATTGGCAAGACCTTTGTACATAAGGGGGGGTGAATCGGATGATTTTAAACGGCGGGGGGTTTGATATTACGAATTGGATTGGATGATTATGATTACGTTATAGGCATATGTGATTTGGCATTTGGAATTTGGGCATTTGGCATTTTACATTCTGGTTCCGAAAACAGGAACGCCTAGATTATACGCACTATACAACATTGTATCTGCCACTGGCCGGCGCTCTGCCTTCGGCATCTGCCGCTGCCATTGTGCCTTCTTTCAGCAATCTCATTAGCTCCCTCATGGCATTGGTGACGACCACCTCCGTGTCCCCCTCGACCAAGATATACAACTTCGGGTCTCCTCCAGGCTGCACATCTTTACCCGTTGGGTAGAAGCTTCCCTTGGTTGTAATTGACGTACCAGTCGCTTCAAGAATCTTAGCCACATTGGTCCGGTTCGTAACTGCCCACCTTGCCTTCTGAGGGAAGTCGTTGATCTCCAGCGTGGCATGGAAGGCGCCTGCGTCTGGGCCTTTGTTATCGATCGGCACACCCGAGCGTAACTGGCCAGTCTTGTTGAGGCGTGCGTTGATAGCGTCGATGGCAGAGGTAACCTTATCCAGGGGGTTCTTGGATCCACCAGCTCCTGAAGTCGCGGGCTCAGTGCGATGGACTGTGATCTTGCCATCCAAATCAATGCCCTTAGGCACACCGACAAGTTGTGGTGTCGGAGCTGTAGCTGCAGGCTGGACCACGGAGGCAGCCTTGAGAACGACGTCATCATCGGCCTTATCATCCTTCTCCTCCTCATCGTCCCCATCCGTTTTGTGGGTCTTCCGCTCACGAGCCCTCGCCGCGTCGCGCTCTTGATCGAGACGTTCCAGGCCTTTGCCGCCGAAGCCAGAGCTGTCCTTCATCTTACCACTCTTGACTTTGTCACGGAAGGACTTGCGCATCTCATTGAGACGCTCAGGTACAGGCTGACCAGACTGCTCGAGGGCTTTAGCTATTCCAACCGAGAACTGTTCTTGGTCTTCGGTAACGAATGTAACTGCGGTACCCGTGTTGCCTGCTCTGCCAGTGCGGCCGGCCCTGTGGACGTAGTCCTCCAAGTGATTTGGCGCGTCAAAATTGACAACTAGTTTGAGTTGCTTCACGTCCAAACCCCGAGCAGCAACCGAGGTAGCAATCATGATTGGTATAACTCCAGCTTTAAAGTCATCAATAGTCGAATCTCGATCGATCTGGTCCTTCCCACCATGAATTGACATGCAGGGGTAGCCTTTCCGCATTAAATCTTTAAGAAGGTCATCTGCTTTCTCCTGCCGGTCTACGAAGATGAGAGTACGGGCATCTTCATCCTTATCGTAGAGTTCTCCAAGCAGTTCCAGCAGTCGATGGAACTTGTCCTTCTCCTCGCGGACCTCAACAATCTGCGTGATCTCGGGCGCAACAACACTTCTTCCGCCTACAGTTATTTCAACTGGTGACTGAAGGGTCTTCTTAGCTAATGCATCCATAATGCGAGGCATCGTAGCTGAGAAAAGGATAGTTTGTCTGTCGGGCCGAATATTTGCAAATATCTTCATCACCTGGGGCTCGAAGCCCATATCGAACATACGATCTGCTTCGTCCAAAACGACGTAGGTCACCCGTCGCAGGTTGGTAACTCTGCCAGAGTTGGCGGCCAACAGATCGATCATTCGACCAGGCGTGCAAACAATGATCTCGGCGCCCCTTTTTAAGTCCGCGATTTGATCTTTAATGGGAGCTCCACCGTAGGCACAGACTGCCCGGAGACCCATAGCCTTCAGAAAAGGTTTGCATTCTTTATGGATTTGGGTTGCAAGCTCTCGTGTCGGAGTCATGATCAGGCCGATAGGACCATCAGAACTTTCCAAGGGTGGCTGATCACGAATATGACGGAACATTGGTAGAAGGAATGCAATGGTCTTGCCCGATCCGGTCTTGGCCACACCTATAACATCCCTACCAGACATGATTGCAGGAATTGCTTGCATCTGGATTGCGGTAGGCCCTTCGTATCCCAGCTTGCGAATTACCTCGAGCGTTTGAACATTCAGACCACAGTGAGACCATTTCTGCACAGGTTTGGGGACATCTTTGCCGGCTACCTTGATTCCATCAAGTTCAAGGCGTAGGTCGGCAAGCTCTTCCGGTGTCATTTCGGCCAGTTCAGCAGGTTCGGCGTAGAAGTTCTTCCGGAACGGCTCGAGATCCATTTTAGAGAAGTTGACGGTCGGCAAATCCTTTTTCTTTCTAGCTTTACTCGCCATTGCGAGAATATCATCTGGGTCGGCTTCGATGGTGTTTAAATCCACATCGTCGTCACCAAATAATGCTTCTGGTTCTTGCCGTTTGTTTTTTTTCTTACTGAAGTTGCCATCATGCTTTGGAGCAGCAAACGGATCTCCAATTTCCTCCATAAACGCATCAAGAGGATCGATCTCTTCGTCGTGCTCCGTAGATGGGGGCTCGGCTTGCGTAGTACCGGCATCCTCCATTCTTACATCTTCAGATCCGTCTAATGCAGTCTCGGTTGCCTCTCGATTTATCTCAGGCGCACCGTTTGCCAAACTCTGCTCCTGTAACCTCTCCTCCCGTTTTTCCGCAGCAGCCCTCGCGGCAGCAGCAGCCTCTTCTTCAGTGCCAGCAACCTCCATATCAACGTCATCATCCTCCTCACCTTCGACACCGTTAGCGAGCGCAGCATCATCATCTTCAGTGTTTGCCAGAGGGAGGGTTGGTAGCTTTTCTAACTTCTTCCTTCCTTCCTCGTCTTCGCCAAAGTCAAAGTTTCGTTTAGTTGCCTTTTCGTTCTCGGTGGCGGACTTAGTGTTTAATCCGAAAGCACTTAGGTTTGCTCTAGCTTTAGGCAACGCTGATGCTGTAGTATACTTGTTAGCTTGTGAACCAGTATTGGACTTTATTGACGAGGACATACCATTGGAATTGCTGTTGAAAGCTGTAGGCTTCTTGTCAGCTTGTAACCCTTTCACCGAAGAAGGTAAGGTAGCGGACGCTTTTGTCAATTCTTTCAAAGGTAAATCCTTTCCCATCGCATTCGCATTGTTAGAGCTCGCCACGGCCTTCTTCGCAATTGCTTTTGGATCGAACTTCCCAGCGTAAGGGGCTGGAGAAGCGGCAGTTGTCGGAGTCCCTGGCGATGCTGGTGATACTACGGCCGGAGATCCATTGGCTTTCTGGTCTATGTCATCTAGAAGCTTTCGCGTTCCGCCTGCCGCAAGTTCTTTCTCCTTACGCTCCTTGTCTTCTGCTATCTTCTTCTTCCACGCCTCCAGCTTTGCTAACCTTTCTGCCTTTTTGTCGGACTCTGTCTGCGCAGCTGGAGCAGCAGACTTCGGTGGCTGGGCAACATCGTTAGTCTCTTGTCCAATGTTGGGCCGGGAGTGCATGCTAACCTCATTATCCTTGGTGGTTTCGGGTCTGCTTGGAGGTTTTCCACGAGAATCGCCTCCTCTACTACGGGGCACCGAGTCAGTAGAGTCCTCCCGGCGCCGTCGTGCCCTATCATAAGAATCGTCTCGCCTATCACGATAATCCCGCTCTCGACTCCTGCGACGCCGCCCGTCCGGGGATCGGTCCCTCTCGCCGTATCTGTCTCTGCGCTCTCGCGAGCGATCTCTTCTGGAGGAGCGGTAATAATCATCGTCCCTACGGTCTATTGATCGGTCTCTTCGGCGGTGTACGTCTCGTTCCCGGCGGTGGCGCTGAAAATGGGGGTCATGAGTCCAGGCTCTACCATCACTTTGGGGAGGGGGAAATCTCACATCTAAACTCCGCGAACGAGTTCGCCGCCGCGGCCCTCGCACATCAGGGCGACGGTCGCGCTCCCGGTCCCGTCTAATATCATCATCCCTCCTAAGCCGTTTCGAGGAGTGCTGGCTTCCTGCTGGCGATGGTGAGCGAGAGTCCCTGTGGCGAACCATGTTTGCCTCAGCTAATGGCAGAAATACTTTCTGACAGGAATTAGATGCGGCAACGTGATCTAGCAAGCCACCTTCAACTGGTGACAACCGTTTTGAGATCGACGGCGTTTTATGTTTCCCTTGAGATTCCAGTGGGGTTGGGTGTAGGAGGCGTTGAAAGTCCTCGAGGTCACATCAAATAAACCATATTGGGCAGCCTTGGCAGCCCTACGATAAGTGATGCACTAGTCTCAACAGAGTTAGCCTCAGACCGCGTCTACGCCCCCGGCGTCTACAGCTCCAAGCAGGCCACCTGCAGGTAAATAAGCGACCAAGCTCCCTCGCGTGTCATAAAACGAAGGGGTTGGTCTTCATCTGCTGTTGGTGGCTGTCAATCATCAGCTTCATTCCCCTCCAATTGAACCCCTCATAACCTTCCTGTGCCTCTGCTACATCAAGGACTCCCCCTCAACTGTGCCTCCTCTATTGTCTGACCATGTTATCCAGCATCGGACGAGCCGCCCTCAAGCGGTCAGGAGCTGGCGCCGGAGCGTGTCAGGTGTCAACAAACAGAGTCGCCCAGCACGCCCGGCTTCTTCGAATCACCAATTCCCCCCAAGGCGCGAACAACCTCCCTGGACAAGATCAGCTCGCCTTTCAGTTTCTACGATGCTATGCGACCGCTACAAAGGTAGCCACCAAGGCCCCTTCAAAGACCACGAAATCTAAGAGCGCCGGATCAACGACCAAGGCAAAGAAGCCCGCGAAGAAAGTTGCTAAGAAGCCCAAAGCGGTCAAAAAGCCCGCGAAGAAGGTCCTCACGGACAAGCAACGGACAGCGGCTTCTATCAGAGACCTCAAGGCCAAGGCTCTCACCCCTCCGCCCAACAAACCGTCCACTGTCTGGCAACTTATTTTCCAGGAGTCTATGAAATCAAAAACTAGAGAAGGAGGTATTAGCGACACCGCGAGGGAAGCTGCTGCCAAGTATAAATCACTGTCGCCTGCAGAGTTGGAGGTAAGCTGGCCGTTCAGAGATCCCGCCAATTGCTAATAGATAAATGTCCAGACCTATAATCATAAAGCCAACCAGAACAAGCTTGAGAACGAGGCGGCCTTGAAGAAATGGGTTGAAACACACACCCCGGAGGAGATCAGAATTGCGAACAATGCGCGCACATTGTTGAAAAGGAAACTCGAGAAACCAAACCGCTTCACTCTCATTTCAGATCCCCGTATGCCAAAGAGACCAATCAACCCGTACCTGCTCTATGTGAGGGACAAAATGACGTCTGGAGATTTCAAGGGTATCAAAACTAGTGAGGCTGTCACCTTGATATCAAATGAATGGAGGGCTTTGTCGCCTAGTCAAAAGAAAGTTAGTATATTGATATCTATTTGATATCCTAAGCTAACACCTCTAGCCCTACGAGGACCGCGCACTGGTGGACGCGGACCGCTACGCGAGGGAATTCAAAACTGCCTTCCATCGCGATCCCCCCTCGGTGGTTGCACTCGAAAACAAGGCCGCAGCATAGTCAGGATACCGTGTACGTTGCCATGTGCTCAAGTGTTTCCTTTCCGGGCGAGGAGGTTTTGGTGGGGTGTCGACTGATGGGTACTGCGTATTAACCCTTCGGGTGCTGCTCACGCGGGGAAGGCGTTCTGTATCTCATTCCCTCGGCGGGTTTTGTAAGCACAGTTGATGTGCAGCGCGTTTCGCTCTTTGCTAAGGAATTTCTTTGATGTGCTGTTATGGATGCCATGGCTAGATCCTAGCCTCGATTGATAATGACGGCGAAAGTACCCCCTGTGTATACCTTATTTTGTCCTATTAAGCCTTTACATGAATTGTCTATGCCTAGCAACTAGATCATGTTTGAGCCATTGATTGTAGGAAAGGAGAAGAGCTGGTGCTTTCTTAGGTATATTCCCCTTACAAAGTTTTAGTACATAGCTACCTAGGCAGATATGAATTGTTGCCCCCCGCCTACTGAATATATGCCGGTTTCAGCCAGCCCACAGCAAGGAAATGTAGCAAGAGCAAGATGAATAAAATGTATTGTGTTGCAGATATAAAAGAAATGCACTTTCTAGCCTACCGCAAGGGCATTAGGACTATTCTACCTCTCTATCTATCTGGGTAGGTAGGTAAAATGAGTTGCCTTTTCATATCAGCAAGGGTGGAAATATGGTTAGGTTGAATGTTATAATGGATGGTCCACTATAAAGGCATATTACCTGTGCAGTAATCATCGGGAGTACAGGCAGCTACTCAACTCTTGACCATAGCGCCACCAAATAGGGACGTCTTAGCCGCGGATGCTCCTTCTATTGGTTTAATTTGCACTCTCTACGTTACTCATGATTATTTCCAATTAACCCATTCATAAACACCACTAACCTAAAACAACGCATATTATTGCTCATACTCTCACACATGCGAGCCTTAAGACCTCTCATCAACACAGGTTTTTACTATTGGCTATTCTCATGTTACACAACACGCCATAAGATATTTTAATAACATTTCAAAATTGGCATCGATGTCTCCCGTCATCTATCCTCAATAGCGTTCGTTTCTACATTAACATTCAAAAACTCTCAAAAACATTTCCCCCGTAGAATACCCCAACCAGCGCCAAATAGTATCCCGCCAGCATTTCCCTTTTCTCTTGTGTATCCCCTTTGCAAAAACTAGCGCCTTTCGAATTCATTTTCCATATGATTTTCGGCAATTGATCTTCGTTCTCCCATATTAAGCAATTCGATATTATCCTGCTAGCACGGTTAATATTAGCTAGACGGCATTTCCGTTCTCTCCAGCTTCACCCACATCATTGGTCGCCCGTCGCTCTGGCCCGGACTCCAGGTCTACCTCGGGGTCTAAAACACCACCCGAGCGCCTGTTGGTCCCAGCATAGCTTCCTACTCCAATTCCCGCCCAGAAACTCCGATCCCTGCTTCGTGGGCCCCATGCCCACCCTGCGCCTTGACCAATCGGCAAATGATAGTATCTGAATGCGAAGATTGCGCAGACTAAGCCAATAAAATATCCGAATAAGATATCGAATCCATGGTGCCTGAAATCAGAATAGCGGGTGGATGAGATATAGATCGAAGCGAACCAGGGAATTATAGCGACGGCCAGGAGATAAACTGGCGGTGCTGCAGCTTCGTTGCGGGCGGCAATAAAAGCTGCATTGTGGCCGGAGGGGTGTTCTGCTTGGTCGCTGGATGAGGATAGCGTGCGCTTCTCTACTGGCCTGATGATGCCAGAGCTACCCGCAGCGATTCTTTGGGCGTGTGAAGGGAAGGGAGAGAGGTAGGATCGGTCGTCGGAGTAGGCTCGAGGGCTGAGGAAGGGAATGGTGATGGCGAGCTTTGACGCCAGGAAGAGGCTGAGGTATATCAATCCAGCAGCAGCGAATGATGAATGGCCCGATGGGTAGCTACGGAATCCGTCGTCTAGTTCGGCCTTGTCTGGGTTTGTGCAGATAGCCGCGGTGACCAAGTTGAAGCCTGCATGAGTCGAGTTGACCCCTCCTGTTGCATACAAGGCGATATTGGCCAGGTCTGGACGACATCGAGATATCAAGTCTGGTCGGGGTTTTCCAAACAGGTTCTTCATGCCATTGGTGATGAGGAACGCGGATGCAAGTGACAGGGCAAGCCCGAGCCACCCCATATGCCATTCCCAAAGCTTTCTCTTCCAGATCAGGTTCTTTGGCGTTCCTTTTGGCACCGCTGGGCCTGGCACCAGTATAAGGGCGACCAGGAAGATGATGACCGCTGGTACCGCAAAACAGACGATGCCCGCCAGCACCATCGGCACCTTCTCCTTGTGGACAAAGGGGTAGCTGATTTCGGGGTTGGAGAGGGAAAAGGGTCGCTTGTTGGGCGTGATGATCGAAAGAGCTGCCCCGATTCCTGCAGCGCAGATTAAAATCAGCCAGTCGAAAGCGTAGCTGAGGACCAGCGCAGTCGATATTCGGCCAGGATTGGCGCGAGAGCGCATGTTGTACCGCATCGTTGAGAGCAGCGTCGGCGGCTAGGGGTGAGTATCGTAGTTCGTGAAGGGCGCAAAATATGATGAGGGTGCTGCGCAACAGCACATAGAGGGGATTGAGGATGAGAAAGGGAAGACGAAGCTAAGAGGGAGAAGCAATAAGCATTTTGTGTCGGTTCTTGGGCGCTCCTCTTGGGTGCGAGCTGTGGTGAGACAAAGACGCGCTGGGCAATACGTGGATGGTGGATGGCTGAGCCCGGGGCTAGATCTACGGATCACTCCGTCCGCCAGTACAGTGAAGTGCCTTGGTCCAGCAGTCCAGTAGCACTCTCGGTGGTGCTTCAACGGGCTTTGCCGGGCCTTGCTTGGCCAGTCGCGGTAAGGATCTGTACTCGTCGCACACAGCCGCCGTGGGCCTAGCATGACGGGTCGGACGGGGGTCGTAAAGCTTGAGTGAGCAGAATTTAGATTGTCTAACACTGGTGAAATACCGAGCCAAATATAGCGGGTTCGCTCTGAGTACTGTACTGTACTTGACCCAGGCACTCTATTTGGGGCAAGCGGCGGAGTGCATCGCTCGAAGCAGACTAGTGGGCCTTCAGCTGTCACAACTGCCGCGCGGCTGTGGCACGGACGCCAAGTTCGATGTCCCGATTCCCGATTCCCGAACGACGCTCCGCTGCTGGACGCTGGAGTCTGGACGGAATGCTCCGCAGGCAGATGAAAGGAGACAAGGAGCACGTGCTGGTTCATGCACTCCTGATTGACGCATCTCTCTCACTAAGAACAAAATTTAACAAATAAAGACAGCCCCGGAACCAAATACTTTGCAACATTACTCGAGTACTTCGGCAATTGCGTTAGCTCGAGATATACTAAACATCTCGGACGTTATTCCCGCCTAGGTACATAGGTACCTGCCTTGCCTTGGTGCCCACTGGACCTACTCCGTCGACAGGCAGGCGAAAGGGTTATAAACTTTCACATCTCAAAATAACAGTTTCATCCTCCTTGGTTGCTTATAAGGATATATTTTTCTCCCACCTATTTTAAAAGCAAAGGCAGCGCTCAGCTCACGTGCGGGTTTCACCACTGCTCGTCTATGTGCTATCGGATTAAATACCCACAGCAGGCGATGTTGGAGTTGGAGTTGGGTTATGTTGTTGGCACTTGGGGCTTCGTGTTTTGGGCTTAGATCTAGATCCTTCCAGTCTATCCTTGTTATATTACAACTAACATAGCGGTCGGCGATGAAGAGAGAAAACAGTGCCGGTGCGAATATTGGATTTTGGATTTTGAGCTGAAAGGTTGGTTAGGGTTGCCGAGGCTCAGCGCCGTACCAACCGCCAAACCTGTTCCAACGAGATCTCACCCAATCTCGTTGAACCAACACTCCACCTTCCACGTGCAAAACACGTTCGCAGCACGTTTGGAAAATCGCGATGTGCAACAAAAGCTCATGTTGGCAAATCTAATGCATTCTGGTAATGTATGCAGTATTGTTGGTCCTCGGGCTTCTCATGTTGCGATTTTTCTTTCAAGACCATAAGACTTGTCACGACACCAAGGACCCTTTATACCGTCCTAGGGACATTCTATATTGGGCTCTTATTACTCCGTACGTCGATACATGGGTTATTGCATGAAGGATTTATCCCTTGACAGGCACTCGATTAAGCATACACCAAAACATCGATCAGGCCAGCGATAGCCAATCAGCAAACATATGATTCTGCCTCGAAGTCGAGACCCGCAGCGCTACAACCCGGTTGCGCTACTACTCGAGTATTGCGAGGCTCCATTCGAGCCTCCGCCGTCCCGAAAACCAAAGCCTACTATATCTCAGCGGTCGGTTCAAGTGCCAATTATCGTTCGCCGATCCACTTGGGGTCCCCATTGCTCTCTAGTAAGCCTTCAATTCAACTTGCTGGTGGTTTGTTGGACTTTGTAGTCGTTGGTACGACGTCAAAGATCGGGGATTTGCGGGGATATCGCCCACTTGAATGGGTCAGAAAACATACGACTCCTACCTTCTGCTCTCCTGATTCCATAACCACTTTGCCCTAGTGTCATTATCGTTGGTGTTTACAAAAGATGGAGGTTTGACTGCTCCAGAAGTATCAGTATACTACAATTTGCATTCACGTCGTATCTCCTGGCGTGATTTGGTGTCATCTAGTTTTGATACATTTATCATCAAGACTGACTGGCATTCTCCGCAGACCGAACATAATCAAGTGGATTTTCCTCGAGCCCGTCAGGTTAGCCACCGAATAGACACATACTCTCATAGTCCAATATGGCTTTAATAAACCTCGATCGCCTCCACTTCCGTACGCGCCCATTCTTCTCCAACCACTTCACAGCTATTGCGGTCGTAGCCTCTTCCCTCCTCGTCTCTCCCCTCCTTCGATTGGCATATATCGACTACCAAACATGGTATGATCTCGGGCCCGGGGGCTTGCCACGAAATGTACTAGGCTGGCTCATCCAAGCTGCCCTTCGACCTATCGCAAAGGAAACCCTCAGCACAGCCTGCTACAGCGAACCAAAAACAATCGCACAAGCAGGTGTATATTCGCACAAGTCATTCTTAATAGAGGAGGCTGTGCCGGTGCGGACACCGCCGAGACCTGATGTTGGGAATTGGACAGTGCCACAGAGACAGAGGAGTGAGTTTGCGACGGACGAAACGAAAGAGGTAGGGCTAGTTACTTTGCAATAGTTTAATCAACAAGAGTTATGGCTAAGAATCCCACCCTCTAGCACATCCAATCCCACATACAACAGCTAGCACACTCCTCGGCCTCGAACCTACGCCTCGCCCCCTCCCGCCTCGAACGTCACGGCACAGCGCTCTTCCTAACCACGCAACAATTCCCACATCCCGCAGCGCAGAAAACCAAAGGCGAGATCACGCATATGCATGAGATCGATGGGTCATTACATGTGAGTCTAGCGCCGAAGGACGCGCAGTTGGTGATAGAACGGGGATGGGGACAGCGACATCCACTTAGTGGGGGGATCTTATATGCTGGCTATGTGTTTATTTATGCGCCCCGGACGAGCGAGGAGGAAGCGGTTGTCCAGGGGATTTTGGATGCTGGGGTCAAGTTTATGGTGGGTGGGCAGCCGGGTAGTGAGTGAGGAAAGTGGTGATGTTGTTGGATAGCTACCTGATATTCGCAATGCGTGGTTGACCCACCTCAGCGCGGCTATAAAACCTAAGGGTATAGTATGTAGCCCATAGCTATATTTCTTATTCCAGCATGACAACTTGCTTTGCTACTCTCCTCAATTATTGTCGGATTTGGCATTCTTTTTGCTTCTTTTCTTGTTGCTAATTATATATTCATTATCATCGTTAACTAGCTGAGTTTTAACTAACTTAGTGCTACCAATTTGCAAATATACTCTCTTGGTATAGTTCGCCGTGATTGGCACATTAAAATTTCCATATAAGGATGGCCTCGAGACCGCGAAATATACCATTATAGCCTAGGTGATCTTTATAGAAAGAAAATACACCTGACAAATATTGCTTATCTTTTAAAGATATTGATACTCAAATTCGTTGTAAAAAGCCACTAATCCTTCTATGCTTTCCTAGGTATCTAGCTAAACTTGTTGCTTATTATCACTCCTCCTAGTTTATATAGAGCAGTAACAATCGACTGTTCTATCGACCTAATCTGTATAGAGGAAGAGAGTATGCATTTGATGGCTAGGAGTGCCTCTGTCGTCATAATATATGGCATAGCTATAGGAATATTTTATTAGTAGGAACTATACATATTAAGGATAACCCTGATCAGGTGGGTGTCCTTATCTATAGGCGAAAATCACATAGTATCGGGAAATATATAATTATAGCCAAGGTATTCTTATGGAGGGTAATCCGTATAAAGAGGTGTCACTGTAAGAATACTCATAATTTGACCTTGGATACTTGCTAAAAACATCATGCTCAACTTGAAACTGTTAAAAATATAACATGTCATGTTGGGAGTGTGGCTGGGGGCATCAAAGGCGATTGCCACAGGAGTTGTATTAGTTTGTGGTTAGAAGGTGGATAGATAGAGAGGAAGAGGGGAAAATTGGAGTATCTTCTGAATAATGATCCGAAGGAATATTATTCTACCCAGGACTTAATACCCTATATGGCTTTATAGAGGCTGGTCCTCTCCAAAATTTGAACGATGAGGTTTCCGAATAACGTGTAGCTTGAATTCCAACGTGAGGGAAGTGGGGGGGCGACACACTGTGGTCTAGGCAGATAGTATTTTGAATGGGACTTTGAAGCCGTTCTGGTATCAAATCACAAGCAAAAGCGTCTTGAGTAGCGACTTGCATATATATTCACGTATTACTGCACAAAGCAGAAATGATGATGCTGCTGTTCAACGAATAGTTTCTATGCTAGCGGGCCCCAACCCAGCGGAGACAAATACTTGCGCCTTATTTCCATGTCCCAACGCCAGGCAGTGCATAAATCCACATTCCTTCCCTAGCCCGTCATCAAGAAACGAACCACATGTAGCCACACAGGCCATGAAGCCAGACATCGTATGGAATCCAACAGTTAGACTTGGGCGGTCGGGTCCCCAGCTGCCAGCTGCCCATTCTGTAATACCTCCATAACGGCCTCATCTTCAAGTTCTTCCTCCTCCTCTTCTGAATCCCCCGCATCGAGATCCTCCTCATCATCCTTGAATCCGCTCTCAATCTCGAGTTTTCTAAGACGTCGTCGCATGTCGTCTCTCTCTCCATGTTGCCACCTAATTAATGTTGCTGGTGCATGGACCTTGAAACCGTAGATCCGGGGGGTATATCTCTCGTAGCTCTTGGTGGGAATGAGCGCAGGGTAGACCTGGAATATGATATTATGAAAGGAGGTACCGAAATACGCTCCGTCTATTGCTGAATGCCGAGAGGATTTAGGGTTATAGATATCTTCGCATCTCGCACAGTAGAGTTTCACCGCCTTGACGTTCGGATTATCCGATTGCCCCATCGGCAATAAAGGATGTGATTTGCACATCACTCGTGGGCATTTGCCAAAGTCCGCCTTCTTGTACTTCTCGAGCTACAGCATGGTTTAGTTTTTATCTTGAACCGTGCTGTGAAAATGGTGCTACATACCATTTTTGCTAGACCTCTTGTGGTGACAATATATCTAGCGTGGACAAGTCCGTACAGATGCCTGGCTGACTTCTCTATCGTTTCTCGCATCTCATCGTCACAGTCCAGATCAAACACATCAGTGACTAGGTCGAGCGCATATTGATAGTATTGCACTTCGGTATTCAACCCAGTGAGGTTAAACCTATCAGTAAGATAGTCCTCGTCGATTTCGCAGAAGTATTCATTGCCTCGGGAGGAGATAAACTGGGAAGAAAAGGCATTAGTAAGTCTGTAACTTAAAGCTGAGATATAAAATATGCGTATAGCTAAGGCATGCAAGCTCCCAGAAGTTCCGATTATAAGACCTGAGCCGCCTTGCAGATTTTGGAGGACTCAAGGGGATCGAGGTTCTTGTAATTTGGAGTGCGAAATCAGGTGAACCTGTTTTGATATTCTAGCCATGTGCGGGACTGCCGTCCGTTTCGAAATGCCTCAAGCGATCTATTGATATATCGTAGGAATTCACCAACGGCGCTAGCTCCAACAAACGGTTGATAGGGGTGTGTGGGTGTGTAGGTGCGCGTGGATAACGGCAGAAAGCAGATTATTCACACTCAAGTGCAAGCATGATCAATCTAAGTTCTCAAACATCCTCCCACGGCCGGCGTTCTTATAGTCGACGAGGGACCAGATCGGCGGCAATTAGCAGCGAGATATTCCCGTGTATTCGTGTCTGACAGGTGGGCAGTAAAGCGGATATCGGAATCGAGGTCAAGAGTGGTAGGTAGTACATTGTATCGAGTGTGGTGGGCGCAGAGGCGAGATATCTCGGGCGATCGAAGGGGCGATCGTGTAGTCTTGTCGCACTGGCTCGCTGGTCTCCCGTATCATTCTGGGAGCTGCAATAGTTCCATGCCCATCCACTTGAACTGGCAGAGTGCGCGCCGTCCGAAGTTGAAATGAAAGTATCCCACATACCCAGTCCCTCCAGTAACTAGTGTAGTCACTGTCCGTTTCACTGTTGAAATCATCCATGGTGCACGCTGCCCTTTAGCAAGTGCTCAGGTAGCACTTGCTAGGTGTATCGGCAACGTTGTTCGTTGGGAGCGTCGAAAGAATCCCGAGGCTGGCGGAGTTATGTTATTTCGATGATGAGGCTTTGCGCAAGAAGCGAAGCACAAGAGTCGATGAGGGGCAACTTGTGCGCCTTTGATATTAGGCCAAGACCATCTTGCGACCCCCTTTTTCCTACCCCTTTAAATGTCACATCACACAATTCAAACGGCCACTAATTGGGATATGTGGATGGTAGCTCATAAAGCCCTTGCTCAGTGAATGGTTTAGGAGTTTATAATATGCTTAATACTGAGAAACATGCAGGATCTACTTCCTCTAAACCAACATATTGCAATTTGCACTCTCGTGATAATATCTACTAGTGATCAGAAGCTCTACGATCAAACGAGTTATATGCAGTGTGTTATTCAATGTCCAACCCAGTTAACACCTAGCGCCAACCCATGCAACAACAGCTAAATGTCTACTGCGATGTTTCGCCATTGCGAAGAGTGAAATAATCGGGGGAACCGCCCCGTCCTAAACTTCGAGGACTACGGCTACCACTACTTGAGCGGTCATCTTGGTCACTGCCATGATTTCCATTCAGGCTTTGGAAGGCACCCCTCCCGGGCCGTGGGACTTTTAGCCTTGAGCCCTCCAACATGAAGCTATTCGGTTCGCGGGTCTCTCCCGGGCTTCGAAGACCTACCATCTCCAATGCCTCCCTCAGCGTATCCCCGCTCTCATCCAAGGCTGTCAAGAAACGCGCCAGTTCTTTACATAATTCCCAGTCACCCTCATCCTTGGCCCTCGAGAGCAAATGTACGAGTTCCTCAGAGCTTGAACTTAGTTCCTCAAAGGTGTGCAAAATGAGGAGATACCCGCCCGCTGTTTTCAATGAACCCCTTTGCAACGATTGTTCGAAGAGCTCCTGTGGAGGGGGTAGATACGTAAAAAGGGTCCGCCAAGATCGCACCTCAGTCTTGCGAGTGCATTGTACGACAATGTCAAGATACTGAGGAAAGGAAGATAAAAATGACAACACGCCGGGTAAGAGAGCAGTCTCTGATGGAGGGGGGTTGTCAACCTCTTCGTCGAGAACGTTATGAAGTAAGACTTCGAGAGAGTGCGCAAAGTATTCTAGGTGTCGGTACTGATGAGCAAGATGTAGCGCTGCGGATGAATTAAACCTCGAGAGATGAAACCGGAGAACCTGAGGAATGAAGAGATGAGTCTAGCAAAGTGTCAATATAAATTCCGAAGATCATGAGAATGATAGACATACCCGTATCGTGAATTTGAAAAAGGCAAAATTCACGTCGCGACGTTGAATGAGGTCGGGTTCCAGACCGAGGATGATTCCTTTTCCAAGCAAGACTGATAAAGGATAGAAGTCTGTAGAGATTGAGACCATGGGGGGCAATTCTCGGGCCAATTCAGAAGGAGCCGATTGAAGAACATCGTGGACGTCTGTCCACACCCTCATCTCGTTACCGTCGAATATCCAGAGGGAATCTCGAAGCCCAGGACCTTCGTCTGTGCCAATTCCGTCGTCATCGAAACCCGCCAAAGCACCCGAAGCCCGCAGAGAATTTGCAGAAGGTACATCTCTCATAAGGGTATAATATTCCACGTTTTGGGCAATGACACGCATATCGTATTTGAGCCTGCCTTCTTCATTGAGCGACGGCTGGAGAAGAACGAGTTTGCCATCAACAAGGAAAAGCACTGTGGCCACTGCAACATCTTGCGATGGATCACCATTAAGCAGTTGTTCATCCGGCAATATCCAGCTTAACCCTCTTACTCGCGCAGGTGATCGCACAATACCATGAAAGGCAATTTGACCAACTTGAACGAGCTTGACAGAGCTAGAAGCGGCGGTGATGATGTAGTGATATAATAGATTGTCGTATGTGTAAACGAGTAATGAGTCCTCGCCAGAAGGGGCGATGAGGACGATGGGGCTTGGAAGTGCCTGAGAATGGAGAACCAGAGAATTATCCAGGGCAGCTTCCCGGGAGTATAAGCGTAGCTCGAATGACTCGCCGGCCTCAACAGCTGCGACAAGGATATGCTGATACCAGCACATCCCCCCTCGTACCTGGAACTCGTTCTCCATGTTCTCGTTGACGAAAGTTTTCCATCTACCGCTATTAATACTATAATGTGCTAACCCACGACGGCCTGCAACTGCAACATATCTGCCGTCAGCAGAGATGACAGAGCATCGTATAGGCCATTGATCCACAAGATAGCTTGAGGGAATCTCTGCGGTGTGCCATAAGGAGGATTCCGCAGATATGGTTGTTAAATCAGGCAAATCATATCCACGATAGACCATGACGTTCGATGTTGTTTGAAGCAGCGCTCGAGAAATATTCGACGAGGTGTAGCATCCTGTGACGGCGCTTCGGGCCATCTCCAATGTCCATATGCGGTCATCTTGATTGCCAATCATAATAATTTCTAAACCTCCTCCAAGCCAAGTAGCTTCCTTTACACCATCCAGCCAGCCTTCCTCGTGGTCCTCTGAAATGTTCCTGTCGGCACCGAAACTTGTCGCTCCTGGTTTGCCAAACACGCTCCACGTGGCCCAGCCCTTTTCATATCCAGCAAAGAGGCAGTACCCATCTGGAGAATATGCTAAACATGTCAGGTCACCCGAAGAGTCCTTCGACACCGAGAGTCTGTGGACATGTGATGCTGGAATGTTGCCGACGTAGTCCCTAGCTGTATAAACTTGGATAGTGCCGTCAGAACAACCAATGGCTATTAGAGAAAACCTAGCATTGATATATGCTTTGCTCGCATGGAACGCAGAAGACTGAGGACTATGGAAACAGTAGCCCCTGAAGAGTTTTTGAGGGCCATCGGCAACTCTAGATACGGGATGGCGTTGTACGGCATAAGCCTTTCCGTCGCTTGTTATCCAACAAGATATATTCATTGGCCTATCATGGATCATTTCCGTGACGCTTACTTTCTTTGGCAACCATTCCATACGACTGAAAAGCTCTGTGCTGGTCTGATTCCCAGCGGTATCTGGCGTCCATCTGATGCATTGTACTGCAGCTGGTTTCTGAGTTGCGACAACAAGCTCCTCATCAAGTGCCAATGCCATCCCAATCCCAGCATCAACTTTTATAACCATCCGAAAACGCACACTCACTTCCCGGACTCCGCCTCCCTCCCCCGGACCCCATAAGATTCTGTCACCTCCCTGACTTCTTGCTCCGCCGAAATTGCTCTGTCTGCGTGTCTGGATGCTAGTATGATTGGTAAAATGTGGCCTGTAAACTCGAGCATCCGGGTCTGTAGCCAATGTATATGTAATTAGATAGCCGTGTGTTGTTTGAACGACGAAGATGGCCGAGTCCGGTCGTACGAGGAGGGAAACGTTTGAACCATAAGTGCTAAGGGATCTGTTGGAGCGTACAACTACTGCTAAGATAGCAGTCGGCTATGAATATAAATTAGTCGACATCTATATCGCATTTCCAAACCAGCTTACCTTTGTTTGCCATATCGTCAACGACGTTGCAGTGATGACAGCGAAGAGGTGCCCAGTGCGTGAAATGCGCAGGGCAAGCAGAGGCTGCTTATCTGCAGACTTGCAATATGAGGTATCCTGTGGAGGCAATCCCGTAGACGCGCCATTCTGAGAGTCCTGTTCAACAGGCTTGATACCAGGAGTTATTGGGGTGATAGGCGTTATAGGCGTTGACGCCGGAGTGTCAAGGTCATCATCCAGTCTTCCTCCTGAGACAGTACTTGGAACATCCAGCAGTGATCCGCTACCCTCAGTTGTCTCGCGCGATTCGGCATCGTCGTCGAATGCAAATATCCGGTCTGTCCTTGCCTTACTATTGTTCGCGGCGTATATTCGGGGAGCTCCAATGGCCCAGTACATGGCTGCGCAATGCCGTTCGATGCCTCATTCGTATGGTGGCATGCCCGCGAAGTGGCACGGCAATGGCGCTTGAGAATGTTTGAACATTCAAAGCATCGTGGCCTAAATATCAATTGCTCTTAAGATTCAAGACATTGGGAGTTCCCCTGCAAGGACGTCGTCGGAGACAAGCGAATCACGGCCTTGGAACAAGCGAATGTCTGGAGGAACAAGACCCTTGAGACCAGCCCTCCTTGTTGCATGCTGGTTTGATTCACGCCTACTGTACAGTACCCAAAGCTTTAGTACATCATTGAGCTCTAAAGACATCCTAATTCTTTTGTTTGTGGTATTGCCATTCTTGACTCTGACGCAATTATATAAGGCCTTCGCCACGTCCTGAAGGCTTCGACCGACACCCTCGAGGGATCTATACTTCACGTCTACCCGCCCCTGATGGCACCCATCCGCCAGCGCCAGAGCATTTCCAAAGAAAAGTTTGGTGTCTACCTTAGTTCCCTCAAGACAACAACCTATCACGATCCATCATCACGTGGAGCTGGCTCTCATGGGTATGTTGCTACCCGTCCTGCAGTTCTGTGTTTGAAGTCCGACTTTGCGGCTTGGCTTTGCCTTTTTGCGTTTGAAATAAAGCGGGCCGTTGGAAGCTTTTATCATTGTTTCATTTTCTAATGCTACTACTTGGGACTCTTGGGAATTTTAACATCCCGTTTACTATTGGGATATCTAAATATGCCCAACACTGAGTCTGATTTCTCTACCACCACCTACAATAAAAAATATCCTCCGCCGGAATTGTTAAATGTTATAGATATATATACTAATCCCGAAAGTAGCTTAAGGTCTATTGCTTGGAATCCATTGGGCACCCTGATTGCTGCTGGCTCTGCAGATAGAACATTACGTGTGTAAGTTTGGCGATCCCACCTCTCTAAGTACCGTAAGGAATATATATTGATAGTCTCACAGTTGGAATCCAGACAGACCAAATGTGAAGTATTCGACGGAGCTTAAAGGCCATGCTGCTGGAATCGAGAAGGTGGCTTTTAATCCGGTGAAAGACGCCGAATTGTGTAGTGTCTCTAGCGATGGTGTTGTCAAGTTTTGGGATGTGAGGACGAAAGCGGTCATTAATGAGATTAAGGGCCTTGGTGATGCATTTACATTAGCATGGAGCCCTGATGGCGAGAGTCTCGTGGTTGGAAATAAGGTATGTGCCTCACTCCAGCGTTGAATGCCGTGCAAGTCTTGCGATTTCGTGGCTGAGTTACACGACGCCTTATATTATACACTGTGCTTACTGACTATCTTTAGGCCGACAATATCTATATCCTGTCTCCAACGCAGACGACACCGATTGCTTCTTATCAACAACCTGTGCAGACTAATCAGATCTGTTTCTGTCACAGCGGCAAAAAGATTTTCCTGACGACAGGCGAAGGGAGAGTCAAGGTTCTCTCTTATCCCGACTTCAAGCCCATCCTTTGGACGAGCCACGATCCCACTCTACCGTTTACCCTAAACGGGCACACCTCCGCATGCCTCACCGTCGAGCTGCAACCCACCGGACGGTTTCTTGCGACAGGTGGGTCTGATTCCATGATAGCTGTCTGGGATACGGCGGATTGGCATTGCCAGCGGACATTGATCGACATGGTGGGCCCTGTGAGAAGTATAAGTTTCAGCTACGATGGGAGTTTTATTGTTGGTGGCAGTGACGAAGGCCCCGGGTTGGAAATAGCTCATGGCGAGTCTGGGGATCGTGTACACACTATCAAAACGTCAGGGCCCTGTCCAGTCGTCGCATGGCACCCTAGCCGCTACTCTCTGGCGTATACAGATATGGGTAGTTTGAAGATTGTTGGAGTTGAACCACCAGAGAGAAGATGAAGAATATCAGAGCTCAAATTGCGAGATATCATCGGCATCCATTCCGAGCATCTCTTTACGGAAGAAATTGCCCACAACTAAACATTGAGGGACAGCTTGAAGCCCTACGGGGTATTCCGAAAACCAACCCTTTGAAATACCCCGTAAAAGGAAACCCGCTACCACTCTTTCCCAGCCTGTCGAAGAACGCAGCCCATTAACGGAGCATTCGGGCTTACCTACTCCTTACGTACAAGGGAGCACACGTATGTACCTACCTACCTATCTCCGTATGTACGTAGCATGGATCTTATTAGCAGTGGACTCACAGAGCACGTGGCCGTCCAATTCAAGTCCTCTCCCCATTTTATAAAGTTTCACCACACTCTGGATGCTTGGTCCTACGAAGTACGTAGATATAAGCCACAAAGCGCCAGACAAAGAGCAGACACTTCAGCCGACAATGTAAACGTCATGCCGCTAATGATTAATCATCAAGTTGCCTCGGCTCTCAAACGGCCACGCCCTATGGCTTTTAAGTGTTAAAGGGCTGTCGCGTCGCTGAAGAACATTGATAGTACATAGATACGACCAGATATGAGCCGGCGTAATATCACCCCGACTCGTCTAAGGAGGGGACTCTTCCCGCTGCCCTGATTGGTAATGTGTGCTCGAGAAGTCCAACCCCCCGTGTTGAGGCTGAGGAGAGCGTGATTTGGGTCGATTTGATTGCTCTGCTATTATTGGGTTTCCTGACAATTCCGCTCTCGAGGCCAACGCGGCAAGGCCACCTGGAGCCACCGTCTGCACAGATTCCGCAGCTTACGGAATCGATCCTGGATGTCGCTGGTGCCTTGCTCTCGAGTCCCAGCTTATTGTCATAGTTACGGCCGGTTTAGCGGGTCCTGTTGTGAAATCAACTTCAGCCCGCATTGTGGTCCTCATGGCGTTCACCTTAATTTGATCACACTATTGCCACACTGCCACCTTGACACTGTCCCTCTGCCACTATCAGATTATTATTATTCTACGCGTGGACGAGAGTATTTGCTGGAGTCGCGCTAGCGCAACCTTCAAAGGACGGTGACTTGTCGCGGCCCTGGACAGGAGGGGATCATTGCGCGTTGCAAACGGTGCCCAAGCTTAAAACTCCTCTTGTACTGTAAATGGTGCGGAAGAGCCAATTCCCTGCATCTTGCGATTCGGAAACGCAATTACGGTCGTCTAGATACGTGCTCAGGCTTACGGGTGTGATTTAGAGCCCAAAGACAAGACTCTTTGTTGAACTGCATCAATTCCATTCTGGTGATTTGCGCCAGTGCACGTAATAATCGCACCTTGAGGGAGTACCTACTACCTACAGTAGTCGTCGAGCGAGCGAGCGGCACGGTATCTTCGACCACTCGCCAAAGCGCTGGCTGGCGTTGGGTATCAGGATATTTCGACTCACCCTCCAGACGGCGTACATCGACTCCAGGAAGGTTCCACGACTCGAAAGGACCGGCTGAGACTTAGACGCGCAAGGCGACTGGATCGCAAAGATGTCCTCCGCTTCAAATACCCCTCCCGAGGACTACTTCAACGACCTCTCCCGCCCCACCGGAAATATTGGTCGAAATAAGCGGAGCAAGACCCCAAGTGGGGATGCGAACACAGCAACTCTTGAAGCTGGGAGCGGAGGAGACTCGACGGTGCCAAAGCCAAAGAGAATAGCCTGCATAATCTGCAGGAAGAGGAAGTTGAAATGTGATGGAACGAAACCAAGCTGTTCGACATGCACCAGATTGGGCCACAGTTGTGCTTATGATGAGGTTCGAAGGAAGTCGGGCCCGAAAAGAGGATATGTGAAGGCATTGGAAGAGAGATTAAGTCAGTCCATCCGAGTAGCCTCTTGATCTTGCTAGATCTAGAGCGTTTGTCTGCCTCCTCACGACTACGGCTAACCCACAACAATAGAACAGGTCGAGACGTTATTAAAAACCCAAGATCCTGTATCTGCCACCACGGAGTCCACCAAAACATCCTTTCCTCGGCCCAGCATTGGTACGGCTAACACCTCTATTCCGGGAGGGGATTTTGGCGTGTCGAATCCTGCAGCAGGCATTGTAGCTGGGGACCAGTGGGGTTTCAATGGCGAATCTCCTCAGCAGCCGCCACTGGACGAGCTGGCATTCTCGGCCGATATAAATATGAGCATGGGCATTGATGGGAGCACTTTTACGTGGGAGATGATCGGACTTGGTCTCGAGGAGCCGCTCCCTCCACAGGACACAATTGATGAATTGTATGTCAAATCTTTAAGTATAAATGGAGGCAACAACTTATATTGGGTTCTAGGCATGCCATCTATTTCGACAAGATCCATCCTTCCGTACCCATGATACATAAATACAGATACCTCGCGGCGATGAACTTGTAAGCATCCTAATTTCCCCGTTGACCGGGTATTCTGGTAGGAATTATTTGGCTGATAACCCAATAGAGCTCCAAGCCAACGACCCCCTGTTGCACTACGCTATGTCATATGGACACTTGCCGCTTCTGTAACTGATAAGTTTTTGGATCTCAAAGATCATTTTTATCGACGATCTCGAAAGTATGTGGAGATGGATTATCTGAAGGGCCATGGAGAGCACATGATATCAGTCGCGCATGCACAGACGCACGCGTTGATCGCCTCCTATGAATTCAAGATGATGTATTTTCCACGGGCATGGATGAGCACTGGGGCAGCCATTCGGTTATGTCAGATGTAAGTTCGTCTCTTGAACAATAGATGTTAAATGCTAACCTGCAAAAGGATGGGTCTGCACAGACTTGATGGAGAAGGTCTCGATGTTAAACAATGCCTCCCCCCGCCTCGGGATTGGGCAGAGCGAGAGGAAAGGAGGAGGACATTCTGGATGGCATTTTGCTCCGACCGTTACGCCAGTATCGGAACTGGTTGGCCGTTGACTATAGATGAGAAGGATATTCTATCACACCTTCCTAGTTCCGAAGAGGCTTTTGAGAATAATAAACCGGAGCGGACGCAAACGTTATCCGACGCTATGGATCCTACAGGGGCTAGTAAGCTCTCGGCATTTGCAGGCGTTGTCGTAATGGCCTGCTTGTTCGGACGAAATCTCATCCATCTGCATCGTCCGGATGCGGATGATCGGGATGATGACTTGAACGGGGAATTCTGGAAGCGCCATAGGCAGATGGACAACATCCTCCTCAATATCTCTCTATCTATGCCATCAAATCTCAAATTGCCTGCTGGTTTGACTAACCCTAACATTGTCTTTACGAATATGAATATCCACACTTCGACAATCTGTTTGCATCAGGCAGCAATATATAAAGCGGACAAAAACCGCCTCCCTTCATCAATTAGCGCAGAGAGCAAAGTACGATGCATCACTGCGGCTAATGAGGTTGCAGGTATCATGCGTTTGATTTCTCATCTTGACTTGTCCTCAGTAAGTAACCGCAAAAATCCCAATACGGAGATAGCTCTAACTGATTCCAGATGAACCCATTCATCTCATTTTGTTTGTACGTTGCGGCCCGAGTTTTCGTTCAATATTTGAAGAGCCGACCGGATGATAGCCAAACCGGTGACTCTTTGCGGTTCTTGCTCTCTGCGATGAATGCCTTGAAGAAGAAGAATCCATTAACAGAATCCTTTTTGGTTCAATTGGACGTGGATCTCGAAGGTCTTGGCATGCGAAACCCTAGGTATAAGTCGGTCTTCGCGTATAGCGAGGATAATGTAAGTACCCCTAAAAAATCAATCCCTTAACAGGACTGTCTAACGCCTTCCTAGCTGGGGATATCTAGTGCAAAGGCACCTATAATAGGAGAGCCACCCTTCGATGGACTGCCACGCCAAGACCGGAACCATTGCACTTTCATGCCTATGGCAGCTCACATCGACCTAGCAGATACTAGTCCCACAACTAATCCAGACCCAGTATCTGAAAGGCCAACGGAGCCTCAGGATCAAACTACTAGAGATGACTCAAATTGGGTGCCCTTTGATCCGAATCCACCAACTGATCAAGGGCAAGAGGTCCAACGAAACATGGCAGGCCTAGTGATTGGCGCGGTCCCAACAAATCGCTATGAGCGTGGCGAGATGACCAGTGGTAGCAGCTATATGACCAGCGAGAGTAGCAATAATGGCGGTGATGTGGTGCTTTCTCCAGCTACCACACAATCAACATCTAACCGGCCAACGCCGAATTCCGCCACACCTCCGGATTCCCTTTCCAACCTACAAAATACCCAATCTAATTCGGCTGGCAACTCTTACGGCACAAGTCCTGTATCATCGAATATCCCCGCTGTCTCGAGCAACGATCACCGTACCATGTCTGCATTCTTCTCCGGGGAGCCAGATTACAGCAATATTTCAGGAACGGGCTTAACACCGGATAATAACTTCACCATGCCGGAGACTCCTGGGAGGCAGTTTGATGTTCCCAACGGTTGGGAAATGGCGAATCAGCAGACGACTGGGTTAACTCCCGTAGGAGAAGGTGTTTTTCGACATCTAATGGGGCTTGGACCACTAGATCCAATGCAAATGTTTGTACTCCCCCCCAGCCTGATCTTCTAGATTCTAATTCTATTTACAGGGACATCGCTTGGGAAGGAGGCACTTAAATGGCCTTCATTGATTCCTGTGGCGTTAAAGGACATTTAAGTTTTGGAGCGATAAAAATTGGTTATGGCTACGACATTTTAATCTTGGGAAAAGAGGTATTACTCATATGGAACAAAATATGACTTTCGCGTATATAGCACCATTCATTTACGAACGTAGGCAGCGATCCGGGCACCTGCTATACGTTTTCACGGACTGTAAAACACACACATTTGGGGTTTGGGTTGGGCATTAGGGATTAGGTTTTTGGGATAGGGTTGGTTGATTCCCCCCCCGCTCTGGTTCTCGGGCAGTTCGATTATTTTCCCCAATCTATTCTTGGATAGGCATTATGAGGTCCAGATTGGTTATATTAGGACTCATAGAAATACATATACGGTAGTAATGCTAAAAGATGTAAAAAGATACAAGGCATTTTGCGATTGGTGGTTAATCCGGGAACGTAGGGCTCGTTTGAATGGTTGTCTGACATGGTGGCATTTTTGTACTCCCAAGCTCTTGACTTCTTGCATGAATGTGGAGGATGAATACTAATCGTGGTGATTTGTAATGCGTAGGAAGTCTAGAGAAATCGGACTGGGATGATGGGAAAGCGATAAGCTCGGTAGGTGGTATTCGGCCTGACGTTGGCCGGTGAGTGACTCTTATTCAATAGAGCGGTCTAGACAAGAAAAATGGATAGATGGATGAACGACTGGAGAATATTACATGATTGGCACTCGAGCCGAACCGAATAGATGTGCTGCTTCTCTATGCACTACTCTATATGGCTAGTGTTTGGAACTATCAGATCGCCAATTCTAGTCGTACATAAAATTCTTACATTCTACCACGCATATGCAACTGCGGGGTTTAAGGGTTCTATTTTGTACATGTTTGGTCCTGAACGTCTTGTACGCAAACACTTCAAGCTCGATGGGGAACATGGAAAAAGATGATACATGAGGGTATTCCGTCTACTTGACTCGCCGTTTCCCGTGGTTGCGCTCTCGAGGTGTAACCACCCATTTGTTTGGGTTTCGGGTTTTGCGAGTCTTGTACCCTCCTTTGGCCTGGATATGGTTAGCTTGGAGTCCTTGGGTATGGTTGGATAACTAGACTTACAGGCATGCCCCATGGGCTTACGGGATCAACGTTACCCTTGGACTTTCCTCGTCCACCACCATGAGGATGATCGGCTGTGATATTGTTAGATACCGCGGAGATACTCTTCATCGAATGGATAATACATACCGGCGTTCATAGCCAAACCTCTGACTGTGGGCCGGATATTCAGCCAGCGCTTTCGACCAGCCTTTCCAAGCTGTCGATGCTGAAAGTGAGGATTGCTGGCAACACCAATAGTGGCACAAGCATCTTTGCTCACTTTTCGGATTTCGCCACTTTGTAAACGGACCTGGACGTGTTTGCTGCCTCCTTTGGCCATATCATCCTTTGAAATAATAGTAGCATAAGTCCCAGCGCTGCGGCAGAAGACGGCGCCCCTTTCCTTTGAGGATCCGACACAGTACACCATGGTTCCAACAGGGACCATGTGAAGGGGCAAGCAGTTGCCTCGCCAGGCAGTCTTTGCTGCCAACACACCCGGATCTACAACTCCTCCCATGCTGTCGAGCAAGTCTTTTGGGATACCAGCTCGATAGCTCTGGACTACGTCGCCAGCCCGCATACCCTCAGAAGCAACGATATAGGATTTCCGTCCAGTGGCTTCTTCATTCAAGAATGCAATGTGTGCACTTCTCCCCGGATCATGCTCAATACGCTCGACCGTGTGTGGTCCAGGTGTCATCCGGGCAAAATCGACGACCCGTATCCTTCTCTTATGTCCACCACCTCGATGTCTGATTGTCACTCGACCACTATTGTTTCTACCTCCCTTCCCATGTCCCTTTTTGGCGAATGTCAATGGGAGGAATGGCCGCCCTTTCCACAGATGGTCGTTTATGGGCCGCTTGAGATGTCGTACACCGGGTGTTCGAGGCTTATATGTCCGCATTGCAAAGGTAGCACTGCTCTTCTCCGTGGAAGGTGGAGGTGCAAACCCGGCCGTGGTTGCCAGACTTGGGATTGGGTCGACCTTCACGGGCTCCACGATGGTGGCATAGGACCGCGAGATGGTTTGTTGAATTGAGAGGTATTTGCACGGGGCGCTATGCTGCGACTTGCGCAGCAGCAACCGCGGTTGAAGCATGGCAGGCAGATTGGAATATCCAATTGACCTAGTTGCCAGCGAGAATAGCCACCTGAGGGCGGGATTGACGAGGTGCTGGTGGTGGTTGGTGGTATGAGGGTGTTCCAACTCAATTTCTTGGATGTTCAGATGCTGCCCGGAGTAGTTTGGACTAGCGGACTGGCTGAGCCACATTTTGCGTCCAGCTCCAGCCACAGCCGACCCTTTTCCTTCGTGCCTTGCCTCTGAGGCAGATAAACACTGTTGCCAGGCCAACTTGCCCGGTCAACATCCCCCGTCCCCACCACGAAAGAGCTTCTGTCCCCACCACCGCCCTCGACACCTCCCACCCCGACACAAAATCCCATTTCTCCACGCCAGCTTTACGTGCAATTAAATCTAGAAAGGTTTATGCTCATTCAAGATTCTCACATTGCCATTTGCAACTTTTCAAATCCCATTGCGGGCTCATTTTCACCGAGTATTTCTCGCCCTTGCATCAGCAACCGCGTTCTGGGCGCCTTGCGTCGGTAGGGGTTTGACATCGCGCTAAGTCGCCAGCCATAACAAGCGAAAACACCTTTACTTGTCTTCCTTCATCACGTCTTCATACCTCTTCCCTCTCGAAGACAATCCTCCTCCTCCTCCCCTTCCTACGACTCGATATCCTCTTTACCGCCCTCACGTGAAGTTATTAGGCTTCTCAAGTCACCACTCGTCACGCATTGAGTTCCCTCGACACTCGGTCATCGATCGAGCCACGGCCTCTGTCAACATTGGTGATATCGTGCTGGCCCAACTCGACGGCAAGCCAATTACGCCTTTTAAAGACCTTCCAGGCTTTAGCTAAACTCATGTATGTTATTCTGGGTTTTCTTCGCGTTGGTTGCACATTATCGCGTGGTTGCATCGCTTTTCCTCAACGTATTACGCGGTTATATGCCGCGTTTGTCACCGCGTCTTACTAACTACCATATAGTTTGAATCCAACTACACAACACATAAACATTAATACACCCTACCACAATCATGCCTCCAGTAAGTTTGGCCAATCTATCCTACGAAAATCTAACCCCCATCTAAAATTTTCCGCGTCTGAGCAACTACTAATTGCTTTGATTCCAGGCTCGAGCAGCCAGCCGCAGGGTGGCCACCAACGAGAACGATGAGAACAGTGCTGCCGTTACGACACGACTTACGAGATCCAAGTCCCAGGCATTCGGAGAGGATGGTGGTCTCGGTGCTGCTAAGAAGCCACTTCAGTCAAAGAAATCGGCCGTTAATACACAACCGCTCCGCAAGCGTTCTGCACTAGGAGATGTCAGCAATGTCACGAAAGGCGAGGCTATCGATGGCAAGAGAGCCACGGTCAAGAGTGGACTCGTATCAAAGGCTTCCCAGCCAACCGGTGTCCAGAAGAATTCATCGCGTACCACGTCGTCCAGGTCAACCACCAATCTTAAAGATGGCAACAAGAAGGCGGAGCTGAAACGTGTCGGGTCTGGCGTTTTACCTTCCCAGAAGCGAAAGGCTACTTCCAGTACTTCAAATGCAATCAAGGAGGAGACACCTGTTGAAGAGGAGCAGCCGTCAAGAAAAAAGATCCACCTTGAAGCCCGAGAGAATGCACGTGCCGAGGATGTAAAAAAGGCACCACTTGAGGAACCTATCGTCGGGGATGAGGACTCTGTTAAGAGCAAGTTCGCAGATGGTGTTGAGGACTTGGATAAAGAAGACCTTGATGATCCGCTTATGGTTGCTGATTACGTTGTGGAGATTTTCGAGTACTTGAAGAAGCTTGAGGTCTCGACTCTTCCCAACCCAGACTACATGGACTCACAAGAAGACTTGGAGTGGAACATGCGAGGAATCCTTGTTGACTGGCTTATTGAAGTGCACACGCGCTTTCATCTCCTTCCCGAGACCCTCTTCCTGGCCGTCAACATCATTGACCGATTCCTCTCAGCAAAGGTTGTCCAGCTTGACCGCCTCCAGTTGGTTGGTGTCACCGCCATGTTCATTGCCTCCAAATATGAGGAGGTTCTCTCCCCTCACGTCGCTAACTTCCGTCACGTTACCGATAATGGCTTCACCGATGCAGAAATCCTCAGCGCCGAGCGATATGTCCTCACAGCTCTCAACTATGATCTGAGTTACCCCAACCCAATGAACTTCCTCCGCCGCATCTCAAAAGCCGATAACTATGATATTCAAACCCGAACGCTCGGCAAATATCTCATGGAGATCAGCCTTCTTGATCATCGTTTCATGAGCTATCTCCCAAGCCACGTTGCTGCGGCGTCGATGTACCTAGCTCGTCTGATTCTCGAGCGAGGTGAATGGGTACGTAAATCATCCATAGCATGACCGATCCACTACTAACAAGTCGCAGGATGCTACTTTGACTCATTACTCTGGCTACGATGAAGAGGAAATTGAGCCTGTGTTTAAACTCATGGTTGACTATCTGGCTCGTCCTGTCGCTCATGAAGCATTCTTCAAGAAGTATGCGAGCAAGAAGTTCCTCAAGGGTATTTACTACATTGTTCCAACTACATATAACAGGACGCTAATTCTCTTCAGCTTCGATTCTCACAAGACAATGGGCCAAGAGACATGCTGCGGAACTTGGTATCGATGCATCCTTACCCCTTAATTTGGCGGCGTGATGGGTTGGCCCTGCACCCTTATTCATAAGCGTCACGACTTGCTTCGGTTGCTCTCAGGATACGATACATTATTTGGATGGGATAGGAACTGAGAATACGATAGACGAATGACTTTCTTGAGGCATCAACTTTTCCATGGACATCTCGCCAAATCACGAGATGATTTTGTGCTGGATCGGTGTTATGCGAGCGTGTTGTTGTCTCTTACTTGTTCAGAGTTAGCTGCTGTGCTGCTTCATCATCTTTCAACTCTCAATTGGGTTCTGGCGTCAATATGCGTTTTCTTGGAAGTATGGAGTCTGGCATTTGTTACCTCGTTTGAGAACTTTGGTCTGAATACAGATGAAATGGCAAGAAAATTACTCTCTCAGCACACTCTTACAATTGCAATTGTACTTAGCTGCTGAGGCTTTTCTGTTTGACGGGATTATGGGAAACCCGCTGTACATATGTTGAACTGACTATCAATAAAATGGTACCGTAAAACCCCTAGGTTGCTGCGTGTATAACTATTCTACGAGCCCGATATTGCGGGAGTGTGACGACCTTGCGGTCGCCGTATCCTTGCTCCTAGTACCTAGGTCGAGCGCTAATCGTTGTGAACGGTCTATATAACATAGGTAGGTAGGTAGAACAAACAGCATCCCGACATAGGCTACGGAAATAAGTAAGGAGATATCGATGAGCTCGTCCAATACCATTAGAAAATATTTAGATGGCGAAGACTCGAGAAATGTCGGATATGGTTCACTTAACACTGTATCTACTTGTTGAGAATAGTTGAAAGATAGTCGACGGGCGGCGTCCAAAAGTTAATAATGAATTATGTATAGACCTTAAAACCATGGCATTTCTTAGTGTAAAGATAACCCTTTGGCCTCCTGACTTAATTAATCCATAACTATGCTATTCGTAGGTGTTGGACCGGAGGGAGTTGGCGAGGCGGGAGCGCTACGGCAGCACTTGGGCAACCCCGGTCACTTGTTCCATCGATAAGGCTTGGGAAGACCCAAGCTCCGTACATGCTTCGTAGTACTACGTACAGCTGCCCACCTTTCATAATACACTCCAGGCTTGCTCTTTCACAGCATAGCTTAGCTGGAGCTAAGTACACCATCATCATGTCTCTAGACCCCCCTACTTATCTCTCATCGCTTCAAAACAACATCCGCGCGCGCCCGATTCCCTGGGATGGTGCGGTACGGGCTGGAACCATCAGCGAGGATCAATTGAGCAAGATCCGAGCTGTAGACAAGGTCAGGAAGGAGCAGAGGAAAGAGATTATTGAGGACGATCTGGAGGGCTACTGCACGCTTTTTGTAGGTGCACCTGGAAAGCCCAGCGTCTTCGAGTCTGCTGCGAAGGGGGCGCATGTTGTGCAATACGTCCTAGTTTTGCTAGGAGATCTACTCGATGGTACGTATAGACACGCTTCGACTCAATGACGCAGAACTAACAGACATCCCACAGGCATTCCAGCCCTCCTGACAGCTATTTTGGAGCATCCCGATCCTTACAAGCCTTTCCTACCAATACTCGCACAATCGAACGACCCCGAGAGTCCTATACCCCTTCTTACTTCGACTGTCCTTGCAAAGTTACTGGGAGGAGCTCCAGATTTGACCGACGAAGGGTCGTCAGCACTACGCAAGCTATTCTCATACCTGTCTACCTTGACCAAGACGACAGATGGGGGTTTGCAGGATATTGCAGTGTTACAGTACTCTGGCTTATTGCGCGGCAAGAAATCGAGGCAGCTGTTTTGGGAACATAGGAGCGAGACCGTAGCACCGCTTATTGATATTTTGCGAGCTGCGGTAGGTATCGATTCAGCCAACGATTCAGCATCACTCTGGAGTGGTGCTACCGTCGGTCGGACCAATGTTGAAGGGACTCTTGGCGGGGGTGTTGGTCTCCAATTACTCTATCACGCCCTCTTGGTTCTGTGGCAGCTCAGCTTTGAGGGCGAAACTGTCGGGGAGGGCCTAGAAGAGTAAGTCTATCCTGAAGCTGCTAGTGAGATGAGTGCTAACCGACCCCCTAGTGAGTATGATATTATTCCTCTATATACGCAGCTTCTTCGACTGTCACCTAAGGAGAAAACTACCCGACTTTTAATATCATCTCTGTATAACCTGCTTTCCACAAACATGCAGACGCTGTTGCCCACTGCTGGGCTAGCCCGTCTTCCGGCATTGCTACAGAACATCACCGGCCGACATCTTACAGATCCTGATCTTATAGAGGATCTCCAGAATCTCAGTGAGATGCTTGAAGAATATAAGAAAACCCAAACAACATTTGATGAGTATGCTGCCGAGGTCAACTCGGGACACTTGCGTTGGTCGCCACCACATCGAAGCCCAACGTTCTGGGCCGAAAATGCTCGCCGAATCCTCGAGCATGACAAGGGCGAATTGCCAAAGAAGCTTGCAGAAATCATGAGCAAGCCTTGGGATAATGACAAGCAAGTCCTTGCTATTTCATGTAATGATATAGGAAACTTGGTCAGGGAGGTTCCCGAGAAAAGGTATCAACTGGAGAGGCTTGGGTTGAAGTCTAGAGTCATGGAGTTGATGTCCGAGAAAGAGGAGTCTGTGAGATGGGAGAGCTTGAATGCTTTGTCTGGGTGGTTGAGATACAGTTTTGAGACAAAGTAAGGAGTGGTGGGGTTACTACCATGTTGTTTTCAAGCTCTAGGTGTATTATCATGGTCTATAAGGAGCCCGGATCGGCACTTGTAGCTTTACATTCCCAGATGTTTTTGTGCTATGCATACTTGTAAGCGACATGTTGCCGTTGAAATGTATGGTGTTAGAATAGAGTAAGGATAATAGTTTGGAAACTATAGTTAGTTAAAGCCATACGGCATCTACAGATATCAAGACGCGCAAGATAGGTGCCTTAGATAAGATATATTTCCGCTTGAACCCGAGCTGGTCGGGTCCGATGCTACGGCCCCGCATGCCAATCGGAAGCTGGCTCACGAGCCACAGCCGAGATCGCCATTAAAACCGTCACCATTTGGTCTCACAAACAAAGATACAAATATACACCTAACACCTCATCTCGAGCCAATTGCCCAAGATGAAGCGTCTCAGAGCTGTGCAAGGTGTCAATGCATCGATCCGATCTTCCAAAATAGCCCCACGAAGCTGCCGTCAGATCTCAACGGCTCTTCATCAGAAACGCGCCAGTAACCCCTCACCGCATCCATTTGTCCCACTCTCCACATCAGCTTTGCCCCGATCCAAAGTCACTTCTAGAATATCTACGCTCCCAATTGCTCGCCAAGCCTCTTCCACTTCCTCTTCCTCGGCCGACATTCTCCAGAAAACCCCCCTCTACGACCTCAATCTCGCCCATGGCGCAAAGATGGTGCCATTCGGTGGCTACCACATGCCCGTCCAATACTCCTCCCTGAGCGTTGTCGACTCCCACAATTTCACACGCAGCCACGCCTCGCTCTTCGATGTAAGCCATATGGTGCAACACCGCTTCTCTGGACCTGGCGTGACGGCCTTCCTCGAGAGAATCACACCGTCTTCGCCTTCCGAACTGGCCCCGCATCATAGTGGATTGAGCACGATGCTCTGGCCTATTACTGGCGGTATTGTTGATGATACAATAATTACGCGGTTGGGCCCGGAATTATTCTATTTGGTTACGAATGCCGGATGTAGGGAGAAGGATATGAAGTACTTTGAAGATGAGTTGAAGCAGTTTTCCAATGACGGAGGAAAGGAGGTTAAGTGGGAGGTATTGAAGGATTGGGGTTTGGTTGCTCTGCAAGGCCCGCTGAGCGAGGAGATTTTAGAGGGGGTTTTGGCTGATCCCCAGGAAATAAAGTTGAAGGAGCTATACTTTGGGCAGTCCAAATATATGAAACTGAAGTTGCCAGGGTCGAACATCTCGAGCCCTTGTTTGGTCAGTCGAGGTGGGTATACCGGCGAAGATGGTTTTGAGATCTCCATTCCGCCTGCCGAGGCGGTGGCTGTTACGGAATCTCTGTTGCAGAGTGCGACGCCCGAGAAGCTGCAATTGGCCGGGCTTGCAGCCAGGGATAGTTTGAGACTCGAGGCGGGAATGGCTCTATATGGGCATGATATTGATGATTCTACTACGCCTGTAGAAGCAACTCTCGGTTGGGTCATCGGGAAGAATAGGAGAGCTTCTGGAGGATTTCATGGGGACGACCTCATTTTGAAGCAGCTATTGCCCAAGAAAGAAGGCGGAATAGGGGTTCGCAGGCGCCGAGGGGGCCTGATAGTTCAGGGACCGCCTGCTAGAGAAGGTGCGGAGATTGTGGATAGCGAGGGTAACAACATTGGAGTTGTCACAAGTGGTTGCCCTAGTCCGACCTTGGGGAAGAATATCGCTATGGGGTACCTCAAAACTGGATTCCATCGGTTGGGGACGGAAGTAGAGGTTATTGTCAGAGGCAAGAAACGTCCGGCCAAGGTTACGAAAATGACATTCGTGCCGACTAAGTACCACAAGGGTCCAGCATAGATTTTTATCCAGAGAAGAGAAGCACAACATCTCCATATTTCACCCAATAATAAGATTAAGTGGTGAAAAGAATACAGGTTTATCAAGAACCTAGCACTCCGGTTTCGAGTTTATTCATCTCTCTCTCCATTTGATCTCCTAGCTCATCAAATAGCTACTCATATACCGTGATTTCATACTCACGGCCACCCAAGGAGACCAATAGTCAGTTGTGGGGAAGACACTAATTCTTCCTTCTGAGCCTTCAGCTCATCCACATCCCAGTTAGCCCACATATACTTGTTCCTCAAGAACTCTGCCTCCGGACTAGCAGCCCAAACCATAAAGGAGGCCGGCAACTCAACTATCTCAACCATCAGCGAAAACCGCCAATCACAGAAGTGAGTTGACCAAGCAAAAGAAGGATTCAAGCAAAAATAAACTCACTATCATCAAACGGAAGCTCCAACCCAGCATCCTTAGCCCTCTTCGCCATGCCCGTGTCAATGGCCCCGGGATGTACATTCATAACCCTCACACCCGGATTCTCTGCGGCGAAATACTCCACCAACTTCACCACCGCTGCCTTGCTCACCACATACGCACTCAATGGCACGGGCAAAGCTGGGATATGAACACCCGCAGCACTGACGTTAATCAACACCGGCTTCTTCGCAGCGTTGGCTAGGAAAGCTTGGGCGAGGATGAGATTCCCCTTCACGTTTACCTCCATCCCATGGAACCACTCGTCCACATCTGCGGTGCTTATGGATGAGCCACTGGGCATGTGCCCTGCGTTACTGACCACAATATCGATTGGACCCAAGATGATCTTCACTTCATCAAATGCTGCATGGACGGCGGTGCGGTCTACGATATCGGCTACGAGGGCCATGACCTTTGCACCTGGGTGCTGGGCTTCGATGGACTCCTTCGTGGAGATCAGGGAGGTCTCGGTACGACCTAGTATGGCGATGGATGTTGAGCCCGAGGCTGCAAACGCGTGGGCGATCCGAGATCCTATATGATTTGGTTAGTTCAATGTTGTATCTCATCATGCATTAACTTTAGAATATAAGAGCACTTACCAATTCCCGATCCCCCTCCTGTGATGAGGATTACCTTTCCGGCCGTGGAGAGTTCTTTCCGGGTTGGCGAGATGGAAGGGTATGTTGTGGTATGGAAGGTCTTGGTGTAGGTTGGGAAGGCCATTTTGAATTGAGTGTTGAGAAGTGTTTTTGGACCTAGCTTGCAGACAATAAAATAGTGGTTTTGGATTTGAGTGCTTGATTGCTTGACTGATGATCGAGATCAAAAATATGCCTTGGTCCAGAGCAGTTTCACGAATTCTTATATACATCTAGATACGAAGTAACATACAAGCCATTTCTAATTCGTAGTGAGCAACTGCAGCGTCCGTTCCGCACTCTGAATACATTACAAATATCGATTCCTACACTATATTATATTATCTACCACTGCTAGTTGGGAGTAGAATGGATCGTATAATATGCGTTGGTCTTCCTCGTGGTCTCGATGCGATTTGTCAGGGCGTGGAGGTATTCCGCGACTGGGGTTTTTGGTTAATCAGCTGGGCAGGGGGGAAGTGAAAAGGGGAGGCTCGTAGTTGTCGGATGAGAAATCAACAAGGCTCTTCACGGGGCTCTTCCGATTCTAGTTTCCGCGATTAACAATGTCCGTAGTTACTTCAGTGTTCCGTGGCTGGATTTCAAAATTATATTTCATGAACGGAAAGTCTTGAGGACACGAAAAGACCTGCGTTCAATTACTCGTCATAGTAATCTATCCCAACAAGAAACTAATACGGATTTCAGAAATTTCCGTACAGTAAGTCCAAACCATTCCGTGCGTAAATCAAATATCCAAAGACTCCACCCAATGCATGTAACCAAGGTATATACCAAGTACGCTATAAACAAAAAGCCTACCCGGCGATTGTTAACACATAAGAAGTAATAGTACTCATCCTCTCACTCGTAAGCTTCAAAGATATCCTCAACAGTTCTTGCGCAACATCCGGTTCCGCCTTTTGTAACTTCTCCCAATTCTCTCGATCCATAAGCCAAGCGATGGCATCACGCTCTGCTTGGACAGTGGCAGTACGCGCGGTCTCCGAGAAGAATGGCAGCTCTCCACATGTAGTTCCTGCAACGATACTCTCGAAATAGCGGCCTTGCGGTAACTCGTAATCAGCCCGGAGGATACCAGTCTCAAGGAGGTAGAAGCCATCAGCTTGCTCGCCACAGTGGTAGATGATTGTGCCTGCAAGGTACTCCTTCCTTGTGAAGTAAGGCACAGCTCGAAACCAGAAATCCTCATTCTGGCTAGTAAGGCCCTGGAAACTTTGTAGGATAAGTCGGAGCGGTTCTTTGAAACTTGCATATCGAGATTCTCCTGGAATCTCGGCCAGCGTTGAGATGGCCGCATTCTGAAGATGGTTGCGGCGTGGTGAACTAAACTGAGCGTCTATGGAGTGATGAACTTGTTGATCCTGGCCAGGGACATCGAGATAGGTGGGTGCGTTTCGCAGGGTACGGGCTTCCTTGCTCATATAAAGTGTTTTCAACAACTGATTCTCGCAGAACTCGAGAGCAGAGTTAAGCTCGGCGAATAATTTGACCTCATTTCCATCCTGCCCAAGCCCAACAGCAAACAAAGATGAGCTTAATGGCCCACCGGAGACCACACCAGTTATAACTAGTGTGACTCCTTTCTTGCTAAATATTCTGTTCACCCGATTAAACGCCTCCGCGGCCGAGTAGTCAATTCCGGTAACGTGGTACAGATCGAGGACCAAAAATCGGATAGGTCGGGCATGAAAAGCCTCGTCATCAATCAATGCACGAAGGCGCTCCTCAACGCTAACAATCGTGCCGAAAAATAGATAACCCACTAACTTCGTGATATGGATCTGTTGCCCAGCTTTGCGAAGGTAGCCGTGCTGTGTAGGGTTCCTCCGAACGGTTGAGCCGGCAATTTCACCAGAATGCGATGCCCTAATAGCTGGGACCCTGGAGGTAAAGACCACGAGCGACAAGAAGGCAAGACCGATTCCGATGAAAATCCCAGTTACAAAATCGTAGATGCCCATGACTAGTACGATTGTGACCACCTAAGTAGCGTTAGTCATGGTATAAATAATGGGCGAGCTGTTGTTTTGAAAGTGCTTACAGTAAGGTATTCTAGCAGGTTCAGCTTCTTCCTCGGCTCCCATACAGCTTCAAGGAATAGCTCAAACCCAAGCACAAATATTAGTACGCCCACCATCATTACCGGAATATACCCGATGGTAGCTGGGCCTATAACGAGAACCCCGCCAGTGAAGACAGCAAGCATGACTCCGGCGACCCGACTATCACCGCCGCTCCGATAGAAAAGCACGCTATTGGCATATACTAGATAGTTCTGTATACTGCCAGCAAAACCTGAGAGGGCATTAGATAAACCATGCGCAATAAGCTCTCTGTCTAGACTCAGGTTATCTTCACCGATGCTAAAAGCGAGTGAGGGAACATTGATCGGAACGTGTAAGATGCCGAAGAAAGTGAGTGCAAACATTGCCGGTATGGTGTCTGCTATGGCTCCCCAATGCACTATCTTGAAATCTAGTATTGTGAGCCAGTTTCCAAAAGCAACATGGGAGAATAAGGCTTACCATATAATGTATAAAAGTACCACCATGGCTCTCCGGCTTCTGGCCCCTCAAAAACCCATCCATCCCGCGTTAACTTGTTTAGATCCAGTTCATCAAGTGATAAAGCAAAGAAATAGAAGATTGCGGGAATCGTCAATATATAAACCGGCAATAAGTATCGGTTCTTGATCGTTCGTTGCAACCTGTAAAGAATTACCGCAAGGATGAACGGAATGCTCCACAAGGCAACAGTATCCCCCTCGAACAGCTTGCGCAAAGTATCAAAGTTGTAGTCCAGGTTACCGTCTAAGCGGGCAGAAACCTCGAAGCCTGTTGCGATTAAGAACCAACCGACGCCGCCGATACAACCAGTCAAGATATGTCTCGGAATGAAGCCGACAATATATCCACACTTAAAAATCCCCATGAGGAAGAAGACAATTCCGGTTAGGATAGAGCTAATGGCATATGATGTAATTGTGGTTGCAATGACAGCCTTCGGATTGTCCTCTCCAACCTTCTCCATAATAGTAAAAGCCATCTTATGGAAGAATGGCACAACCTCGATCTGCACTTTGGTTAGCGGCGCACAGCATTGTAGTCAACAAGACACCAACCATTTCGGAGCCGATACCACCAGTAAAGCGACTCCCGCCACAAGAATATACCAATTGAGATATAATGCAGCTGATGTAAAACATGGAGATGCCCGCGGAGCCAAGCTTCTCAAAAATAGGTTGTCCTAGCGGGAAGAGAATCATCCCTACACACACGAAGAATCAGTTTCGAGGAATTTGTTATGTGTTATTGCTTTGTTACAACCAGGAGCGAGAATTTCCTGTCTTCGGGAGTCCGCAAAGTACATACCATATGATAAAGCGTCAAGAATATTGAGCAAAAGGCCCAGAATAACCGCTGGGAGATATCCAACCGGTGCAACCACAGCATTTTGCCAGATAACCCTCCTTTCCCAATGCCTAGGGTTAAGAACGTTCCAAGCACTTTTGATATGTGTTTCCAAAGGTATCCGGACAGAGTCTCGTAACTTTGCCTTGTATGTCCTTGTGATCTCTTGTCTTTCAAGATCACGTTCAGTTGGTATCTGATCGTGATTACTGGAATCATGATGCCTTTCTAGTAGTGGTGTCCGTTCATCTTCTTGAATGCTACCTGGTTTTACCGCTAGATTCCCCTGTTCCAAGTTGCCGTCGAGACCTATTATACTGCATATTTTATTTGAGCGCAGTTGATCCTCATTTGACCCTGACGTACTCGGCGGGGAGCGCCTTAACATATCCGTGAGAGCAGAGGTGCCTGGGCGTCCGTCTGCTGGGGTGCTCTCTTCCGGCGATATGGGCTCTGGAACTTCCTCGATGGTGTTCTGGCGGGATAACTCCGTGTCAGAATCGCCGGGAAAATAGGATTCGAGATGTGTTTGGATGGGGCGCCGAGGTTGAGGAGAGCCATTGTGAACAGAGCCTCTATCAGAGAGACCGTAGGATGCGAGTTCTGCAGTGTCCTCTCGAACGCTTAGGGCCAATTGTGCACTATCAATGGGAACTGTTGTAACATTAGCCATTGCACATTTGTTAAATATGCTGGTTGCAAGAGCTTATTTACCTGAAGCGCCCCGATAAGAGAGATGTATCGACGAGCGGGTCGGCTCTCTATAGCTATTTGGGGTCACTGGATTTGGTGCTGGCCGCTGGGATTCGTGATGGTCGTTAAAGGATCCATAACGTATACTAGAGGATGCATTGTCCAAGGCGCTGTGGGAGTCTGGGGAGCCAGTCATGGGAGGTGCGCTTGAACGAGAAGCAGAAGATGCTGCTCGCCCTCTCCGAGTTGATCCCCAACCGTGAGAAGGGAGCGACATGGTGACCGGTGGTGCTGCCCGTTGGCGATGATGCCCTTCTCCAACAACAATTGGCAGTAGGAGCTCGCTGCTTCACTTTCTCCTGGCTTGCTGGCCTGCCGCACCAGCACCTCTCTCAAGCAAGAAACCTCCTAATGAAACAGCAGCATTCAATACCTCCGTAAGGACCAACTGCCAAAACGCAGATAAAATAATCGCGAACAACGATGGACCAGGACCGCAGTAGGAGAAGAGAGAACCCCGATGCCGCTAAGAACCCTGGAGCCTTGCTGCTGCTACTCGTACTGAGCCTGGCTAACCCGAAAAGCCGATAGCTCGAGATAAGGTGCCTAGGTAGGCCTTGCTAGTGGCGCACACGGTGTTGCTGCTAATAATAAGCGCTGTTCTCGTATGAACATGAACACCGCAGGACAAATTGAAAAGTCCCATTGGGAATGAGACGTCGATGCTTAACAGAGAGAGATGGTAGCCCCATCTTGCTTTTGTAGAGTAAGTTGGCAGTGCTCGAAGCAAGTCTTTTTGCCTCCAAGACGTGTTACTGTACGCAGCGCAGTTGTGCAACACAACGTGCAGCCTACAGTACTGCACAGCGTATCTGCTGCCGCCCCGCCACCAGCTGTCGGCATTTGCTACCCCGCCAAGGGAGCTACCTACCCAGTAGGTTCATATGGGCCACTCAAAGCTGTATTGCGAAGTAAGTCTGTGCAAGACCAATTATTACTTGCTTAAGGAATCGAATATAACATAAATCATTATATAGTACGAATACAAAGTAAACAAAGTAAACAACATCTCTATCCTACTTCGTACAAGGCCAATAGCCCATAGCGCAATTCTTCCGCGACCTGATAAGCACTACGAATTGCGTAAAAGCTTGGGAGACGCCGCCCCCCCACACTGCCCAACCCACAACGGTCTCGACTTCAGCGATAACAAGCCACCTTTGCAGGGTTCACACACGCAAATTCCGCATGTTATTACGCATATTATTTCGTACTCTGCCTAGTAGGTATTATCAGATTGCCATGAAGCACGGAGTATACTCCATATAACACGATACATTGCAGATTGCGACCTGCTTCCTATGCAGTACCACTCCAGCACCATAGCTCCTATAATACCCGGCACTGCACTACACTATGCAATGGACCGCCAGAAAGGCCTCTGGAGCGCGCCATGCAGCTTTGTTTGCTCTAGCATGTGGAAGCGGTTTCTGATAGTCACCTGGTTCTTGCAGAGAAGTCGTCATCAAGAACGTAGTCCCTCTTAACCCTCCTCCAGCACAACCTGCAATGCACGGCACAATGTAATCATTGTAATGTGCTCTCCATGCAGGGCGTGAGGTTCGCCCATTGCGAATCGGGGGCCCTCCAATTCCTTGCTCCTAGCCAGACCTTCCGCAATTTAATTCCAGGAGTAGATCCTTTGTATCTCCAAAGGCCCTCAACGGCAGCTGCTCGTCTCGAGCAGCTGATGGGGTGCTATTACGTGCTGGATGGTGATACATCCTTAGGAAGGCCACGCGTTCGTCCTTTGAAGTTATGGCTGCATTGCCATATCTGCTTCAGATATGAGCTCCCGAGATCGCTCGTACTTGCTGCTTGTCTGCTGCTTCTCAGCTAAGCTTCTGCAAATATCCCTGCGCAATAAGACGTTCGACATCTCCCTGGCGCACATAGAATTGGGAATTCATCGTAAGATTTATTGTTCTGGCCCTCCGGTTAGCCCCATAAGTAACCCAATATACCATGGCAGACTGACCCATATTCTGTTTGTATCTCGCCCGCATCTTTCAGGACTCGAACGTCGATGAACAAATCGCGCGGGGGTTCCAAGCTTCCAGTCAAATCTATATCGGTCCACTGGCCTTTATACGCAGCTAGCAGATCACTATACTGCCTCACATATTCCACCTCTTCCGGGCTTAGGCTGCTGCTATTGCCCTCTCCGCTCCCTAAATCAGGCCCAGCGCCCTGTCCGTCCAGAGCCCTCTCTGGTTGTGCGGCAAGGTCGATAATATCACTACCATTCCACACCATTTCCTCCAACTTGTCAGTACGCGTGCGGTGGTATGCGAGAAGACATCGCTTGTTCCGGCGCATACAGAGGTGGTCGACGAGCAGGGTGCAGGCCGTTGCGGGATCGGCAGATGGGTCGAATGAGCCACCAAAGGACTGGAGAACATTTGATACGTCCTTGTCCAGCTCTCGAACTTCTCGAGTCACGGCGCGTACGGTTTCGGTCTGATATGCCGGGAGATGCTCCAGCTTTTGAGTCCGCTTGGCATGTTGGACCTGCAGCAAATGGTTAATATGACAGACGAGAAACAATTGGTAGGATTGGGTTATTCTTACAAGCTTGATGCCCAAATCTCCATACATTTGTTTGTATGGAAATCGCGTGAAAGTAAAATCCTTCAGCCTTCAGCCTTGTGGTTTCGTGTTTGTGTTTGTGTTAAAGGCGGCTTCGTGGCGCGCTTGTAATAAATAGCGGGCGGTTTCCTGACGCGACAAGTCCGAACACGGACTGCCGCCAGGAACAGCCGACGACTCTTACCCCTAAAACACTTGAGATTCTGTGCTAGTTCATACTTTTCCCCTTGTCTCAAAGCCTAATATTTGGATCGAACAATGCCTGAAAAATTTATCTCATTGTCCTCCCGACTTTGTTCTTTGCCCACGAGCTGGCCGGTCCCACCACTGACGGAACGGCTACGTGCAGGACAATCGGCCTTGTTTCAAGGTCGGTGTTGGTGATTCGTCCAGCCTCCATTCTTCAGACCCTTAACCACCGATTCGAATTCCTTCTATTTCAATAAACAATCACTCGGTGCCGCTAATAATATTCGCTATTTGCAACTATCGGAAAGAATGACTTCGATATTTACTACGCAACGTCTCAAGACGGAACCGCAATCTAGTAGTCGTCGTTTTATGTCCATTACGCCTACGATCCGGCCAAATTTAAACGCAAAAATGTACCTACATGATAACGATGTCTCTATCACAATTATTTGGGGAAGCCATGGCTAGACGCCACAGTTCAATCCCTGATCACGCAATTATGGACAAGGTACTGAACTCATGAATTTTAAGTTGTGAAACTGAAATTTCCTTACAATACTACATAAAGATGGTTTAAGCCATCTGCTCCCACCGAACGCCATACAAAACGAAATAAGTCAACGGCCAACGCTATTTCTTGCTACTAGATGGTTTAAAAGGTGGTTCCACCTGACCACGACAAAACTTAAACTAAGGAAAGTTGCTCGAATAGCTTCTGGATAAAGAGTGAAACCTACTCAGGGTGATTCCACTTGTCGAATTCCGAGCAATCTTCCAACATGGACCAACCGGCCTCGCGACCTCCGAGGATGTCCATATGTGGATCATTAAGTGGCATTCCGTCCTGATTATGCTCTGGTTCCATATATGGCATGGCTGGATCGACCAGACTGGGATCAGCCACGTCATATCCAACAGTATATTTCTGGCCATATTGGGTGTCGCCCAAATATATGCCATCGATAGTACGACTCCCATAACCACCGTCAATATACAATCCATGTGATGGAGAGAGCAAAGAAGGATCGATTTTCTGTTCCGGTGCCGGAGGCGGGCCTTCGTATTGTCCATACACACTCATCATGTCAAACTCATGGCCTCCAGGAAGCCCGAGAAAGTTCACGTTTTCACCGGGCGACACCGTCGCTGTATGAATTATATCTTCCGCCGCAGCCATGGTTGGGTGTGGTCGACTTGTCATTTGCCAGTACTGACCAGGCGGCAAGTTCGCTTGATATTGTGGAGGTGGCGCTCTTCCTGGGTTGGAAGCATGGAATGACGATATGTTGTAAGGTCGGTAGTTTGGGTCTACTGAACTTTCCCTTGACGAGTATTGGTATGCCGATCTCGTAGTTGGGTATGCGACCGGCATGTCCCTGATTGGAGTTGGGGTTTCTTTCGACCTTTTTGTCCTTCTGCTCGATGCGCTTTGCCAGTCATAATCATCTAGTTCGGACTCCTCCGACATAGATGGCGCCTCAGACGGCTTTCGTTTTGTTCCTTTTCCTACGCCCGGCTTTGTCGGCGAGAACTTATAGCCTGGATGAGCATTCTGGTGGTTTGCCCTCTCAACTCGTGCCCATTCGTTGAACTGCTCCCTCACTTCATCAGGCTCTAGCGGCCAGCTGTCGCCACAGACCTGCGAGACCACCTGATGGTTATTTTGAAGACACCAGTCTTTTGTCCGATTTTGGTATGCTTTCCGGTACAGCATGAAGGAGTTCATTGGACGCTTAACTTTTCCCGGCACCTTCCCTTCTGTCACTTCTCTCCGCCGCTCATCCGCAGACCGGTTGACATAAGCGTCAATATCGACCACAGCTACGTTCTTCCAGTCCTTCGTCAACTCGCTGAGCGGCTTGTCCAGTCTTGGGACCTTCTTCTCTGCTTTGACCTTTTCCTTCTTGGCCTTCTTGGCCTTCGGGGGCTTTTCAATTGTATTTTGGGTTGCAGGCTTTGGCCTAAGAATTTGTTGTCCTCTTTGAATCCCCAGGCCACTCCTTGTACGCAAGACATCAGTTGTGTTCATTGACGGTGGTGACATTGACGACGACGACATTGCCGGTGTGCTGTATCGGTCCTGGCCCCCTATTCCATTATAATCCTGACTATAGCCGTCCTGCGTTTGTGTCAGTTCACACATGGGATAAGGAAGCAAGTATTGGTCACTTACATATTGTACCTCAATTCCCGAGTCATGATATTGGTGTTGGTATGAATACGGGCCATGCTGTCCCCGATACGCGTCGGGCTCCTCCTTCAGGTGTGGCGAGCCATGATCGGATCGCAAGTGGACTCCCTCGTCATGTTGGAAGCGTTCTTGTGGATAACCCATATTTGAATTATGTTGAAGCAAGTGATGTGTGTCCTGTTGAAGATGGTCGCCGCTATTTGATGGCGGCGGAGACTGTGGCATTCTGCGGATTCCTCCGGCAATAATTTGGCGGTTGCGGAAGGTTCCCTGCGATTTACTGTGTCCTGATGAAGGGCCTTGTCTTTATGAAGGCCAAGTGGCACTGTCTAAGGTCCAAGAGGATGCGAAGACTGGTGAAGTGGAATCTGATGTGATAGGGGTTTGTTAATGTTTTGCAGATTTAACAATACGCCAGGCCCTCGCGCGGCACCAGTGAATAGGAACCCCGTGATATTGGTATAAGTATGCCGTATAGATTTTGCCGTTCTATAGCAAACAACGCGTGTTACGCCTTACTGCGTCTGTTGTGCCGCCAAAGAACTTCGTGAGCAAGGCTTTGAAGTTAGTCGGGGGGACGGCTTTCATGAAGGAACAGCAACGTTCTTCTAAAAAGGGGTTCTAGCGAAATTTTTTAGCAAGAGGGAAGACTATCTTACGTGGCGGTGGATGACTTTGTTTTGAGGAAAATGGATCAAGCGCTTGGGGTTTGTCTTGCGGTTGGACAGTAAAGTATCAGAGAGTTTGGGACGAACCTGTTGCGAGTACCCGGACCTGCCCCTTTCCGGTCAAGATGGTGTTCTGGAACTGCTGCAACCAGCGGCTGAGCTATGCGGTTCTAGTGGTCGATGCCCCTGAAGTATGCACTACTGCGGTCTCCTTTGTTGGGGCAACGTGTCGACAGGCTGCTAATGATCCAAAGGTTATATATACAGCTTGAACTCAAAGTAAGATGCCTTTGTTTTGACGTTCTAGAAGAAGAAAGGATCATCTAGTGGTCTTTATGTGTTAAGGTTCGAGGCCTCAAAGGATAAGTGACGGATATGGCGATTTTGACGAGGCGGGGGACCTCTGTTTTCGGCCAACAACTAATTCCGTATAGAACCAATATCACGAGTGCGCCGCACATAATCAGCCTTCAAAAAGTACCTTTGAACCGCCTTTAGCAGATGACACATGGTATTTGTGGGGATGGCCATTCATTGTGTTGTAATTAGGATTTAAAATCTGGGGTAGCTTCACATCAGATCTAGCTCTCCTCGACATTTCACTAGTCCCCGGTATCTTCTCACGGCCCTCTACCAAGGCAATAACGGCGGCCTAAGTTAGCTTGACATGGTAGGCAAGACGCCAGAGCGATGATTTCATTTCGAGGCTGATAAAGACAAACAGCACGACCGCTCCTCATTTGAGACCCAAGGATAGCCTCCCCACCAGTTCACGCATACGCACAGTTCCGCAGCAAGCCAAAGACCACAACCCTGCAGAGCATCTGGCAGTCCTAGGGGCCCGCGAGGAATGCTTCTATTGCTTTAGTGGTCAGCTGCGGCTGTTCTTGAGTCTGGAATGCCGCCACTACCGTATCCGGAGACCTACTCCGTAGCGTCAAAATGTGCAAAGGGCCAATGAAGCAACTCCACGGATATGCGCAGAGGCCCAAAAGCCGAACCAACATGGAGTTTTGACAAAGGCTAACTGCTGGATGAAAACGTGCGATGCTGTGCGTGTGGTGTGGTACCTACATATTGGGCCAATATCTCGGTCCGGCATACAGTAGCGGTGGCACCACACATGGCACTGGCATGGGCCCGGCTGGCCACACATATCCGGACTTCGCGGGTGGCTGCAGCGGCGGAGAGACATTTCATGAAATTAGTCAAGGCTGTTTGAACATCGGTTTCACAAGGCTTAGGCTCTCTGATCGGCGCATGCATATTAAGGCAGCTCCTGCGCTCTCTTCACACAAAGCCAGATGCTGAGAAGCTGTTCAGAGATGGGCTCTTGATATTGCCGTCTCTCTTGCCTCCTAGACTCTGGTTTCTCAACAGCCAAAAGCTTTCACGACATGGCCGGCCGGCCTGGCCGTTGGCTTCCCATGCCATTACCATGGCCCTTTATCCCGCAACTGTCTCGTTGGCTAATTTATGGTTCGCTGAGGCAGCTGCCCCAATCTGAACTGCGCTCTCCTCCACCAATGCCCTCCGCTATTCGAGGTCTCTGCAAGCCACACACGGTTCACTAGCACATTTCCCGTTGCTGCCGATTAACGAGTAAAGAGCATCTGGTGTCCTGATCGCAAGACCATGCGGAGAAAGCCATGCGGATAGCTTAGTGGCGGATGGTTTTGTGGGCCCTTCACATGTTACGTAGGTACTTTCTATACGTGGTGACTTCGTAACAGATCTTCACGGATGGCTATCTATCTGTATTATGCGTGGATGCGTTTTATTGGAGGCTGTTGCAAGCCTCCTGCTGCGGCGGTATATGCCGTTTTTATGCTTTGTTTGCGGAAGAGCACTTGACAGTAGCATTATAGGTTTTATGTAAGAAGTTGCCTAAGGGGTTAAGCGCGAGCTTGCTCTTTTTATCTACCTGTGCGATTTGAATCGAACTCGTAATTGGAGGTAATAGTAGACCCCTTGGCGGATGAGATTCTAGACATCTGTAGAATGTATTGCCCTGTTTTTCTTCATTCTGGCTTCAGAGGAGAGAGCATATAAATACATACCCGTCGAATATGCTTTTTGGTAAAGAGACAGCGATAGAAGAGCAAACATCCTATCAGTAACGTCCGTCCCTGGGTCGAGAGACGCACCCTGTTACGAGACAAACTATTGGTACTTTAGATTTAAGCGGCTCTGATTCTGTGAATATATCAAAATTTCTCGTAGTTTTATATTAGTTATGTTGTGTGTCTCCTCCCGAACACTGCTAGCCCGTTTACTCTGAAAATTACGATTGTGTCGTCGCCGCTCCCATGATTTGCGAAGAGCTTCTTTTTATAGTATAATAGAACCCCTCGACCCAGAGCACCACTGTTCGCCTACCAAACTCATAGAACGGTTGGATCTGGATTTCCAAGTCTCGCCACGATGCTAAAAAGTTATTGTCAGCCCTGTGGTGGACAGGGAGTGCTGTGTCATGCGACGTCGCCACATAGGTTTGGTACCTCCAATTAAGCGATCAAGGATTCTGGTCACTTGGTAATAATGGAGATAGTGGTTACAGTAATTACAGCACGTGCAGAGTATTTTATCTTATAGGTTATCTTTGTACATATAAGCTTTAACTCTTGCGTGAACTTAAAGAATGAAAGTCTACCCGACGAATGTCCTAAAACGGCATATTCTTTTCAAACAGCTTCACAATCCGCTCGATATTCAGGTGGTAGCCAGAGAAGTTTCGTAGTACCTTCTGCTACCCACTCATTCGATACATGTAAAGCTGGTAGTAGTTTGCCGTCCGGTGAAAAGGCTACTGAACTGACCGAAGGAGAGTTGTCCTCGAGTGTTTGGAGTGGTGCTCCCGTGGCAGCGTCCCAAAGTCGTATCGTCCCGTCTACTGATCCAGATACGACCTGCTTGCCGTCGGGTGAGACGGCAACCGAGCTGACCGAGGATGAGTGCCCCTCGAGCGTCTTGTCGTGAAATTCAGATACGACTTGCTTGCCATCGGGGGAGAAAGCTACTAATGGGACTTGGATCCCAAGTTCATAAACGTTACCCAAGTTATATGATATTTATATCTATTTATCGATAAATCCTTTTAGCCAAAGATCTCAAAGTCCAGCGACTTCTTATCTTCCGTTCAATCCGATACTCAGGTTGTAAAGTTGAATAAAGATCAAGATTTAGAGGATTAGCTAAGTTAGTAAGATAGAACTCAAGATTATCTATTGACAAGAGAGTGTCAGGGTGCTCGTCCCCAAGTGTTCTCTTCTTTACTTCAAGCGATTTCTCCTCAAGTTCTATAGCTTCTTGTCGTCGGCCGATATCGTAATAACTCATCGCAAGATTACTTATTGACAAGAGAGTGTCAGGGTGCTCGTCCCCGAGTATTTTTCTTCTTATTTCAAGTACTTTTTCTTTAAGTTTTATAGCTTCTTGTTGTCGGCCGATATCGTTATAGCTTACTGCAAGATTACTTATTGATAGAAGAGTATCAGGGTGCTCGTCCCCAAATATTCTCTTTCGTACTTCAAGTACTTTCTCTTCAAATTCTATAGCTTCTTGTTGTCGGCCGAAATAACTATAGCTCATTGCAAGATTACTTATTGACCGGAGAGTATCAGGGTGCTCATTCCCGAGTATTCTCTTTCTTATTTCAAGTACTTTCTCTTCAAGTTCTATAGCTTCTTGTTGTCGGCCGAGATTGCTATAGCTCGCTGCAAGATTATTTATTGACCGGAGAGTATCAGGGTGCTCATCCCCGAGTATTCTCTTTCTTATTTCAAGTACTTTCTCTTCAAGTTCTACAGCTTCTTGTTGTCGGCCGAGATCGCTATAGCTCCTTGCAAGATTACTTATTGATAGAAGAGTATCAGGGTGCTCATCCCCAAGTATTCTCTTCCTTATTTCAAGTACTTTCTCCTCAAGTTCTACAGCTTCTTGTCGTCGGCCGAGATCGCTATAGCTCCTTGCAAGATTACTTATTGACAAGAGAATATCAGGGTGCTCGTCCCTAAGCGTTCTCTCCCTTATTTCAAGCACCTTCTCCTCAAGCTCTACAGCCTCCTGTCGTCGGCCGAGATCGCTATAGCTCGCCGCAAGATTGCCCATTGACCGGAGAGTATCAGGGTGCTCGTCCCCGAACGTTCTCTTCCTTACTTCAAGTACTTGCTCCTGAAGCTGGACTGCCTTTTGCCATTGGCCAGTGTCAACCAAAACCCAGATAAATTTGCTAACTGTCTCAAGGCGTTCTTCCTCACTATTACCAATAATAAATAAAGCTTCTGGCGTTAAGAAAGTTATACAAGTTGTAACATGAGATATTAAAGATCTTCGGAAGCTATAATCAGACGTTTTCTGCCTCCAAGATATAGAGTCCGCCAATATTAGAGCTGTTGTAAATGACCACTTTTCCTGTTCTGGTATACCTAGCCTGTCACGAGCCCATGCGTGAACAAGGGGGTGTATTGAGACGTTATTAGTCAACCCATCGACTTGTATCAGAGAGAAAGATGATAGCAAAGCGATAGCTTCTCGGATATGGTATGGATCCCATTCAGAATCATCTTCATAAAACCAGTCGACTTGATATGAGGCTTTCCAGTCCGAACATGGCTTGCGTGTTGTGTTTCCCCAAGCTTGCCTAAAGATTTCTTCGGAAATCCCGTCAAAATGAAAGAAAGAGAACAGCCGAAGCAGTTCGAGCGCATGACTCGCAACCTCATTGCCCATTCCTTCGATCATATTGACAGAGACTTCCCAAGTTGTGTAGACTGTATACTTGTAATCAGAGCTAGCTTGAGTAGGCGCGCGGCTTAACAGCTCTTGCCGGCGACGTCGATATGTATCACAGTAGTCTTCCAACCGACATAGCTTTTGCCTGATAACAGCCCCTGCTTGGATGATGGCCAAAGAGAGGCTCCCTAAAGTCGTCACAATGCTCCTGGCTGCTAGTCGGGAGGCTTGTGAAGATAGATCGTCCGTTCCAATAGCCTTGAGAAGCAAATCCACGGCCTCTTCAACCCCCATCCCTGCAAATTCGTACGACCCGACCGTTTGGTGAACTTTGCATTCAGGATTGCGTGTAGTTATTAGAATAGTTCCCCGTGAGCCAACAGGAAAGTAGCGAGAGATATCAATGGAGGGATCATCTGCGTTATCAAAGATCAAGAGCCACTGTTGAGGAATATTTGAGAGCCAAGTCCGAATCGATAGTATATCATCTTCGATCTGGCAACTTTGAGCGATCTTTGAGAATCCTTGCTCGATTGTTTGATCGTTGCTACTGTCGATCCAGAACACACCCCAGAAACTGAATGTTATTAGTTAATACGAATTATCAAGTGTTGTGAAAATACCTCTCCCGGTTGTCTTGGGCAAATTTCAACGACACTTGTGTTTTTCCAGAGCCTCCTAAGCCGTACAAGACAAATACGCGTTTCATTTTGAAGGGTCCTGATGATAGACAGCTCTCCTGCAGCATTTTACACACGTCGTACCGCCCAGTGAATACCGCACTGACATTATGTGGGATCAAGTAATGTTTATTGCAGGGATCTATAAGATTATTTTAATAACCAGTAATATCGCGCCTAATAGCTATTATCACGTACCACTAATACTTTGCTTTACATCGCCCTTTGCCCGAAGAATCCTCCGTATTCTTTTGAATAATTTCTCATAATCTCCGTCATCACGTCCTGAAAACTTGCACATGTCTCGATGGTTCGCATCAACGGGTATCTGGTCTTCTCTAGCAACTTCTAGCAATGCCGACTGCTTCTCAACACTCTTAAAATGGCAGTAGTTAGCTTTGTAAATATAATGGATTGTCGGTAAGGTCCTTCCTTACCTCCTTTTTGAATATCCCTAGAGGCTTTCTCTCGTAAAAGCTGACGATCTCATACTGCGGCAACTGATGTCTGAAATCCGACGTAAGTCGAGCCAGTGTATCGCTGTTGGTCTCCAAGGCGCTGAGAAGTTTCGAGTTTGGCTTGCGCATCACGGTTGAAGCGACATTTGTGAGAATTTTCCCGTACGCCGCTTTGTCACTACCGTGATGTGGCGTTCCAAAGAAGATGATCCCAGTAGTATGTTCGCAGATAGGAGAGTATTGAGATTCGATCCGAGCCGAGACGAGAGCCTAGGCCCATTAGTAACATAATTATAAGGGACCAGAGGCATAATTCCAAACCTGCTTCACTACAATACCACCAAGTGAGTGAGCGATAAATATAATGGGTCTCTGATTTTCGTGCTCTTCTTCTCGTTTGTCAATCAGGCTACTAAGCAGATCTTTAGCATGATCCACAATATCTGCGGTTGTATTGCCAAATGCAGCATCGGCATTATACCCAAAAGTCATCACTCGAGCGTCGGGAATGTCGCTTGGGAGGAAATCTTTTGGCCAGAAAGCTTTTGTGTCAGGGTTCGTCCAGGATCCAGTCGCATCTCCGTTGAGGCCATGGACAAAGACAATGCTGCGAAATGAAGGAGTTAGCGGCGGATGGTGCCGGGTATGGTCATACTTACTCGACAGTAAGGGTCAAGGCTACGCTAACTCCAACTCCGTCAGGAGGATAGAGGACGGTTAGGACCATGGTTTTAATAGGCCGCCGTAGCTCGCGAGCACGAATGCACCAGCAGATGATGAATTACTATTGCACGTCGAACTATAGAAATCGTATGTGTCGACAGGCAACGTGGGATTTGTGTCGGGTGGGGTCAAAGCTATCGCCAATGAAACGGCTGTAACTGGGTATTACCAAGATCGGTCGAATACACGATGTCTATCAATACTTCAAGACCAGACTTCTAAGCGTTAGATCGATGTTTTCCAAGCGAGTTTAATTCTACTGTTCGTCGTGGCAGATCATAATCACCAGCCTTGATAATGGTGGTCGTCAGCTCTTGCTTCGCGCGCTAAACGCACAGACCGGTGATCGGCAAATTCAGGAAGAACTTGCGGACTACTCCGTACCGCTGACCAGCCCCGTAAAGAGCATGATGAGCTAACGTGACCAACGAGAGCTTCGGCTTCTTGCTCTGGGTCCATGATCTAATAACAGTAGACGTCTAGTTATCCTTTGCCCGGCCATTGCTTCCAACACGCAAAAGTCATCAATGGCGCAAGAGCCCAGCTCCGTACAAATGAGGGGAGCCTCAAAACTAACACTCTATAGGTCGACAGAACCCGCCTATCCCCCGCCAGTTTTTGACAAATGCGCCCTTCAATTCAATTCATTGGACCGCTAGCGCCGATTCTTCCCTGGCCCACGGTTCGAATTCTAAATTGATTGGGACAAGGCACGGTATGATTTAGGCCGCCAGGAGGCACGCCTAGTGGCAGTACTTGACTGGCTCTGTCCATATTATCCTACCGTCGCGATCGTGATGTGGAAGGAGACGAGATACAGTGCTCCAGTGCCCAGGCACCAGCGTGCTGCCGCGCACCTGCCTATGTAAAGTTGGAGAAACCTGCTCTTACGCTACACGCGTGACATTTTACGCCACACATATGACCAGGCTTGAGAATAGTGGCTGAGTAAAATACAGCGAGCGCGGACTAGAATACAGTATTTTGTAACTGGGCTAATGCACATTAGCAAGTACTAAATCCTGAAGCTAAAACATGTGGCGCTGATGCCCCTCTCCTCGGACGGCGTAACTCCCGGAGAACTATATTATTTTCCTCTCTGAGTGTCTTCAAAACTTGGAGCCATATTCTTTCTTCATGGAACCTTTTCCCAAGTAGTTCGAAATTTGAAGAGACCCTAATAGTCGCGATTAAGCAAGGGGGAGCAGCCGAAGCGGCGATCAGTAGCGTGATTGAAACGATCGATAGCATAATCAACCGTAGTCTTTTTCTTGTTGCTGAGTGGTCTCTTTAGGGAGAAATAGTTAAAGAACAGTGACATATTCATAACAACTTCGTAGACTTGCCAAGATAAAATCATAGATTCGTCTCGTGACAGGGTGCGTCTCTGGACTCAGGGATAGACGTTAGCTTACGCACTTAGATGTATATGCACCTCTACGGAAACTACATCCCAAAGTTCCAAATCACAATGCGCACATTTCGACTTGTAAAATCTATTATTTTTAGTATTGTTGGTAGTAGTATACTATTAGTACATTAATTCATTTCCCTCATGCTGGTTCTATAGCATCAATCCATCCCTATTCTATATGATCACAAGCATCTGTCAATAAGAGTGCCAAACACAAGCAGCAAACGCTTGCTTTTAATTCTCTAGATGCCCCCCACCCCGAATACGCCGTTTTGACAAGGAAAATACAGTGCTCAAGCGACTTTCCTAGTCCTAGCACTTTGGAAAGGGTCTGACTTGACGAATTTCATGATGGGTATAGCCGCCATAACGCCGCGGGGGACCAGATGTATCACCGGCGGGTGGAGATATTCCCTCATCGACAGGTAGATCGTATCTGCCCTAGTCTAAAATTATTGGTGCTCCGTTCGTACATCTTCCAAACAAGCTACTTGGTTGTCTTGGGTATCCATAGAAGTTTCGTTAGGGGGAGGCAGCTTGGCCATTGGGCCTATTTCGGCCAGGTTCTGACGACTTCACAGGTGGAGTGAGATTCTGTGATTGGAAGCTAGGGGACAAAGAGGCAACGGGTGGTAATACGGAAGGTGTTGCAGAGCCTAGGGTCCCATTGGATGTAGTTGGCCTAGGTGGGGAGTGCTTGGTCGGTGACATTCCTGTGATAGCAGGAGGCAGTGGAGAGGTGTGGCTGCCCCCCTGAGTTGCGTCTCCTTGGACTGAGGATGGCGTAAAATGCGGAGATGAGGATACACTAGGCCGCCAAACATGCAGGTTTGGGGTAGCATGCTGGATTGGACTGCTAGGAGGGTTTGAGAGGTTATTGGTGTGGTTGATTGGAGTTAGCATTGGAGCTCCGGAAAAAGGGGATGAGCGAGCGACAGCACCATCACTGGATACAGGCCGCGGTCCGTTTGCAGTATAGTTTTGCAGGACCCCGTGAGGATTACCCGCTGGTGTCGGAGTTCCTTGCATTTTTGAAGGCGTGGCAACGGGTTGGCCTGGTGTGCCAGTGTTATAATTAGTGCCATTGCCGTTAACAAAGGTGTAAACTTGTGGCTGTCCTGGCGGTGGCAGATTGGTTGGACTGTTGGGGTGTGGTGAAGCAAATGCATGCGCACTAGGCGGCCGCGTACTTTCATATGATGGGGAAGCCTTGCCCTGGCCAGGTGCCTGGAGGGGAGAAGGTCCAGAATATTCCGCAGTAGAGGCTCCTTGACTAAGTCGGGCAACAGAAGCTGGCAAGGGAACGCTAGAATTTCCCCGATCAGAGCCTTGAGATAATGCTTGGTGCCCATTGGTTTGAGAAAGCTCAGACTGAGCCGCAGTGTTTTTGAGGGCAGTCTGATGGGCATATTGGGGTGGGACGGTTGGGGTTGGTTGCCATGTGGCCATCCTTGGGGTGCTTTGTTGCATAGAGTGGGTGCCTCCATTGGCCAAAGGAGCAGTGGTAACGACTGGTATGCTATTATCTCTAGGAGGTAGCGGTGACGAGGATGATCCGGGGCGGTTCAGTTTGATCTTGATCGGAGGGTGAGTTTTGGCGCGTTCGGCATCTATTGCACGGCGCTGGCAGGTTTTACAGATGAAATGAAAGTCGTCTCGATCAGCTTCTGCCTGGCTGACTCCCACACACTTGCTGTGCTGCCAGATGTTGCATTTATCGCATGCAATGCTGTGAGTGCCATCATCAATTTGGCCATAAGCGCCACAAATGCAATCGAAGATCCAATCCTCTTCCTCCGCGAGCTCCTCGAGTGCTTGTTTTTTCTTCTCTATTTCGGCCTTGAGATGACGTTCAGATAGGCGGCCTGCTCCCACTTCAAGCTTCTTGCTATCTTCAGAGAGATTCGCAAGCTCCTCTTCGTGTAGGATTCGACGGGCTTCGCGCTCCTTCAGTCGTTGTTCGCGGGTTTGCATACGCGATTCGCGCTCTTTCTCAAGTTTCAACCACTTCTCTTGCTCCTTCTTGGCCAAGGCTAGCTCCGCTTGCCTCTTGCGCTCTGCTTCCCGGGCTCCTTCTTCTTGTTTCTGATGTTCCATCTTGCTTGCAATCCTGCTTGATCTCTTGGCTGTCGCTAGCTTCTCAAGGTTGAGTAATTCGCGCTCCTTCTGAGCAGCCTTGCGTTTACGTGATTCTTCCTGCTTCTCTAACAGAGGTAAGAGCTCTTCAACTAGTCTCGTCCGCAGAGTCTTCTCATTTGGATCACGGGTTTTCTCCAGGGTCGCAATAAATGCGCTGAGCTCATCCAAAGTGATAGCAACACACTCCCAGATCATCCCACCAAAGCCATCGTCCTCCTTCTCGTCATTCGCACGATCGCCAATGGCGCTTTCATCGGCGACTTCGGCTTCACTCTCCACGGCTTCCGAGACCCTGCGACGTTTGCTCGCCCGCACTGCAGCTTTTGCCTTCTTCGAGTTCTTTTTGGGCTTTGCCGTAGGAGGCTTCGGGGGAGGAGGGTCGGTCCGGCGGTAGAGTCTGTTATCATCAAGAGCAAAGTAGCTCCGGTCCTCCGAATCCCATCCGAAGGGTTCTATGCGCTATTCGGCTCATGTTAGCTTAATCATTTGCTGTTCCTCGACAGCAGGCTTACCCAGATGGTCTGTTCACTATCCTTGTGCTCCTCCATTCTTTCGCGGATGCGGTCAGGGTTTACCATTGTCCATTGCGTAAGTTGTTGTAGCACTCGAATCTATGGCAAAAACTGTCAGGAACCATATAAACATCGCGCCGGCAATAATAACCCACCTTTGTGAATATATCGAAATCGTCGAATTTCGCGGGCACTTCTTCGGTCCCGTATAGATTACGATGAGGGGCTTTGGCTACATATTGCCTTCGCGTATATTCGTCGAATAATTCAGGACTATCAAAAATGAGCTTGAGAAGGGGAAAGTTGCAGGGAACCTACGTAAGCCCTCGATGCGACGAGACAAACTTGAGAAGAGCAAGGCCAATCTCGGGCAGCACAGTTGAGTAGGGTTTTATACATTCCATCTCCAGGTCCTAACAGGATAATATTAGCATTGATGCTAGATAACGAGATAATCGGGGGCCAGCTCAGCGCGCACTGGGGGATGTACCTCAATGTCCAGATTCTCGTCTATCTTGAGAGCCCGCCCAAAGATATAGATATACTGCACGACGTTGGCAAACTCCCACATATTCCTAACGCGGTCCAGCAGACTCCTCTCCGCCGGCTTAGACGGCTCGACGGCTTCCATCTCCTGCCGGCCCCGCTTGCGGGAAGACACCATGGTTGTGGACGACCTCGCGCGGCGGATGCGGATGGAGATGAGGGATGGAAGTAGACGTGACGGAGTCGATACCGGTTTGGAGGCAACCAGGAGTTGAGCTGGCTGGCGGTTATTCTAGCAACGGCTGGGCTGGACTGGAGACCCAGCAAGAAACCAAGCGTGTGGATATGCGTGGTAGCAGCAGTGGCGGTGGTGGTGGTGGACTGCAAAATAGTGCGAATAGTTATGAGATTAGAAAAATATCACCCGAACACGACAGAACGCGGTTTCGACGTCAATTCCACAGTTGAGGCACGAGATTGGATTTGGTACGGCGGCCGGAAAACGCAGGCCGGAGGACGGGAACTACCTAGGTACTTGTACGGAGGACGGAGTAGCACCGTTACGTATGGCCGATTGCACGTGACTTCAGCCACTTCATTCCGGGACTGAGGAATGGCATTCAGGGGAAGTTGGTGTTATGGGCTGAGTGAGATACAAGCAGCAGCATACTAGAGAGAGGTAATCTTACATAGTACTGTAGACTGCGTTTCAAGGCCATAGTATCCTTCTCTACCAATTAATCGCTTCTCATTATTGCTCAGGATTTAGAGGGGTAGCTTATGTATTATTTACATCAGTGTGCGAAGGACCTCCGGTATACAATATATAATAATAATAATAATACGAGCAGAGTAAACACCAAGACAGCACCACTCCTGGTACTTCCTAGACGATGACATAAGCAACGACTAATCTCGCAGCCCTTCCCGCCCAGCTGAAGGCGCTAGACCAAACCGGGCCGGCCCCCCCCCTGGCTAGTGTTCTACTGCGTAGTCCGCAACTCTGTCTCGCCTTGTGAAAGCCGACGTTACAGAAGTCAAACGACGACGACAACGCCTCTAAACGGTGCCTCCTATACGCAAATAATATATCCCCGAATCCCTCTTCAAGTCGGCCCACGACTATGCGAAGAATCTGGCCATACTCTCGCTAAATCCAGGCTCCAATGCACCGCGCTCATCAACAACCATGACCAGCACTTGACGAGCCACACGTTCGCCGCGCGCATCCCGCTACAGTGGTCTTGCACCCACCTGATAGCTAGCCCAAGTCGTGGCGTGGATTGGAGAACAACAGACAACAGCGATACACCAATACCTACAGAGACCTTCGGGTCATTGGCATAGGCCACAATGCCTCCTCCGGGCCCGCAGGATTCTGCGAATCCATACCCATCGACCCCTCTTCAATCGATACCACTCCAGAATCTTGGTCGCGGCCAAGATCCCCCGCCAGAGTCGGTAGACGTCGCCCATAGTCGAGGCAGAACTTTGCTGAGTGGCGGATCACGGCCGTTGAGCGGGTATAATAATGGCCCTCGATATGAAAGGTTGGACGAGACCTCCCCAAGTCCGGTTGACAGGACCCCTCGTCGCGCTGGCGCTACTCCTACTCCCCTATCTATAATACCGCAGTCACGGCCGCCCAACGACCCGGAAACCCCGATATCTCCAGTCGGTAATCCTGCGGATTTCCAAGCTGCGATGGGGTTTGCGGGTCTGCTCGTCCCCGACATCAGTGTCTCGCAAGCTCCAAGAACGAATTCCCCCTACGGGTCAGGGGATTTTAGCGGCGCATCCCCATACGGCGACTCTCGCGAGGATCTTTCGGGATATGATCCGGGATACTTTCCACCTGACTCCGATAGTATTCCTCTCACAGATACGAATCATCTTCAGCCTGTGAGTGGAGCGGAAGCCTATGCTGATAGGGGACAAGGACATGATAGATCGGGGAGTTTCCATAGCGTTGATTTTGCCTCGTCCGGGGCAGGGAGACATGCGAGTTATAGGCTTGGAGACGAGCTTGGGCTGGCAGAAAATGGTCTTTCGCGAGGATCTCTCTCTCCAGACAGTCGGAACAGGTCCCGATCGCCGTCGACCACCTCGGGCGCCCTCTCAAGGGCTGGCTCAATGGTAAGGGCAATGTCACAACGTGTTGTGAATCTCAGTGGTGAGGCCGAGCTTATTGAAATGAGTGCTCGTCGGGAGGCGGCTCGGCAATCCAGCATCCCGCCTGTTCCAAGTCTCCCCAGTGAGCCTCAACCCTTTTTTCGATCACAATATGATGAGCCACTGCCTACGGACCCTAAACATCAAAGTGGTGTATCACCAGCACCTGCGGAGAAAGCTATGCGGTTCTTTGGTTCAAATTCGCCAGAACCGTCGCCCAATGATGAACGGAAACTGAATTCCAACCCCCTGAAGGGCAATTCGTTGGGGATTTTTTCTCCTGAGAGCAGAATCCGAAACCGCCTATGTGATATGCTGGTTTGGCCAATTACAGAGCCAGTCATCCTGATTCTCATCATGGTTCAAACTGTCCTCCTAGCCGTTGATTCATCCAAAAATGTTTTCACCAATCCTCGTCCGGAGCGCTGGGGCGGGTCCGCAATTGATCTCGCTATTCTTGCGTTATTTATTATTTTCACTCTCGAGATCATTGTTCGGGTCATTGTGTCTGGATTCGTTATCAACGCCCCAGAGTACAGTACCATAGATCGGAATGGCGGGGTGAAGGCCATGGTTCTGGACAAATATCGGACTTTTTTTACACCTAAACGAGGATTATCCGTTAAGGGGCACCGTGCTTCCCCCTTGGTCACCGCCCCTACCGTTCTTCGTTCTTTCACCGTAATGCAGGGGGAAGATATTAGGACTGTGGAGCAAGCGCAACGTCTCCAGCTGGCCAGACGTGCATTTTTGCGGCATGGCTTCAACAGACTTGATTTTGTGGCTGTTGTAGCGTTCTGGATATCTTTCGTTCTGGGAGTTGCAGGGATGGAGAGTCGCCATCATATATACCTCTTCAAAATGTTGAGTTGCTTGCGGATCCTTCGATTACTGGCCCTCACACATGGAACTGCTGTATGTATTTTCTCAATTCCTAGTTATTCTCGCTAACATGTCGTCTCAGATTATTTTGCGAAGTTTAAAGAAGGCGGCGCCATTGCTTGTCAATGTTGGGTTTCTCATCGGCTTTTTCTGGCTGCTATTCGCAATCATTGGGGTGCAAAGCTTCAAGTCGAGTTTTGATCGTCAATGCGTTTGGATTGACCCTCTAGATCACTCAAATAAGACTGGCTCGGCATACACGCATGAGTTCCAGTTCTGTGGAGGGCAGTTCAACAATGATACAGGAGCCCACGATCCTTGGAAATTGGGGCCCCTCGATGGTACACAAGACGTCGACCGTCTCGAGAACGGAACGACATCTATTAAGGGGTATCTATGCCCCCGAGGATCATACTGCATTCAACTTGAAGGAGACCAGCTTCCTTACAGCGGAACAGTCAGCTTCGACAATATCTTCCAGTCGCTGGAATTGGTTTTCGTGACAATGACCGCGAATACTTACACTGATATTATGTATTACACCACAAATTCGGACTACTTAGCAGCTGCGATCTTTTTTGCCGGTGGTATCATGATAATGATGCTGTGGCTTCTCAATTTGCTTATAGCTGTCATTACTTCTTCCTTCCAGGTAATCAGAGAAGAAGGCAAAGCTAGCGCATTTGCTGCTCATGTCAAGACTCTCCTACCAACCAAGGACCCCGGCTTACCTCGCCGCGTCAGCTCACTCAAACGTTTATTTGATAAGACGCAATGGGTTTGGGTCATCTGTATTGCCTACGACCTCGTGGCTCAATCTATTCGGAGTACGACTATGTCGGCCTCTCGGGGGCGATTGATCGATACCTCAGAGACTGTCGTCACATTTATTCTACTGGTCGAGATTGTTCTCCGGTTTGCTGTCGATTGGCGAGGTTTTGCTCGGGACAAGAAGAACTGGTTTGACCTAGGACTGGCTGTTATTACAACAATCATTCTGATACCGCCGATTCGCAACTCTGGGCAACCCTATGCATGGCTAACCGTTTTTCAACTTCTCAGAGTTTACCGGGTTATCATCGCGGTGCCTGTCACAAGAAAATTGCTTACTCTTGTGCTCGGAAACTCAAGTGGTATTGGCAACCTCATGCTATTTGTCTTTTTGATAACATTTCTCATCTCAATCTTCGCCGTACAATTATTTCGGGGTGAAATTGATCAATTCGACGACGGCGGTGATCCTCACCAGGTTACCTTCGCTACTATATATAACGCCTTCCTCGGAATGTACCAAATTCTATCTAGTGAAAACTGGACCGAGGTGCTTTATAATGTCACCATGTACGGTAACTCTCGACACTCGGGTTGGATTGGTGCAATATTTTTCATCGGATGGTTCATTCTAGCAAACTTCATCTTGGTAAACATGTTCATAGCTGTTATCCAAGAAAATTTCGACGTCTCCGAAGATGAAAAACGCATGCACCAACTCAAAGCATTCCTAAACAGAAAGGAACTCGGCGGTTCGTCCAGCAATCTCTCGCTCTCGGCCGTATTCCGCTTTGGTCGGGCCAGGGCACCTAAAGATCCTTTAGATTATGGTCCGGCCACAATGGAAATGCTCTTGAAGGATGCTGTTGTGAAAGACTTCCTGGATGACGAAATCCGCGCAGCGGACGAATCCTCCCCACACATCAACACTCCACCTGCGCAGGCGCCCGTCGCCAATAACGGGCTTCTTTCCAGTTTGCGGGACAAGTTCGTAAGCCGTGTCTGGAATCGGGAACCGAATCCCTTCTATTCAAATATTCAATTTTCGAGCCGGCCTGATGAACCAACTGACGCAAGAACCTTGGCGAAGGAGGCTGTCTCAGCAACTTCGCAACGAAAGAAGGCACAGCGTGAATTTTTAGCTCGGCATCCAACTTATAATAATGCTCTATTTATCTTGAAGCCTACGAACCCAGTCCGCCGCTTCTGCCAGAGGATCGTGGGCCCTGGGCGTGGAAATGAACGAATTGATGGCGTCGAGCCAAACAAGGTCGTATGGTACACATTTTCTGCATTTATATATGCCGCAATAGTAGCCATGGTTCTACTTGCTTGCGTCACTACTCCCCTTTATCAGAAGGAGTACTTCGATACCCATACATTCAACGTCAAAAATTGGTTTGTGTGGGCTGATATGTCCTTCGCCATTCTATTCACGGCCGAAGCGCTCATCAAAGTCGTTGCAGATGGCTTTTTCTGGACTCCTAATGCTTATTTCCGAAGTTCCTGGGGATTGATTGATGGCATTGTATTGATCACCTTTTGGATCAGCGTCAGTACATCCCTGTTAAACGATGGCGCAGTTTCCAGGGCTGTAGGAGCGTTTAAAGCCCTTCGAGCCTTGAGGTTACTCAACGTTAGTGATAGTGCCCGGGAAACGTTTCATTCCTTGATCATTGTTGGGGGCGCCAAGTTCTTTTCGGTAAGTTCTATCCAATCCCTGCTCTCGAAACTGGCTAACTATTCCATCAGGCTGCCTTTGTGTCCTTATCTCTCCTGATTCCGTTCGCCATATATGGCTTGAACCTTTTTCATGGTCAAATGGTATCTTGCAATGACGGTTCTGACAGCATCTCTGGCCTCGCTGACTGCTTCGGGGAATGGGGATCGACGCCTTATAGCAATGACTGGATACTGATGACACCGAGGGTAGCGTCCAATTCTTATTATAACTTCGACGATTTTGCAAGTTCGCTCTTCATACTTTTCCAGATCGTCTCCCAAGAAGGCTGGGTAGATGTGATGTGGAGTGCCGAATCGATTACGGGTCGGGGACTTCAGCCAAAACCATTTGCCTCGCAAGGCAACGCACTATTTTTCGTCATATTCAACCTCCTCGCAACGGTATTCGTGCTTACCTTATTTATCTCCGTCTTTATGAGAAACTACACGGAACAGACCGGAGTTGCTTTCTTGACGGCAGACCAAAGGTCGTGGTTAGAGCTTAGAAAACTTTTAAAGCAAGTTTCACCTTCCAAGCGGCCTTCTAACAATCTCGATAAGAACTGGAAAGACTGGTGCTACAAACGGGCCGTCAGGAAACATGGTAAATGGCAACGGGCGATAACGGGTGTCCTCGTTCTCCACCTCATCTTATTGTTACTGGAATACAATAATGAACCAGAGTGGTGGGATTTGGCCAGGACGTATATTTTCCTGGGTTTTACGATCTTTTACATAGCAAACGTCGTCGTACGGATCGTAGGACTCAGTTGGGCGAGATTTAGACGAAGTTCATGGGATATATACTCGATCATCTCCATCAGCGGGACACTTGTCACTACAATATTATTCCTGGCCAACCCGGATTCACAGCTCTACATCCGACTCCACAAGACGTTCCTCGTCTCAATCGTCCTTCTTCTAATCCCACGGAATGACGCCCTAGATCAACTTTTCAAGACAGCAGCTGCTAGTCTAACAAACATCGGTAATCTGCTAGCCACATGGTTTATTTTCTTCCTAGTTTTCGCAATCGCCATGACCCAAACCTTTGGCCTCACTCGATTTGGGAGCGCCGAGGATGGTAATATCAACTTCAGGACGGTACCGAAAGCCCTCATCTTGCTCTTCCGCATGAGTACTGGCGAAGGCTGGAATGGAGTCATGGAAGATTATGCCGGTATCGAACCGCCACTTTGTATCTCCGGCCTCGACTTTTTCGAAAGCGATTGCGGAAGTCAGAACTGGGCACGGGGTCTCTTTATTGCTTGGAACATTCTCAGCATGTATATCTTCACCAGTTTATTCGTCTCGCTCATCTACGAAAGCTTCAGTTACGTGTACCAGCATTCCAGTGGACTCGGGAAAGTAAGCAGGGAAGAGCTTCGGCGCTTCAAACAAGCATGGGCGACCTTAGATCCCGAGGGCACGGGATATATCAGTAAGGAGGCATTTCCTCGGCTTTTGGGCGAACTCTCCGGAGTGTTCGAAATGCGCATATATAGCCAAGAAAATTCCGTGCGGAGGATCCTAGAGGATATTCAGTCTGAGCAACCGTCAGGCAGGATATCAGCTATGGCAACCTCGAGCGCATCCAGTGGCGTCGATTTGAAGGCCCTGAACAAGAGACTCAACACTATTAATCCGGAGCAGGTCAGACTGGCGAGGACTCGTTACAATCTCTTCTTTGAGGAAGTCATGGTCTCAGCCGACGCCGACCGCGGGATTTCATTTACCACTGTCTTACTGATCTTGGCCCATTACAACGTGATTAGCGATAATAAGAGTTTGAAGTAAGTTCTTTCCCACACTACTCGTCGGAAATGCTGACTTTGGTTTAGGCTGGAGGAATTCTTACGCCGTAGGGCGCGCCTACAACGAGTAGAGGAAGAAATCCGCCGGCGGATCGTCCTCGGGTTCTTCGATACGATGTAAGATCCCCGAATAGGTGAAATTCAATATGCTAACGACATGCTCGAAGGTACTGGTCAAGAACATTTAGGAGGCATATGGAGAGGAAACGATCAGGCCGTATGACTGACATCCCACAACTGGGACCAGAAGTATTTATAGATGACGAAGAAGAAGTTGTCCCGAAGCCGGGCAAATCACCAGCATCTGAACGATTGTCACCAATGGATATTGTCGATACCCGCAGCTCGTTCATTGCCCACGGCTTGGATGGTGCGCGACGCCATCGCTCAGGGGAGTCGCAGTCGCCCTCCAGCTTTGGCGGGCCGCTGTCACCGGCCTTCCCTTCCCCCAACACTGGGAAGTCGCCGCAGCTATCACCACATCGGCCGACCAATTCAGCCTTCAGTTTCGAGGGAGGAGAGCTGGGCGAAGCGGCCTCGGCAGCTAGTAGTAGGCGCGGCAGCGGAGTTAGCGCAGAGAATGTCCTACAAATCCTTGATAATTCGGCTTGGGGAGAGAGTATTCGGCGAAGTTTTACCATGAAGCGACCACCCAACCGCAGAGACCCGCCTTCATAAAAAACGAATGTATCATTCTAGACTTGGATGATGATAATATTACGAGGGAGATGGTGTGTTGACTTATATTTTCTAGACGGTCAAAAATAGGATGGGTCATTACGCGATGGATTTGGAAGTAGAGGGGCGTTTATGGGTATATTACGGCCTCTTCACGATCATATTTGTTTCGATTACGAGTCAGGTGGGATGTAAATATGTGCGATGGATTGGGGGGGGTGGCTAGCTGGTTTCGCAAATGGGGTGTTTGCGATGTATACTGACTGTTCATCGGTGGGACCGGTATACTGTTGGTTATTTTTTTCAGATTCTCGGCATTTTCCTGGAGTGAAACACTTGGGCTCGATTAGATGGAGGGGTTTTACTTTCTTTTTCTGTTTATTTAACTGTGCATAGCCAAGGAGTTCTTTCTTTCTTCGTCGCTGGTATAAGGATAATGAGGCGAGTTGAAAGTACATAGTAATAACAGAGATCTTATGTTTGAAACAAGTTGATATCTAGGGATCAGGCTCAACGCATGGTGAACTGAATAAAATGGGACTCCTATAAATCTTGGGTATAATGGCTGGAATAGATATCCTGGGAAATAAATCTCCTGGAACGAGCAAGTCGACAGACCTCGCTAGGTAAAAGATACCCAGACCAAATCGAATCCCGCCTCATCCGGAGTAGTTCGTTGATAAAACTCCCAATGTCGCCATATCCGTATAGGGGTAGAACCCACTCTCAGACTGTCAGGTCATGTTCTATGACTCTAGAGGCGGAATAATTTTCTTGACGATGCGACGATTCCACGGGCTAGGCGGTGTCAAACAGTCCAAGCCCCATGTCAGTGTCGCAACCAACAAGGGCCCACTAGCCCAAGCTGGTGATTATCAGCATGAAACCTGTCGCAGGCTTGGGTTCCTCAGGAGCAGCCGTGCCTGTTTGATGCGCAAGCCTCCAGGACAGCATGCCATCCATCATTGCCGTGGGTGGTTTGAGGTGTAGTGCTGCAATATCACTCCGATCAGGTGGTGCAGTGTGGATAGATGGCTCCCTGGCTATCATACCGGACAGCCGGTGGGGCGTGAACGTGCGGGTTATGGGATGGTTTTATCGTGGATGGGAATGTTTCTAAGGGATCGGCTGGAGCTCTTGGATGTTTCGCCTCGGTCACGGAGATCCATTCAACCGTTAACTCGATGTGATGTGTCCGTCTCTCTCTCGTGAAGGAGGGGGCATCATCGTGTTCTTCAGCTCCCATGACCAAGAGCGAGGAGCAGCCCCGAGCTGGTAAATGGCATTGGAAATTGCATTCCAGAGACATATTGAAGGATTCGCATTGATTATTATTGACGATAAAAGTCTGGATTATTGACCAGATGCAGAGAGGGCTTATCAAGGCAGGGAGTTGGAATTAGAACCTCGGAGATCAGGGGCAAGGGAGCACGGGATATCAGCCACTGCTAAGTCCGCGATGCTTCAGAGTTGCCGCAGCAGCACGACGATAATCAATCCTCCAGCTGCGTCTGTACGAAGTACATGTCACTTGTCAACTTGCTCTGGTGCTTGGGAATCCCCCGCATTGCATCTGCATCTGCATCTGACAAACCCACATCTAGCAGGTTGCATCTACAGAGCAGAATGTATATCCTCTGTTTGACCATTTCCTGGTCCTCTCTCCGCGCAGTGCTGTTTCAGTACGGAATCCTCGTCTTCCTCGTCTTCCTCGTCTTCTCGTTGTCCCTTTGCCCCTGCCGGCCTCTCTCCCCACCCCTTTGTAACACCAACCGCATTGACTACAGCCACCGAGGCAAGGTATCATCACCGCAACGCATGAATGTTTGCACCCAGCCCGTATTCTCCGTTCGTCTTTTATTGAATTCTTGCGCTCTTCCCGGGCCCCTTGAAGCCCCTTCTGCTGCCTGACCCTTGCCCCTCTCCTTCTTCCCAAACCTTCTTCTATTTCCAGGGCCGCAGGGGAAAGTCCTAGCGTGGCCCTGGCCATGGCCAGCTTTGATAAGTACTGGTCTTGCGGTCGCCGGGAGGAATAATAGTATTCTTCGTTCTATCGAATCCTTTGAGATCTCCCGTCCACGTTCGGTAATTGCCATTTATCCCCAGTCTAAAGAGACTCGTCACTCGTTCACTCGTTCAGTGCTTTACAATTGCTTCACATACTCAATCCTTCCTAATCCACCGAGGCTGCGCCTTTGATTTTCATCTTCGTACATCACCGGCGCTCACTAGACATTCTTCTGGAAGCACCACCAAACTTGATATACCTTCACTCCTTTTCAAAACCACTCACCAACCGCCAATATGCGCAACACACGCTTCCAATCCATCTCCTTCTCCAGCATCCGCACCTCACTGCGTCGGTCCCGCTCCCGGTCACCATCAGATTCCTCGATAATGTCCAGCAACCGCAACTCTTATGCCTCCAACTCTTCCTCGCCCATCAGCACGGTCAATGCCATCATGCACCGACAACCTTCAGTGGTTGACATGGAGGAGGAGAGAAAGATCTTCCCATCCGGCCTCGATGTCCTTGAGCCCCGACCAATCGTCTACTGGGGTGGCATGGAGGAGAGAATGAGCTCCTTCTAGAGAAAATGACAACTGAGTGGATTCGATACCAGCAAGTTACGCCTGAACGAGAGAAGGTTTTGACGAAGGATTATTGATATTTGGGAAGCCCGCGGCTGGAACATGGTCTATTATGACGGCGTTATTATTATTATTCACACGACTACGGATACGGATGGACTTTTGGTGTTTATGGGCGATGGGGCGTATATTTTTATTGGATGCAGATTTCGCACGTTAGGTCACGTCTGCGAAATGCCAGTCCAGAAGATTTAGGGGTATTTAGGGGTATTTAGGGGTTGAATGATGCTGTTGCCCAAGGGAAAAGATAAGCTTCACTGTGGTGGAACATCTCTTATATTCAAATACACTCGTTGTAATGCGACATATTCATACCAATTTTGCCTTCTTGGAAAAGTATCTACTTGAGTGACTCCGGGTTTAATTCTCATGATTGACCAACCTCCCGCGTGATGGGAACCGAAATCTTCCAGCGCGGAGGGGCAGTTACATGTCAGAACGCAATCGGAAGATCTTCATATTCATATCGGCTATTTATTATCACCTGCGTTGATCAACGACATCCATCCGGTAAGGCATAAGTCGATCTCAAGCCTCGAATATTTATGCAAGGTCCATCATCCTGTAGGATGTCACGACCCACTTACCCCGAAACTTGACGTACTATCCATTTCGGGAAGTGATGTGAGGGTGCCTATCACGAGATTTTCCGAATCGGGCCCTTTCAGCATAGAGTATTAAAGCACCTTTCAGCTACCACATTAATCCTTTGAATGGACTCACCTTGGTTTATACACTACAGTGCTGGCTCTTTGGCGGATGGGAACTTACGATTCGTCCGTCCGATTACGGAAGGCTTATGTGCTATCTCCTAAATTGGACAGGCATGCATTTATTTGCACTACTGCTTTGCTTTCTTATTCTCAAGGCTGAGTGTACCTATCGTCTCACAAAACTGGGTTGTTACCGTTGAAGATATCCCAGTCAAGTGTCGCGGTAGCGGCAGGATCATAGAGAGCGCAACACAGTTCAACATCTAGCATTCATACCCCCAAAAGGCGATATTCTCCCCGTTAGCGTCAAAAGTTGGCAATGACTACATCGTAGCCAATTCTATCAGTCCCTAAGTTTAAAGAAATGGCTAGAGTTTTCCATCAAGACCTCTTACTTTTTCGTGTGGAGGAAACCAATTATTCTAAAGTCTAATCTCTAATCCACTCGCAGTTATTATCTATTATTTAACAATAACCCTTCCACCAGATATAAAGTCCCATAATGCTGCACCTACAGTATATAATTTAGGGGCTTAAAGATATATAACATAAGAAGCCGCTAAAATTGTCCGAAAAAAATAAAACGTATAAAACGTGTTTGACTTATAATTTACAGTATCTCCCCTATTTTCACACATATTATGGATTTCGCGAACAGGGTTAAAAGGGAAGGGTATGGCTGATTTTATAGTTAAGACTAGTAATATATATTCCCTTATACTTCATTTAGTTTGCTACTAGCGTCGTTACTAGATAATCATATTAAGCCTTGTTTATTTCTATTTCGTAAAAGGAAATAAGCTGTGCTAACCCCCACCTGAGGCGTCAACTAAGAGCTTATTCAAAATATAACATATAACGATTTTGAACTAGTGCACTCAAACAAGTAGAATTCTATTCATCTAAACCATATATTATCAATCCCACCCAGCGTAACTAAGCCCTGATTTCATTCAGAGCGTCTACCCGCTCTTCCGAAAACATATTTACAGCAATCACTTTCGTCGCCACATTCACCCAACAATTCCTTCCTATTGTCAAGTAATCACAATAAGGTACCCCAGCTACTGTAGTAGTATATATATTAACATCGCGCCAAGTGGGTTATTAAAACCTTCTTCCCCATCAACTTCTCAACCACTTTGTTGCAGTTGCCAAAGGAAGGACGACCAAGCCCCAACCACAACGTATACCTCAATATAATTAAGGCAGAAGAAAACCAGTCATCAGGAATAAAGAACACATGGCAATCTCAGAAGCAAAGAACATGAAAGTCAATAGCCCGGGCCAAGTCGCAATGTCTGAAAGGAAATCATCACTCCGTGAGCGGATTATGAAGCCAATTTCCCGGACCAAGAACTCTATGGGGCGGATGAACTTGCCTGGTATGGATTATGTTCATCGAGGACATACTCGCCAGACGAACACGATATGGAAGGCCAAGGCGGTGGTTGATAGATTGGTGGAAGAGACTGATGGCCCCAAGTCCCCTTATCGGCAATACGCACGTACGCCCAAGATACTGCGCAATAAAAGGGGCTGGATATTGTGGAAACGGTCCAAGCCGCCGATAACTCTACCATGCACGGGAGAAACTCCAACCCAAGCGCCAAGCAAGCATACGCACCCCGATGGGCCACTGGATGACCAGAGAACAGTTTGGAAACCAAGAATTGCTGCGTTCGAGAACATCAGTGATATGGTGTTGCCAGGTCCGAAATTCCCACAGATCTGGAAGAGGTCCAGCTGCGATCTGGAGGAGGAGCTCCGCGAGGCTGTAGGCTCGTCTCTGGCACCCTCGTGCTGGTCCCTCCTAGAGCTACCATCTAGCAGCGCCAACGATCTTTTGGATATGAAAGGCTACATGACAGATCCATCTCCGCAACCGGAAGACTTGGTGAAAAACTCGGATCTGTCCTCCCGGAGCAGCGTCAGAACTTCACGTCCAAGCCCTGTAACAGGCTCTTATCTTCATCTCCGCGGGAGAGGTGGTAAAGGTGTTGGTCTTCTTGGTCATCTCTTCGGACTGAGAATGCCAAAAGGAGATCCGGAGGAGAGAAAGTTCATGGATGAAAAAATTGGTTTTGTGGATTGGTACATTGTTGGAGGCCCTGCTCGAGGGATGACTTGGAGAGAGTTTGCCGAGCTCAATAGAAAACGGGTGGAGAAGACAAATGAGATTGAGAGGAAGAAGAAACAAGCGAGGGAGGCGGCGAAGAAAGCAAAGGCGGAGAAGAAGTAGCAGAAGTGGGCTGGTAGTTAGAGGAGTTAAATGGGTTCGCAGAATATCTCTGAAGGGGTTGGAGTGCATGGATGGTAAAATGTCCCTTGGTGACGATAGTTGCTGCTTAGATAGAAGAGCATCTTGGAACATGGGCATTTAGATATCATCCACGCTGCGTTATATACAGCATTAGAATAGAATGCAATGAATGCATGGATTCGTAGAACAGCTGGTTTGATGTCACTGACAACGCTGCGCAATACGAGCATCGCTCACTAGCTATTCCTTGCTTGTCCCACGTATTGCAAGTGCCAGGGACTAACTACGCTGGCTGGCCACGTCGCAATGACTTAAGAAGCAAAACAGGACAATGCAGGACCCAATTGAAATGCATGGTCTGCGCTGAGAAGAATAGCGGTGGGGATTGGGGGTCAGGACTTGGACGACCAAGGGTAAGCCCAAACCACAAGATGTAGAAATTGATTCACCATTCTTGAACTGCAAAAAGTGAACGATAGCCTGGTTATTCAATCCGGAACCTTAACTTAATTTAAACCTTTGGCTACTTTAGTATTCTACAGCGCACTGGCTTTGCGAGGGGCGTTTCAGGTCTGCGATAAGAGCTTGTTGCCCGGCCTACTATCAGCAGCAGCGTCAGGGGCCGAGTAGCGATGTCAACAACACCGCACAGCGTCTTCTCCCATATGCAGGTCACCGCATGTCACATCCCGATATCAGACACCCATACGTCTTACTTCGCACCGTTATTGCACAAGACATCTCAAACCTAAAAAACCTTCTAGCTTACGTCTCTCCCTTCCTTGCGCCTGCTAACAGTGGTGTAGTGCGATTCCAGAACCATTTGGCGAGGGTTGACGAGGAGGTTGGGAGTTGCTGCAAAGTTGGGCAGGTGGCTGGGCGAGCTGCAGTCATATTCAACCACCGCATTTTTAAGTGCATTATTCCCACGCTGTCACACCTCGTGGTTTCCCTTTCCCCATTACACAGTACACCTCATACATTCCAGAGACAGTTCTAATTCTAGGGCCCTCGACTATCGTTATCGCCATCAATTGACGTCGGCGCAATCCATTATCGCAAAGCCGTTATCGACTTTCTAGAACACACTCACAGCAACCGGCTTAGCTGAAGATTCTCGCCCATCATATTGAGAGCGGGGCTTCTCTCCCTCACCGCTGTCGTCAGCGAATTCAGCAACGCGAGCGACGACGATAAACGAATTTTTCAACTCGCATCTACAAACCAAATCACTCAATCGGATTCGACAATATAAATCCTGCACGATGCGGCTTGCGCAAACACCTACGAGTTTGCTCTCCCTCCTCCTAGTTGCTCTGTCCAATATCGAGTCAACTCAAGCATGGCCCATAGGAGAGCTCGACTTCAGCTTCCTCACCGGCAGAGCAGCCTGTGTCTCGTTCTGCGGCGCTGACAGCCAATTTTGCTGCACCCAAGGACAATCATGCACTACACTCTCAGGCAACATCGCAACTTGCGTAGCAGGCGGGAGCAATGCTGTCGCGACGGGTGCAGGAGGGGTTGCGGTTTACACGACAACCTGGACAGAAACCGGCCTCGTTGCCCACACGAGTACAGTTAGCTCCTATTTGCAAGCCCCAACGCAATCTCCTCCCCTAGAAGGCGCACCAATATGCAAAACCAACTTAGGAGAGACATCATGTGGGACTGTCTGCTGCCCGAGCGATCAGACTTGCGGAGAAACTGCTGGTACATGTGTACGTCGCACAACCTGGGCATATAATGCGCCGAGTGGCTATTCCGCACCTCTTCGGCCAACTAGTGGAGGAGTAGTGACAGCAACAGCTTCGATATCTCCAACTACCACCCAGTCATTTCTACCTCCTGCCACCGCCAGCGGAAGTACCGTGCCAGTTATTTCTGCGGAACATAATAACAAAGGGCTAAGCCCCGGAGCCATTGCGGGAATTGTCATCGGTACCATTGCCGGTGTCATTATCCTCCTCCTGATCTGCTTCTGCTGCATCCTCAGAGCCGGTTTCGACGGCCTTCTCGCAATCTTCGGCCTCGGAAAGAAAAAGCGCAGAGATGAGCGAGTAGAGGTCATCGAAGAGCGTTATTCTAGACACAGTGGTAGAACTGGCTCGCAAAGACAGACACACACGGGCTGGTTTGGAGGTGCTGGTAGACCATCAAAAGTGACAGATAGTCGGAAGAAGAAATCCAGCGGCTTGGGTGGATTCGGCGCAGTGGGCGCAGGTCTCTTGGGACTGGCTGTGATATTGGGGCTGAAGAAGAAGCATGAAAAGGAGAAGCCACCAAGGTCCGATATTGGAAGTTCATACTATTCGTATGACTCGTATACAGGCAGTAGTCCGAGTAAGTCATATTCCCTCGCTAAATCTCATGATAATCTTGCTAACGATTCTCCAAGGCAGCGCAAGCTCTGACCGAAGAACGAGAGACACACGGCGCTCACACTCGCGACGATAGCCCGGAATTTGTACATTCTGTCTAAAGCAGACCAAAATTTGACACTTGTTTTTTGACATGGTTGGGAGCGATACTTGGCGTTAGGGGGAGTTTTTTGCAAACAAAAATGATTGTGGATATAAGAAACGAGGCAAAGAAATGAATATACCAGCGAGTGAGGGATGCGGATGAACAAATGATATAGATATGGATCAGAATGAGAACCATGGAATGGGTTGGAATGTATGACTAATTGACATGGCTGGGGAATGTCGCAACGCTGAACTTCATTCCATCGAGAGCACGGATAGCTGCTGGAATGCAAACGCTATATGACTGCTTGAAAAATTTCTTCCATTGGGATCCAAATGCGAGTACCTTGAATGAGTTATTGATAAGGCACTATAATGTCATCCGATCATCTATAGATCTGCGCATTGACAACCTATTGTGATCTAAAATGTGGGCATTACCCTTAGGATAGATTGTAGTTCCACTCCATTCATGGAGGTTCCAATCGCTCATTTTGACATTCTGGTGACAAGCTGGAAGAGTGTTATTGGAATATGACTTTCCTCTCTATTGAGGTGGCAATGGAGACACGATAATACTCGGTAAATCCTTGATATCAACATGTTCCTGCGAGCCCAAATCGACAACTCTTACAGCCTCAACATCCACAATGCCTGCCTTTAAAGCCATAAATTCAAGCTCCACCTCGTAGCATGCGGACGGGGCTAGCGGGCCCACCCTAGTATCAGTACTTAAACATACAACATCGGTCGGCTCGATAGCCGCATTCTTTTGCATGGCATTGATTATATTGGAGTCCAAGGCCGCATCGGCTATTTTGGGATCTTTTCGCGTACCGCCATTCCCGGTCGAGGGCGGACGAGTAATTCGTGCGGCTTCTGTTCGTCGCCGCTTGGGGAGAACTGTAAGGGCTAGTTTTCGAGGTCGGTCGGAGCGGTTGACGATGAATACGGACCAGGTGAAGGGAATCCCGGGGTATATGGGCTTGCTAACAGGTGGAGCACTAAAGGTCATGGTGACACCAAAGTCGGGCACAGACGAGTCGCGTTGCTGGCGCGTAGTTATATCAACGGAAGGGAGAGCATCTGGTCGACTGATGGCGAGAGTAGAGACCGTGGGAGCTTCGGCGGACGATCCGATGGAGAGTTGAGCAGGTCGGTGCGGTCGTACTATGGGTTGGGTGGGATGGCCGAAGCCAGGGTTAAGTGGTGGTGTAAAGTCGAGAGATGTTGTCCAGCGCATTGATATCTGTGGCCGGCAGATACTAGAAAGGTTTGCAGTAGCTGTTATAGAGATTTCAAGGTTTCGGATTTGCGTTTTGTTTGTAACATCCGTATCATCTGGCAGCAGCCGATAGAGAAACGTGATATCATCTTGTGGCCGCCCACGTATAGGTAATGTCAAGCCCGACATGGTATTAAGATCTTCCACACTGCCGCCGATGATGGTAAGATGGACCTGTTCGACTGTAATCTGGCAATTGGCGAAGGATGTGATATCGACATCTAGGGATGCCATTACCGCTACGTTCGTTGACGTTGTATTTGCCCTAGAATATCGGACACGAGCATTTATGGCTGGATAAACCTTGACTGAGTGACGGGATATATTTTTGAGCGGCCGCATAAGCTCCATTGTAGCTTGCGTTACTGGTTTGACTTGGGATACTCTCAGTGCAGAAAGCCTAGGCTTGATCCCATCCAACGCAGGATCATCACTAAAAGCCTCAAGCAGGTTCATCCCAGACGGGACCTGGCTGGGGAGATACTCTTCGGTGATGGTATCACTTTGTACTTGTTCAGGCGCCTTCAAGTTTGCCATGGCCGAAAAGACCACGGATGGGTTTTGGAGGCGCAATCGCGGCCTGAGGAGGAATGCAGACAATTTCCATACAACAAATATACGGCCGGGCTCAGTATTACCCTCTGCCTCATCCGGACCCTGGACCACAATCAGAGGGTCCTCACTATCCTGAACAGAACCATTGTAGATGACTTCTTGAGCTGGAGGCCCATCGTAGTTTTCTGGCTGAGCATTGACTACTTGCGCCTCGAGATTGATCACCAGTCGTCCGAGGTACGATCGGAGGGTATTTTCGTCAAAGTAGGGGGTTTGTAAAATGACATATACATTAACAGTTTCATCTATCATCTATGAATGAGTAAGAGATTGACCTTGCACAACAGCTTGGTGCACTAACCAAAAAAGAGCGACTGCCTTTGGGGTATGGCAGCTAGAGGAGAGGTATTGCCTTCATCCAGACGTTCCATAGCACCGCTCAGCGCCTCCTCGATATCGAGATCACTTGCTGACGGAACAATCGTGTCAAGAACAGAGCTCTCGACAAGATCGAGGCTACCACGAGGGCGCGGTTCATCGTCCATATCCGTTTCTGTCATCATCGCTGCTGAAATAACTTGCTGTAGTCCTAGAATAACAGTAAAGTTCTAGTATTCTCAGCCTCCCAGTCGGCTATAAGAATTGAAGTAGCAACAAGTCAGGAGGTTGCTGCATACTTGGAGAGAGAGATAAGTTCACCGTTTTGTCGCATTACAAGGAAGAGCATGGGTGTCTAACTGTCTCCTGAGGTTGGTTGAAGCTTTGACCACCCTGGCTAGTTGACGTCTCTGCGCAGATCGCGCCTCGCGCTTCGGAGGCCGCTTGTGGTTTGCGCGAGCTTTTAATTCCTTCATCCAGCCTACTCAAATACTTCAACTCACACGATCTAGAGCTCAACGCAGTCCAGCAGCCAGCAAGCGCGACACCCTTACACCCCAGTTCGACATGAACGCGCCAAACGGGATCAACGGCCATGCAGCTGTTCCTGGTCTATGGAGCGAAGCTCGAAATGCCGATGGGCGCATTTACTACTACAATACAGTTACCAAGGCGACGCAATGGACCAAGCCAGAAGACCTAATGACGGCGGCAGAGGTATGACTTTATATGATATCCCTATTCAGCCCATGTGCTAATTGATTCCTATAGCGTGCTTTATCAGCCCAGCCCTGGAAAGAGTACACTGCCGAGGGTGGAAGGAAGTATTGGTACAATACAGAGACGAAGCAGAGCTCATGGGAGATACCAGATGTCTACAAACAGGCGCTCGCGAAGGAAACGGTTGCGCCAACACCTGCACCAGTTCCACAGTACGTTTACCAGACAACCCTCTGCGTTCTATTAGCATTCTAATTTCAATAGAGCACCTACATTTGTCGCTGGCGGCGGCTTTACATCTTCCCAGTTTGATCAACCACGAGACAGGGAACCGCTTGGAGAAGCTCGACAAATTGCGTATGGTAATGATGCTAATGGGAGCCGTGCACAAGTCTTTGTACCCGCAAATACCGACCCTGATTACTCAACCTTCGAAGAAGCAGAAGCGGCCTTCCTTAAGCTTCTCCGTCGCCAAAATATTGATCCTAATTGGACCTGGGAACAAACGATGCGGTCAATTATCAAAGACCCACAGTACCGGGCACTGAAGGATCCTAAGGATCGTAAAGCGGCATTTGAGAAATATGCAGTTGAGGTGCGGCTTCAGGAGAAAGACCGTGCAAAGGAAAGGCTCGAGAAGCTCCGTAAAGATTTTGCCACGATGCTGAGAAGTCACCCAGAGATCAAGCATTACACTCGTTGGAAAACTGCACGGCCCATCATTGAGGGAGAGACCATATTTCGATCTACGAATAACGACGATGAACGGCGCCAACTCTTTGAGGACTATATTATTGAACTTAAAAAAGCCAACATTGAACGAGAAGCAACTACACGAAAAGCTGCTATGGATGAGCTGGTAGATATTTTAAAGGCTATTGATCTAGAGCCATACACTAGGTGGTCAGAGGCACAAGGTATCATTCAATCTAACCCGAGAATCCAAGGCGACGAGAAATTTAAGTCGCTCAGCAAGTCGGATATCCTGACTGCTTTCGAAAACCACATCAAGAACTTGGAGAAAACCTTCAACGATTCTCGTCAGCAGCAAAAGAATCAGAAGGCTAGACGTGAACGGCAAAACCGAGATCGATTCTTGGCCTTGCTTCAGGAGTTAAAGGCTGCGAATAAGATTAAGGCAGGGTCAAAATGGAGCCAGATCTGTCCATTAATTGCAGAGGATGACAGATATCAAGCAATGCTTGGACAATCCGGATCTACCCCGCTCGACTTATTTTGGGATATGGTTGAGGAAGAGGAGCGTGCGCTTCGCAATACCCGAAATGATGTATTGGATGTTCTTGATGTAAGTTTGCCTCTATTAACCAAGGACTCATCCACTAACGGCAAACTAGGACAAAGGGTTTGAAATCCAGCAGAAGACTACTTTTGACGAGTTCCTTGCGGTTACGAAAAATGATCGACGAACTGCTAACATTGATCGAGACGCCGTGTCATTAATATTCGAGCGGGTAAGCCGTGATTATCCCTTTGGCTAGTACATTCTAACTTTGTGTAGCTACATGAAAAAGCTTCGCGACGCAGCGAGGATAATAAGCATCAAGCTGAGCGCCAACAGCGGCGCGCTGTGGATGCTCTCAGATCTTTCATTAAACATCTTGAGCCTCCGGTTCGCCTCAATCATACTTATGAAGATATTAAACCACGCATAGATAAGTCCGAGGAATACCTCGCAGTATCCTCCGACGAGCTTCGTCGATCCGCCTTTGACAAGGTCATCCGACGTCTCAAGGAGAAGGAGGATGAGGAGAAGGATCGTTTGAGACGCCGGGAGAGGTTCTCAGTAGACAGACCGACCCATCGTGAGAGGGACAGAGGTGAGAGACCATACCGTGCCAACGGACGTCATGCTAGGACAAGTCGCAGTCCAGAACCAGATGCGTACGAGGCAGATAGAAGGAAAGCTATTGCCGACCGGGAAAAGAACTATCGGAAGTCTAGCGTCGCAGACACCCTTCTTTCCCCCGGGCGCAGAGGCGACCGAGACCGTGACCGGGAGAGGGATATCGATCTGGATAGGCCGCATCGCAGCCGCCGGGACGAGTCTATGAGCCACTATGAGCGTGAGCGGCGAGACAGAGATGATGAGCGAGAGAAGCTCTACCGCAGAAGAGGCGACCCAAGGGGAAGTATCGATGAGTTACCTTATGGGGATGAAAGACCTACCATGGGAGGTAGACGACGAAGAGCTGACAGTGATGTGGAAAGCGTTGGTAGCGCCTCAAGAAATGCAAAGGTTCGTCGAACTATCAAACTATCAAACTATCAAACTTCATGGAACTCTTATCTAACGGCGAATATTTACAGAGACCGAGGAGAGAATTAACACCACGTGAGCGCTCCCCGCCTCCTCGTGAAAGACGTCACAGGACTAGGACACCTCCTGCGGCTATTCCAGCAAAAGAGGAACCGGCTGTCCACTCGGGCAGCGAGGAGGGTGAAATCGAAGAAGAATGAAGAAGACGATAAAAAACGATATGAGATACAGTCAAGAGACCCAGCGAAGCTGCTTGTACGTATCCGAACACACCGAATATTCGTAGCATGATGACCTTGGCAGACAGAGTTAGCATCGATCACGTCGGCGCCGCATGCAGAGGAAAATAATTCGGATCGCGTTGATTTGAAGGACTTTTCGGTGTGTATCCGTCTCTCCTAAACCTCATCGACACCATCGATATCCCTTGATAATTCGGCATCCTTGATGCCTCAGTATGAGTTAACTAGTTAATGCAAAATCATTTCTCCACCTGGCCTCCAATGTGATGCATTTGCATCGGACGGTAGTCACCCACTTGACCCGTTTGCCCCTCAATCTACCTCTAACAAGCTACCAAGCTACATCCCATACAAAAGAAATAGTAGCTGTAGAAGCAGGACCAGGCGAACAGGGGGTAGACTACCGTCGCCGTGGTTAATCATCCGGATCGTCGTCTTCATTGGCGGCACTTTCTTCATCTAGAAGCGCTTGTGCCACCGTATGCCCTGCCGTTTGCAATGCTGCCCCATTAACGCCTAGTAATGCACCCTGCAATGGGGGGAATGTATCATGTGAAGTGCCCTTTTTAACTAGGAGGAGCCTTTTGCTCGTCTTCAAGGAAGAACTATAATAGGATGGTTAGTGGATATGTTGATAGGGGACTTGAATCGACTTACATAATTGCCACCTAGCTTCTGATCCTGGTCAAGTTGAGAATTGTGTTTGTTGATGCGAGGTCTGTAATTGTTTGGATCCCGACGGAAGGTGACATCGAGATTCTTCAAGAACTTGTTGCAGCCTGTGAGTAGGGATTCAGGGGTGTTTGCACGGGCGTCAATGCCGGGCTCGCCGTCGAAAACGATGACTCGGTCTGCAAGGTATGTTGCCATGATGAAATCGTGCTCGACGATGAATGCCGTCTTCTTCGAATGCATGATGAACCTCTTGATCACACGTGCCGCGATGATACGTTGCTCTGAGTCCAGATAGGCAGACGGCTCATCGATAAGGTAAATATCTGCTGGCAGACCCAGGGCGAGGACAATGGCGACACGCTGCAATTCACCTCCGGAAAGGGTTTTGACTTCCTGGTCAATGAATCCATCAAGTTTGAGGGGCTTGACAACATCGGTCTGGAACTGTGGGAGGAGGAAAGCAGTCTTGATCTTCTTGAAGAACAGTTGTCGAACAGTGCCATCAAACTTGGGTGTGATCTTCTGAGGCTTCATGCTGACCTTCATGCCCGGAACTTTTTGGTTGCCGTCCGGGTTTAAGGCGCCAGCTAGTAGTTTACAGAACGTGGTCTTGCCAGTTCCGTTTTCACCCATCATTACGATAATTTCTGAATCAGTGAAGTCACCGGCCTCAATTTTAAGGTGGAACGTGTCGAGTGTCTTTTCCATGGCAGGGTATTGGAAAGCACGGGATCGGTCCGTAATGAACTCGTCGGCAGCCTCAGCGATGCGGAACGTCAGGGACTCCTCTCTGAAACGCAAATTCTCCGTGGGGATGTTGCCATCGAGGAAAATATTGATGCCCTCTCGGACTGATGCTGGCAAGGTAACGACACCATAAACAGCCGGTCTACCGTAGAGGACGCAGATAAAATCGGAAAGATAGTCTAGGACTGAGAGATCGTGCTCCACGCAAATGACATAGTCGTCTGGTCTGAGTAAGGACCGGATTATCTTCGCAGCGCTCAAACGTTGCTTGACATCGAGGTAAGATGAAGGTTCATCAAACATATAACTGCGAACAATATTAGAAAGGGTTCGAACTGGTACGGTGCCAATATTACATACACGTCGGCCTGTTGCACACAGACAGTTCCAATAGCGAATCTCTGAAGCTCTCCACCTGACAAGAGATTGACATCTCGGTCCATAATATGATTCAACTCTGCGACGGGTCAGTGGATATATACGTGTTTTAAGGAGGGCTGTATTCTTACCCAGGACATCAAGGACTTGCTCCAAATTATCCATCGAAGCCTGAGCCTCGATGAGCGTCCTCACTGTCTTGTCTACGCTCCTGATTGCCTTGGGAATGCGGTCGACATATTGGGGCTTGACGATAGCTTTCAAGTCATCTTCGAGAATCTTGGTGAAATAGTCTGCATATGGCCATGAGCACGCTGAATAACCCAAAACTCCGGGGGGGACATACTCTGTAGTTCAGAACCTCTGAAATACTTGATCACATCCTGCCAATCAGGTGGATTGTCAAATCTTCCCAGGTTGGGCTTTAACTTTCCGCTCAAGATCTTGAGAGCTGTACTCTTCCCAATACCGTTGGAACCAACTAACCCTAGCACCTGTCCCGGTCGTGGTGTTGGCAATCGATGGAGCTTGAAGCTGTTGGCGGAGTATCGATGGGTAACATGCGACTCGAGATTCGTTGGCAGATTGATAATGGTGATCGCTCCGAAGGGGCATTTCTTAGGGCAGATACCGCAACCAATACACAGTGTTTCGGAGATGAAGGCAATCTTGGATGAGGGCGTCACTTCGATACAGAGTTTTCCGCTTCGGACAACGGGGCACGACTTCTTGCACTCCTGTCTGCATTTCTATTCGGGTTTGTCAGTACACTTTCTAGGCTTCTCTGTGTATTGTAATTTAGAGACATACTTTTGGCTTGCACTGAATCCCAGAAAATTACTTGTTAGCATGGTGATTTGTTCCACGGCGGGGTAGCGGGGTAGCATCGTGTTGTGGCATCGATTCTCCATACCTTATCAGCGCTGACGATCGCAATACTATAAGAATTACACCGTTAGCTGGGGGTTCAAAGGCTATGCTATGATTGTAGACATGGCGAGGAGCAATGAGGCAGATCGCGAACGCACCGAGTTAACTTGTCCGACATTTTGGCGGGTTTGCGCTAAAGGCGAGACGACGGTATAAGTGCGTATGGAGAGTATATACAGCTTCGGGCGCTCTTGAAGGGCAGATAGATATATGCGCCTTATAGGGGCACACACGCAGTCTGCGAACGATGCTGGGCTTCAGAGGGTGTCGTTCAGTTGTATCAATTTGCCACGGCTGCTCCGGGGATTTCGAGTTTGAGGAGTTGGGAGAAATACTTATGAAAACATGGCTCTTGCAATCACCAATTGTGCTATTGGCCAGGCTGTGCGAACAACTCGCAAAGGGGAGGATAAAGCGGCGCTGTGCACTTTGTTCTCTCAGAGACTTGACAGCAGATTCTAGTGCCGCATTGAGCAAACCCTAAGCCTGCCAGCCCCGTGACTCGCCTCCCCCTCAGGGTGCCACGTGATCCCGTAGCCCTGGCGTGCCGCTTTTTGGCTCGCTGCTCGCTTAGCTCAGGCGGCGGGAAATGACTGAAGGTTAAGGCGCCGAGTGCAACAACCCTCTACATGTCCATGAAGCACATCCAGACCTCCATAACTTACGAGCTATACGTCCACCACCACCCTCGTTATTCGGCCACAATACAATAATCTACCTCCCGGGGGGCCTGTTCAAGATGGCTTGTGAGTGTGCCACTTTTCTTTCCTACTAGCAAGTGCAATCCTGTGGCCTATATTACTCTCAAGGCTGGAGTCCTCCGCGGAGTCGAAGATCCATCGTGACCATCTATATATCCCGAGATTTTATCGACTCGGACGCCTCTATATACACTTATATGTGTCTGCTTTGAGTCTACGCCGTCGTTTAGTTACCTGCCAGCATTTATACTGCCTTTTCCGCCTGTCATCATCATCAATCGGCCATAATCCATCATCAGCCCTATATCCCAGACACCATTTACACCTTCGAATGAAATGCGCCAACAACGTTCAGAGCCTCCTTGTGCCATCTCGGACCATTCCTTAGGCAAATCTTGGATCGCCTGCTTCTCTACCGCCCGCTCATATGACTGTGAAAATTCTTCACCTGCGAAATCTTGAAGCTATATCGGCCATATTGCTAACATTGTTGCTCTAGCCCCGCCATCGACAACCACGCTGCTCCATACGACACAGCCACTACCTCTTTCCAATGGACACTCTTCTCCGTTAGACAATTCTACACTCACAAACGATGACGCCCCGTACGATAGCGAATCCGACCTCTCCGAAGTAGCAGTCCCCGTCGTCGACGCGCCCTCACCGGCGACCTCGACGAATCAACAATCCGAGTTTGGCGCTCAAGATATCGATGCTTCAGAACCTTCCTCACCGGAAGCCCAAGATGCCTCCGATGATGCCGATTTCGATATGGAGGAGGGACCTGCTCTTGCGGTGACCAATGGCGGGCGAGCAGACCGCTCAACGTCTACCGAATCATCCCGTCGACCTGGTAAGCGGAAGGCAGATCTTGAGGACCAGCATATCTTAGCGAATCCAGAATTATATGGGCTTCGGCGGAGTGTATGTGGTTATTTATCTGTAAATCCAGAACTTCGCTGACTTAGACTTCCAGGGTCGTCCAGTTCAGCACCGACCTATTGTATGTTACCAGCACCGGATTCAGCTACCCCTACCCAGACACGGTTTGAATATTTACGTGATATAGATTGAATCTGATGACGACAACGATGATTCCGACTCTGACATCGTGCCAACCCACAGAACAAAGCGAAGGAAGCAAGAGCGGTCACGGCCAAGTAGATCCTACTAACCCACCTCTACAGATACGACCGCTGACAGATGCTTTTGTAGCATCGAAACGCGAGACTCCAATCCTACAATCAGCATCCCGCTCTGAATCAGACAGTGATACTTATGGTGGGGCGCGAGCCCGAACGCTGACCAAGAAAAACCGACGCCGGCAGCTCGAGTCCAATAACCTCGTTCCTGTGTACCAAGAGAAGAGATGGAACAGCCGAAGGGCTGCACAAGTCACAGCCGGAGCATATCAGGAGAGCGATGATGAGCTGGATGACGAATCTGAAATGATGACCCCCAATTACTGGGCCGCGGATGCTGAAGATACAACACCATACATTGACGTCGTACTGAAGCACCGGCTCAAGGAGGGTGTCGATATGACCAAAGAGGACCTAGGTCGCGATGATTTCGAATATTATATCAAATGGCAAGGCAAATCCCACTACCATGCAACCTGGGAGACCACCACATCCTTGACTGGCATGCGGGGCTTTCGCCGCCTCGAAAATTACTATAGAAAGGTCGTGCTCGAAGATATATACATGTCCCGAGGTGCAAACATACCTCCAGAGGAGAAAGAGAAGTGGATGCTCGATAAAGAGCGGGATTCGGACGCGCTTCTTGATTACACAAAAGTTGAGAGAGTTATCGGCACCCGGAATGGCGAAGAGGAGACCGAGTACTATGTGAAGTGGAAAAGTCTCTACTACGAAAGCTGTACCTGGGAAGCTGCCTCTCTGGTCAGCGAAATTGCCCAAGATGCTATTGATGGCTTCCTGGATCGCAGTTCGCGGACATTGACATCAAACAAGGAAGAATCCAACCCGAACACTCGGGGTCCTCACGTGCCCATTCGAGAGCAGCCGTCATACATCATGAATGGCCAATTGCGAGACTTCCAGATTACTGGCTTGAACTTTTTGGCTTATAACTGGACTAAGAACAAGAATGTCATCTTAGCGGACGAAATGGGCCTTGGAAAGACCGTTCAAACTGTGGCCTTCATGAACTGGCTCCGCCATGACAGAGGTCAGCAGGGGCCATTTCTTGTTGTCGTCCCTCTCACAACTATCCCCGCCTGGGCCGATACCTTCGATAACTGGGCGCCTGATCTGAATTATGTCATCTACAATGGCAAGGAAGCATCTCGGAGCATCATCCGCGAATACGAACTTCTTGTTGATGGTAATGCCAAACGCCCAAGGTTCAATGTCCTCCTGACTTCTTATGAGTATATTCTCGTAGACGCTCTATTCCTAGGACAGATCAAATGGCAATTCATGGCGGTGGACGAGGCTCACCGGTTGAAGAATCGTGAATCCCAGCTGTATCAGAAGCTTCTTGATTTCAAGGCCCCGAGTCGATTACTGATTACTGGTACACCTGTTCAGAACACTCTAGGAGAGCTATCTGCTCTTATGGACTTCCTCATGCCTGGCGAACTCGACATCGAAGAGGATATGGACCTAACTGAAGATGCCGCTGGCGAGAAAATTGCAGCCCTTACCAACAAGATCCAGCCATATATTCTGCGCCGAACGAAGCAGAAAGTCGAGAACGACTTGCCACCCAAGAGCGAGAAGATCATCCGAGTCGAGCTCTCTGATGTTCAGCTAGATTATTATAAGAATATCCTCACCAGAAATTATGCCGCTTTAAACGAAGGTTCCAAGGGCCAGAAGCAATCGCTTCTCAATATCATGATGGAACTGAAGAAAGCCAGTAATCATCCATATATGTTCCCAAATGCCGAAGATCGAATTTTGAAAGGCAGCGAGAGACGGGAAGATCAACTCAAAGGCCTCATTGCCAGTAGTGGAAAGATGATGTTATTGGATCGACTCTTGACGAAGCTGAAAAGGGATAATCATCGAGTCTTGATATTCAGTCAAATGGTAAAAATGCTTGACATTCTAGGAGACTACCTCCAACTTCGTGGCTACCAATTTCAACGCCTTGATGGAACCATTGCTGCTGGACCTCGTCGGATAGCTATTGATCATTTCAACGCCGACGGCAGCAACGACTTCTGTTTTCTACTCTCCACGCGTGCAGGCGGCCTCGGGATCAATCTAATGACGGCAGATACCGTCATCATTTTTGATTCTGATTGGAATCCCCAAGCAGATCTACAAGCAATGGCTCGCGCGCATCGAATCGGCCAGAAGAAACCCGTCAGTATATATAGATTGGTGTCCAAGGAAACTGTGGAAGAAGAGGTTCTCGAACGTGCTCGCAACAAGCTCATGCTTGAGTTTATTACAATCCAAAGAGGGGTTACAGATAAAGAGAAGAAGGAACTTCGTGAGAAAGCGGTAAAAGCTGGCAAGATCGATGATCCAAAGTCATCTGATGACATATCCAGGATCCTCAAACGCCGAGGACAGAAGATGTTCGAGCAATCTGGTAATCAGAGGAAGCTAGAAGAACTAGATATTGACTCGGTTCTTGAGAACGCCGAGGAGCACAAAACAGAAGTTCCCGAAGGCATGACTGCTGATGGTGGTGAAGATTTCCTAAGGAGTTTCGAATATACTGATGTCAAAATTGACCTCGAATGGGATGACATCATTCCAAAAGATCAGCTTGAGGGAATCAAAGCGGAGGAAGAAAAGCGGGCACACGATGAGTATCTCAAGAAGATTGTCGAGGAAAATGCCCCTCGAAAAGCCACTCAAAAGAACACTGCTGAGTACGAGAGAGAGCAGCGCCTGGCAAAGAAGCGAGCACGGGACCAGGCAAAGCAAGACGAGCTAGATGAGAAGAGAGAAGCGCAAGCCAATCTTGCCGATCCCAAGAGAGAGCTCAATGAGAAAGAAGCTAGGAATCTCTTCAGGGCCTTCCTTCGCTATGGATCTATGGAAGATCGCGGCGAAGAGCTTATCAAGGATGCTCGACTTGTTGGCCGGGACATCGATTTGCTACGGTCCACGATACAAGCAATCACAGACGAAAGCGACAAGCGACTCAAGGATGAAATAGCGAGAATTGAAGCTATGGAGCGCGAGACCAACAAGCCTCTCACAAAGAAAGATAAGAAAGCTGTCCTTTTCGACTTCCTCGGTGTCAAGAGATTGAACGCAGAGACTGTCATGGAGCGTCCGGGTGAAATGAGGATGTTGAGGGACCTCATCACCAGCTTATCTGATTACAAAAATTTTCGTGTCCCCGACGCTTCCAAAGCCGCCCATTACTCTTGCCCTTGGGGCGCTAGGGAGGATGGCATGCTACTTGTTGGCATCCATAGGCATGGGTATGGAGCGTGGGTCCAGATTCGAGACGACCCAGATCTCGGATTGACAGATAAATTCTTCCTGGAAGAGCATCGTGTTGATAAGAAGGAGGAGCGCAATAAGGGGGAAGAGAAGGTGGCCAAAGCTCCTGGGGCCGTTCACCTCGTCCGAAGAGCCGATTATCTACTCTCGGTCCTAAAAGCCAAGAACTCGGACAATCAAGCGGCTAGACGTGCGGTAGAAAACCACCACCGCAACAATAAGAAGCAGGACCGCGTTAATGGGCACCGGCGCTCCGAAACTCGAGGGTCTATCTCTGCCTCGCCGGCACCTCAGTCAAAGAAAAACTACCGGCAAGCCGAGAGCCGGGACCGGGATCGGGACCGGGACCGTGATCGCGCACATAGCCACGGCCATGGTCATGGCGACAAGCGCGATCTCAAGAGGAAACATAGTGTTCCAGGCGATGATCGTCCCAACGACCGGTACTCAAAGCATCGAAGACCTGAGAGCAGCCGTTCCAAGTCAAGTAATGTTGAAGATCCCATGATGCGCGAGGTATTCAAACCGGTCAGAGAAAGCTTGAAAAAGATGCAGCTAGCCACCAAAGACCGGATCAACTCCCAGAAGGAGCGAGCCACTATCCTGAAAGGCGAGCTTGTGACGCTTGGAAACTTTATAATGTCGGAACTTAAAAAACCGATTCCGGGCGACGTGGACGCCCTCCGAATTAGGTTCTGGTAAGTTTGTCGAGAATATTTGATAGTGTATAAGGCTGACCATCTCCAGGGAGTACGTTTCCACATTTTGGCCTGTAGTAGATCCACGCCCAGGCGGAGGGCAGTTGCAAAGAATGTACGAGAAGATTATGTTCCCAGATGGCAAGCCAGGCGCGGCTGCTCCTGGGGCAAAAGCAAAAACCAACGGTGCCTCGGCGCCATCGTCCGCAGGCATCAAAAACCGAGGGTGAAGCATTTACACATAGAAATCTGTTCCAAATACATTGCGTCGGCGTTTTAAATGGAGCTTACTTATTTTTTGGACTTTTTGGCTGGGGGGCAGGTATATTGTGTGGGTGGGATCATTGGCATTCAAATGGGCGTTGTTGTTGCTTTTAGAGGAAACATACCATCCTCCCCATTGGAGTTGCGATATATTTGCATCGATCTGAGCCTACACCTGAGACGTCGCTCTTTTTTCCATAATCCGAGGGGCTAATTTGCGCGGGGGAAAAGTCCGAGGATTAGTGTCTGACTGCTAGATGGTGGAGAGTCAGTGGTCACTGTTGATAAAATGGCATCAGTCCACTCTATGTCTGGTCATGATTTGTGGTGGTGATTTTTCTCGTGACCGTGAGTCTGCGGCGTATATCTTACCTACACCAGCTCCTGCTTCTCCCAACAATGTCTATCCATTCTATTGCGTTCTACCTTATTTAAGATCTAGCTCTGGACTCCCTGCGGCCTTGTCCTCGGGCATATTCAAAGCTACGGAACGTGTATTACTCATGGCGGGGAGGTAATACTTCGTATCGCTAACTGCATGGTGATTAGCTTTCAGCCCTCTCCGGTTGTGGCTTTGTGGCGCGCATACGCCGCAACGCCCTTTCATTGCGAATTGGGACCTCGGGTCTGACTGCCCCGGGGCAGAGACTCAGAGAGGCTTAAGCCTCCAAGTGTTCCAACACACAAAAGCAAGGAGGATCTACAAAATCACAGGACTAATCCAACGGTAACCATGCTGGAAGGCCAGGAATAGCATCCTAATTGCACCTGCTGAGCTCCTACTACGTAACAAGGGCACCCCGTTGTTGGAGTTCTAGATCAGGTAGGTCGCTACTCCGGAAGTCGCCACGGAGTCGGTGATTGTACGTAGTACCAGTACGGTCCGTTGTAGGAGAGCCAGCGTGCCCTTCGGTGGGTTTTCCACCGGGTGTTTATTTCGAGATATGATGGCAGCGTCGTTGGTTCCTTAGCAGCGGTCCCGGTTCCTGGGACTCGGACTCGGTCTTGACAAGCCAAAACAGCAAAGGCTCACTTCGCACCCACAGACTCACAGTCGGCCCGAGCAGTGCACAATAGCAAAGCGCAAAAGAACGGATGGAGTGTGCTTTGGTTTCGAGTTTTTAATCCGCCTATCGACACCTCGGCGCTTGTAGGGGCTGGATGGATGTATTTACGGGGCCGGGGCTTCTGGCTGGTAAGAGAAGTGTTTCTCGCGTGCGTGATGGGTGATGATGCTTGTTTGCTCCCCGCGAGTTCCCAGGCTCTTCCCCCCGCTAGAGGAGCTTAACCCTCAAGCTTCAACCTCCCTCAGCCTGCCACTGACACCTTCCCCCCCTCCCCCCCCGAGTTGCCCCAAGTTGCCCCAAGTTGCCCCTAAGCGCTCTCCACCCTGTGCTGCCACGTTACCTGCGAAAGTTATGCTTATTAGTATCCGTCGAGCTCGCGCCGCAAACGCAGAGCGCATTCAGTAACGTGTCGCGGGGCATTACTGGTTATTACTGGCTATTACTCGGTCACTGATCACTCAGTCGCCGTCACTGGTCAACTTGGTCGGCGGAGGAAAAGCCAAAAGAAGGCCCGACTCAAATTCCGGGTGAAAGTAGCTACATTAGTACATGCGTCTTGGTCGCCCGGGACGTGCATGGAGAAGTGGTGTACATGGACATTACATGACATACAGAGTGATAATAACAATGCCTGGAAATGGTAAAATGACAAATGCCTGCGTTGCTGCTGCTGCACCGTGGAACGCATTAGGCTGGTTAGCCGTAATTGTATTTTATTTATGGGATTTGGGTTTGATTTGGATTTGATTTGGTCTTTTATTTGGCATGTGGTGTGCCGGAGCCGCGTCTACTGGCTAGTACTCTATCCGACGTAATTCGCAAACAGTAGTACTTTGTACATGTGCTGTTCCTCCTATACATTTTTTTCATATTGGCTACCTAGGTAGGTACCGAGGTACCTAGGTAATGGTATATAATTTTCACTGCATGTTCATAATTACCAACGACACTGTATCTATTACGGTTCGGAAAATTGAACCGAATAGATTAGGTGCTTATTGACTCCATTAACTTGACTTTAGGTTTTGAGAGGTGGCTACTAAGCGGTTTATTTATACTACACATCTATCTATCACTATTGGCGCACGTTAGTAAGTACCAAGTGCTAGGTTTGTAATATACTTCGTAAGTCATGCGAGTCCGGAGTACAGTACGAAGTATATCAACCCATCCAACTTATTACCTGGGTATAAGTTGTATCCGTAGTATTGTACCAAAGTACTCCCCACAACTAGGTTCTTACAGAGGATGGATTAAATCAGTTGTATCCACTCCGTTTCGCCTTCAGGGGGTTTCCCCAGTTCCCTCCCACAGTAGCACCGGGGGAGTAGTGGCCGCTAGTCCCAGCTGCTTGAACGATCCGATATCGATCCCCAAGTTTACCAACACCTGTCTCCAACACACGAACCAACACATGAACCCAACACCGACCCCAATCCCTCTCCATAAAATATACTCTTCGCATCCACATCTCCATCCCTCCCCAATCTCTATCTCCATTCTCTACCCATGCATCTCTCCACAGATGGTGCCAGCGCGCCGCATGCACCCCCCGTTGGAAGTTGGAAGGCCTCGTTGCCCTTGGGGCAGTAGCCGCTTCGAGTCTACCTTCGGTGTTATTGTTTAGGATTATTCGCGGGGCAAGCCTTCCTACTTGGCACACGAAGTTACGAACGGCTTCTCAAAGTTGAAGAATCTCGTCCGTACACTGTATTATTGAGTAGTCCTCATGGTTTCCCAAACGGCCCCCCTGGCCAGTTGCCCTGTCTCCCCCGTATACAGAACGACGGGGACAACCAGGGCCCTAGGCACAACCGTGTACAACCCCCTAGCTCTCCACATTCTGGAGGGAGTCTTTGCCTCGTGAGCGCTGGGATCCCAAATGGGACAACAATTTCCCAGCCTATCCAATGGTGGCCATGTCAGATTGGAGTCTACTTGGAGAAGGACCGAAGCCTGGATGGCTCCGAGGGCACCATGCAGAGCATATATATCCTTGGGTGGTTCCCAAGCGAAGCATATTATCCCCATCGTCTTCCTTCTCTTTCAATCTGTCCTGACGCCGGTGTGCTGCAATTCCTATCTGTTAGACAGATAGAAGATACCTCGCCCTTCTCTTTCCCCTTCGAGCGTCATCCTCATCACAGTTCGCCATGGCTAGACAAGCGGTTATTCAAGGGACGGCGGATACCTCTCGCATTGAGGCCCCCGTCACCTTCAAAGCCTATCTTATGTGCGCTTTTGCCGCGTTTGGAGGTATCTTCTTCGGATATGACACAGGATGGATGGGTGGTATCATGGGCATGAAATACTACATCAGGCAATATACTGGTCTTCCTGTGAGTATCTTTCTCCCTTCTGGTCTGCGAGCATCTGGCGATCCTCGAATGAGTTCTAGCAGTTGAAGGTCTTGGGGCGTATTTGGACTTTCTGAGTCCTTACAACCTTTAGGACTTTTGGCGTTACAGTTTACTGTTTACCTTTTGCCAGTCGCTCTTTTGAATATGATGGTCATCTGACTTTTTATAGTACCCCGCCGCGGATGCCAGCGAGGCGATTAAGGATGCCTTCGTCCTTCCAGGATGGGAACAGTCTCTCTTGACCGGTATCCTCTCTTGCGGTACATTCTTTGGTGCAATTATCTCCGGTGACATTGCCGATCGCATTGGTCGTCGATGGACTATCATTGTCGGCTGCTTGACGTTCTGCGTGGGATGTATCCTCGAGGTTGCGTCTACTACATTGGCAGTCATGACTGTTGGTCGTCTTATTGCTGGTGCCGGTGTTGGTTTCATTTCCGCCATCAGTAAGCTCATCCCCATTCAGAAAGTCCCGTCCCGTGACTCAAGCTAATATTATATCTTTTATAGTCATTCTCTACATGTCCGAAATTGCCCCAAAGAAGGTTCGAGGTGCTCTCGTCTCCGGATACCAATTCTGCATCACTATTGGTATTCTGCTTGCCAACTGTGTCGTATACGCAACTCAAGACCGTGACGACTCTGGCTCATACCGTATTCCCGTTGCAGTCCAATTCCTCTGGGCTATCATCCTTGGTCTCGGGCTCTTCTTCCTTCCCGAATCGCCACGTTATTTCGTCAAGAAGGGAAAGCTGGACGAGGCTGCTAAAGCACTAGCCAACGTTCGTGGACAGCCGCTCGACTCCGAGTATATTCAGGACGAGCTTGCTGAAATTATTGCCAACCACGAATACGAGTTGTCGGTCGTTCCTGAGTCTTCCTACCTTGCCTCATGGACCAACTGCTTCAAGGGAGATATTTTCAAGGCCAACAGCAATCTCCGCCGTACACTTCTCGGAATTGGACTCCAAATGATGCAGCAGCTTACTGGAATCAACTTCATCTTCTACTATGGAGTTGTGTTCTTCAAGTCTCTGAAAACTATCAGCAACCCTTTCCTCATCAGTTTGGTCACCACCCTCGTCAACGTGCTCTCGACTCCAATTGCATTCTGGCTCGTTGAGAGATTCGGCCGACGCAATCTCCTGATTATCGGAGGAAGCGGTATGGTCATCTCTCAATATATCGTCGGCATCATTGGTGTCACCGTCGGCCAAGACAAGGGACCCGATACCAACAAGCCCGCCGTCTCCGCCATGATCGCTTTCATCTGCCTTAACATCTCCATGTTCGCCTCCACCTGGGGTCCCTGCGCTTGGGTCGTCATCGGAGAGGTCTTCCCCCTCCCCATCCGATCCCGTGGTGTCGCTCTCTCCACCGCCTCCAACTGGTTCTGGAACTGCATCATTGCCATCATCACCCCCTACCTCGTCGACAAGGAGTACGCCAACCTTTCCTCCAAGATTTTCTTCATGTGGGGATCCCTCTGCGTTATCTCCGTCGTGTTCGCATACTTCCTCGTCCCCGAGACCAAGGGTCTGTCGCTCGAGCAGGTTGATCGTATGTTGGAGGAGGTTGTACCTCGCAAGTCCCGCTCTTGGGTTCCTACCTCTACCTTCGCTTCCGAGATGGGTCTTGTTGAGAAGGGACTCACTATCAACGTTGGCAAGAATGGAGATAGCACCGATGAGGTCGAGCCAGCGGCAGCCGCTCCCCCTGCGAAGGAGCTGTCGTAGATGGTTGCGTAGATGTTAATACTAAGTGTATGGGCTGGTGAGAAGGAGGTGGATGCGTTTACAAGGTTGTTGCTTAGTCCCATGATACCAGGTCCTTAAGACATAATGTAGAAGGCTAGCAATGAACATAATACCCATACAAACCTCCATCTATTTCATAAGTCTATTGTATCCTTCAGTAATACTAGACAATAACTCCTCAGCTCTTCGTCCCTACAGAATATAAACTTAAGCACGTTGGTTTTGCACTAGATTCTAGTTTTGTTGCATATCGCGAAACATTCGCTGCCGCCTTATATCCGGTATATCGCACATGCAACAAATGGACCGGTCCCCGCCGAAAGCGCCCGACATCACCCCGCTCTGTCAAAAATCCTCACTGTACTAGTAGCCTATTTACATCAAAAGCATTCCCATATTTGTTTATTCCCTCTACCTCCCTATCCTACATTCCTTCTCCCCAACCAAGCTTATAATATACCTAGGTATGTTGAGAAACTTAGCCCATCCCCTGAAAATAAATTACGAGAGAACCTGCAACGGGTAGGGGAGAGGTCCTAGTTACCTGCACTTCCCCATTTAAAACAAATGCACGCGATGGCAAAGGTGATGGGCGATGTGGCTGAAATTCTTATGGATGTATTGCGATGGATATCCCATAGAGAGTTGAGGCTATTCAAGCAGCGCTAAGTAAAGGCGTAGTTTAGCTTATCTCTCAATAATACAAGTAAAAAGAACACCGTTTTCTGTTTTCTCTTTAGAGACTTTTGGGTGGTATTTTTAAGTTATATTTAGGGGCAGTGAAAAGCGAGTTATTTTATCAAGATCTCAAGAAGGCAATATCGGTATATTATCCTGCACACTGAGAATAATCCTTGGGATTCCCCACCATGCGCTGTATCTATGTACACAAGAAGCATGTAACGCCATATCAAGTCTCTTAAGGATTCATTTCCTGATCCGGATATTCAGAGTCGCACCCATTGGTGCTTCCGGTTTCAAGAACCCAAACACTGTGACACTATTTGATGCCAAAGAAAAACCATCCCCCTTATTCATGGGAGGAAGTTGCCACAACTCAAAGACCGCATCTCTATCAATGCTAATTCGAACATAAACGCCAATGTATGATAATAGTATGAACACTTGCCAGCGATCAAACTCCAGAGAATGTGACGCTGACTGCTGCCTGAGCTTCGAAGCCGCAATGTGTGGAACCCGGAGAATGCATTGGTCACCGTGTATCTGGTAGAAGTAGAAATAACATAAGGAACAGCGGAGTCGATTTAGCTAAAGAATAATTCCATGCCGGAGGGAACACTTCCTTTGGGAGATATTGTGGCTTCGTGATTGTATGCTGGGATCTCTACAGAAATGTATCGAGACTTTGTATCGCCGTTGGTACGGACGTCGAGGGGTGAGACTTCCCGCATGGGAGGAGTTGGTGCTACGGCCAGGCCCGGGAACAGATCCAACACCGCTGGCTTTTTGTCCTTGGTTGCAGCTGCTTTTGATGTCTTTGTCGCGGTGAAAGTGTGTGTGATGGTGTTCGTAGGTTTCGAAGAAGGAAGGGGTTTCCTCCCTGGTTTCTTCTTCGGCTGTCCGTTTTTCTTTAGTTGCAAAGGCTGTGAAGATCCAAATGGGAGCTGCGGTTGCTTCATCTTTGACTTGTTTGCTAAAACAGACGGGCTCTGTTGTCGAGGGGTGTCGCTCGGCGTCAAAATGCCCTGGGTCTTGATAGCTGTGGTTGGCGTTGAAGGCACCACTACTCCGACCAAAGGGTTCGTTCCCTTCATTTCATCCTCAATGAAGCGATATTCTCCAATGTCCCTGTCATCCCATCGCGGGAGACCAACACATCGAGCGACGTCATCACATTCCCCGCGAACTACCATATCCCAACCATTTTTGAAGTCCACGCCAAGTGGTTCTGGGTCGATATTAATCCAAGCGGCAAATCCACCCCGACGGCCTCGCGTGACAGCACACATCTCACGTGCCAACCGACGAACACCTGGGACCTTCAGACTTGTGCCGACAACAATGACAGCATCAGGTCTGCTCTTAAGATCCGCATGACTAGCCGCTCCAATGGCCTCCTCGTCGGGGTTGTATTCATTGTATAAAAGTAATCTCGGGCGAAGACGACCAATTCCGTGGCTTCGTAAACCGGCCGCGACCCTGACGCTATCTGTAGACTCGCACTCCGTGCAGCTTGGAGGTTCTGGCCCTTGGAAGAGCGACCCGTCGAATTCTGACAATTTGTGGCATTTGCTACACGTCATCTTTTCCAATCCACCGTGTAGCTGGATGGTCTTTGGCCAAGGGCCCTTAGAGTTGAGCGGAACGTGAGTCGCCAGGGGAGTCAACGATGTCTCAATGCCATCGACGTTCTGGGTGTACAATCGCATCAAGCGACCTTCCTCAGCGAGCGTCGCAAGCATGTGGTGGAACGGAGTAGGCTCTGCTGTCTGGGTCAAGAGGGAAAGCTCTCGAACCATGTCATGGAATGAGCTCGTCGAAGAATCATCCCCATACACAGACGCATCGAAGAGGTGCTTCCCAGAGGACTTCAGTTTGTGTTGACTGCGCAACGTCGAGAAAAGACCGGTTGAAGAGCGGAAATCGGGAACTTGAATAGGTGTCAGCAAGAGCAATTAAATAGGGACAAATATTACATACTGCCTGCAGACACAGAGATGCCCGCCCCGGCAATTACAACTATCTTGCGCTTGGTGCGCAAGACGTCGGTCAACTTCTTGAGCTTCGCATCCTGGGCCTTATGATGATCCTTATCCAAGCTCGCATTCAGAGCACGAAGGTCGAGATACTCTGTCTTTAGCTCCTTTGGCGGCGAAATCTTCCGCTTCTTTGCAGGTGGAGGCGCATCACCATCTGCCGCGCCGTTGTGGGCCTGCGACAACGGTCTCACATCAGAATCATGGCTCGAGGGCGGAGATGGATAATTGGCAGGTGGCGAAGGGGATCTAGAGCCTATGCTAGATAGCGGCGAAGAGGGGAGGGAGGAGCTTGAGTCCATGCCGTTGAGTGTTACGTTGCGGGTTGTCAATATCGATCAAGGCCTCTCTCTAGAGTTTGAGGTTGAGGAAGAGGGTAATGTGGGGAGGAAGGGTTTTGTCGGAATAGAAGATAATGACGACGGCTCGCAAGGACTCCTCTTCTCAGGTCATTGTTGTCGGTTTTATAGCGGACTATTTGGGTCGAGTAGCGGTCGTCGGCGGCGGTGACGGGGTTTGGTGGTGAGACGATGTTGAAGAGGAGAAGACACGAGGTTGGAAGAGCGGGAAGGCAGTTGCAGGCCGGAACCAAGCTCGACCGCTACTCGCACTTCTTACTGTAGGTACCCAGAGTCCCTAAGCGGCGGGATCTATGATTTGCTTGCGGGATGACAACAACAACAACCGGCGCACGTGTGGAATCCGGGGGCCGCAGCAGCACGGCGGATCACCAGGAAATGCTTGGTTTCCGTTTGATATTCTGAGGCAACCTCGTGGTTAAAGTTTCATATCCTCCGCTGTAGATTCCACACTGGGTGCGGTGTTACACTACGTGAGAATAGAGCCTATCAAAAACAAAGGAGATACCAGATGTTTTGGTTGCTAGAACTAGTAGCTGCGCTATAGGGATGGGGATGTTTAATATCCTATACTATTCTATTTTGGCCTGTATGTACAGTATATACATATCAGTTATCAGCATGAGTGGCAAACAGAGTCTTCTCCCGAGTACGAGATAGTATTATTATTAGCCCAACAGTCTGTTTGCTCTACTCGGTACTCGGGACTTGCGCTTTGTATTGTTTTGTTATTCGATTCCTTCCTGGTGCAGAGATGTGCTGGTCCCGGTGCCGGTTTAGGCTTAGGCTTCCCGCCAACCCTGCCCTGCCTTGCCGAGACTCGCTTCAGACTCCGTTCTCCGTTCTCCGTTTTCCGTTACTGACTGTACAGGTAACTTCGTATACTCCTCAGCTCTCGTTATATTATATTTATATTTATATTTTTATTCCGCCAATAGACTGGGATGGTCATATTACAAGGCCGTTGCGTGCGTAGCCTAATATAATTGCATTGGCATTGCATACCGGGAGTTGGCCCCTCGTTCCCGGCAGGCTGGACTCGCAACCAGCGTCAAGTACGCGCCTAGCCTTGCGCCAGCCATGCCATTGATCATGGATGAAGATATGGATATGGAAGATCTCTTTGGTGATAGCGATGGCCTCTCCCTGCCGTCTCGCCCGCCTTCCAAAGAGCTTTACCAACGCGTCGATGAACTTAGACGGGGTGGCTGCTGCCAGTACGCGCATCGATTCCCGTCTCAATTTGTTTGCACTTCTAATATTTGAGTAGGGGTATTGCGTGGTCTAATTGGGGCTGTATAGCTACAATCGCCGTGGACGGGGCTTCCTTGGAGCTGAGAAATCTTCGTTGTCACCCTGAAAATGGCATCTGGGGACTAAGTGAACCTTTTGTCACGCCGCCATTTACTCCAACCTTGGAGGGCGGCCCATTGAAGCATCTCTGCTGGAGCCCGAGTGGATCGGAGCTGGCAGTCATTGATACGGCAGGAAGAGTCAACATTTTAACCCTGTTCTCCTCGCTGAACAAACCTACTCTTCACCGGCATGGCCAAATTGATCCAGCAGATGACCTATATGGCGTTGTGGGCTGTTTCTGGTTAAACGTGGCTCCATACAGTCCAAACCGGCCAGTATGTCTTAAGCTCCGTATTGTTCCTGGCCTTGAATTGACTTTTGTTGCAGTCATTCCTAAACGGCCCGGCTGTTAAAGAAGGATCTACCTATCGATATGAGGGCTCTCAAGCTCCTGTGTTTGGCCCGTTCCACCCTGTACATGCCAAATCCGCATTCGTTTGTGTGACAACAAATGGTCTTCTACGGATTATCTTCCCTCAAACTAATGGCAAGTGGTCCGAGGCACATACAGAGCTAGAAAGTGTGGTTTCCTCTGATGACCTTATAACCCACGCGGCCATTTGTCCTGATAAAAGTAAGCTGTCGCAATGTCCTCTTAAGGTATATGCTAATATCCAATTCCAGACAATACGCTACTTATTGCATTTGCCACCACTTCAAAACAACTCCGAGTTTTGCGTGCACTAGTGGATTGGGGTCAGCCGAAGCCAACGGGAGGGAATCATGCTGCAACTCAGCCCTTGAATCCTACCATCAAAACTCGCCATGTTGCAGCAACAAGCTGGCTACACGATGCGCCGGGTGAGACCTTAAACGCTTCAAACATGGATTCGGCCATGACGCAGCTATCTCACTTAAAATTCTTGCCGTCTTGCGGTGATTCGCATGGACGTACAACCCCCCCAACTATAGTCGCCATTCGCTCTCACATGCCAGCCTCAACGTCACATTATAATCAAGATGTGCATACAACCGTGGATAGATGGGAAATCCGTGAGAAACTTCAGACCGTTCACCCAGCTTTTGAGCAATTGAGCTCGCGTAAGAATAGTGTGGGGTCACCGCCAGGAGTAAATCTCTACGTTCTGCAAGTTATTCGTAACATCAACTGACTGTACCTAGCCCACTTTCTTCCTCAAAAAGCTTGAGAGCTTAGTTATAAATAAGACTCTCCTTGCCATACAACCGATGAATCTTGGAAAGGTTATCATCTTTGCATACAGCGACAGCTCGGTTGAGTATCGAGACCGCAGTACAATGGCTGAGACTTTCACCGATCATGACTTAGATCGGGTTCACCATCTTTCCCAGATTGGGTTTTCATATGCTGAAGATGAGCCTTGTGAGTATTTTACCTGAATCCTAGGGTCCATAGTGGCGTTGCTAACGAAGCAAAGGCCTGCAGGTTGCTTTATCACCCAGCTTCTGCTCTTTAGTGCAGATTCGGAATGACGGGAAAGTCAAGTGGAAGCAACTTGAATACCGTTTAGGCGAAATTGGTTCTAGTATGGATGACCGTAAGCAGCCTAACCTACGTTGATATAACAAGCCTAACTATAAGCAGCTCTGTATGCTGGGATTGTTGCAGCTCTCGCACTATCCTGTTCCACTGCGGTAATGAGAAACGTCACTTATGATGACTTGCTAGCCACAGCCCACAAATTATCGAAATCTAGTAAGGCAATTTCACCCGTATTTCTTAAACAGGTACATACTGACGGGGATAGATCTTGCATTTGACTGGCTGATCGAGCTGTCAAAGATTTTAAAGGCGCCAGTCGATTACTCAGAAGAACAACATTTTGATGTATTGATCAGGAATACTGCTATCCAGCTGTGTCTATGCATTCAAAATTCCCTTGGATTTCATGGAGAATTCCATCCACGAACATTTCCCGGGAAGTTTGCCTGGCTAGTTCTCCAATTACGAAATATCGTTGTCCTGGTGACAATGGCCGCAAATCTAAATGTGCCAGATGGGTCAAATCCCAATACTAAAACATCACCCCTCGAAGATCCTGGTAAATGAATTTCTGCCCCTTGACTTCGAATATGTGCTAATACATACTTAGAGGTGATCAATGCTCTCGCTGGGTCTGTCCGTTGGATTCTAGATCTCATGGCATGGTTAACAGATACCCTTTTGACTCTACCGAGCACACTTCCTCCATCAATGGATCTCACGAAACCGGACGGCTTCAAACTTCCCGAACTACTCGCACATCTCCGATCATCGAATACCATCTCCCTACATATGCTGCTTTCTTCCCCAACTCGCGGGTTTCTGACTGCTATCTGTCGGCGTCTCAGTCACCTCGACTGGATCGCTCGACGAGCGATAATGCAATCAAGCTCCAATCCCGCCTCCAACCCCCCCAACGCAAACCCATCCCAAGCGAACAGCTCTTCCATAAGTCCTGCCCTCCGAAACGCATACCTCCAAATTGCTACCCTGACAACCAACACAATCCTCCGCATCAAAACCATCGAGACCCTCCTCGGATCCCTCACCAGCAATATCAAAGAAGCTTACCGAAACGCTAGCCCTTCGCTTGCCGGCCGCCCTGCAGAAGCTGCCCGCAACACCCTTGAAACAAAAATGTTATTTGGTGGCTCATTCCCCGACGCATTCAAGCCCGTCATTGTGGAATTGTTCCGCAGAGGAGGTTTACTAGAGACGGTGCGGGACGACATCGAGCCCGCTAAACTTTTCTTCGCTGATTTCAGCTTGTTGGAGGTGGATGAGGATGCGGCCAGTGTAGCGAAGAGGAAGAGCTCTGGTATGACAATGGACTGTTTTCGGAAAACGTGGTTAGAAAATCCGAAGAAGCGGAAGGGTGGAAATGGTGGGGGGAGACAGGATGCCGCGGCAGGTGGGGATGCGAATGGCAGCGGGAATCCACCACAGGATGGCGCTGGGGGTGGGAGACAGATTGCACGGTGGAGGAGATGTGCGAGGTGCGCGGCAGTTATGGAGGATGTGCTTACGGAGAGACGGGTGCTGCAATGGTTGATTATGCAGCAGAGACGCTGCTTTTGTAGTGGGTGGTGGGATACGCTTGCTTCAGGGGAGACGGTTGCTTGATGGATATATCTAGCTGCTCTGGGATACCTGTCATCCCGGTTCGTGTTGCAGATCGACATACCCCACAGCTCCAAGGATAAATCTTTTAACAAATATGGTAGTCTACTGAATGTAATTGTTCTATATCCCTTCCTAAACTATGTCAATTTGAATAAGCAATAAACTGAGCTAGTTCGGACTTCTTCAAATCACATTTTTTATGATACTTCTAAACCGGCGACTTAGTAGATAGAGACTTTACAGAGAAAAGGGGCAAGAGTAAGCAAGGATATACAGGGGAGACTTCATCTCGATAATAGGTGGTTTGATTAAATTATAATGTAGCATTCATTTTGTTTTTGGATATCTGAATGATGAAGGCCATCTCAAGTTTACAGGTAGAATAATGAATAGGTCGAAAGTAAGATAATAAAGGTATGCCTAGTACAGGGGAGAAGAGAGTCTTTCGTAGAACATATATAAAATCTCCGATTTCATCGAGGCTGGGCTTATTTTCGTGTTAATATGCGTGTTTCCAATGCTCGTGGTCGTATTGTGGCTGGGTAACTACCACGTACAATGGGACACTGCATGGCTAGCTGGCCTCGACACCGTCCCCTCGCTGCAGGGAGCCCTAACTCGAAATGTTCTATCCATGCCAGATCTACATGTCGTGCGTCGTKCGTCGTACGGAGGACACTGGGCACCTTAACTGCCACAAGTACCTAATAAATCTCATCTGCATTCGCGTTGCCACGTGTTCACGTGATCCAATTTCCAGCGCTTGTATATCATGTGATAAGTCCACGTCGGAACGTTGTCAATCGGGAATACTCGGATTCGACGTTCCAGAGAGGCTGATTTGTCGCCTGCCTCCGAAGATAGGAGGTGTCGTGGGGGACGGGCGTGCAGCGAACCAGAGCAGCTTCCGGCGTCCTTATCTCTGGGAGGAAAGAACCCTTCCGTCGCCAGGCTGATTACGTCGCACTGCATAGATGGGTTATCGGCCAATCACAGGGCCGATCTTTGCGAGAGGCTGAGCCGAGAGTGGCAGGCGCGTCGTTGATTGGCTGTCGCCAACCTCCAAGGTGTCCCTGATAAGGAAGCCAACTTACGAAAGATCCGACCAAGCTTGATAGCTTATCTTCAGACTTCATTTGCCTTGCCCAGATTCTAAACGCCCAGACTACTCCGTATCTACCTTGGTAGTCAGTATTGTCGGAAGTGGAGGGAGGCACTGTTTTGACAGGAGGTGGAGCTCAAACGAGTCAAACACAACAAATCAGCGGTAGGACACAGGAGTAGCTATTGTTCTGAAGTGATGACCAGTTGCTGAGGCCATCTCTTGCAGCGGTTGAAGGTCCTGGAGTCTAGGAAGAACCCGGAGGCCTGGTATTCATTGTTGGCTCTATCTTTAGCCAAGTCTGGCACGGCATAGGCCGAACGCCCATGTGGCATAGCACTTTGTTCCTCGTGGGTGATGAACCCAATAGCCATGGGAGTGGGAGGCCCGTCGACCGGATTCTCTCGGATCTACCCAAGCAGTTGGAGCAACCAACTGTTGTGGAACAAACCGAGCAATGGTATTTCGAGGATAAGCGGCTTGTATAGGTGACAAAGAGGTTTGGAAACCTTCGTTCATATCTCTCCATATCACTCCCAAGACCATGGGATGCTTCAGCCACATACAGGCCCCCTTCCATATTCACTCCTATAGATAAGTATCTACCCCCGGCTTGTGCTTTCTTTTGCTCCTCACTACTCTCCGAATCCCTTTCAAAACATCCACAGCAAAGCACAGGTCACCTTGCTCCGTCCCCCTTTTGACCCCCATACCCAACAGTGGAACCAGCTTCCGGACCCCAGTTCCCTAAAAGGCTGATAGTCTGATACCTCGTATCCTGGCGACTGCATATCGATACTTGCCAACTCCACTCCCCTGGCTATTCGATCTCGTTACTTAAACTGACCTTTTAATACTCAACCTCCTCCCTTCCACTCCCTTTCTCCTCCGTCGAGAATCTCCCATCGCCACCTCCGCACCTCCATCCCACTCAACTCCGACCGCAGCTCCAGGAACTACTTCTTCTACTGCGATAGCTCGCTGCGAAAAGACTACTAGAGCGGGCAACTACTGTGATAGCCCTCCATGTCTGCCCCGGAAGGCGTTGATATCCTCAATGGCCTCAACTACACCGTGCTAGTCCCGTACAATGGGTCCAGCGCGACTGGAGGAGACTCCTTGACCGAGGATCTCAATATATTTTACAATGTAAGCTTCACGGCAGCTCCTCGCCGAATTTGACGCGATACTAACACGACAGAAATAGCCCGGTGATATCGCATGGATGATCACTGCCACCGCCCTCGTGCTACTCATGATTCCAGGTGTCGGGTAAGTGCATTCTAAACCGGAAACGCAACGTGGATTGTACAACAGGAGCTGACAATTTATTGTTCTGTAGCTTCTTCTATTCCGGTCTAGCCCGGAGAAAGTCCGCTTTGTCACTCATATGGCTCTCGGTCATGGCTACGGCCGTCGTCTCCTTGCAATGGTTCTTCTGGGGATATTCACTAGCCTTCTCCCACACGGCCGGCAAGTACATTGGTAACTTGGATAACATCGGGTTCAAAGATGTCCTCGGTGCCCCTTCTGTCGGATCCTCCAAGATTCCTGACCTCATGTTCGCCGTCTATCAGGGCATGTTCGCCGCCATCACTGTTGCCCTTGCCATCGGAGCTGTTGCTGAGCGTGGCCGCATGCTGCCTTGTGTGGTATTCATGTTCGTCTGGACAACCATCATTTACGACCCCGTTGCTTGCTGGACATGGAATTCGTCGGGCTGGGTCTTCCAGATGGGAGGACTTGATTTCGCTGGTGGAACTCCTGTGCATATTGTCTCAGGTTGCGCAGCCCTCGCATACTCCGTCATGTTGGGCAAGCGTCACGGCCATGGAACCCATGAGTACGTATTTCTCGGATACCCTTTTCTTTCTGTAAAAGAAAACGACTTTCGTGATACGAATCTCTGCCGAACCAAGCAATGCTAACCAGAAGTTATAGGTTGAACTATCGCCCGCACAACGTTACACACATTGTCATCGGAACCGTCTTCCTGTGGGTTGGTTGGTTTGGATTCAATGCTGGTTCAGCTCTTGCTGCCAATATGCGGGCAGTCATGGCGGCGGTCGTTACCAACCTCGCAGCCTGTGTTGGAGGCATCACATGGTGTCTTCTTGATTACCGACTCGAACGCAAGTGGTCTACCGTGGGATTCTGCTCTGGTGTCATTGCAGGCCTCGTCGCCATCACGCCCGGCTCTGGTTTCGTCCCCGCATGGGCCGCCGTCATCTATGGTGTTGTCGGTGCCGCAGGCGCCAATTATGCTACTAAGCTCAAGTATGTCCTTGGTGTCGATGATGCGCTTGATATCTTCGCCGAGCACGCTGTTGGTGGATTCATTGGCAACATCCTCACGGCTTTCTTCGCAGCCGACTACATAGCACATCTCGACGGCTTCAGCGAGATCCCCGGCGGCTGGCTCAACCACAACTGGGTACAACTCGGCTACCAACTTGCTGATTCCGTTTCTGGTGCGGTGTACTCGTTCTTTGGTACCTGCCTCATTCTCTTCATCATGAACCTTATCCCGGGCCTCTCCCTGCGCGCCACTGAAGAAGCTGAATTGATGGGTATCGATGATGCCGAGATTGGCGAGTTTGCGTACGACTATGTTGAGTTAACCCGTGAGGTCTTGCACGACCCCAACGACGCGGAGAGCAAGTACTCCAATACCGGTGCGCACACTCCAGCAGACGACACAAACTTAGCGGAGAAGCCCGAACGAGTGTCGCCTGTGGCACACGATGTCGCGGTATGATTCCGAATTATACTGTTGCGATTTGTTACATATTTGCATTGGTAAACCGGAATCGGTCATAGTCGATTCGTCTTGAACTCGCTTGTGTTTATCTGCGGCCTTTGTTTTTCTTTTTGATACCTTGTGTAGTTAGGTCATGGTGTATGTAGATCCAATATTAATTTACTAAAGATCCCAAACTATAATCTCCGTGCTTGTGCAGTGCCAACCTTAAGTTAAAACGCGAAAGTGAATTCAATCCTGTTTGTGTGTGTCCAGTGGAAGAGGTGGATTCGTAGCCAATGACTCAATGGCTGCAACTAAATCGTACTTGGAATAGGCCAACACGTTGGCTGGGCGCAAATCGAAGCACCAGAGTTTAAAGGGTCCAGAACGGTACTCGAAGTCTGATGGTTTGTCCTTGACAGAAAGCTTTTGAAGTTTATATATTACCAGGTACTCTTGCCGACAGTCGCTCGCAGAGTCAATAACCCGATACGTTTATGGGCTGAGTGAGAGAGATGCAGACTAGCGAGCGCGAGGTTCGAATGCTGCCTCTTCTGAGGGTAGTTTCGAGTGTGGTAAAGTTCCGAGCTGTACGATCTCATTCTTATATTACGTTAATGGTCTCCTAGCGACATCCCAAGTATCCTCAAACTCGGGTGAAGGATCCAATTTTAGAGAATGAAAAAAAATATAGATAAATTGGAGCAAGACATCTGCAATTTGGCTGTACAATTTTCGAAGGTTTCCCTTGTCCGCAGAGGGATCAAGAGCGGACTGTTCTTCAGGTAGTCTTCCAGGAGTATTCTGTGCGTCGCTGATATCACAGGCATGCTCAACGTATTTCATGATAGTGAATTGCCCTAAGCCGCTAGGACTTTGTTCCTTCGTACCCTAATACGATATCAATGGTACTGGTATCGAGTCATCATCTTGAATATACCGCATTATCGCAACCTCATTCCAGACCTTCTCCTCGGGAACCATAGCCATATCTGGCTTTAGTAGAAAAGCGAACCAAAGCTGAACCGCCTCCGCGGAAATCTACGGCCGCTGCAGCATTATACACACCAGTAAGAAGCGTTCCAACCTTGATTAGTGTCCCAAAATCATAATCTACAAAAAAACATAGCGGGGTCTCTTAGGTTGTCAGGTTTAAGCAGCTCGTCTCGCAATTCCGCGTAAATTTTGTCACTTTTTTGCTCCCCAGCGACGTCGTCAAAAGACAGCCGAGACAGCATTGCAAGACAGCCCCGTATAGGTACTTTTTGAGATTGTATTGTAACGAGAATACTTTGCTGGCTGAATTGGATGTTTTGAAGTTAGACTTTTAGGACAAATGCTGCTGGTTTAGCGAATTTATACGTTTCCATTTCCATGCGCGTGTAGCTTACACCGCCCAAAAATAAACACGAATAGCCTCAGATTAAGAAAAAGGGCAAAAAGAAATATCCCAACCGGTTAAGGTTAGGATACCGAGAAACTCAGATCGGAAGCCGAAGCTTCGACCTTGGTTATCTCTGCCAGTTCATCCAGGGGGGCTGAGCCCGCTTACTGTAGGAGATAGGATTCGGTGGAGACCGTTCGCTAGACTTAACTGCAATACGTATACCACTAGACCATTGCTCCTCACACTCTGTCACTTACCGATAATTTGTTTATTCTGCTATTTATACCACGATATCAGAGGCGAGGTGTTGCCCCTTAAGCGTAAGCGAGAAAGGGCCCCTTAGCGAAGATTTATATTGAGATTTAAGACATGTATGCCTCTTCTATGTCCCAAATTGTGATTATTCTTTGGAGTTTTGAGGCTTATTTAAAGATATAAAGGTTAGGTTAGTTGAGTCGATTGCCTATCCTTTGCACCAGCACTACTCGAGTAGTATAAGTGTCAACAATGATATGCTACCTAGGTAGGTAAATATCCCCACAACTCTCTCATATTCCAAACGCTTAAATCTCTTAAACACATTTGACAGGGATCTGGACGGCTATATATGTCTTAGAAGAACCCCCCAAAAACACAACGTTAACACACTTGCAGCATCTATCGAGTCGGTATAATAGCGATGACCTATCCGGTTATAGCATTCCCACCACCTAACCTTCGCACATCAGGCATGCAGCACAGTACACCAAAGCTCCCACCAGGCTTGCTGCTCCTACGATGTTCCACCTTGTCCGTTGCAACGCGCAGCTCGTATACCTGAAGCTACTCCCAGATTCTAATTTTCCCTTTCTTGTACTCCCTGCCTACCCACTCCTTCACCCGTGTGCCCCACACACCTTGTTATTCTCGCACTTTGGCTTTATTTTAGTATTTCAGTAGCTCTAATGACTCGGCGACGCTCTTGATCCTCCTGATCCTCCTGATCACTCTGAATACCCTAGGTATCCTCAGCCTCCTCCTGCTTAATCCGGAGCCGGGACATCTCACGCTGTCCCTGGGTCTGGCTTACGCCTGAGAGAATCCTTTTACGGCCCCGTAGTCGAAGGATATCCTTAACAGTTGGCAAGTCCGAGCCGTCCGTATCAGAGGATATAACAATCGGGAGGGAGCGCGCTTGGAACAGCGATCCGTCGCACTCCTTCTTGCTTTATTACCACTTATCGAATAGATCAGGGAGAGTACTATCCGTAAGCTCGTCCTCCGAACAAAGCTGATCCGTAAGAGCTAATTGCTCCTCCTGCTGGCGTATCTAGAGTACGTCCTGCCTATTACACGTAGTCGGCTCTACATACATCAATAAAGTGGACTATATACTCTTTTGATATCCCACCCAACCCAAACATAGCGCGCCAGTTCCGACAGCCCTCGTCTGGGTACACGTGAGCAAAGTTAACCTCTTCTTGAGCACCCTTCTTTGTCTTTTTAGCTATAGGTTGCTGAGCTATAACTACAGGGCAACAGTCTGGCCGTATCCGAATGTTCTTACTACCTGCGAAGCAAGGCCACCGAATATTAGCAGGCTTGCGGGTAAAGATGTTATTTGTAGATGCAGCAGATGTGAACACCTTGGTTCCTCTCCAAAGGTACGGTTGCGACGGGATATCAGGAATCTCTCTGTCGCCCTTATGGAGGGGGTCCGAAAGGTCCCGTAAAAATTCGATGCCGCAGCAATTTTCATCGTGGGAGTCGCCAATCTGTTGTAACTTGTGTGTATGGCGGATGAAATCTGTGTCGTGCTTCCCAGGTGGGCAAGATGCTCAACAAAGTGGCTAAGGATATCGACTTCCTCATACTCGAGATCGTCTACGAGCGTTGAACCCGAGGTATTACTAGAATTGGAATACGAGTCTGGTGAGTAGCTCTTTCGCGACATAATCTCGTCTGGCTCGTCGGCTTCTGCGGTTATCATCCATATCCTCGACATCGCGTTCCGGTGGATTGGTCCTATTTCGGACAAACTGCTTAAAGGGATTCTCTCTGGTCTGCAAGGTACCAGTTCGACTCTGTCGTTCGGCTGTGCTACCTGCGTTATATCTGTTGCCTCCTTCGAGTCCGGTATCGTACAGACTATTCGGGTTCCGCGCGTGTGTCCTCCGTTTCGAGCTCTGATTTGCAATGTGGCTTCCACTTTGGCCTAGACTCTAGCTTTTTGCTATCAAACTCAATTGCTAATCCCATACTGCCCTCCAAGTACTGTAATAGCTGGTCGGCTGCAGCAAGGTGTTTTGGGGCTGGATTAAGTTGAAATTCGGCCAATTTGGAGATGGATTTGGATACATCGGCTCGTGTAATAACAGACGCGTAATTGATACTACCCACTCTCTGTTGGTAGGCAAGCATCTGTTGAGGGGTAGCCTGGCCGTCGAATTGATCTAATTCGCCAGTTGGCAGGGGTTTTAATAGTTTTCTAACAACTGTATTGAGCTTGAATGTGGAGCTCATCTCCTTGAATATATGAGTCCTGCACTAGGCAGAGTTTCTTAGTGGGCCGGTCCCTGAGGATTCTGATCCCAAGAAAGTGATTTGCTTCCTCAAGGAGTCGTAGTTGATATTTGGCCATTAGGTTGGCCTCAAATGTGTTATATACCTATTACTATCAAAGTGGTATTTGAATACCCAGGTTCATAGTAGGGAATCCAATCCACTATATTCGACATATTCGAAAGCTTGTATGAGTTGGAGAGTGTCGAATTCGTTCTCCGCCGCTTTACCAAAGCCCGGAGACTATGGGTGCTTTCTTACCTAACGCTAGTGTTTAGGTTCATCTGGGAGGGTATCTCTGTGGATTCGACCTGTTTGACGCATCGAATGAGCTGAGAACATGCTGAGTGGTATCCAGAAAGAGAATTAGTATTTTGGAGGGCTCCAGTGCAGGGTTTTCTTTTTGTTCGTCTCCTGTTCCTCGATCTAGCAATTGCATTGGCTTGATCAAGGCTGCCTGCGACGTCGTTGCTCCTCTCTGCATTGTTGCCTAGAGCTCCTGCCAATTGATTTCGAATAGGGGAAGTCTTCTTCCACCAATTGAGGCAAGGTTTCTCCATCTTGATCTGTCTGGTCGTATCACGCATTTGGGTGATTGCCCGGGATCATGACATTTCAGTGGCTTGGTAGGAGGACTGAGCCTCAACAAGACGATATAGTATCAGGAAACATTATATATTGAAAATACGAAGTACAGTAGTAAAGACTGGTTAGGGTTATAGGCTAAGCACGTTATAGCGATAACCACAGCGCGAATAGAGCGGCAGGAAGGTGCGAATGGCTTCAATATTAGGTTGTGGCAGGAACAGGTTGGGTAGCGAACAGGGCGGGAGCAGCAAGCTTGGTGTGGTTTAGGGGGCAATGCGCTTCTTGCCTGATATGTAAGGCCACAATCTGCCCTAACAAAGGCGGCAGCTATTTCCCAGAATCAGCGCGTATCACGAATTTGACACCGAACCGAAGCTAAACAAAATACCCGCCACCAGAAGACCTCCCACTAGCATTTTCCTCCATTCCTAGCAAGGCGACCAGCCAGTTTGCCTTCCCTATACCCCGCTGGATCGAGATAAATAACGACACACCCGCACCATAAACACGCGCCAGGCCACAACTTCATCACGCGCCAGTATGGACATAGTCCAAGGTAAGCTCCCTCAAACCCCAGCGAACTCTACCATCGAAATATAAACTAAGAACCGCACAGATATCGCCGTCCAGGCAGTCCACGTCTACCACGAAATGGATCCCTACCTCCGGCCCGTCCGACAATTCTTCTGGGACTTTCAGTCAACATGCTATCCTCTCTTGCTCCCATACCTCAACCGCTTCGCCGTTCTCGCGCAAGAATCCCCAGCCATAGTCTCCCTGGGCGTCCTCTTGCTATCTCTCGCGATAATGCTGCAGATCCTGAGCTGGGTGAGGAGGATGATGGTCTGGTGGTTTAGGCTCGTCACCAGGGTGATGTTTTGGGGGACCCTGGTGGTGTTGGCTAGTGTGGTATGGCAGAGGGGACTGGGGAAGACGTTGCAGGATGTTATGGATCGGGGGGAGGAGTTGAGTAATGTTTGGTGGAGGGAGTATAGGAGGTGGGAGGGATACCAGAACATGAAGAGAGATCAGGGAGTCGGGGGTGCGAGTGCTAGGGCTTCTTGGAGATAGACGGTAGCAAGCCGTGACGGCGGTGATGGGAAAATATTATTTGGATCGAAAATGGTAATGGGCATGGCATATTTGGATTTCAAAGGCTGGTGTTTGGAGCGTCTGGGTTCAAGGTGGAGAGAGTATCATCTAAATGTCATAATGATTAACGCCGACGCTATGCTTTAATAAGCCGTTTATGGAGTATCCCACTCTATATCCCACAATCAAAGAACCAAAAGCCTGAGCTCGCAATTGCCGGCCATCCAACAACTCCAAAACTCCTCCTAATATCTATCGTGAGCGCAGACGAAGCGAATCCCCACATTTATGGCAAGTCCTCGTCTCCCATTTCCATCTCCTCTATAGGCTCTTTCGGTTCCTGCGCCTCATGGAACTGGATAGCATCATCGATATAGCTCAATATAGCTGCAACGCTATCTTCATCCTGCACATCTAATCTTAGATAAGAAACCATGCCAAAGCTGTCAATCAGCCCCGCAACGGCCTTATTCAATCTATTAAAACTCTTGCCCTTCATCAAGGTCTGGGTATCCCCTGGGTTCGTGGAGCCATCATCTTCCTCGGCTTCTTCTTCTTCCAAGATGGAGGCATCCGCATCGAGAAAGCGTTTCATCTGTCGCTTCCCAACCTGTCCCTTCACAAGATCCATCTTGGACATGATATTGATATGCGGAACCTCGAGCATTATCATGGCGCTCATAGCACTCAACGTCCCGGCGAAGAACTTGGCGCTGTCAATAACAAAAGTAGCTTCGAGGAGGTACGCAGCACAGAGTCTGATATCGAGCGCGCCAGTGCGCGTCAGGTGCTTAACCAGCGCGGGTAATATGGGGATGTGGGTGTAGAGCTCTATTTGTCCGGGCATGTCGATAACGATGAGGTACTCGTCGGATAATGGGTCGAGCGCATCGCTGAGGAAGTCCAGGTTTTCCAGCAGGAATTCGAAGCAGTAGATCAGGCCGCCGTTGGGGCCCAACCCCATCTCCTCCATCACATCTTCGAGAGAGATCAGGTCTTTGATGTCGAGATCCGGCTCGTGGGTGAAGTCTTCGGCTGCGGGGTCGAGGTTCACGTAGAAACAGGAGCGCCTGTTGTTGCGCAGGTTCGTTATGAGGGCGGAACAAAATGTTGACTGCACAGTATATATGTTAGCATGTGGATTTAAGAGGGTAAAATGCAGTGCTATTAACCTTACCGGCCCCCGCGGGGCCCATAACCACGACGCCGTATTTACTCATGTTGAGGGTTATGAAAGTGAGCGTGAATGTGTACGTGGACGTGGGGTTGTCTCTCAAAAGAAACTGGGAGCATAGAGCTTTGGAGACTTTTTGATAGTTGCCTGATAAGCTAGGTTGGTATATGAAGTATCCAGAAGTACCCCGCGGTGCACGTGCCAGTCGAGGTGCCTTAGGTATTAATACAGAGGCATGCTTCGTACTTTCGTACCTCGTACTCGGTACTCAAGTCTCAAGTGTCAACCAGCCTTTGTCCATTCTGGGACGCAGATCGCCAGTGTTGATACTCGAGATGGAACAGTGAAAGATGGCGGTGAAGTGCCTCTGCATACTCCTGTAGTACATACCACATAGGTACCTACGTACCTACCTGTAATAAACACTCCCTATTAGTACGTACTTCGCACTGCACAATCAGCTCTGCGGCAATTTCTTTTTCGCGATGGTGCAATCCGCTTAAACTGGACTAACGTGCGCGTGAGCACGGGCCCCGTCCTCAGAAATCTCACCCAATTCTTGTTTCCTTGGCTCCCTTCTTCTCAACCGCAGCCGCAACCGCAACCGCATCTCCATCTTGTCCCTCTTGTCCCTCATTTCCCTCCCTTTCCGCAATCCCATCCACCCCCCAATAACCTCAACTCTTCCTCATCACCCTTCGCTCATAGCCCTCAAATCTCTTCACAATGGCTGCTATTACAAACGGCACCAATGGCACTGCGCCGCACCACAACCAGGGAACATTCTTGTTCACCGTAAGTTTGATTCCCCCCCCACTTGAGATGAATATTTTGCTGATAGGCTCTCCTTTAAGTCTGAGTCCGTAGGAGAGGGCCACCCCGACAAGATCGCTGATCAAGTCTCCGATGCCGTTCTCGATGCCTGCTTAGCTGAGGACCCTTTGTCCAAGGTTGCCTGTGAGACGGCCACCAAGACCGGTATGATTATGGTCTTCGGTGAGATCACAACCAAGGCCAACATTGATTACCAAAAGGTCATCCGAAACGCCATCAAGGACATTGGTTACGATGATTCCGCCAAGGGCTTCGATTACAAGACCTGCAATGTCTTGGTTGCCATTGAGCAGCAATCGCCAGATATTGCCCAGGGGCTGCACTACGAGCAGGCTCTTGAGCAGCTGGGTGCTGGTGACCAAGGTATCATGTTTGGATACGCCACCGATGAGACCCCAGAGCTGTTCCCCTTGACCCTCCAGCTGGCACACAAGCTCAACGCCGCTATGTCTGCTGCCCGCCGGGACGGAAGCCTGCCATGGCTGAGACCTGATACTAAGACTCAAGTTACGGTTGAGTACAAGCACGATAACGGAGCTGTTATCCCAGTCCGGGTTCACACCGTCGTTGTCAGCGCCCAGCACAGTGAAGACATCACCACTGAGCAATTGCGCAAGGAGATCAAGGAGAAGATCATCAAGAAGGTTATCCCAGCCCAATACTTGAATGATGAGACCGTCTATCACGTATGTAACCCCTTGGATCATGCTTCTCGCAACTCCATTAACATATTCTTAGATCCAACCCTCTGGACTCTTCATCATCGGTGGACCCCAAGGAGATGCTGGGCTTACTGGCCGTAAGATCATCGTCGACACATACGGTGGATGGGGAGCCCACGGTGGCGGTGCCTTCTCTGGTAAGGATTTCTCCAAGGTCGATCGATCAGCTGCCTACCTGGCCCGATGGATCGCAAAGTCCTTGGTCCATGCCAAGCTTGCCCGACGTGCGCTCGTCCAACTCTCATATGCCATTGGTGTCTCTGAGCCACTCTCCATCTTCGTTGAGACCTACGGCACCTCAAGCAGGAGCTCTGATCAGCTGGTCGAGATCATCCGAAACAACTTCGACATGAGACCCGGTGTCATTGTCAAGGAGCTCGACTTGGCCAAGCCAATCTACTTCCGCACTGCCAAGAACGGTCACTTCACCAACCAGGAATTCACCTGGGAGAAGCCCAAGACCCTCAAACTCTAGACGAGATTTGAATAATAGCCATGATTAGCACCAGACTCAACGTCTAGGTGCTCAATTTTCCTTTGTGGATATACTCACGGCGAAATGATTGAACGAACACAGGCATGGTCTCAACGACCTACGGAGCAATTCGGGCGGAGTTAATTTTTCGTTTCTGGTGGACAATCGGCATTTTTTTTTCGTTTATTTGCTTGGGGAATATTTCCCCCGAGCGAACCCAGAGGAGACGAGTCTCTCCTGCTTTATCGATTGGGTCGTGAAAGATTTTTAAAAGTCTGATGAATATTCAACATAGACCGTAGATACGGCGGCTGCGTGCAACAAGACTTGTCCAGCAGGCGAGTTTTTTGTTTTGTTTAGCGCGGCGAAAATAGAAATGAGCATCATTGCATATCTGGCGTTACGGGAGAACTTCAACATCTTCTGAATGGTCGGATATACTTCGTCATCGAGGCTCGTTTGAACCAGGAGGTTGCGTGGAGGAATTTATGGCTGGGGTAGATAGTTCGCTCCCTCGCAACTGTCCTTAGCTATATTCTTTAAATAGAGATCTAGCCGGTAGATTCGTGGTAGAATTGAATATACTACGTTTCTCGGTGCTAAGGATACGACTGTCTGTCTATTTATATCGCTCACTTTGTGTGAAGATCTGTATTTGAGCCTATCCGTGTCCCTAACTCATCAATTTAGTGAATCGATGCAAAACGAGCAAGTACACACTAGGCGCCATCAGAAGACCGCTTTGGAGATGCTGCAAACAGGTACAGCATATGTACACTGCTTGCCCTGTTACACCTACCGAGCGGGGACATTCGGGAGGGATCGGACGAGTCTTCGTCATACAGAGAGCATACTAGGAAGACAGATCCATCCCAAGTTGGTAATGATACATCTGGCATTACCGGCTACAGGCTCTCAGTTAGTCAAGCCATGCGCTCCGCAAAAATTACACCAGCAATCGCTCTCGTTCTTCACTTCTTCCAGGTAAGCCAACCAGCTCGCTTTGGAATAGGAACGCGTAGATCACCCAATGAGGTCCTTCCACATTGGTATTCGTGGTTTCTTCAATGTGAATTCTGTCCCTTTAGAGGAGACGGATACGAATCCTGGTTTTATTCAGGGCTGTTTAGGAAGCAGAAGGGTGGCGATAGGCTAAAAAAAAGTTAGTTGTTAGACCCGTTGTCGAGGGACAAACCAACGGTACAGATATCCATCCCCGATAGGCCCTTTTGGGTCCAGGAGGGAATATAAGGAGTATCACTGGACACTGGGACCTAGGACGACGGACAAGCAAAGTTATGAAGCAAGACTTGGAGAAGACTTAACAGGAAGTCGATGAGAAAAGCCAGTGGATAGAGAAACTGGGCTAACAGAGCAGGGTCTTTTATACTTGGGCTTAATACTACTAGCTATGGAGAGTTTGGTAATAGGTGGACTGCTGTCGAGGTATATATTATTGTCGAGGTACGGACTGTTGCCAGTACATAGGATTTTGTTAAGGGATAGAATGTTGTTAAACATTGTTTATTATTTAAATCAGCATATCATATATTATATACCGAGGTTCCTAATAATCTCACTCCCCCAATTTGTCATAATTACGGGGTTATATAATGTAGCTGGTGGAGAACTAAGCCGATGAGCAAACAACAAACGGAGGGTGCGTTCTAGAATGTTGGAAGTCTATAGGTACTAAGGAGATGAGTCGAGTATCTGAAGGCGTGTACTCCTAGTACATACATGGTCGTGGGTCTTATCAGCATAGTCTTCGTGAAAAGCTGCGACGTACACTTTAAGACTCTTAGGAATTACTATCCGAGCTTCCACCAGTTCTGAAATGCTTTGAGTTTGGAATGTATAGTGCTATCCCTTATTATAGTTCTTGAATTCTACATACTATATACCATTCTCAGTATTCTTCAGAGTAAGGTTAGTATTATAGATGAAAAGTATGCCTAATAGTTGTAACAGCCCAGCTGGGTTACAGCCCAGGAACTGGAAAGTGAGTATATTGTAGAATCTAAAGCCAAGGAATTTAGAAGGATATATGACAGGCAAGGTATATATAGTCCCTTATAAGCACCTACAGCTTCCTGAGACAGTTGCACTATTACTTATAGTATCTGTAACTTGTCTGCAACACATCCGTGGTCCTGTGATTGGCCTGTCGTATGTCAAGACCGTCACATTATTAATGTAAATTGTATACATCTGAGACCTTTTTTGTTAAACTCTTTAATAAAATTCTTAGAGTCATTTAACCTACTCATATTCATTAAAGAGATCGATTTCTAAAGAGCACAATGTAACACAAGTGAGTAATAAGAATAATTATAGAAAGATACAAGTAAGCTGTTGAATCAAAAATCTGCAATATATAATACAAATTCGGAAAGGAAGATAGGGAAGTAATTAAGTAGCTCTGATAGAAGATGATCCAAAAGGGCAAAATTTTAGAAGAAGAGTATAAGGGTATATTCTCCTTGGGAAAAAGGTAGGATTATACTATGTTACGAGAAGAATATGCTTTGAAAAAGTAAAGAATATACTTTTGGGGGAGTCCTATTTGGGCTAGGAGCCGATTTAGTCTACTTGAATATAATTATATAAAAATTAACAACTTTTATAAAATAGAACTAAATAGTAAATAAACTATAATTAGTCACTAAAAAGAAAACTAGAAATATAATTAAGTAACCTAAGTAGAGGGTGAGGCGAGGGTGAGTAACAACTGAGTAGAGCGTTAGAAGCGACGTAGGTTAAGAATTCGGCGTAGATTACTACTATAATCAAGTGACTACGATCAAGACTGCGACTAAGTAATTACAATCAATACTACAATCAATGCTACTACTACCAGAATAGGACGCCAAAGGGTCGGCATAGATTTATGGAAGCAGTCTTATTGTTAAAATTTGTTTTGCTATCAATGGTTTCATCTCAAACTCTATACACATGGTACACAAGAAGAGTACGTGCCTCAAGCTGAGATGTGCTTAGGTGCGGCCTCCTACAGCTCACACACATGCCTACTGCGACGAGGTGTCGCGGGCTCCACAATTTGCCGCCGCAGATTAACCAGTTTGCTTAGTTGGTTCTACTTATTGCGTGTTTCTGTCGCCGACGGGAGCTAAACGGTAGTGTTTAACCTTATGACTGGAGTATTTGAAATATATAGATGTCATTATTAGTCAGTAAAAGCTCTGTTACTGCAGACGAAACACCTTTCCAATGATAGTGGAACATCCCAACAAAGATCTGGATTTATAAGCTCTCTATCCCCGTTTACGCCCTAAATGCCATAACACGACTTCTCTGTGTCGAACGCACACCCCTTTTCTGGACGGTATTCAGATCTCGCAAATATAACCAAAGAACTCGCATGCTTTCAAGTACCACTGAATCAACAGTTTTCAGATTCTTATGTACAACATTCTTCAGATACGAGAGTATTTTAAAAAGGAGCCACACTCGGTGAAACGGTTGTGTTAGCATTAACCAGATAGAAGACCATTTCAATGCAGAAAGAAAGTTTGGAATTCGAAGCTTATGAACCATACTATGTGTGGAATTCGGTACCAAAATGGCTTCGACATCAACTGAATACATCATTCCGAACTTGATGAATTCGTACCACCCAAATGAGGATTCTTGGATGCAGAGGGGTTCACGATATCTGTGCTTCATGCTTAGTTCGAAGGGGCGGGTTAATACTTGTAGTGCCGTTGCATCAAGAACCATGTTAAGCGTTGGTTTGCCCTCTAGGTTTCCCTTTAGCTTGCTTCTTGGTTGATGTGCTAGAGCTGGTGCCATAAAGAATGTTGGTTTCGGTGCTAATTCTGTCGCTGCTTTCGCTGGCCCAGGGGAAAGTATGGCTCGGCTGACCAGTATGTAGTGATTTCCCCTACGGCGCAGAATTGCTCCTAGGTTGGATCCATGGAACTGGCACAGCACATCGTCGTCTCTCATACAGCTTGATGCTATACCGAACTCCCCACCTTCAGTCCCGAAAAATTGGGCAGTTCCCGCAAACTTCCGTAAAGCATGGTAGTTCGATTGCTCCGTGGCCCGGTTTGTCAGATGCAGTGCGTCGTCACTAGCCGTGGCGTACGCAAAATTTGAGGAGTGTGGAATGGTAAAAGATGTGCTGACTGAGTCCAGATATATTAGTTCTTTTTCAAGGGCATCCCTGGATTCATGACGAGTTGGATTGTAAAGGTAGCCAACCAGCGTGTGCACCCAGTCACCTTGATGCAGATCCATTAATTCTCGGTCCTCGAAATTATTCTCAACCGGAAAAATAGGGCCTTTGAGAATTGCTGTGGTGCAAAACGTCTCCACCGGTAAGCACGGTGGAACCTCGCCAAGGAGTCCAGAGTTCGGTTCGTTGGCGATGGCTTGTAAGCCTAAGTGACCTTTGAAGGACAATTGTAAAAGCTGACTGAGTTTCTCAAGGCGACATGGGTCCTGACGTCTAGCTCGGGTACCATAATACCATCGTATAACGTCTTGGTATATTTCGTGCAACTGTTTCGAGTAGTCAATACCAATGTCACCCTTGCGAAAATCTGTTAAGAGACCAAGGAGGCCGTATATTTTGTCCCGTGGATCTTGGCATAATGACTTTTCAGTTGTTATGAGAAGTGTCTCGAGTGACCAGCCTCTGTCTCGGTATGCCCTTTGCTTATCCAGCTGGAAAGGCAAGCTTTCTTTGAAGAGTTTGACAGGGACACCAAGAATTAATTCTTCTTCCCAGGCAGTTGGAATCTGTTCCAGAGAATGCCGAGCTCTCGTCAAAATACCCCAGTCCGTCGTGGTTCGAGCGGCATCCCCAAAACATAAGACGATCTTATCTGCTAAAAGCACCTCTTGAATAATCCACAGGCGCCTCCAATACGGCAGATTGAACACATTTGCCAAGCAAAGGAAAGCAATATTAGAGGACAAGTCTTGGATGTTGTCAAAGAGACTCTGCTTCCATCGCAGGATTTCTTCCGACCTTAGTTCGCGCCATTTTTTAGTCAAGCTGACCAAGACCATTTTGTGTTCTTCGAGCTCGTTTTGTTTTTCGAAATCGAGTTGTCGTAGTTCTTGGTCTATGGCGTTTATTTCTTTCTGCCAATTGTTATATCTTCGCTCGACACTTCTTCGCTTATCTTCTAGTTGTTGTAGCACTTCTTCTTGTTGTCGAATTGCCTGCCTCTGTTCTACTAGGTTTAGTAATGCCGTATATTGCCCTTCTTTTAACCCCTGTGGCACTTCTTTCTCCAACCATGCTTTGAGGGTTTCCTCATTAAACCTTTTATCCTTTGGACTAAGAAGAAGCCTTTGCAATTCCAATAGGCTTTGTAGAGCATTAGACTTTTCTCTATGCACCCCTTCTTCTCGCTCCTGCTCCTGCAGTCGCACCTCAATCATCTTCTGTGCCTCGTTAAGTACTTGCGAGACTCCCAATAACTTCTCTTTTAATTGACCCTCTGCTATCGTTCGCATCTCTTGTAGGAGCCACAACTTCATCCGGTCCCGCGTCATCGAGGGCCGCTGGTCTCCCAATATTTGTAATTGTTCCCGTTCTCTTGATTCCAGCTCATGCCGATGTACTTGGCTCCGCCTCAAGTAGCACCAATCTCTTATCAGCCTCACAAAGGCTTTCTCGCTTTTCGTCCACTTTGGTTTTCCCTCTCTCTTCGACTGTGTGTTTTTGGACCGTTTGCTTTTCTTGAAATGATCCACAAGATCTTTTACCCAACTTCTCCAGGCGGATTCATTCAGAAAGCTTGCCGTGGGTGGTGTAGGGGGGAGATTTGAGATTGGAGAGAAGCCGCCAAGATTCTTCGCCAATTTCACTGCGTCAAGCGCTGTTGACCCCCACCGTGGAGAAGGCCTTCCCAGCCAAGCCAATACTTGTCGTGCTTGACGATAGATCTCACCCATTTGCTCAACCTGGTGATTTCGTTCGTGAATATTATTCTGGTTGATACAAAGTGCGTCGACCCAGAGGACTCGTGGCTCTGATCTCCGGAGAGCCGCTAAGGCGTAAGCCAAATTCGGCCTGATCGAAAAATCCTGTCCATCGAGTTCAATGTGGATATCCGTACCAGAACTACCCCAAGTGTATGATAAAGCTTCGTAATCTGGACGATCATCCAGATTCACGATGAATAGCTCACATCGAATCTCTTCTAATGAATGCCATGGCTGTTGTAGACCAGTACTCTCTCTCAATGGCAAGAGGCGAAGAAGACGGATTTGCCTAGAGTAAAGCTCCAGGGGTTTCTGGGGTGAGTCCGACATCTTAATTTGAATAAACCATAAAATCAATAGGTAATGTATTGTGAATAGATATTGCATAAATGGCGAGCATCCTGCCTTGCGGTTACTTATCCTGCTGGTGGGTACCCTGCCCCAACAGAGTAGTTCTATGTGGAGGCTTGGAACAAATGTTGCCTGGCGGTTTCGCGTTCTGGGCTCTCAGCCTTACCACACCGAACTCACCGCATTCAGTTTAAGACAGACAGGAAAGGCAAATTGAAAGAAAAAGTGGTACGACGTCAATATTAGAATACTGCGTCTTGGGGTAAATGAGAGAAATGGGGCCGCATCTTTTCAACACAGATCAGAGCTGATTGACTCTCGATAATGAGAGCCCCTAAGTTTGCATCCGAACTGGTACGCAAGCCTTTATCGAAAAAATAGCCTGTAGTCGCATCGTCGCAAGACTTGAGCGATTTTTTGTGTGTTTGGTAATGGCGGTGCAAGACGGTCAATCAGGAGAGGGCAGTTCGCGTACGTGGCGGTGGCTTGGAGCAAGGACAGCAGCACACAGGCCTCAACAAAAGTTGACAAGAAAAATCATGAAGAGGAATGGTCAAATCTCTTGCAGCGAGCGACACCTAGGTTAGTTTTGTTTCACACGAGAATTGTAGTAGGGTGTGCCGCCACCCCTCACGTGTTTGATGGTAAAAGGCTCTTGAGGCTAATACTTTTAGGGGAAGGGGGGTTCTTGTTTTGGCTCCCTGGGGACCGACTTAGTCCCCCTAAATATAATTGTGTAGAGTTGACAACTTTAACTAGGCAAAGCCGAATCTGCTTTAATTACTATAAGCAGGTCTTTAATCATACTGCTGTGATCTAGCAACAAATTAACATATTTCTTATCGCCCAACAGGACTTGCTTGGCCTTGGAAGTTGGCCAGATCGAATCCATCATCGTATTACTCTAGGGAACCTAGGGCCGTGACCTCCTTTGGTGTCTGGGCTTTACTCCGGATGAAGTGTCTTGTCTTGCGCTTGCCTGATTCCTTGTCAAATATCAACCTTCAGTGTCCCTAACCAGAAGAAAATGCATAGAGAAGATTGATAAATTCTATATCCTTAGAGGGACCCAGAGGAAGAAACAACATCCCCCGTCCAACTTTCTGCATTTGTTGCAAGACTAATCTCCTTCTCATCCTATAGCGTGTAATAAAACCTACGCGAAATCACCTCTATCCCCATGGACAAAATGAGAAATAAGAAGTGGGCATTGAGATTGAGCATAATTTATAATGGCCAACTGAATAAGACAGAAAATCCACGGTCTAGCAACGAGGGACACTGGATAAAAATATTTGAAACATGGGTAGGGGAAGTGAATATATTGCAAACACGAGGAAGAGGGTATTATTAGTTATATTATTTTAATAAGATCGAACCGGAATTTGGAGATTAAGTGAGTTGTAATATACAGTACATTATTCAAGACCCTGTAACAGCGAGTCTTTGATGCAGTGAAACGGATTTGGAAGGAAGGGTAGCATATCTTATGTAAAGCGAATAAGAGGTGATGGATTGGTAATTCTTTATGGGTTGGGCACACAAGAACAGCGATGGTTTAACTACTTTGTAAACAGTAGTGATATAGGTATTCCTGTATGTTCTAGTCCTCATAAATAAGCTGGTCTTGATAAAAACGGCTCAGACTTCATATATGGGTTGGCTCATTAAGATGTTGCTTGAGGGAGATGCCCACTAATGCGTGTGTAAATTAGGCAGAGGCGGATATTGCACGTTGGTGTTGACGTTGGCATTTGTTGGTTTTGGCTACGCCTGGCCACTCTTGGGTAGCAAATATTTTTTCCTGGAGACGCCTTTGCCTCGGAAATGTCCCTAGACAGGTATGTTTTAAGAAATGTAGTCAAAGGGGCGAATAGAGATGGAATCGCCGATCCCACTCGGAGTCGTCAAAGAATGAGGCGCATATGTATATGATGATAGGGAATGCAAATCAGATGAACGAGGACCCAGAGCGCTAGCCTTGGTCTGGTAAAGAGATGGTCATAGAGGTCCAGAAAGTATGGAATGTTGAATCAGTTGCCTTCTCGGATGTGTAGGTCCCTTCGTGTTAGGTAGGTTTTACTGACGCCAGGCACCGAGATGCACGATTGAACCAGGATGCCATATATTAAGCAAAGACGTTAGGAAGAAGCAAGCTCACCGGTCCATCTTTCGTCCGCCACCGCTACTGTACAATTACCCCGGATATTTAAGTACGCCTCGTCCTACCTGCCCCGTCAGGCTCCACAACTCGTAGACGTCACGTAACGAATCCTTCGCGAAGCCCGAACCTTGCCTTTTTTTTTGGAGAGGGAGAGAGTGTGGAGACACGATTGCCGAATCGCGATATGTGGTAATCGATGGGAATTCTACGTACTGTACTTCGTACTTCGTAAAATTATCGTAGAGGGGCATGAATGATGAGGGGTGTAGGTGGCTCGTAGAAGAAGATCATTTCGCTTGGGGGATTGATCTTGATCGGTGATATTAGACGGTTAGTTTCTATACCGCAGGCTTTGAGTGGGTGAATGAGGGACGGAGATGGGATTCTTGGTTTCGTATCATGGGGTCAGCGGCAGACGGGAGTTAGCTGTTGGCAGTTTTATTTCGATGACATGATTTCAAGCCGGAGGGCTCAGGGGGTCAAGATAGAGTTGTGTCAGATATGCTGGAAGCTGCTTCCGTCGAAGGGCAACTGTTCAACAGGTGGTCTTTACTCTACTCGATCGGCATAATTGAAGAGATAATGAGAATCTCGGCAGTAGTAACTCCCATGATCGAAGGTCCAGAACCCAATTAAAAGTCCATGTGTTGGAGCCTTTCCCTGGTGTGGGGGATACCCGTCGTTGGGGGGAAGGTTCATAGGAGATTAAAGCCAATTCAGCGGGGGATAGGGGTAAACCCTCCGGAGTTTATTTCATGCTGGAGGGAGATGGTTAGTCGTGGCCATGTTCACAATGCTGGGCTGCTAGGGTCATCGGTGATTTAGCGGCCTTGGAAGAGATCGAGGGATGGTTATGACATGGCTCTGAGGGTCGGGAACTTGACAAAGGTTATGGTGTTCACCAGGGGAGTTTTGTGCTTTGCATAGCGAGGCGAAGTTCTAATAATCTGTGGCCTTGTGGAGGTAGGTTCTACTATCTCGAGGTACTTACAGTATTCGGGCTTTGAGACATACCTCCGCACAGTCGCTGGATGGGGCCGATCGTCAACAGGGCGTGCTGAAAAGGTAATGATTGTCTCTCCACGTTCTGCCAGAAGGGACAAAACCGGCAGCGGCCAGGTAAGTCTCAAGGATGCAGGCTGCGATGGCGTGCCTTTCTGTTCCTGACGCTTGACCTCTTCCGACCTACTTACCCGCATTTCGTAGGTATCTGCACTCCTGTCGTTGCTATCCCCCGGGGTCCCGACCGTCCTTTCTATCAGATTGTTATTCGACGTGTCGTACGAAGTACCGTAACCGTAAAGCCTCAAGGCTGGTGGCAAATGGCCAGGCCAGGCCCCTTCCTTCAACCTGGTGCCGCGCCTCCCAAGTCGCACGGCCGCGACTGTCGAAAGGTGGCTTGCAGGCTGGGGCGGTGTGGGCGGCGAACGAGGACACGGAGGAGTATTGTTCTGCAAGCTTGACGTTGCACAGAAACAATACCATCTTCAAAGCGGTTTCTTCTCCGTTAGGAATGCAGGCTAGCTGTTACTGTCGCCTCCCCCCGTAGGTCCGAACTGAACGACTGGCTCAGGGCCCTAGGGGTCCTCCAACCCCGAGTACTGATAGCCTGAGATACGAAGTACAGTAGAGATAGGTATAGCGCTGTATGCAAATCGCGGGTGAGTGGCGACAGTAGCGACCCAAGTGCTATTATGAAGCCTTACTCAGCTTACAAAATAGCAATAGCGGATGGGGTCCTTGTGCCAATAGCGACTCGCGACTCACGATGATGTGTGGTTGCGCGCTATGCGATCTGAGGGTCCATTATCCCATCCCATACTCCATCAGTACTTACGAACTGTACGGGACGGTACGGTGCTAACCCAGGTAGGATCACTAAGATCACCCCTGAATGCAGTGTGACCACCACCCGGAGCGGCGCGGCTTTTCAGGAACGAACGCTCAGGAACAGGAACAGGAACAGGAATAAAGTTAAGTTACGAAGGCAACGCTGCACACTTTATGCGGCCTCACCGAATCCACCAACCAACATAGGTACATACAGCCAATATAACAACATCACATCGCTTTACTACGTACGAATTACTAGCCTAATAACTGCCTCATAACTGCCTCCATGTGTCAAATTACACATGTAATCTTACGAGTACTAGCTAGTAGTTAATACCGCAGAGCAGGAAAGGCAAGGGCAGGCTCTAACTTTAAATTCCCAGCCTCCTATTGCCTATTATCCATATCCAGTTACGTAGGTACTGTACTTAGCACTGGATGAGTTGGTAGTAGTCGATTGTAGCCTCAAGGATTAGCACCCACCATAACGCCCGCTATTGTCACCCATTGGCCTATCATTCTCACCTTCCCCCGATGGCACGTCCACGATGCAAGCGCCGAGCGCTATCAACCACAAGTTCACAACTCTCAATTACAATTTCGCTCTCCGCGGTAACTCCCACCACTCACCGCTCACCTGGCGCAGGCTGGCTGCCCCCTTTCCGCCGTTGCGCTCGCGACATTCAAGTTCGTTTCCCTATCGGCGCGCTGATCCATACCCATCTGGTCCTCTCCCAGCCACAATCGGGGACGGGGCCAGGTTCCTTCAGGGTTCCTTCAGGGTTCCCTCGCAGGCACGCTAGAAACCCCACCCCTTCTGGCAGAGGGCGTCGCTACAACTCTCGTTTTCCCTTCGGTGCTGGGCCAGGTCCAAGTTGATCGTTCCTAAGTCCCAACAACACAACTTAGGGAGATACGGACTTGGCTTTTCCCTAGCATATCGCGGATTGATTGCACATTTCCTTCTCTCCTCCAATGCGTGCCTGTGCTGTCGTCCGGCTCTAGAGAAAACATGGCGTCCCCAGCTCGCCCCCCTTTCCCGCAACCATCCAACCCCTCGGTCCCTCAATCTGATACCCAACACGCTTCATCCTCATCTGACCTCGTCAACTCCCGAGATAGCCTCCCAGCCAATAACTCGACTCTTCGATACAGCCAAGGGCAAACGAACAATCGGCCACGAATTCATTCATTGTCGCTGCGATCGCGTGCATTCTCGTCAGCTTCCTCAACCTCCTCCTCGTCCGTCCGCCGTAAACCTCTGCCATCTACGGCATCTCCCCTAGCCACGAGGTTCTCCTCCGGCTCACATCTCGCGGCCACAATCGAGCTGCCCGAACCTTCGCTTCCACGGCTATACACATCGGACAGCCCTACCCTTCACGAGTTTCCTCCAACATCGAGACTGCCATTTCAGCCGGCCCGGGAACAGTCCTCGACCGACCGTCCATCCAGGTATGCATTGAAGGCCAGGCCTTTGGAAACTTTTGGTTTCATGCTAATGTGGTGTGTTTGGCAGAACTTCAAACGAACAACGTGTTTCGATATCAAAATCTTTGTCCCCTGAACCGTCCCCCACGGAAGTCACCAAGATACATACACCCAACCCCCCAGATAGCTATCTGGCAGAAGATGCAAGGTTGACCCTCGACTCTGCTCTCACCTCAGCCTCTGAATCTATTGGGACATGGTATAGTGCGTCAAGTACAACAAGTTATCCGCAGTCTACTATGTCCATTTTCTCCAACAAGCCCACACCACCACACAACATCAACCAACCACATAATATATCACGGACTTTCAGTAACGAATCCAACGAATCTAATACGACCATATCCAAGTCGCAACCGAAATCCCCCGGGGGCTCCAAGCTCGGGTCATTCTTTGGCTGGGGAGGGGATAAATCTCCCATCTCACCGACAGCCTCCTACTCCGAAAGCTCTATCTCTCCGATACCTTCACCTCAGATAACCCAAAGCCTTACTCACGCCGATGCGTCCAGGACGAATGCTTCAAGACCCGTACCCACAGCCATCGACGTGCCGAAGGCCAATGCCGACCCAGGACAATATTTTGGAGGTTCGTATTTACAAATACCGCTGGCAACGCCTACGACACCAATTCAAGTCGAAGAGATGGAGAGGGAATTGAAAGAAATCAGTTCGGAGCTTGCGGCCTCCATTAGGCGCGAGATGGACTTGGAGGATCTTGTCGACCGCTTACAATCGGAGGCACAGAACACCTCGAGTCCTGGAAAGAGGACAAGTGACTACTTCTCCGACTCTGGAACCAGCTCCATCCGATATGGGGAGCCGGACGCAAAGCAAGATGAGCTGGATCGTCTGATCCGAAAGACGGAGCAAGAGAAGGCCCAAATGAGAGTAGAAGTTAGTGAAAAGGTCCAGGAGGAAAGGTCTCGAAGAAAAGTTCTCGAGTCCCATATCCGAACTCTGGAAGAAAAGGCTTCACAGGTGAATAAACCGATAATATCACTCAGCTATAGCCACTAACATTTATTAATAGGTCGACCTTGTTTCAATAAACTCTCTTGATACTAATGGGCGATTAAAAGATCTAGAATCGACCTGCGAAGATCTTCGGCGGCGACTTTCTGAAGAGCGCCAAGTGAAGGATAACTTTGAGGACCTGTTGACCGCACTCAAAGGCGAGCTAGAAAGCTCACACAATGAGCGAGATAATCTCCGCGATGAAATTGTACCTCAGCTGCGTGCACGTGTTGAAGGACTGGAGGCACAAGCTGCGCAACATGAGCAACTCACCTATGAGCAGACAAAGATGCAGCAAGAATTCCAAGCACTCAAAAGCGAAAATTCAAGTTTGATCCAGGCTCAGAGGATGCAGACGGAGATGAAGAAGTTCGACAGCATAGCGGAAGAGGGTTCATTTCAGAGATCACGGGGGGCGTCTATAGGTTTGAGTAGGTCGAACTCTCTTGCTCAAGCTCCTGCTTCCCGGTCACGGCCGCCATCACTCACCAGATCCACATCGGTAAAGACAACCGAGTCGAGAGAAGCTCTTGCGGAGCGGGTAAAGGATATCGAATTGCAACGCGATGCGCTACACCGTGCTTTGAAGAGCTTACTTGAACGGCAAGAGCACCAGAATCGTGAGAACCAGAAGAAGATCCGCCAACTCGAAATGGAGCGCGATCGAGCCCTTACGGATTCGCCTAGACGGATGGGCTACGACCGGGAAGTCGCTAATCTTCGAGAAGAGATTAATACGCTTCGCCGCCGGGCAGACGAGGCCATAGAACAGAAATGGCAGTGCGAAAAGGGCCTCAGCGGTTTGAAGATGGATCTTGACCGTGCTGAACAAGAGATCGGATCGTTGCGGAATCTATTACAAGAAAACGATATCCTTATACCAGCTGAGACACGGCCACGCAGCGGCGAGGCCCCTGAAAGTGGTCACGTATCATCGGAAAGCCTTGAGCGCGCCTACCGGGATTTGCAGAAGGCCTATGCCCAGTCGCTAGATCGGGTCAAGAACCTTGAACTCTCCGGCCCGAAGGGTCAGGAGACGAGTGAGGCAATAAAGCAACTCGAACGGAGTCTTGCGAATGCGACCTCCGAACGGGATTTTGCGAAAAGAGAAGCCGATTCCTTACGAGGCCAGACCGATTCCCTGAGAGCCGCTGAGAAAGCACAAGTTGGCGAAGAACTTGCCCTCGCAGATGAGTTACGCAATTCTGCAAAGCGGGTGGAGGGGCTCGCAGCCCAGGTGCAACAACAGCTTGCTTCTAATAGCACGTTACGGAAGCGCCTAGCCGAGACTATAGAACGCGGGGAGAAGAATCAAAGTACCAATGCAGAGAAGATTATGTTCATGCAGAGCAAGCTCAAGTCTCTCGAAGATCAGCTGATGGCTGCTCAGCAGACATCTGAGGCGAGGATATCGAAACACGAAGAGGAGATCTCCAATCTGAGGGAGAGCCACACTGTCCAACTCCAACGGATGAAGGACGGACTTCGCTCTCCTCGTCTCTTTGGGTCCAAATCTCCCACGTCACCCATGTTCGCCAACTCCCCCCGGACGCCGAATCTGCTATCCACCACATCTGGCAAGGGGATGAGTGTACAGGAGGACTCAAAAATGGACTTCCTCAAGCAGCGAGTCATGGATCTCGAAAGAGCACTCGCGGATGCTGATAGAGAGATGGAGGAGGTCGTCGGACGAATGAATATCGCGCAGATCGAGGTCATGGACCTCCAGAACCAACGGGAGGAAGCCGTCCGCGAGACAAGAAAGCTGCAAAAGAAGGTCGAGGAGGAGAAATTGAGAGCGTTTGAAGGGCGATTCGCTAGCATCACTTCTTAATTGCGACCCAAAGGAAGTGAAACCGGAATCGATTTAATCGTCAATGACGTCGAGTTCGCATGCATATTCTGCTTTTTTAGCGAGCGCAGGAGTCAAAGTTAGACTTATTACTTACGAGTATAAGTAATTGCTAATGTTTTTTATTTTTGGCATCAGCTTCTTTTACCGGGCAAAAAGAAGTAAAAGGAGTTCCTTTTTTGAGATTTTGAAAGCATTTACATCTGGGCATAAGGGCGGAGCTGGCGAAACATCTCGAATTTTTTACAAATTCTCCCAGCGGGAAAGACTTTCATCGCTGCGGAAATGGGATTTATATATAAAGGGGGTTGCATAGAAACGCTTGATGTGTGAATAATGTATTCTTCAAGAGGGGCGGGCTTTTTTGCAGTTGTAGGATATATCCACCTAGTACAGTTAAAGTGTAATGTGTTGATTGGTGGGATGTACAATATATAGCTGAATGGAATGCATTATGATGCCTAAGACTGCAATGGAAAGACTGAGATTTGATTTTGACATTGACGTGGTCTAGTTTCGTTATGTTAAGTCACACCACCACTTCTAGTTCTGCCATCTACCATTCTACGAGGCAACGTGCTGGTTTTATTATATTATGTAAACCACTCTGATTCTGCCAAACGACAAGTTAACTTCGTTGCCTGTCGACCGCCCACCACCTTTGGTTTCTGCCAGCCAGTTCTGCCAGGCGGTGCATAATTCGTTGCTCTTCGACCGCTCACCACCTTTATTACCTAGGAGGTAGTTCTGCCACTTCATTCTGCCAGGCGGTATTGATTTCGTTGCACTACGACCGCTCACGAGTTCTAGTTTCTGCTATACCATTCTGCCAGGCGACATGCTTTCGTTGCGTTACGATCGCTCACCACCTCTTTTTTCTGCCAGGTGTTACATTCAAGTCTTGATTGACTGTTGGGGTGAGCTTAAAGTGCCCTGGTGTATATGAGAGCAATATAGGGCTCTCCCACGTCGGGCGAACAAAACATGTTCTTAAACACGCACATGGTTTAACATCTGCTGTTAATCTTGTTTCCGAATATAAAGAGCAGAACAAGTTTCACCTGCCCCTTCACCCTTTTCATTTTAACTCATACACAAATATCTATCTATCTTATTACGCTGTTTGTGCTTAAACGAAAACTTGGTAGTTTTTCACATTTTAAGAAGTATGCTACATTTGACTCTTCTTTATATACTTACTTGTTAGCTCTGTATTTGGTTTGGTCTGGGTTTATACAGCCAAGAGTGGGTAGGTAGGCAGGCTTCGCTTGAATAGAAATAGTCTCCTGCTGTTGCCGAGGTAATTGGCTCCGTGGGGAGTTTTATTTATCTGACCATCTTTTACTAGGAGTTGCTACAGAGAGCTTCTATTTGTTTCTTGTTATAGAATGTAAATTCCACGATGACTTGTCGATTCCTATGGAACTTTGACGGTCGGTCGCTTAGATATATCTAGTATAGAGTACCTCGTATTTTCTATAAATGGAATCCTCGTCAACCGCGAGAATAAACTTATAACTAAAGCCCCTGAAGAGATTTTTGCACAACCCAGACGCAGCCACATAGAGAGAATCTACTAACCACAGATCTGTGCCACCCCAGTACCAACGTTGCACGTCAACAAGCTATTCGGAATATGACTAGAAACTCCCTTCTGCTGTGGTTTACCCCTGACGTGTAGTGAATGAGTGACGCCAAGTGTATTAGTCTAAATGATAAAATGGGCATGTTCATCTAGGATAGTTTGAGTCACACGGCGTATCATTGAGTGGTGGTGATCCATTCCCAAACTGGCAACATCCCATCTATATAAGTGGCATTGCATCACCTGTGTACCCTACCCTCTTCTCCTTATTCTTGCCACATAACCTAATACAAAAGTGCCAAACAACCCACACTCTAATAAAATTTGCCAACTCTTTCTCAATGTGCTGGGTTTTCCCATGGTAGAACCCCCCCGCCGGGCTAGCAGCTGTAGCACACCGCACTGCAGACTTTAGGGTGAGCCGCTCTCTCTCTCTCCATTTCATATCAATATGCCTATCTCTTTGTCTATTGTATAGCATTTCATGATGGAAACCCTTCATTCACTCGCCGAGATCTAGCCAGGAGGTCAACGCTTAAGGACCTCCTGTGCAATAGAATACCCCTGAAACTTTTCTGAAAATCTATTTACACCACACCCAATTTGAATTTTTGTTTTATTAATTGAGAGTTGAGAATAAAAGAGTATACTTGCTGACGCTGGTTTTGGCCTTTATTGCTTGATAGGTAGGAGAGGGTGTGAGGTGAGGTTGGGGGGTGAAGCGGAGAAAAAGATGACCCGACGCTCGCCGGGTCGTTGTCACCGTTTGACTCACAACTTGAAGGATTTATTTAGTACTTTTGCTTGGAAGAGTCTATTCCCACTTGGGAAGCTGCAATGTCCTGTTACAATATCCTGTTCGTATGCAGAAAAAATAAACTGAAAAAAATATGATGCCGTAGCAGTTTCTTTGTCTTGCAGCACAGAAGGGTTAATATGTACGCAGCCCAGAGTTTCTTGCATATCGGTGCAGATATTTAGATGATCGCGTCTTGCATAACATCGATAATTGAAATCGAATGGCTGGTTCGATTACCCTTAATTCCTCGAGGTTGGTATTTTAATAACCCTTATACTCCCAACAAAAGCCGGCCCCTAACTCCAACGCATGCAACCATACCATCCGTAGCTCGTAACAGAATCGTATCAAAGAACCAATATCACGCATCGATCAATCAATCACTATCCTCCCCATTATCGAGCGCCTCATCCTCCGCTTCCTTTTCCTGGGTCTCCTCTAACTCCTCGCCTTCCTGCGGCTCACTATTACCCTCCTCTTCGTCTTCCTCATCATCCTCCTCCTCCTGGCTTTCATCATCCTCACCCTCTTCATCAGCCGTCTGATCGGCCTCGTTCTGTTTTCCCGGCGCCTTGCCCTTCTTAGCCCCCGCTGATTTACTCTTAGGTTCTAACCTCGCCTTCTTGGCCGCAGGCTGTCCGTCTCTACCCATCCGACCCTCTGCTTCACCCTGTGAATCGTGATCCGCCTCGTCCCCTTCTCCAGCCTGGGTATCATCCCCCTGCCCTGATTTGTCCGCGAGTTTCTTGCGGTACGTATTGCGCTTCTCGGATTGGATTTCGTTGAATTCTGTTTTTCGGCTGGTTAGTATATGGTGCAGCCTTTTGAAGATGAATAGAGCTTGGGAAACCAACTAGCTAGCTCTGCCTCAAGCCTTGGTTTCCAATCAGAGAATTCGAGTTCGTCTAGGGCGGCGAAAACATCTCCAGTCTGGAGGGTTCTCCGGTTTTGTTGTACTGCGTGCTCGTTTGCACTATGTTTTTTTGAGTTCCATTAGAAAAGTGACCAATTAATTTCTCGTCTGGGATACAGAGACATAGATATTCTTGTAAAAAGATATTAAACATACTGTGAGGCTAAATAATTAACAAAAACTGTAGCGCTTTTTGTCATTGCCAGCATCGCATTGCCTTGGATTTGCGTATTGGGAGGCAGAACGCCCTTAGCTAGTCTTGTAACTATGCTTTTTGGGAGATTGAGATCCTGCCAATTGGGTTTAGAATTTTTGTCTTAGAAAGTGCCCCGAGCTCTCCTGAACAGTAGGTTCCAACGGAGCATAGTGTAAATGTAGAGTGACCAACCTCTATATTGATCCCATCACGCATAGGCGGGTCTTTGCTGATAATCCCCTCATCTCCTGTCCCGGCTTTGGACGCATCGGCCTTTTTGGGTGGCATTGTAATGGTGCAAACGGCGATACGGCGGGGACTGTGCTATAATAATTTTAGGAGGTTGTGATCTTGTTGGAGGCATGAGGTGGGAAAGAGTCCTAGATCCGGCAGTTTGCGAAAGCGGTGAACTTGACGCGAATTAGGGGACGCGACGTGACACGTGATCCCCCCCCCCCTGAACAGGTGGAGTTGCCCGTTCAAGTCGTCTAGGTGCTTAAAATTAATCTACAGAATATTAATCAAAAGAGTGTGTCTATTTATTACTTACAGTGTACTATATACCTTTTATATATCTGTTTATATTAAGAGAATTGAGTAATATGTAAACTTGTTAAATCGTAGTGATAATAGATTGTGTGACTTACATCGCACTCTACAGTGTAATCTACAAAATCGGGAGTAACCATTTGAATTTTACAATAGTAGTATTATGTTCTAATTGATAAATCACCGTTCTTAAAGGGAAGTACCCGTTGGCGAGCCACCACTCCTGCCCCAAGGCACCACAGGGGCAGGAGTGGTGGCTCGCCAACGAGTAAGCAAAGTAATGTAGGACTGTTAGATAGGTGTCAACGGTGAAAACGAACAAAGCTGAGGACAGTAGCACACTGATTGTTTATGTTTTTGTATTTGTTAGAATATATGATTGTCTCAAGGACAATTATTTAGAGTGGTTAAATCTCTGGTATACACCGATGACCCATATCAAAAATGGTCACCAACACAGCTATGTCCCTGGACAACTGGGTATAATAATCCCTTCTCAAGTGCAGCCAAGCACTGAACGCCTTTTCCCTATGCGCTGTGCGCAACAATGTGCAGAACGAAAACCATCAAAAATCAACTCATGTAGGTGCAAAAGTGCGCCATACATATCACCTGGTGTACGACCAAGTTCTAGTTAGTATCAAGCTATGCAATAGCCCGTCCAATTTCTTTATCCTCAGCCGAAAGCCTCGGCCGCGATGCTGGTCGCGGTGAAAGCCCCCCTGCGACAGCAAGTCCATCGAATATCGACGTCCCCGGCGAACTACTGGCATGATCCAAGTCCTTCAATTCTCTTCCGATGTTGTCATTCTCCGGATCGTACCATATATGTGTTCTCTCCCTTGGTTTGCTTTCGACATTTCCAATGGTCGTCCCATTGTAGCTCCATATGCTTTTACCACTCATACTACTTCGCCGACTCTTCGTTCTTGCGTGGCCTGGAGGTGTCTTTGACAGCCGTGAGCTCTGGCGTTTCATGGGTGGTATAAAGGGATCGGCACCCGGTATGGCTTCATCTGTGAGGCCTGCTCTAGAGTTTGGCGCTCGCGCAGTACATGGCGTGTTTGGTATTATCGTAGAAATGGATGGACGTGGACGTACCGCCGGAGGTGCACTTGGCCACATCCAGTCAGGAGAATGTGCCAAGCCAATGGTATCAACATCTTGCCCAGCTTGTTGCCTTCCGGGTTGTAGTATTGGCAATTTTGGTTCTTCCGGAGGAGCACGCCATGAAGCTATTTCCTCATCATCGATGGGGGAAGCGCCTCTATGAGAGAACGGCGATTTGCCTCTACGGTACCGATGTATGAGCCACAGTGCGGTTATAACTAGTATAATACCAACTGAGCCTATCACCGTGGACAAAATGATCACCAAGGTCTTGTGGCTGATATGACCTGTTTCTGAGTTTGCTGATACCGCCGAAGGGGAGGGTAGGGAAGAAATACCCAGGGGGGTCGAACTGGAAGAGGAGCCAACAGCATTATTTGGGTTTATTGCTGGAAGAAATGAGGAGGTTGAGGCGTCAGAGCGGGCGAGGGAGGCCGCATTCAAATTAGGAACGAATGAGACCGTGGTTGTTTGTAGTGTAGGTGCGGAGGTTGGGATGATAATCGAAAGGGTTGTTGTTTGAAGAGGAGTTTCTGTTGAAGAGGTCACAGGCGGATCAACGCCCGTCGGTGGCTCCATGTCTGGCAGTGATGACGGCGAATCTCTCCCATCCTCTACGCCCACATGAGCGCCTGAAAGGGCGCAAGTAAAGCGTAGCAGACTAAATAGGCATGCTATCAACGCTGACTGTGGATGCCTCATGTCTAAAAATGGTAGGTGACGCGGCTCGTATCAAGAAACGGATCTAAGTGAAGGAGGTTCAAAGTCATCGCTGTGACTATTGCGGACCACCTACACTAACAGAAGAATCGTTTATTGCAAAGAACGAAAAGAGGAAACGAAGGAAAGGATATGGATGGGAATAGCACGATGCTAGTGACCAAGTGACCCTGAGATCAACTCGGCACCTCAGACTGGGAGAAGAGGTTGAGGGCACGTTCTCTTAGAAAGTGAAAGTGCAGATACAGGATCTATTATAAAAGTAGAACGGCTCGAGCAAGCCCGCGTTGCAGTGACCGGGACCAGGGGGGCTGGCCACGGTTGATTGACTGATAGGGAATAAACTACTGTGTCTTACCAGGAATCGGTAGATTTTCACATTGCGGTCTGTCCAGTTTGGCTTTGGGGGTCTGCATGGTGGCAGGAAAAACGGCAAAGAGGGGGAAGCTTGGGAAGGTGTGGCAGATGCAGAGTAAATCAAATCCATGTCGATGTCAAAGTGCCCAATGCTTGCAGCTGGTGGGTGGTGTCACCAGAGACAGCGGGGGGCCAAGCAAGTACGAAGTAGCTCAGGACGGAATGCGGTGGGTTGCGGTGCGTATGACTGGCTGTCAAGGAAACAAGACCAACAAGTGGATGTTTCGACGGGCCGCGATCAGGGCAAAGTATCATCGCTGAGCTCTAGCCCTGGGAGATATTTCGGAGCAGCTCTGGGTGGAGCGAATTGCGAAGTGATAGGCGGCTGGCAGGCATCGTTGACGCCATTGCCGAAACGTGGTGCGCTGTCGTGTCCATCTAGTGTCCAGTGCAGCTGAAAGTTCCGGAGCCTGACCTACTGTCAGGGCCCAGGGGAAGCGGGGGAAAGGCCTGAGCGTCGAGAAACAGTCTCTGAGTCTCCGAGGCTGATGAGTCTCTGGTTCTCTGTACCTGACTTGGCCTGGCCGGGAGAACTGGTGCAAGCCATTCGCTGTGCTGCTGCTGCTGCCCTAGAGCAGGTCGGAGTTCTGGCTGCATCACCGTGAGGAATGCCAGGTTGGATGAACGAGAGCCCTGATCGTCGACGCGGTCGAGAAGAGAACCCAAAAATATCCAAGAGGCCGCGCATCTCCTCCCCAAGAAAATGGAACCTGATTCAAATCAGCCCCTGAGCGTCCACTGAAGGGAAAAGGAGGCGCACATTGGGTGTGAATGGATTCATCGGAAGGGTGTCTCTGACTCTCAGTCTGCTATGCCTGGGGAGCGGTGAGTGAATTCAAGGAAAGTTTGACGGGACCCTGGTGTGATTGATGGATCCTCCGTAGCGTATTGATTTACCTAGAGCCGCGATTACCTTTGCCCATCAGTGGGTGGTAGCTTATCAAGCCATGCTATTCTTTCAGCCACAGCATACCTTCGTAAGATCATACGGAGCACGTAGCAAGGCGTGTTTCTAGCTCTGGCCACCGCTGCTGCTGATTTCCAACCATACATCAAGAATATAGCCTGCCGTTGAGCCTTGGGGAAGGATATTGGAGGTAGTGGGCCATGATAGGGTGCGAGCGTGCCAACCTTCACCTTCATCCTCCAGTGCTGCCAGGTACTGTACAAGGTTCAGGCTATCCGTAACTGACGGGGAGAGCCGAATATCCCGCCGCTTCGATAGCCTTGTCGACCCTGGCAGATTGGTACAGAGATTGGCAATTGGATAGGGGGTTTCTAGAATTTGTAACCTTTCGGTGAGAGCGGAGATGCGGCGACGGATAGTGGATCGGAATCGTAATCGAAACCCAAGGCGAGAATTCTATCATTGTTAGGCTGTTTTGCCGAGAAATGTTTTCAGGTACCGCTGATGGTGTGATAGCAAATATGGTCTTCACGTTGATCAGCCTCTTGGAGTGAGTTCAGAGTTGAGCGTTGAGCTGGGAAGACTCGGTTACAAGTTTCTGTGCGATTAGTAGTACTTCGTCTCTTCATAGTCAATTGCACGCCGTCAATCTCCGAGAAGACAGTCTTAAACTCACGATGAACACGCACGCTGTTTCAGAAACGAGATGACGGTAGCTACTACGTACAGAGTAATGATATACATCACATTACTAGGAGGAAGAGTGCCAAGGGGAACTGTTCGCTTGGACCACGACAGGGCAAAGCACCCTGATTTCGAGCCTCGTGATCCCCCTTATCCCCATCCCCGGGCATCAACCCTCGCTATATGTCCACTTCCCTATGAACTATCGGAGATTTATTCCAAACGCTTGGGGCAACAGCATCATTCCCAGGAACTTCCGAGATGTTTCAATAAGACAGGACGGTGGATTATTTCGTATGCTTCGTATGCTTCGTATGACAGCCGGAGGTGGGCAAGTTCCCCTCCGTCAAGTCACTGGAATGAAATAGTGACCTGTGAGTCTGCGACACTGACGGCATCCAAGAAAGAGAATGAACATAGCAACCTCCACTCAGTCCATATTACTCTCCACGCCGTCGATCACATCCTGATGCGGCATTTTAAGCCGAGAATCGATAATGGCAGTCAAACCCCCCCCCCCCCCACGATAGCAAAAAATACTGTGGAAGCAAAAGCTCGACATCTAACTTACCCGCCTGGCTGCCGGTCGCTCCCTATTCTATGGAGTACTTATAGTTCGTTTACTTGAGGAACTTTTTAATGGTTCGTGCAAAGCCCGGTTATTGACGCCCATCTCGTGGCTTTAAGATCCGATCGAGTTTGCTTTTTATTGGCAAAGCGATTTATCCACCGGCCAAAAATCGATCATGCACGGGGGGCGATGGACGGTGATAGTGGCGCCCCCTGCACATCAGCAGCACCGATCGAAATTCGGATTTCCAGCCCACGAACCAACCCACGGGGAGTGCGACGGCGCGATTGTGCGAGTCAGAGACGCAGAGTGGGAGTGATTCGTACTTCGTCCCTAGGAGTGGGATTATCCTCAGGAGGGCTGGATTTTCTTACTGCAGAACGCAGTCAATACCCGGCGGAGAAACTTCCCCACCAATCCTTCAGACATCGACTTTGGTCTTTGAAACACAAGGCGACCAACAGCGTGTAAGTATCGTACTAGATCTTACTCTGAGCCTCATCCTGAAGAACAACGCATCGAGAGCTGAAGTTGTGAGACAGTAAGAGACACAGATACGGGAACCACGATGCCTGCGGGAATTCTTCGCCGCGTAAGTGCTGGGCATTGCTGGCAGCTCGACTTCGTCCTGCTCTCTCTTCTCATGAGAATTCTTTACCACATGCCTTGAACGAGATACCTTGTATCTGCAGGACTAGACTCGGTAAACTGTTTGATGTGCCCTTGGCCAGACCTCACATCCCACAATCATGTCCAGGTTAGGCGAATGTTGCGGGTTACTTCTTCATCCACACAACTGCAACGACTTTCAACGTCGAGATACTGACACTGGCACTGGCACTGACACTCACACTACAATTTACCCGCCCAATCGGAACTCTCGACCTTCATAGCATAACAACGTCTACTTGTACGGAGTATTGCTATTCTTTAACGCTGGAGTCACAAGGCCGTTGCATGGGATGGGCTTGTGCGCCGCGCATAGCATTGCATAGCATATGCATTGCATTCTTCTGAGCAGCAGTGCCAGTAACCGTCCATCCCGCCCCCATCCTAGAACCGCATCATTCTCAGTTGCAGCTGTACCAAGCAAGGAAGCACACAAACGACGTACTCGAGAATATCGAAATGCACGCACGGCCATAGATACAGAGGCATCTAAGCGCGCAACTGCCCCAAAGCAGCTGGCGCGAAGTGGAGAGCGGGAAAGCCAGAATAGAATCGCAATACTGTACAAGAAACATGCCATGCATATGCGTCCACCGTGCCCTGTTTATCACCAACAAGCCTCCCGTCTCCGTATCTACAGTGGTGGAGGCGAACATAGTCATGACGCACAGCGAGCTTGACGTTCAAGTTACACAGCTTCGAGCCGCTGCGGCGCATCGCCCAGCAATCATTAATGATTTCAGACACACCAAAAGATATATCGAATATCAGCAGACAAACGTAGAACATTTCATCACATCCCACGGGCCAGCAAAAGCCCTCATCTAACAAACATACGATATCCCTCCCAAAGCTCATCTATATAATTACCCTAAATTCGACCGGCTCGCAAAATCCCTTCCGGGCTCCCCCCTCATCCTTCGGATATATACCCATCATCATCCACCCCGTCCATCACCTCAATAGCCCCCAAACTGGGAAATCCCATTAGTTTCTATTCCAATTTTCCGTTTTCTTTCTCCAAGGGACAAAAACCCGACATAGGATGCTTTCCTCGGCCTGGTAGAGAATAGGGTGTTAATTATAATCCGGAATTCGAACTTGCCGAGTAGGCGGGCGCTTGCGGATGAATTTATTCCACACGACGAAGCACGCTGCATTGCATGTGAATACAGCTAGCGCGCGGGGGAGCAAGCACGGAATTCTCCTTTTGGTGTTGTCTCAGCGATCGCGGGTTTGATGTTGAGATAAAAATATATATATACAGGATGCGTCGAAGAATGGAAATCCGTGCGCTGCAGATATTAGGTAGATATCACTGTTTTGGGGTGAGCAAGTTCTGAGCGGGATATGAAACGAAGCTATTTTCAAGGGCAGGCTGGGAATGGCCTTTCAGATGTGATATTATTTTTATCTTTGACAGATAGATGTCTTGATTCGAAGACTATGGCATCCAGCCTAGTTGCGGGGCAGATCCTCATACTCCTCCTTTCCACTATTGTCTGCCAGATCTCCAATTTCCCTCTGCCCTCCAGTCCTCTCGCCTGTTCTTCGTATACGTAACATAACGACACCGAAATACACCGTATGTAAAACGCAGGTCCTCCAAACAGCACATTGTGAGTTGGAGAAAAACGCCTACGTCGCTGATGCTCGCCCTATAATGCTCCAAACGCTCCGTATGCTGCGCTGTTGACAAAAATAAACCAAAAAAGCCGGTACGCCTAGTAACCCCTACGTCCATTCGACGATTCGGTCATCATGAAAATACATAGTAGGAAAACATCGAGACTAAAATCCTGGCGGGTAACCCTCCCTTATCCCAGGGGGCCTCTAGAGTGTGTCGATGACCCGCTGTCGCTAGGAGTCCCAGGTTCAATCGAGACTTGCGATTTGATGGCCATGATCCATTCATGTTGGAGCAATTCCGCTGCCGTGGCACGCATGTTCGGATCCCGCATAAAGCATTTCTTGAGGAAGTCGAGGCCTTGCGGACTGAGTTGGTCCGGCGACGGCAGCTGTGGCGGGTTGCCCTGCGCAATGTTGTACATGATGGCCCACTCATTATCGAGTGACGCCCATGGCCGACGCCCTGTCGCCATCTCGAGAATGACACATCCCAATGACCATATATCAACGGCTCCGGCGCGTCCAGGGTTCTCGCCCTTGATGACTTCGGGGGACATGTACATTGGAGTTCCGGTCATCGACTTAACTCTCTCTCCGCCGGGTCCTCCAGTGCCAGCAAGTACGAGAGTTTTGCCTTGGCGGGCAATGACCTTTGCGGCGCCGAAGTCAACATATTTGATGACGCCATTATGGTTGAGGAGAATATCTAGGGCTAAGTTAGCTAGAGAACTGGAATGTGCGAGATAGAGGAACTTACTTTCAGGCTTGATATCGCGATGCACAATGCCACTCTCATGAAGATACCCAAGGCCCTCCAGTAGTTGAAGCGCGTATACCATGATTACTTGTTCATCCTCAATCCGACCATGCTCGAGCAGTCCAGCTAGAGATCCGCCCGAGCAAAACTCCATAAAGATATATACCTTGTCCCGATGAACCTCAATCCCATAATAAGACACAACGTTAGGATGATCCAAGACCTCTAGTACGCTCATCTCGTCCCTAATCTGCCCAGCAATGGTTGGTATGAGTGATGGGTCTTGAAGACGGATCTCCTTCACGGCCATCAAATGACCCGAATCAAGGTTGATGGCGGCATAAACGGATCCAAATGTGCCACCACCGACGAATTGGCCCTGCTGCCATCGCATATTTACATTTGATGCTGAGGAAGATAGGAATGTAAGTGAGCGATCAGCTTCATTCGATTCCTCCAAGACTCGGCCGAGCGCTTGTCTTTCAGCCTCTTTTTGTTTTCTGAAATCATCAAGACTGGCAAGTTGCTCAAGCCTCTGTGCTAGGACATATCCTGATGATTCTTCATCATTCATTAGTCGATGCATATCCATCTTCCTGAATTGCCCTGCCAGTGCCTCCATGCGTTGCTTCTCAGCTTGGGCTGCGAGCGTGGATCTCGCTCCCATGATGTCAAAATGTGATATCAAGAGAGACATGCAACCAGCAACCTTGGCACGAAGTCTTGTATACTCGTCATCACCTAGAGCTAAAATGTGCTGACCCGTGGTCATGAGCATGGCGAATTCGAGGGCCTGTACCGCCCATCGGAAAGTCTTCCGATCAGTGGCAATGCAGTCATCGCAAATGAAGCTTACCCAGTCTAGGGCCAGTTTCGTGAGCTTCAAGTTGTTCATCTGCTTCCGGTTCCTATCCATGTAGAGTAAGGATCTCTGGCCAAATTCAGTTGCGAAGACAAAGCATGTCTGAATCAACTCATGACACTCTAACCCCTTGGTCTGCTTCCGAACGTTTTCAACGCTATCCATTATCAACCCCGAAAGCTTGTAGACGACTCTTTTGATCTCTGTCAACCTGAGATTGACCTTTTTGAGGTTTGACCGTTGTTCAACTACCATATCTAAATGCATATCGATGGAGTCTAGGAACGCTAGCCTAGCATTCGCTAGTCTGGCTTGAGAGCCATGTGCAATCAATCGAAGGTGTCCAAGTTTGACATCAGTTGACGGATTTGGGATATCGGCATCAACCTGCCGACCGTCCCATGGCATCTGAATCTCGGGGCGAAGAACGAGTATATAGGGATTGTTTGGGTCTTCTTGAATCTCTTCCGAATGATAGCATGTGCCAAGGATGGATTGAATATCTTGCGGTCGGTTGTACAAGGAAGGCGACGCTATCAAAAAAATTCCGTCGTGTTCGATACTTGCAGTATAAACCAGAAAATGACCGGTTTCGATGAGCCTAGAATATAAGTGTTGCAAGTCGTCCTGGCCTAAGGATATGCTGAAATCGGTTGCATTCTCGAAACGATCGCTAAGAACTCTTGAGAATCGCTGCAACATACGTTGGCGGACGCGGACAGAGTCGAGGTTTTGTTTGTAGCGTTTGGTCATTTCTGCGGCAGTTTCTTTCGGCCTTCTCTGTAGATCTCGCTCAAATGTCTGGCTCAATCTGGAGAATGCCTTAAAGGTGAGCGAGCTGAATTGTTCTGCAACCTCGACATCACCGCCTTGGAGGTGGCGCCCAATCTCATTTGAGAAACCCCATTCCTGCTCTAACACTTCGGCCTCCTTGAATGTATTTCTGTTGCTGCCGAGCTTCCAGTTTAACATTTTGAAGTAGAATTTCAGGGCATCTAGTACCACCTGATCGAATGATTCATCGATGCATGGTGGGAGGTCCCAACCTGGTTCTGGCTGAGAGATGGTAACATACTCCAGCTTGATCCGTATTGCAAGTTTTAGCAGAATCTGAAATTGAGAAATCATCTGTTCCTGCATCATAGCACTTTGCTGGGCTGAATCTTTCATCTTCCTGGCAAATTGTACCCGCACTTTGATGATTTCTTCGATTAGCCGGGATGGAAAGTTGATGAGTGTAAGTAACTCCTCGATGTACGGTGGGAGATGCCGCCTTGCAAAACCTTCAGAGTTCTCGATCAGCGTACTCTTAGCCTTCTTGATGACACTAGAAACACCAATAAGGATGCTCTTGTCGCCTTGTAGAGACTTAAGCCCGTCCTCTTTTAGAAGCCTATCTACAAACGAGGCTTCGTCAGACAGGCCGTTTCCGGATGGAGACCGCTCTTTCGCTTTATTGAAATCCAACTCAGGGTTTCCCACCCAGTTTTGCAAGATTCCAAGTTTGGTATTGATAAGTTCTGTAGTATTGTGCCAGGCCATGACAGCATTATACGTCGCTTGGTATTGAGGAGATGCAGCAAATTTGTTGGCGGCCTCAAGAGCTGTGCGCGTCGGGTAGAGGCTTTCGCATTTGTCGATCTTCTTCACAATATCTCGCACCTGATCTATAGGAGGTTTGCCAGCCTCACTCGTGCCCTGTACCTGAAACTTGATGATTTCATCTAGTACATTATCAAGGGTCGACCGCGAATCCTCTACAATCCGTCGCTGTGCGGCTAACGTCCGGCCACATATCTTGGAGCGTATTCCCATCCATATCTCGGTGTGAAGGTTTTCCTCTTGCTTGTCTGATGCCCCTATCAATCGTTTCTTCTCCTGCCGCACTACGTCTCCCGTTAAGACGGATGCCAACATGCCATGCCACTCGAGCCGTTCTCGTTTTGACGGGTCCTGAAGATCCTCTGATGTAGCCTGGATATCATCGTTCCCGTAGAAAAGAAGGGTCTCTTGATCATATGAATCTGCGTCAAATTGTAGGTCTGAGGGAGACTCGTCCTCCGTGTCAGATCCAGTTCCATATCCAACACTAGGGGTGTATGGTTCGAAATATTCGAAGGGTTGGTCTTGTCTAAGGCGTTGTACATATGCCTTCTCCTGTGCGCGATACGAGGCGTTTGGATCCTGCAGTCTGAATCTGGACGTAGATCCAGATCGATTTCGATCGGATATTGAGATATACGGCGGTTGTGGAGGGCGGCGTGCCGGTGCATAGGTATTCGATGGTGTCCGCGCTGGTCCTGTTGGCCTCTGGGGCCTGGCATTCGGGCTGTTGTAGGTGGCGCCTGGAGGAAACGACACTTCATTCCTGCCATACGCCCCATTCGCATCTCCACCAGCTCGATAGCTGTGCAGATTCGAATTGGCATTGACACCGGTCAGTGGAGGCCGAGTATCAGGCGCCGGAACAGATGCCGCGTAGGTGGTTCTCGCGTCGACTCCAGGATGGGTAGAACCTTGGGTGTCCACGGATTGCAGCGAGCCGGCGGAATCATTTGACGGCACATACGGTCGCTCCATGACTCTAGGTGCTTTGGAAGAGTCAAAGTCTTCAGCGGCGGTGCCGTTGGAGAAGCGTACCGAGCGCGGTGATAGTTCAACGTTCATGGCGGCGGAAAATCCCCGTGGGACGTCGTTGCGCCCAAGGGTCAATTAGCATTAGCGGCAATGGGCGCCCATGCTGGGTCGGGGGAGCGGAGAATAAGGGGGCCACGAGCGATAGGAAGGTTAAAGTTAATTGATGCAGCTCAATGGAGTGGCAAAGTGTGAGTTTTTGGAGAACGAGGTGAGGAGAGAGAGACAGGGTCTGGAACGTAGGAGCTCTGGAAGCATAGCTCTTAGAGCTTTGAGCTACGGAGTAGAATATTCACCAATGCGCTACTGAACTACCAGTGCGCTACTATAATAAGGCTACACAATACGCAGTACATAGTAGCCCCCGATGGGTTCTTAGAGTAATAGTAAAGTGCTATTTAAACTATTAGTTGCACGAGATTCAGAAAGCTTGTTATAGCTTTTTAAAAGCACGTCGTCTGTATGGGGTGGTCTGTATGGGGGTGGCGAAGTGGCAAAGTGGCAAAGGAAGGGTAAAGCATTGCACTTGGCTGTACTTGTGCTTGTACTTTTGGTACTACGTGCGAAGTCCTCTATCCGTCGTACTAAAGAGTCTATAACCGTTGGCCTGAAGCCGCCCCCGAATCCTCCCACCCATTCCCACCACACACCCACTTGATCGGTGCTTGGTGTTAAATATTATAGAGTTCGGACGACCATAGAGCTCGGAAAGCCCGTGCATAGCGCCTTACGCCTTGCGCCTTAAAGCTCTAATGACTTGGTACTAGTAGTGTACGGAATAGTCGCCTAGCAATCCCAATACAGGATATCGCCTTATATCTAAGAGAATCAAATGTAACCGCATTCTCCGAGTCTAAACTATAACCAATTAATATATCCTCATTATCCCACTCTATTAATAGAGTATAGTCTTGTCTTGAGCTAGCCAATCTATACTATTATACTAGTTCTTAAAGGACGCGTTGATCCTTTTTTCTATAATAGAGCTAGAGCTGTGGTCGACATGCGCCCGTACTAGGCCCCGTGACCCTACACGTGATCTATTAGGAGGTATATTGACCTCTAAAAAACTGAACTCTCTCCTTTTCTCTCTTTAGCTTAATATCTTTATATCTATAGTCATAGATGAATAAAGAGATCCTCTACTATGAAGTACTCTCCAGTTATATTCTTGACAATTAAGATATAGCTCTGCCTAAAATAACCCGCCCCATAGAATCCGCATCTTACTTATATTAACGTCAGATCCATTGTTTTAAACTAAGGACTTAAGTGTCTAGCAGCGCTCTTTTGTGTGCTCCGTGTCTTATAGGCTGAACTGTGCTGCGAGTGATCGGCGACTGCAAGTTGTTTTATAGACTTTGAAAATCCAATGTGCAACACTTATTTGTTTATTAGATACATTTTCACGTAGTCAAGGTACGGCCATCATTTCAAGTCCGAGTCACGTCCGAGAAAGTAGAGGCATCTGACTTGGAACAAATCATCTCTCATAGAAGCGAAAGCTAGTGTACAAAACGACTCTCACCAGAACCTATCATCCGAATCTATATACATGAATCAAATCAATCTATTCAGGTCGAAAACATCTTGACCAGTGTCAGGTTGGCCAATGTTTAGTGCTTAGGCAATAATAGCCCTGGCATGTCGTCTGCCATTATTGGCATTTCCAGCGACATTTTTGATGCCCTTTCCGAGCCAGGCAAGGACATCATCCAAGGTGGCGCCCTTTGGGAGAGGCTTCGCGCCAGCTGTTACGGTCACTGTGGCGGCGGCGGCGGTAACTGTAACAGTCGATACGACGGTTGCGGCACCTCCTGCGGCAGTTACGGTAACGGTTGCGGCGGCGTTGCAAGTAGGTGAGTTGTCTGGCTGTCCGGCCGTAGGGGTAGGCACACCGGCATTTCCACCAGATGGATTTGGGACATCGACTACGGAAGTTGGAACGGAGCTCGGCTCTGGAACCACGACGGTTGGTGCTGCGGTTTGGACGGCAGAGGTGAAGGAGGTGTTGCTGAAAGGAGCGGTCGGGAGGCTAGGGGCTGTTGGGAAGACACCGGCTGCAGTTGTGCTTACGACCGGAGCAGCAGTCGAGACGGCGCCAGCGGCAGATGAACTGGCGACAGGAGCTGGAGCAGCGCCGCCACTGTAGAGTGCCGGGCCAGGAATAACGTAAGATGCCAGCGTCTTGTAGATGTCAATGAGGATACCAGCGTCCGAGATCTTATAGAGCTCGGTTCCGGCAACTCCAGCGGGCTTCGCGGTTCCACTACCGCTGACGATAAGGTTGATACATTGTGGGTAGTTCTGTGCTCCGTTGGAGTCATAAGCGGAGTGCAAGGCAATGATTTCGTGGCGGAGGACGTAGTTGCCTGGTGCGATATCGGCGGGGATTGTGGCAACCCAAGTGTTATTATTTGCAATGAGCTTGTCGGAGGCCCAGTTGCCCGGAACATTGCTGTTGTCGAGGAGACCTTCCTCGCCAATCTTGAAGAATTTGAGGGCGGTCTTGTCAACGGTTTCGCACTCGCCGTTGCAAGAGGCAAGATAGTCAATCACCGGACCTTTGTGAGATTCGGGCCAAGGGGTCCACTGGAGCTCGACAGTGCTTCCGGCGGTGACCTTGATGGAGGTTCCAGCATTCGTGGCGCCTTTGTGGCAAATGATGTTTGGGTTCTGGAACTGGGAAGGCTCAACAAAGCCATTGTCTAGGTCTTCAGGGATCGACCAGCCGGCAACAACTGGAGGTGGGTTGGCGAATTGGAAGGAGGGGCTGTAGCCGGTGTTGCTACAGATGTGTTAAAAGAAGGAATTTTGCAAAAGCAAGATCAACTGCAAGAGAGGGTAGAGTTACAATTGGCCGCCAACGACGATTCCGGAGACTGTTCCGTGGGCAGAGACGGATGAGAATAGAGCAAGAGCGCTTGCGGCGAAGGTAACTGTTGAAAACGACATTTTTTTTCAACGATGAATTGGAGTCTCTGTCAAAGAGTATGATGGTTGTCTTGTTTTCAAGAATGAGTGTATGTGCGGAGGCTTGTGTATAGACCAGCTTCAATCAACGAAGAGCACGGTAGGGAATGAATGGAAACGAGCTAAAAGCTCTGGAAAGAAAGAATGAGTGAGAGTGAAAGAAGGCTGTTCCTTGATGGATGGTCAAGAGAAAATACCTGCAACGAGGAGAGGATGGTGTACTTATACCACCGATGCCCCTCAGCCGAAGCGCCATGGTGATTGCACAGCAGAAAAAAATTGGAAATGCCCGTAAAGGATCCGATGTCCAACTCCCACCAATCTCATCTCAGAGCCATAGGCAGTTTCAACTAAGTGTTTCCCCTCACCGTGCTGGCGGGACGGAATACCGTAGACAATTCAACGACGCCCCACCCTGCGGCGCCTCTAAATGTCTCCAGCTTCCTCTGGGCTTCCAGGAGGGGAGCGATAAGATTGAATATGGGAGCGATAAGATTGAGGCCAGCAGCGCTAAGGTGCACTGTCATACCTTGGCCGTCTGAAGTTGAATGTTTCTCCGCTACTGGTAGCCAACCCGTTCCACGTGGTGGATCAGCGTGGGTGTCGTGGCCAGGTCGTGAGAGGAGAGCTGGTGGCATCATAATAGCAGCATCTGGCTTACGAGCAACGGATTGCGCTCCCCGAAACAGCTAGATATGCGAGGTAAAGGGCCAGGCGGCCAGGGTTATGTTTTGGGCCAAGAGGCACGATCTGGACTCGTACTACCTACGTATTCAAGTGGCCATTTTGTAGGTGTGTGCTGCTGCAAGGCGGTAATTATTGTTGTTCCAGGTGTGGCGCCCAGCACCGGAGTCTGACATCGGACAATGGACGCGAGATGAGGTTGTCGTCGAAAGCTGTACTCGTTCAAGTCTCGTTGTGGATTCGGCTACGGCAGATGTTCGGCGTCGTTCCGTTTCGCCCGAGCGGATTCCATTTGATTACCTGGAGGTGTTCAGGGTCAAGCGGAGTCGTGCGGTACTCGAGTGCTCGAGCACTCGAGTCGTCGGGATGGTATACAGACTCCAGAGTAGGTAGACGAAGTACAGTAGTAGAGATACAGTACATCCACATCATACCTGCCGGGACCCAGCGGGCTGGGCATCGGACGCTATTGACGAAGCTAGGAGAACCACTTTCCGGCGGCTCCCTGACGACTGCTCGAGCGGCTCGTTGCTTTTGGCGGCTCCATCTCAAGAGCCTCATCTCCTAAAGCCCACCGGCAGCACTCTATTTGCCTACCCGAGTCTGGACCCTGCTGTCATGCCAGTCACGCCTTCTCTATTCCGGAATGTATATATCCCCTCCTCGTGGCTTAATATATTATTGCATCGTTTGGGACGTTTGCTTTCTTCGTCATGTTATCTGTTCCAGCAGTACTGTACTACTTCCAACTCTACTAGGTCCTCAGGCTATATACTTACCTAGAGAGGGTTCTTAGCTAGGAGTCCTCTATAACAGGTTCCTACTCTGAATTGCTATAAAGAGTCTATATAGTAGGTCCTACAAAAGCTGTAAATGAAGATGTATTTATTATTTAGATAACTTAGCTGGAACTACGACTGGCAAAAAACGACAAAGCTTCGAGTGTCCAAGTTAGTGTGGCCTTAGGCATCTACATATGCCCTCACAGACGTGATCACGTGCCAGGACAGGCTAGATGATTTGTAGGTGTAGCGTAAGTGTAGCGTAACCCTTGCTATCTATACTAATACTACCTTACGGGCTATAGATTGGTTTGTCACAACGGGTGCTCGTCGCAAAGGAGCTAGGAAATTAAAATATGGTTGCCAGTCTACATTAGCTAGGGTATATACGTAGTTCCATGTATTCGAGTTATGGAGTTGTCAGTGCAGCGAACCAGTCAAGGAGGATAGGAAGAGTAGCCTGGTCCGTTTCAGCCTTGTCCATCTCCGAGTCGCGTCCCACTGGGGCAGCACGCACGCGAAAACCACCACACACTGCGCGGTCATACAGCACCTTACATACCAACACCGCACAGCAAGCTTTTATAGGAATTGGGGGGTCGGGTCTCGATATTCAATTCAAGACAGGCCTGATGACATGACAGGGCTATTAGTATCTCTTTGCTATGTTGCATCAACGTCAAGATGAGCCACCAGTCTCCGACGCGTCCACCGCTGCCCAAACACGTCCCGGTGTTCTTACGCCAACGCCCGATAGTTCTGCCAACGTTTTGAGTGATGGCACATCTTCAATCTCTGGCGCCAGAAAGCGGAAACGCGAGAGCAATGGCAGTAGCAATGGCAGCACAATGGAGGATTTGTTGAAGGATAGCTTTGTTGTGAAGGTCCGCAAAATATATATCCCGTTTTCCCTTCCATGACTTCACTCATGCCAACCATGATCCAGCCTTACCCCTCTACTGTCTTTGTGAAGCCTCGAACTCTCCATCCGCTTATTCTACTGCCCCGATCCCGCCTTCCACTGGCATTTCTCGATTTCGCGACGTCAACAAATTATTTACCCCAGTCAAGGCTTTTCGAGACTCATGTTAAGATATTGGAATTGGAGGAGCGTATGGGAAGCCAGCCAATGGTACTGATAGCGAGACTTGATGATGGACGGACCCTATATGCTGTTGAACGGGAGGATCGCGGTCTGTATGTGCTATGTCGACTTGGAACTTGGGTAAATTCGCAGCAGCTACGAGAGGCTGCGGTCGTCTCAAAACAAGAAGCGCCCAAGGAGTCGGGACGATGCTCCGGATCAGTTTCGTTCCAGAAAGAGGCTGCCACGGTGCCCCTCGTCACGCCCGAAACTAATAAGTATAACAAGAAAAAGAGACTTGCGATTGAGGAGCTCCAGTCTATGGTGAAGCGGCCCTCATTGGACAACATAGCAAAGTCTCAGCCGGGCATAGAGCTGCCGCCATCCCAGGAATATTTGCAACTGGAGGCACCATTGGCAGCACCTCCTGCCGCGGGTGATGCTCCATCACAACCTACGGCTGCAGAGATCTTCGAGAATATTCGGGCACAATACTCCGATGCGCTGTATCTTTCCAAGGTATGTATAGGGCAACGGTTTATATACCATCCAACTAATTGGTTGTAGGCTTCCCTGGCCTATTTTACAAAAGGGCCACTGTCCCGAGCACGTGCCGCGTTCCATCTTGACTACGATTCAACACTCGATATGAATGATCTCGTGTCATTCCTAGAGAGCCTTATCCTATCCACAACATTGCTTGATAAGAAGTATCGCGAGGGAGTGCCAGAATGTGTTTCTATGATAGACATCCATGACCACAGTGCAGACGAGGCCAACGACCTATCAAAGCCCAAAAAGCGCAAGAGTAATAAGAAGATGAAGCCTGGCAAGAACGGACTCTATCCGTCGGAAAGTATGTTCATCAGGCGCTGGTGGTCAAGCCACGATGATGATGCGGAATCGGGAGGGCCTGGCTCCTCTAAAGACGAGCTAATGAAGAATCGGATAGCTCAGTTGCGAACTAGGGAGACTCAGCTTCAGATGGTTCTCATTCTCGAGGTACTCGCTCTTCAACCTCTGGCATCCCGGCCGGAGGATGTCGAAGAGGGTCTGCCGTTAGCTATTCCGGAGAGCAAGACAGCGCAAGGGAAAGAGAAGCAGGCAAAGTCGAAGAAGCCTAGCCAGCTGACAATGCTCATTGATGTGCACATCGACCGGTTGTGCATTTGGCAATCCATTCAACTCGAGGCTGTAAAGCCAAGCCTAGGAGATAGCCGGAGCTTTACCCAAGAGCTTGGTAGCTCGGCACATGAGCCAAAACATACGGACAATATCTTGAGGGACTTCTGTGTCGAAGTGATTGGCCCATTGTAAGTTTATGAAAGTCTAAAACCACAACTTTTCGCTGATGACCTTTAGTTTCTCGGCTCGTCTTCCTGACCGCTGTGCTGCCATCCACCGCAAGTTAGGAGGGCCAGTGGCCGCATCGCCTCCAAGGCCAAGGCTATCCAAATCAGCTAGCTTCTCTGGCGCCCCGTCCCGACCTGGCGCTGCCACCAAACGGCCCGTCCCGACAAAGCCTCGCCGGAGTTTGCAACGTGTATTAACTGATGACCGAGAGCGCCGTAGCATATCTCGGGGTCCTGAGCGAGCAATATCATTGATGAGGTCGGCGACTATGCCATCTGTCCCAGGCCTCAAGCGCGAGGGCAGTGAGGCGCCATCGTTATCAGGAATTCCCCTTGCCACATCTCAACAGTTAGAAGCCAACAGACCAGGAATTCTTAAATCCAAACATCTTGCTCGGAGAGAGGTGGACTTGAGTAGCCTCGCCCCTGACTTAAACGCCAAAGCCAGAAAGCAAGCCAGGATAGAGGCAGAACTAAAGGATGCCATCTCGGCACTCAAGAAGCCTAATCGTGAGCTGGCCGGGAAAACTTTGGCCGAGAACGTTGAGAGGCGGTCGGCCACGGCGTCCCACTCCCGAAGTAAGCTGCACGATATTAATCTTGAAACTAGTGCTAATGTGCTGTAGAATCCAAAAAGCCAATAAGGAATCCGCTTTTCCAGGGGGTGCAGATTTCAGCGACACCGAAAGTCAACCGTGTAAAGGATATGCTCTCCAAATCCCAGGGTGATCCTTTCTCTCAAAGGCCGGATGAATTAGAACTAGATGCTATTCCTGCGTCGAGTATTCCAAAGATCCCCCAATCAGTTTCGCGAGACGACTTGCCTAGGAACGCCCTATTTCACTCGGTCCAGGCAACCCCGACCCGTAATTCATCGAGCAGGGCTGGGCACTTTCTGGATATTAATTCAGCTGAGCAAATCAGCTTTCCCCCATCTTCGCCTTTACATGTACGTCGCTCGAGCGGCCAGCTATTCGCAGCTATCCCCGACTCGGTTGTAAAATCGCCTACTACTACAACTCAGGCCTTCTTCTCCCACGAAGTCCAAGAAACTCCTGTGAAGAAACGGCCAAGTTCTAAAGGAGACCACGGCCATTTCCAGCCCGCTTTTGATTGCGACAAGGAAAACGTCCGAAAGATTGAGAGTGCCGCACAAAAAACAGGCCTAGGGCAAACTAATGATACACGACAGGAGGAGTCTATATATAAGTCGCTAGGATGGGATGACCCCGATGATATCGATGACTTGGCATGATAACGGAGCATAAACGCATGATAAAAGGAGTTCTCGGCGGGCGTGAAATTTTAGATCAGTGAGAAAACAAGCATAGCGATGGTGCCTTATGGGGGGGGGGGGTTGTTTTGGCTTTGGCGTATTAAGAAGATGCTCAATATCAACACGAATTCAAAACTATGAGGTTCTTCCGTGCAATAAATTAATAATGCCTATGTAAATATAGGCACCAGAGCGTGACCAGAACAGATATATTCTATATCAGGCAACCCCGGCGTCATCCAAGGAGAAGTAGCTTTTCTTGATCATTATTTAGTGTGAGCGCCAAATCAGAAGCTGGGGCAGCGGGCGCATCCTACGGGTTGTTAATTAGATGGAGTTATTTATTCTCTCTGCAGAATCCGATTTCCTATTGTGATCCCAGCTTGTGTGCTAGTAATGTCAATAAACTTAATTTTACGTTACTTACAAACTTTCATATACTTGAATTTAATCACAATTTTATTAATATAAAATACAACATATTATCGAATTCCCTACTATTTGCTGCTTAATTGATTAGTGATTTCCGAGAAGGGATTTTACTTATGTAGCTCTAGTCAATACAGCCCTAGCTTATTTTCGGAGGCCTTCAGTTCTGGAAATAGGACCTAAATAAATTGGTGGCGCTGAAATATATGGCATTTCTCATACTCGGGCTAAAAACTACCTAAGAATTCTGCATTAAAAACATAAACTATGCTTCGCTCCTATGATGCCATTAATCCATACCCATTTTCGTATCACACGCTTCTATTCTAAACTGCACCATCTCCAACTCTACCATCTTCTTGGCTGCATCCCAGCTGTCTTCGAGAGAACACTGGATTTTCCCGCAGAAAGTCCGCCACACCACACTCTGTAAACTAGCATACGCCATCGTGTATCCGCCCTCATACGCATTCAGGTCGTGGATTCCCTGCTGTAGCTCTGAGTTTACCCAATGATCAGGCCGCAATTTTCGGGCTTGGGAACTAGTCACGTATGCCCATGCAAAATATGGACCAAATCTTTGCACCCTGTCTTCGAACACACATGCGTACTCTGTGATCCAGTTCTGGCCGTTTAGGAGTTCGTCCCAGTCAAATGGAGGGACCGGCGTAGGGACGTTGTGCAGATCCATGGAAGAGAGCGGAACAACTTGATATCGTTCGTTGACAATCGTCTTGCAAAATGAGCTAAGGACGAGTTTCCTTGTATAGGCAAAAAATCCTTGCCCAATGACCTCTACCATGCAACCCAGCATGGCCAGTTCAGTTGCCGACAGAGACGCAAGAAATTGTGCTTGTTGGGCTCGTACCTCCTGCTTCGTCACCATACCAGCAGTTGTGTCCACCAGTCGATACATCAGAGAGAAGCTTCTCTTTTTAAACTCGACGGCTCTCGCTCGGAGCTCTGATCTAGGAACATCAAGTGACGGCCAGTCATTTGTTGTAGTGTCATCCATCGCCGTGATATCGTGCTCTATGAGGAGGTCGGTGATGGCGCTCCGAAACCGAACCTCCCGATACCATCCATATGTGAACATAGTAACCGTGGCGTCTCCGGGGAATATACAAGACGAGAGAAGCATGTGTTGCTTCGCATTGACATATTCAAGCCAGCTGTCGTTCGAGGAGAGTAATTTGGTTATTGATTTCTCGTAGGTCTTTAGTAACGAGTGGAATGTCTATCAAGGTATTAGTGGGGTGATCATATTTGGGCTGAAGCGGCAAAGGAGCGATGTGATTAAGAACAGTAGTAGACGGAGAATAGGCTGCTCAAGCCGAATAAGAAAATGTAATGTTATTAACCTTTGAAATTTGCATCAGCGTTGCTGCAGACCTTGGATCATCCTCCACGGCGTGCTCGAAGACAGCCAAGCAGACTTCCGAGGGCAACTCAAGACCGGCATGGCTCCTAAGCAGGTTACCAGGAGGCGGCATATTCGTACGGAGATAGAGAGAGCGATTGCGTAGGGAATGAATGAGGGTAGAGGCGTGAAGTAAGCAATATTATAACGAGGGAATGATGCTGGGGGGGGGGGGGGGGGGGGGGGAGAGAGAGAGTGAGCGCCAAAGGAAAGAATAAGTAGAGAAACGCATAGACAAAAGAACCGAGTCAATTCTGCGCCCACTCTCCAGGACACTTCCCTCCCCGTATCCCTCCCCTTCCTCCCTCGCTCCTTCTTCCTCACTTGTTGACACTGGTCATTTCTAAAAAGGCAGGGGCCAAGGCTGAGAGAGACCCCGTTCCGCCTTGTCACCTTGATGGGTAGTGGGGACCAATGACACGCATCGCCTTTCTGAATGCGGCGCTGGAGACTCTGGAAATGGTAAGCGGGCGGGAAAAAGAAAGATGTCAACAGGATGCAATGAATAATGAATGGGTAATAGAGGGATCTGGGAGGGAGATGGAGGAGTAGCGCCTAGACGACATGACTCCCGATCCACCACGCAACTTGGCCGCAGCCAACCAAAACGAGGACTGACTGTATGAGCTGCAAGGAACTGCTTCCTGAGGTAATTGACGCAATGATAATTACCCCTCCAGGTAGAGGTAGAAATTCCATCTTCCCTCTCGATTCCACTTCTGCAAAACCAATCGCCATATCCGCAGCCGAGCAACGAGCAACGAGAAACACTCCATTAACACTAAGCCTGTAATGGCCGATATACCAAGGTATAGTACAATCAATCCGTACAGCATCCACGAATGGGGAGAGAAACAATCGAATCGAAGATCAAAACGCCGTCGCAGTGCCATGGTGGTTTTTCCATATCAAGTCCAGAACGCCATCCAAAATGCCCTCTTCCCATTATACACCGGCCGCCATTCCGTGCTCATTCAGTGCTCATTCAGTGCGAAATGAGAGCGTAGAAGAGCACCTTATAAACTCTTGGACGAATCGTACCCATCAGGTCGCGCTTTGATATTAATAACCTTCTTAGCACCCAGATCCTTAATTTTCGAAATCAATTTCTTGTTTTCATCGAGCTCGGCAATATCATCTCCGCCTCCAATACTGACGCCGTTTATGAGCACATTCGGGACGGTCTTGCGGCCGGTGAGCTCTGCGAGCTTGGCTTGTAGTTGCGGCCCTAGCTTGTGCTGATCGAGCTCTACCACGTACGGCGCGGGATCGATGGAGTATTGTTCTAGCAGGATGGTTTTGGCCTTTCGAGAAAACGGGCAGTAGGATTTGGAGAATATGATGACTGCGAAACATATCCATATTAGTTGAATGCCCCTATAATAGCTGACCGCCGAAGACTTACTCGGTGATTTCTTCAAGATAGTATTAAGCACCTCCTCCACCTCATGCTCCTCCAACGTCTCCTCCCTGACCGGCTCCTGGGCCTCCGCACTTCCAGGAGGGAACTTCTTCCTCCCAGCAACACTCCTCCCATCTCCAGCGGCATTCCCCACGCCCACAACCTCGGAGGGCGCATCAGGTTTGGGCGCCTTCGCATTCGCGTTATCCTTGGCTACTTTCGCAGCATCCTTTAACCTCGCCGCCATCGCCGCCGCTACCTCCTTATCGCCAGACGCTCCCGTCCCTGCTGTTTTGCCTGTGCCATGATTCTTGTTCTTATCCAAGCCATGGACGGTTTTGGCGTAGAAGTCGCCGAGGGTGCGCGGGTCCTGCGACCGCTGCTGACGCAGCGATGAGGTGTAGAAGAGCACTGTGATGACAAAGATGAAAATGAGGAGTCCGAAGACTTTGACTCGGCGCGCTGACGGCATGCCTCTTGGCCGTGTGAAGTACGATGTGGGTTTGAATGGTTGAAGGGATGCGTGTTATTAGGTTAGAAAGGGAGAGGTTTTAACGGAGAGATAGAGATAGCTAGGCAGTTAGAAATACGAGGCTGATGCTACGTAATATCTGGGCATTTAACTCGGCTACAGTGGGTGGATCAGCGCTGGCGAGGCCTAATTGCTTTTTATAGTGGCCGATCAAGTCTGGTGGCATCATTAAACTTAACATATGATATTTATACGTAATGCAGAGGAGTTATCACGGCTTGTGAGTGAGAGGGGTGCTCCTCTAGGGGTTCTAGAATAACAGATTCAAATGCCTTCCCTTGTGAAATGCCAAGGCTGACGATTTCCAAGGTCCTCGGTGCCATCATAGTATCGTACTACTCGTACTCTTACCTTAGTAACCGTCAACGGCTCCCACCGCACTATCCCCGATTCCCCAGATTGCTCGGCTCAGCCCCGTAAGGACTCCACAGGCATGTGCTCAGGGGCTGGGCAAGCTTTGCATTCCTTAACGAAGCTTGAACTGCTACAGTTCGTAAAAGATGAGGGAACTGCTATTTCGTTTTGAATTTGAATTTGAATGAACAGAAATATTACATTACTATCGTAGGCGTATAACAGAATTAATCGTAATTTTACAAGTCATCCTCATCAATGACTCCCGTTGCATAGAAAGTGCGCCTGGTTTCGCAATCCACATATAGCCAACGCCGATGGGCATGCTAAAGGCCCATCCAAAATACCGACGTCAATACCTCGCTGTGGTGATCCTCATACTCATCTGAAAGCTCCAATACTAGCACGCTCTCGTAGTGTCTTTCTGGCTCCGTCGGACTTTCCAACCGAGCCGGTAACCTTCATCCAATCCTCCCACTCCCTGGCAATCTCCATGAGGACGCCCCCCATAACTGCAGCAGAAGCCATCAGCCCATGTCCTTCGCCCTCAAGTACCCGCACTTCGCATTTCTTCATCGTCTTTCCGAGCCACCGGACATTCTCCACCGGCACTCTCGTGTCCTTGCTACCGTGATGAATGACCACGGCTCGGGTTATGTCTACATATCTGAACCCGATTGTATGTCTCCTCTCTAGACACACTAATAGATCCACGGCGGGATTCGCGCCCTGCGTAGCTAGATGCCAAATTGCATGGGTGAGTCTCGTGTCATATGTCATTTGCCTCTCCTGATTTGCGAGTGTGTTAGCAGCAGCAGCCAGGATGGCGGCTTCGTTATTCGGGTCTGTAGGATCGCTGGCAGCCTTTTCTACAGCAGTCTGCTCCGAAGGATCAGGATAGATTGTAGAATTTCGGCCATGGTTCTCTTTATCAGGACCGGGCGTGACCGTGCTCCTGCCACTCGGCGCTGGGGTATCGCGTCCGGTGGACTTGCGCTTGTTGCGCTTTTGCTTCGGAAGGCTACTCGTTATCGAGCTACTCGTAGCGCTCATGAAACTGGAGTTGGCCGCCTTGAGAATAGGGGTGGGAAGTGCGCGAAGGATGCGCTGAGAAGTTGGAATTGAGTTTGCAGGAGGTGAGGACGTCTGCCCGCTAAAGACATTCATTTGCGAAGGCGGTATCCAAGGCGCAAGGAGGTGGATCCGCCCACGGATATGCTGGGGCATACGGAGGGCGGTTGCCAGTGCGTATATCGCGCCAGCTGAGTGGGCGAGGATGGAGAACTTAGTTATCTTCAATGCTTGACATATGGCGTATACATCATCTATGAGATATTAGCACCTGCATTACAAACCGGATCACACGTTACATACCAGGCCAACTGAGAGGTGTTGCTGTGCCATCATTATATGGCTCACTGTCTCCCACTCCCGGACGATCTGGCGTAATCAAACGTAGCTTGAGCGTCAAGGCGAGTTCATCGTAGAAGGCCGTTATGTACCTTGTCAATCCCATACCAACGCAGCAGAAGACCGCAAAGCCTTCAGAGTCACCAACTTCTGAAAAGGAGATGGTCCTGCCAGTCTGAGGATGCCTAATTTTTTGAGATAATCGCGGCGAGCAAAGATATGCCTCCACCGCATCGTCAATTGAGTCCGCACTATTCGGCCTATCATCAACGTGTATTTGTGGTGTCTTGCCTGGTTCAGGGGACCCAACTCTTGATAGTGGAGTTGGGCTTCTTCTGGTTTGTGCATCCTTCTCCCCGCCCCTGGGGCTCAGGGGCGCAGATAATCGCTTCAGCCGTGATCCGGCTCGCTTGGGTTGGGGAGTTTCCAAAGGTTCAGGAACCACTTTGCCCGATTTCCTCTTGGGTTGGTCAAGGCTGTGGCGCGATTTCCTTTGAGCGACTGCCGGGGACGGCGCCCCTCCATCTATATCCTCCGCTTCAAGCAACCCCTCGATTCCGGCACTTTCAGCCACTTGTTTGCTGGCTGGTGTGGCCGTTTTCGAAGCGCGGGGTGTGTCCAGATTGTCCAGAGGTTCGTTCATCTTGGAACTTCCTTCAGAAGGCGCAGCTCGATTATCCCGCCTGCCCCGTTCCCGTTTACGATCATGCTGTTGCTCGTCTATCTCCTGGATGGTGTCATTTGCATCTTCACTGGCTCGAGGTGTGGCACCGTGTCGACTTGATCTTCGGGAGGAACGCTTTGTCCCAGATGCGGTTTTCCGTAAAGAGGAGTCTCGTGTCGGGATGAATCTTCCTGAGCCTATGCCTCCGTAACTTCCTCCTGCAGCAGGCAAATTTACGTCGTCGTTCGCGGTAGTCGGAAGATCTTGTTTGGTTGTGGGTGATTCTTCCGATTCTTCCCCGATCGCGGTTTCCGCCATGAAGGAATCAGAGTCGAACTTCGGCACAGGTAGTCGATCGGAGGCGAGCCCTTTTGTATTGCCTCCAGCCGAATTCCTCTTGCGCTCTTGCTCCCTTTCCCGCAGTCTCTCCTTTGAACTCATGTACATCAAACCTCTCTGATTCCTTGCTTGCTTCTTTCCCCAGCTGTCGCTCGACGATTTCCGGCGTAACTCTGGAGATGGCGGTGGGCCGGGTTCGATAGAGAGATTGCCAATGCTACTCGCATCGTCCTTATCCTTTGGCCCTAGAGAACCCTTGGATGATGGCCGTGAGCTGCCTCGTAGAAATGTCTTCAAAGGGCTACTGTCTCGAGACGGTCGTGGAGCAGTCAAAGGAGAGAACCCTGAAGGGGGTTTTGAGGTCCTTATCACCGGAGGACTGGCAGCAAGTTCATCGAGGGATTCTTCTTCAATGAGTTCCCGAAGGGAGGGTTGGTCGAACGCGCCGTAATCTATTCCAAAGCTCCCTCCCGACGACCGAGACCCTCCCTGACCGTTCAAATTTCCAAAGGTATTCTGTGTTGGCGCGGGGGATGCTGGTGTAGAGTGACTCTCGAAGAGCTGGTTCGCAGGGGAGGATATGACAGAGAGCGACGTGATCAACGACGAGATGACTTCTGGGGAAGCAGGTTGAATATGGACGCGGTTCGCGGGAGTCGAGGGGCCTTGCAGAGACTTTCGTCGACTATGGTGCCGTGACCGATTTGGCACCGGAGGGGGAGTTGCGTCCATGGCTGCAGATTCTGACACTACCACCAAATCTGAGCGCTGTTCCTAATAAGTTCGCTCTGTTCGGCCAGATTCTGGGGAGCTCAGGCTCGTTGGCGACGCTGCATTGGCTCCTTCCCCAAACGTTAGACAGGCTGAGAAATGTTTCAGAATCGGGAGTCAAAATCGATGGGCTGTACGGGGAGACTATGCCGTGTATGCCATTGGGGGTGCTGGAGCGAATGCAGGTGCAGAGGTGTCCTAGTAGGGATTGAGAGTGCGATGCGGTCGGGAGTCTGTTCGTTGCAGTAGAAGTAAGACTTGGGAGTTGTGGCTTGGGCAAAAATTCGGGGAGGGCAGAGTAGTCAGGAGATAGGGGACCGCGCGGGAACCCAGATTGGCGACAGGACTCCTGAATGATCGCTGCTGCAGGTGATGGATGATGCAGCCCACGAGGAAGAAGAGACGGTCAGCCGTCTCACAGTTGATGCTTGAGATGCAACAGACAGCGAGGAGACAAGACCCTAGAAGCGAGCACGAAGCAGCAGAGGGCGTTGGTTGAGCGTAGCGTTGCGTTGCGTTGAGTATATGGAGGTGGATGTTGTGGTGAGGATTACAGTACTGTAGGGGATGGAGTGTTGATGGTGGAGCAGAGAATCACAAATGCAATGCAATATCCTGGTCCAGCAAGGGGCCGTGGGCGACCGCACTGACGGGCACTGGCAATCAGAATAATAATGGGGAAGGGAAAACGACAGCGGGAATTTCGGTACTTTAAATTTAAACCGCCTTGCCTTGCCTTGCCTTGCCGCTGTAAGCTGTGATTGCCGGCAAACGGGGTGGATGGGGAGTTGGAATTGGAAGACAAAGAGGGTGGCAATGGTACAGAATATAGAATATACCTATACAGTAGAATAAAGAATGCAGAGTCCAGAGGGCTGATTCCGAATCAGAAGAGGAGCCCGAATAATAACGATAAAAGTCCCGTCGCCATGGGACGTGGTGGTGGCTTGGGGAGCTGGAAAGAGAGTGCAAGGGATGGACAAAGTAAGATTTGGGTCCGAACGACATCAGCAACATAATTGGGTACCGGCTTGGAGGCTTTGAAAGGGCCTACGCTGTCCTACGTACTACAGGACTCTGTACGAGGTCTGTAGGTAAGCGGTCTTGTTATGGTCATGGCGTCTCTTTGAATGGTCGTTAGCCCCTGATGCTGATAAGTTACCCAGGGAAAGAATTCCAGCTATTATGCATTTCACTCTACTTGTACAAGTTGTATCGTCTACACCATAGATATACTATGCGATACACGAAGCGCTTCATGCCTTGGGGACATACAGTACTTTCGCCGAGTTCTGGTCCCATATCACATCAGGGGTCAGTGCGCAGGGAGTAACAGGGTGCTTTGTCAGCCGGCGCAACAACATGCCAGCATTATCATTGTAGCTCAATAACGGCTATGTCATAGGACGTCAGTACTTCCAAGTAATAAAATGCTATCCAGCCCTACCGTTCGCAGCGGCGCCTAGAACATGGTTCCTTTATTAGAGGGCGGACTATCTTCATACTCCCGCCCTGAAAGCTCATCTGTTTTCCCTTAGGTTTGGTCACCTATTAACAATAATAAATACTTGGACACTGTAGAAACATCTTGATATATACCCCGCCATGGATGTGCTGCTTTCACTCCCGGTGCTGGGTTACCTCCTTGGGCCTGCCACATTCTCAACGAGCCTCAACTTGCTATTCTTCTACATGGTAAGTAAAAAGCTATGATTATGAGCCTAATATAAATATACTAATTTAACTCTGTAGACTTGTACGTTTTACTTTCAGCAAAATTGGCCTTTAGGAACTTAGCTGACCAGAAGTTAAAAGGGAGCACCCTCGTCCTCTCACAGCCGGCCCTCAAAGTCGAAGTTGTGGGAACTTTAGCAATTCGCGCCCTGTTCTTCTTAGCCCCCTCGATCCTCTTTCTTCTCGTTGACAGTGCCATACCAAGCCTCATAGTTGGTATCAAAAGACAAGGCGCCGCAGGTTTGCCCACTCGAACTGGCGGCGTAAAACGTTCAGCGAAGAGGGCAGGGCCCCAGTGGTACCGTGTTATCGGCCTTAGCATTTTCAATGTCCTGTTGGCAACTGCGCTACAGGCTGGTATCGAACTTTTGTTCACGAAGGTTTTGCATGCGAGAAGCGCTTTGCAAGTCACAACTACCCTACCCTTGCCATGGTCGATTGCAAAGCATGTTCTCAGAGGGCTGGTACTTCGCGAGGTATTTGCTCCGTATTCTCCATCCTGGATTTCTTTCTGACAATATATAGGTCTTGCAGTATTATATCCACCGCTTCATCCTTCATCCTCGCCAGCCAAACTATCTAAGCCGACGTCACCAATCCTATTTCCACACAATCACCGCCCCTTATTCATTTGCGGCGCATTATGATCATCCCGCCTCATATATCTTGTTCCGATTTATCCCCACCTATCTGCCCTCTGTTATATTTCGCTCCCATCTTTTAACGTATCTCCTCACCCTATCCATAACTACCCTCGAAGAAACCGTCTCGTCCTCTGGGTACAGTACCATTCCTGGAATTATGCTGGGAGGAGTTGCGCGAAGACAAGACATACATAGTAAGTGCCGTGGCAAGGGTAATTTTGGTCCATTGGGCATCTTGGATTGGATCCATGGTACCAGCATTGGTGGCGATGTTGCTGAGGATGTGATCGATGAAGCCGAGAAACACAATGTCAAAGAACGTGGTAACGATGCGTTGGAAAATGTGAAGGAGGGCGGAAAGGAGGGTCTCAGGTCATGGAACACAAGAAGAAAGAGTGGAAAGAAAGCTTGATTTAACGATGTCTGGAGGATAATAGGAGCGTTTGCGATTTTTTACTATACCCTTCTACGTGTACCACCACCTCAGTCTATCTGTATACCTTGGTTTGGTTGGATTGTTGGGAGAAAAATAGGCGCCAGGAATGACCGCTTTAAGGGTTTGGCAGGTGGCGTTAATTGTTTAATAACTCGTTTTGCTGTGTACCTAGGTATAATTTGGATCGAGGTTTGTCGTCACCTCGTTAGACAGTGAGTGGGTGGGAACGGCACCTAGAATGACATGTCCAGCGTTAATTAGGGCCGTGTAAGCTATGTAGTATATGAGGAGCATCCCAGCAAGATAAATATATATAAGTGTAGACTCGGAAATAAGGTAGTACGGTTTTATTTATTAGTTGATTACCTTTTTGCTGGAATATCATTGCGTATAGAAGTTTGGTGAAGACCTGGAAGCAATTCCCTGTCGCCGCGCCAATCCCAAACTAGTAAGGCGCGATATATTTCCTGAGGAATTGTCGCCTGTCGCGAGCTGCTTGCTAGACGCGACCAAATCCACGATTTACCACCTTGAAGACAACTCTTGACAAAGCTCGACATCCTCCAGAACGGAGCGCACATACCGCCTCGGAGAGCTGCGCATACCACCTCGCTATGATTGCATGACCGAGGAGAGCACCCACTTTTGACACAATCTCTGAGAAGCGCCCTTCTCCGCGCATTCCACAACTTCCCAAGACTCAAGAAGTCCTCCAATCTTGCGGACATGCTATGCTGGGTTTGTCACAATGACGACTAAGAACCTTCATCCTCCACAATCCTTTATATCGAGCTACGCTCCGCGATTACGCACCTATGCCAACTCGCTATTGACGCCAGCCATACAACCCACGACCGCCCACGCCGCTCCCTTGTCCAGAACTACAAAGAGAGGAACAACCGCCATCAACTATGCAGAAGATGGATTTGAAGATTATGACGATTCCGACCTTGATAGTAGAAGGAGGCCAACTGGTCTGCGAAGCTTACGGAGAGATGAACCGGGACAGGAGAAGCATGACATAGGCGACAAGGTTGGAAGAGAAGCTATAGCGCCGGTAGAGGTTCAAGGGATTTGGAGGGACTGGATGGGCAAGGCGAAGCCATCGAAGCCTGACATGCAAAACTATGCTCAAACGGCGCTGCCATTGACCCTCATACCGATTCGGATTGATCTCGATATCCCGGCTTTCGTGCCTCCAGCGCCGCTACCACCACCTCAAGGCGTCGGATTTGGGCAAATTGATACCTCACTACCAGTGTACCGAACCCAAGAGGTGACTGTGCCATATCGCCTGAAGGATAATTTCCTATGGAATCTCCATGAAACGTTGACGACCACCGACCAGTTTGCCCAAGTGATGGTGCAAGATCTGGATCTCCCAAACAGGGTGCAGATGGCCAACGAAATCAGCAAGCAGATTCGAACACAGTTGGAAGAATATGCAGGTGTTGCTCTCCACCCATTATTTCATTCGCAGCCAGCATCGGCGACAAATGGCCTGGCGACCACTATTAAGCCCGGTCAATTTTCTCCATCTGCAACGCCAGCCAGCGGAAACGCGACGCCGATGCGTAGCAGTATAGCCCAGTTGAACGGGTACTCTACTCCGTTGAAATCTGCAGATCGTTCTTCATCCCAAGATGTTACCGCTTCAGCAGCCGCTATTCCACCCGAATCTGACGACTTCAATCCAGATGACATGTATCGATGCATTATCACATTGAGCATCAACTTGTCCAATAACCTTTACCAAGACAAATTTGAATGGTCACTCCTACATTCTCCTGGAACGGCGGAAATGTTTGCCAAGCAAACCTGTGCAGATCTAGGCCTGCCTGGAGAATGGGTACCGGCAATGACACACGCCATTTACGAAGCTGTATTACGGCTCAAGAAGGAAGCCTGCGAAAGTGGCGGCCTAGTTGGTGGATATGGCGGCGAGATATCTAACGATGCTGCTCATGGAGCTGAAGCTGGTTGGAGATATGATAATGAACACCTGGCCGATGAATGGGAGCCGAAGGTTGAGCAACTATCCAAGGAAGAGATTGAGAAGAGAGAGGGAGATAGAGAGAGACAAAATCGAAGGGTAAGACGAGAAACCTCGAGATTCTCCTCAACCGCTGGAATGATGGGGGGCTTGCCACAAGCCGTGGAAAACAGAGGCTACTTCGATCCTGAACCAAGTGAGGAGCGAATGGGCAGAGGGGAGCGGAGCAAGAAGAAGCGACGGTTCAGGAGTCTGAGCCCTGTGGGGAGATCGGGGACTCCCGGTGGAAGAGGGACGCCCGATGGCGGCGTTGCTGGATATGGAGGTGGTGGATCACTTAATGAGTACGAACGGAATAGTTGGAGATGTTCCCATTGTAAGGTTTGGGGTACCGCAGTTTGGGCAGTTAGAGATGGACCACATGGCGCTAGGGTAAGTTTCAATCTTCCCACTTTATCGCAAATTGCTGCTAACAAACAACAGACGCTCTGTAATAACTGCGGTTTCATTTTCGAGCGCGATCGGAAGTTGCCTAAATTTGCGAAAGACTTGCATAAGACGGACCTGCGTGCTATTGATTATAGATGATTGTATACATCTTTGATCAATGTGGTCTAATCTACCCTCTTGTTTCCCGCTTCCGCCTATTGAGGAATATATGTCTGTAATAAGGAGTTAACATGGGGGGGACGGGGGCGCGCACACACGCATGTCACGTATACCACGTGGTTCATTATTTGCACGTGGGAGGCGAGATATAAATTAGAATCGTGGGCCATTGGGATGATTTGTAAAACTAGCAGAGAACTATCTGATCAATCAGCAGACTGGCCAGGCCAACAATCCCATTATGAATTGTTGACTGCAGTAACAAACGCCTGTACGGTAACATTATCCGCCGAAAACAGCCCTAAGACAAGCCAGCCCGCCACCGTAACTCCTAACTTGCTCCGACCATTTATTCCCAGCGCCATATCCCGCAGAAGTACAATTAACCCCGACGAGGACGTTTCGGATCCACCTCCAAAGGCTCGCTTTCATCCCTCTCCCTCTTCAGCATCTGTCCAAATTCGTCGAGACCCTTCTCTCCAAGAATATTGTGCGAGCCCTCAATCCTCATCTCTGACATAACAGTAACATCGATAGGGCGGGGAGATCCATCACCATCAAACATGGGAATGCTACCAGCACCGTCTCCGCACAGGTGTCTCAGAGCCGAGACGACGGCGACGGCGATTTTTCCAGCACTGGCACCGGTGTCAGCGCAAACGATGTTGCTGTCGCCGAGGATGGTGAGAGGGGCGTTGATGGTGATCTTGAAGTTAGCTAGCTTGGGCTCTTCCTCTTCCATGTCTGATTCCTCGCCATCATTGACCTGGATATTTAGGGCTGGATTGGGCATGTTCACGGTGGTTACTCCTGGATGGTGCATGTTCAGGGTGTGGATTGCTGGATGAAGCATGGGGTTTGGTACTGGATGATTCATGTTGTTTCCTCCTGGATGGTTTATGTTGTTTCCTCCTGGATGAAGCATGTTGTTTCCTCCTTGATGATTCATGTTGTTTCCTCCTGGATTGTTCATGTTGTTTGCTTGGTAGGCGGGTGGGGGTGTGACGGTTGGTAGTCTGGCGATCGGCCGTCTGGCGTTTGGTCGTCTTAGGCTGAGAGTATGGGCGAGATCCTTCTGCTGGGCCCGTTGGTTAAAGGAGTTCAAGTTCATAGTGTGATGAGGGTGGTGTGTGTGTTTGAAGGGTAGCCGTCGGAGAGCACGATCTTGATGCTTGATGGAGGGAGGTGTGGTAGGATCCGCCCCGGGCTTGGATGTGTTTGGAGAAGGGGCTGCTTGAGTGCTTGAGGGAGGGTAGTATTTGGAGGAGAGGAGGAGGAACTCTTTATAGAGGTTATGGATTTGAAGATAATAGGAAGAGAGGACAATCGTAGTTGATATCAATCGGACAATGGAAGACTCACGTGTGATACTGAACGTACCTATTGAGAAGAAGACGGGAACGATTGTGGTGAGCCTTGCGGAGCGAAGGTTTATGTAGACGTAAGAGAGGATACGATTACGCTTGTCTTGCACGGGGCTAAATAGTTGATCCTATTGCCGCTTGTCAATAGGATCGCGGTGGAATCACTAGTTCCTATTGTCGTCGAGACAATAGGAAGCTGTTGCAATTGATGCACTGAACAATAGGAACAACATCTGGCTACGCGAGCTGTGCAGCCAATCAGCGAGCGAGTTGCTACGCTACGCGAAGTGCACGGACGTCTGAATCAAACAATACAAACTCATGTTCGCCTGAGGCTTCTCAGGCAGGTAACAATTGTGTATCAGAGTGACGCACCGCTTGGTGGCTTGTGGTCTTGGATTATTGTTGTATTGTTGTATTGTTGACGGTTCTTGGAAGTATCACCGGAGTGGAATATTTTTTGTCGCCTTGAGTTCTGGCAGGGTTGGCCTACGGTAGTACTTTATAAACCTGGACATGTCGATTAGTCGGCGACCATTTCTCGGGGGTTTGTAGTTGTTCTCAGGAGTGCACAGCGACTCACTCACGGTTAAGACATTGCATAACGACTCGCTGATGGCAAAGCTACAACAGGCCCTTTTGAAAATCCTTCTAGTTTATAGACTGTCTACTGATGCTACTTTGTGGTCACATCGTCCTTCCCTATCCTCACTTACTTTCCTGCACCGTCTTCTTTACACCCTCGATAAACGACTGGACCGCATCTCCTCCGCCGAGGGGGACGTTCCCCCCTCTAACCAAGCCTCCATTGTCTAACTTAATCCCCAACGCCTCGGCAATGCTAGGTAACCCACCATCTCGAATCGCCATTGTAAGGCTGCCTAGGCCCTGGTGAAACTGAGGACTCCTCAATACCCGCTTCAATATCGATATCTTCTGGTCGAGGCTCAGAGTCTGGATAGCAGCACTTGTCGTTTCGGCATTTGGTTCAACCATCCCGTCTATTTGTGCACTTGATTCTTGTGCAAGGAGAAGGATTGTTGGAGGCAAGTAGCAAAGGAGATTATCGATTTGAGCCGGGGATGCGGAATCGATAGTCGGAATTGTGGTAGAGGATGGTAGTAGATCTGGTAGTGTTGTGTAAATCTGACCCTGGGGGGATTGCTGTTGCTGTCCGGTTGAACCTTTCAGGGAGTTGAGGAAATTTTGAACAACCGTCGCAGTATCTTGTGGCCCACTGGCACTGATCACAATGTCAGCCCAGTCCAATACTGTCCAGATAAAAAGCCATTGGAGGTTTGGATATTCATTCAAGTCGCATCTGGCTAGCAGTACATGCAGATTTTATTCGCCTTCCATTAACCAAACGCCTTGGTTATAAAATGCTCATCAATGCTGGTGATATGATGGAGAAGTACCTACGCTCGCCCGCCATCAGCCCCACCTTCTCGTGCACCCGCACCCTCCTCTCTAACATCCCCACCCGTAGCACCTGGTCCTGCGCCGCCACTACCCCCACGATGGTTTTCTGATTGATCGCCATGGCCCTCGACATCTTCCATAGTCTCATCCTCATCATTGTCATCGTTGCCGCCGCGTACTTGTGCAATCTCCTCGGAGACATTGACCTCTTCGCCTTGCAGTAACGTGTCGACGATCTGGCCAATCTTCAAATCGCGTGGGCTGAACCAGCTTAGATCTCCATTCCGGGCTTGTGACTTCGATTGCAACCAGAATAGATGTCTTTGAGAGGATGACGAGAACTTCAAGACGAAAATACGACCATTGGTCTTGGAAGTGGGTTGATCCGAGGTCTTGTATTCGTATGGCTCGAAATGTCCATCGGTTGGAAACATAACAAGATCCAGGTTGTCTTCATCGGTCATAGGCTTGCTTCGTTCACGCCAGCAAAAGTGAACAAGATCTTCTGGATGTTAGCTAGGGAAATGCAATGCGGAAAAGTACTCACCATCTTCGGAGTATAGGTAGATATAACCTGGGGTTGGGTCAGGTGTAACTTTATAAGGCTGGCTAGATGTCTGTTTCTTGAATAAGCACCCATCCGAGGCATTTAATAGTTGGGATAAACACATACATCAAGTTCGCATCTGCCTGCCTTGAAGGTGATTATAGGTGAGATAGACATTTTAGGCAGAATGTAGCTGTGTGAGTGATCGAGGACGGTGATAGAGCTCTGGGATTAAGCTTCATGATGAAATGGCAAGGCGGCGATGGTCCGCGAAGCTGGAGCTGCAACGCTAGTCCGGGATGGGCACTAGCTTACAACCTTGGAATCAAGGCACCAACAGCGACGTAACCGAATCCCGTCTGACGAGCCAATCATAAATTTTCGCCAATTTCCATAGTGCGTGGCCCTCGTCAGGGCAAAGACACCCTATCTTTGGCCATTCGCGAAAAAGCGATCAACCTCAAGTTTAATCACGCCCAACGACACCAAACCACGAACCGCCAGCAACCATCGAACCGGTTCTTCGACAAGATGCCGTCAACTACGGAAGGAACGAGACCTGCCCCTCAAAAGAAGACCTTCGGCAAGTCGACAAGAGAGGTCCCTCATGCGTCCCAGAAGGCGCAGAAGTGGTACCCAACCGACGATGATGCTCAGTCAAAGAAGGTGGGTTTTCCGAATCCCCTCAGTATCCAGAAACTGGCGGCCCGCGATTGCTAGCTGCTCGGCCGATTTGTGAAATGTGCGATCGTTGCTGCTCTCACTTCACGGCTGGACCATGGTGCAATGCGGAGCCGCTCAGTTATAGGAACAATAATCTATCAATTGCGAGCATCACTAACAGCGCATACAGGTCCGCAAGTCTATCCGAGCTTCAACTCCCCGATCTACTCTCGCCCCCGGTGCTGTTCTGATCCTCCTCGCTGGCCGTTTCCGTGGCAAGCGTGTCATTCTCCTGAAGAACCTCGACCAAGGTGTTCTCCTTGTTACCGGCCCCTTCAAGGTCAACGGTGTCCCTCTCCGCAGAGTTAACGCCCGCTACGTTATCGCCACATCCCACAAGATTGATCTGTCCGGTATTGATCAGAAGAAGGTTGAGGAGGTTGCGTCAGAGAAGTACTTCGCACGGGAGAAGAGTGATAAGAAGACCGGAGAGGAGGCATTCTTCAAGCAGGGAGAGAAGCCAGAGGTGAGATATAATGATCGGGAGAGTTATTGAGCCGGAATCTGACAATTGAATAGAAGAAGAAGCCATCCAGCAGCCGCGCCGCAGACCAGAAGGCCATTGATAAGGCTATCCTCTCGACAATCAAGAAGGAGCCAATGCTTATTAGCTACCTCGGAAGCTCATTCAGCCTGCGCAAGGGTGACCGGCCACACGAGATGGCTTGGTAAGGGTTGGTAGTTAGGGCGTCGGACAGTGGATGTGGGATACAACTTGCATTTTTTGACCTTGAGGGCATCGGTCACAATTGCTAGGGCGCTTTGTAATCAGAATTGCAATGACGAATAACTCACAAAGCAAAACAATGGGCATTTCGATTCTACGTGTAGGATACCCCTGAGATCCAAGGATTTCCGTTCACTCATGAGCCCCTTTTCCTATTTCCGGAGTGCACTCGGGCCGCTGGATGCCTATAGCCCAGAATGACCTGTTGGGGACACCTAGCAGTAATGATTCTCTTAAGACGGTATCTGAGTAGGAGAAGCTGCCAATAGACTGCCATGCCCCAAATAACGTCGAGATAGTGATACCTGCGAAACACGTCCTATTGTAGCCCAGTAAAGCACAAGGATCAATGTTAGAGGCTTCTAGCGACTTTGCATTTGACACTTTTCCATCTCTAAAGTTCGATTCTCGTAGTAATGTTATGGTGAAAACCGGAGTTATTCACATGAAGGTATGAAAGGTATTAAAAGATAGTTGGAACTCGGGAGGCAAAGCCAAGATTTCCTGCCCACCTAAAAAAGAATCCATAGGCAAAGCCATGTCACTGTGGCCCGTGTGAGCTAATTTCCGTTATCCGGATTTTTTCTAATCTAGGTAGGTATTAAACTGGAACGCATTTGGAGCATTTATAAAATACAGGTTGCATGTAACCAGTTCGACCTCTCCCCACACCGATGAGCGCAAGTGTACGGAGGAGCCTGAGTAGGCTGAATAATGGCGCTCATTGGGCAGCCGCGGCAGGACCCCGCGTCAGCCTTGCGCTAAGATGGGGACCCCCAAAGCACCTGCACACGTCCACGTCCACAGCTCCATACCGCCTCCCTAGCCACAAGGTCACTCTTCCCCTCAATTCTTCTATGGTCAAGCTTCCAAACGCCCTTAATCGATTATCAGTTATACGTCGTCATATAACCACCATGAACGCCCAAGAGCTCCAGAACTTCCTGGCGGATTCTCCTCCCAGCACCGTCAACCTCGTGATCAAGAAGCACTTCGATGCTTTGTCAGATCAGGAAGCCCGCTATGCCCACTACATTAGCAGGTATGAATGGGGAACATACCTATATAAGAAGTCTGAAAGTCCAGCGTGGTAGAAGCTAATATGTTCCCTAGAGCTGCCTTCACTGGAACTCGTATCACACTTCGCCAAGTGTCTCCCGAATCCGAGAGCATTTTCGATTTCGTAATCGAACTCTACAAGAGTTGTAATGGAGATTGGAAGTCCCTTCAACAGAAGGCCGGAGTAAGTGACGAAGATCTGAAGTACTTCCTGGAATATGCAGTACAATTCCTCGGAAACTGTGGTAACTACAAGGGGTTCGGAGACTCTAAATTCGTTCCCCGATGCGGAGAGAAAGCGTTTGATGCTTTGGCATCCGTCTCGCCAGAGGCAAATGCACAATATAAGGCCACCAAAGGTGGAATCTTCTCCAATGACAACTCTGGAATGATGCATCTAGGATATCTAGATGAAGGTCATATGACAACGTACTATCCCGATTCACATGGTATTACCAAGGCAGATATTTCCGGAGTCTCGAAGTTTCTAGAGAAAATAGGCCTACTTGTGGTATGTTGGCCATCCTTGTAACAGCTTGTTAGCGCAGGCCAGAGTGTAAGAAACACTAACTGACATTGAACAGGAGAACACAAGATTAAGAAAGAACGCCGATGGCAGCTTTGACCTGTTGATTGCATCAGAAGTCACCAAGGTCCCCGAAAACGGTGGGGATGTTGGCAAAGAGACCGAGTTTGAGATCGATAGTGGCTCATTGCAAGGCAAGAAATTGAGGCTGGTCTACGGTGACCACTCGAAGGAAATGGGAATAATCACCGGCTATCATAAGAAGGCGGCCGAAAATGCTGCGAATGACAACCAAAGGAATATGCAACTCGCCTATGCCAAGTCATTTGAAGAAGGGTCTCTAGAAGCTTTCAAGGACTCCCAAAGATACTGGATCCGTGACAAAGGCCCTATGGTGGAGTCGAATATTGGCTTCGTTGAGACATATAGGGATCCCCATGGTGTCAGGGGAGAATGGGAAGGTATTTTTCACCGTTCTCGAGATTGTGGATTATTGGTACTAACATTACTCCCTAGGATTTGCCGCGACAGTCAATCTAGAACGCACCCGAGCCTTTGGCGCTCTTGTTGATGCCGCGGAGTCCATGATCCCGAAGCTCCCATGGTCCAAGGAATTCGAGAAGGATGAATTTTTAAGTCCTGACTTTACAAGCTTGGAAGTTCTATCATTTGCCGGCTCTGGTATCCCTGCGGGAATCAACATTGTGAGTTGTCCCTTCTGTAGTTTGTTTCGTGATCTCTAAAGCTGACAATAAAATTAGCCGAATTATGATGATATTCGACAATCGGAAGGTTTTAAGAATGTCTCCTTGGGCAACGTACTCAGTGCCAAAGCGCCAGATGAGAAGATCCCATTCATTGCCGAAGAGGATCTAGAAATTTATCAAAAGTACCGCGATCCTGCCTTTGAAGTTCAAGTGGGAATCCACGAGCTTCTCGGACATGGCACCGGTAAACTACTGCAGGAGACGTCTCCCGGCACCTTCAATTTCGATAAGTCTTCTCCGCCGATCAGCCCCATCACGGATAAACCAATTACAACGTATTACAAGGTGGGTGAGACCTGGGGCTCTGTCTTCGGTAGCATTGCCTCAAGTTACGAGGAGTGTCGAGCAGAATGTGTGGCAATGGCACTGTCCTGTGACTTTGAGATTCTAAAGATCTTCGGATTTGGAGACGGGACGCCGGACATGGATGGCGAAGCTGGAGATGTGCTCTATGCTGCCTACCTCTCAATGGCTCGAGCAGGCATTGCCTCTTTGGAGTTGTGGGATCCTAAGAGCCGAAAATGGGGCCAGGCCCATTCTCAAGCTCGCTTCAGTATCTTGAAATGCTTTCTTGAATCAGAAGATGAGTTCTGCCGATTGGACTACAAAAATGAGGATCTCTCCGACTTGACTATCAAGGTCGATCGAAGCAAGATCACCACAGCCGGAAGGAAAGCGGTAGAAGCCTACCTCCAAAAGCTGCACATTTACAAATCAACTGCTGACGTGGACGCTGGAACGAAATATTATAATGAAATGACGGAGGTGGAGCCAGTGTTCTGGGGCGAGAAGATCAGGAATGAAGTTCTCAGAAACAAGCAGCCTAGAAAGGTATTTGTGCAGGCAAATACGGTCCTTGATGAGAAGACTGGCAAGGTGTCTCTGGTGGAGTATGAACCTTCTTTGGAGGGCATGATTAAGAGCTATGCGGAAAGAAACGTTTAACGGAGTTGACGGCACAAGTGCTTCGTGGTGTAGGAGCTCATGGGCAAGACTAGACCCGACGACAGACCAGTAGAGTAGATAAGAAGTGCTGCATGGTGCAATGAGACATGATTCCGTCACATCGAGCGTAAATAATCCATATGCTTTAGCTTGGCAAAGTCCTTGTGAATTGATTAATAAAATATCAGATCGGGAAGTGCTAAGTAACTTAATGGTGGCGGTTCGAGAGGCAGGTGAAAGGGGTGCAGTCACATGACATAGCATCCATCATCCATGCTCGATTGGGTTTAGTTGCCCGGGCTGGCTCGCTACACTCAACCACACGAAATTTATCAACTTTGAGAAATATACTAAGAGTTGCGCGCCCTCATATCTCCTTCTCCCTCCCGCAATTACGACGCACGGAAAAGGTCACCATGAAGTACATTCATTCCGAGGAGACCTTGAATGTCCCTGAGGGGGGTAAGTGCAATTTATCTCACAGTTCGAACGCGCCCGGAACCTGGCACCTCCCGAAAGTTGGATGCGCAGGAAAGGGAAGAGAATGAAGAGCCATTACTGACTTGCTTCGCACGAATAGTCAAGGTCACCATCAAGTCGAGAATTGTCACCGTCGAGGGTCCACGAGGTATGGCTTGATTGAAGGGAATATAATGGAGGAAGAAGGACTGACAGGAGGAAACAGGCAAGCTCGTCAAGAACCTTTACCACTTGGCCGTGAACTTCTCCCACCCAAAGAAGGACGTCATCAACATCGAGCTGCATCACGGTGCCCGAAAGAATGTCGCTACCCTCCGCACAGTCCGAACTCTCATCAACAACATGATCATTGGTGTCACGAAGGGATTCAAGTACAAGATGCGATATGTCTACGCACATTTCCCCATCAACGTCAACGTGGACCAGAACAAGGAGACTGGCCTGTACGAGGTTGAGATCCGGTACGTGCGAATTTTCTATGGGAATTGGAGGAATGGAGGCGTTCCCTGAAAGGACTGAATAAGGCTTTGGAGGGGCAAATTGCTGACTGGATATGGAATAGAAACTTCATTGGCGAGAAGATTGTCCGAAAGGTCGTCATGCACGAGGGTGTCGAGGTTGAGCCATCCAAGAATCAGAAGGATGAGCTGCAGCTGTGGGGTAACTCGCTCGAGAACGTTTCACAAAGCGCGGCGGACATTCAACAAATTTGCAGAGTACGGAACAAGGATATTCGAAAGGTAAAGATTATTTGGGCTCCCCGGAGACACTTTTTGCACATGCTAATGGCTTTGTTGTATAGTTCTTGGACGGTCTGTATGTTTCGGAGAAGGGCAACGTTGAGGGGGAGGCTTGAGCGGTCTGGACTTTTCCTAGTTACATCATGTTACGGGGGAGCATAAGGATTGCTTTGCATGTTAGGTAGCGAGATGATCCAATGAAACTCTTGCGAACCAAGTTTGTCCAAAAAAAGAACTTCCAACATTGCAACAAATTCGCCGATCCCACCTTTCTTTGAGCAATGAGATTGGCGTCCCATCCCTAAATACCACCCCTCGATCTCTTGGAGCCCGATATTTCCGACATATCGTTTCTCTTTCGGCGGATTTCATACTGAACACCCTTTTTAAGGCATTTCTGCATTCGGTAACTATTTAAATGCGGCCTGATGGTATGGTCATCCGTGGTATTACCATATCTACGACTTGCTTCAAGAAAGGGCAATCGGACCCTTAAACGTTTTTATTTCGGCAAGGCATCTGATCTAGCTAACTTTCTGCGGCTCCCTCAACATAACTCTATTCACTCCCGGCTCCTTGCCCCCATATTTCGATAAGTCCACACTAATAGCGTTAATCTCCTTGAAGCCAAGCTTAGCATATACAGGATAGCCCGCAGTCGTAGCTTCAATATAAACAAGGCGTCCCTCGGCATCAGCCAGGTCCAGCGTATGCTTCAACAGCTTGGGTCCGAGGCCCCTTCTCTGATAATCTTGATGCACAGCTAGAAGATGTGCCACTAATCACGTGTTAACATGAATTACTCCTCTCATGGGTTTTGTAAGATATAGAAAGCTCACCATAAGTATTCGTTTCATCAACAGTCTCCTCTCGAATCCTGTCCAGAGCGCTGAACTTAGCATCAAGAGCCTCTAGATTCGCGCCTCTAGGCCAACTATCATCCGTGCCTTCTTTCTTCCTCCTCTCCAACTCCTTCTCCTCTTGCTTCCTCTGCGCTTTCTGCTCTTCAGTGAAAACATGGGGATATGCCCATCTTATAAACGCGCACGCCTTTCCGGTATTGGGATCCGTGATCTTGAAGACCCGGTACTCGGGCTTGGAGAAGACTTTGGTAAAGCGGATTGTTAACCAGCGCTGCCACTCCTCCGGGGCAATTTGGTCAGGGGGCAGAGTGTAGCGCGCGAAGTAGTCGTCGGCGAAGGCACTCATATAGATGTTTATCATATCAGGGACATCTGCTACTGTGCAGGGGAAAAGTTGGAAATTGGGGTTTGGAGAAGACATTTTTATTTGTTTTTCGAGGAACGAAATATAGGAAGGGAGTTGGAATGAGAATAGAACGTTGAAAATGTCAAAACTAAAAGATGGTTAAGTTAAAGGTTTGAGCAGCTCTTAACTGCGAAGAAATAACTCTGTAGACGGGAATAATAGTCATATGAAATGCTCAAATTTTGGTGATATACAGAGTCATCAGGAGAACAAGTTTGCCTCTCTGGCAAACGCGCATTCGGTATGAGTCATGTTAAGAGAACTTGTTATCGCCCAGTCTGATCGTGTCCAAGGCAGGCCGGGGAACTCCGAATGAGAGATATGAGTTGTTGTAGGAGTGAGTTCCCAATAGGCGTGTTATATCCGGAATACAGCGCAACAACTCAGAGCAACGCTTAATAAGCTTCGGAATCGTTGAACGCAATTGTTCTGCAAAGAGGACGTGCTCTTGTACAGTACTGTACACGTACAATGTACAGTACTTATTTGGTACGGAGTATATCCGATTCGGAGCTTGTCATGGTAATGTCGGTACTCGCAGTCTCGCACTCTACGGACTGTGGGTCGCATACTTTTTAATCTTATTCCAACCGGCACCTGATACACGATTTGCTGGCTTGCACCGTTCAGGGTCGGGGAATCGGGGATGGATCATGGGATGGGATGGGATGGGATGACAGATGCATTATTGCGTTCTTGCATTACTGCATTATGCCTGAATCCTCCCTTCCCCGTCTGCCGCAGAGAATCCTCCGTTTCTTATGCGGGGTTTTATTATTGTGCGTAACAAGAGTGCGTTGTTGTTGGTACCGACTTCTCAAGTTGCAGTACGCAGGTAGTACCTAGGAAGTACAGACTGCAGAGTCAGGCACTATTATTGAGTACCTTCGTGCCTCGCTGTGCCTGTGCCTACTGTACGAGGCCCGCCCTTTTTAAACTCAAGGCTCAACTCAAGGCTCAAGCCCCCAAGCCTCCAGCCTCCAGCGCAGGGACGGACCCGACGACCTATTTCAAGAGTTTAATCATCGACGAGTCTAACCCCAACAAGTGAATCCAAAGTTTGTTTGATTGCCGGCCGCGGAATAATTGCTCCGTCAGGACTAATCAACGGCGGAGGCGGTGAATTGGCCAACGAGACACCGCTGAAGCGCTCCAAGAGAAGCCACCAAGCGCCACACCGCTGCCCGGAGGCAAAGTCTGTGCAAGATGGGGCAAGATGGATCATGGGTGTTTTCTTTTGCTGGCGCTCGCGGGGATATCATTGGGTCACGATAATGTTGTGATTGCGAGTGTCCCTTTTAGAGCCTCGCCCCTGGTTCTTTTGTGCAATTCCTGCTCTGCTGTTGTACGCAAGTACGAAGTACAGTGCAAAGTCTCCATGGCACAATGGCACAATGGCACAATAATAATAATAATAATAACGGCACAAGGGCATCCATTCTGTACACCTCATGTAATGTACTTTGCAACCTGCTCTGCTCCCTTAATATCGTCTAAGCAGTAAGAAGTCCATCTTATAATCTTATTGCTGGCACCATGGTCTTATCTCCACCTTAGACACCTCCTATCCCCCTCTCATTCTCCCTCTCTTTTTTCCTGGCATCCTCTCAAAAGGTATCCTGTCCCCCAGACCCGCCCTTCTCTCACTCCCGCTCCCTCGCCTCCTTTTTTGGGTTCCCGCATTCATGTGCCTGCTGCATCTGTTGCAGTCCCAACCACGCATCAGGTATTCAGCCGGCGGCCGGTTTGCTACAACTTCAATCTCTCGAATCCGCGACTCCCTATTCTAGGGGCGGCCGGTGGCGCGCCGGGTCCTGACGGGCCTCTGCATCTCGATTGTCCTCTTGCCCTCGATCTCCGCCGCGGAGGATACACTACACATTGTAGCTGAGAAGTGGAGCTTGGCGGGCCTCTGCATCTCGACTTTCGGCGCGCGATACACATCGTAGCTGACAAGTGGAGCTGGGGAGACGCGCCGTCATCACCAAGCACGGAGCCGTGCGGGTAGCAAACAGCCATGAGTACGGCGACAGCGACAATGGCTCTGCCTGGGTCGCCGACTTTGACGAACCCGGATATGATCCTTCCATATGGCGAATACGAATCGGCCCCTTCTCCTTCCTCCCAGCATCCATACCGACCTCCTTCGCCCGGCAACAACTGGATCGACCCAGCAGACCTGCAATTCTCCCTTGGGCCTCCGCGGATGGGATCGATCACACCTACCACTCCGATCATATACGGCAATGGAACAATGTTGTCAGATATTGGCGAAGTCACCGAGGCCGAGAGCACTCCAAAGCGAAGGTTGCCTGGGCCAGCAGAGCGGAGGATGCTCAAACAGGCCCAGTCGTTCAATCTGCCTATAAAATCAAGTCCGACGATGGGCTATCAGGTCGGGATGAAACGGGCGAAGAGCGGGACACATTTGAGGAAGTTCTCGATGGAATCAACAAGCACAGTCACATCCGAGCCCCCCTCTGCGGAAATATTCAAAGATTTCGATGATGGAATTAGCGTGGACGATAGCAATTTCCAGGGAGACGATGAGGAGAGCGTTGCGGATTCCTATAGCGAGGAGTTGGTCGCACAGGAGACGAGGCGATTATCAAGGAGGGAAAGCATCATAACCCTTGATGATGACCAGAACGGAAGTGCTGCTTTGAGCAGGAGAGCCGAAGAAATCCTGTCGAATGCAAAGAAGCGATTGACCGTGCGTATTTCGAGCTTGAGCCGAGATGTGCATGCTAACTAGATACTAGAACATGGAGGGAAATCTCACGCGGGCCCGAAGCTCACTGTTCATCACACCGTCCAAGTCGATATCTTCCATCCACAGCAGCAGTCCGTTGACGAGACCAACCCCTTCACCGCCACCGAATGAACGACTAATAGGCCCTCTTGGAACCGCTCCGTCAAGACACCGACAGCTTCATACGGGTTCCGGTGCTACAAGTGCAAGTCCAGGACATTCGAGGATATATAGTGAGAACTCTATATCTTCGCCTCTGCGAGGAGAGCGCTTCCCGGTCCGTGCAGCAAGCGCAGCAGCTCGATACGTCGGGAAGGGTGGAACAGATGGAAACCAACGAACACAATCAGCGTCCCCAAGTTCCGAGGATACGCATGAAGGGTCCACCACCCCTTCACGTCTTAGTTACTCTTCCCCGTCAACGAGAGCCTCGCCACCGCATGCTGCCACACTTGAACCGCTGAATGAGGATCAAACAGCCCCGGAATTTGACTTCGACAGAGCAAGCGTGAGATCGAGCATCAATGGAAGTTTTGTAGGCCCAGACGGCGAACGGGTCTTAGCAAGATCTACTTCTTCTATGCAAATGCGGGATCTTCAAAGTCAAATGCATGGTCTTAAAGGTAGATTATCAGTACTACGAGATCGTGCTCGAGATGACACTATGAAACGCCGAAGCTTGCAAAGTCTTAGAACACCGAGCCCATTTACAGCCGCTGAAGAGTGGTACACTGCTGCCAAAGCATATGGGGAAGAACCTCTTAGTGCTGATGCTGGCGTTGTCCATCCTCCATGGAACGAAGAAGAAGTCGACGGTGACAAAGAAGACAAGTCTTCTGCGAAACTTGAGACCGTAGATCAAGAGGATTTTCAAGAGGTGGTTGAGTATGCAGACTCTGACGTCACGAGCGTTTACGAAGATGTTGCTGAGGACCATCCTGTAACGAGCATCTTACCACCGGCCGATGAACCAGGAACTCCAGTTGTTGACAGCACTCAGTCTCTCGAAAATGATGCAAGCCATATTATAGATAACGACGATGACCGCACGCAGTCTCTTGAAAACGATGGACATCATGTTATAGACAATGAGGATGACTATGATGACGAGCTCATTAACCATGACGAGATTGACGACTGTGAGAGTGATGCATCACTTTATCACGATTCGTACGATACAATGATATCACATGAGGATCGTGAGGATGCATTCGACTATGAGCACTTCTTCCTTCACAGTGCAATGGGGACAATCAGCCAGCAAGTGCACAACCGGCGGGATAGTGTTAGTACTGTTGGCTCGGAAGACTCGGTGGAGACCACCCGCGCGCCCATAGCTCAGAGCACGGATAATACCAAGAGTCATAGCAGGCAGTCTTGGGGCCATGAGAGATCGGGGAGTTCAATCTCTACTTCCACGATGCAAACCTTTGCAACAGCAGCAGAAGAACAAGACGACGAGGACACATTTGGCAACGATGAATTTGCTGTCCAACAAGTTGACGCACCTACACGCCGTGGAAGCACACCACTTACTACAAAGCGTGAAACTTTTGGTGGTACGCCCTTTGACTTGGTCCTTCCGGACTCGGATGAGTTTTCTTCAGAGGACAAGTCCCGACCTTCCTCTGTATTCTACGAAGCTCAGCAGCAAAATGGAACCTCCGACCACCGCCTTTCAGTCTCATCAGTAGGCTCAACCCGCAGTTTCCCCTTGGTAAACAAGCCCAAATCTTCATCGTCAGGCCCGGCCTCCGTCCGAGAATCAGGAGGCTCCAATCTCAGTAGCGATACTCCAACCTTGGTCGACAGACAAAGTACCATCAGCGATGAAAGACTCCGGACATCACCCGTGCACATGCTTGCCAAAGAAGACCAGATCCTAGTCGAAAGACTAGTTGCCAGTCTCGGGAAATGTGTGCTAGGGCTACAGGAAGCGGGAAGAGGCAACCATGACGGTCGTATGTGGAGACGAAGACTAGACGCCGCGAGGCGGGTGCTTGAAGGGCAACAGGATGCCATATAACTAACACATCGTCACATGATCTTTCCAGGAAACACCTTATATTTTTCATTTGTTACACATCTGTCCATTTTTGGTTCAGTGCAGCAATCTCTAGAATGCACGGGGTCCCCGGGGTCCCAGGCGTCTTGGATTACTTGGGATGGCTTAGTTTTTGCAGCCACCACATTTTGATACCCCCCCAATATTCGATTCTTGCTTTTGTAATATACTATAATGTCTGTCCTTTTAGCGGGGAAGCCCCTTTTCGACGGCGGCGGTACACTGGCTGCCTTTATACAATAGCGTGCGCTAATGTTTTTTAAAGACTTATGTCTAATGTTTATGTGGGGATGGATATTGGATACCTATTGTGTGCATGATATATATTACTTAGATATACATATATATATAATCTAGATGCTACTACTTTTGAAGTCTCGAAATTTCTGCTTGTGACACCTGTGTTGAATTTTACTCTGTTTGATATGGATTAGGGAGGGGAGCAATAACATTCGTGTGCTTCAGAAGATTTGGAGGTAGTCTGAATAGACTAGCTCCAGAGCCTGTATTGTGGGCACGGCCAGTACCATATCCAATATGAACACCGAACCAGTGCCATTACCGGCCAATAACTACCATAGCTATGCAAACATAGTAGCCAAATGCTAACAAAGATGCCCCTCGAGCAAAACAAATCCCATATCCTATGAACCCAAACCCCGAACACCCACGGCATGAACTGCAATCCCCGAACGCCCAACCATTTCCATCTTCCGTCCCCAAACTCCCCGAACCCAACACAAAACCCAATCCTTCAATTCAAAATCCGCTGCTCCGGCGGCCTCCACGGCACACCCAGAACCTCAAAAATCTTCCTCTCATCCCTGCCCTCCACCAAAGACCCGTCAGTAATCTTAACCCGTCCCGGTCCCCTCAGCACATCCTTATAGAGCCCTCGCTGGTTAAGCCGCATACCCCTCTTACTAGCCAACAACCGCATACTTCGATTAAAAATATCATCGCCCGTGAAATACAGCAGTGCGGCACCCATCTCCGGCTCGGGAACGAGGAGGAAGTCGATACGCCGCCAGATGGGGTTTCCTGGTAGCACGCATACACCATGCCATTTTGAGCCGCTGTCGGAGGCGGAGGAGCAGCTGCGTGGGACTGCGAGGGCGGCAGCTAGAAATCCTGTTTCTGTGAGGTGGGTGACGAGTGTATTTAGGAATGGGAGCAGGTCGCTTGAGGATTGGGTGCCAGGCTTGGATAATATGAAATCGATGTCTCCTGAGCTGGTGGCGCCGCGGCGATAGCTACCTCCTATTATTACTTCAACGTCGGCATCAATGCCTGCCACTGCTTTCTTGACGATTTCACCCAAACTAGTCATCTGATCTTGCGGAATGCGCGTGTTGAAGTCGTCATAGTGGTCGATTCCAATGCGTTGGTTGTCATTGAGACGTACATGGGACTTGATATCATCAAGGGTTTTATAGCCCTGTTGTATCCACTTGTAGGCTTGGGTGAGGCCCACGCCATAGATTTTGGTGAATGTCTGTAAGATAAGATCGTTGGGTTCCAATTTGGCGTAGTCGAGTTTCCGCAGGTGCCCTTTGATAGCAATCTCCTGTATCTTTTCCGCTATTGACTCCCCAACGTATGGGATCAAGAGCGCTTCATCCTTGGAAACGACTTTCTTCGTCTGCTTCCGCAGGGCGGTAACGGCTCTTCTGTATGCCATAGGTCGCCATGGATCTCGAATTCGTTCGTAGTAACTTGCCAGTTCTTTGAAGGACTCGATGGTTGCAGCATTGGGATTCGATTTCGAAGATGTGCCAGTCCCACCCGTCATGCAACTGAAATTCTCTTGGTTCATAGTTCCTTTGGGACCCTTACGTCGCTTTTTCCATGCCGCTCGGTTGGGGGACCGCTCTCTGCTGTCGTCCGAATTGTCCGAGTCTTCGGGGCCGTTGCTTGATGGTGGTCCGCTGCTATCATCGTCATCGTCTAGTGGTAGATCCTTGGTTTTCATTGCTATCTCAATCATTTCATCAAGTGCATCGCCGTTTTCCCGAACCGTTCGGATATTCTTTGGGGGAGATGCCTCCTGTGGACTTTTCACTATCTTCTTTGCCTTTTTAGGCTCCCCTGATGGCCTCCAGATTTTCGGGGTTGGGACTTCTTCAGGGGACTTTTCTTGCGTTGATGGCTCCTGCCGTGGCGGCGTTTGAATCCTCAAATCATATTCCCGGTCCCCTTTGTTAGGCCCCTCTACTCCCGGATGTTTATCTATGGTTGGAGAGGCTACTGACACTGGGCTCCCAGTAACTGCATACTGATTCTGTCTTGGATCGAGAAGTGAGCGGAATTGAATGCATTCAACAGGATAGTTTTCATTAACCAAGACGACATTTCCTGGCAATGAGTCGATCCTGAAGGCGGATTTGAGATATTGCACGATGCTCTGGTATGTTAATGCCTTATCCACGACAACGTGAGTTACATCCATCCCAAAATCCTTAGTCCAGATGGCACCAAAGCTCTTTGCTTTTGTGATCCGGGCTCGCCGCAGAGGCGCAATATCATCCGGAGGAATGTAAAAGAATGTCAGACCTTGAAAGACTCGTTCCTTCTCGGGGGCGAGTTTGATGGACGGCTCGCGCTTCCTCTTTTGCTTCTTCTGGAGCATTGATGTGATACCAGAGCTGTTCTTCAACACCAGGGAGCCGGCCACCGGATCAGACACAGTTCGTCGTTCCATGTTGGGTCTGTATTGGGGGGATGAGGGGCCGGCTGGTGGTGGCTTGCCATCAAAGGACGTCTCAACTGAAGGTGGGGTGGAGACACCATAACGAAGTAAGGAGCTCTTGCGAGCGGGAGAACTTTCGTTCGCTATGCTGACACTTGATACTGGTGCCGAATTTGTACGATGTATTGACGGCACCTTGTTCTGTGAATCCGAGGGCTGATTCCGGCGTTCACTTGGCTGCGACGAAGGGGGAAATTTTGAAGCAATAGTTCGACTTCTTGGCCATACAACTTCCCTAGGATGATGTGTATCCTCTTCTTCGTCGGAACTTTGTTTCAGGGCATAGAGTTGATCAAAATACTTGATCTTGTCAGCTTCGGCAGCCTGTGGTGACAATTAGCAGCATTGGCACATGACGCTAATCACAACTAACCATTCTCTGAGCGAGAAGCGGCAGTGATCGAGTATCACTACCATCGAATCTGTTTTTCTCTTTATATAAATCACGTGTGGCGGATGTGAGGGTGATGCAGCACAATCTACCTATCTTATAGCTGATGTTGACGATTATCGTTGAATGGTTTATTGTTCATTGACTTGCGACGGCGAGTCTGAGGCATGGCGCGCGCTATTTCATAGGCGAGGCCATCGTCGACTTCCGAATACTGAGTCATTTTCCACCTCAATGTTCTTCCAAAGAGAGGAGATTGCCTAATCCCAAAATAGATATTTGTGCTTAATACTAAATTAGGCACTATTTCACGGTCCCAACCAAGTTCCTTTCTGAGTACTCGTATTCCTCGGGTCTGGCGTGTGGTGGCACAGTTTCGAGTGCTTTACTATTTGAGTATATAGAGTAACCCGGAAAGGCACCGACGCAACATACATCATGTCATAACACTATTGGTGAAGGAACAAATCAATTTCAATTTGATTTCAATTTACGCGTTTAGAGACAAAGGAATGAGAGTCGAAGGAAGGTGACCCCTCTGCTAAAGGAAAAAGGACAAGTACAATCTGTCGGAGCCCAGCGCCATTGCAGAATCATTCCACGCCTCGTTAAGACTCATACTAAACACTCTACAAACCATAATACGGCTATGCTCAAAAACCAAGCCAAGCCAAAGCTATCAACTCGACTAAAGGCCTATCCCTATTCTCAAACGTAACCGACGAATCAAGGATCTGGTTCCCATTTGAAACCCTTGCCCTTGTTCGTGCCATCAACTCTGCAACTGAATCAAGGATGTAGTGTGGATTTTGGTAACTGTAAAGATGGGATACGGGGTGCTGATGGCTCAGGTTTGCGAGATTGTCGTCTTGATTTCTTTTTGGAAGTTCTCAACTAGAGAAAATCAGCCTGTTGTCGATATCCAAGACGCTTGATACCCTAGGATGAATGGCACAACAAGGTGGTAGAATGAAGACCAATGTACTCACCTCTCTGTTATGTTTATATTCTATCCACTGTCTCCATGTATCGCTGCATCCATCAAGACCCAGTGTGGCAGGAAAATCAGCGGTGCCATCCGTCTGTGCCTCAACATCGTCAACCTGTCTCAGTCCAGTTCGTCTCAGTCCAGTCGCAGGCACTTCTTCCACAGGAGAAAGCATGGCCGTTTCAGGGCAGTTAAGATCCGGCGAAGGAGCAATGGGGGTGTTAGTCATGGTGCGTAAAGTGCTGGGGTGAGGGCTGTTGGCTCTCCATCGGGTCATGCATAGAAGTAGCCCCAACATACACACCAGGTAGAGCAGTACACCGCTAAGAACAACGAGAGTAGCCTGGAACCAACTCAATCCACGAGAGTTAATGCAACGAGTAAAGGAATCGCCTTCTAACCATTCACATGACCGTTTCTGGAGTTTTGCGGTATATGGCACTGTGAGATCTGGAAAGTGACGGATAGTGTTGTTTGACCGCGGCAAGAACCCCAAAAGACTGGCCCTCTCATCTCGGGAACTGTTGTTAACTTCAGCAGTGTGACAGTGTCGCCAGAAGATTAGACTAGATAGGAAGCCACAGCGTTTCGGAGGCCGGCCATCAGAAGTTCGAGTTGGGTTTTTGAATGCGTTATCCTCTTCCGTGATGTTCTGGACGACCTTATCGATGAATCTCTTGACAATACTATCCAAACAATCTTTGGTGTCCCCATGGTTGCAGGCTTCAGGACCAGTTTCAATATCTCGCGGATTTAGTTGCTCATGTTGTCCTTCAATGTTCGGAAGCTCACGTATCAAGTTTAAAGGAGGTGCATGCTCGGCGCTTTGGCTATCAACAAGTCGTGATTGAGGCAGCCTGGTAGGGTGGACGAAAGCTGATCGACCAGTTGTGGCATGCGAACTAAGCAGTGTGGCTGTGAAATACAGAGCAGCCATCACGAGGAGCGAAGTAAACACCAAGCAAGTGAAACCCCTCTTTGTGCCCTGGTGAACATGAGATCGAACGTGACGGGTTCCGGCAGCTTTGAAGCCTTAAGTTCTGGACGTTAGTGACTGCATTGCGGAAGGAGAAGATGACAGTTACCAAAGGGATAAAGGGCAATCATATTGCTGTCGGCGCTTCAAGCCTAATACTGCGGAATGTCTGATGGTACAAGAGTGAAGCTTGAAGTGGTATTGAAAACCACTGGACGGGAGTCTGCAGAGTCTAAAAATACCATCACAAGCTGATCTTGTCGATTTCTCGTATCGCTCATGTAATGAACGGGAGCTGAGACTGTCGGAATTGATGACTTGATGAAATAAACTTCAGATCAGAGTAGGAGAAGAGGTGGAAGGGAAAGAGTGATAGGCGCGTTGGTGGATCGCGACAGATGGGGAAGGAGACGCGTGAGGATATTGAGAGCAGGAAAACAACTTCACTCTGTACAATATAAGGCGGTGCGAAAGGCGGGATATTTGACCCATTGATCGCAAGACACAAAAGTTTAACTAAGTTTGAAGATATTCATAAATTCGTGAGGGTACATATCAGCATATCGCAAGTTATAAACTAGGTACCTATCTTGTTTGTCCGAGTCCAAGTCCATGCGCTCCTTGCAGAGATGTATTATTTGAAAATACCGGCATCGCACTTGGCCATCCATCAGTAGATATGTTTGGCCTATGATCGAAGGGGGGTTGTGGCATGAACCCCGGGGGGCTGTGACTTGGTCGCGGTGTTTCCTTGAGCCGTTGTTTCCTCCGGTGCAGCATAGCGAGGATAGGGTCAGCAAGGCATTTAAAGCTTGATAGGAGGGTTTTCGAGTCATCCCAACGGTGACCAAAAGCCACCAGAGTTTCTGTGATGTGTGTTACGCAATTGATACTCCTGTCAACACCATCGATTCCAGCGTTGCTTGGTAACGGCGGCGGTGGAGGAGAACCTGCAGCGACGGGAGTATACGGTAGGACGCCATTCAAAAGTTGATCTGGGTCCTCCCTGAGGACAGCCAGAAATTGGCTGCCCACAAAATATACCCTTAGTGCATCGTGGTAGGTATAAAACGCCTTGTTGATGGGATCTCTGCTGATTGGGAATATCTTTTGCATATACGCAATGCTGTACTCGAAGATCAATGTCTTACCATAGGCAGATACAGATGGTACTCGACAAGATGGCGCTAAGCAGTAAACATAGCTGTACAGAAGCTCCAAGTCGAAAAAGTCCTTGAAGTGGAGCGGCAGGCTATCCGGGAAAGACTCGGACCATTCGTGCATCTCCTGGCACACCTGCCAGATATAGAGGGTTGGATTTTGTAGAGGCGCCCGACTAGACTGGAACAGTTCCTGGTACCAGGACGATTGAGTGTATCGTAGTGGAAACATAAGACTAGCGGGCTCAAGTGAATGAGGCCCGGTCAAGGAGTTTGCAGCTGCCCCTCGACTTGCTCCACCGTGCAATGATGGAAATGCCACGCCCGCCGAGTCGTCCGTGAACGAGAAGCACCTGGCATGAACCATACTGATGGACCTGTTTGAAGATCAGCTGCAAGTCTCGGTCCACGACAATATCACTCACCTATCAAGGGAATAAACGCAATAAAATATCCTACGCCGCATCTCCATGGTCTTTTTCTCGACCTGTTCTTCCTTGGGTGGATCCTGGTGAAACCCCAAATCAACTACCGCGCGACAGGCAAATCCAATCAACTGCCAGCTATCAAAATGAGCAGGATCTAACATCGAGTATTGCACAAGCAACACCAAAGCTTGTATTTGCGACACGTATCCCGGCATGAGGGCTTTGTCGGCATATTGCAAGGCCCGTCCAACCCAATTCAGGCCATCTCCATAGAGGTTGTCTCTGTTGCTACAGGATTGGCTGATAGTTGCTATAGCAAGGACCATATAGAATAGCCACGACTCAAAATCCGTAACGGGACGTCCATTTTCTTGGTATATGGCATCGAGAGAGTTGAGTAGGGCTGTCTCGGAGAATACAGGGAAAAGTACATAGATGTTATCCAGGTAATATTGGACTAATGCCATGGAAGCTCCCCTGGGTGGGAGTTGAAGGGGCTTAGGATCCGGGACTGGCTCGAGGTTGGTTGCAGCGAGGATCAAACGCCCAAATGTCATGTGAGTCGTGGACGACTCGAAATCTCGGGTCGTTGCATTAACTGAACTAGATTGAATTAGCTTGGAGGAGCCGCACAGAAAGCCTTTGGCTACATACAGGTAACCAAAATCAGATACTAGCTCATTCACGTCCGCCACCTCTCTTCGTCTCGCCGCCTTTCCGTGAATCGCCGCTCGTATGGTTGCAAGGGAGTCTTTGCGATCCGGTGGTTGGACGGGTTCATCAACATCATGCATAGCAACAGATGCTTTGCGAGATCTTGCGTAGGCGATTCTCCTTTCAAGCTTCTCAACGCGCGATTCAAGTGAGGCGACATAGCTGAGAAGGATTAGTTCTAGAAGAGCAATACCCAAGCGGGACAGTCCAACCTTCTTTCTTTCCCTTTGGCAAACTGGTCGTTGGCGCTTGAGCACTCCCCAGCCCGCCCGGATTTCTCACAAGCAGTGCAAGCTGGAAGTTTGCCGTCGCACTTGGAGCTGTTAGCTTTACGGGCCCTACCACTTTAAAGGAGAGTTTTCCGGACCTTAATTTTAGCAGAGCGGCCTGTTGGGAATGTTAGAAGGGTATTCCAAAGAGGCCACGTTCTCCCACTCACATCTCGAGCATGCAGAAACCGGTCTTGAGACTCTCAGCAGAGGCGTATCAGCCGCACTGGGTCTCGAACTGGACATGTTTGGTCTATTCCTGACCCAAGTCTTAATTGTCTTAAAAAGAGGATTCTGGATGATTTGGCTACCACATTTTATTCAAACAAAATAATTCCTAGGCGCGATCCCAACCTCACGGTGCCTACAAATGTACGGCTTCAGCAATGATGGCAATGAAGCGCGGACGGGATCACGAGCTAGCTCTCGCGGCTTGTCGACCGCACACAACTTTAGGACGGTTGTCTAGTCTCGTCTTACCCCGACTTTGTCGGTAACGCTACGTTTGGTTTCGTTTGGTCTCGTTTGGTCTCGTTTGGCCTCGTTTGGCGCTCGCTCTCCGAGGATGTTGGGTTGGGGCGCTGGCCTCGATCTGGCCTCGACGAAGCGCCGTGTAGATGTACGAGTAGAGGACGCCTGTGCGGGTACTGGGTGTATTTGCGAAGGTTGAGCTCATCAGAAGGTTTACGGAGTACGAGACGGCACGAGGCTATCGAGATTGTCGCTGGAGCGCACAATCGCAAGTGTTGATGTGATAAGACAGGGATTGGTCCCTGCTGGCAAGCTCTAAGGAAGTGAAGGAATCCCGGTGAACGATATTCCAGTACGGGCACGACAGGTATCCAGTACTCGAGTACCACAGCGCGGATTGTGCAGCTCCGTACTTGGTGCTAGAGGGCTCAGGTGGATTCAAATAGCCCGTCAATTCGCCTGGACTTCAGCGTTCTTCGTATGGCTGCTCTGTGCTAGACTTAGGGCCCAGTTCCCCGCCGCAATGCCCCCCACACGGACTGTATACTTGGTGTTGGTTTCAGGATGGAGCACAAAGGAAAACACAAAGTACCGGGTACTTCAAGACAATGTACCGTTGTGTACCACTTAGGCCTGCCAGCCTCCAATACCGAGCACTGGTGACCACCTACGTACATGTACGTAGCACGTACTACGTATGAAGCACCCTGTCCTAAGCTGGCAATGGATATTTGCACAGAGCATACGGAGTAATGCTTCCCAAGGGTACTTTCGTACAAGTGACTACAGATAGACACAGTTCCGTACAAAGTGCAAAGTACACTCCGTACATTCTGTACAGGACAGCGAGATACCGTATCTCTCCTGGCGGCTACGCAAAGTACTATTGGAAACCAACATCGACCCAGCTCCAAAAGTACAGTACATGTGCAGTACAAGCACAGTACATAGCTCGTAGAGCCGGCTTTCGTCCCCTGCCCCTACGAGTCCAGACCCTACATGCGTAGGTACAGTAGGTGCCGTACATATCCTATCTGTACGGTTAAGCTGGGCATCCCCATACGGCATCGCTCCTTGACGCGGAAGTCACTCCAACTGCTCGAGTACAGCCTTTCGTTCAACTCGAATCTCCTGTGTGCTTTCGCCCATCCTTCAATTCTCCCTCTCTGTACGAGTTGGCTCGCGCTCGTCACCGTTGCGCATGGCTGCGACGCTATATACGGATTAGAAACACCCCCGTAGATTGCTTCCCCCGACCATGGTGGTTGCCACGACTTTGAGCGTTCGAGAAACCCAACGATTAAAAGTACATTTGTTGTCGTGAGACACACTCGAGTACTTCTGAAATCGCAACCTCCATGGATCCTCGGGGTCCATACCGGCAGCCGCTGAGCTCCGGCAACCACGCTCGAGAGGCCAAAGGAGGTCGAGAAAGCAGCCATGAGAGCGACGACCATTCCCCGAGAATCGCGCACACATTGACTGCCTGCTGCAGGTGCCGCCAGGTTGGCGCGCCCTTTCTGGTCTGGTAGATCCCGGTATACCTATATACTAACATTTCCTAGAGGAAGACAAGATGCGACCCGAATCTACCCCGCTGCCTCCCGTGCGAAAGGGCCGGCGCCGTCTGCGAATACTTCGATACTACGAAAGGGAAGAAGATACCTCGGACCTATGTGATAAAACTGCAAGAAAAAGTTCGTATCTTGGAAGCAGAGCTCAGCCAATATACCGAAGAAGAGGGCCTCCCCAAGAATACCGAAGATATTATGCGCCCTGGGGGACTGGTTCGGCTGGGCGAGGATGATGAGACCCCCCGCTTCTTAGGGCCCTCGAGCGGCATTGCAATGACGAGATTGGTGATGGAAGAGGCAAAGAAGTATACGGATTCAAGAACTATTCGGGAGCTGGTCCCGGAGGTGCGCCAACGGCGACCGCCTGTGCAATCTCCCGAATCGGCGACAGGGCGAAAGAAATCATATCCGATGATCAGCGCGGTGCCGGCCCCAACATTACCTAGCCGTTTAGTGACGGACAAGCTAGTTGAGGTCTTCAACCAGAAAGGTCAGTGGGAGCCCAAGTGTATATCCATGCGTTTTGATACCGAGACATGTCTCGGATCCCTTTTGAACAACCATTTACTTACCTTTGAATAGCTCAGTTCTTGACACCCACCTTACACGAGCCAACATTTGCTCAAGATTTGCAAGACGTCTACGATGGAAGTACAGACCCCTATAAGAACTTCGTTCTCAGGATGGTGCTTGCAATCAGCATGCAAAAACTAGATACCCAGTATTCCGGTTTGGCGGATAGTTACTATCTCGCTGCTATGGCATATATGGAAGATATTATTCGTCCAAAGGATCTCAAGACACTTCAATGTTTGGTATTGGTGGCTCAGTACTCTCTACTAACACCGACTCGCACCGCTATATATTATATTGTGGGGTTGGCGACAAGACTTTGCCAGCAGCTTGGATTGTCTGAAGAAAAGACTATAACTCAAGGGGTTTCTTTACGCTTAGTAAACCCTATTCAGCTGGATATGAGACGTCGGCTATCATGGATAGTTCTCTCCATGGAGCTGGGTCTCGCGCACACTATGGGACGTCCTAATGCATTTGCTACCGGGGAGGATCATTTTGACGTCGAGTTTTTCGAGTCAGTCGATGACGAGTATATCACCGCGGATGGAATATTACCAGGACCGGTCTCGGAAAAGAAGACAGTGAGTATACATTTCCTCCGGATGAGGCTTTTACAAGCGGAGATCCGGAGGGTACTCTATCAGCAAAAGCGACCTGAACCGAAGAATGAGGACCATCCATGGTATGCCGAGATGGAGAAGAAACTCAAGGATTGGCTCGATGCTTGCCCTCGAAATCCCAACTGGAGCAAGTCATGGTACATGTCTGACCCACTTATGTTGGTATCATACACTTGCTAACACATTATAGGTTCACTGGTAGGTATCACACCATGATCGTGTCCCTTCGACGACCGTCGCCGCAAGTCCCAATACCTTCACCTATCTCAGCTATAATGTGTTATGAAGCCTCAGCACACAACATCAAAAGTTCGAGCAAGCAGATGGAGACTGGCTTGGTCGATATTACTTGGATTTTCCTTTTAGCAGTTTTTCAGTCGCTAAATACTGTACTCTGGTCAATCTCATATCCAGAGGTTCGCGCATACAATCCTAAAGTAGAGGTAGAGGAGAGCGTTGACATTGCGCTCAACATCATCGTCAATTGTCGGGAACGCTGGCCAGGAACAGCTGCAGCCTCTCAGCTGTATTCGACACTATCGAAAGCGTGCCTCAAAAGCTACGATGTAAACAATATTTCGCACCCGCCCTCGTCCTTATCCGCCAATTCCCCATCATCTCTTACCGATGCCAACTCACCATCGGCGTCAGAACACTCCAGCTTGACTCCTGAATCGCTCGCCCATTCTCAGAATACTTTACATACCTCACCACCTCAATTTGGATATGTCTTCAATCAAATGCCTGAACAAATCCCATTCGACTACAACAGCATGCCTCCACCTCAACCTGCTTTCCGATCGAATTCTATTTTCGGTGCCCCATCTAGTAGACAATCGGATCGCCGATTTAGCTACTTCCCTCCCGAGTTCACACAGCCGCAAAATCTCTCCAATGCTTGGAACGCCATGCCAGATACTCAATTGCCACCATCACAAAACGATAACCGGGCAGTCGTCCATCCCCTCGTAGCCGATGACTCGAACTACACGATGAACCCTGCCCCGTTCACTTTTGGAACATACGTCTTTGGACAGCAGGATTACGACGTCCATATGAGGCAAGGAAGTCTCAGTCAGCAGCAGCAGATTGAGCTCATGCAGAGTCTGGAGACGGATGGATTGACCGAGATTGATAATTTTATGAATCATTCGTCGCAGTATGATAATCTGAACTCTATCAAGCTTTGAATCGGGAAACCTAGATTTTGGATTTTGAACTATTTTCCCTATTTTCTTCGATAGCCTGTGACAGGGGAAATTTTGCACTGGTCACAGCTTTGAAATACCTGAGAATTTGGGGCTTGGAGGAGACCACGCTCCGCCGACTGGCGGCTGGGTCTATGAATTAGGATTTGATTATGGGAGCAAACTGGAGACCTGGGGCGGTAGGATTAGAGAGGCGTGGCGTAGGATGAATCTTGGTATTTGGGCTCGTATGGGATAATTACAATGCACCGCAGAGAGTCGCTTACTATTGGGCTCAATATTGCTGACGTTAGGTAAATATGTGTGAAGCACTACATTATATAGATGGCCCATCACTACAAGTTAGCTACAATCGTAATTTTCGTATTTGAATTATAATTATGACTAGCAACGAGGTTCTGATGGCTAGTGAAAAACTAATTAGCCGCACGGGTAGTATTCAATTGTGAACTAGAGTAGTTATGGCTGATATCACAAGGGACTCTGACGGGAGGCGAACAAGTCAAGACTTAGAATTAATTAAAGCAGTTGGCTCTTACTTGGATATACAAGCTTCCGCTTCCCGGCCCTGCTTTTATGCATAAACTATTACACAATGACGCGCTGCGACGGTGATTTAATCGACCTCCTCCTCCACACGCTCAAAGTTCTCTCCATCCCCAACCTCTAATTTATCCACCGGCTCCACTACGCCTTCAACTCCAGACTTTGCCTTGCGCCTGGTCCCAGTCTTGCTGCTCCTCTTCTTCTTGCGTCCAGCGCCGCCAGCTTCGCCCCCAACAGGAGCTTCCCTAATCCAGCGTACTATAGCCTGCGCCCGATCAGTACTAATGGGGTACTCCTTTCCATCTTCCTGAGCCCATCGTTTCGGCATCTCCCTACCCTCGGCCTTACGTGCCTCTTCCTCCTGGCGGCGTTGGCGGGCGGCTACGGCAGCGTGAAAGCTGGCTTCATCGTGGACGCGGTCGTCCTCGAGCGCTTCCATGATAGCTTGTTGCTTTAGGCGTTCCTTTTTCTCGGCTGCTGTCTCTTTTTGCTGGTTTCCGGGGGCTTGGCCAGGAAGAGGAGCTGGGGCGCAGAGCGTCTCCCAGGATTGAGAGAGTTGGATCCAGTTCTCATTGCGGCGAACTACCTCGATCCAATCGGCGCGGCTGGGAGAGCGTGCTGCTTGGAAGATGGGATAGCCATCACAGACTCGGGCGAGCCGGGCGACCATATGTGCGTGGCGTTGCAGTTCTCGGGCTGAGGTTTGGATTAGGCAGTGGCAGAGGAGTAGGGAGTGGAGGGAGTCGGTGAGGAGTGGATGATAGGTAAGTGCCTCGTGACAATCTGTCTGCGCAAGGATTGCTTTCGCGGCTTCATTCTGAGGCGCTTGTAGTTGCTGTTTGACAGATAATGAGGTGACTGACTCGGGATATGGAGGAAGATCCGCGGGTGGTGTCGAGGAAAACAACGTTGAAATTGGATAGACGACGGGTGGGGGAAGGCTCGGGAGCTCAGTTCGAGGCGAGTTAGGTTGTGGCCGGCTACGATGGGCACCTTTGTGGGGAACAAGGGCATCTGAGAGTTTGCCATTACTTAATGAAGCGTTGCTCTCTAGGTCAAGGCTTCGACTGGCATTCTGCGGTCTTGGAATTTTGAATCCGTTCGCCGCTTGATTGACTTTACGCACAAAATCTTCCGCGATTTCAGCTGGAAGGCCAGGTGTATAATCAAAATGCGATAAATAGGAAACATAATCCCGTAAAGCTCTTTTGGCATTTGTCTTGACAATCTTCCTGGCTTCGAGGCGTTTTCGTAATGCTTCTTCCTCAGCTGGGCTCAGCTCTGGCGTCTCTACAGGCGGTGTTTCGCTGGGAATACCATTTTCCTGTTTTCCATTTACCCCATTGCTGGATACTTTGGGTGGAATTGCATCATTGACGCTTTGACAAGCTATAGTAAGATAAACTCCAGCCCGATGGAATAGAAGTTGAGTCTCAAGGCTGCTTGGGTGGTCCTCCTCGTCAAGCTTTGTCTCCTCTTTCCACCTACTATTCCGTTGAGCCTCAGCTGCGGCATCACTCGCTAACTGGAGTTGCTGCCGCCCGGCCTTATGTTGGCTCTGATAGTATCTGCAGATTTGTAACGCAGCAGTGAGATCTTGTGCAGCACTAATAAAGTCTTCCTTGAAGATCTTAGTAACCGCACGCGTTCTTAGTATTTCAGCCTCATTGGGTCTCTGTGCAATAACTTCATCCAAGGGTTCCAGGCTGGTACATTCAGCAAGTTGGCGCGAAGGTATCTTTTCATGGAAGAAGTGTACATATTTCGCATCTGCGTCGAGAGGGCTTCTTTGCAGCACAAGCTGGGCCACATCTTCAAGCGTCGAAGCAGACTGCATAGTCGCGACACTACATGCAATCTCATCTAGGTGATATGCCTTTGACAGCTTTTGTGTAGCCTGCTCTCGCATGCGGTGTTTTCGTTCCCGACTCAATTTCGCATTGCCACCTCCCCCTCCAAGCCCAAGGCCTAATGCCATTCCACCATTGCCTAACAGCCCGTTGCCAGCATTGAGCGAATTTGTAAGTGTGGACGAGGTGACGCCGCTCGCAGCTCGCACAGCAAGATTCGTGGCATCGTCAACGAGTTGGCGGATTTTGAGGAGGTCAAAAAAGACAGCGGGGTCAATGGGTCTGGGTCGCGGGAGGTTGTAGTTGTTATTCGCAAGGCTCTCGAGCACTTCTGGGGGCAATTGAAGCCATGGGCCATGGAACGAAGATATATAGCGCCAGTGCCTGCGGTGCTATCAGCAATTGTGTCCGGTCTAAAGTTGCGGCGCGCATTCCCGAGTGAAGGTGTCCGAAAAGGTTGCAGTTGATCACAAAACGCAGTATTTTAAACAAAGGGAGGACATGGCTATATGGAACCTCCGCGAAGGTGAGGGCGACGAAGAGAAGACGTACTTATTACGGCAGATTATCAGCGCAGATGTTGAGGGTTGAGGCGGCTTTGCGTCCTTCGACTTGGTTGTTGACGCAGAGGATGCTGGACTCGGAGGATGTGTGCTTTCTGAGCCTTCGCCAACGTTCTGGCTCTTGTTCTTCTTCTTCGTCATTGTTCCCTGAATTACGTTTTGTACATTGGAAAGAAATATACAAGTTCATCTGAAATTGATAACGTTGATATTGATTGAATATTCCGTCCCGAAACTTAAAGCTTGGGCTGTAAAATACTGCCGGGGTTTTGCCGTTAAAGCGGCCCTCGGAAAGGGGGCGTAGCGACCTCATAAAAGAGGCAATCTAGGAGATAGCAATTGCTGTCCGCTAACTTGACAGTGTTCGATCGATAGAGCACAATTATAATTACTATATATCCCTCATGCCAAATATACCTGTACCACCGAAGTCCATATGGAGCTATGAGCCTGTAAAGGCGAGGGTATCAGATGAAACGCCCATCCGCGCTCAACTTCACAATGCTAAACCTGAACTTGCTAACACCGGAGAATGCTTTATCTACTTCCAAGTTGCTGCGTTGCGTACGGTATCTAGGAGCCGAGCGCGAGACATGCATCGACGGCGAGGCCCACCCTGAGAATGTTAGTGAGCTTGAACTTGAACGAGTATAGCAAAATGTCCTTACCTCCCGTCTTTCTGGGTAACTACATCACTGATAATCTCTTTATCCAAATCTGGGAACATCCCAGAGAGTGTCTCGACTATATTTGCGTGCTCTGCTCGCTGGATACGATGGGCTTCTGCAGTCTCCGCACTTGCTTGCCTTGCGGCAGCATCTTCGGCAGTCAGTTTCGCTTGAACTGAACTCTGACGAGCATGTGTAGGAGGTTGCCGTTGAGGTTGGGGACCATCTGTGCTGACTCGAGGGTTGGGACTCGTGCGAGGTGTATTACCTGGCAAAGGGGTTCGCACTGGACCGCTTTGCGATGAACCACTATCCTCGGAGAAGATTCGTCCAATCGATGTCAGCGGCCGTTGAATTGTCCGTAGGAGACCACCCATAGCGGCTTTTTCGTCATCTCCGCTATACTCGTTCGAGGATGTCGACTTTCGAGGGGTAGAAGATTCCCCTTCCATCGAGTGGCGTGGTGTCACCTCTGGATGGCTAAGGCCGGATTTCTCCGATAATTGCGTTGGAGGGGCTTCCGCGATTTCTGCCTGGTGCTTTTCCGCTATGGCAGACACGGCGGCTTCGACATTTTTCTCGAAATCTTCATCAGATATGGTCAAGGTGGTACGGTCCAGATTCTCTATGAACTGGATAGCACCCAACTGGAAAATATTAGACAACGTCTATATAAGAGACAGAAGGAGAACTGACCAGTGACGAGAGATAATATCCCGCTTCTCCGCCGAGTTTATCCTGATTTCTGAATCGTAGAATGTATTGAACATTCGACACTAGATGCTCTGGATTCGCTTGTAACACGACGTAGATAAGTAGGGGCATGAAGGAATCTGCAGATGAATCTGATTTAGAGTGTTTAAGAAGGCCTGTTTCTATTTAGTTTTTGATCACATCAACAGCTGGCTGGAGTTCCCACCGAATATGACCTTGCAACAGTTGAGTACGCAGATAATTTTGTCTCGGGGAGCTCTATATGTCTTTATTTTCAAAAGCTCTATCTGAAGTTAGTCGCGTTATATTTCGTTATGGGAGAGGTGCTTACCTTGCTGAGCCAGAATGAGAAATCTTTTCCCACTATCTCCAACTGCTGGTATGTCAAGATGCTCTTCTCGTATCCACCCATATATTGACACTTTCTGAGCAAGAATATCATCGCGCTCAACATCCTCTTGGTGCTGTCCCCTTCTCCCAGGGCCCATTAGGCGCTCAGGCGCTCTCCTCCTAGGCTTCGCTCCCGGAATCGGCTGGGGAGGAGGTATTGCAGGCGAGAACGTTTGTGTGTATAATCTATTCATGACCAATTTTTCCATGCCTTCACGGGCGTTATCAAACTCAGCATCTGATACCTCCCGCCATACCTCACATTGGGCCATCTTATTCGTGATGAACGCAAGAAAGTCACTTATTATTTTAACCTGTTCATGGACCATCCACTGTTTTTTGCCAAATTCTTGCAAGAATGAGCGTAGAAACTTGGCAACGGGATCAGCAGTCCTATGCCTTAATTGCTCCAAAAATCGGTGGAAGTCGAATGGAAGATCTGGTTCAGGCTCTGGTTCTGGGGGCGGCGGCCGGTAGAGAGACGGAGAGGTAGGTGTATCTATGCTCTGCGACCGATCGTCACCCATTTTCGGCTGTCCAAAACTACGAATCGATCCTGGCTTTGGTGGCACTGCTGGCCCAACATCGGATGTGTCCCAGGGCTGGGAATTTGTAGATGGACTAGATATCCGTAAATCTTGAATGCTCTGAGCCGCACTTGCGACGCCCGGGTTCAGTGGTTCAAGACTTGACTTCCTTGGGGGATGTTGTATTGGACTACCAAGAAGCGGCCCAGCAACTCCTAATCGTGGAGACATAATCTCCTCCTGCCCAGGGCCCTGCCCTTCTTCACTGAATTGCTCCATTATGCTCTGTATTTCAGACCTAGAGGAGAGCTCGCGCTCGTCCTCACTCATAGAGATCTTTTCATCAAACCCAGAATCAGATCTGGTAGGCGACCTCTCGGCGTTATCTGCATTTCGGCCATGATGAGGTGTCGCGTTTCCAGTTGAGGATGACCGAGAAGGGGGTTGTGACGGTAGCGGCGTCTTGGGTGTTGGATCAAGATAGGCCTGATCGACCGGAGAGAGGTGCAGGCTTGCAGGTACTTTGGACCGGGCTGCCTCTGGTTTGAGAGTCGCAGTGGAAGATTCCATAGCATCTTGAAGGTTTGCTGGTTCCTCTGCCACCTGCGTAAGCTCCACCGCCTTCTGCGAGCCCGCCTCACCGCTATCTATTTCATCCTCCCGTGTTTCTGATTTGAGGTCCTTCCCGCCCTCCATAATGTCTTCCTGGTTATCAATCGAGGTGGCTTCCGTCCCATTACTGTCTGATCCCGTCATATTCCCGTCCTTCAGTGGTACTTTGTGCACATCGTCAACGATTCCATCGTTTTTCGTGGATAATCCGAGGGACGAGACGCCAGCAAGGTCATCCGCATGATTTACGGCTTCAGTGGGTTGTCTGGGGGGAGACATCCATCCGCGAGCGCCCCACGGAGGCGGATCTTCGCGGTCTTGATGCTGTTGGCGGGGTATTCGTCTGTTCTATGGCTTTTGGTGTCTTAAGCTGCGAATGATATGTAGCGCGCCGTAAAGGTTGTCTCGAACTTGTGCTAATGTATGTAAAGCATCGAGAATGTTTGTGCTCCAGGGAATTTTCTGATCGTCTTTTGGGGGGTGTTTGATATGGAGCTGCGGCGGGTTTCGAGGAGTTGTCAGATGCCTGCCTGAGCGAGCCTAGAAAGAGAGATCGCCCTCCAAGCGAGGTTGGACTCAAAGCTGAATTCTTTTCAATCCCTCGTTTTTCGACATCCAAGCGAATGTTAGGCCCAGTTCCGAGCATCCATTGCCGAATTCCCATTAAGATCCCTGGAATTATGCCCTTATAGCCTCTCTAGGACACATCTTTGCAAGATGTGTGGGATTCACGTGTCAATCTCAACCAAAGCTTTTCATGCACCAAGCGATGAGCTCAAGGACTTACTCTCTAATAGAGGTCCAGATCACCTTGGGAAAGCGCAAACTAAGATCCGCATCCTAGATGGAGCAACCTACTGGATCTCGCTCACCTCTACTGTGCTGGCCTTAAGGGGAGGCCAGCTGATGGCTCAACCTTTTCAGGATGTCCCAAGTGGCTCTTCCCTCTGTTGGAATGGAGAGGCTTGGGCAATAGCGCCAGGCCCGGTCATAGGTAATGACGGCCAAATTGTGTTTGATCTCCTTTTGAAAGCCAGCTCGTTGGAATTGAGCGCTGCAGACTCAGTTGCTGCGGTCCTTAAAGTTCTGCGAAGCATTTCGGGGCCATTTGCGTTTGTTTTTCTGGACCAAAATCATCATCTGATGTATTTCGGGCGGGACCGGCTGGGCCGACGGTCTTTGCTCTTCAACACTGATGGATTTCCGATATCTATGGAGTTCTCCAGTTGTGCAGATCCAGCAAGTGGTGGCTGGATGGAAGTGGAAGCTGACGGCATTTATCAACTTTCATTTTGCCACGAGAATTCTGTTTTTGGCCAACCAAATGCCGATCAACATTTCTTTTCCAAGTCGATCATACCGCTTCGGAGGCACGATTGGGAGGACCAAAATAATACATCTCCTGTAAGTCTGTCCCCAGGTTGCGTTTTTGATTCAAGACCCGGAGTTCTTCTGACTGAAACTCCCAGAGGCTAACAGTATCCCCCCAGGCATCAGTGTTAGGGATCTTTAATAGATCAATACCTAATCAAAAACAGTTTCTGCATAATTACGACGCACCAGTTCAACATCTGCGTCGTCTTCTATGTGAGTCTCTCAAACCTAGGATTCTCAATGTTCCCAGACCACCGGGCTTAAGTGAAGCACACAATGTCCGTGTCGCTGTTCTGTTTTCTGGAGGCCTTGATTGCACAGTTCTGGCTCGTTTGGCCCATGAACTACTTCCCTCTAACCACGAAATTGACCTCATAAACGTGGCTTTCGAGAACCCACGGTCTATAAATGCTGCTAGAAAGACGAAAACTTCTAAGAAGAAAACGGATCATGATGCCCAGTGTAATTCTGGGGCAACAACAGAGGATATTGAAGGGGAAGAAAACGATTTGCTTAGCGACTCATATTATGAAGTATGCCCCGATAGAAAGACTGGAAGGAAAGCATTTCAAGAGTTGCAAAGCGTGTGCCCTACACGAGTCTGGCGGTTTATCGCAGTATGTCCCTCGAATCTTTACCAGCTTGCGTCTGCTGATCGAGTTTAGGTGGATGTTCCTTACAAGGAGACAATGGCTCATAGGGCCATGGTTGTCAACCTTATTTCTCCACATAATACAGAGATGGATCTCTCAATTGCGTTTGCTTTATATTTCGCTGCCAGAGGAGTTGGACTGGCGTCGAGTAGCCTATATGCCGATCCAGTCCCTTACGAAACCCCAGCTCGCGTCCTTATCTCGGGGCTTGGGGCTGATGAGTTATTCGGTGGATATACTCGCCATTCAACTGCTTTCAACCGGGGTGGATTTCCTGGTCTTCTTGATGAGATCGAACTGGATGTCAATCGCCTTGGGAAGCGGAACCTGGGTCGTGACGACCGTGTCATTTCCCATTGGGGGCGTGAAGCACGTTTCCCGTATCTCGATGAAGCACTAGTCAAATGGGCAGTTGAATGTCCTATATGGGAAAAGTGTGGCTTCGGAGCCACGGTCCTGAACGAGCCAGAAGGACCAGACATCGAGCCTGGGAAGAAAGTATTACGTTTGCTAGCTTATGCGTTAGGAATGCGCTCAGTTGCGATAGAGAAGAAAAGAGCGGTGAGATTATTAACTCCCTTCCTCTCAAATACTTCCCCACTAACGTCATCAGATACAATTCGGTGCTAGAACGGCTAAAATGGAAGTGGGAAGGATAAAAGGAACAGCACTTATAACTTGAACGTCCCTGGTGTACCGTTTCCTGTCTCATTTGGCGATGATGATTATCAGATACTACTGAATTGCCCTGTGTCCCATCGGAAGCTCATCCAACTGCTTCTTATGTGTTTCTGTACAAGCAGTAACCTGAGAGTAGGCGGATGCCGTTGGATTCTACTCAGTCAATAATGAAGTAGTAAAGGCAAGTCTGAGCCAGTTTAAATTAAGCCTCTTCACATTCCTAAATTTCACAGAACAAGGAACTCGATCGATCAAACCTAGTTGACAGTTTTTTTTACGGATTGATTTATAGAATGTAATACTTATTGTCCTTGCAATAGGTAGACTGGTTTGATGTAGTCATTGTACCTACTGCACTACATAAAAGATAAACGAACGGTTTCTGGGTCCTGCCCTAAACTATTCTAGTTCTCAACTTAGCATCTTGTTTGATATTTATCCCGTTTGATATTCGAGTCCCCATCGCGCTAATTAGTATCCCGCTAGATAGGCAAAAAAAGGCACGCTAGAGGCACCCGCGAGATTCGATAGTGTCCTTCTTCCAACGATCTGGCCCAATTCGACACCATTGTTCCATTTTCCAACTATCTCTTGTTCCATAGAAAATGTTTTGTCACTGAACCATTTGCCATTTTCAACCTCGGACATAGTATTTGGAGGCATTGGGAGGTCCCGCTTCCATATCCTCCGACCCCAGCCTTGATTAAAGCATACCACCACATATTCATACATTCTCTGAGGTGAATAGGAATGTTCCAATCTTCCAGTTATGCTTTCAATCTTAAGTGTGTATCCTTGCGTGTGCTTGCTCTGCGCAAAATGAAGCGCCCTTGTCATGATTATGGCGCTTTTCAGCCACTCTGCCTCTTCGCAAGCTCTCTTTTCAGGCCTTGCCGCTCTACGGCACATTCTATCCTTGTACTCATCGTCTGTTTCACCCGGATCTCTTTTCCTGATCTCCTGCTCGTCGTCGCTACTGACATGTCTCTCGAGATGCTTCTCCCAGTCAGGCCAGTTCCATTCGTAGTGAGGTCCGATAATATCGTATATCTTAGACGTACAATCCAATACATCAGTAAGCTCCGTCAGACAGTCGTAGGTTATTGGTGGACCAATTAATGGCATCAGTAAGTCCAAATCCTTCTGAGATGTTGTTGAAGTTCGTGTCAACTTAAACTAACAGGGTGCTGTACTTTCTGTTGTGTGGCAGCGTTTTTTCAAAGGGAAAGTAAACTTGGGTATTGACGTCTTTGCTGGTGTCTAGCGTATAACTTCAGCGGAATTCTGCTGAATGGTTTAGACTTTACTTGTGTGGACTACAAGTGGGCTTTATAGATTTTCCCTAGACAGAGAGAGTGGTGATGTTAGTCTAACAGGCTTATTTTGAAGGTGTTGTTGTGAATGCGTTTTATTACAAAGCTTGGCCCTCTAGAGCTTTTTGGAGACGTCCTCTTGATTGTTTGATAGGAGCTCGGAGAGTGATTACAATGATGATCTGTCAAAGGCGGGTTACAGTGATCTATCGTAGATGGTTGGCTATTCGAGAAATTCTGTGAGTATGGTCCGAGGGAAGTGAAGGCGTTAACGCTGTATAGCTAGGTACCTATATATAGGTACACCTCTCTATACAAAGATCAAGATCAATGAAAACACGAGATACGCTGGTTATTCCGCCCAGTACCACTCACCAGGCTTGTTGCCCCTGAAGCCAATTGAAACATCACAAACCTCGAAATACTTTGCTTTCCAGTAGCCGTAATGTACTAGGTACATTCGTAGACCAATAACGGTACGAGTATTGCATAACCATTCTTCAATGCATCCACCACGTACCTTGGTAGCGCTACGTACAGCACCTGTATATCAATCAAATGCGCCTGCAAGTTTGCGGTATGGAGCGTCTTTACGGAGCATACAATTACCGTACTGTTCCTTGTACGCCGCAGGCAACGGCATTGGTCGTCGTCAATCGAAACGGGAGGACGGGCTGAGACGGGGTCGCAGAATTGCCGCGAACCGGCATGCGCCTCAATCCTCCTTCACACGACGTTGCCTTGGAGGTTCTCCCAAACTGTATCAACATATCCAACTTCGATTTGCACGCCCAGCGCCGAGAAGACTCGCCCCAGAAGAAGCGTCGATAATTTGGAGATCGCAGAGTCTTGCCCAACCGAGTTCGAGCCTCCAACCCAAAGTAGTAAGGACTGGGATCTTCCTCGTTTGCCCGCCTAGCTGTCGTCATATCCTCCATCGACCACCGTGAGCTAAAGTCACACTTGCCTGCGCTCTCTATATCGACCATCATGGTCCTGGAAATACCACGCCGACGCTTTATGCGAACAATAAACAGCAAATATATCTATGGCAAATTTGTGAGTCTCTCCGGCCCAACCGCCGATGTTGCGCAATCGCGATGTGTTACGAGCTCCATCGTGCTGTGTGGCCAAACCTTGGATCCCTCTGCTAACTATCGTTCGATAGCCCCTATTGCATACCATCATCTTCTTTCTGGAGATGGCGATGATTTCGAGGCTAGCAGCGAAGTTCAACAGCTACTATGGAGAACGACCAGGTACACAGATCCAACCTCCCAATGTGATGTTTGCGTCTCTAACAACTACCTAGTTCTTACGATGATGATCACAAACGCCGTGCTCGGTGGCATCGCAGATACCGTAGCACAGTCTATAACAGCAATTCGACTAGGCGCATTGCGGAAGCCTGGAGGGATAACAAAGGATGATACCATGGCTATTGAGATTCATGAGCTGGATAGGAAGAATCCCTTCGCTAGAGAGGAGCTGATCCCGGATTCGAAAGCTCTTCCGCCTCCCTTCGATTTCGAAAGATTGACTCGGTTTATGGCGTACGGATTCATGATGGCGCCAGTCCAATTCAAGTGGTTCCAGTTTCTATCGAGAGCTTTCCCTATGACGAAGTCGAGCAGCTTTGGTCCTGCTATGAGAATGGTGGCCTTGGACCAGCTTATATTTGCTCCTTTTGGTATGTTGTCATTCTGCCTGTCTTCACAAGATTACAGCCACTGCTAACAACTGCTTAAGGGATTGCTTGCTTCTTCACCGTGATGACCATTGCAGAAGGCGGTGGTCGCCGGGCTGTAACCCACAAGCTCCGTGATATGTATATTCCTACGCTGAAGGCTAATTTCATGGTCTGGCCGCTTGTACAAATCATCAACTTCAGGCTCATGCCAATCCAATTCCAACTTGTACGTCACAACCCCGCGTCGTAGAATCAATGCTAACTTTGTACCATAGCCCTTTGTTTCATCGGTCGGAATTGCTTGGACCGCATACCTCTCTTTATCAAATGCCGCTGAAGACGTCGATGCTCGGTCAGCTCCCCAGTCGCCTAATATACGCTTATCGTAATGCTTTTATAGGTCTGGTTTAATACGAGGAGTATAAATGACACTATGCGGTATTGGAGGCATCATGGGGCACCAGGCGTTACATACATATATCTCACGGGGACCATCTACATCAAAAAATCATTCAAGATGTATCCTTATACTTGATTCAAAATTGGCAACGGGCGGCGTTGATTGTGGGTTTAAGGCTAGGCGCAGGTGCAGGCAATGTTAGGCGTCTATTATCATTGCATACTAAGTGCTTTTGCGTACTCTACATCAAACCGTAGAAAAATAAATATACGAAAAATAATCGGCGTGATTTGGGTGCAGCTGCGTCCGGCTATGAGTGTTTTGTGCATGACCGCATCTTCCCGAGATCAAGCCAGAGCACCCCGCGCCACAATCAAACGAGGGGCACTTTAATAAATTCAACCCCACGGCTGCTTCCTCTTGCACCAACGATTGAAACTTCTACTACTACAAAACCTCTCAGTTTCTTTGCAAATTTCCCCCCAAACGATCTTTTCGAGAATATCTTAGTAGATAGTAATATATATCAATTGCCATCATGTCTCTCTCGAACAAGCTCTCAATCACCGATGTCGACCTCAAGGGCAAGCGTGTATTGATCAGAGTAAGCTGCCCCCCATACATGCCTAGCCCTAGCGAAAAGAATATAGAAAATATACTGACGATGGACGCATTTGAAAGGTCGACTTCAACGTCCCCCTCGACTCCGACAAGAAAGTCACCAATACCCAGCGTATCGCCGGAGCTGTCCCAACAATCAAATATGCCATTGACAATGGCGCGAAGGCCGTGGTTCTCATGTCCCACCTCGGGCGACCTGACGGAAAGGCCAATCCCAAATTCTCCCTCAAGCCTGTTGTGCCGGAGCTTGAGAAACTCCTAGGAAAGTCCGTCGAATTCGCACCAGATTGCGTTGGGAAGCAGGTTGAGGAAATCGTCAACAATGCTAGTGGTGGACAAGTAGTCCTGCTAGAGAACCTGCGGTTCCATGCCGAAGAGGAGGGAAGCTCTAAGGACGCTGAAGGTAAGAAGGTCAAGGCGGACAAGGCTAAGGTGGATGAGTTCCGAAAGGGTTTGACAGCGTTGGGAGATATCTACATCAGTGAGTCTTTCTACAGCTTGGTTGTAAGTTGAAGTACTAATTATGTGAAGACGATGCTTTCGGAACTGCACACCGCGCCCATAGCTCCATGGTTGGCGTTGACCTGCCTCAAAAGGCCTCTGGATTCCTCATGAAGAAGGAGCTCGAATACTTCGCCAAGGCCCTTGAGAACCCTGAACGTCCTTTCTTGGCCATCTTGGGAGGAGCCAAGGTCTCAGACAAGATCCAGCTCATCGATAATCTTCTCGGCAAGGTTAACAGCTTGATTATCTGCGGCGGTATGGCTTTCACATTCAAGAAAACATTGGATAACATGAAGATTGGCAACAGTCTGTTTGACGAGGCCGGAAGCAAGACAGTTGGTGCTCTTATGGAGAAGGCCAAGAAGAATAACGTCGAGGTCGTTCTTCCCGTTGACTATATCACTGCCGACAAGTTTGACAAGGATGCTAAGACCGGAACGGCTACAGATGCGGAAGGCATTCCAGATGGATGGATGGGTCTTGATTGCGGGCCAAAGAGTATTGAACTCTTCAAGGACACAATTAACAAAGCCAAGACCGTCCTCTGGAACGGCCCTCCAGGAGTCTTCGAGTTCGATGCATTCACCAAGGGAACCAAGGCTACTCTTGATGCCGCAGTCGACGCAGCACAGAGTGGCGCGACTGTTATCATCGGTGGTGGTGATACCGCTACCGTTGCTGCTAAATACAATGTCGAAGACAAGCTTAGCCATGTATCGACGGGCGGTGGAGCGTCTCTCGAGCTCCTCGAAGGCAAGGAACTCCCTGGTGTTACTGCTCTGTCGAGTAAGTAAACTTGGGCAGAAATCGCGACTACTTCAGACTCTGATATAGTCAAGGCCTCCACAGCAAGTCCAGTCTTTAATAAAATTGAGTGACGCCCTCGTACATAGCTTATAGCACCACAATTGAAAGCTTTGCAATCGAATAATAGAGGTGTTCGTGATGTTCCATTTGTATGCTACCCTTTATAGTGATCTCCAGTAATCCGTGAACTCCATAATGAATTTGCTTATTTCTAAAGCATCAACGCTTCTTGCTCGCCTCAACTTTCTTAAGCTCCTCTCTGGAGACGGGTCAGTAATTATCCATAAAACGTAATTCTTATAGATACATACTTCAGCTGCGCCGAGAAATCCTCACTCGTATCATCATCATCCCAACTTTCCTCCCACAGATGCGTGTTATCTCCAGGTACCTCTGTATCGTCTTGTGTCCAATCTATGAGACCGCACAATTAGCTCTTGTTGGCCACCCACCCATAGCCATCGATCAGACGTACTCTCCACTGGGAAGTCCTCAAACTCGTCGTCCTCCTCAAGTGCAGCGGCAGGCTTTGTATCCTTCGCTGGGTCGGCGTTCTTGTCTGAGGAGGTAGCGTTGGTGGTTGGCGCGCTGCCGGATTGCGGTGCTGCGGACATGGCGGAGGTGGAGGTTGTAGAACAGGATACGGACTATGGGAGATATCGAGAGGGGGGTTGATGGCTTGAGATGCGTATCTGAATGTCTATGTAGGAAAAGTGAGGTTCGTCTTCTGTTCGCCTTTGAACTTACTACGCACAGCTCCCGCCCACTGTCCTGACGCAGAAAGCCGGAGCGGAGAAAATATATCTCCGCTCCAGTTTCCACGAACACGGCAGTGCATGGTGCATGGGCTTACAGTGACTGAACACACGCAAGCGCTTGAGCTGCTTTGGAGCAGTTACGCGGCCTAATATATTCCATTTCCTTTATATGTCTCTATCTTCTCAAAGGCCTTCCCGTCTTATTCATCTTTTTAAATTGTTCAAGGCCCTTCGACTTCGCTCTTTGTTTTCCCGTCTTTAGTTACCGATTCCCGGACTTTGCAACTGTTGCCCCACATCACAATCGCGGCATTGCCGGAAGGATAGCTCCACAGCAACGCATAAACAGATGCTTATATATATGTGTACACCTTGTATATATCATCTGTAGGGTCTCAACAGGATATTTGCTCACCAGCCTTGGTGTAGATCAAAGCAACGGGGGCTTTTGGTTTTGAATAGCTCTTGAACTCTCCCGTCTTGTCTCCATGATCCCTTCGCCGAGGTGACAAAGGGTACTCGGACTGCCCGTTAAAAAAAAAACTCATAAGAGCAAGGGATTTTCACAAGATGGCTTCATGGTTCAAATCTTCGGCGAAGGCTGGCAAACCTGCTATGACAGCTGAAGAAGAAGATAATCATTTGCGAGATGTTGAACGCGCCCTTCTACACTTGTTGAACGACGATATTGCAGCAGCGGACAATATATTGAAACAGCAAGAATCTGCATACCATTACCTAGGCCGCGGGATATCAAGTTTCATTAGTTCCATGCTGGGCGTTGAGAAAGAACTGTTGAGAGAAGCGGCAAACCAGTTGCAAGCTGCTGAAAACAAGACCTGGGAGGGTATGAAAAAGGCCCAGAAAGAGCCTTCTGCTTATCGGTCCCATATTTACCCCCCTGGAACCGAATATCTGTTATGCTATGCTGGTATGGTTATTTCATCCCTGGATTTCGATCCCATGAAGTGCTAATCATTGGCTACAGTTTCCCAGCTGACTAGTGCTATATGTGCGGTGCTCAGTGGCTCGGTTACAGAAGCTATTAAGGGATTTTATAAGCTGAGAAAGGCTTTTTTAACCCTGGATAGCATCATGCAGATTGAGGGAAAGTATCTAAGGGAAAGAGCGGGTTCAGGCAACTCTCTTGGTGCTCGCCTTGACCACTCTTCCACCGCGTCCTTAGCTTCAGGAGGGCCATCGGCCGCGCTTGTCACGTCCGATGAAAAAGCAGCTGAGGATGTTGCAGAAAAATTGCATGGCGAGCTAGATCCACCTGATGTTAAGGTAGATGCTTCTGATACCACGCCGCTGGCCGCGTCAAAGTTACACTCCAGGCTATTGGAAATAGACCCCGCCTCAGTGGGCATCACATCTCACACAGACATCTTCATCCATTCCGGCACAAGGCTCTGTTACGGAGTGTTATTGGTCATCTTTTCCATGATTGAGAATCCCCTCTTCACAAAGATTCTGTATATCGTGGGCTTTAAAGGGGATCGAGAGCGAGGAACTCGATATTTATGGCAGGCAGCTCGGTTTGACAACTTTAACAGTGCCATTGCAGGAATTGCTCTCTTGGGATATTACAATGGTCTTGTTGGTTTTTGTGATATTCTCCCCACGGATGCAGGCGCAGATGAAGATCTCTCGGGCTACCCTAGAGCCAAGTGCCGCGCTCTTCTCACCGATATGCGAGAACGATATCCCGAATCCAAGCTCTGGAAGATGGAAGAAGCACGCTTTCACGGCTACAACCGGAACCTCCGTGAAGCGGTCAATATTCTAAGTGACAACTCAACCAGCCAAATGAAGCAAATTGCCGCCATCAACGTATTCGAGATGTCACTGACTAGCTTGTTCTTACATGACTACGAACTCTCCGCACAGTGCTGGAAACGATGCGCAAAGCTCTCCCACTGGTCTCCTACCATGTACGCCTACCTAACAGGCGCCTGTTTCCTGGAAATATACCGCAATAATCGCCTCAGCGACCCGGCCACGGCAGAAAAGTATAAAATGGAGGCTACAGAGTATATCCGCAAAGCCCCACCACTAGCTGGAAGACAAAAAGTCATGTCTAAAGAACTCCCCTTTGATCAGTTTATCTGTCGCAAGGTCTCAAAATGGGAGGAGAGAGCGAAGGCCTGGAATGTGGATCTCGTAGATGCCACCGGTATCTCCCCCGTGACGGAAATGATATACCTGTGGAACGGTGCACGGAAACAGAATGAAGTCGAATTAGACACGAGCTTAGAGGCTATAAAGTGGGAAAAGTTAAGTCATCCGGAGAAACTAAGGGGTGACCTAGATGAAACGGCGCTTCAGGCGTTACTAAAGGCTTGTGCATTGAGGAATTTGAAGAAGTATGACGAGGCTAGAGTGATTTTGACAGAGGAGATTTTGAATCATGATAGGTATGCATCACGTTCTATCTTCATTCCATTCCCCGCTTCCCACATCTCCTCAGGGTGATCAATTTCCCCGTTTTGTGGTCACATATCCACTAGATTATAGCCAATACTAAGCCACTCTTCCCCACAGAAACGAATTCAAAGGCTACCTTAAAGATGATTGGACATGTCCAAACGCACACTACGAGATGGCATGTCTCTTCTGGGCAGAAAAGGATCTCGAGGGCGCTGATCACAAGCTTAACGTCATCGAGTGCGAAAAGTGGCTTGAGAAGACGAAGTGGGACCCGTACGTCCTAGATGGGAGGCTGTCGATGAAAGTCACAACTTCCGTAGTCACGGTAAAGAGACATAAGGATATTATGGGTTATGATTAAAATATGGCTGGTTGGGGTTTTGCTTTGTAGATGAGAAATATGGAGCCGGCAACGGACTGGATGTAGATTTGGATTGGATAGGTTTTATGAATTATCTTAGGTATACGAGAAAGACAAAAAAGCCATATGACGTTTTCCCGAATTCTTGATTCCCCGTGGGATATTATTCGCAGGAAGGACGAAAACTTCAAACTCTGTCTTACAAATAAATAAAAGCAGTCTCCTAACCGGTGGTGAACTATGAATCGGAAACATCCCGATCCCTAAATGAGAATTACCGTCTTACAATCACATCAGAATCGCATTCTCATAACCTAACACCCGATAAGTTCAAATTCAGGAATTCGCGTGCCCCCTCCCACTCACTCACTCACTCACTGACTCGGCCTCGTGTTGGTCCTACAGGGGGAAAATGCAGGAAGCCGCGTATGCTGTATACACCATCATCCCTCCGGGGCCCCAGCTGCTGCATGTTGCCTTCTGAAACGAGGTGCTGTGCAACGCGTGCTTGCAATTAGGGACCACGTGGATGGGCCTCGGAGTATACGGGGTGTGTGTGTGGTGTGTGTGGTGTGTGTGCTGCTGGGTTTTCAACTGAACTGGTGGGGAGGGATGAATGCGCGGATGGGGTGTTTGAGGTGTGCGGTTTGAGGGAGAGTGTTTTCAGGGAGATGGATGGATGGGATGGGATGTTGTCGGTGTCGTCAGATATAGTGCCATAAATGTGGCGCACCATGTGCGGGTCGGGTCGGGTCGGGTCGGCTGGCTAGGGGTATATTATAAGTATTTCCTAACCCACGCACAGGGGATGGGATATATAGATGCTCAGCTGAGGTGCTTGTTGCTTGCTTTTTGTCAAGGCTGGCACGGTTGGGGACCGTTACTTTAAAATGTTGATCTGGCGGGGAATTATAGACTAGGGGTATATATATCTACAAGGGAGGGTCATATCAGCTGTTGGATATCAGGAGTCGTCAAATATTGCCCCATCGAGCCTCAATCACAAGCTGAGAAGCAAAATTCATGAGAGGGGAAAACTCGATCGGTGTTAAATATTATTCCCACTATCCTTTGCACAGACAACAAAAAATGACAAGGCCGAAGCAGAATGAATATCCATGAAATGCCCAGAGACCAGAGAATAATCCTCCCAACTCCGTTGCAGACCTAGCATTCCATGGCTTCCTCCAGTCACACAAACGGCCACCAGCAGTAAAATATGCAGACAGGTGTATATCCCGGTATCCCCAAAATCAAGACAAGCAAGCAATGTCCTCCAGCCCATGAAATATGCCTTGCAAATGCATTAGATAAAACAAGCCCCGTGTATCCATCCATCCCAGAAAAAAGCTAGCAAAACAGGTTTCAAAAAAAGAGATTTGATGAGGAGCAATAGCAAGGTAGGCCAAGTCAAGGTACAAAAAGAATCCTGGTAGAAATGAACGATGATGCTGGAAGGAAATATTAGGGTGTTCAAACGACAGGTATTAAACGAACGAAGACATGGGCGATAGATGCTGGAAAGCCGGTATACTGTACAAGAAGCAGCATAGAGGTCAAATTGATGCCGGGAAATCCGCTAGGAGCGAACACAATAAACGCCAACTCCTCTACCTGGCCTGATGCGGATGCAAACCAGATAAATAAGTACTCAGAATCCACAAATTATCCATATCTCCATCATTTCTCAAAGTTTTTTATGACGTTTTCGTAGGTATCCTGCCAATGTGATGCATATTGGTAATACAGATCGACGTCTGTACAGCCACATCATTATTCCGTCATTCGTAAGGCATGATCGTCGATTTCCCTCCGTATTTGTTGTCGTGTATGCCATCATTGAGGTTGCGATGCCCAGCCCCATGAGTTACCAGATCCCGGTGGTTGTTGAGGTGCCCAGCCCTGAGCTCCGGGCTGAGGACCGGATGTGCTAGGCTGCATGAATTGTGCGCTTTGATCTTGTTGGTAGAGGCCTCTTCCTGGTGCGGGATAGCCTTGCCCAATGCCCTGCATCCCTGGGTATTGCAGCCCTGGCTGCATCTGAGGATTGCTGCTAGAATGTCGAAGTTGAGATGGTGGTTGATGGGTTGACTGCTGAAGATGTGGTGATTGTGATGTATTGGACGCGTAGCTCGGATATGCAGGGTGTTGGGGCTGTTGGGTTTGGGAAGGCGGCCACATGTGGCTCTGAGGGGTAAACCCATACGTGTTTCCGCCTTGACTGAGGTTACTCGACCCCATGGGTAGGTTAGGCGACCTCCCAAGTTGGTCAGATCTCACGGGTCCTTGAGCTACAGATCTCATGGGAGACTGTGCGATGGGATTCGGCTGATGAGTAGCTTGAGAGTAAGTCTGCCCGGCTATCAAATGTTGAGAAGCTGGTTGGGGTATCGTTGACTGCTGAGCGGTGCTTTGGGAGACGCGTGGTGACTGCAGAGCTTGTGACGATGGAAGACTGTCACCGGTCCCTATTGGCTGCTGAACAAGGTTTGGGGGCGGCTCATGAGGCTGTCTCCAGCGCCGGTCGAGAAAATCGCTACTTCGACTTCTTTGAACATTGACCTGCTTGTTATACTCCGCGGCTTGGTGTGCTCCGGTTAGCAGTTCTGTCGGCGGGCTTGTTTGGGTGCGGTCCTGATATGCGGGCCCAGTGATCTCTTGGCGTGGGCGCTGAATATTGCTGTAGTCTCTCAGTCGCATATCTGTTTGATCCGGTGCCAAAGTAATCATTGGGAGAGGTGTCGCGCCTCCTGGTGCACCTATCATGCCCGGTTGAACTGTTTGCGGTTGCGGGTGAACACCAAAATGCCCAGGACTATTGCTGTAAACAATATCACCGTGGTGGCCGAGTGCCAGGGATGCATTAGCGTTTGCTTCTGCAGCGGCAGCATCTCTAGCTTTCGCAGCACCGGGTCTCTTCTCTCCCGCCATATCTTCCTCGGTAAATCCTTGCTTGCGTGCTTTGCTTTCCCAATAGTCGTCCCTTACTCGTCTTCCGTTCACGATGACCCGGCTCCCAAACTGCCGGAACATAGACTTGGCCGTGACGATTGCAATTTGGCGGGACCGATAGGAGAAGGGCAGGATCTCCTGATGAATTAGGTCTTCCTTTTCCGCCTGGGTTGCAATGATTTTGTACAAGGATCTGTTTTTGTTAAAAAGTAGATATGAATCTCTGTAGCCTAAGACCCTCGCACACTCGGTGGCGAGCATGAACAGCTTATCCCCTCTATTTGGCACAAAGAATGTCCGGCACCTGTATTCGCGCCCATCCAAAAGGTGGCCAGTTGCTGTGACCTTTTTCTCGCCGGCCTCGTCATATTCGCGGGGTATATATTCATCTCCTTCGGGGCCGAGTTGATCCGTGGTATGGTCACGGACGGTTGGTAGGGCTTTTATCACAGTTTTGGTCGGGGTTGTTTTCGGCGGTGGAGAAGACTGTGTAGGCGTAATGTTACTCAGCTGCGGTGGGAGGGTGGTTGTTTGGGATTGGGGCGTTTGCGGAGGGACGCTCTGAGGTTGCGGCATCGACGGCGGGTTTGGGCTCTCTGGTACCCCACCAGCTCTCATCGGTTTCATTTGTCGTCCTCTTTTTTGTGGCCGGTCACCTAAAGCCATAACATCGTCAGCAAACGACCCAACTCGGGAGCGCGCACGCGTTACACATGGCAAGAGGCGTGATGCCCGTTTTGGCGCATTAATCTTGCAATTTTAGGATCCAGGGCAACATACCGTCATCAGCTAGGCGGTCGCCTTGCGGCAGATGGCCGTATGTGTCCGGAGAGCGACTGCGCTTGGTGCCTCGAGGACTCGGGTCTGGAGTAATAGTCACGGAGGGGTTAATCAGAGCTCCTATAGAGTTTTTTTTTCACATTAGCAAAACGCGCCAATATTATCCTACGACGTCGAGAGAAGCTCGAGCTCGTTCGGATCACCTGGACCAAGCGCCCACTCGACAGGACCCCATCTCAACGGAATTTTCGCCGGTGGAGAGCTTACCTGACGAATTGAGGGCGGCAGGATTGATGGTGCCAGAGCCGTCAGTGACGCCGAGGCCGTTTCTGGTCTGCGCCGAGTACATGGCCGCGCTGGGCTGGCGGCGCGATGCAGCGATTGAAACACGTCGAGGCTCCCGCGATGCACGACACTGTCCTCGGCCTCAACGCGTTTGCGCCCAGAAGCGCAAAGGTTGGAGGAAAGGAAGAAGGGTTCAGCTGCATAGAAGGACCGGAGGCTGCATGTAACTGTCGAGTTCTGTATCGCGCTCTTGGGGTTGTAAGCGATCGGGAGCACGCGGATAAGGGCGTGCGATGCGACGATGATTGGCCGTGGCCGCGGCGGGTTTGGCGGAGGGGGGAGGCTTTTGGTGTTGACGACGGCGATGGTCGAGGGTGTAGGAGGGCGTAGGGTCGGAGGGTGCTGGAAGGGTGCTGGAGGGTTGCTGGAGGGTTGCTGAAGGGGTGCTGAAGGGGTTGCTCGAGGCTGGTTCGAGGGTGTCGAGGGTCGATCGATGATGTTGCGAGTACCCGCGTGCTTGGGATTGCGGGAGGTTGATGATGGAGGGGACAGAGGGACGAGGGGACGATATGAACGAATGGTAATGCGCTGCGCAAAGCTCGTTTTTTAGAGTTCGAGCACCACGACGGAGGTCGAGTCGGGGGGGGTTCTTTTTAGGCTCTGATCAACGTGCTTCTTCTGCGGCCACAGTCGTGAAAGAGCCAAACAGCGACCGGAGAAGGCCAGGAAGTACCTAATAGCAGGCGCCTCTGTCGTGCAGCGCAGGACAGGGCAGCGGCAGCGCCAGGCCTGGCGGGCTGACAGACGCGAGAGAGCTGGGACGGGGTTGTTCTTGGTCGTAAGTGATCCTGCTCCTGATCCTGCTCCAGCGCGTGGTATGGCGTATGGGCGCAATGCGCTTCGAGTAAGCAGGATATGGTACTTCGTACTTCGCACGGTAGAGCCCGGTAATAATAAGTTGGTTGTATAGCGTAGAGTATCCAGGGACTCAAGCGATTAATTCCTAGCGGTGTCTAGCGATGTCAACCGACGCCCAGGACGCTGCCAGAGACCTAGGAATCCCCGTCACGGCCGTTGACGACCAAGCAAGGCTAGGAGTTCAAGGTCCAAGTCCAAGTCCACGCCGGTCGACTCCCCCGCGACAGATGCGCGATTGGCGAGCCTTTGGTTTGGCCGTGTGCGATAGTTCGAGCCAACGATGCTGCAGCGGGAGCCCAATAATGCCAGATGGCCAGCAGCCAGATGCCAGATGCCAGGCCTGCAGCGGGCGCTCCACACGCTGCAACTGCAACTGCACCCAACCGCGCCGTTCCCCAGGGGCAAAAGCACAGAAGAGATACCAGCACCAGCACCAGCAGCACGCGTCGACACGGCCGGACACCGAGCTGGGTCGGGCCTTGGGGAGAGCGGCTGGCTCCTGGGAGGAATCGTGCCGGCCCGGGCTGGCAGGCTGCGGAACCTGATGGTGGCTGGCGGGCTGGCTCTACGATCCTTCCGAAGTCTTTCACGCTCAAATAAGATAATGGCCCCGGGGGATGGAGATGGGGATGGGGATGGAGATAGAGATGTATGATGTTGACGGTGTCCTGGGAATGCGAACTGCGACTGCGACCGCGACCGCGACTGCGATCGAGAGCTGGATCGGGGTCGATAACTTCCAGGCGCGAGATTATTACTCACTGCTCGCTGCAAGACGTACAGCCTGAATAGAAAGCAACTTGGGGAACGGGCTCACCCTGCACTTTGCTGACAAAACGACGTCCTTTCCAGCCACCGCACGTGGGTTGTCTTGGGACCAGTGAGGGAGAGTCCAAGCAAAACTCGCTTTATATTGATTGGGGCAGCGAGTGGGATCGATGTACCAAAAGTACGGGAGTATGTACGGAGTATGTATGTAGGTATGTGCTATGCCTCGGATCTCTTGATATCTTGAGAGGAATCGATTCGAACGGCAACATGCGGAGGGCAATGCAGATGCAGAACACACAACCCCCCGGAGAACGAGAATCAGGATCACACTAATAATACGATATGATCTGCGTGCGTCGGACTAGCCGTTTGGCAGTGGATCTGCTCCCAGTGAAACCGCGCGCCGTGTGACAGCTTGCGCCTCGGCAGCAAGCTACTCTGCAACAAAATCGACGAGGCGTTACGTGGTACAGAGCATCCGTTCCAAGGGCAGGAGAGGAGGAGGAGGAGGAGGATGGGAAAGAAGAGGAAGACAAATTCGCCTGGAGTAATAGAAGACCGGCGCTGGACTGCGAATACAGTACCGGATGAGATCAGCCTGGCCGACGTGCTTCCAAACATCCCAGCACCTACAGCTACTAGCGGACTCAGAACCTTCCAAGAGACCCAATGGGGTAGTAACTGCAGCGTCGGGGTCCTCAGCTGCCTCTTTACTTGCTTGGGCAAGGCGGTCCGCGGCGTTGAAGCCCATATAGAGGTAGTCAGCTTGGCCAGGTCAATACGATACTGAGCGCCCCGGAGGGAAACTTGGGGTCGCAGAGTCGAAAAGGTGCCTAGTTGTCGAGTGCACTCTGCAAACGCTTTGAGCGAAATCAAGAGCTACTGAGATACTTCGGAGAACCGGTATGTTGGAAATCACTTGACGGACTACGTCGTACCCTACCTAGTTCAGCGCGATATGCGAGTCACTAGGTTCTGGCCTGCTCGTATAAGACACAGCGGCCATAGTTAGAGTCACGGAAAGCCACACAGGGCGACGACGACGACGGAAGGCGGGGTGAAGGGGTTCAAGAATCTGGAGGGTTGATCCGGATTCTGGGCAAAGTGAAAGCGCATCCAGGGCGTGCGATTGGCCAGCATGGGCATCAGGGGATCACGGATGGCGACAGTGGGCGCCACGCTCAAGCCTGGCTCGAGCCTGGTCTAGTCCGTAGTCAATCTGCGCAGACTCGCAGACTCGCAATAATAATCCGCGACAGCCTTACTCCATACGGTACAGCTTCCTTATGGTCTGTAACGGCAGTTGAGCAGGGAAGTCGGGAAGGCGGCGAGACGGGGAGACCGGGAGAGCGAGCGGAGGCGAGAAATCGAGGGCAGAGGAATGATGATGGGAAACTAACTAGCTTCATATCGCAGGTACTAGCTAAGATATACTTTACTTGCTACGCCTTGTACTGTTTGGTCGGCTGGCCCTTCTCTATCAAGGCAAAGTAAGTTCCTTGCAAAGTAGTCGACATAGGCACCTATTCTCCCCAACCATACTCCATACACCCACCACCTTACCTATTGCTCCAACGAATACGGGGGGGGCCATTACCTAAGGTACTGACCTACTTCGTACACTTACTCAGGCCCCTTGCCAGCTACAGTACGTAGCAGTGCGGCTCTCTCCCCTCTAAGCCCCAATCCGCAATGCTCAACACGCAATGCCGCTGCCCACCCGCTGCGTATGCTGCAAATCCTCCTTCGGCCATTACGTGGTAAATGAGATGAGCGTGAGAGTTGCAACTCGATCGATGCGATGTCGTCGGCAAGCAGGAGCCGGTACACGGTCCGTCCCCTTCTGACGCCACAGTTCTATATCCGTCGTCCCGCTCGTTCTCTTCTCTTGACGCTCTTTTCCCAGGTTTCTCCATCTCCAGAGCACGCACGGTGGCACTGCTGGCCGGAGCGTGCGATGGGAAACTACTGTACTGCACATGGACATGTACCTAGGTCCATGTCCTTGTCCATGTCCATAGTGCTCCATACTCTAGACTCTAGACTCTAGACTCTAGTCTCCAGACCCATCGCCATCGCCATCGCCATCGCCATCGACCATGAGATCACAAGCTTAAGGTTAACGCACAAGTGCTTCGTTGCACCGAGTCCTCCGCAGCGCGGGGCACGACTACGCACCGCAACTTGTCGATCCATCCATCATGTCGCCGGTGCACGAAGCAAGCAAGCGTCCTCCGGAATATAAGATCCAGGACGGTGCGAAGTACGGTATCCACGGGAATCGTATTGGTGCGGGCAGAGCCGCACCTGCATCGTCGGAGAGTCTCCATGTGACCGCATTCGCAAGCCCGCAAACCGCCTAGGTAAGACATCATGCACTCGCCACACGCTGCACTCCAATAATGCCTTGTAATACCTCGACACTCCACATTACAAATCGGCGAAACCTCACGGAACTCCCGCTAGACACAAGAACGGGCCCTGCCATGTGTCTTCCTTGATTATCTCTCCTTGGGGTGGTGTGGTTGCCGCAACCCACTCTGGGGATCGGGGGGGTTGGGCGGTATGCGGTGGTGGCCCGAGGATGCGCCCTGGCCCACGCGTTCTGAGGGCTCAGAGGGCTCAGAGGGCTCAAAGGGCTCCGAGGGCTCCCTCATGGCATGGCCTGGCATGGCGGAGGGCGGATGGCTTGGTGGCCCGCCTGGCTCGGCGCGTAAGGAAATCCCCAAACCCCCTGGACTGCTCCACAACATGCATAACATAGCCTGGAGGCCAGGGCCCTTCTGCCACCCCTCCAGACCGCGAAGGAAAAGCATGTCAAAGCATGTCAGACTGCCTGGTCTTTCCTTTCCTTTCCTCCATCTCCCGTGGAAACTCCCTATGGGAACCACTTGCAGAGCGGCGGGAGATCAACCCTTGACCCTCCCTTTATCATAATCCCCGATAGTGCTGGCCCCAAGCGAGTCACTCGCACATCTTCAAGACGTATCCCCCCACCTCCAGTGAGACATTCAAGAGAGACCGTTTGATTTCTCCAGGTCTTCCGCCGGCGCTATTCAGAGACAAGCGTCTATCTCCTACCGGGAAAATACCACCGAGAAAAACTAGCGTCAGAAACCACAACTCCCGGGCTTTTTGGAATATCTAGTTTTCCCATTACCGTGTTATCCATACCATCATCATCGCCCCACGGATGGTTTCCGGGTTTCTTTCGTGTAGCCTTTTAGAAACTGTAAGACCGTAAGACTGCCTCGCCTCACGGGGCTCACCCCCTTCCATTATTCGAAGCCGGAACTTTCCATGCAGCCACAGATACCACTGTATTCGATACTCCATACCCAGATGAGATAGATAGTGGCGGATATCCAAATCCCATTACTCATTTTCCAATTTTAGGTCTTTGAGTGGTACTCGTACTGCAAGGCCATGCTACCGTTACATCTGTTTCATTGTTTCATTTGTAATTGATTGCGGTGCGATTTCGTGGCTGGTGCCAGCTCCTTTTCCTTCTGGATTGTTGCAATCTTGTTACACGCTTCCAGCAAACCTACTGGCCCTTCCGTCATTCCCATTTGTTTATCTGATAGTAAAATCCTACATAGGCGCATTCATCAGGATTCCCGGCATCCATTCCCACCATTCCTGCCCCACTGGTACGCAAGTATAAATATCCCACCCCCGATTTTATTCTCATGCTAGCTGAGAATGAAAATGTAAGCAGGACCCCTATAGTACCCTCATTCTAAGCCCGCGTTTTTAGCGAACGAGAGCCTGATGGGAATCAGGCCGCTCATTCATCCCCAACCAAAAGTGTTGAGAAGGGGCTTTTTCGGACCCCAAAATGAAACCTGCCGCCATCCCTCGGCTGCTGAATCCGTTTGGCCATGCAGATTTACCAGCGCCATGGGAACTCTGGATTTGTTCCCTCTGCGGCCTGTATCACATTTTCTCACATTTGTCACTGCATGCCGTTGCATTTTTCAATTTACGACCGATTTTTATAATTAGCATCGTTTTCCTCGGCGACGTGAAGAAATTAAATGAGTATCTAGCAGCAACGCCTCGGTTGCATAACGACAGCAACATGATGGAAAGCCCAGTTATATCCCAGAACAGGCGTGTACTTAAGTGATAATCGTATTAAATATCGTTGAAGGTTCTAGTTCTATTTCTTGGCCCCTTAAAGTCATTATGGGGATGTTTAGTTCATCATATGCCGTGTAAGTTATGTTTGAGATATTACTGTTGCTTGCGACGAGTTAATCGAATTCAGTAAATGCCTGCCTGATTCGCCCATTCGTCGTAGATCATCTACTTGTGCTTTTTTGAAATTCAAAATTATTCCAAAAGTATGTAACGCTCCTATTATTGGTGCAGAAAAGACCCGATCAATATGTGGTATTCGCTACGCGCAGATTTCACATGCTTTCTTATCGGTCAGTAGTCAGTTTCTCCATTCATCCACTACCTTCACAGGCCCACTACCGTCCGTTGCAGGCTCTGCTTCTTTGTAATTTGGCAATTCTAGTCGTCTCAGTTAGATATTCAAGTTAGTCATGATTCATAAAGCCTAATATTAACGTTCTTGCTTTAGAATATTTCGAGATTGAACTAACGCTGGTATGCTAGCAATAAATCTGGCTTCCTACCCTCTATCCTCGATCTCAGCTCATGGCTCATCCTCACCCAATGCCAGTTAAGTCATGGATTTATACAGATACCTTTAATGCAGAATAATAATTTATAGTTTATAGAATATGTATACAAGACCAGTCCCAGCTTATCATCGGAATTGAAGAGAGAGGGAGAAGGAAGGAAGTATATATTGCCGCCGTATTATCTATGGGATTTTTTAATACCCTGGACAGTTCTCTTGGTGCCGTCAATACAATACTGGTATGTCGGGTTAAAAGTAGACTTTCTTTTTCGAGGCTCGGGATTTGTTACGAAGTATTTCTACGGCTTAATCTAGTCAGATTATTCACTGCCCTCATTACTCCCAGATCCATCCTCACTACCATCAGACATAACCATAGGACACTCGGATTCAGTTTCATCACTGCTAGGCTCGTATCTAGACCCGTCATCAGTATCTTCAGTCTCCGGATCGCCTTCATCGCATCCGTAAATATCGCGGAACGTCACTCGATTTTTATGCACATATAATCCCCGTTCTTCGTAGAACTGGGCAGGACCGTGAAGGTTGATATGTTTCAGCAAATCAATAACAGTGAATGCGTCCTCAGCCAACGGCGGGCCATACACACGTTCTCGTTCGTCATCCCTCCCATCAAAAAGCCTCTCCCAGGACTCGAACATGGTAATATTTAGCAACACGTTTAGAGACATTGCTGAAGCATTTTGACAGAAGTTAACTATTCCGACAGCAGTCTCGATCCAGGCGGTCGCTGCAGCTGCATCCATTGTCCCCTCGTGCTGCCTAAACTCAATGGTTGGCTTGCCGTTTTCTTCTACCAATCCCATGAAGTTATATGCCATCCCTCTGTCCTCGGAATACAAATTCTCTATGCTTTTTAGAAGGGTAGCTTGGTCCACGCAGTCAAGGAGTATGGTTAGCTTTTTGAGTATCGACGGGTTAGTCGTACACTCAGTCCGACACCATAATGAAAACTCAGAATTTTCGCGTAATGAACCATAGCAAGTGTTCCCGGTATGGTTCATTGACTGCCTTACCGGTGGATGTAGGGTGTTCAATTGCGGCGTGAACGCCCAGAAAAAGCTTACTAGTTTCCGAATGTTATTAAAGCTAAAACCATCCGTTCCATTCCCTACATGGACGTGTAGGCCTGTTGAATCATTGGTATTAATGACATATTTGCTCGTCAACAGTTCGCATATATTTGCAACGGCTTGCAAGGATGATGAAGAAAAGTTGAGAACGGGAGACACCAGCTCAATTCCAAAGTATCTGTAACCAGACCCAATCATCTCGCCTGGCCGAGAACAGTCTTTCGCGGGTCCATGAATCGAGCTATCGAATGTCACCATCCATTTGCTGAGATCGTGGGACGTACCACTTGAAGGGCCAGCAACTTGGACGGAATAGTTAGCCTCACGCAGAGTATCCGCGATGTGCTCCATAGCCCCATCTGTTGGTATTTCACTGTCAGAGCATATGCAATCGTCTCGAAGCACATTATCAAAATCACATGAATCTCTCCATTTGAATTCGTTGATATAGTCATAAAGAAAGGGAAGCCGGGCCTCTCGGTTTCCTAGATCCTCAGGAGTCTTATCATACGGTGCGAGATAGCCTACGGCAAATTCTAGTTCGATGCCAAAGGTAAGATGTTCAGACATAGCGGAGAGATAGCTGGAATCTGGATGTTGAGAAGAATATTGGTGGACAACTGAGAGAACTGCGGAGAATGATGGGTGAATAAAAATGTGCGAGGGGAGTGAGTATTTGCTGACGATTGTGGAAGAACAGAGTATTTTACTTTCGTCAATCCATTCACACTAGTTCAGACTCGCATTATGGCAGGCCCCATTGCCGCTTATCAATAAATAGCTCCCTATCAGTCACTTGTTCCTAGCTAAAACAATGGGGTTCTCATCGTGCCAACCTAGTTCATCAATTGAATTATGGGAGAGAAAGAAAGCCATGGGAGTGGCTAATCCAACGGCAAGGAACGAATAGCGGACAAAGAAACAAACCAAAGGCAAGGGTGGAACTGTAACACAATGGAATATATGAACAATTAAGGCTAAGAGACCGACAAAGACGAAACGGCAATGCTAATCGTTTCGGCGATGCACACCAACCTGATTTACGGAAACGGCGCAGCTCTCTTGGGATGCTGGCTGAGACCCAATAGTACAGGCAAGTAGAATATGCCACAGCAGCTGTAAGAGACATATCGATCTTATAACTGCTGGTATTTAGGCACAAATGTCAACTGGGCGTGATCTCGGAATCCCTAATCGAAGCGTATGGGCGGTTGTTCGATCCAGGAATTCGGAAAACGAGCTGGACCAGTTCGCATTCATTGTAATCATGCTAGGCACTTGAATTAGAACAAGAGTCTTTTAGGAAGCGTTGTGATACTGGCTCGTCGAAGTGAAAGACGACACGAGAAGGGGAAAAGGGAGCTCCACCGTGGAGGCGTAGGTATCAGACTAGATATGCCGGTAACCACGCTGCAATGGAGTCACTAGCTGCTCACCTCTAGGTTTTGTCCCTGTTACTCTTCATATTTACAAAGTTAAGTTAGGAAGAGCCCTCAAGCCCTGGAAGACACTTCATGCTTGCTTTTAACGCAACAAATAGTTGATCTAGCGTCTGACTTAATAAAGCTCTCACGCTGGGTGCGATGCAGCCTGCCCATGCTACCCATGTTACCAAGTAGCAACTTCTACTCACAACTAAATCAACATAGAAATTTTATACGCAGGCAAGATCAAGACTGCAAAACTTCAAAATAATCAAGGAACACTTAATATAGAAGTCGTATTCGAAGCATTTACGCCCATACTTGCGCAAGATAGCAGGCACGGTAAAGGCATAGATAGAGATAACTATATATTGTGTAAAAAAGGGACAGTAAGTGCCTGGCACTTATTAAATCGATGCCAATGGAGTGAGCGGTTGAATCAGGCGAAAGGACCTTTCGCCACAAGTAGCTTACTCAGATCCTTATTCCTGTATCACGGTAGTAAGCACTTTATCTTTACTTACCTAGGTAAACTAGCATTCTTCTGCTGCACGATCACGCTCCCATATAATTGAAGGTAGGCCTTGCCTTGGACTTTTAATGCGGTTGAATTCTGCTAGGGTATGCTAATCATCAACCCTCAATCCTCAATCTCCATGCCAAGCTGACATCATGGTATCACCTTGCCAACCATCTCCCATCATTCCCTCAATCATCAATCGTTCCACCATAATTATCTGCCAATCCTTTCTCGCATTCGAAAGCCAGTTCATGCAATTGCAAAAAAAAAGGTCCGAAACCGTAGGTCCCGAGGTAACAGCGTAAACGCGGAAGCACGAACCACAACACCAGTGCTAAGAAGCAACGCGCAGAAACATAAATACAATATGCACAAGCATCAGAACCCCATGAACGTAGAAAGAGCTTTGGGGAGACGCAAAAATTTTCGTCGTAGAGAGACAACTCCAAAACGGACGAGTAGCTTAGAGCATGAGGCCGAAAGCGGCAGCGGCTCCGGCAGCGAGGAGGCCAGTACCATACTCTCGTGCCATGACCGCCATTGTAGCAGCGGCAGCTTTGGATGTGCTTGAAGGTGCTGCGTCGCTGGCACTAGTTCCAGCACCGGTGGCGGTTGCGCTTGGGCTTGAGGAGCTGGTAGACGCTGGCTCAGTGAACTTGGAAGGGTCCAGTTTACCGCAGTTGCTCTTTTCGGCATCATTGCAGAGCTTCTGGGCAGCTGCGTTGTTCTGGCCGGCAACGATGCAGTTCTCGTGGACCTGCTCGCAGATGAAGGTGGGCATGGTGCTGGTGTAGTATTGAAGACCTGGGGCCGAGCCATTCTTGCAGGTGCATTTGAACTTCAGGGTATCCTAATGATCGCTAATAAGCATACGACCCAACCGCCGTGGTGAAAGTGAACCTACCACATCGCAGTCATTGCTGGTAACACCTTGGGCGCCGCAAAGGACCGGGCATGTGTTTTGCTGGCCACCGCACCATTGCGCTGCGACGGTTAGTCCATTTTCTCGCACAACAACTCTGATCTCGCGCAGGAGAGGCGACAGATAGACTCACATCTGGTTGTAGGCGCAACAGTGCTGGCGTCGATGGTGGAGTTGTCGGTGGTCACCGCAGCACCGAAGCTCGCGAGGAGCGCAACTACAACGGCAGAGTTGACAAGCATGTTGATGGAGGATACTGGTTGGTTTTGATAAGGGTAAACGAGTGGCAGAGAGTCCAATGGGATGGATAGTTTCTTAACGAAGGCGAAGATACTATTTGTGCTGAGGAGAGAAACGCGATGTGGTGTTTAAGTTTAAGTGAGGAAGGGAGGGAGGGGGAAGAGGAGCAAGAAAAGCGGAAGAAGAAGCGGGTGGCTGGTGCGAAGCGCGCAAAAGCATCGTGAGTACTTGAGGAGTCCGCAGGTACGAACTGCACTACACTACACTAATACTAGCTCCGCAATGGAGTGGCGACTGGCAATTCTTGAACAGTGACAACGGATAAACAATCGCTGGCATGGGGTTGCCAGGTCACAAAGTTGAAAGTGAGACGCATACATGTCTCGCAGCTTTGTTAGCGAACCAATGCCAGTCCAATGGCAACAATGATCGCTGAAGATAAGTTCAACTCGGGTGCGACCTACGTAGCCCCGGCACTACTAAGTATTGACCAAGGAATCCTAGAGCTCCGCATAGCACAGCACTCCGTACGGCATCTCCCAGTGGCAAGTCTCGTATCATTGTCCATCTTCGGCGGTACATTGTCTTTTTTATCTCGAGCAATAGCACATCTTCCACATCGACTTAGTTATAGAGAATACCACGCCTGGAGGGCTACTCTCTACAACTACTGACCAGACAGCGCAGCAGGCGTGTTCGATGTACAGCGCGCCAGCCAGTCCTTAATATCCGCCGCCGTGGCTGAACGCCGCTGAAGAAGTTTGACACAATTTCGACTTGAGCGGCACACCTTCGTACATGTATAAACCAGGTCTGAGATTGGCAACGCTTATCTACATGCAGACACCAGGGTAACCTTGGCCTCGCCTAGTCAAACAAACACAATATCAAACTGCACCCGGGAAACCCGAGACTCTGTCTGCCAAGTGCACGTCCGTGGCCGAGGTACTCCGTACTTTGTAAACAACAGTTGATTGTCTTTAAAGAAGGATACTCCACGCTCGTGCAAAGACCCACATCCTCTTCCAGACTATCGAAATCCCATAAGGATCCAGCCAATTTCGTCGCCGGGATTCCCTCAATTGTTCTCTTCTGCAATTGACCAATCGGGGATTTTGGGAAGGGAGGACAAGCTTTTATTTGAATATCCCAAGTCATGTGACGAGAAACACCTTGCCAGTCCACTCTTGGAGAATTGGTTCGGGATCATATTGCCGTGCATCCAGTCAAACCTGCAACGGATACCATCATATCATTGGGGAGTATAGAGCATCCATTTGTTATTATCGTCATGATGCCCTCCACCCCCCCTACATCGCTTTCACATTTTTCTTTTCCTTCGTCAGCGTCCTTTTCTCGCCTTCCTGTCCTAGCTCAGTCATCACAGCTAGCGAATGCAAAAGCATCATAATCATAACCTCTTGTCATGGAGGTTGATGAAAACACCTCAGGCGCCGGCATAGGTCCCAAGTTGCTAGTTGCGCTGGGGAGCGATGACCAAACGAAAAGCCCCCGAGAGGACGCTCACGAGCCTACATCTGCTTCAACCGGCAATGAAACGAGGTCAACTTCTCGAATAAGGACCTACCAATTGCCGGAAACTCTATGGAGGTGGATCACCTGGACGCCCAAGAGATGCAGATGGGATCCAGATACTCCCCCAGAGTTCAGTATGTGGCTGAATTTACTATTTGGATTTGTGAGTCATGTCCTAGTTTCATACAGACGTTGACGACAACGCCTATCACTACCTCGAGGCTAAGGCGATAGTACAAGTTGTACTATGCTAGGTGGAACATAAGAAATACAACACCTCTCATCTTTAGCCTAATTACACGAGATCTATACAATTGTTCAGTAGCTATCCATCTCGATATTAAGTTAGCCTGCGGTACACCCTACCTCAGTATCTAAAGCAACTCTCATAAGCCACCGCCGTATGTTTCAGAATACTTGGGTCAGTCACTCAAGATTGAGCATTATCATGTCTCTTCTAAAATGCTACTGCTCTTGCAGCCTCCGAAGGTCTAAAACGAGCACCCGGCTCGATTAATTGAGCGTTTTTGGACTGTCACCTACTCAACCACTGATATGTCTTAGGCTGGTACATTTACGGTTGCCAATCTGTATTACAACCACCCAATCCTGAATATATTGGCCGTTGAGTTCCACGTCACTGATGAGCGCTCATCGCTCATACCCACGGTCATGCAAGCGGGTTACGCCGCTGGTCTGTTATTTTTGTGTCCACTGGGGGATCTATTCCGCCGCAGAGCCTTCGTTTTAATCTTGGTCTTCTTCACGGCAACAGTTGTAAGTTCAGAATATGGGCTTCCATACCAGCCTCATTGAGTATCGAGTACTAAGAAAACTTAAAAAGTGGCTTGGCTTATGCGTAACCAACTCCTTTGCCGTCTTCCTCGTCCTCTCGTTTATCACAGCGGTCTCAACCGTAACGCCCCAGCTAATGCTGCCCCTTGTCGGGGAACTTGCACCACCCCATCGGCGCGCCATGGCTCTCTCAATCGTGGTGTCAGGCCTTCTCTTAGGGATGTTGCTTGCACGACTCCTTGCCGGAGTCCTAACACAGCACACCTCATGGCGTAGCATCTACTGGTTCTCCTTTGGCATGCAATACCTAATATTTATCCTGCTCTTCTTCTTCATGCCCGACTATCCAAGTACCAACCCCGGTGGGCTGAATTACTTCGGCATGCTTTGGAGTATTGTTCAAATGGTTTTCCAGTATCCTGTTCTCGTTCAGGCCTGTTTGGTTGGGTTCACGGTTTCGAGTACATTTACTAGCTTCTGGACGACCCTCACATTCTTGCTAGCTTCGCCCCCCTACTCGTATTCTCCAACTACAATTGGCTTATTTGCGCTCATTGGCATAGGTACCATGTGTTTTGGGCCCTTATATGGTAAGTCGTACCCTCAATCCCACAATACTACGAAAATATACTAACGCAGATCCCCTTCAGCCAAAGTAATAATCGACCGTCTCACACCCCTCATCAGCGTCATGCTCGGTCTCACATATGTCCTCATTGGTCAAGCTCTAGGAACTTTCCTTGGCCCCTTCTCCATTAGTGGACCTATCGTTCAAGCGTTCCTCCTCGATTTCGGACTGCAAACCTCCCAAATCGCAAACCGTTCTGCCATATACGCCATTGCTCCCAAAGCGAGAAATAGGATAAATACCGCGTATATGGTGAGCGTGTTCTGTGGACAGTTGACCGGCACCGCGGTGGGGAACAGATTGTATGCGGAAGGGGGATGGAGACTTAGTGGTGGTGTCAGTATGGGGTTTATTGGGGTTGGGCTGGTGGTGTGTTTGCTAAGGGGACCGTGGGAAAAGAAGTGGATTGGTTGGAGGGGCGGATGGGGCTGGAGGAGGAGAGATTTAGGTCCTAATGGTAGTGAATTGAGAAAGGAGGAACCACCTGTTGAGAGGGTATTGGATGAGATAAGTGCTGAGGAGGAAGGAAAGGGGAGTGATTCTGGAGAAGAGAAGGGGAAGCAAACTGCCCGGGACGAAACGATAGGTGGTGAGTTGCTCAAACAACCAATTACAAAATAAAAGCCGAAGAACAATTCCATGTTTGAGTTATGGTTACGACTGGCATTTATCTACTAGTACATTCCCATTTCAGTTAGCGAGGATTGTACCTTGAAATATGTTTTATTCCCTTCCTAACAAATACCATCGAAATAATTGTATCGTCGGGGAAGCAATGCCATTGATTAGTTCTCATCATGCAACACCTCTCGGAAGCGCCATTCGAGAGCTAGACAATCTCCATTCTCGATTTTATTTAGATTGTTAGTGTGGCGGGCGTACAAAACATTCGCGGGTTTTCTAGCCTACCTAGGTATTAAAGAGTAGGCAAATACTAGAGGATCGGCATTACGGCTTGAGCGGGTGCTCCCGACCAGTCAGTTCAATTCCAGAATTGTAATAGAACTCACCTTTCGGCTATTTTAACCGACATTTAAATTTAATCTCCTCTAACCTAAGAAAATAAATAACATGTATAAAATATAGGAAAAAATTGCAAAAGAAAGAAATACCGCCCTTTTAGCGGGATTAGCGGTACCGAGAAACCCACTTTTCGGGTTATCTCTGGCAGAGTATCCTGGGTCCTCCCTGGCAGTGGGTTATGGCGGCCTAAACGCTGACCGGTACGACCGTCTTTCCATGTCACCAGTCTCTAATTGTTAATCTAAAATCGCTTATTTGGTTTTATATATCTATCCAGAGGGACCAGGCTGCGCGCCGGTATTGCCGATATCCTTAACGCGATGGTCGTACTGCGATTACTCCGCAAGCTGCCCTTGAAGGAGAGTCCAAGGGGAAACAACAATGCAGATCAAGGGATGTCTGAGATCATCACGGGAATGGCATGTGAATCTATCGACCGCGAGAGAAAGGTTTTACCAGCGCCTTGTGGCTGTCATCTACGAGGTCATAAGTTACATTTTCCAGTATCAATTAGATAATAGGCCGCCAGTGTCAGCACGCATTTTGGACTCAGCATCAGTATTTGTAGAGCATAGGAGGTCGCCGCCAATCATAGCTTTTCTATTTGCAATTCTTTGTAGACTTGAACTTACTAGTTACTTCCACCATAGAGTGCCCCTATGTTATAAATAAAGACAAAGAAACCAGCCACTAAGAATGCAGATATTATTCATCTGACAGCTCTTTGAGCCATCCCCATCATTAATATATTAGGGTCTTGGCGATCTCCGCAAAGCTTGTGCAGGGAGTACCCGCACTTGACAAACCAACCAGAAGCCAGTAACGGCGCACGAGCGACGAATCATTGAGCTCGAGTTGTTGCTGACCGGTCTTCGAGGTCATTGTCCACACCTGCTGCATTTGGTGTGCCTGACGACGGGCCGTTAGGATCGCCGTGGCCAATCCAACATATATACTTGCGCATGTACTTAAGGGAGGTACTGGTATATAAAGGTCATGGCACCCGGAGACAGTACTCGAATTACACGGCACGGCCAAGACGGATATCTACAGCTACAGGCTTTGAATCCCCAGGACCCTTCGATATCAAGAGTTCGGAGAAGGCGCCCAGAGCCACAACAACAAGGTCGAGCAATAAAAGCCATGTCTCTCGTGGGGTTAAAGAATCTCTTCTTCCGGCAGACCCTCGCGCCGATTCCCTCGCGACGCTCTAAGTTCAGTGGTGTATCTGGCGCAGCAGCGTTGGACTGGAGCGATGTTTCTGAACAGCCACTACTTCAATCATCCTCTTCGTCCGTACCCCACTCTTGCCCTCGGAGATCTCGCGATAGTGAAGACGACGATAGGGAGGATCTCGAGTCCCAGCAGAGTGTAGATTCCAAGACGGAGAAGTCGAATTCAAATAGAGGTTTCCGCATCGACGCCCGGATTATATCAGACGCCACGATTGGATTGTCAGATGGTCTGACGGTGCCATTTGCTCTGACGGCCGGATTGTCCGCGTTGGGGAATACCAAAGTCGTTGTTTATGGCGGGTTCGCCGAGTTGGTTGCTGGTGCGATATCCATGGGATTAGGGGGCTATTTAGGTGCGAAGAGCGAAGCGTAAGTTGCCTGTCCTCCCCTCTCTGCTGTCTGCAAATTCAACAGTAGCCAGGTAACTAACGGAAATGAACAATAGTGCATCATACGAAGCCCAAAGAATCGAAACGCAGGAAATGATAGCAACCAATCCCCACGTCGTGGTCGCAGATATAGTCGAAGTCTTTTCACCCTACGCCGTCCCAAAACATACCCTCGACGACCTCACAACCCATCTCGCACAGTCCCCCCGCCTAGTTGATTTTGTCATGCAATTCAAACACTGCGCCGAAGAACCTGCTTCTTCTCGTGCCCTTACCTCTGCCACTACTATCGCGCTGGCTTATTTCCTCGGTGGTCTGTTGCCGCTTATCCCTTATTTCTGCGTTGGGGAGAAGCAGGTGTTCGAAGCGCTGTATATCTCCATTGGAGTTATGATCGTGGCGTTGTTTGTGTTTGGCTATGTGAAGACTTGTGTGGTTGTGGGGTGGGATGGAGGGAAGAATGTCAGGGCAGGATGCTTTGGGGGTGTACAGATGGTGGTTGTAGGGAGTGCGGCGGCGGGCGCGGCGATGGGGTTGGTGAGACTCTTCAGTCATGAGGATGGGTTCTAGAGGTTAATGATGACATGAATTATGATATTGGTTGGAGGCATTAGGGCGGTGGAAAAGTCCACTATGACCGGCATATTGTATGGCGTTGGGGACTCGCTCTCGAGAGTATCGATTGAGCTTTGTATTTCGAGGGAAATTCTAAAAATCCGTAATTAATAATGGAATTTAGAACGGTTTGTCTGGAATGAGTAATAACATGTTAGTCTGTTAATGCTAGCCATCATGAATCATAGGGGCAAAGACCCCTATAGATTGGCTGCAAGTCTAGTAGTGAGATGTACGATCGAGTTCAGTTTATCTCAACTGGAAGAGTTGGATTGATAGTGTTTCAAGCTACAGCTTATATATTATATTATCTACTATATGTACCTCTAATATTTAGCTTAGAGTATGAGGATCAGACATCGATATCCACAAATAGCGGATGGCATCAGACTTTCGTAAACCAGCACCTCTATTATCAATGTCACCAAAACACCTCACCAAGTCCATACGCCCCGAATCATAGGTAGATACCCAACCCCCTTCATATACACCTCACGAATCCCAAATCGGCCCAAAGGCAGGAATACCCCTACTCTCCATCTCATAAACCAAATGTTTCGTCAACGCCTTGTTACTAACACAAAAAATCGCCTCTGCCTTTTCCTCAACATACATACCATACGCCAAAGTCACCAAGTCTTTGCGTCCCGCCGCATGCGTATCAATAATCACAGCCTGCGGGTCAACATCTAGGACTTTATCGCAAATCTCATCGCCAAACGTGTGTCTAGGTTCTGGCGCGCTCCACAAGACACGGCACTTAGTGGCGGGGATGTTCATCATGGTCCCTAGACATGGCCCGATTCCTGAACCGGTTGTGACAATTATAACTCGCCGGAAGAGCTGAGCCATGCATAGCACGCCGACGGTGGGGATCCCACGTGTGTAGTACGCTTTCTTGGGATTATTAATAGCGCGGCGAGTCCAGTCTCCTGCGTTTGAGACGATGAGTGAGCCGCCATTTCCATCGTCAGACGGGATACAAGCGAAGGAGTGCCATTCTTTCAAGGGAGTGTCGGCGATGCGGTAGACGACGCAATTGGCCACTCTTTCTTGGTGATGGAGACGGATGGCGTGGACCCCGACACCGAGACGCTCAGGCAGGATTTTCAAACGGCGGAGACGTATCCAGGGGAGAGCGACGTGGAAGCAGGAGGCAATGAGCAGCCAGAAGGCGGGGAGTTTATGAAGGACGGCACCGGGGGAGGAAGGGCCAGCTTGGTGTCCAACTGTTTGTTACGTTAGTACTCTGACCATTTCTCTTCCAGGACGAGGAGATGGGACATACGAGCGCGAGTAAAGAGCCAGAGTTGGGGCCAGAAGAGGCCGAGCACTATCCAGCCGCCAAATCGGTGTATCACTTCAAAGCTGTTGTGTTTCCAGGAGCGAAATTGGGGGTATGCAGTTATCAGCATGGTCCACAGAATGCACATCACTGTAAAAGTGCACAGCATTATAAGGGGATCTGCTATGCGGATTGTGATGAACTCCCAAACAAGAATCGCCGATAGAAGAGAAAACCAGAGGACGGAACATACAGCTGCTCCGCTGTGGAGACCACCGTACTCATACATCTTAGCTAAAGATCTTCGGAGTCGAAGGGGTGCTGCAAAGGGGACTAGCCAACAAATCTTAAACAAGAGGTTGATGATGTAGTCCTGGCGGATCAAAACTGCCACGAATAAATTTAGAGCGAAAGCCGTGGATATGTCAACCAACAGAGGTGAGTATTTCGATCTCCGTTTCATCGTAATGATCCGATGGCCTTGCCAGATGTTGATAATGAAGACTGCTAAGAATATCCGACGATACACCCCAAACACTGTATATCTAGCATAACGAAGGAGGGGACTTCTTGGGGGAAGTGTGATGTGCGAGAGTAGATGATCCACTTGGGGGGCATCTGGCGCTGAGTCCTTGAAGTCTGCGTATTCTGAGTCTCCGAGGAGAGTTTCGAACTCGGCGGGATCGTCCATTGTATGGTACGAGTCCATCTCCAGCTCCCCTGAAGCCATTCTAACGTAAAGGAGGTGGGCTTCGTAGCTTGTCTTCCATAGACAATAAAACCTCGATTTGGGCGGCGTAAAACGTATCGCAGAAGCAAAATCATGCAGAGTAATTGCAAGTTCGAATTAAACCGTCCGCCGAAACATTGAATCGTTCGTGATATGCGAAAGAATGATGCTGCCTCCAAGTCCCTTCCAGGATAATATTCGGGTTCTTTCGTCTACCTCCAGATTCACCCTCCATACCAGTCCATATTTTTTACTCCACCTCGCAGTCAAATACGTAGAAGGAGAGTAAAGGAGGTAAAGAGTGAAAAGATGCGATGCGGAAAGAAAGAGAGGAACAGATGCAAGAAAACGAACGAGCTGAACTGACCTCCCCACAGTGCTTCGTATGGAGCAGTTTGGCATGACCCACTGGGCTGATAAAAAGCAAAGCCTGAGAGGTTTGGCTTGGGCACTGGCCCGCTACGGGCTATCGAGGCCAAAAATATCCCTTGTCTGGGTCTGGATCTCGCCTTTCGAGAGGACTGTGGGCTGCCCAGCAGCCCCATCCCTGTGAGGATCCGTGATATTCTCCTGGAAAGTCGATTATTATTATTGAGCGGTCGAAGTTTGTGAAAATAGAGAGCGCAATAATAATGTTTGGTGCAGCTGGGCTGAATTTATTGTGCAGGGGATAGTGAGGTGCATAACTATGGATCGAGCACACTTATGCAAATGCTTGGCGGCCGATAAGGAGTACTTCGTAAATAGCGCTGGGTTCCCCATTGCTTGCAAACCTTTAAATGTCAAGACATACTACAGGCCATTTCAAGGCTCTTCCAGCTTACAAGTACTGTTTTGCTTCCGTTGTTGTATCCTCGGCGCATAATTGCCATGGCCAGGCTCGCATTCAAAGCTCTCCATCTCTACACATCGCCGCTCTCCGGGTGCAGTGCCCGCATCCGGATCACTGCACTCCTGAAGGATATTCCACTAACCTACCACGAGATATCAATCTCCTCTTCTCAACAATCAAGCCATTCCTATCTGGCAATCAACCCCAATGCCAGTGTCCCGTCTTTTGTCATCGAACTGCCAGAGAATGCGTCTTCACCCGCCTCGAACATTACAATTACTCAATCTCCAGCCATCATCGACTTCCTTGAATCACACTTCCCAAATCCCCCACTCATCCCTAGTCCGGATATGGTGAGGGAAAGGGCCCGGGTGATGGAACTCGCAAGCTTAGTAGCATGTGATATTCAACCCCCTCAAAACAGCCGCATTCGCAAGAAGATCGCTGAGGAATTTGATGGCAACGGTGAAGCGTGGGCGCGGTATGTTTATGAACGAGGTTTCGGAGTATACGAGAAGTTTCTTGAGGAAACAGGGAATGAGAAGTTAGGAGAGGTAATAGGGAAGGGGCCAATGTTTAGTCTTGGATCCAAAGTCACTCTTGCCGATGTCTTTCTGGTCCCGGCCGCGCAGGGTGCATCAAGGGTTGGTGTTGGGCTTGAGAGATGGCCATTGTTGAAGTCCGTCACGGAAGAATGTCTGCGTTTGAATGCCTTCCGTTTGGGTGGAGTCGGACAACATAAGATATGAGGGAAGTAACAATCAAGGCGCTCGACAGATTCGAGACTTCGTAGCCCCAATTGGAACTCGGGTTTCTGTTATTGCTGCAAACAGTAATAAGCAGGCTATGGATAGCGTTTGAGTGATCCACATATCTAGTGATATCTACCTGCGAAGTGTAGTGCACTTCTATCAACCAGCGAGCTACGGCCGTGGGAACTAGAATCTGTTAATTTCGGTGGGGATTTTGCTCTTGGTCGATCTTATCCCAGTCATATCACTAAGGCTCTCTCGCTTCAACTGCCCGTTTCCCCGCCAAGTCGATACGTCGCCTGGTTATGATTGGACAAATCATCAATTCGCGGATAATATATTCCACCTCAGCGACATTGGCATCGTATTAGACGCTCTTTCATGGTTGCGGAGTTGCATCCTCCGCATGTTCTTCGGTTGTCGGTATGGAAGCGACGTAGTGCAATCAATTGACTTTCATGTACGGGTAAAGATACAAATGCAATAATGGCATAATGTTCTGTCTGTCTATATATATGTAACAGTGCGTTTCGTTTACAATTGTTCGAAGTTCCCTTTTCGCTCTTTTTCTTATACCACAGGATAGAAGGTCGATTTCACTTGAGTCGCCCATTCTTGAGGTTTTGCATCGTTGGTACCTGCGAACTAGCGTTTGAAGAAGCCATGCTATCGATATTCTTGTCTACCGGGGCAACGCTCCTGTGTTTATCAAGCTCTGTTCAAGCAGCTGCAGTAAAGGATAAGGCATTGAGGTCCGATTGCGAGGCGACATCCAATTGGCCTGGGTGGTCTGATATAAAACATGCGTTTGTCTTGTGAGTTGAATCCTCTTTGGAAGGTTCAGCAAGCTGAGTCTATACCAGTGGCGACTCGTACACTTCCACCGGATTCAACGAGACCCTTGAGCAACCGACTCCGACCAACCCCCTCGGAAATCCGACATATCCTGGCTGGACAGCTGCGAATGGGCCGAATTGGGTTGACTTCCTCACGGTAGAATACAATGCCTCAATCCTTCTTACCTATAACTTGGCTTACGGAGGAGCAACTATGGACTCCTCCCTTGTTGCACCTTGGAAGCCGGAGGTATCGTCCATCGTCAACCAGGTCCGGGACCAATGGTTTCCAACCTACGCATCCAAGCCATCATCCGCCCCCTGGTCATCCGAGAACACGCTGTTTGCAATTTTCGATGGAATAAATGACGTGGGAAACTCGTGGTGGCAGGACCTCTCCACAACTACAGCGCTCAATACAGCGATATTTAAGGTTTATCGCGGACTCGTCGATTCGCTCTACGATTCCGGGGCTCGAAACTTCGCATTCCTCAGTGTTCCACCTGTTGATCGTGCGCCGCAATCTCTTGCTCAAAGTGCTGAGAACCAAGCGCAAGAGAAGGCTGATATCGAGGCCTGGAACACACTGTTGAATGATATGGCGAAAAGTCTGAAGAAGGAGAAGCCGGATGTCAATGTGTTTATCGTTGATGCGAATGATCTTTTCACGCAGGTTTTGGATAACCCGGCGAGTTTCCCTCAGACGGCGCTCTACAAGAATACTACGGCGTTTTGCGATGACTACCAGAAGTAAGTCCTTCTCGCACCGTTCTGTTGGCGCTGCCTAATGTGATTCAGTGGCACCCCAGCTCAGGATACCTTTACCCCCTCGTGTGGGGTTCCGGTTAACCAGTATTTCTGGTTGAATAGCTTGCACCCAACATATCCAATGCAGGAGGTACTTGCCGAAGGCGTTGCTAAGCAATTGCAGGCTGGACCAAATGTCTGCTAGCTGGTGTGAAATACGCTCTACCATTCTGTGTATATATAAAATGTCGATTTGTACATAAAGAAATATCCTTGTATATGACATTATTAGAACCCCAAGGCAAGAGTATTGGCCCCTATTTGGAAATGGCACCCCTAAGATGAAACTTGTTCTACAATAATTCAACAAAGCACCAAGCGGAGCCAAAAAGCTCAAGGAAGCAAGCGATGGATTTTGTTTTGTTTGAACTGCACCTTTTAATCCGACCAACTTGATAATATGCTGTGATAGTAATATCCCCGAGCATTATCTGTTTGGAAGTTTGCGCTAATAAACCTTAGGTGCCGTCGGGGGCTTTCGGGTCCGGCTACTGGAAGTGGTTAAGGAGGTATCCATTTTGCGCTAGTCCATATATGGGTACCTTATCCAGAGAACATCAAGCTCTGAGTAACGACAACTTATCAATCCTTATCTAGCCCACCCCGGCACTGCCTATCTCAATGCTCGACATTGAATGGTTCCGCCATGTCCCAAACGCCGAGATATCGAAGCTACCACCCCTCAATATGGCGGGGCTCTGGTGGGTAGATCTTACGTAGCTGGGTTCTAGCGATTGACTATCCGGAGCTTTACAAATATTATTAACACATGACTTACCCCATTGTAGACAGCCGCTCCCTTGACCGAATTGATATATTAGGTCTCCGCTCAGGGTTATATCACTCTGATGTTCCCATTCTTCCTGGTTATTGCATACTACAACTTTTCTGTATCTAGGAACTTTAGAAGTTAGGTAGTGAAATCCTGCCTGTCGGCAATAATCGCACAAGCAGAATGGCTCTCAACAGACTTAAGTCCATTGCCCAACAAGTCACAGGCTCCAGCCCACCCCCTCATCCATTCGATCCGCTCACCAATGTCGAAATTGAGAAAGCTGTTGAAATCGTGAGAAGGGATCATGTGAAGCTCAATTTCAATGCGGTCACTCTCCGGGAGCCTGCAAAGAAGGAGATGCTGAAATGGTTGGAGGAGCCTTCACAAACCCCCAGGCCATTGCGAATAGCGGACGTAATTGCGATTGCTCCAGGTGGCAAAGTGTGCGAAGGTTTGGTCGACTTGAAAAATGAAACGATCATTAAATGGGAAGCTTTGGAGGGTGTACAACCTTTAGTAAGCCATCGTCCAAAGTCTATTATAGAGGTACATCTAGCTAACCAGCGGTAGATTACAATGGAGGACCTCCAAATTGTAGAACATATTGTTCGGAAAGACCCCAAGGTTATTGAGCAGTGCGTGCTTAGTGGCATTCCGAAGGAAGATATGCACAAAGTCTACTGTGATCGTGAGTCGATATATTAACAGCCTGGAAAACTTATTGCTAATATACATGCAGCATGGACTATTGGCTATGATCATAGATTCGGCAACACAGTCAGATTGCAACAGGCACTCATGTACTACAGGCCACATGTCGACGACTCCCAATACTCGTATCCCCTAGACTTCTGCCCAATTTACGATGCCGACAAACAGGAAATCATTCATATTGATATCCCGGAGGTTCGCCGGCCTGTCAACCAGGCAAAGCCGAATAACTACCATGTCGATGCCATCGAAAAGGAAGGGGGTTATCGAACGGATATTAAGCCAATTCATATCACACAACCAGATGGAGTGTCATTCAAAGTTGACGGGCGAGTTATTGATTGGCAAAATTGGAAATTCCATGTAGGATTCAACTACAAGGAAGGCATTGTGCTGAACAACATCACGTATAATGACAAGGGAGCCGTTCGCCCTACTTTCTACAGACTCTCGCTCGCGGAAATGGTGGTTCCGTATGGCAATCCAGAACATCCTCATCAAAGGAAGCACGCATTTGATCTCGGAGAATACGGTGGTGGATATATGACCAACAGTCTCTCGCTAGGTTGCGACTGCAAGGGGGCCATCCACTACATGGATGCGGCATTTGTCAACCGTGCTGGGGAGAGCACAACTATTAAGAATGCCATTTGCATCCATGAAGAAGATGCAGGAATCTTATTCAAACACACCGACTTCCGTGACGAGTCGGTCATCGTCACTAGGGGACGCAAACTTATAGTCTCTCAGGTTTTCACTGCAGCCAACTACGAGTATTGCGTCTATTGGGTCTTCCACCAAGATGGTACGATCCAGTTGGAAATAAAACTCACGGGTATCCTGAATACCTATGCCATGAACCCAGGCGAGGACACGAAGGGCTGGGGCACAGAGGTTTATCCTGGAGTGAATGCACATAACCACCAACACCTCTTCTGCTTACGAATTGATCCGAACATCGATGGACCCAACAATACGGTCTTTCAAGTCGATGCCACTCCAGGTGCTGGTGCTGTAGGGAGCAAGGAAAATCCTTATGGGAATGCCTTCTTCGCCGAGAGGACCAAATACTCCAAAGTGTCCGAGGCAATCAGCGACTATGATGGCGTTACATCTCGAACGTGGGATATGTGCAACACTAACAAGCTCAACCCATACAGCCACAAGCATGTCAGCTACAAGCTCGTGAGCCGGGAAGTCCCTAAACTACTCCCCAAGGAGGGATCCTTGGTGTGGAAACGCGCAGGCTTCGCCAGGCATGCTGTGCATGTCACGAAATGTAAATACCCCCTTGCTAAAACTGAACATGAGCCGCAGCTAATTATCCATAGATGATGATGACCAGCTGTGTCCAGCGGGACGCCACGTCCCCCAAACATCCGGTGAACCTTCTCGAGGTATTCCAGAATGGATTGCCGATGGCGAAGCTAGTATTGAGAACACAGATATTGTTCTCTGGCATACTTTTGGAATCACGCACTTTCCAGCACCAGAAGACTTCCCTGTTATGCCGGCGGAATCAATGTCGTTATTACTGCGTCCGAGGAATTTCTTCACTAAGAATCCGGCATTGGATGTCCCACCTAGCTATTGTAGTACCCCTAGCCAGATCGCCAACAAGAGCCAGGTACTAGATGCTGCAGATAAGGTATCCAAACTGGCGGTTGTAGGTAGTGCGGCATAGGGTACTATAAAATGTAGGACTAGGAAGCAGGTGCTTGCATAAAATTTTAGCGCTTGTTTTCTTATTATTGCTCATATATCCCAATTTATGTTGATTTTCAGATTCAATTGGGGCGTTTTCTGAGAGAATCTTTTAATTTCTTTGCTTACACGCTCTTTGTCAACCCAAGGAGCTAGTAGCTGCTTCGACCATTATTCCAGATTCCTCCGATGACACAATCAAATCGACACTAAAATCAAACAAAGGATGTGATGGACAACACGTCTTACGATGCTGCCAGTCCCACCACCTAAAGTTTCACTTTACACTTCACCTTTGTTGCCCTAAAAGTTTCTAGGCCAAGGGAGATTATGAAAAAAGCATACGACACTGGACTTTCCTGATATGCATTATGGATACTATTGCGTATATATTATACTATTAATATAGTGTCGAATCCAGCAAACACACCGGTTGCGAAAGTCTATTTCAAATTAGGCGACCTTGACACAAGAATCGCCAATACTATACCTACGTGTTTCATTAGTGGGCATATTCCGGAGTTTCAGCACTCCCGAGTAGTGGTAGTCTGCCCTGGGAGCCCCGGCACGTGCTTATAATAACTGAGCCTCGATGGTGTGTTGCTAAGGAGCCACGCTCCAATAAACCTACATAAAGACAGAAGGGGACTCAGTCGCTTATCTAGTGATATTAAAACCATACCTAGGCACTCTATCTTATATTAAAACGAACACCTTAATTCTCTCCGAGTTTCTACAACCTCTAGCCGTGCCACAAGCAGCGCGGAAATCGCCTTCAAAATGTCTGTTGGCCTCCACGACCTACCGGGAGAGCTTCTCTCCCTCATCCTCCAGCAGGTTGATTCGCCAAGCCATCTTCATAATCTCCTCGTCGCTTCTGCTCCCTGCTATCGTATATTTTCTAGCCGTCGAGAACGTGTCCTTTCCTCCGTTCTCCAAAATGCCATTTGCGTGGAAGCCGTTCACGACGCACTCGCCGTCATCGGCGCCCCACGGTTTACCCAGCTGTCCAAACACCCTACTCGAGAAGACGTGACAAATTTCCTCAAGAGTTATCACAGCACTCCCTTTCAGTTTCCAACCGATTTCAAAAGCCTTTGTGCCCTAAGTCACTTGTTAACAATTGTCGAACACTTCGTTACTGCCTTCAGCACACAGGCACATCGGGCGTTGGAAACCCTGGGGAAACCTTACAGAAGCCTTCCACGATGGGCTTGGCCTCCGGCTCCGTCATCGTGCAGAATTGAGGTAGCCCTGCCTCTGTCTGTCATAGAGCGAGCTCGCCTGCAAAGAGCATTTTTCCGGTTCGAATTATATTGTAGGATATTCCCACAGTCGAGTTCTCGGGGTGTATCGTTATTTCCAAGAGCCGACCAAAGTAGGCTTTTCCTTAGTCGGCTCTCTCCATGGGAAATTGATGAAATAAACTGTGTTCACCAGTACTTGTCATCTCTTGTTGGTGTTCTAGTGGATGAGCTCGAAGATCAACTCGTGGGTACCGTCCTTAGCGCTACGGGCATGAAGCACACAACCCCGTCTACTTCCACGTCTCGCGGTTCACTACAACGCATTGTTGGCGCCCGTCATAGCAATTCTCCATTTCCACGGGATAGAATAGCCGATCCTGGGTTTGGAAATATTTCGCACCTTTACGAACTAGGGGACCACGAATTTGTTATGTTTACCACTTTAGACCTATGCGGCTTGGACGTCTTCTCAGAAAATGAGAAATATCACCAAGAAGGTTACATCAGCTTCATGTGCTCATACGGAATCGGATTTATATACAACTTGCTTCTATCTGAGAATGACCGACGCAGACACTTGATTCTGTCACATACCCCAGTTCAGCGAGACTTCTTTCCCGAAGCGGTAGAGATCTTTTACCCCGAAGACAATTCCCCAGTCATCGAGCAATCCCAAGATGAGACAGCCTCCAGTTCCAACCCAGGTTGGAAATTGGTTACCAGAGGGGATGTTGATCGTAAGTTCTATTTTGGGACCCAACGTGCCCACCTTAGGGACAAAGGCTACGTTTTCTGGGACGCTAAAAGGTTTCAACTTGAAGGCTTGGGAAAAAAGATAAAAGACACTATGAACATGAGTCAGGTAGACATTAAACGTTTATACCAGCGGAGTGCAAAACAAAGTGTCGAGGACAGACTGGAGCATATCAGGATACCTGGTCCAGCATGGCGGAGTATAATTGCTAATTTTTCGTTACGTTATCCGGATTAGCATCATTAGAAGTAGTAATCAAACAAGCCTTTCCTATCCTCCTGTTTGATTGATCACCGCGAATTAAGTGATGGTGTACTTTACATTACTATCCTTCTAGCCTACAATGGGTATTCTCTACCTCTCTATTTCGACTTGCCTAAAACACTCCCGCTCGGTCCGACAAGTAACCTTCACGGCATTCTCTTGATAGGAAAGTCGAATGCCTTTTGTTTGTGGAGAAGATGTAATAGTCTTCGTTCGTATACTCGGATTTATCAAATTAGTTCTCTTGATTAAAGTAGTATTGTAGCGGGTGAAAGTCTTTGTCATCTTCCAGGAGCAACGATAGGCCACCTTGTGATCTTCACCAACGACTCCTTTAGCATCAATTTATTTCGATATTAGCATCCACATGATTATCAACATCTGTCGACCTAGTGTTAAGGGCTCTCTCCCGACCTTAAGAGTGGAGCTGTAGAAGAAAAGGGTAGTATATACTTGCATGTTATTGGTAAAGATATCGGTAGAGGGTCGTAGGCTCTGAGTCTCAAGTTTGAAGCCCGGCTTAAAGCGCAGAGCCAAAGAGCTTGCGAGTGTGTCCTGTTTCACCTCCTCACTGCTATTCACTCCTGCTTAGCGCCATCCCAGGAAGCCGGGTGGCGGGTCTTTCCTTCGCCTTAGCCCTAATCTGGTATATTTAAAGGTTTATGCGATGTGCAACAAAAACGTATAGAGTGAATTCACTATAGCCTAATAGTCGGTCAGCCGATAACCGTATCGCCTTCACAATTTAACGATTTTGCGACTTACAACAAAAAAATCACAATATATCAGCCCTACCCTTGCGCTATCGGGAGGCTTTAAGCTAATGCAGGTGTGTACAGAGGTTCGATATGCAACAAAAGTGTAGCGGTCGAATTCACTATACAGATCTATACTCGAGTGACCAATAGCGTCAGCGTTTTTTGCAATTTAAAGGTTTTTGCGACGTGCAACAAAATCCCGATAGATCAGCCCTACGCTGGCGGTAGTGGGAGGGCTAAGTCAGTGCACGTGTGTACAGAGTCCGATGTGCAACAAAAGATATAAGAGCGAAGAACAGCGGCGGGCGAGGTGGTGAATACTCATATGAGAAGCGAGTTCAACAATGGGTGAAAGCACAGGCAGTTGGCATACGCAGCAGCAGTCACTGTCCCACGACTACACAGGATAGCGCTGAAATGCTCTACCAAGGGCTCCGCAGTGGAAGTTGGTAGGACGACGCCGTTGTGGAAGATAGGGGTCGAGATATATCTCCTACCTCAAGAGACGGCGACACATATTTAGGGGGGTGAGTTAGAGCTTAGGGTGAGCTCGACTGGGGCTGATCAGTGCAAAAGCAATTCATAGAAAGGAAATTCATGGTATCATTATCCTATCCTTATTTAGAATAATTGAACAAGGGATCGAGGGAAAACCCCACAATGAGGCCCTCCAAGCCCGACTCGAAAAAGATTTATACCGGCGTTGCTTGGAAACGGAACGAAGATCCATCCATCCGTCCAATTCTATGGGATATCAAAATGAATTGAGAAAGCTAACCCTGATGATATTCCTACCCTACTAACATAAAAGCCCGCACCGCGCCACTACCGCTTGAGGCCACCGATCTAAAAATTGATTGCATAGAGGAGATACTGAGAAGAGTTGAGGTGTGGTATAATCAGGTAAGGGTTTTGAGCATAGCTCTAATCAACTTTGGCGGTGGACCTGTTAAAACATTCATATTAGCCCCAATTCGTATTTTAGTCCCTTCAGGGCCAATCACCCACCAAAGAAACCAGGAAGAATCATCCATTTAGACATATTTCGGTACGCTGATGCTCATCCTACCTTTTTTATCCTTTTCAATCCTCACTCCTCCATCAGGCTCGGACTCAATGATTTTCTCCCTCCTTACCAAGGTGAGTTCCTCACCGGGGACGTTAAGGGTTTCTCGGTCATAGATCACTAAGTCAGTTTCGGAATGACGACCATGATGATGGCCATGGTGGTCGTGGTGGTGATCATGGTGGTGACCGTGGTGGTCGTGGTGGTCAATATAGTGATGATGGCGAGATCTACTCCGTTCCCGCTTCTCAAATTTGAGAGCATCCCTCTCTGCCTCTAAAGCTCTGATCTCAGCACGGATTCCTCGTTCGTCCATGGTGCTTCGTGATCGTTCTGGTGGAAGAGCTAGTCCAAGTGGGCCTACAGCGATGATTCTACCAGATCGTTCGACATCAATCACCTCTCTCTTTGAATCTTTCCTTCTCTCGAAAAAAGAGCTTTCATCTCGTGGGCCAGCATCAATGACGATAGCGCCGCTACCGTGGCGATGGTGGTGAGATCTGATAGATCTCGCTGGGGAAGGTGAATGACGTTCAACGACCTTGGTATCTTCAATAATTTCCACATTTTGCGATGGTAACACCTCTTTTCGATATTCTTCATAGACCGTTCCAGCATCCGAGCGCGGTGGAGCAAATTCAACTTCTAGCAAGCGCGATACGTTAGAAAGGGTTGTTTAGGAAATGAGGTAGCCAAGGAGGTATGAGAACAAAACACTCATGGAGAAGAAATTGGCAACCTACTTTGCGATTTATAGTCTTCGCTCAACTTAATGACTTCATCAATATTCTCCCTACCAAGGGCTTTCAAGATCACGATTACTTCCCCCTGGATGTGTTAGCTAAATGTAAATTTGGAGAGCTGGCTGTGCTCACCTCTTCCACGAATTGATATCCCAAATCGATAATCGCCTTCTTGCTCACAAGCTTAGCAGGCATCCGGGTCTTTCCTCGCTTTGGAAATTCGCTCTTAACGGTTTCGTATGTGCCGTCGCTGCTAAAAGAGTCTTGGCTGCTACTTCGTACACTTCCTCTCACGCTGTGGCCATGCCTGCTCTCCCTGCTTTTGCTCCGTCTTCGTCTTCTTATAATCTCTCTCTCGCGGACACGCTCGGGAACACCTCTGAAATCGTCATCGCCATAAAAGTCAGGGTCTGTCACCTGGATGTCATCATAGTATTCGTGTTCAGGATACCGTCTCGGCGGCGGTAAACCCCTTGACTTCGGCAGTGGAATCGGCGTCATTGGCGGAGGCCTAAACTCCTCTCTATATCTGGCTGGAGGGCCGTATTCTTCCCTGTCGAATCTTGCGAGCGGCTTCCGATCATAAGTGTCTAAACTAGACTGTCTCCTCAAGAAAGCTGGTCGAGCGGGGATTCGCCTGGGCGGGGGAGAAGGGCTACGAAACCGGCCTCTGTCTCTCTCAGGCGCTCTCTCCCGCTGGAATCGTGGCTCGTCATCATAGTGGGTGTGCTTCTCGTAGAAGTCGTCTTCATGTCCTCCTCGAGGACCTCTCCGCTCACGTTCGTAAATTTCATCGACCGACCGTTCTCGCACCCGTCTAGGACCGGAATCTCCTCCATGGCCCATGTTTGTGTCGCGCTCTTCGAAGCGCCCCCTCTCTCCGCCAAAACGGTCGCGATCCCGCTCCCGCTCCCGCTCGAAAGCAAACCGCTCACTATCCCATCGTTCTCCGCGACGAAAGCTTAAATCGTCGGCGGAAGTGTGGTATGGATCTCGCGACATGTTTAAGAATTTCGGGCTAATGCGGGAGCTGTAAAACGATGTGTTGCCTAGAGATTATGCGCTGGAATAGTCGAGTGCGATGCGATAACTGAGGGGCTACGTACCCCGCGACAAACGCTAGGATGATGTATTTGGATGCTAAAAGTAGGAAAATGCTAGTGACGAGTCGGCGGCGGAAGCTGATAAGTCGCAGTTTCGTGAAGATGGGATGAAGAACGCGGTCAGGGGCAAAGTGAAGCTGTGCATGAAGAGATTTAAAGTTAATAGCTGGATGAATGCTGGTTGATGTTGAGAGTGGAGTTGGATGTGCTGAGGAGAGTAAACTTGGCATCGGCCTGGGATGTTTCAGTTGCTGCGGTTATTGTAGTGGGTGGATTTCCTCGTGACGCTCAGGAAATTGAACACGAATCTCTGCTTGGCTCTTTTCAGGTTGTGCCTACATGTGACGGACCGAAATGTATGTAATGTATAAATCTATGAATATTATAGACCTATCTCGTCTTGATATTTATCAACTTTTCTGTAGTGTTTTGGAATATGTCTATGTCTTTTCCGGGAGCTGACCAGGGATATGTTCCTGCTCAGTGTACTCCGTAAACGCCGCTGACGTAGCGTTCCAAGCGAGTGAAGAGAAGTCCATCGTGTCGTGAGCGAAATTGAGAATAAGAAAACCGGCGTTGAAGTCCAAGTCTTAATGAGACCGTGGCGCAAGGAGCGGGCCGAGGCGTCGAGGACTCTGGCGATTTAGGGTCAGTTCTTGGTGGGTTATGATATGACTCGGGTTTTGTATTTTCCTGCCAAATCGAGAACCGAACAGCCTTTGGTGACGTAACCTTTGAGGGAGAGAACGGAGACAACGAGTTAATCGCCGGTTTTCTTTTAGACCTTATGTATTTATTTCCCAGCGCCTTCCCACGTTTTATTCAAAGATCGGTAACAACCATGCCATGATGTCCCCCTCCAGCGCCGCGCTATGCATAATTCGCTAAAGCTTTTCTCTCTGTATCTGAGGTGTCTTCGAGTGTTCAAAATAAAAAGCCGACCAGTCAAGCACTACTTGACCTTCCTGCTCTTGATATAATCTCTTAACTGCTCCATCCTATTCACGAAGAACATCCGCTTTCCATCATTTTTCCACACCAAGACCCCAATCTCATCTGCGTATTTTACACACCCATCATACTCCTTCTGACTCTCAAAGTCTTTGAAGAGGAACCCAGGCGTAGCCTTCATACGTTCATTCTCAATCTGCCATAGCCGTATTTGATCGACAACAGTAGGTGGGAGCACAGGGGCACCCTTTGCCGTTGCAACCTTAAGAAGCTGCGGGTGCGCGTGCGTAGACAGATAAGATATGACTTGCTCAGATGTAATGCCATGGGAGATAGCTCGGTAGATGGACTCTCGAGTTATGCGTCCAGATACCATATTTGGGTATCGGGTAGTCAGTTTCGTGAATAAAGACAGGACGGCGATTTGCAAGGGGGATGAGGTATAAGCGTAAAGGCGATAGTTAGTTTCGATAATTATGAAGCCCGCCGTGCCGGCCCCTGCGGAAAGTGCGTTATCAAAGCCAGCAGCTACACTCCGCAGAGCGCTGGCATCCGAGGTGAGGGTGGTAGCTAGGCGCGTCGGGAAGAATTGGTTCGGTGTTGAAGGAGGAATATACGCCAGCCCGAAGTCCACCAAGTGTGTAAGCATTTCTTTCTGAGATGCCGTAAGGATGGTAGTGCTATACGCACGGCCAAGCTCGAGAGAACCGAGCATAAAAAGAAAGGAAAGAACTTCGACCGAATCCATGCCCATCTAGGGGCGTCAGCATATTCTCACTTTTGGGGGTCATGGCACAAACCTTCTCGGCGTTCTCAATCCAAAGCAGAAGAAGGGTCCACACTTGCGCGTTTACCTCCTGCAATAGAAAAGAGAACCCAGCTTGTGTTATGCCACCGCCTGAACGTTTTTGCCGTGTGACCATATGCCCGGCTTCGAGCAACTGCTTTACACCAGCAGTAGGACCTTCACCCGCCTGCCGCATGCCGTCGCCAACATTGCTCACGATATAATGCAGTATACCTTCCCACTGTGCTCTTGCAAAATCGTCTAGGAATTGAACGTCCACGTTGGCGGTTTCTAGGTCATTGGCAGGTACTCCAAAGGATTGATGATCACCGCCTCCAGTAAGCGCAAGTCGAAGGGAGGAGCTAAAGGCTTTCGTTAAGGACACAGCCTGAGGATCGTCTCTACTCGGCGCGGTTATGGTAACCATGTGAAGTCGATTTAATAGCGATAGGGCTTCGTCTCTTTGTCTGCAAAACGTAAGACGCTTGAACAATCACGAAGCAGAAAAACTTACCGCTTGCTCCCTGGGCGAACCCAAAGATCAAGGTCAGCCAGGGGAAGGGGCTTGGTCATGTATAGGAGAGCCATGGCGAATGTCTTTGCTGGACATGTCATTTTCAGTACTCGTTCTATGTACCCAGGAAGAAGTCATACCCAGGTGAGGGAGCATGCGCCTGAAGATGGCTAGAGCTGTAGAGGGCTGCTGGTAGAGCCTTCTGAAGGTGGTCCCTGGGAGCCTCTCCAGGTACTCGCGCGAGGAGAGAGACGGGAGCGACATCTTTGCTGTGTCAACGTCTCAATTTCCGGATTGCTATCGATTTATCATGGTCTGAGTGGTGTTGTATGTTGTACGGCTGCTAGTTCTCAAAGCCTTGCTGTGGTAGCCTGGCGAGCCCGAAGTGGTCAAGAATTGAGCCTGGACCACCCTGCACGAATATTTCTTGGCGGCCTCACTACTCGGTACTCGAGCAATAAATAACCTCCCTTGGGTGTACTTCGGGAGAAAACAAACCTCTTCCCTTCGTCGTTTATAAGGCTTCAGATTTATTTATTTATCCACGGTGCAAAATGGCGGCCCTTAGATTTGTTAGATCGGTAAGATGATTGACTCTGGATATGGCAATATGACTGATCCCCTTCAAGGTCCTGAAATCATTTCAAGCTGAGTCCGGTTTGGAGCCGAGGTAAGCCGACGAGAAGTTCTTCCACAATCCTCACTTCTCCGTTCAAATGCTAGGGCTCTCTCCGTCCCCAAGGCCATCTTGTCGGGTTCTATGATTGGGTGATCGCGGCGTTCCAATGATGGTTGGCAAGTGCTCTTTCAACTCAACGCATGAGTACCTGTTTTGGTGGCTCTCGAGCAATCCACGCGTTTTAGTCGCCCAACTCAGATGAAACATTGTATTATTTGCTATCCCAATCGACAAGATCTGCAGTTAGAAGGAATTTTCTATGTCTTTATCCATTATCGGAGAGTTATATTGGAGAAACTGTACTAATCAGAACATTTCCTTTAGACTCTTTGGAGAAAACGTAAGAATGAATTTTCACTACTCGTCCTTTATATCAAGTGGGATGTAAGGCACCGTAAGGTCATGTCTTAAATTTATGGCTTAGAAAGGAGAGTAGAGAATGGTTACTCCCCTATTGCTGAATCCATGTGACTCTCAAGTCATCATTTATGATGGGACAAAATGGTGTTTTGCATCCTAGCTAAGTGATGCCCGGACCATGCTTTCGAGAGGCAAAGTTTCAGAATTCCAGCGGAGTCCCTAATATATATGTAGATTCGAGTTACGGCAGCGGAACCAGGCCGCGTGGAATTCGAACTAGACCTCCGTAAGGAGCATATGAATCGTTTGAGTATTGTGCATGGTGGAACCATTGCAAGCATGGGTAGCACCTCAATGCCAAGAATTGCTGCATCAATCACTGATATTAGCTTTTAGTTGACTTAGGAGGTTCGCTTGCAGTGGCGTCAAGAGGGCTATTTGCAACAGGGGTATCAACAGATCTCAACGGTAAGTTCTTCCCAGAGTATGTAAAACAAGCTAACATATCTACTAGTCACATATCTAAGCGCCGGCGGCCAAGTTGGGGACGTCTTGAAAGCTGTTGTTAAGTGCGATAAGTTTGGAAAGAGCCTAGCCTATACTTCCATCTCATTCACAAATAGCAAAGGGGAAATTGCTGCAAGGGGCAGTCATACAAAGTAAGTAGTTATCGCCAGGGAAATGCCTTCATCTTCGTTGGCTACATATCTCCATGCTAACGCGTTGTAGATACGTCGCATTGGCTTGGAAACACCCGCAAAATATTGTCGAGGAACTGTCTCCAAGGAAAACGGAAAAGTCATAAGTTAGTATAGGTTAGCAACCTGCAATACAATCCAAATTTTGAACCGAGACAAGTCACATCAAATCAATGCCTTCCTTGCAGTTTCCAATCCTCCTACAGCTACCGAAGAAGCAGTGATAACTCCATAGACAATTGGTAAAGACTTGCGCTAAAAATTTCAGCGCTAGATGAAAAGTCCACAGAGTCGCAGGGAGACAGCATCGACCATGAAGATAGACCCTGCGCAGTAGTCTCAGGTTGACACGGACATGGCCCAAATCATGTTGCAATACATGGATGCAAAACTTGTTCGTCTACTTGGTGTCCAATTGAAACGAGAAGTACTGTTGCAAGTACTTACCCACCAGCCACCCAGAACTTTGTGCTACCAAAACCATAAGAATAGTATCATCCCACCGAGATATTTCCCGTGCGTACTTATTTCAAGGATTTTCGGACATATTTGGAAGCATGAGGTAATTCCGAACTACTGGCACTGGGTTCCTGCGGAGTAACTCGGCGAAGGGCAATTCGTACTGCTTGTCGGGGAAAGATAATGCGAGGTCTTCCCCTTCGGAATAAATCAATCGACGGGATTCAAAACAACATCCTACGCTTATTTGTTGACTTACTCGAGTACTACCTAGAAACCTAGCACTCTAATGACCCCGCAGCCAACCTGTGCAACCTTCCGAAAACGAGAATGCATGATTCCTGGCAAGGTCATGCGATCTTCCTCATGAACAAGCCTTTATGGTCGACAAGCGTCAGGATCATTCCAGGATGATTATTATGGAGCGAATTGTTTTCTCGCTAGCAGAGGAGTCCCCAGAGTTTCGATGCAAAGACCCACAAGCGTCATCAAACCATTGGTTTCGTGCTTAATTTCTTGATACTGATCAGCAGGTATTTTCCGGTTTTTGGGCAGACTTCCGCATCTGTGCATATTAGTGAAGGTGAGTACAGAAAGTCCAGTAGATGGGTCCTCTGTTAAGCCCCCAGTAAGTGGTGATTACAATAGTAGTGCAGCTACGAGACTACTAAGGTACACTTTGTCGATAAGCTGACACTCGACAGGTTCTTCGAGAAAATATTTCCGTACTTGTGCTGTATAAGGAGTCTGTGATTATGGTTATGGATGTTGGACTAAGGTATATCTCCTTCGAGGCTAACACAGAGTACTCGGTAACGCCAATCCCTACTCCCTACTACCCCCATGTCTCATCTCGGCGTGGCCTTGGGGAATGCGGGGGAGCTGGAAGCATTCAGCCCAGGAACGGCGTTGCTTCGGCGGCTCCCTTCTATCATGAAGTCCGCCACAGACGGGATGGCAGAAGCCAAATCACACGCCACATCCGTAGCCAATACAATATAAGTCTTATAGCGAACATACAAGGTGGCAACGACGCACTGTATTGGAAGGTTTTGAATGTATGTTCAGGCCAGGACGACGCTGAAGACAAAACGAAATTCTAAATAACCAGTGTGATTTTAGGAGCTCGCAAGTTCATAGAGCTCCCTGAATCTCCATGCTCGTACCTACCGTCCGAGGCGATATCGATAGTAATTAGCTGATCTGCGGACCACGCGAGTATCTAGGCTACTGATACGAGTGGTGTGGTCAAAGTGTAACGTTCAACCAAGTCACTGCAGTTGCCCCCAGTTTGAATCCATGAGGCCAATCGATCCCTGCTCGGTCTATAAACAGGCTATATCATCCAACCAGCCATACCGATAGAACCTTCGGAAGCCTTGCGGTTTGCCACATAGTACAGTTTTCTATGGAGGGAAGGGGGCTAAAACACTCTAACATGAATGGGCAACAGCTCTACTAGGTTTGGTCTGCACCCTCGTTGTGGAAACTCTGGCCGAGTCCAGATTGTTGGCCAATCATTCCCTGGTTTCGCGCTCATACCTAGCAACCAAACCTATGGTAGCTGCCCCGCCATATGAGTTATCGGAGTAATGTTGCCCAGAGGAGTTTCACAATGTATAAAGCTCGGATGGCCGTATGAAATTCGACCGAAGAGCTTTGCTTGCCTTGCCTCCTCTAGCTGCCCTTCGCGTATGGTACTCCCAAGCTCTTTCGAGGAGCAAGTACCACAAACTCAAGCCAAACGGTGAACTGTGTACTAGAGCCAAGATGTATCAGTCAAATAACGTTTATTTCATTTGTTCGTTCGCCGCCATTGGTAAGTTTCAAAATCTTATATCAGAATCCGGATAGGTGCCCTCTCAATGATATGTCTAACTTGGACTCGATCAGGCGGTGGGCTTTTCGGCTTCGACATTTCGAGTATGTCCGGTGTCTTGGGCACACAGGCTTACAAGAGATACTTCGGCAACCCAACATCTTATCGTCAAGGAGGAATCACTTGCGCAATGCCTTTTGGCTCTCTCGTTGGAGCCCTATGTTCATCTTTCATTGCCGATAGATATTCACGAAGGACTAGTATTCAAATCGCCTCTATATTCTGGATAGTTGGATCTATGTAAGCACACCCACACACAAAGTTCCTAGATAGCATAGCTCATATATTCCAAGTATACAGTGTGCTTCAGTCAATATCGGTATGCTTGTCGTGGGACGTGTCATTGCCGGCATCTGCGTCGGTATTGCATCATCAATCTGTCCTGTGTATCAAGCGGAAATAGCTCCCAAGGAAATTCGTGGTCGCGTTGTTTCACTGCAGCAATGGGCCATCACTTGGGGTATCCTAATCCAATACTTTATTCAATACGGCTCCTCTTGGGTTGGTGGTGGACCCGACAATCCGAGTCAACCAACATCTGCCTTCCGTATTCCGTGGGGTGTACAGATCGTCCCGGCCGTACTGTTGTTCTTTGGGATGTTCTTCCTTCCGAGATCTCCTCGGTGGCTAGCATCCAAGGATCGATGGGAGGAGGCGATCCAGGTAATGGCTAACCTCCACGGAGGCGGCGATGTTAACCATCCAAAGGTTTTGGCTGAATACCAAGAGATTGAGGAGGCTCTCCGGTTCGAGCGGGAGGAAGCCATTAACAGCTACCGGCAACTTGTCGAGCCTCGCATGCTGAAGCGTGTTCTGCTTGGAATGTCTATTCAGATGTGGTCCCAACTGTGCGGCATGAACGTCATGATGTACTACGTTGTTTGTATGTTGCGGATGATCAACACTAATAACTCCCTGCATATGCTAAAATTTCATAGATATTATGGAAGGTGCCAATATCGCGTCACCTCTATTGACTGCTTCCATCCAATACATTCTCAACGTCCTACTAACACTTCCCGCGATTATTTATCTCGATCGATTCGGTCGACGGCCAGCCATGCTTATTGGATCGTTCCTCATGATGACTTATCTGTTCGTCGTCGGAGCTTTGCAAGCGTCGTACGGAGTGCCCAATGTCGGCAGCCTCAAGAACCCTACAAACTCTGATATCTCATGGATTGTCCACGACAATAAGCCAGTATCCAAGGCCATTGTTGCCATGACATATCTTTTTGTCTGTACATTTGCAACAACATGGGGTCCCACATCATGGACCTACCCCTCCGAAATATTCCCTACAAAGATCCGTGCAAAGGCAGTTTCCCTTGCAACCGCCGCAAATTGGTTTTGGAACTGCGTCCTCGCGTTTGCCGTGCCTCCGCTTTTATGGAATATAAACTGGAAGATGTGTAAGTTCTCCTCACTCATCGAATGCGTCATTAAGCTCATAGCGTTATCAGACATGATTTTTGCTACATTTAATGGTGCAGCATTTATCCACATGTTCTTGACCGCCCCCGAGACCAAGGGCAAGACCTTAGAAGAAATGGATGATGTCTTTGATTCTGGTCTGCCTGCCTGGAAGGCTGTCCCCAAGGGATCGAAATTGGATCAGCTACAAAAGGATATCGAGGCTGGGAATATAAAGATTCAACATCCCATTGGTGGGGTGCCGACTATGAGCGAAAAGACTCCGGTCACTACTGAAGAGACCGCTGCGACTTAAATGAACGTGATATACGAATATAGTGCATGGCTGTTTCTGGTACCTCTAGGGTGCAATGTTTTTGATTATTGCGTGGTTAATTTTTAGGATACGATCTCTACACTGGCTCATGTTGATAATGATAGGAGCAAAGAAATTGAACATGGGAGTCTGAGTCAGCGCTGGGGCATTGTCGATACCTATTTGTCTGTATTTATCATCAGAAACTATTTAACAAGTGTTGTTGTGCTTTATGAATATGATAATGCTCCCTAGTAGAGCCAATGTTTGTTGTGATAATGTCTCACAGGTTCCTGGTTATGTACAGTAATCACTTGGTGTAATTAAGACATCTAATAATAGTAGACTTTTGAGCCCAAGGTTTGGGAACAAGCCATGCCGAGGACAATCTTTCTGTAAAGCATCATAACTTATGCTGCATTTCACATTCTACGGCTCCAACAATAATACAGGCCAGTTACGTATCCCACCTATTTGACCCGGAGTTATACTACTATTCAAGAGACACGGTGTGTTTTGCATCTATCATTATTGTGTGCTATTCCTCAGTTGTCTTTAAGATTGCTTACAAAACCGAAGGAGCTTGAGGGTATATTCCTGCAAATTCGACTCATTTCAAATGCAAGATTTCTCTGTTTAAGGCGGCTAGAATATTAAGAGACGACTTACGGACTTAGAGCGGCGAGCAACTACCTTATCACAATATCTGACACAGCTACAGGCCCAGGCTAAGCAGCCCAATAAAGTAAAGGATAATCAACATATACATAGTCCGTTTATAAGCAAAACCCTCGGCTTATGGTCTCGCCAACCTTTCCCTTTGGAGGTGGACCCTCCCAAGCAGTGTGCCTCACCGAGTACCAATTCTAAATGGCAATGGCTACTCTTTCCTCGAAGGCTTCTTTGAGAATGACCCGCAATACCACTCTTGAGTTATTGTTTGTTACCTCATATTAGTTCTGTTGGCATTGAACGACTTCAGGTAGCAAAATTTAACAATGAGCCATAGCCTCCGTGCCCAATTTTTGAAGTAAGCCAACGCCTCCCAGTAGCTACTTATACTAGGGATTTCCGTTATGGTACAATATTATAGGACGTAGGGTCTAGGCCCTATCCTAAAATGCCATCCGAAAGCTTGCTATTACCAATATAGTTGCAATAGCTACAATCCCTAGCAAATTGTAACAATGCTAGGCTTGCCGATAGAATGCGTTGTTCCAATGGCCATCCATTGCTGCATAAATTAATGGTTGAATATAACTTGGTCAATGAGGGAATAGTTACTCGGCTTCTTAGCCCGTTTCTTATTCTTTCGAAAACGTTTGAGTAAGATATCAAACCGCTTGCTTCGAACACCTTCTCTCTTCAGGATTGTCTAATGATGCCCACAACTGAGCGATCGAATGCAGAGACGACCTGAATGTAGGGGAACTCCGCATTGTTCTCTAGGCCAACAGGAACTGTGTCAGGAATGTGTTAGTAGCTTCAATCTAGCGAATTGAAGACACCACTGATTTTCTCCTATTTACTTCGGCCGACTTACCTACATATCTGCCTGGTTTTGGTTTCCAGCAAGTTCCTCTGTCCCATTTAAGACGTGACCTGACCGGCGCCTCTTGGATTCATACGTGGGTTTCCCATCTTCACACGTTCTTTTTGTCTTTGGCTCTAAGGCGGCTAGAATAGGAGTCGGACAAATACCTCCAAGGGGGATAATCTAGAATACTTTCTCTAAGAAAAGACGCCGCCCTTCTTTGTGAACAATATTAAACCACGGGGAGCGCTCATTTGCTGCTAGGAAGGATATACCGGCAGGCAGTGGGTGGAACTTACGAGAAATTGGTACTTTTCAACTGGTAAGGGAGCGGCCCCGGAAACAAATTCCGGACTGGCTTGCAGAAGCACTTGCTGAGGCTCAAGATCTTGTGAATGACAGCCAAGAAATCCAGATTGTCCAAAATTTAGTAGGTACAAAATAGAGACGTCTGAATCGTAAATAGCTTTCGAAAGAAGCTAGTGTATTTGCACCATTCTTCGATCTACTAGCTGAGGTTGTGGAGCATCCTTCTACTCCACAACCCGCTCGTTCTCTGAGGGAGTCCTTTATGAGCACTGCCGTGGAAGCATTAGGTGAGTCATCATAATCTCCCAGACTGTCTGTAGTGAAGTGAATTGCCTTGGATCGTGAAAATTTCAAATGGGATTCCTAGACTATGGATCTCTTAAAATACAACCTGCCAGAGGTAGACCTGGCAGGGAGTCCGTTAAATAACAAACGGGTCAACCGCAATGATTACCATACTAATAATCAGCAGCTCTGGAGACCTTTGGACGACCCTCTAATTCAAAGACCCCCCTTCTTGCCCACCCTTTCTCCTCGTTATTAACCGTCTCTTGCTCTTTTCCTCAACGTCAAACACGTGAGCCCATCTACTTTGGGTTCGGAGCGACCCGCTTAGCTTCCGCTTTTAGCGAACCCCATCCCGCCCCCCTATTCTCCTCAACGACGTCGCTCAACGTCCGTCTATTGATAGCCTTACTAACGTGGGTACGATAATGAACTACTCATCTACCAATTGTAAGAAATGCCAAATAAGTTTGCTGATTCGGTGTGCCCCGCCAGAATTCAGATGCTTCTAATAAGCCCCCCGTGAAAACGAAAGTGCTAAGATGAACGAAACTCAACTGAGTGAAACGCAGAAAATGAACCAAATTGGCTGATGGAATTCACTTTTTTCAACACCAGGCCTCGGGCTTGTATCTATAGCAACCTTATCCTAGGCTGCCTCGGAGGAAAAAGGCAGAGTCTTCATGAGGTACTTAGGCTAAGTATTACACTAGCAATAACTCCTAGGGTTAGTCAAGGGCCTTGGGTTGGTCCAAACGAGTGTCCATGCCCTCCGACGTTATATATCTTCCGTAACTATAAGGAATCAATGTATTAGGGGTGAATCCATGACGTGGAGAGTCCTCGTATGAACGGCTTAAAACACTAGCATATCCAGCTATATGGAAATTTCAGAGATTGGCCCCAAGGCCCGATTAGCTTTTCATGACTGAGGACTCAGCATCCTGCCTACTTGCCTATTTGAGTGATATCGAGGGCGGAATCACATGCTGGATATAGTTGCCACGCCCATCTAGCGTCGCTCTATATTCCCTCACCGAAATACCCTAACACAGCCCCTAAGCCCGAATCTCACTACTTCCCTCCGCCATTTAATTTGTTGCTTACGGGATGCGGCTGAACATAGCTACAAACAAATGATTTATTGGCACCCGGCCTATGACTCAGAGTTTGAAACTGAGGATGTTGGGCTCAATAATATTGCCTTCGTGAAGAGGGCTTTGATGAAATGAACAGTGAGAGCTCGAACCCATCAATCCGTCTTACCTCCGTGGTCTAGGTGCGATGAGGATGATCATCCATGAAAATGACTCTTGTTTTGGCGGACGACCCCTTGAGACGACCCGCTTGGGGGAGATTAACATGGAATAAAACGGTGATAAGTCTAGAAGGACCTTGAATCCCCGACGATACACTGGTGTAAAATGTTTGCGTCTAGATCCAACCCTAATAGAAAATAGATTTGGGAGTCAGATGACTGACTCTATGAATGGAATTTGTATTGCTGACAAATACGAAGAACGGCTTCGTCAGTCAGTCATAGAAGCCACTGGAGGTGACGGACAAACCGGAGATAGGTAAATAGGACCGAAACTCCTAGGAGAAACTTCTCTTGATAGGAAGATAGTTCACATACTATTATGACACATTTGAATAGTGAGGCGAACTTGCCCCCGTCGGCCATTCAGGGGCTCGCCACACGTGACTCAGCGCACGAGGCTGAGTTGATGTACGTAGTACAGGTTTTGGACTTCGCGTCGGATCTCCATACGGAGTGCATATGTTTACGATGCTATCTAGAGTAGATGACTCAAGTTCTGGAAATACTGAAACGCCTCGAGCGTACCATTGATGGGCGCCTTCTCGGTGGGACACCCATCCATATTCTTCGAAAGCTGCATTGACGATACACTACCGAAGAGCGATGTCTCATGAGGCTGACCTCTGTGGTACTATCACTTTTGCGCCGGCGACGCTATTGGCCTTGTGTGGCCCCTAAGCGCGCCTCAACCATCCGATGACCACCCCTCTCACGGACTCGGACTGTTGGTTGCACGGCAGCGCGAGTAGTATGGAATAGGACGCGCCGACGGCTGGCAAACGGCCTGCGGGCCAGAGCTCCCCCTCCTCGGCAGGAACCTTGGAAGTAAATAACTCCATGCCAATAACAAACGGATCCCGGGCATGGTGGCACTTTGGATGAATCTCCGACTTGTAATGCCTGCCAGCATGGCATGAGTTGTTTTCTGCCGGGAATTAGGTGATTCAAATATTGAATTTTCGGAAATTCAGAAATGCAAATATCGTGGAGGCCAGGAAACAGCACGTCACCGTGCTGAGAGGGCTTCTCTAGCACCTCTTCTTCCGCGACACGTGTGCATACACCGCTTCTGGGGCCAGAGGGGACGCATTGTGATTGTATCGGACTTGATGCCATCGATGCGCAGAGGAGTTTAGTGGTGTTATCCGGCTGCATGCTCTAGCCCTTCCAGCCAATCTGTACTCCTGCAGCGGCGCCATCCAGCGGATGCGGGAGAAGAGCGTGGTCCAAGTCCAGGATGTTCCTTCGCGCAAGATCCGCTGCCTGCTGTGCAACGTGGTGAGGGACCAGGATGGGCAGGCCCTGCTCCGCTAATAATGTCTGAGATATGTCGGTGGCTGGAACTTGGCGGCCGCCCATTCCTGCTGCCATGGCGAGAGCCCCTCCAAGCGGGCCCTTCGACGGTATCGACGGTATCCACGGTTTCCACGGTTTCCACTGTCCCAAGAGGAAGCCAAAAGGAGTGCCTCGCACTGTACGAGGACTCGTAAGATACGCACTCCGTGATACCCACAGTCCGTCGTACTTTACCCGCGACTGGTGGCCTCGTAGATGTGGGAATTGGGGACTGAGGCGGCCCGAAGACAACCCTGGCCGGGAGTGAGAAGGCTTGAAGACAGGTGAAAATTCTTCAAATTAAGGCCAGGGAGAGGCTTGGGGTTCGGAGGGGTGGCTTGGCCCTGCTCCGTTGATGCTATGTTTCCTTTTCCGGCACGCGCGAGCGATCTGCCACGGTCCACGGCAGTAATTACACGCATCCGGCCGCCTCCAAGGGTTCGGGATGGATCGTGTTCGTACTCTGGATCTCTGTGTATCTCGCCGTGGCTGTTGCTGGTGCGGTTGCGGTTGCGGTTGCTGTTGGGCTTCTGGTGGTGTTTGCGTTTCAACTTTCAAGGCAGGCTGCAACATTCGCAGGAGAAACGCCTCAAATAGCCTGGGTTATTTACACAGCATGGGTTCATTTCCACCGAACCATTGCAGCGGTGATGGGCAGGTAGGAAGGTTACAGCAGATGCGATACCTTCGGTCTGGTGGTTGGAAGAAATCGCAGCCGCAGCCCAGGCAGGGCCATCCATCATGATTGTGATTGTGATGGTTGCTTATCGCTATTAGCGGTAAATGGGGATAGGAATTCGGGGTGTGATGCGAAAACCGTAGGCTTGTTTGGCTTGTTGATGAAGTTGTGCCCACCATTATATGGAGGTGACTGGATGGGCGCTGGTGGGAGGCCGGCCAATAACGTCATCGCCTTTGTGTGATATTGAAGCCGTTTGCCTGGCGATCAATACCGCGTGATGATGCTGTTCCAAGGACGAAGAGGCCGGCGATCAGGGAATGGCAAAGCAGACCGGGCACTGGCCAGCTGAGTTCCTCCGGTCGTTGCAGCTCCCACACGGTCGGCACCGCCAGTATTACTGTACTGTGCTGAAGATGCGACGGCGAATAGGTGTGGCGATGATGTTGTGTTCGATGGCGCAGGTGACGTCTCGGTCCCAAAGCCTACCTAGAGCCTAGAGGGGACGCTTATCGCGACGAACACACACACCCAGCGGTCGGTAGCGCCGTGGATGAGGATGGGGATGGGTGGCACTGCGCATGCTGGGCTTCGTCCTTCGTAATCGAGAATAGAACTTTGAATATAACAGCAATATATCGCCCTCAGCCTATGCCTCTTTCGCGTCCCCCCTCCAAACGGCGCATCCTCCCACCAAGGCATCCTGATCTACTACATCCCTTTCAAGTTCCGTCTTGCCCACGGCGCGGTCGCCGTCGTCGTGCACGATTGCCATCACGATACTCCGTCCTTCGTACGAGCTAGCTGCCATTCCTTGTCGTCGTCGGAATCCGCCCGGCGGCACATTACGCATTAGCCTAGGCCCGAACCTTGCCGCTGGAATTAGCAGAGCGGAGGCTCGGACAGAGAACCAGAAAGGCCAAACAAAGGCACAGGCACAAGCACAAGCACAAGCACAATAATCACAGGCACAGGCACCGGCACCACCACCACCACAAAGTCCAACTTTGTCCAAGACCCCAGAATCCTCTTGTTATTAGCCCGCCCCCGACCACGATCCACTGCCACCAGGTCCAAGTTCCTCCAACGCCCGGATTCCCAGATTCACACCCTTTGGAGGCTGGCCGAGATATCGCTCTCCTCTTGCGGCCCCCCTCGAGCCTATACATACGCTACCTACCTTAAGGCACCACGCACTTCTACACAGGTATATCAATATCCATTCGTCCAGAGCCTCTCCCAATTGCACCGCAACAACTCTCAGCCCCGTTGGGTCGCCTCGGGTCATCCACGCCATTCGTCGGGCTGCTTCCCTTGCGCTTCACTTTGCTGGCCACTCTGCGACCTGAGCAGCCTCAACACTCTCCAATTCGAGGACTTCCCGAGCCCTAAGTTACCAGATACCCCCGCCACGCTGAAGTACCGTCCGAAGCCCTGAAGAAAAGTTGTGAGTCAAGCGCAGATGTCTTGGGAAGTTGGCCGGCCTGGTTCGTAGGTACGGTCCTGTTGCCTCTCTCTCGGTCCAGACAAGTCCAACAAAGCCCGCGCCTCTCCTTTCACCTCCAACAACTCCAACCTCGACGCATTGCTTCCTGGCTGTTCATCTTGTTGACGGGCTCCGCTCAACCCTACTTATTTGATTTGATTTGTGTGCCGAGCGCGACAAAAAGCCTTCCTTCCACTGAAGCGTCGTGTCTTGTCTTGCTGTCATCTCGCTTGAACCCAGGGGCTGCTCCGTATCACCGTTGCTTCGTAACAACTCCGTAAGTCTCCCCTGCGTTCCCACCGCCTTTGCCTATGGCGATGGATATTGTCAAATCACCATCCCAGGGCCCCTCCCTGCACTGTCTTCGATGCCCAATGCTCTGGAAGATATTTCGGGGATCTTCCATAACTTGTGGCTGACTCAAAAACCCAGCCCCCTGGTCGACGCCAACGCACGACCAGCAGCCGAATTTCCCACTCGCACCCAAATCCCCGTTAAATATCTACTCGGCCTCTCCCAGCCACCGTTTTCGAGTCTCTCTTCCTCTTCCTCTTCCATCAACTGTCCGAAGTCTTTCGAACCCCCCAAGCTTACAACACCACGATTACCAATACGATATCGAGCCGGATTCGTCGTCCAGCTCCTTCCAGAATCTTCCGAAGCCGATCCACTCGACTTCGATTCCCCCAGATTTCCTCGAACGCAGGATTTCGGACCAACTAGTTCTTGACATGTACGGATCAACGACACAGGTTTCCTCCTTCTCTCGTACCGACTACATACCACGGTGACGGGCTTGTCACACTCTCCAGCGCCTCGATATAAGGCGCGCTCGACCTTTTTCCTTTTTCTTTTCTGGGTATCTGCGGGACATCTCAAGAGCAGGATACCATGAACAATTATACGCCATACAACACGCCGCCGGCCCATCCGGCGGCTTACTACGGATTCAGCGCGACGCCGTCGCCAGCTGGATCACCCTCAGGAGCCCACGGTGGATTCTACGCGCCACGACCAGGTCCAGGACCAAAACACCATTCACGACACACTTCGGGAGATGCCTATGGCTATTCACACTCCCCGCGAGCTTTCTCGCCCAGGTATAACTCCAAAGGAGACTACGCGACTGCTGCCAATGTGAGTCGAAAACAAAGTTCTTGGTCCGGCCCGCGCTATGAGGCGAGGCGTCGAAATTCTTACTCCTATCGAGCCTCTCATGGGGATTCCGACGAGGACGAATATGAATATGTAGATTATTTTGTGGATGGTGTGATCTACCGAGTACCGGCTCGCCGGCCTACAAAGACAACTTACAATTATCGTGGGCGTGGCACTGATCACTACTACTCTCAGGGCCATGGATACGCGTATGAGAAGGATGAACCTGAGGACTCGCCACTTTACGAACCATCACCTAGACGACGTCGACAATCATCTTCGACGCCACAGCGACCATCAACAGCGCGACCGACGACCGCACCAAAGACGGCACCAAAGAAGCCGCCACCAACGGCCAAGGCTACCGATGCTGACGCACGCAAGCATCGTATTCCCCCGGGATACTCACTTAAGAACTGGGATCCTTCCGAGGAGCCGATCATGCTCTTAGGCAGTGTTTTCGATGCCAACAGCCTCGGCAAATGGGTCTACGACTGGACCGTCTACCATCATGGACCCGCCACACCCATCGCCGACATGGCCGGCGAACTCTGGCTGCTTCTGATTCAGCTTGCGGGCAAAGTGAAGCGGGCGGAAGAATGCATGCCGCGCATTCGAAAGGAGGAGAACAGAGAGATGGTGGAGGATTTTATTGAATCAGGGGAACGATTAACGGATAAACTAAAGAAGCTGCTTAAGGCGTGTGAGACGCCTATGTTGAAGGCAGGCAAGAGACATGGAAAGGAGCAGGCGCAGTTGGGCAAGAACGCAGGCACCGAGTTTGTCGATTCCATCTTTGGACGGGACCGGCAGCTTGAGCACACGGAGAAGTTCATGGCATCCATTCGGCTCTGGAATCTGCGATTTGACGCCAACTGCGAGGATATACTTCGAAGGCCAGGACAATAGGACCTGGCGCAAACGAGTTGGGGGGTGGGAGGGCAGGAGTTAGTCTATTTCTTCCATCGTCAGATTTCTTACGGACTACGATACCCTCCGAGCGCTCTTAGATGCTTTACGGCGGTGCACTCATTGTAAGATACCAAAGATGGATACCGGGGCAACCCGCATTAGGACGGTTATAGAACTTGGGATACTTGGCAGGGCAGGAAAAAGTTGGGATGATGTTGGAAACGGATACGCATTTTGGGATTTTGAGAGTCTAGGATATTGCGCAGACAGGTTCGGACGCACACATTTGGATGGAATATTGTAATCGTAGTAGTTGTTTTCTCCCGAGTTCTCTGGATGGCTGGCACATGGGGGCTGCATATTGGCGTCTTCAGAATATACCCTTCATACTTTTTGCTTCAACCCGATATCACACATGAGCATCATGACTTGAGGTGACGTTTAGACCACCTGCCGTATGTGATTCATCGGGGTTTTGCAACACAGGCCGATACCAGAGTCGGGTTCATTGAGGTCCGCCACCAAAATAGATTTCAGCGATCATACAGATACAGTTACCAATGTCACTTAGTATGTCATACAGCCCCATCAATAATTTCAGAATAGCATCCACACACCACACCCTCACGGCCGGTACTAAGACTAAGATAAGTACCTACCTAGCTAGGCACGGAGTAAGAAAGTAAGATCAATATCAATCCATAACATAGCGCAACCCGCTCATGTTTCTATTCCCAGCCCCCAACCACGGGGCCAACCTCCTCCTCTGTGTTCTCTATCCATCCATATCCATATACCCGTCCAGCCCTGCCAGCCCCGCCACATCTCCCCATGCACTCGACCCCACCATCATCGTGACCACTTACGACCACTCCTATCCTATGCTGTGCTGTGCTGCACCATCTAATAACCAACTACGGAGTATGTCCCTTACTTTACGCAAGTACGAAGGAACTGCACGCCGTTCCCACGTTCTTCCTGCGCGCTGTCTACGCCGTAAGCTGTACCACCCACCTGCCTATACGACCTTCCCTCGGCCCCTATTCCAACTATCTCTCCGTCTCTCCATCCGTCGGTGTTTTCTAGAAGCCTACGATGCAGCGCCGGAGGATTATTCCTTCTCTGCACGTAATATATTGCAGTGCTTGATATGTGTAATCCGCCCAAATTAGCCTATCATTATACATCCCTCTTAGGGATTTTTCATGTCTAGGTGCCAGAGTCGTAGTAGACGTTTTAGTACGACCCGAGAGGCACTCCCCTCTTCCCTCCATGCGGAGAGTCGGTGCCGCGACGAGAAACGTTTACTAGTTCATAACAACGGAGTGGCGCTTTCACGGCTCTTGGGGCCAGTATCTATCACATCATCTCCTGTTTGTTCATGTTGTGCTGAGCTGCGAGTCTTTCCCCGCCCCCTCCTTACTGTACCAGTGCCAGAGCCAGTGTAAGGGAGAGAGCGGAAGTTAGTAACACAACATAACTCTGGTACAACCCCAACTTTACGTAGCTGGTACTCAGCTTGACATAACACACATCTGCCAGGCATCCGCCCGTTGGTTACTAACCGTGGCTCTCCAGGCTATCCTTCTGCATCTCACACCAACACAAACGTGCGCTGACGGTGCTATTTACTCCAGAGTGAACCAGTCGTAATGCTTCCCTGGCCTCCCTGGTGACAGCTGGCCACTGACGGATAATACCACAGTTGAGCGGTAAGCCACTGCGGCACCACACCCTTCTCCAGCTCCGCCGTTTTCTCGTTAAAAATATCCTTCTGCAGCTGCGCGCTGCGTCTGCGTGCTGCGGTGCTTGCAGTGTGCGTACAGAATGTGATATTATCTTTGCCATTCTGCCGAGATGCAGTGCGAGTGAGGGCATGTCAGGGAGGGGACAGGGCTTATGCTATGATTGGAGGGGTTTTTAGCTATCACAGTTAATGTTCGGGGATTCAAGTCGCGCGCACACATTACATTGTTTTGAGGGTTTTTGTGTTTCATGGGCGTTACTCGGTATTGCCTGCCCATGGGAATCAATAGATCCCCCATTCCCAAATTTCATATGAGGATCCTGCACAATTTCCGAGGGATTATACATAGGTATGAAATGAGTCAACCCATGGCTGAGTCGTTTGATTTTCATTGCGCATGACATCAAATAATGCATATCTTATCATATACCAGGAAATATGATATGACCCCTCTATCAAGTTCAAGCCTATAATTCCTATTTTTAAGCTCTGGTCGGGCCTCACCGTCATCCCGTCAGGCCTCAGCCCTCCCTCCCGCACCCGAGCCGAGCCTCACTCACCACTCGAAACCTCGTCAACCACACCACTCAAGTTGACTCAACCACACTCGGTATATTCTTAATGATATAATCGGTCCGGCACTTGAGCACGGAAATACTGGAACGAATGATTATCTGCCGATCGATGGGTCCAGTTATCGATGATTTGGTATCCCAGAGTGTTTGATCTACACTGACCTGCATACCGCTCTTATCGTCTTGCCGCCCTGCGTATTATCATCCCCTCGGTCCTTGCATCTGCGTCTGAACAGGCTTTCCGGCGGCAATCTACCTGAGATCCTCTGTAAGACAGGAAGGGCCTCAGCCCTAAACTGCACGAGTAGAGCCGCGCGGTGTAAAGCCAGCGGCTCTTGGGTGAAGGGGGCTCAGCGCTTAAAGCTTGTTATCAGAAACGAATGTGGATTAGTGTTACTGGGTCGGGCTTGACGTAAGCACGTCTTGTATAACCGGCCACAGGGCGTATACTGTTGGAGTTAGATTAATCGTCCTGATCTATACTTTGGGTTACTCTTACTTTGACTACATCTACTTATAGTTACTACATACCTAGGTACTTTAGTAGCATATTCGTACTCTTATAATTCTAACAGGTTATAAGCCCGGAGACGCTTAACACACCTTAAACTCTACTCTTATTGTAACTCTATGATTACTCTACTCTTGACTACTTCTTCCATATAGCTAAGGTACCAATAGCCCCTCCTTTGCCTACGCACGTGACCTGACTGGAGACATATATACACCTCCTAAAAGCCGGACTCTCTCTTCTTCTCTCTTTAGCTTAATATCTTCGTACCTACGGTTGCAGTCAAATAGAGAGATCCATTGTTATAAGGCACTCTTTACTTGCATCCGTGACACCCGCCTTAGCCAGAAGATATTGTTAACATCAGTAGGCAGGCATTTATTCCTAAGGATATGCCTATTATTTACGGCTTTGTACCAGACGACTCTAACAGCAAGTCCGTATCAGGAAATTGCAACCGCTATATTGGGCAAAGCGTATATACAAGCCTGCCGCTGCTTTCGGGGGATACAAAGCTCTTGCGGCTCTATCGCCCACAGTTACGGGTAGAGCACACAGTAACCTCATGAATATAACGAATCATCCCTCCCTCGACCCTAATAAAGTTGGTGCTAGGTGTGCCATCGGGTTTTGTTTTGTCGATGAACGGAAAGTCGTTAAAGATATCAAGCCCCCCTAACTCCTCGTCAATGATATAGCGCCGGTTCGTGATCTTAAACGGCTTGGGGAACTCGGGCATTTTGCATGTATTAGCAGTCGGGTTGCTCCCCCCTGTGTACGAGCCGCCCTCGAGCCGGGCACACGGTGTGCCATACGGGACCTTAACGGTGCCGTCGCCCCAACTATCGAGGTAGGCGTCCCCGGCGGCCTTAATAACCGTGCGGCTGTCCCGTTTGGCCTCCGGGATGGGATCCCAGTTCTCTTTTTTATTCCAATAGAGTTGCCCTGTCGCATTAAATGCCCAGTCGCCGGCGTCTGCGATAACCGATTGAATAGCTGTGATCTTGTCGTCGGTACCAAAGAGCATTCGTGTATGAATAACATATGGATGCTGGTTCGTAGCTGCTGACAGTTCCGTGAACGTAGCGCACTGAGTAGTATCGTAGAGACTGCGGTTGAAATCGACAGTAACAGCCTGGGTTAGAACACCCTTACTGATATCCATAGCCATATCATTCTCCACATAGCTAGCGTTGCTAGCCAGAGCGGTCATAGAACTATTCGGCAGCCCGGCGATTTGTGCTCGGACTTCCCTGAGAATTAGCTGACATCGTCGGGCATTAATAAAATAAGGTTGCATACGTACCGTATGCCGCCGTGGCCTCCTGGAGCATTTCTCGGGTGCATGCTGAGGCCTGGGAGGCGAGGCCCACGCACACCAATACTAGTGAAACTGAATAGATCATGGCTCCTTTTCTAGTTCAGGGTACTTTTGAAGTTCAGATGCTTCGTCACTCATCGAGATCCTCGCTTCATTCTTGTATAGAGTCTCTGGATTTTCCCCGCGGCCAGCCCCTCTTTGGCTTATATTTCCGGATTAAAGTTAAAGGACTGCGGTAGTTGCAAAATACATGGATATACCGGTAGTTGCTCTTTGCAATGTTAAGTGCTAGGAGAATATGCCTCTCTAGTGCAGGACAAATTTAGCCGTAATCTTTAAAGATTGCCCGGCTCTGAACCGGTGGGACCCTACTTATAGCAATTTCACGAATTTCCATAAGTTTTACTGATAGCAACATAACCATATAAGAGCCTATACTGACAGGATAAATATGTGATCTACAGAGAGAGCAGCGTATTCTCAACGAGGTCCCACTTGCACGATCTGTTCCGCTACCCTCAGATAGATCTCAAGTCCCTAGAAAAGTATGCGGTACCAAAACAGAAAGAAAAAAAATGGTAACGCTAAGAAGCGAGTGAGAGAGAGCGCGATGTGTATAGAAGATAGTGGGTGCATTATGTCAATCCAAGGCTTGTAGACCGGCAAGAGTACCAAAGAGCGATTAAGCTGATAGAATCGGCCTAACGATCAAAGCGCAGTCCACGAGCTATTTACACATGATTCTCTGCGCCGCCAACGCACGATTGCCATACGACACAATCACCAGAGGCATCCTCCCTGTATCCGGAATTCGCACTTGCGACAACTTCACAAAGATCCATATCAAGGTGGGTTGGAGTTGGCAGGCCTGCGAATATTCATGCTTCGGGTGCAACAACGAGCGAGGACCTCCTGATCATAACATGGCCATGACAGAGGCCAAATTGGACGAATGCTAAGTCCCAATCCTTCTAATGCTTCTGCATTGTTAGTCCTGTGGGATGTCCTAGATTTGTTTGTCGTGATTGATGTTGTATGTTGTAAGTTGTAAGTTGTGATGCGACGAGGATTCAAGGTGGTGGGCCTGGTGGGGCAGGTCGCTAGTGTCAAGTTCCGGGGGGGTTTATTAGATCATACACCAGATATGACCTCCAGCTGCTTACTCAGCCCTGCCCTGCCCTGATCCGTACGATGTAAATCTCTGCTCCAAACAGGCTTCTCCTGGTCAGACTTAAATAGAACCACACACTCGATCCTACAGAGCGCCTAAACGGTGTGAACTCGCCTTGTGTGGTTGCAGAAGGGGCCAAGTTGGGGGCACTGTGGAGACTCGAGCCGCTCGATTGCAAGGTCATTACAACCTTTTGGGGGCGCGAGGCTGTGGTTCTTTCGTTCCTTCTTACGAGGCTAGACTGAACTGTTGGCTTCTTGTTGTTAGTGGGGTTTAGGCAAGAGGAACCAACACCCCTGAGGCTAGGAAATCCAACTTGGGACACCGACTAGCCGCCAGAAGCCTAGGCAGATCTCGGAAACAGTGAGGGAGAAAGTATGCATTACATACGCTTCCTCAAACCTCCGCGCTTACAGCGTGGTGGGAGTGCCTCTCAGCTGACAGCAAAAATCACCCTAACCACTGATCTAGGCGAGTCTTTTCTTTGGGCCGATATCAGGTTGGTAGTTGAGCTCGTTGGTGTGGATGGGAAGACAAATTTGCTTGCTGGGGGCAAAGAGTATTTATGGAAGGGAAGCGAGGGGATGAGGAGCCTGGAGGTTTCATTGCCTATTCCGATATCCAAGGGACGAGGGAAAGCTGCTGGAATACATTCCGTACGGATGTTAGTTCGTCCGGTTTCTGTAATCCAAGCTGTAGACACTTCTGCAGCTGTCTTGGGTGCTGGAGATGGCGGCCTCATGGCCGTGAGGAGCATGGCCGTTGACACAAATCCACCACAAAATGCCTCGACGGTCCCCAGTGCTAGCTTGGCGGAGCGAGTAATTAACATTGGAAAGTCGCAACTGCATATTTGGGAAGAAACGGGAGAGTCAATAGCTCGACATATATGGTACGCTTACTTGGCCTAAACAGGTACGTCATCTGAATTTCATTTCACTAACAAGATACCCCAGGGATGCTGGCCTGGTATTATCATCGTATCTTACATCCATCTCCAACCCGTCCTCAGAATGTCCGTCTCTCTCAGAAAAGCTTCCTAAACTACCAGCTTTACAAAATGCACTCACGCAAAACGACATCCATGTGCTCGAGCTAGGAGCAGGTTGTGGAGTAGTAGGGATAACTGTCTCCCACGCATTTCCCAACATCTCCCAAATCATCCTCACCGACCTCCCGGAAGCCACCGAGATCCTCTCTCACAATCTCTCCCCATCTATACTTAAACCCCTACTGTCTCAAACTCATGCCAAAATCACACAGCAAGTACTCGATTGGTCATCGCCCCTCCCTCCAAATATCAAGGACACGAAATGGCAACTCGTCGTAGTGGCTGACTGTACGTACAATCCGGACGTAGTCCCGGATCTAGTCAATACGCTACGGCGTATTGCGGAGGGAAATAGGGACCTATTAGTCTTGTTGGCAATGAAGGTGAGGCATGAGAGCGAGATGGTGTTTTTTGACCTGATGGAGAAGGGCGGTTTTGCTGTGCGGGAGAAGTGTATCCTTCCACTGCCGGTTTCAGGCGCTGAGGTTGGGGAGGAGATTGAGATCTATGTTTTTGAAACGGGTGCCGGGGAACAGGTATGTAGATTATTGTTAAATTAAAGAATTCTACAATGCGGAATAGATATAGATACTAAACCATCTTAGAACGAGCATGGAAACGTGCCCTGATAATAATAATATTACAAAAGCCCACCCGCTTCACAGCTTAGTGGTTACGACATAACTGCTCAGTAATATACTAGTGTTATTCTTATCTATCAGTTAGAATCAGGTAGATGTCGCCGGGCTGCAACAGGTGTATAATACTTTATCTGTAACTAGAATTTGTTCTTCTTTAACTAACTACGAGCTGGCTATCGATTCTCTCGAGTTCAGTGTCATATAGCGTTCTCAGCGATAAGGTTATGGAGAAGAAGAAATGCTCTCAAGACAATTCACCTAGCCCGCTCGCATATCAAGTCAGTACTTGACAGTTCCAGGTAGCTCAAAAGGAGAAATAAAGGAGTTCGCTGTGAATTATAATTTGGCCTACAAAGGTTCCCTAACAATGTACCATCTGTCCATAATTTCACAGTTATCTTGAACTTGGCAGCCATCCCAAATTTAACAGCTAACCTTAACATGAAAACTGCTTCCCTATTTATCTATTTACAAACTCTATTTTTACCCTTCGTCTTATCACCCCACTTCCCAATACGGACCTTAAAGTGCGAGTAGTGCAGCGACCCCATAATGATGGCGCGCCGCATCTTCCCAATTATATCTATCTATACACAGGACCGGGAGAGATGCCGGCCGGTATCTGTTGTATTTAGGCCCATACCGAGTAGTCACCAGAGCTAGAGGTTCTAGAAGTAACCAGTTAATAGAAAAACACTTCTCCCTATAACAACATATAGTTGTGGTTCTGTTTAATACTAACTAGTCGTGTAAAGAAACTTCATAGAGATATAAACCCTATACAATATAATAACGATTCATATTCAGATATATGCTTGTTCATCCACTTATATTTTGAGATATTGAACCTTCGCGAGCGTTCGCTTATAGGAATTTGAAGAGGAAGTGATTCAGTTGCTGTCCCGCTGTCGCTTTCCAGGACTTGAACCCGCACCTAACGGGTATATTCAGTCTTGAATTATACTTTTAAAAAGGCTAGGTTTGTGATATACTAAGATGCCCTTTGTTTCTTCTTGCAGCTTACTCGTCTTTGCCGCAGCTTGTTTTTCAATTCCAGGGACTATTAGATGAACGGAAGAACAGACGTTGGCTTTTATGAAAAGAGAGAGAAATAATATCTATTCCGCTCAATATCTCTATATAAGTACTGAGCTGAAAACATTGGGGATCAGATAGGTTGTATATTATACAGCTGAATAGATTTCTATATCTGCTTTTAAAAAGCTTTCCTTGACTCATATATCTATCTATGGGAAACCAGCTCTCCTTACGCACAGAATGAGCAGAATGGCCAGTTTATAATGTAAGCGTAAAAGTGAGGTATCTAAGAGCGAGGGGGGAGAGCTGTTTGAAGTATTTCATGTAGTAATCCCTAAATCCCAGCACGCCCCTTAGTATCCCTTTCTCCTATCCACAACATTAATAAGCGGCCTTCCTTGCTCCAAATTCGTCAAATTAATATCTAGGATCTCAAAACTTCGCTCCGCATACGTAGTCCCTAGCCCACTAACGTGCGGCGTAATAGCCACGTTTTCCAAATCCCATAGCTCACTCTCTTCCGGCAACGGTTCCGGTTCCGTGACATCCAAAGCTGCACCCCTTAGTCCACCTTCGGCTGGCTTCTTCTTCAGCGCGGCGATAAGATCATCCTGGTTTATGATGGCACCACGGGCGATATTCACAATAAAAGCATTTTTCTTCTCGCCGAGAATTTGGAGTTCCTCAGCAGCGATGAAGTGTTTCGTTTGAGGGGTCAAGGGTACGGAGATGAGCAAAATATCAATGTCCTGCGAGAGGAAATGGCGGAGAGAGGCTTTATCGAGGCCACTGTACCAAGCACTGGGGATGCTGCCATCTGGGTCGCCGGTTCCATCGACGATATAACCATGGTCTCTTTTGCTTTCGGGGGTGGTGCGGGGACTGGCCGTGTAGGCTATTACGTCCATTCCCAGGGCCCTGGCAACACGTGCAGCTTTAATCGTATCAAATTAGTATTTATGTTTTCAAAGTACGTCGGGACGGGGAAGTGCTTACTTTGCCTCCCAATGGCCCCGTAACCCAAGACACCGAGACGTTGTCCTACGCCGTCTCTGACAAATCCAACATCTTGGAAACTTCCCCATATATGATCCTTCTGTAGCTTTAGAAGCATTTTTTGTCTGTGGGCATGACTCAGGATTTGCAAGACCACCCATTCTGAGATCTGAGGGCTGTGGACACCCGAGGAGTTGGTGAAAGGAATTTGTCCTTCTTTCCACTGGAAGTTGAGAGATTAGCGCATATTTCCAATTAACTTGCACAAGCAAAATCAAGAACGGATGCTTTGAGATATATTCAAGAATATATTAAGAACAAGGAGTAATGCAGCCAAGTAACTTGATCATCCTTACAATCGGTGTGCTCAGCACACGGTCTGCACCCGCACTGAAGAGATGTATCAATTTCAGGTTCACAGCTAGCTCCGGAGAAGGTAGTTTGGATAAGGTTACGAGGATCGTAGCCTCCTTCATTAAGTCTAAAAGCGGGTCAGCGAGTATGCATCTCAAGGCTGACACGCAGCGAATTGAACCTAGGAGTGGGGGGCGCTATACCATCTGGAATTGTCGAGATCTTTATTCCCCCATGGTCGGGCAATATGTGACGGTATGTGAATTCTACATTAGGATGTTTATCCTTGATACTTTTGAGGATCTTCTCATCTTCGGGGAAGGGAAGGAGGCACAGGATGTGTTCTTTCTCTGGAGAGGCGTCGCCCATGATTGGTGATCGGGTGACTGGTTAGAGTTTCTGGGTATGTCAACTACAGGGACAGTATGGAATGAACTAAACACTCCTGAGAACGAAGTAATATCCTATTACTAGTAAAGTATGCAGTACTGTAGATGTACAATATATAGCAAGATGATGATGGATTGGCCTGAAGTGGGGTTGGGGTCTCGGGTATGTTTGAGAAGGTCCCACTTGCCTCGGGGCCGATAGAAATTTAAGGTCGCGGGCAGCGTTGTCTTTTGAGATAACCACAAATCGTTCGCGACAACGCCAGCAAATGACGAGCTCGGCATGGGCACTACGAGAGACTTGCCTTCGCCGAGCTCGCTCATCCAAACATAAGGTTTCTAAGTCCAAATCATTTATCGTCTAAGGAGAATCGTTCAAGCTTTATTGCAGTCTTAACGGAACGCCGGAATTGAAACAAACTCTTAACTCCCAACAGCCTGCGTCTTCGCGAGCTCATCATGCGCATCTATATCTTTAGCCTCCCAAGGATAGCAAATCCACACATCTTCCACCGTTCTCGCAGCCAAATACCTATGATCCCTTAACATATCCTCTGGCAGCGTTCCCTTCTTCTCCTTATTCTTGTTCTATGAGTTGGCCAATAGTCAGCTTCCCCTCCTACAGAATTACATGCTAACATGGCAAAAACTTACGTGCAAGACAAATATCGAGAATATGGTTTTCTCGCCTTTAAAACCCAACTTCTGGCTTGCAATCTCTACGTCTTTCTCCAACTCCTTGACCGCATATTCCAGTGTCGTCCTCGTATCGTCCACCTCATCGACGATCAATATCCGCTTCCCGACTAGGTTCTCCATCTCCCCCAAACTCGTCAGGTCCAACCATTGCGTGCGTGTGACTTTCGTCCCTGGTGCCTCTACTTCACCACCGGGCGTGCTAAGGCCTGAGGGAGTTGTAGAGGGCAGATCTTCGTAGAGCGATAATCCGATGGCTTGGATGGGGATGTTGGGTGCGCCGGGTTGCTTGAGGAATGATCGCAGGATTCGCGCGGGGACGTAGCCGCCACCGCCGATGGCGATCATTAACTGAGGCTGGAAGTCTTGCAGGATCCGGGGAGCTGCCTCTTGACATAGTTTGTGGACCTTGAACGAGGCTGTTTGTTAATATTTTTGTGTCACGATGGATGCCTGTCTGCAGTGGGGTGCGGTGGGCCAACCTGGTTGTAGGTCACATACTCCTTGATGACCATTTTGAACTGAATGGAATGGAGAAATGAGTGTAACCTTGGTATATGGAGCGCTTGCTATGAGTAGCAAGGAAAGTTCGGGGTGAGAGGACTTCTTGAAGAAAGAAGGATAATAAATTTCACAAATTCTGTTTGGCAGCCCGACTAATTGGGCAGGCGCCGAAAAGCTAACGGGGATCGCCTATGATAGAGGGGCTTATCTTTATAGAGTCAGACAGTCCAGTTATAGGTCAGTCTCACATCCTCTCAGATCGTCCCTACAAAAAAGCTTTCTGGGGGAGGTTTAGGCATTATGGAGTGATGATGTGGGTGGCGTTATCACACCCCACCTTCCCGATGAAACGGCTAGTTTTGTAGCCTTGTATGGAATCAGCCTTGTTATTTGTGCCGAGGAGTTTATTGAGCAGTTTAAGACCTGATAATCAGTTCCTTATGACTTCAAAGTTTATCAGCTGGTAATATTATAATAATACGCAAACTATACACATCGTACAGATTTTATCATTAGCAGAGCATAATTCATCATCCCGTCTTCAACCCTCATTTCTCTTCCTTGGCTTTCTTCTCCTCAGCAACACAATCTTTGAATCCCTCCCCTCTAAGAGAACTAACTCCCTTTCTAATAACTGAGCTCCCGATAGCTCTAGCATCTCTCTCATAAACCACATTAATAACCATCAAACTACACACAAAAAGCCAAACGTCACCACCTCTGATGCCCGTCCACCATCCCCTCTTCCTTCCTACTTTCCACAAACTATCAATACTCGCCCGTAAGCTATACAAGAATTCATTTCTGGCCTGCTTTCTGACCAAGAAGCCCCACAAACCGCCCACCATGCCGCCGAAGAAGAAACGCTGCGTGGCTAGGAGGTGGCGGGGAAGGAGTTGCTGGATGAGACAAATGGCGCCCCAGGAGGTGCCAATCGAGCCCGCGGCGAAAGAGGAATAGAGCAGGATCCGGGAGGCGAGTTCATTAAGAGTGGTGATGGGCGCGCGATAGAAGGATTTGTAGCGTGGTAGGGAGAGAACAACGAAGAACGCGGTGAAGAAGCGGGTTAGTTTGGGAAAGACCCGGATCCAGTATGTGACGTAGGTGCGAAGGCAGGACGGGTCGGAGGGGTGAAGAGTCGCACATGTTAGGGACGTAATTAGGGGGTGGGCAGCAGAGGTTATAGGGGATATGCTGGTGAGTTTCTCGGAGAGAGTTTTGCTGTCTGGGAAGAGGATGGGAGAGATAAAGGGGCTAAGAATATTAGCAATAAGCCACACAAGGGAGTGAAATGGGACATACGGATAGTTGAGGCGAGCCATTTCGGCAATGTTATCGACTACTTGGTATGGGCTTGGCCAGGATAGGTGTGTTGGATAGTTCTCCGGACGGGGATGAATATACTGCGGAGAGTTATTGGATATAAAGCGGCCATATGCCTATAAGGGTCAGTCAATTATCCCAGTACGGATACTTTGGCGTTTCCTACCTCTGGGAAACAATCCCGATCAAAAACAAAAGCATGCATCAATTGCCCACAGGTCAGAGGGAAAAGTAACCAACTACCCCACCACCAAGGCCGCTCCCACCTACTGCCTTCTTTGCCCCAAATCCAGCCCTCATCCTCTGCATGGTTATACGCAAATTCAGCTGCTCGACTTAACGCGTATATGGAAATAGTAACCCGAAGCTGGTCGCTGGGATATACGGCTAGCATAAACCCAGCAAGACTAGCACCTACTGCAGGAGCAAGTGTTGATGTGAGGGTTCGCGTAGTCCGTTTATTCCTCTGGCGGAAGGGCCGAGCTTCAGGTGCCAGGAGATGGGCTCGCAAGCGTGTAAAGAAGCGAAAGAGGATGCGGTGGAGGAGGAGGATGGTAGAAATAGAAAGCGACAGTCGAAAATTCGGTCCTTTCCAGAGGGGAACTTTCTTCCCACTCCAGAGACGATCAGCATCTCAATTCACATAAATGGCCATAATATCGCGAGAACCTACTGTATTTTATCCCTTCCTAGTAACCGCTCACTTATTGCTCCCCATGCCTTCAACCCAGCACCGGTAGCAAGAAACAGTCTCAAACTCGCCCTCACAGCCGCGGCATTATGATCATCGCGTCCCGGTCTCTCAAGGAGCTTCTCGACCTTTGCGACGGTGGGCGCATTCTTCTTTAAGACTTTGGATCGCGAGATTATGAATTTGTGGAGCGTCTCATATTCTTTGGGGGATATTGTGTAACGCAGCGCGTTACGGAGGATTGGGTCGTCGGCGGATGGTTTCGCGGACACGGGACCGCGTGATGGCTTGGGGTCTTCTCCTGAAGTCGAAGCCATTGTATGGCAAGTATTGTGTATCCTGAATCCGTTGTTGGCATTCTTGCCGCATAGGTAGGTCGCCCAAAGATTATTAGTCTGACGACATGTGCTTGACCTCGGCTTCTTAGTCACCCACGTATCAACGGCCCACCATGTGGCCCACCTGCATTGAGCGAAACTACTTGGGCAATTTCACAGAATGGGCCAATTGAACAACTCGGCATAACAGACAACTCAATTAATAATTATTATGTATCCTTGCTTTTGGAAGCAATATCCGATTAGTTAATTATACATCACGAATTATTCCCAAAAAAGTTCCCACTCCACCTCCGTCCAGCAACTCCAAAAGCAAGCTCATACACGGCACTATGCTTCCCAACCCATTAATCCAAATCAGTAGTTATCTCATTACCAGAAATCTCATTAGCAGAGATCTCATTAACAGGAATCCTATCCCTAAGCCATGCAAGTGTAGCTTCAGTCCCCTTCTCCAAAACCGTATATTTGGGTACTCGAAACCGATTTCCACTAACGTCCAGTCGTTCGAGACCACCCGGCCCGCCAAGTAGACCAATCCGAGGACTAAGGCTGCTTATATCATTGCTGCTGCAATCCAAGGTTCTCAAGCCTCTAACGGATTCCGGCGAGAGCTCCCTGATGGTATTATGCGACGCGAAGAGCGTGATTAGGGACGGAAAATGCGACCTCAAGGCCGGGAGAAAGGTCAGTCGGTTGAAACTAATATCGAGTTTCTCCAGTTGCGGTGCTTGCACATGCTGTATTATTGGTTGTAAGGAATTGAATGTGTTGGAGCTGATGTTTAACTCCTTCAACACGGGGAGTTCTAGATCGTCCTTCATGAATCTGTCGCTAGTCAACTCATTGTGAGAAAGGTTCAATGTGGTCAAAGTAGCCGCGAAGAACGCGATGGAGCTCGGAATTTCGTTGAATTTGTTGTGGTGCAACTCTAGCACTTTAATATTGTTGTTTGTAGCGACATGGGCAGCTGCAACTGGGTTGAGAGAGTGTGATTGGGTGTTGGATCGATCGAGAATATTTCCAGTTTTGACCGGCCACTCACACGAAGGCGACCGTAACGGGGAGATGGGCGATACTGGAGCAGAGTAGAATGCCCCTTCAGATCCAAATTCTTTGTCTGTTTCGTGTTCGGGAGGTGCCATTCTTGCTTTTAGCGCACGTTTTATCTCATCTGTTGACATGCTGGCGAACTTCCGGTCTCGCAATGGGTTCCCACTAATGTGGAAAACATTAAGATTGTCCATCGCTCCAATTCTATCATCCAGAACTTTGATGTTATTGCCATTGAAATCCACATTCTTGACTTTGGCTAGCATGACAAATCCCTCGGGGATGGTGGATATGTTGTTATCCTCGGCTGCAAGTGACAAAAGAGACTGCCACGAGCTCATATCGGGAAGACCAACGAGGCGATTAGATGAACAATTAAGCTGCTGGAGCGACGGAAGGCGGAGTTGATCAAAATCTGTGAGGCTAGTGATGGCATTGCTCGAAATATCCAGGATCTGAAGCTGTGGGAGTTCTTCAATCTCGGAGGGAACAAGGGTATCGGCAAGCTTGTTCTTCGAAGCAAAAAGTTCGATAAGGGGCACATGACGTAGCGCCTCGAGGGCCAGAGAGGTCAAGCTGTTTTCTCTAACGTTGAGCACTCGCAAACGCACAAGTTCTGCTAATGCATCTGGCAAGGAAGTTAGAGTATTGCCCTGCAAATCTAAAACCTCTAGGTTGCGGAGGCATGATATCCTCGTGTCTAAAGACCCCGATAGCTCATTTCGTCCAAGCTTTAGGTCATGCAAGGAAGTGATTTGTGAAATGGTTTCAAAGCAATCGTTCCCGAGTTTGTTGTTTGACTGTGAGAGTCAGCACTGGTAACGGGTATCATTTTTTAGCCACTTACAAGGTTCAGTGTTGTTAGAAGCTCAAGCCTCCTTAATCCGACAGGTAGCGCTATCAGGACATTTCCATGCAGATCTAGGGTTTCCAAGCCTCCGAATTGATTTCCTTTAGCGTCTTCATCATCTAGGCTTTCACGGGGAGCAATATCAGGGAAAACATGATCTCCGATCAATTCGAACTCGTTATCGGCAGCAACGAGTCTGATGAGATCGACGGCTTCAGCCCACGAGCCATCTTGCGCACCAATAGCCTCCAGACTATACATATTCAAAATGTCTTCGGGAAATTCCTTGAACCCCATGGCAGCAATATTGAGTCTTCCATCCGATCGAGCGGCATCGATACGCTTACGAAGTAAACCTTTGATATCATTCTGATTGACTTTTTGATTGAATGGGTCATCTGACAAGCCAAAATCAAAAGTACCTGTGGCAATGACAGGAACTTCTTCCTTCCTCGCAGGGTCGATGTTGGGCGCTTGTTTGGCTGCGGCCCGCTTTGCAGCTTTGGCTTTGGCTATTTGGTCACGAAGTGCAAGAGAAGATTTTCGCGGTGTTAGCTCCTGATTCGCATTAGATACAGAGGTTGCTGTAGTCGCCGATGAGACCTTGKAAGTGATTGAAGCGGCTTCTGATGATGAATTTGAAAATGTAGGAGGCTTCTTTTTGGAGGCGAATCCAATCCGGTCGATGTCATTAGATGAGTCTAAACTCGGCATCGAAGGCTTGCGGAACAGTCCATTCACAGAAGCACGCGGCTTTAGAGGCCTCGCGGAAAGGGTCTTGCTTCCTGACTTTATCGGTGGGGCCCTAGCTGTAGATTTGCCCAGAGACGGAGAAACTTGCTGTGTTGATGGGCTGAACACGGGCGATGGGAGTTTCGACGATGATATATTAGGTGGCAAAGGTGAATTGCTCGGGATAATGGAGAGCCTCTTAGATGTCCCCGTACTAGGACGTTTAGTTGGAAATTGGGCGCCGAAATTAGGTGGAGGGCGGAACGTATTCGTAGAAGCACGGAAATCTACCGGGGCAGATTTGCCCGGGCCAGCACTCGAATTTGGCCTCGAGTTAGAGGAACGAGATGATGGCGGCCTCATCGACCCATCTGCCTGATGACTAGACCCAGGCCGCGAAGTCTGATTGCTTCTGGATGGTGGCCGCATTGGATTATCTGAACTGAAGAAGCTCGAACCTCTCCTTCGCACTGCCGGAGAGGACGGTATATTCTGCAGAGTTTCGATTGCCCGCTCTGATAATGATGGTCGCGGCTTTCGGGCCGGGCCGGCTGCGCTGGAGGCTTGGTCTGTTGGTTTCTCAGGATTTGAACCATCATCTTCCTTAATATGTCCCTCTGTCTGCCTCAATCCCCGACCAACCTGTCCTTCGCCAAAGAACGTTCGCGAAGGTTTTCTGACAAGTGTATCGTGGCTGATCCGGCGCGAGACACGTTTGGTAGTTGGGGTATAACTGGACGTGCCAGTCGACGGCTCGCGGTTTCTAGGGAGGACGCCGATCGAATCGCGCTTTTTACCGGGAGTTGAAGGTATGCGGGGTCTTGTTGGGGTTGCCAAAGACAAATTGTCGCGAGAGGGGGTGCTCCGTAAAATGGGATTGCTCACGCTGAGCCTGGGCGACTGCTGAAGATTTTCTCGAGATGGCGACGGACGCAGACCAGCTCGGGGCACGGGGAGCCTCGAGGGCCGTGGGATTCCAGATGCCCTGGGAGTTGGGGTGCCAATGGATTGATCCATGGTGACAAGGGCGGAGTGTTGGCGAAGAGAAGAGAGGTTAATCGGCGGTTTGGGTGGTCATAATGGTGGTGATCGTGAACAGAAATTGCCCTGTGGATGAAGAGGAGATAAGGGGCAAATAAGCAATTACTGCACCTCACTCCACCTATCTCAGGTCTTATCTAGAAAAAGCCAGCAGTGGCAGTAACCCCTAACTAACGGTAACGGTAGCGGGCAGCCTCTCAGACACTTCCCAATAAAGAATCTGATGGCACGTTGAAGCTCTCTCGCCCAAGAGTGGAATTTAGTCAATTTTTGTTTGTATTGATTCCACTAGAGAGCTGTTCCTAGCACCCGCAGCTTGCAGCTATGGGGTTCCCGTCTCACCGCCCCGGCCCGGCAACCACCGTGCAATGTCGCTGATATCTGTTATCTGTTACTACTATGTACATGTACTGTAGCTATCGACGTACTGCGTAGGTGCGTACAGTACCATGTAGACGAGCATGGATACAGCATGTCTTGATCATAATCTACCTTATATAGCAATGGGTGCCATTTAAGGTGCCTACCTACCCCTCGATGCTGATAATTCGTTAAAAAGAGACCACTTCCCAATCCGGTAGCTTGTTGAACCCCAAGGCTCCTTGCCTATTCCAGCCTTTCAGGGGTTACCCGCCGCATGCCGGCCGCTGCCCATGGCAACCGTCCGGCGCCGGCGCTACAATAATCCGCCCCCGGAGCCGCCCAGCCCTCTGCCCAGACCAACTCCCAGCCCTGCGTAATGTGACACTGTGTGTTCCCGCAGCTTGATTGATTCTCTCCTCCGCAATCTTCATCTTCATCGTCACCGTCACCTTTCCTGTCGCAATACCCTTCACAATCACCACCTCGAACACAGTCTTCTTGCCTCACAGTCGGACCGCATTTGTTGCCAATTGTCTCGCGCCCTTCCAATATCTGTCGCTCTGCTCTGCGACTAGCCCGCTGTGCTATCTGGGTGTTCGATCCTGACCCGCCCGGTGGCTCTATCGCTCGCTCCACCAAGGTGAAGGAAGGTGCGCCAGCTACCCCATACCGATCTGCACCTCGACGCCAATGCTAACCATTCAGCAGACGCCAACAATATTCTCACAGTTGCTATTGTCACTATTGCACTCATACAAAGGGTATGTCTTTATCTCTGTTCCGAATTGTAGTTGTGACCTACCGCTGACCACTTCAACTCGCAGACCTCTTGGTGACCGAATTGCTATCTGTGACAATGAGTTCCCAAAGTTCGTTCGAGGGGATATCTCCCTTAGATGCTCCTTCAACTCCTCAGAATGCCAATATTGGTCTGCCTGCTGGACAGCAGATCCATAGATCTGCTTCCCCAACCGCCTCGTTGACAGCTGCTCCGGGTACAGCATCACTACTCACGTCCTCCATGACCCCACCACCATCGTCGCAAAATATCAACTCACGAAACGCCATTACTGCGAATCGCATCTCTGCCACCCCTGAACCTCCCATCCTTACTTCTCCGCCGCCAACATTACTCAACGGTGCCAAAAGAGAAGCACATGTTGGCCCGCCTGTAAAGCCAACCTCGGAGCAGTTGGCCAATGCTTCTCCCGAGATGCTTCGAGAGATGCTAGAAGCAGCGCTTGCAGAGAATGCTAGATTGGATGCGGCAGCCTGTGAGGCTCGGATGTCGGCCGCTCATTACAAGCTACAGCACAATCTGCTCACAATTGAAAGCGAGGAGGCCATCAAGCATCTGGAAGTCGAGCACGAGATGACTCTTCGGGAGGTTGAGCTTCTTCAACATCGCGTCCAGGATGCCCAGGATCCCCCAGCCCTTGAACATTATAGAAACCGGTGCAGGCAGGTTGAAGCGGAATGCCGTAAACTCGCTGATGACTTACGGAAAGCAAAGAAAATCATTATTTGGAAGGAAGATGACGTCGCTGATCTCCAGGGGGAGGTTAGGCAGTTAAGAGAACGGATATCCCTGAACCGGAAGCACATCAACGAGATGCGTAGTCCCGGCGGCATCTTTCACAACCCTAGCCTCCATAATTCTCCAACGACTCCCAAGCAGTATCGGTCGACTCCTAAGCACACTCCAATGACAGGTCGATCTATTCGCCAAGCTCGTGATCATAGCCAGGAACCTTTCGCGGCCTTGCTACTGGCGGACAGGGTGCTGAGCCAGGAAAACAACAGCGCCCCTTCCACACCAATCGTCAACCGACGCCCTGATCACCGTACACCCAATAGGCACAACCGTGGTGTTCAGTCGTTGTCTTCACTGCCTGCTACGCCTGGATCTGCCCGACCGGCAACCAGCAATTCAACCCTCCTGCCATCTGCTCAATTCTCCCCTCAAGCAGAGGAGCGCGTTGCTACTGCATTTGCCAGTGGTATGAGTCAATATCCACGAGAGCGCCGCCGCAAGTCGCGCGACAGCACCATCTCCGCCTCTGACACCGAAGAGATCGCCCGTGCCGCGGTCAATGCATACCGTGAAGTCAGCCCGGACATTCAAGAGAGTCAGGCTAGCCAGAGTGCGACCGAGATGCTTCGTCTCGACCCTCGCGAATCGTTTGAGGTTGCCGCGTCGCGAACTTCCACGCCCATCCCTACTGGAGACAAGCACAGCAGCCTCCAACAGACCAAGATATTTGGATCCGTTACCAAGTCTGTCCCAGAGAAGAGAAAGCGCAGGGATGACGAGCACTCCAGTGATTACACCATCAAGAAGGCTCGCGCAGCTGGCAATGTTGGTCTAGGAATTGGTTTCGACGGTACCCGTGCATAAGGGAAATATCTTGACTCCATTGCCGCATAATCTTTTCTGCTATCCCCTTACGTTGGGCCAACTAACCCCGGGAAAATATTTCTTATGATGCTATGAATACGACTGTCACGGAATCATTTCTCTCCATTTTCGTTTGAGGATAATTGGTGCTATCAGGATGCCCAATCATGCAATTATTATTTCAGCTTCCCTCCACAAACCATTGTACAGTATTGGGAACTGCTGTTATGCCGGGATTTCATATTGCTAAATTTCGGCTGGTTTGAAAGCTTAGACGATATTCCGCAAAGTTCATCCACTCTTGCTTTACTTGATTAAGATAGCCATAGATAGCAGTTGCAGGGCCATAGCCCCATAGCTCATGAATACAATCCCCAATGTAACAATACTCTTCGCATTGTAACTTCTGTGACCATCGATCATATAGGGTAAAAGATATAATGCATCTACTAATGGTATCTGCCTTATAATCCACTATCTCTTTGCGAGACAAGGCTGAAATGCTCCGTTAGTGGGGTCACTTGTGGGTTGGTTGGTCGGATTCCGGTCATGACTAAGCCGGTGCTCCGCCGCTGTCGGTGACGAGTCGACGGTCCAAAAAGCTTGAGCTACATACCTACATCTTTCGTGTTTATCTAAGACACATCCAACCGTTGCCTGAGGATCCCTACTATAATAATGTTATAAAGACCAACCTCTCCCATTCAGCTCTCAAATACTTTGAGTGAAGCCTCAAACTATCACATAGAATAGTCGACATAAAATACCTAGGCCGTCTGGCTGCCTAGATCCGTCATCAATTTCAGACCCATACCATGGATCACGTCTCAGGCTCAGAAAAGTTGCCAGTCGACGAAAAGGAATCTCAAGAGGAAATTTTGAGAAGCATTCAGAAGGTCTTCGAACCTCAAGAGCAACATGTTAACGACGATCAGATGACGAATGAGGATGATGGTGATGATGAAGAAGAAGAACCAGAGATCGACCCAGAAGACCAACATGCCAGAACAGGAAGATTAAAATCAGTTTTGTCGTCACTAGACTGGCTGTGGAGCTCTGGATATGAACGGATGGACCAGGCCATGGAGAGCGTGGCCGATGGAAGTCGGGATCGTAAGTCAGGGGTGTTCAGAACTTTGTTCAAATTCAAATTCTTTTTACTCGGCGTTCTTGTGACCTCTGCCTTAAACGCTCGACTTTTTTTGCGTAACAGAATTTTACTGCTGTCAGCCTTCGGTCCCCTTTATGCTGGAGTCAATATTTTGCATGCACTGACTGGGTTTTAGCAAGATGGCGGATACCAATGGGAGAGTCCGGGATTCTTGATTTCGTTCTTGGGCTCTTGGGCGTACCTACTTTAACGTATGCCCTCAAGCTCCATATTTTGCGGCTGATCGGGAATTCATGCGCGGATACTGGTAAGTTTATCATATAATCTATTGGATGAAGCTAACTTCAACAGACGAGAATCGGGCTCGAGTCGTTTCTTCGAATTCCTTGCCTTCAATAATTCTCCAGCTAAGAGATACTTCGTTGCTGCAATTTACCGTACCGGTTTTATTCAATATATGCATAGACTATGGTAAGCTTTCTTAGGCCAGCCTCCCTGATGCCTAACTAACTTCATCAGAGCCTGCACAACAACAAGCTTCGAAATCCTCCTTAGGAAAAAGGCTTATTCATCTCATATCTAGTCCGACGTTTAGTATTAACAGAGCGCTTGTCGGATATACTTGCAAAATACTTGACCTTTTGATCACTCAACGTAAAGTACTTCCGTGTACTTCTGACTAAGTGCAGTGCTAACAAGAAGGCAGCATCTGAACTAGAACTCGCACCTGAAGAATCAGCCATAGTACTTTTGAGGATTGCAGCAGATAGAGAGCTTCTCTATGATATGGAGGATTTTGTGGCTCTGGTCAACACGGCTGTAGCCTACCTTCAACATGAAACTTTTCAGAAAGCCCTGGTTTTACATGGAGGTTTGGACACTACTGTCACAGTGTTGGTGGACTCGTATACTCGGTTCGACTCGCACCCGTCAATCGGCTCATCTCCACCGGGGCAAGAAGAAGCCAAGATACTCTCACAAATGCGCAGCAATCTCAATCTAGTCCTTTCAGATGTCTCAGCCCTCCCGGAATTTAAGGACACATGTCCAATCGTATCGCCGTTCAGCAGTTACCTTCGACGCTGGCTCTCAAGTCCACAACTTCAACTCCAAGTCTGTGCATGTATCATGTTGGGAAACTTGGCTCGTTCTGACGCGGCATGTGAAGAATTTGTCCATACATCTCAAGTGCATAAACCTCTAATTGCGATCCTTACTGATGCAAACGACCCTCAACTTCTCCATGCGGCGATGGGTTTCCTAAAAAACCTCGCCTTGCCTGTTAAAAACAAGGAAGAGATTGGAAATTCAGGGGTATTCGAAATTCTTCCGCGACTTTGGGCCCTCGACACCTTGCATCAAATACAATTTTCGTCGATATCCCTAGCTCGCCAGCTTGTGAACAATACACACAAGAATGCCCGAAAGCTCTGTGCGAGACTATCCGATGATCTAGACTCACCCGCACATATGCGCTCCAATCTCTCACTTCTCATTGCCCTATTTGACCGCACAGATGTCGAACCTACCAAAATGGAGATCTCCCGACTGATGGTAGCGGTATGTCGCGTGGTCAGTACTTCCACAGCCCGACCACCCGAAGAGATGGGACGCGTACGCAAAATGTTCTTCTCCATGCATCCAGAGATCGGCAGGCCCCTTGGATACATGGTCTCGCAAACGAAATGGCCGGCCTTGCGGAGTGAAGGCTGGTTTGTTTTCGCGCTTATGGCAAGGCATCCTGAGGGCGCAGAATACATCAGCTCGATGCTGCATGATGCCCCTGTCTTCCAGCCATTGGTTGAGGCCTTGACCGGGGAGAAATTAATAGCCCCCAAAGTCTCACCTCCATCTACCCCCCTCTTGGAAGCACAGGTCGTCGGTGACGAGTCCACTGAAAGTGCTTCCCAACCGCACCCACAGGCTGCCGAGATGGCAAGACTCGATCGGCAAAATGTTCTTGTGCTCGTAAGTGAACTATTAAAAAATTACGGCCCTGAGATGGCTGTGATGAGGAAAACTCTGTTTGAAGATCTGCTCAAGGGTGGTGGGGAGCGAGTGCTTTCTGAGAAGGAATCTGTGTCCTTGGGGCGCCTTGAGGACCCGACTCTCAAAGAGAAAGGGGCGGGGCCGGCTTGAACTATTGGGGCGCCCTAAGAAATCTTTGAATATTGGAGTTATCAGCGGTATTGGCCTTTAGATATCATTTTGCATACGGCTTTCAAGATGCATTGGGTTCGCGTAACGTACACGTGATAACCACCCCTTTTTTCAAGCTCGCTTAACAATGCTCTTTGTGTATAGAAAAACAACAATATTTTTGTTTGATAACATAAACAGAGTTATCGAAAAAGATAAAAGGGAATAAACTGCAGATAACTTTTCGGGCAACGAAGCACTGAGTCATTGCACCAAAATGCGCATTTGAATTAAGGCTACAACAGCGATAAAGTTTGTTTTCTATCCGCTGCTAGCCAGCAGTCCCAAGCTATTCACATGTACGAGACATAATTATCTACGAAACTATACCTTTTTTTTGAGAGGAAAACAGCACAAATATCTGGAACAATATCGAAACGGCCTTCACTACTACTCGCTAGTGCTACTTAGATAAAATTCCACAAGCGCCCATTAACCATCTCCTTTTCCCATCACCCACCAACGCCCTTGCATACAGAAAGCCACAGGAAAAGTAACCAGACACAGTCACATCCAAATCTTTTCACAATGGACGAATCGCTTCAGTCTCTCCACTCTCGCAGAGTAGCCTCTGATAAGTATCTGAGCATTATTGCTGCAGAAATGGGATTTGATGAGGATTGTTTTGTCCCAGAGCCTTCCAGGCACGCAGTCAGAACCCCTCACGCGACTACCAGTCGACGCCGGTTCGATGCTGTATCCAGACACGTTGGTCTAACTCCGCTTGACATGGACAGAGTCGTTCACGACGCAAGTTCGGCCACTCCTCATGAGTACACGAGCGTTGAGGTCGTCTGGGCCTCAGTAGGACTAGGAGATGTGTACCCATATGATGATGCATTTGACCTTACTACTGGTGATAGTAGAGGCTTGTCCATGCTAGAGGATCTTGCTGACGACATGGAAGAGAAATGGAGACAGGCCAAAGCTAAGCCCCCGTCTCCTCATACCTTGCTTTCTGAGATGGGCGGTAGTGCTCTGGAGTTTGACTCAGATATCTCCCTGCTCATGCTGCCCTCGCCACTGTTACCTCTTCCAAACCATGGCGGAGGCGTCTGGGCCCCAGGACCACCGCGTGTGTCGCCATATGATGATGCGTTTGACCCTACTACTGCTAGTAAAGGTGTGCCCATGCCAGGTAAGTCGCACAATGAAACGATGAATGATATTGCTGACGATATGGAAGAGAGATGGAGACAGGCTAAGGCCAATCCTAAGCCTCTTCATGCCTTGCTTGCTGAGATGGGTGGTAGTTCTCTTGCACTTGACTCAGATATCCCCCCGCTCAAGCTGCCTTCACCGTTGGTACCTCTACTGCGAGGCGGGGAAGACGCACAAGACTCCGAGTCTGACCTCCCCGAGTCTGCATTCACGGTCTCAGATTACTTGACAGGTAAGTCTAAACCGGTTGACAAGGATCTTCTCTAGAGACCCCGGTCCTATCGCGCTCTATTAGTGATATCGAGGACTCCGGTAAAGATGACAACGACCATCGACAGCCGGAGAACAGTAGTGTTACTTTGCGTACTCCCACGGCACGAAACAATAACAACGTGCACGTATCTCCTATGGTGGGCTCTGGTGGTCTGGGAACTGATTTTGTTAGCGGCATTTTACTAATCCCGCCGACCACTGTACCCTAATCCCCCCCGGCCCCCCTTAGATATTTATTGATTACTAGACCGGCCTTTACGGCACCTAGATATGCCAGGACACATGTGGTATGTCAGTTAGGTATGCGCTAGTACAAATAAACTACCCTAATATTCTATACAAATTTAGTACCTATTACTACTGTAACTTTAGTAACCTGGCTATGTCAACTTACCTTGTCGTGTAAGTTCCTATAATACTGCAGATTAATATAGCTTGAATATACAAGTACTAAAACAGCTACAACATTATGACCACGAAGCAATATTTACGGGAAAATTCCGCAACAGCAGCAACTGTTGGATCCGCAAGGTCCATAGGTGAAAGAGTGATTGATGGATTGATTCAGGTAAAGGGATAGGGGAGCCTCTAACTATATACAGGCGTAGACCGAAGTGAGATTTAATCCAACAGCAACGTTCCGTGACAACAGTATAATGCATGACAGGATGATTCAGATTAACTGGTCAATTAACCAACAGATTATCAGAGAGCTATAAGGAACGAATGTTATAACTCTCCGTATAGCGACTGGGGTGACTTCGAGGAGCCCGCACAGCCTTCGATAAGTAACAGCCCCTCTTTCCCATCCCGCTGAAATTGGTTGGTCTCTCACAGATAAGCGTGGTGACGCCGTCTGGAGTGTGCCATGGGTTAAACCACTGTACCTACCAAGGTATGTAGCATTCTGCTGGTGTCTTCGTGAAGAAGTCTAGCTTCCTGGGAGTGGAGCAACTTAACTGTAGCGGCAGCCGCCGCATCGGGTGCGATAATGACTTCTCCGTTTCCGTTTCCGTCTGGTAGATCCATATCCTCCAGAAAGATATTTTACTGTTAGTGGCTTCCTATCCCTATTGTATCCTAGGATAACACCTTGGTCCTGGAATTGCATATTTCGCTTGATCCTATATGCACCGACACGAGCCTGTAGAGGCAAGGCAATAGCCTGGAAATCTAGAGCGTCGGGGTAAGGGACTAGCACTCAAGCTTCCTTGGTTCTAGCTCTCTCACTGTCGTAATCGCTACGGAACATTGTCGAGTCTCTAACAGGTGTAAACTCACGAACAGAGGGCTCTCGTGAAACGGCACTACTAATCGACGGAAAGGTGACCTAGGTCGAGGCGTTTGACCCTCCACGAGCATAAGTAGCTTCTTAGCTCGTAATCAAGCGCCAGGATTCTAGAGGTTGATTCGACGGAATCAGAAAAGATGACCGACCATTCCACGAGTAACGGGTCTATGTAGCTCTAGGGAATTAAGGATCAAAGTTCAATCAGAGTGTTTGGCTTTTGTATGTCTTAAAATTGTTCCTATCTTAGAGACGTAAACCAACATCCTCTGCCAACTCCCGGACTGGGAGAACTGCCTAGCGCCTGACGAGATGCTTTTATTGCTGCCTGCAATTATAAATTCCGTAAGCCTCTCTATCGCTCTGGTACTTTTGGCGTACAGAAGGAGAACTTTGTTTTTATTACTACTTGGCGAAATAGCTTACAAAGTATTTCGAGACAATGACAACAATGCCAAAGTTGACAACAGTATTTTAACTAACAACAGGCACTCAAAATGAAATCCTATTCTCCTACATCTTTTCCGCAGTGAGCTCGTACGTGTCTGGAATATCAACATCAAAATTCCAAAAAAAATTCAAAACTCAAAGAGACGTTTTAAACTTACCGAAAAGTGAATTTTTTGTTGAAGTTGAAATTGAAATCAAGGCGTTAGGATGGGAGGTTGATGGAAAGAAGAGAAGAGGAAGAGCCTGTCAAGATAACTATAGCTCCTGCCGTGTGGCTGGAGGGCGCGACTAGGAAGGCTCTGTGCTCATTCGCGAATGTGTCTGTTGTCTAATGAAGACATCAACGCGTGATCATGTCAACCGCTTTATTGGCTACAGCGAGGCCATTGTGCTTTACCCATGACTAACAAAAACCTCGTCAGTTCCTGGTTTGGAACCAAAGTAGGACCTGATGAAAAAAAAAGAGTAAGAGTAAGCTGAGTTTAAATATCTATGATGTAGCCAAATTAATTGATGACAACTTTCCACTTGTAACATGCGAAGGGCGGCAATGAAACAGCACAAGAACGCAGCATAATTAAAGGGCAAGGTTTCGCCGATAGGGGCAACTTTAAACGCAAACTCGGGGTCTTGAAGACACGCGCAACTAACAGATGACTAGGTTCAATCTAGATAAGATTAGATCCGCATCCTCTCCACAGCAGCACATAAAGCGCTCGCTGGGGTGAGAAAGGGGGCGAGGTGCCATTCCAGAAAGTGAACATAAAGCCCAGGTACCAGATTGATTGCACCACGCCCGGGATGTCGAGAAGGTAGAGTCTCGTGTCTGGAAGCCAGAATCCGAGCTCGTATGTCGAGATTTGCCTAAAGAAGAAAGAGCGATCAGTAGTAGACGCCAATCCGGCAGTGAGACTATGTATTATTAATATCCGTTAATCAGCATCTCGCAAGGGGAACGTCCAAAACGAATTCGACCATAAATGTATGTTGCATTGCGAAAGCATCGAGTGATCGATAAGCCTCATCTGTTCTGGAACCGATGGTAAGAGCCGACTCGATCACTGCAAGACTTTGTCAGTCATGGTATCTCTTGCTTCCTAATAGCATGAAAGTGAAAAAGAAATGAGCAAATCTCGCGCTACTTTACAAGTCGATGACTGCGAATACTACCGGGTATCATTCCACCTCCCCATACGCCATATCGATGCAAACCACCTCATGAACATGTAAGTGCAAAGCAAAACGCAATCAGCCAGCGAGTAAAACGACGCCACCAGTGACAATGAGAAAGGATAAGCAAAATAGGGCAGTAACAACAACTCAGGTGTCCTGGATAGGTCCGATAAGTTGTTCGTGAACATGAGCAAGATGCTCACGTTGAAGCTCAAAAGAACTGTAGTTGCCTGCAAGGGTGGAACCAAGGATGCTCTGACGGCAACGGTCTTCGAGGTACTGCAAATCGCCCATTCTCTTTTGCATGTCTCTATAAGCATTAGAGAAACACTCTAGAACCTTGTTCGTGTTTGAAGCTCCGCCTGATATATCATTGTCCGGTCTGTTGGGGTCAAGGATGGATATCTTTGTCGTTGCGCCTTTGTAGGCAATGTTCGGAATTTGAGCCTTATCATTGTCAGCAAAACTAGTTGTTGACTGGGGTACTGGAAGGGATGAATCATACCTTTGGAATATAAGCCGGCGGCTTCATGGAAATCGCTGTGGTAGTAACATTGAATTGATTGCCGTACAAGTCGAAGAACTCCATCAGAATTTCGCCGAGATGATGCTCTGGGATCATGCTCCTGCTCTGAACCTGTGGCATGTGCTGGAGTAGACTTACAACGAGACAGATAACAGAGAACCCACCAATGCCTCCATTTGAAGGCTCATTAAGACCCCTCATCGCAAGGACATGCTTGATTAATGTGACAAGGATGGGCATGGCGGGGAATTCAGCCTTCCACTCCTGAAAGGTCTTGTTCGCGATCAAGCCAGTGTCATTCTCAAAGGAGATATCCACTCTCAACCCAGTAACTCTATCAATGTACTTGACAAGCGGGACTTTGGCCTTGGCGATCACTTCCACTGACCCCTCAATAGGTATTTTCTGGCTCCTTAAGAAATCGGCAAATCTCCAGAGGTCCCTATTCCTGTATTTGGGCCAACCCGTTCGCGTATAATCCTCCGAAACGCAAACCAGATCCATATCGGAAACTGGCAAGTACAGACCAGCTGGAAATGAGCCAAATGGCAGAATTTCGACATCTGAATAGCGCCTCCTGACACTGGTCCGGAGGTCCTCAATAAGCTTTGCGCGGATGACTTGCTCGAAGTGGCGGGGCTTGACGTAGTAATAAAAGTCAATAATTTCTTTATGCAACCTGAAAGATATGAGCGAGAGACAATCAGCATGAGCGTGTGCCACTTACCAAAGACCCATATTGGCACTATTAGAATGATCGATCTCGACCCAGGGAGTACCCGTCGAGTTGGCAGGAATCTTCCATGATGATACAATTTTACCGTCAGATGGTCCCTTCTTTCCCTTGAGTGGGCCCCAGATCTGGGGAGGGCCTTTGAGCTCGTCTCTGATGGTTCGTTTGCGATTACCTAATGCCGGATCTGAAGCAAAGTTTATGGCTGGGGCTGGCTTGGAGGGAAGCGTGACAGGATGTTTGCTCGGCAATTTGATTTGTATAGGACCAGTCTCGCGAGGAACCATTTGTGGAACTGGGGGAACCTCATCGCGTGGGCGAGCAGCATCACGAAGAACCTGTTCATCGCGAAGCATGCGAACATCGCGAGAAGTCTCCTGTGCGGGTGGAGCAACCTGCTTCCCGCGAGGGCGAGGGCCTGTTGGAGCACCGGGAACACCGTTTCCAGGGTGGTCAGCTGGTCTGTATTGGTCACCAGTCAATTCATCATTATCGAGATCAAAAGAAATAAAATCGTCGATTCTAGCCTCGGCTTTTGTGGCGTTCTCTGTACCAGTGACACGAGCCTTGCGGATTAGCTTGACCACGTCCTTTTTCTTCCGTTGCGAGTCATCTGGAGGTGGTAATGCTGTGTATGGATCTGGATTGGACCATCGGGGGACACTGTCGCCATCTGCGGCCTTAGTCTCCATACGAGGTTGCTTTTTCTTGGGTTGTTGAGCTTCATCGCTGCTTTCGTTTTCAGACAAGCTCATTTCAGCTTCATCGCTATCTGACATCTCCTCGATGGGCCGATATCTATACGACGGACCCTTATCTTCATCTATGCCTTGCATAAGCTCTGGGGTAGGGGCACGGGTTGTCTTCAAAAAAGCTCGATCTGACGCGCCCTTACGGCCGCCGCGACCGCGATACCCACCACGTCCGGCACGCGGGTTGTCATTGTAACGTTGGGAATTATAGCTGCCGCGCTCATCGCCACGGTATTGCTGACGGGCTGATTGAAAGTGACTGGTAGGGCCATCGCTATAGCTCTTTGGGCCAGGTGGTGGTCGTGGAGGGGAAAGGGATCGAGGCCGGTAGCTATCTCCTTCCCGTTCACGGCGACCGAAGTCCATAGACGGAGGCGCATCATAGCGGAAATCGAAGCCGTCACCACGAGGTCGATCTTGTCCAGGAGCGCCGGGGTAGTCATAATTATGTCTAGGCGGAGATCGACGATCATAGGAAGGTCTAGACTCATAGTCGGCTCGCCCACGGAATTCGTACATCGGTGGAGGGGGTGGTCCTGGGGGATATGGAGGGCGGTTTTCATCCTGGCGACGGTAACTGTAGTTTTCACTCTGGGGTCGGTATGAATCGCCGCCGCCATAGGTACCAGACGGCCGGTTTCTTGCTGGAGGGGGCGCCTTTCGCGACATTTTTTGGAGTTGGTCGTGGTGGTGATCCTTCGTCGCGGGGGGAACGGAGTACGAAGTAATAAAGGATTCGCGATCAAGAGGTTTGAAGAATGGAAGTTGAAAATTCGCGACGCACCACTTTAGGCTTAGCGTGCTGAGCGGTGTTGTCTCCCTGCAGTCTCATCACGTGCGTGTAGACAAGGCTGTGTTTATTTTGATGCAAACTTGGAACAGCAAGGGCTGAAGGAAGTACTTGCAGCATATTATAGGTGTCCTACGTAGGAGCTTGTACCATATATAGGTAGTACTTAAAGACACTTGAATTCTAAGTAGCTATTTTCCTACACATAATTTGTAGCAATATACCTTTGTCTCTACGTTTGTCTCTACCACCAACTGTTATGCAAGGCTGCCCCCTCGATTCTATGCAAGCATGTGATCTAAGCCCAGGCCGAGCAAGCGCATGCCTTGCCTTGCCTTGCCTATTATTATTTGTACTGAATGCGCCGCTCTACCACACAATACGACTCTGCCGCCGGGGGCTTGAATATATTTATATTCGTAATTATCTAAACACCTCTTTTCTCTTTTATTTGGATGCAATGCCGAGTGATTGGTACCTTGGGCCCATCGAAGTTGCGGATGCGATCGCAGAGCAGAGCTGAATCCTGAGCCCGGTCCACGAAGCAAGCCTGTTTGCCCGTCGGCAACAGTGACGTTGTAGCAAATGGCTGCGTTTGTACGTCTACACTGCCCTGCCCCCCAACTTGAAACAACAAACATTATCATGACTGATGCCTCTCCACGAAGGACACTCCCTGGATGATGGCCTCCACTCCGAGTTCGAGCAGGAAAAATGGATCTCCTGATGGAGACCCTCAAGCCAACCATGACCCAAACCCCCCAACCGTAGCCGCGTTCTCGCCGGTGACACTCTCCCAGGCCCCCTCAGCGAACAAGCAACGATCCACCATCCTCGTGCATCAGAAATCTCCCCTCCTTATTGCGACCCCTCCTCAAATCACACGAGCGTTGGCATATTCGCATCCGTTCCTTCTCCCGCTCAATAAGCTGGTTGGACTCTTAACATGGACGACCGAAGACCCATGGGAGAGCTTCTTGCTCCTCGCCGGCTTCTGGGCGGTGGTCTTATACGGGGATATAGTTATGCGGTTGGCAGGCCCGGTGGTGGTTGTAATGGGATTGATACTGGGCATGTATTCAAGACGATATTCCCCCTTGTCATCGACAGGTTGGACGAGAGAGAAGCAGAAGAAAGGTCACAAAAAAGCGGATTCGGAGGCCACGAATACGAAACATCAGAAAACCCTTGACGAGATTGTTCAGACGTTGAAGATATTTACATCGAGATGCAATGTGCTCCTCGATCCTATGCTCGAGCTCACCGATTTCCTTTCTACTCAAAGAACTGCCACGTCCGCCACAACGAGGCCGGCTCTCACGACTCTTCTACTGCGGATACTATTAGTGACCCCGCTGTGGATCGTTTTGACTCTCCGACCGATCCAAATTATTACAACGAAGAGGATCGTGCTAGTTGTAGGAACACTATTTTTGACCTGGCATTCAAGACCTACCCGGGTATCAAGAACCATATTGTGGAGATCGGCCCTCATACGCAGATTGTGTTCGGTCGTGACGGGTCTCCATTTCGCAGGTACCCCTGTTCCTGTAGTTACTGGAGAAAAGACTCGAACACCTTCCAGAACGCCGTCAGCGTGTCAAGAAGGTGCACAGCTGGCTGCTTCTGCAGCCGCTAAAAGACGGCCTGATGCACCAGGAGTTAAATTTACATTTATAATCTATGAGAATCAACGAAGATGGCTTGGTCTTGGGTGGACGACGACGCTATTTTCGTATGAGAGAGCGGCATGGACGGATGAACATCTCAACTCCGCGCCCACCAAGGACGGATTTGAACTTCCAGATGTTGAGGAGGGCACAGCAAGGTGGAGATGGGTAGAGGGGAGCAAATGGCTCGTGGAAGGAGCTGGTGAGTATGATGAAGGGGGTACCAAAGCAGATAATAATACCGATAATGGTGGACATGGATGGGTCTATTATGATAATAAGGTGAGTAGAGCTATCATCCACGTCTGATGACCTCGGTACTGCGAGGAGATAATCCCTCCGCTACAGTACAAACATTCAGACAAACCTTGGTTTATATTTGGAATATACTAATATGATTCCCAGTGGCAAAACGGTCGACGGGGCCAAGACGGCTGGGGAAGGTATACCCGCAGGAGGAAATGGTATCGCGACGCCGAACTCGTTGAGGTCTCTTCCAGCACCGAAATCACGCCCTCCCCAACGCCAACCCGCACCACCAGCATCGAAGCTGTAGCGCGCACCCCTGTGGCTACTACTACGCAGTACGAGCCACCCCCCGAATATGCTGAGAAAGCCAGCCTTAATAGTAGTAGCGACAAGGCTAGCGTAAGACAGGAAAGTATACGAAAACGCGCCGGGAGCCGTGCTAGCACTTTGAGCTACGCCAGTGAGGATGATAGGCCTCCTCGCCCTAATGAAGCGGATTGGGGGATTGGTGATGATGCTAAAATGGGATTGGAGTGACGTTCTCAGAAATGGATGACCATATGAAAAGACAAAGGTGTTTGGGGTTGGAGATGGAGATGGGATCTGATGCGTAGTGGATACCGCCATACTCACGCATCATGGCTTGGCGCTGCCCACATCTGCCTTCCGCGTCGAAAGCTCTTCGACTTGAGCAAGGGCGATCTGAACGGCGGTAGCGCCAGCCTGTACTGGTTTCATAAGCACTGAGCAGATACAACTCTGAACACGCCTTAGCACCAAGCCGGGTGCAACGGTCCAGCAATATGTTGCGGCGAGTGGCCATTTCCAACACCCAGCGGAGGGAATTTACGATTTGCGGAAGACAAATATAGCGGAGATGAGAATTCGAAAGATGCGCCGGACCTAGGTATCATATTAATTCAGCCAGATATTACAATAACGATCAGAAGCAGCTTGTCCGCAGGTTTAGCCAGCATTCTCTACTGAGAGCAATACTAGGCAGCTGGCAAAATGGAAATGCAGACATAGAACATACACATCTTAACTTAGCCGCTTAACGTGCAAACTACTACGCAGCAATTAACTTTTAATTTCATATATGCCCTCGTGTTACTTAACATTAATACCTTCCTTCGAGTAATGTGCCCCAGCGAAGTCCCAAAAATGTAAAAGCCTCGTAGCAAACCTGTAAGAATGGAGAAGATACTATCATTTTGGCTGTGAAGGCTTAGGACAAACGCTTTAAACGTCTGGTAGATCCGATTGATGTAAATGTCATTATGGAACCGGCAGAGAGGGTAATGGCCACATTGAAACGACGAGAAGAGGATGACTGCAAAATAAGAGTTCTGAGCAGGTTAGATCATTATCACATAAGTGTTATAAAGCTACCGAAATCTTTCCGAGTGCTAAGTAAGTTAAGCGGCCACCAGCGCTCACTCAAGTTATTTAGGCTCATCATGGGAGGATATCGTGATATTTATATGAGTTCTGGTACATAAATACAAATTCCTAGTCATTACGCATTACGCTGCCAGCTGGCTTGCAAGTCCACTCCCTCCAAACGAGTTCGTGCAAGCATCGAAATCTTTCTCTCGGTTGGTTCCAAAGTTATACATCTCTTTCCCTTACACGTTCTACGACTTCTCCCTCTCAAAGGCAGTCAGCCACATCTCCGATTGGAAGAAAATCCCATGGCAGATTGATCGTATCGGCCGTAACGGGTTAACGATATTGAAATCGAAATTTCGCAGCAACTATTTATGTCAGTAAATAGGTCCCACAAAGTAAAATCTTTCAAAACACGTACCTCGACGAAGACTTTATTCAATTCCATCATCGCGATATTCTTTCCCAGACACTGGTACTTCCCATAGCTAAAGATCAGCTCCAGCACGGACTCCATCGCCTTGATTTTGTCTGGCGTGTCTTCCAGCCATCTCTCTGGCCGGAATGCATCCGCGTCTTCGCCAAACATGTCCTTGTTTCGGAAAATGCCATAGGCTCCGTAGCCTATTTTCGTTCCTCCGGGTACAAATTGGCCGTTGATCACATCGCCGCCGGGGGGCACTTCCTTGGACATGAGTCCTACGACGGGAGGGAAGATACGCAGACCTTCCTTGATGACGGCTTGGAGGTAGGGCATTTTCCGCGCTTCGGCGTCTGAGATGGGGGATGAGATGGGGGTACTGGAGATCTCGGCGCGCAGCTTGGATACCACGCGCGGGTGCATTAGTAAGTACAGGAAGGTGGAGCGGATTGCAGTTGCGGTTGTATCGGAACCGGCCATACTGAATATGTTAGCATGTAGCTGTGGTAGCTGGGTGGGGAAATAGTGTACATCTGTAATATGGTCTCTGACTCGGCCTCTTTCTGGTTGAGTCCGTGGGCGATGAAAGAACCCAGCATATCTCGCTGTACCTTTTTATCGGGACCGAACCTCTTACCAACAACGTTTTTGGTGATGCTACTCAGAAGTAAGTGAATTGCCTCGGGGTGTAATTGCCTCTGATGGGAATCCAGTGGACCTTACCCTAGGATTTTCCCCAGACCCAGAGGATCCTTTTCAGAAGGCAGGGCAGCCTTTAAAATGCTCAACCGCAAGACCCAGTTGAGCCATGGGTAGATAGTAACCATTAATGCAGACGCAAAAACCTTCTCGACCTCCTCGATATAGCCGTGTAAATCTCTATCCATCTCGAGATATCCAAATGGTTCTCTATATGCCAGGTCCGAGATGACATCGAGAGTAAAATATTGTACTTTCCTCCCGAAGTCCAAGGGTTTGGTTTCTAAATCGGTCGACTTGTATTTATTCCGGATCAGCCTGATCAGGCCTTCTATATTCTTGTCTATGGTACCTTCCAGGTTCTCGTTCTCCTTTCCGGCATACTGCAAATTGTGTTATTTTGATGGTTCTGTGGGAATGGAGAATGCTGCGCTGAGTGACTTACCCCGGCGGCCATAATGGCCCGGAGCTCGTTGTGGCGGTCTTCATCCCGGATCGAGGCGATATTGTCCTGGACGGGATCAAACCGTACGCCAATGTACCATTCCGAGCGACGATATGGCGAACGCACCGCCAACATCCGGCGCATCACCTCTGGATCGCTGGTGACGAGGTCATTGGGACCGACTCTGGCCAGGGAGCCTGAATTGCACGAGTTTCCGTTAGCATGGCCGCATTGTTTGAGGGCAAATACAAGCACAAGCAAGTACTCTACACGGGATTTTCTGATTCCGACGTACCATACTTCCGGTTGACCTCCTGGAAATCCAGATGCATCTTGCCGCCCCAGACATGCTGGGCCAGCCATGTGCGCGTGAGACTGGCGACGAGGGGCCCCTTGAAGTGCCGCAAGCGATACCAACTGCGAAATGTCCTGAGGAGACACAGCGACACCAGAGCAACGAGGGCCAAAGAAATCCAATCTCCAACACCGGCGTGGCTGAGAGACCTCGAGATGGCGTTCATGATGCGACGACGTTCCACTGTGTCGGTAGCGACAACAGGACTTGTACATGCAATGAACGCGAACGTGGGGATCGGCGGTTTCTATACTTCGTCGGACATGGAGGTCTCCATCGGATCAGACCCGGCTGCTTGGGAGCCACGTTGGCACGATATAGATATAGCTCCAGAGGGAGTATATAAATACCTAAGGTACCTTACCTCTGCTGCTGGTACCGTACGCCCCGGCCATCCGCGTTTGCAATACCATATCCCATGGCATTATTGTGTAAAACGCGCCCCGAACGCAGCAGAACCCCCGTCCCAGGGCAGCTTTCCCGCGCAACACGCGTGGTTTGCAGGCTGGCGATTGCACAATTCCCATGGGCTAGGCGCCATTAAGCCTAGGAGGGGGATTAGGGGATTACGCGCTGCCCCGTTCATTACCGTTTATTACTAGTACAGTACAGTACATGTACGGCGGCAGCAGTAACCGTGGTAGCTCTCGTACAGTACATATTCCCGGGCGTATAGCTAGGCCCGAGCCAGGTTAGAGCCTACGCCCACGGAACGCCCCGCTAGGCGGGACTAAACTCAGCTCAGAGCGCTGTGCACATCACCACGGACTGCTGGCAGCAGTTAGCTCCATGGGGGAGAACTCTCGTAGGCCGCCGATAGGTTCCCTACACCAGCACAAGACTGTTGATCTTTGGCTGTCCCCAAGCTAAAGCTACCAAGGCCCAATAACAACGTACCCGGGGAGAAACATCCACGCACCCGCGCCGCGCCGCTGCAATATCAATAATAATAAGGAGGATAAATTAATGCTGGCGGGACGGAGCAGCAAAGCGCTATCCGCATGGGACTTTGCCCACATCCCTCCCCGCCCCGCCCCCCACTACAGGTGCCAGATGCCAGATGCCAAATGCTTTGTAAATGCTAAATACCACATTCCACGGTTTCTTGTATTTCTCCGTCACTCCCTATTTATTCCCCTATTCCTATCGTCATCGTCCCCGTCCACCTTCTCGGGTGGTTGCTTTCGCTACCGGTACTCTACGGAACATACCACCATACGTACAGAGCGTACGAGTACGTACAGTACATTGTGGAAATAATACATCCGTGGCCGACACCAACACCGACACCGAGCTCTTGATTCCTAGTGCAACATGGCCGAAGACCCCCTACCCGCAGCCGAGGTCAGTCGTATTGTGGCGCTCTGGTGGTGGGCAATGCGGTGCAGACGATTAACCAATGTGTTCTATGCAGGCGGTCGATGATTTTGATGACAATGATTCTGCCATCGCGACGGTATGGGGCCAGTGGCCTTCTTTTCTGATAGAGCCCAAGTTGATCCTTGCTGTATAGGAGGACTTCGATGACATGTGCTCGACGACAACCTCGATCGGCTCGAGTATTCTGAGATATCGACAAGAGAACGGGAGGACGTATCATGCTTACAAAGACGGAAGTGAGACATACATCTTTCTAGAATATACATGGGTTCCTGAGTTCTGACATAAAAATTTAGAGTACCTGTTACCTAACGACGAGGTGAGCCACGACCGAAGCCCTGTCCGGATCATCGCTAATCAGCTGCAAAGGGCGAAAATGACCGTCTAGGTATGGCAATTGGATTGAAGTTTGGCGTATTTCAAATTTGCTGATTTATACCAGATCTTCAACATCACATGTACTACCTGACCTTGGGTGGTAAATTGTTCATCGCCCCTATTCCAGAGGAACAGAAGCTCCACAGGGTGCTGGATCTCGGCACGGGGACTGGTATCTGGGCCATCGATTTCGGTATGTGTGTGTCCTATTTTCAACACACGAACAAGAATGCTAAGTTGATTTAAGCCGACGAATATCCTGAATCACAAGTATACCTTACCTAGTCGTTGGAGTATTCCCAAGACAATGCTGACAGCTACAAGGTCCTGGGCGTGGACCTCAGTCCAATACAACCCAGTTTGTGCGCTTGCCTCCCTTCCTGATTCTACACATAGGACTACATGCGTATTAACATCTCGTAGTACGCCGCCAAATTGCATGTTTGAGATCGACGATATAGAAGAGCCATGGACATATAGGTATAAATTCGACCTGATACACATGCGTATGATGGTTGGAACCATTTCCGACTGGGATCGCTGTTTCAAACAATGCTACGAGTAAGTTCTTAGCATCCTTCTTATAGGACGCTAAAACATATCCCTAACTCTCTCAAGCAATCTCAACCCCGGCGGTTGGCTTGAAATCAAAGACATAAAATTCCCCATCGAAGATAACGACAACTCATTTCCGGAAGATTGCTCCATCAAGAAATGGGCCGACCTCATTCTAGAAGGAACGACAAAGCTAGGTCGCCCTTGCAATACCGCGAAAGACTATAAGGCGCAGCTCATAAACGCCGGGTTTACGAATGTCGTGGAGATCGTATATAAGTGGCCCCAGAATAAATGGCCGAAAGACCGCAAATTGAAAGAACTTGGTAAGTTGAACTTATTTCTATACCGCCCCCTTTCCATATTTAATCATTTTTGCCTAAGAACGTGGGGGGAGGAAGTTAGCCCCAGTCTCATTCTACTAGAAGCTAATTACTATGCAACCTAGGAATGTGGATGCACGAGAACTTCAGCACCGGCCTGTCGGGACTTAGCATGGCGGTATTCACGCGAGGCTTGGGCTGGTCCCAGGAAGAATTAGAGGCATTTTTAGTAGGTGTCAGGAAAGATATGAAGAACACGAAGATCCACGGCTATTATCCAATGTAAGTAGAGTAGTATCCCCCCGGTAATCTTAGTAGTATAATACGGTGACTAACTTGATTTAGCTATGCGGTATATGGGCAGAGGCCGTTGTAGATATTCTATTACGGGGGTTTGCGGGTTAAAAAGATTCGATAAATAGCATTAGCATTGGCATTGCTAAGTTAGACTTGGTATATATCTACATATATATAGGTATATTTGTTCATCCGCAAATCAGCGCCCTGGCAAAAAGTCTTGCGTTTGCGAAATGTGTGAAGTGTGCGAATCAACTATCAATAACAATACGAATACCCAATGTAGGTACTCGTGGACAATAGTATGCTATTGCCATCATAAGTACGTAAGCATGTAGATTACAACTCAACTTTCTACATTACAATACCTCTATTCTAGACTAGTATAGCGAAGGAAGGAACTTTGTTTATTTTCTTCTGATGGCTAGCTTGGTAGTTTTCCTACTTGCTTTTGGAGGCTTTCGCTCCCCGGGAGCTGACGTGTCTAGTTTGCCAGAGCATTACTCCCCAGCAATACCCAAATATAACTCAATCGTTCACACTAAGATGGCTTAAGGGCAGTTAAGGTACTGCATCTTTTACTGTTTGTCCGGTTACTCGTTTTCGTTATAAGAAATGTCCGATTGAAGAGTCCTCTGAGCCCTAGACGACGGATAAGTGCCGGTTCGGAAGTTCGGTGGTTGTTGCCTACAGCTTGAATTATGATGTTGAGTGGAAGAAGGATGAGGATAGACTTGCCCGTTATATTACCCTTATTATCAAAGGCATGCATGCGCTTACGATGGAGATTTGAGAAGTAAAATTTTAGCGCCCATCTATCAAGCATGGCGCTTTATACCCGATATTCTACACATCCCAAGTGCTAATTTTCCGGTTTTTTTTTTGCATTACCAATGCGAGCCTACCAAGACCCGCTGCCATAGCCATATCGTTACAAGCCACACTTATCGTTCCCTTCCCCCAAACCCGGCCCATCCCATCCCACCTACATCACAACTCCAACCTTCCCACCAGGCGCCAGACCCTTACTTCCCCTACTCGAGAAAATCCCCATAATGCCAAAGCCCGCGTAAAACAACGCCAACGGATAAGCTACCAAGCCCCTCATGCCCCTCATCCTCCCCACCGCACAGAACATCCCTGAACTGCTATACGTACACCAAACAATGGCCAAGCTCGTAAGCACATAGCCCAACAACCCATCCATGGGTACCGCCACACCAACCAAACTCGACAGCACCAGCGGAAGTAGACAATACCCCAGAACGGAAGCCGACCGCGGGAATGTCAGCGTGCTTGACAGATGTGAGGGCTCGTGGTGGGGGGATGCGGAGGAGGAGGGCTCGAGAGGTGGGGACATCAGCGAGAGGATTAGGTGGAGGGAGGTGCTGCCTAGGAGGGCGAGGCCGTATATGTATCCGAAATGAACTTTTCCTGAGAGCAATAAAAAGGTGCCGAACTATTACAATGAGTATAATATTCGATAAATTATAGAGGGGCATATTTGATGCTTTTAAATAGGGGAAACATACCAAAAGGAAGAAGAGCAATGGGCCCCCAAGATCTGAATCGTCCATTATGTGTTGGTCTATGGATGCTAGGGGGTTGAGGACTGCTAATGTCTGTTCGATTCTTTATATTAGCCTGCTGTTACTTAGAGTCGGGAATTCAGTAAGGGAGTAAATACCTTAGCCCAGATGTGCGCAGGCTTGACACCCAGTTCTTCTAGCAATGGCGGCTCGCCGTCATATCCCTCAGTCCCAAACGCAGCAAGCCATCCGGTCCGGAGACCGCCTTGCTCGCCCATCCTACCGCTTACTCCTGAAGGTGCTCCAAACCCCGAGTTAAATCCTCCTCCACCCGCGCCATATCCTGGAGAAGATGAAGATGCGCCATATCCATAGGCAGCCTGCGAGGGTGTGGCATGCCCGGACACGGGGTTGGGTGCGTATGAGGAGGGGTAGAATTGGAGGTTCTGCGCTGAAGCTGCCCCGTAGGGCGCATTTGGTGGAGGTTGTTGGAAGAATTGTGACATTTTTAGTTGTAGTATAGGAGGAAGGGCGGGTATCAGAGCGGAAAGTGTCTGCGGAATGAGGGTGTGGCCAGTCCTTATGAGATTTTGGAAAGGTGATTCGTCAAGGCTGGCTGGATGGTTTATCTCGACGTGTTTTCTCGAAGTTGATGTGGCTTGTTATAACGAGGCAGCTCAAGTGGTAGGTACCTAGGTACTTGGTAAGGCGGCAAGGCATCTGCCAGTAAAGCAGCGGGCCTCAGGCAATAAGGGGACTCGAGTCTCCAGTGCGGACTTAGTTCGTCTTCCATCCCGAACGGAACTACCCGAACAAAAAAGTTGGACAAATCTGCGTCGCGACGTCGGATCTCTGACGCTCTCCTACACCTCCATCCCGAGCTTTTATATTCACTACGCCTTTTCAGGTCTGCGACAACTGTTCCGGGTGATTTCGACAATATGGTACGTTGATATCCGCTCCTGTGCTGCAGCGATATTCGAATCATCCGATCTCAATCGCAAGAAACCATCTACTAACCCCCATCTCAGGCGCATCGAATAATAACCCAAGTCGTAATAACGGGCTCTCGAGTCCTCGGCCGCGCCTTCGCAGAAGCCTATAAACAAGCCTCCGCGACCTCCCAATACGCCAAAGCGCACGCCAAAAACAATCCCGGCGCCGCAAACACATTTGCCTCCCACGGCCTGACCCTCGAAGAAGCATGCAAAATCTTGAATGTTAAACCGCCCCAGGGGGGCAAGGCAAACATGGAGGAGGTCACGGAACGTTTCAAACGACTGTTCGATGTGAATGATCCGCAGAAGGGGGGCAGTTTTTATCTGCAGAGTAAAATCTTAAGAGCAAGGGAGAGGATAGAGAGCGAGGTCCGGATTGCCGAGGAGGCGACGAGTAGGGAGGCAGAGTTAAAAGAAGGGTGGAAGCCGAAGGTTTTCAAAGACAGGTAGCAGTGAGTGGGCGTTGGTCGTGCTGGGTCAGTTCGCGTGGCCGGATGGACGGTTTGGATATTAAGGGCGGATGGGCAGGAGGAGGACACAAATCATCGCGTCGGGCAGAAGCGCTGCCGGAGCACAGTCGAGAAATCTTCCCTCTGTATTAAGACATAGCCTGGCGTTTGGAACTGTATATTTAGAGTAGGAATTGGTCGGCATTTTAATGGACCTGGCCCGGTCCTGCTTCTGTACCATATGTAGGGCATGAATAGACGAAAGCTCGAAGGATCTTCAAGAGGGCCGAGGCTTGTTTTACCAATGAGATATGTTCTATACTTGTTGCTCATTTAATGGCTTAATGCTTGGAATGTTTTTAGTTGACGGGTAAGCAATACATTGCTATACAACAACCTCGAATATCTCATTCGACGTGAGATGTTCATAGATTTTCATAGAAATGCCATCCGGTGCACCACTGGGCTCTAAAACCTCGCATTGTCCGAGTCACTAATTGCAATCAGCTCATAATCATCGTGTCTATTTACCGCAAAGTGGCAAACTGCGCTGGCTAACAGACCATCCTTCCAGCGCCCCGCTGAATCAGAGCACGCATGCACCTATATGTACAAAAGTATTACAATCTCCGGCAGCCAGTCATACCAGGCATCCGAGTAACCCGAAACACTGCCCATTCTAAACGCCATCCAGCCAGTCATTATAAAGTGGTCTAACTTAATCCTCTCCCGTGAGAAGCTTTAGTGGCAAACTCAGCAGCCCCATCACCAGAAACTACACCAGCCGATGTAGTGCTGGCACAAATTCTCAAATTTCGTCGCCTCAATCAGCAATTTGTCCACCTGATCGATGTAACTCAGTTCCTCGTCAGCCTTGAAATCACGTCCAATAAGCTTCTCCTTCACTCTGTTCAGCACCTGCATTGCTCGCTCATTCTGCTTTTCGTGCATATCTGCCTCGGGGCCAGGGCCTTGAGCAGTGGAATTTGTTCTTGCACGAGGCCGGGAAGATGGTGGTCCGCCTGGAAGAGCAGTTGAATTTTGAGCCATCAGTTCGGTAGGTGGGACTTCGGCATCCATGATTGACGGGCGGCGGGCTTGCGATGCCATAAGCGAATCTCGACGCTCAGAGCGGAAATGGGGGCCAGCAGGCGAGTGGTCGCCAGTAAGACGCCAGTTGAGGAGGGGATCATGGATGAACTATATCGTAGTCAATATGGGGGTTTCGCGGGATGTTAACAGTTACTCACAGCTTCAAGCACCGCCATTAAGGACTCCTTATTGTCACGCAATACCCTCATGACGTTCTCGCAGGTAATCCTAAAGCTGCCCTCAATGTTGCCAACCTCCATAGCGTACGTCAACATCCGGGTCAACCGGAATGGCACCCGCTCCGGATACTTCTCACGATGCATGGCCACTTCGAAGCAGTCGCCGAAATCAATATGGATGATATTGCCCGTAATCCTGTCAAGCATCAAATTGGAAGGATGTCTATCACCAAGACCAAGAATGTATCCGACCATGGACATCACACCAAGAGATCGTGTATAGTTGGTGCGTCGCTCGAGCCAAGCCTCCGAACTCTTGCTCTTCAACCAGAGAACTCGGTAGAGATCTTGGCCAGTCGTATTGTCTAAGGCGTAGCCGAACACCTCGACCTTCTGCATCAATGTCAAGTTATCGTAGTCTGGGGCCATTTGTAGCATGATCCGGTGCTCGATATTAAGTAATATCTTACGGCTCTCTCTATATTCTCGGATCAGGACATGCAATGTATCGCTATTGGGAACCCAGCCCAGGAGACCAGAACTCTGAGAGAGGGGGATAACTGGGTATCTCTGGATGTTCAAATGGCGCTTGTAGGATTCAGAGTCGCCGTGCAGCAATGTATTGCAGAGGCCAAACAACTGCATAACACGCTCATCCTGACGCATATCTTCATGTCCCTTGAGGACAAAGGCATAGGCTTTGCCATCACTTCCATTAAGACTCAGTTTCCGTGGCCGTTGTTTCGAAGAAATAACGCTAAAATTAGTCTCAAAATTGATAATGCGGGCAATGGGCTTGCCACTCTGGTAGGTGCCAGGCACGGCCAAGTCTAGGTCTCGAGCACGTAGAAGCTTCGGCGACACATATGCAAGCTCGAGATTATTCAGCTGCGGAAGTTGACGAGCGATCCTCCTGAACACCTGGTAATAAAGGTCCCAGGCAGAGTTGATCTCGCTAACGTCTCCTGATTGTCTGTATGCATAGCACCACTCACGGGCTTCCTGGAGATCGCGGCCAAAGGTCTGAGCGAAAGATATTTCTCGGAGCGTCTCGGGTCCTTGATCAAGCATATCATGTAAGGGGGCCAAAGTAGCAAACATTCCCTCAATATTGCGGTCCCCGAAGTAGAGCCTCGAGGCTTCCTCGAGGGCCTCGTGCCATAGCTCATGCCATAGTACCGCAACGCGGATAAGCTCGTGGCTCACAACATCTGCCTGCTCAACGAGCCTTGCGCTATGCTGACGCATACTATCCATGATTTGGACTGCAGACCTTGATCGGCGGGTATTCGTGGCCGATTTCATCGCAACCGTCAGAGGATATACCAGAGCTTGTGGATGAGCTCGGCCAACATCTGCAAGAAGATTATGAATTGATGCCCGAACACGAGCATTTGGCTGATTGATCCTGGCGATGAGTTGGGGAATCACTTCTAGCCAGGTGTCGACACTGACGGAGGCAAATCCTTCGGTCACAGCCGTGTTAACCTCTGTGGCTCCGCCATGAGAAAACCATAAAGTTAGCAGTCGAAGAGTATCCTGCAAGGAGCTACCCATTGAGAGTGCAATCGATTTGAAGAATCCCCGAACAGCAGGCACAACATGGTCGACCAGAACATTTGGAGGGATAGTAATATCGCGATTTTGGGCCGATTGTGCCCCAAGAGCCTGGACGATCTCAAAGTTTGCAAGTGCCCAGGCATGCCAAGCTTTGTACCAATTTGGATTGAAGTGGGTAGCGGCCCGATATGAGGATAGAATATCTTCCACGCTGTTGTATTGCCAGTCACCCTGTTTTAGAGCTACTTGCCATTCACCTTGCTTGAGACAACATCTCGCCAGGAGGACGGTGTGGTCAGCCATAGCTTTCGCATTTAGCATGGGAGTGGCAGCCGCTGGATGCATATGATTTTGAACATAGCCATTTGTCATGTTACCATTGCCATTGATATGAATCTCGTTGACGCCGTTCATGCCCATCTGAACAGCCTCGAGGCGATCAGCCATTTCCGCAGTCAACGCTCTAAGGCCTTCCAAAGATTGGGGTTTCTTTCCAGCGGCCCAGTGGAATTTCAGGACAGCGTATTGGACGTGAGCTGGAACGTTCTTCACACGGCGTGAGTTTTGGCGAGAATCTCCGTCAGCATCTGGTAGCATATTGTCCAGGCTCTCGTCGTTTCCGATGAGGCTCTTCAATGACTTTTCTGCTAGGCCCATTCGTCCCGAGTTTCTGCACAGGTTCGCAAATTTGATTTCCATTTGCATGTTCTCCTTTGGAGAGATTACCAATGCACGTAGCTTGAGCATTCTCTGCCAAACTTCCACATTTCGCTGGCAGCCAAGAAGACGCTTCTCCCAAGTATGTCGCATTGTTTCCTGCTTCGCTGGATTATTATTACTTTGTTTGTAAGTAATAAGCTCCTCAAGTTCGGCCAACATCTGCACACGGACAACGACTGTATAGGCTCTGTTGTAAGACTCGCTGACCAAGGCGCTCAGTTCTGTATCGAGGCCCTCTCTTGCCTTCTGCACATATTGGGCGGCTTCTCGGAACTGATTGCGGTGCAGAGCGAGAATAGCACCAAAGAAGGATCGATCTGGGGTGTTAGCTTTCATGACACTAAGGTAGTCGTCCATCAAATCCCATTGTCCTAGGCCCCAAGCAGCGGCGGTTGCCAGAGGCGCGACTCTTCGCTTGATCTCCAGCGTAGAGGTATTCCATTTGTCTTGGGCCAACGCAGAGAGTGAGTCCCATTCTCCCAATGCATGCAGACATCTCATCTTCCCCATGATAACATCAAAGGTTTCAGCGTGGGCAGGGAATTCCTTTTCGCGTTTCTTGTAAAATTCAAGAGCCTCTTCCCAGCGTTCGAGTTTCTCGAACCAGGTCTCCCGCAACGTGATCCCGTCCTTGAAGGTCTGCGCCTTACGTAAGATACCAATGGCAGCATCGTACTGTTGTAGTTGGTTATTGATCTGGATGAGCGCCTCCACAGCACCACTTGACTGGTCTTGAATAAATTCCAACTCCTTGTAATGCAAGGCTTTTGCCCAGGCGTGACATCTACCAGCTTCACGGCCCAAGACACGAATATCAATTGGAAGAGCTTTATCATCATGCTCCATAAACTCTGCCAGGTTGAGCAAGACACCGAGAAGATCCGGAGTAACATGCGGAGATCGGATGGCAGTTTCAATATTTTGAATCAAATCATCCTAGAGTTTCGTTAGTTTATCTATTGAGCGACTGCAACGGAAAATCTTACCTGGTATGGCTCGAAAAGATCACTCCAGCATGATACAAACGCCGAATTAAATAATTCCCTAGCCAGTGGAGGATACACGCTTGCCAGGGAAGCGCAGGCTCTCAGGGCATGATTTGGAGACTCTGTCAGCACAGTCAAACTGAACCTTCTCATCCACTCTTGCCAATCTTCCTTTGTAGACTTGCCAGTAGCATCCCACGCAGCCTTCAGGTGCACAGGATTAGACTCAAGTTTCTTAGAGAGCGGCTCCATAGCAGAGCTGTCATCATTCTGGAAGCCGAGGTCGCCGGCATTCAGATCTTGCGGTAATACTTCTCCCTTCTGCAATTTGCTTACTAAAAGCTCATAATTTACGTGCGGGATTTGGTTGGCAGAAAGCACTTTGTTTATCGTGCCAACAAAATGAAGGTAATCTTTCCCGAGCTGGAAGATTAAAGCGCAAAGGGTGTCAAGGGCTGCAATTCTTAGCGAAGGGTCACTGCCGGCTAAAACTCTTGCCAGTGGATGAATGATTTTAGATGCGTAATCGTTAAGATTGACTTGTCGTGAGATCTTGCCGATAGTATCGATAGCAGATTTTCGAATGAATGAAGGTTGCTGTGGCTTCTCGAAAACGCCGACAATGACCGGGATAATCAAGTGCATATATTCTTCGGCACTGGATCCAAATATAAGGAACGCATGCAGGACACGCTCGGATGGCAATCTTCTTGTCGAGGCATCTTTCTCAAGAATACCAAGCATGAGCGGCAGGAGGCCAGCAAGGTATATTTTGAACTCTCCTTCCAAGGATCGTGAAATGGCTTCTACTAATTGGAGAATATTTGCTTGAAGGGTAGGGGAAATACTCCAGTACTCCTGGAGCACCGTCACAATTTCGGGCAGATAATTTCTGATATGCTGCTTGACTATGGTGACCAGGATACTCAGATTGCTGAAGTAAGATTCAAGTCTAGACGGCGGGGAGCTGCGTATGACAGACAAGAAGGCGGGAATTATTTTGTCGAGGAAGGGAACGCATTCCATGTTGAGAGTTCGGAAGATATTCATGATCGCCTCGACAACCACCGCATGGTGCTGGACGAGAGATGGGTCCTTTAGGATCTGTAGCAAAGCATTTATCACAACAGTCGGGAAATATTCCTTGGTCGAAGGCGTCAGCCCACTCATCATGAGGGAAATATCCGTCGTTTGGTTCGCCTCAAGGCGCAGCTGCATCTCCGGTGATCTCTCTTCGACCTGTTGATGCTTATACGGATCGAGAGCGCCGAGTATCCCCATAAGCTTGATAGTCTCCTGTCGAAGCGGGCCTCTTTGAGGTTCGCCGCGGATGATACCCTGCAGGATCTCGAGGAGAGATGGGTAGTCTAGGTATGGTTTGATAACATATCCAGAGTTGCTGGCCAGTTGTCCAAGGGTTCGTAGAGCTGCCTCACGCTTCGCGGACGAACTTTGATCTTGCAAAGCTTCGATAATTATCGGCATTAGCTTATCGATATAAGGGATCATATCTTCCCCTCCAACAGTAGCCAGATCCCCAATTGCCTTCAAAATCGTAGAAGCGACTGCAGGACTTGGATCTCGGGCTTTCGGAAGCAGGACAGATATCATCGGATCAACATAAGGCTTGATCAATCGTTGGGAATTCTGGACAAGCAGACTAAGCAGCTTTGCGCTCTCCTCTTTATTCCGTGCAACATCGGAGAACTCAAGCTCGGTAAGCATTTGAATGAGTACTTTCCGTAGGGATGGAATGACATATGCAGGGTTAACATGCGTCAGACGACCAATTATTGCAATGGCTACCTCCCTGATGCTAAAAACTTCATCATTTAGAGCAAAGAAGAGTGTCCGGATATTCTCTGCTTTGGCGAGATGTCGATCAAAGCGCTCATCAAGTGCAGCCAGTACTGTTCTTCGAATCCCCGGGTCCGGGTCAGCAACCCCAACTGTGAGCAGCTTTTCTATGACTTCGCTAACAACCTGAATGGCATGATAGCTCGTCTGGTTGACAATTGGGTCTCGTACGTATAGTTGGCAACATGTCAATGCGGCAGCTTCACGGATATCTGGACTCTCATCTTCCACATACTTGATAGCGACATCGCGGACAAATTCATTCAATACGTGACCAGAGAAGTCGAAGCTCCCTAATGTGTTCAACGCAAGTTTGATTTCAGCCCGACGGTGCTCATAGGCCAGTGGATCCTTTGGGTCCTTGGGAACCACTGGAGCAATTGTATTAGGGGTTGGCGCTCCCAGAGGTTTAAATGGTTCGCCACAGAGGACCCTGCTTAGCATGTCGAGAAGTCTCTCCTGGATCGTGGGTTTGACGGGCGGAATATAGAATGCCATATCCACCAGCGCCTGAGTAAGCTTTGGGGTCAACTCGCACGCAAAGATGGGGTCTAAAAGAGCCTCCATATATTTGCTCAGTGTTTGTCCGACTGCTACTGCCAATCTGCTAATGCAGTCGAACACCGGATCAACTGTACCACTTCGTCTCCTGCAAATAATTAGTGTCATCTTAACCTACTACACCATGAAAACTCACGATTTTAGACTCAGACCGTCGCGAACGTAAATCAAGACCCCATCCAAGTAGGGCGCAATTGCACTTTTGACTGCATTTGCAATATTCCCAATTGCGAAGAACGCGTCATTCCGCTCCTTGTCCTTTTTGAGCATACCAGATAGGAAAAACATAAACCTATGCAAGTACGTCTGGGCGAAGTCGGTAGGCGCATAGTTCGCAAGCTCCGGGATCAGCATAATAACGGCCCGTCGAACCTGAAAATCTCGATGATCCTTATGTCGAAAGACGATGTCGCAGGCTTCTTGGTAGTGTTCATGCATAAACATCCCTCCCTGTTGAAGAAGCTCTTTTATAACAAGCAGTGAACTATGAATGTACTCGTTTGATCCCTGTCTCACACCTTGCACAGCTTCCTCATAAATCTTTGCCTGCCATGTCTGTCGCATATTCTGATCTCTCTCCCGTATAATCTGGAAGCAGGCACTGATGGCCTCAGCGCTGGTCTGACGAATAAGGAGTCGTGGATCGCGAAGCCCAACCCATATTTGGTCGAATATAAGACTAACAAATCCGTATACCAATGTTGGGGCATTGCGAGCCAGTTCCCTAAGGATAAGAACGGCGCTATACCGTCTTTCTTCGACGCGATCAGACTGCAGCCATTCGAGTGCGGTTTTGATCTCCGCCTCAACAAGATCAGATATAAGGGATCCTCCAGGTCGGCATATTTTCCCAAGCGCCGCAGCAGCAGGTTGCATAAGCGCGATGTCTTTTCCTCTCAAGACGGTTCGAAGCGATTGTGTAAATCGAGTCGTCTTCTGTCCAACATCGACACCGTCAAAGTCGATGAGCGCATCCAGGGCGTAAATACCACCCAGTCGGTCGGCGGCGTCATTTCCATGACTGATAAGTTGTGTAATTCTCTGGTTCACAACATTATAGAATTCTAGGAAACGCTCCTGTGGTAGGTCTAGCCAATGTCAACATCGCGTGGTCAAAATTGCCAGGATTACAATAGGTATACAGACCTCTCGAAGAGATCACGACCAGTTCCCTCAAATCTAATGCTGCTCGTTTCCGCGTATCATCGTTTCTGCCGAATATTATCAGTCAACTGTTCGTCCACGGCCCTGATACACACTTACTTCGTCCGCAGCTCTCCCACAATGCGGCTAAGGGTATCCTGCGCGGTTTGTGTCATCTTGTCTGATTTCTTCTGCCAGCTTCCTCTCTAGTTCGCACTCCCCATCCTTATCCATAAGCGCCTACTCGGCGTTGCGTTGTTGAAGGGTTTCGTGTCGCGAGACGTTTGGCTGGCGGTTGAGGGATATCCGTCCGGACGGAGCTCACCTTGAGAGTGAAGCTGAATGGGTGACCATGCTTCGGCAAAATTGGGACTAGTGTCGGCTTACGATAGGCTTATCGGGAACGAACTTTATCTTCGCGCTTTCGCCTCCTCTACAACACGGCCAGACTTGAACTCCAACAGCGAGTACAATATACAATATCTGTTCATCATACAGGCATAAATCTTAAATCTTACCTTTCCTTCCATTGCAATGGGTAACGATGGAGGGAGTATCCCTACTCGCCGTGAGCTTGTCAAGAACGCCGCCCGCACCCCAAACACCTCGGAGCTGAAGGCTACCCAACACGAAGCGCAAAGCTACGCCTGGGAATACTGTCCGCTCTCCAATCGCCCTCTCATATCACCCATAGTCTCTGACTGCGCCGGAACGCTCTACAACAAAGACTCCATAATCGAACACCTACTCCCGAAAGATGACGATACTCTAACCTCGGTCACCAAAGAGAAGGAAGAGATTCTACAAGGGCGCGTGAAAGGGCTACGAGACATTGTGGAGGTGAAATTCAGCGTGGTGAAAGAGGATGCTGAGGAAAAGAGGATATGCCCCATCACCAGCAAGGAGTTGGGTCCGAATACTAAGGCGGTATACTTGGTTCCATGTGGGCATGCGTTTTCTGAAGCGGCAATCCGCGAGGTAGCCACAGAGGCATGCGTGGAATGCAATGAGCCTTATACGTCTGAGAACATAATCCCGATATTGCCATTCTCGAAGGAAGACATCTCGAGACTATCTACGCGGGCATCCAAGCTGAAAGGAAGCGGTCTTACGCACTCCTTGAAAAAGGCTCCTGGGGGCAAGAAGCGGAAGAAGAACGCCGAGGCAGATGTGCCACCCACTGAATCACCAGCTACCTCACAGATCACCAAATCGGGTCCACCCAAAGACCGGTCCATAACGAACAACATCGCTCAATCCCGGAACGGGTCATCCACCCCAGATCCCGCAACTTCACGATCGATAAAGAACGCAAGCACAGCATCCTTAACAGCCCGGGTCCTCGACGAGCAGGAAGAGCGGAACAAGAGACGAAAGCTGGGCTTGAATGATAATCTGAAGAGTTTATTCTCAAGTGGTGGATATAGTGCCCAAGCGCAGAAAGGGGGTGACTTCATGACGAGAGGTTATTCCTTACCTAAAAGGGCCTAGCGGTCTAGGGATGTAGAATGATTATGGGCGATGCGAGACAATAGCCGCAGATTGCAACCTATAGAAGGAGATGACGGAGACATACATGGCTTCTGTTGGTTTATAAGAAGGGAATCTTCAGCGTGGTGTTTTGGCGTTCGGGATCCGGAAGGGGAACTGGCTGGTGCTAAGAAGAACCATTAGGAATCCTAGGGCAAATATTATATCAATTAGGACCCAAATATGTGAGCAGATATAAACATTTCAAGGGGAATAAGACACCACTTATCACCAGACCACTCATCTCAAGCGGAATTCCCGCTTTAGTGCTCGCACTAATGGATAGTAATCATGTATCAATTATGCCACCCTAACGGTGTCTCAGCAACTATGACTAAGGTATTTGGCGATCATTACAATGCAATAATGAACCCCTTCCCTTGACTTTTATGTAACACTCTTTCCCCCATACCGTCGTATCCCATCCAGTAAAATATCCGGATTTGGATCAGCTGCTTGCATTTCCTATGCTTTCTTGTCTTTAATATGTAAGCCGAAAGAAAATGAGCGCCGAAAACGGTCCCGCAAGAGACCCAGACTCTTTTTGTATGCAAGCACAAACGCGGAACACGAAAAAAATGTTCATGTCTCAGCCGGTATGCCAACGCCGAATGCACCTGTAACCAAATACAGAAAAACCCCTTCCCCAAGCCCAGTCCATCGTTTTGCCCTTCCAATCCGTCACCTCTTAGGGGCTTAAAGAAGGAACTCGACCCACGTCCTCGTCAGAGTCGGTGTTGCCTCATTGCCGCCGAGATGCTCGACAGCTTCCTGCCAACCTACAGTCTCCCAAGCCTTTTCGTTTGCCTTGCGCTTCGCGTTGGGAACATGAGGATTGCTATGAACCTTGATCCGGCGTTTCTCGCGTTCTTCAACAACGTCATGCATGACCTTCTGCCTAAGAGCAGTGGTTGCCCAGCCTTGTACATTGCCCAACCGAGGCGATTCCAAAACGTATTTCAGTAAATGAAAGGGCAAGTTGAGTAGTACTTTCGAGAGTGTGATCATCTCGGCGCTGGCGGTGGTAGATCTAACACTCTCTTCGGTGGGGTGGTCGCCGAACTTGATAGAACTTAGACGTGGATTTGCGGTTGGCTTTTCATCTATCACGGCGGGAAGTCGTCGGCTGCGGGTAAAGTCTCCAGCAGAGGTATCCAGCTCGAAGTTGGGTGGGAATGACGGAATAATGAAGTTCAAGGATTGGTGGATGAGCATATTGACAGCGGGGCCGTAGGTGCTTGGGCATTGGCCATTGTTTTGGGGGCTCTGGAGGGTCCATTGGGAATCAAGGCCTCCATCAAGGGCGAAATCCAGAGCTTTCTCAATTGTAGCCCAGTTGACGAAATGGCTAGCAATCTCGATGCCGCGACTGATAACTGGTGGAATTCGAAGGAGGTGACCAGCGGCAGCATATCCAAGAGCAAGATCGAAACGATCAGCTGGCGTTCCTGGCATTGGAGAAGGCAGTTGGGTATTTGGTAAAACGTTGATGGCTGCAAGGGCACCAAGATCGAGGAGAGGTGCGCCATACAGCCGTTGCATAGCCATCCAGAACGCGTCCGACCGCAAAAAGGGATCATCAGATTCGATCAGAATAGTTCTAACGACCATTCCATCGCTGTCGCTCTCTTGGGCTTGAGCTGTCATAAGCAACTTAAGTGTCGGGCTTCGCGCAAGCATGAGGTTATGGCCAGGGATGCGGACGGGTGGAGCGCGGTCATCTGAGTAGCGCAGTTCAAGTGTATAATCCGCAAATGTAGCATTACCAAACTGGGACTGCAAATAGTTCACGAGACCATCAAGATGATCAACGCCCATGGGTAGCTGCGGTGGTGGTGGCATTGTGAAAATATTCGGACCAGGTGCCAGTACCTGCGAACCTGTGCGTTGATTGGGACGAGGCGGCTGTTGATACAAGCGAATATCATCAATGTGCCCGTTGTTACCATTTGAGATGACAGCTGTTGGGTGGCGAGCGTGGAAAGCTAGGCCATTCTCAGGTTCGTTTGGAGCTGAAGATTGCGAGCCTTGGAAGCTGTGGGGGGTTGATGGATCATAAGTATTGAAGCGCTGGGCCTCCATGCCAAACGGAGTATGGGATGGGGAGTAGCCATCAGGAGGGCCAAACGCAGCCATCTGTCGGCGGGCAAAATTATCTGTGCCGGGGCCTTGATTCATCATTCCATCCTGGCGCGGATAGAAGCCCTGAAGACCAGGCGGGCCCATGGGCGAATATCCATTTGATAATTGGTGAGAATGACCCGTCGGACCGCCGTTCGACTGTTGAGGACCATAACGAGCAGCAACATGCTGGGGTGGTGGTGGCGGTGGCGGGAAGGGGTAAGGCGGAGCGTTCTCTGCTGATAGAGGTGGTGCCGGCGACGAGTTGTCTGATCCTCCATATGCTCCAAATCTAACACTGCCAACGCTAGGATGGGAATGGTGCATCGCAGGGTGGTTGTTGAAGACGGGCTGCGATGGGAAATGGTTCTGATTCGCAGGGAGGAAAGAAGCTGGCGGCATCTGGTAGGTCGACCGTGATGTCGACGATCGACCGTCAGACGGATCAGTTCTTGGGGTTTGCTGTCGGTCCTCTGTGCGGACAGTTAGCAATGTTGAAACGAGGCGCAAAGAGAGGGTGCGCGTCGCGTTTACACACCAGACAATGGCTCCTGAGCAGAACCCTCCCGCTCATCTGCAGCAGACTGTGTAACCTCTTTATTGCCATCAGAAGCAATGGTTGCTTGAGGTGATGTGGGCTCCTTATTCTCCTCCGGTGCTTGAACCCCCAAGGTGCCATTAGTTATAGCCGGAGTAGCTTCGGTGATGGGCGACGAAGGCTGCTCATCCACAACTGTGGCAGATGGTGCTGCCTGGACTCCATCCTCCTGAGCCTTTGGCTTTGCACTGGTAACTTGATGTTTCGGGCGCTTCTGGACATATGTCAAAGGTACAGCAGGCACAATGGGCCTGGGGACGGTTGGGCGCGGGCGATTCTGCTGGAGGGCCTTTGCCGAGTTGCCTGCGGGCGTCATATTGAAGAGCTCTCCAGAGCAGTCGTGACAGTTAGTTTTCGGGTGTCTGACGTCCCCAAGATTCAACGATGACCAGGGAGAAGGTCATGTAGCATCTGGGGAGTCTCTGAAGAGGGCGATGCGAATGACGTGAAATGCGTCGAAGCTTGACCTGAACTTCAAATCCCCGCGGTTCACGAAAATGTCATCGGCTCTGTTCCTTTCCCTTCCAACGTTCGCTTCGCTTGCCTGTTCCGGCGTAGTCGCTGCAAGGTTCCACAACCTCACCTTTACCTCAAGGCTCAAGTTCACCTATGGGATAAGCACTCTAAAAGTAAGATCCCTTATGTGTTGTGTTCCGGATCGTGTTGAGTGAATATGGACATGTGTCTTAAATTTCAAGGCCAACTTTGTGCTATTGTTCTGCCGTGCTTGCAAACGGAAACCTACCAATCCAATATGTCGTCTCTTTAGCATCGGCAGCTAGCCGTGTAACCAATCGTCCGCAACCGGAGTCAACTGCAAAACACCAGTGCCATCGGTAGTATGGTGGTAAAAATGTACTTTTTTTGGAGAAACACAAAATTTGGAGGGTATATTGAAGCTATTTGCCTTTACTATTAATCTTTAGATTTGGCAAGCTATATTTTACGAGGTCGCAGAGAACGTAGAAACTAGGTATTATTTTTTTCCTACGGGCTCAGAGAATAAGATAGTGAGCATGCAGCCGATTTGCAATCTGTACCATGCTATTACTATAGATAGCTGCATGTACTTGTTTCAGCCGCTAGCAGAGTGATTTGTTACATTTCGCGTACTATTCCAGATAATCTTTCAAGGAGGGCAAGTTCCACCTTACACTTCACGAATGTATTATTGCGTTTGACATTAAAAAAAAAATCCCATGATGATAATCTTACGGATGTTGATAGCGACGTACCCGACACTTTAAAGAGATAGGTTTTATTTAACATCCCTTGGAATACTAGAGGTTATCGGGTGGGCTTCAAGGATATCAGAGGAGCTTCTTACACTTGTAACCTGTGTAGCCAGCCACTGTCAAGGAGATCAGATTATCTTATTGCATGCTCCGTGAAAGGCCTACTTTACTCCGCGGAGAGGATCTATAGTCTTTTGCACTTCACTTAGTGATACAATGGAGAAAAGCTCGAAATATGGCTGGGCGATATATTTGGTATGTCGTATTACTAGGCAAGTCATGAGAGAATTATAGTACCGCAATATGTTGTGGGTGTTTGTCAAACGTAAACTGAAACAGTCTGCCATAACCATAACTAGTCCTTGGGCATGGTTGTGTGATTTGCTAGAGTTATAATTCTAACACAGCCTCCTCGAATCTATTCGGACTGTTTACAAATATTACCGAAATCAACGAGTCAAGCATATACCACTGCAGATCAAAGCAGCTAAAGGGAGAGCCCCATCCAGAAACATATTCAGCTGTGTCAAGGGTACTACATCTTTTGTGACATGTGGTGATCATGATCCATGCATATTTGAACACCACATGTGCAGAATCGGACATTAACCATACATGGAGAGTTCCCGGTATATGATATGACCATAGAGAGACGCTAAAAATCATTTCAATAATGAAAGTTTCCTGCAGGGAGCTATCTGCAAAATATTTTAAGATGTGAACAAAGGGAAAGCGCATCACCCTTAACATCTCCAAAGGAAATGGCTGACAAGAAAAAAGATAAAGGCCCCAAAAAAATTGCGAGCATAGTGTTAAGGAGCAACTCAATAGATACATTAAGGTCAACCACACCATGCTATCTATCAAAAGCGCCGGATGGACGACTAGCTCCACGACGTGTATTGCGGCCTCGACCAGCACTTGTGGTGATAATATTCGTGAGAATATCGAAGTTCAAGTATGCGAAATCCCTGTCCAGGGCTCTGGCACCGTGAGTAATCAAAGCGTACAATTCTATTAGAACTATCGAAGCGTTTGGCAAATTGCATTTGTCCAAAGCAGTCTTCATAAACTCAAAGCGTCTAAGGTGGCAAGGTCTTGGTAGCTTAATGCTGTGCTATTTATCAGGTTGTCCAATAACATGCCACAAAGTAAGATTTTCTATCGTCGCTAGGAATACTAGCATATAGACAACATGCGACTCAAAATTAGGACAGTCCGGCAAGAAATATGGCAAGCAAGCTGAGGAAAGTATAGTCAAGCCAGGAGAGCCAGTAGGAAGTTTTTTTGCATCTCATAACCTCTCTATTTATCTTCTCAACAAGGCAGTTATCCTATTGGACTATATACGCCTACTGGTTTAGGGGTATGCGAGGTTTTGCTGTACACTTGGAGTCTTGGGCATCGCGCGGATGATCACCAGTCGTTTGAAAAGATCCGAGGGTTCTATTGCACTTCGCCATCCCGAACCCTTGGCAAGAGAAGGCGGTATTGACCTAGATGTCGAGCTGTCGACTAATGAGAGAGATGTGGGAAGCTTTTGTTGCATTTCGCACCGGAGATCTACGCCGCTTTTAAAATATAGCGACGCTAGATTGGTTGCAATTCGCAACTCGAGGTCCGCCAGTTTCCAGCTCCACCCAACGCCAAAATTTGAAAAGCTGATATACGTCGTTTGTGAATAGGGAGGAGAGCCTTCTTAATCTATTAAGCCAGAGTATTACAAGAAAGCGGAAGGCTCAGAAAGGTATACCGATTTGAATATATTATCGGTCCCAATGCTAGAATTCGTGAATAGAAATTGGTAAGCAAGTTATCCTGTGTTATGGAAAACTACCTAGGTAGAATAGGGCAGAGCTGTGTGGAATGTCCAATGGACTCTGGAGAGTTTGCCAATGCTCAGTAATCCCTCGCCGAACCATCCGTGAGAGAAACTGGAGGAGATGGCACTTGAGTTCCGGACCACCTACTCCCTCAGCCAAGAACCCAGTACTACGGAGTATAATCGTGGCCGCAGAGTCCCACTATTCACCTCCGGTTTCTTGGACCCTAACGAGACTCGCGCGATCCGACGATCTGGCCCTTGGCCAATTTCCTACCTACATTGCTTCGTAGTTGCCTGAAATTCAGCCACCATGTTAACAAGACTATTCGACGTACTACGGTATGTACAGTACATGCGCCCTTGATGACCTCGGCGGGCAAATCGAGATGCGTCGGAGTGAGTGATCAGAAAGGCTTATTGTTAGGCGTTTTCGCTTCACCTATCTATGCCTTACTAATCGGCATCATATCCAATTAATGCACTGAGACCGTTAACAAGCGCAAGCAATGCCTGATTCAGCGAGCGTATCCCACTCTCTTGGCTCGGGGCTCGGAACGGTGTCTAGTTCCGGTGCTTGTAGAAGGCAGCGAGCGATGTTGTTCAAGCACGCATAATCTACCTAGGTAGTATGGTCAGAAGGGTCGAAGCTAACACATAATCGAAACACTTACACACAAGCTGTGCGTATTTTGAGCTTGTTTTTAAATCAATACTTCGTATACTCTGGGTCTCTAGCATTTCTCCTCCACGAATATCCGGATTCACCACAGAGGACGTCGACAAAAGCGTGGTCCGGGGCTGACATACAGGGGATATAATACGTGGAATAGGCGAGATTGGTGGCTGCTGCCACTCCGTAGGAGATTAAAAAGGGGCCAGACAGTGCCAGACATTCGGGACGCCACGAGTTCGCTGAGTCGCGGGTTGCTGAGTCCCACGAGATCGGGCGTGCATGGACAGTGGGACAGTGGGGTTACTGGTTACTGGTTACTGGTTACCTACCGTACCAGTACAACCCCACGGGATCTTCGCCCAAAGTCCTAATTGAGCCACCAAGAAATACTGTCTATGAAGATAATCTTTTTTTCTTCTTACAGTACATGCATCATGCGTGACGAGAGGCTCAGCAGCCTCAGCCTTAGAGTACCTAGTAAAGACCTCAGCCGCATGAAACCGCGCCTCTCCACTATCCACAACTTGAGGACTTGATGTGATGTTGCGGTGAGCAGAAATAACATGAGTATTACCTTATAAGGTACATGTCTCACCCCAGCGTTGCGTTCTGGAACTCTAATGGTAAGGCCCTTCAACAATTGCCGCATTATTCGCGATCCGTGCGAGGCCAACTTGCAACCCCAACCCGGATACGCTTGCAGATAAGCTCACCGGGCGCTGTGCGCGAACTGCTATGAAGCAAGTGTGGGAGGATCACAGACCACCGGTTTTGGCGTGGTACTTCTACGTCCCCCGTTCATCACCCCACAATGGGAAGAAATATATATTATTTAGGAGGGTAAATTTTCCACCCGATTTGTGAATTACGGAGATATTTTGGCAAAAAACCAGCCATGGTTGGCCCTGAATAAGGTATTCATGCCTAACAAGTATATACAGCGACGACGAAAACTGGCTGCGGGTTTCGACCAGTGTCGGCCGATTCAAATTGATAGTGCTGTCTATACTGCCCGTCCGTTTCCTGGTCTTCCTACTTCGTACCTTACAGTACAATTTGAAGTCGTGAGAATATACAAACCAGTAAGAACGTACCTATTAGCTAAAACCAATACCCTCTAACTTTCATTTCTCATCGTATTATTTCTCTACTGTTGCCTAGTTTCTACTTTTGCTATGGCGTTACTTTGACAAGACTTGCTCTTGTAGAGGCTTTCCCATATTCATCTATCAGTCCCGAAAACACACCCTATGCGTCATACTCAGCCTCGACGATAAATGCGTCCACATTTTCAGGCCGCCCAGCCAAGCACACCGAGTCAGGATAGGCGCTCCTGACCTTCCTACTGTGGCTTCATGACTAGCAATCCAAGGAGACGCATTACTCGGCGAGTACGTGAGGCGCCTGATCTACTTATTGGTCTGAGAATTGCAAACGGAGTACGTCTATCCAATCCCTTGATCAGTTATGCAGACCGTCTCCGGACCCCATTTCTATCATTTAGCTCTGGCAGGCCAACACCCAGACCTCAACAGGCCACACAAGCACAATTCAAGGCATCGGGTTCCTCGATTCCAAGACCACCACAGCCACTTAGGCGCCTAGTGATGCCACGCTACGGATTTGAGATCTCGGTACACTCCTCTGACTGACTATGGCAACCTGATGTGGAGTCTTCGAACAACCGGAGATGCCGCTAGAATGCTCAATTAAAGTACGATTAATGGCAATAAACACTAACACAGAATATATATGGGCCTTCCCAAATAAATAGTAAAGTAGAAGTAGCCTCACAAAAGTAGCCTCATTTTACACTCGTCCCTGAAATCCTACTTTGATGTTACCCCTAACTAACTAGAATGTTATTTAAGACTGACATTGACAGTTATGTGACTGCTGTGGAAGAGTTTGTGCGGGGCCTGTCACTAATGTATTGGCAAACTCACAAATTAAACTATTGTAAACGCTACCTAAACGCCATAATTTTACAACCTAGTATTCATACTGCAGATTCGTGAAATTCAAATTCTACCGTCTTGTTGATCCCGCCGTTTTTCCTATCTATCTCGCTACTCTCTCGGCCGGAGGGTGTATCGGATTTTCTGGCATGGCCTTCAACAATTCGTTCCTGCGAACTCGACGGTGGAGCGCCAGCATCCACTCGGGTTTCAATGTGATTCATCGAATATAGTGCGATATCTCGTCCTCCTGTTCCAGTTTGTCTTCCTGCACTCGACTTGGGGTACGCCCTATTAGAGGAACTTTCGTGTATGTGGTTGGCGACAACTAGTTTTGATGCGAGGATGTCGATACTTGGTCCGATTAGAAAATGTAGATAGCCGCCAGAACAGGGTTAATAACTCACAACATAATAACAGGAAAGAGACACTCCAATGTGAAGACAAACCGATCAACTTGACTTGCGACCGAGGTAGCGCTCTGAGCTGCCTCTTGGAACGAGTATGTGATGGCTCTCGTGATTCCTATGAGAGCTAATGTGGCGAGCCGGACCTCCGTACTCCGCATCAGATATTTGAATAGTCCTGACCGTGAGGCTGCTTCCATTGACGTCCTTTTAGCAGCTGCGAACTTCCGAAGCAAGAACACGGAACTGATAATTTCCACTACGGCTATCGAGCTGAAGAAACCGACATGAAGATGATCAATAAGGCCCTGAAGATTTAATGTGTCGTCTATAATCTGCTTCGATCGGTTGACGAGGATGGCTATTCTGAGACCGGTGAGGATAGCCATCATTGACCAGAAGAGCGACATGAAGATGAGGCGGTCCCTCCGTCGTAGGACCCGTATTAAGATCAAGTAGCTGTAGAAAGATAAGCCTGCTTCTTGGATCTATTTGAGCATTTTATGAGCAAAAGGATTTTGATGGGGCACGAAGTATAAACACTTACCAGCCATCCTATATCCGCAACTGCTGCCGCAACCACAGTCGGCGTCGTAGGATAGTCGGCGTAGAATGCATAATAGCAAAGTCCATTGGCAACAGCCCCGGCCGCGGATACAACAATTGGAACAAGAGAAATTGGTGAAAGCGAGGTAATGCCAACTACCATGAATCCAAGGATGACATTCACCAGCCCAATACTGCTCAGTATAGCCCAACTTTGCTCAAAATATACAGGCACAGCCGGGGTGGCCATAGTCACTGCAGTATCGAAATGTAGGATAGGATGGGGGGTGGCTGGGATTAAGTTCCGACAATTGAGAAAGACATGCAAGGCAACCCTATATACTCCGCAAATCTCGAGCATCCAGTTTCTCACAGAGCATGATACGCCACGTCTCAAGGGATCGCCCGGAATAGAAAATGTAATCCAGGTTACTGACCTAGAGAACCAACCGGCATGGCCAATAGATCGTATGTTCGGAAGGTGCTTGAGCAATGACCATGCACTGACAGCCGCATCACACGTCCCTTAGAATTCAGCTTCCCCTCCATAATACTTCGTAGTATTATCGTTTATCGGGGGTATCCCTAAATCGAATCACCTAGCCCATTAATGTGCAGTAGCACTTGCTGCCAAGCGGGAGCAGTGAGAGATTGCTGCCGTGACTAGCATGCGGGTGCAAGTAGCCAATGGGTTACTCTAATCGTGTAGGCAAATAGCTCTGAAGCGACACCACTTGAAAATAAAACCATCAGGAGATTCGAGTTCAGGCCGACAACGAGAACATGCTCGGAGGCTCTATTGCGAGAATTAGATTCAGCATACCGAGCTGCGGCACAAGGAAGGTGGCAGGCGAAGGGTGTGCAAATTAGGCATGTTGCGAATAAATGATTAGATTTTCTTATGCCACCAACATTAGCAGCGATTTGTTACTGCTTATTCAGGGCTGGACTGCCTGTGATTAGCCAGTTCCTTCAATGATATTGTGGCTTTCCTGGGTATTTGGGTTGGAGGAGCCTACGCCGTACACGGGCGAGGCTAGTACTAATGCACTTCCGCCTTGAAATTTCAAAAAACGCGGCGGAATCTCTCAGCAAACAATATCCGTTGTGAGAGTCCAAATCGTGCGGCTCTTGCTAAAGATGTTGGCCTAGAGATATGGCATGTCGGAAGTATACTGTACACATTGTCTAAGTTCAAGTTCGGATAGGTCCCTTTTCCTCCTTCGTCCCGACAAAAGTAAATATTCTTCCGATTTCTAGGATCCGAGACCCGAGGACACACGGCACCAGGCGCACGGCTCCCTTCCAAAGGTTCGTTCTATGTCCCGTGTTTTGTAGCTACGGGTTGGGATAATCCCAGTATTACGGCATTCAACTCGAACATCCTGAATCCGCCAGCCGCCAGCCGCCAGCAGTTTTATCGATGTATCCAGTCGGGGAGAGTCGTTTCAGGAGGTTGCAAGGCTCTTGACGTATGCAGGGGATCTGCGAGGCCCATACCACGTAGAGCCCCTAGTCTCCAGGCCACAGCTCTTTTATTGGCGTAGTACGTACCTAGTACGTAGTACATACTGCAGGTAGGTAGTACAAAATAATATTAAATCTTACCCGTAGTTTACCGTAGAGGAGAGTGCTGCGGTCTGTACTACATATATGCACGCAGTAGTGCGGAGGTACTTCATATTTGTGCAGTATTTATACTAGATCGCGGGGATTGGAGACGAGAGAAACGGTTCTCCCGCAGCTCAGTATTTCACTCGTTAAATCCATCCCCAAGTGGTTAGCTGCCGTAAAATGCCCGGTTGTTATCCCCTTATCTGGATGGCGCACCGAGTACCGAAAAAGGATCAAGTATTTCAGCCAGTGCAGCTTATTAGCGTTAAAGCAACGAATATCACACCCGGCGCCCAAAGCACATGGCGTCAATGTCAATACTACCTAATTTTGACGCCAATCTGCAGTCTCTGCCTACAAGCGACGGTTCTGGATCCTTATTGAACTACGCAGCTGACGTCTTATTGTTGGGATAAATGTGTGGACTCCGGATGTGTTTTGGGGAATTCTCAGGTAAGGTATTCGAAAACGAGAATCACTCGTCAGAGAATGGTGATTCTTGCATTTTCCAAGCTCAAACCGAAGCCGTTGGTTGAGGCAAACGGTCGGTCGAAACCTGATATAACGAGGGCCCCTTTCGCCCGTTTCTGATCGTTACCCGCGATATCAGGGCCAGATAAAAGCACATGGTAACTCCTCAAACTCTCCATCAGCCCCTAGTTCAACCCTTAGCAACCTTCATACCCTTTCAAACCTTCAAACCGCTGCTAGCCACATTCCCACTCTCATCACTAACATCATCGTCTAGCTCTTCACTGTCACTGTCACTGTATTCGCCTGCCTCGACCAATACCCGGAACCCCTGGCACGCCTTATCTTTTTCCTTGATTTCCTCCACCAGTTCATCGCGTCTCCTCACGCTAGCTTGTACCAACGGTTGTGATTCCCCCGCCGTATCACCAAACACCTTAGCGAACACAAACGCGTGCGAGAAATACTGAAGTATGGTGACACAGAGGTCTAGTAACGAAGCCTGGTATTCCGGTCGCAGTGTAAGTGAGGCACCTTTTTGGTTATAAAGATTCTCCATTACAGCATAACGTGCAACTATACCCCCTATTTCTTGGAGCTGTTGGAAAGCAGTGGTTAGTGATGAAACCGAGTCGGCGGAGAGCGATGTTGGGGGATTGGCGGTAAGTAGTGGGTCGAATATCTACGGATATTATTAGTAGGCAGCATAAAATGGAAATGGGGAGGAGAGCTTTACAGTGAGAAGTAAAGATAAGAACGTCCATCCAAGGGTTGCAATCTCCAACCCGAGACTATCGTCGATCGTCGTAATTATGCGTATTATATTTGCGCGGCTTTCTATCAAAGCAGCAAGTGCCGTGTGATATTCCAGATTTGCTGAACAGGCACGTTTGACAAGGGTTGAGATGTTTGTACAAATGGCCCGATCAGAATGGTGCTTCAGGTTCATGGATCCGAATTCGCGGGAAAGCAACTCTTCCAGCATCAAAAATAGAGACGGGTGGTCTGAACTGAGTACCAAGTAGCCTTGCCACCACAATCCTTGACGCTGGGATGGCGAAAGATCGCTGGAATCGTCGGGACCAACAGTATCCACAGAACATATTACCATCTCCACATCCTCCTTAGGAGGTAACGGTTCGTCAACATCAGGTTGATTCGGGTAAGAGAAAAAAAGGTCAACAGCGTCCTCTTCCTCCTCTTCCTCCTCTTCCACCTCTTCCTCCTCTTCCGCCTCTTCCACCTCTTCCTCCTCTTCCACGCTACTTTCTAATCCCATGCCGGCGGCATGTGGTAAGGAATGCGTAGACGATCGAGAGTTAGATACCGTCTGCGAATCTCCATTCCCTTTGCGTTTTCTAGTATTATATTTTGCACGTGAATAACTGTTTGGTTCAGTTGGTTTTGGGGGGTTCCGCTTCTCTGTAAGAACATCTCCGCGGAGAGATGTTAAGCTGTCTCGTTCGAGAGGCTGACTAGAATTCTGGCGTTGAGTTCGCTGATCCTTAAGTTGCTTCAGTTTCCTCCTCTTGGCTTCGATTTCTAGCCTTCTACTGAGGTTCTTGCTTGGTAGTTGCTCATCCTTCGATTTCCAGCATCCGGCGGAAGGCTGTACAACGTCATCAACCTCAACAATTCTGGATGCCTGAAAGCCATAATTCATATCCTCGGGTGTCGGTGTTTTGCGTTTAGATGATGAGCTCAGCCGTTCTTGATATTCAGAAGATATGCTGGACTTGACTACCCTTGGAGCAGTTATCTGTTGAGGAGGAACTCCAGGGACGCAATTTTCAACCCGTTTGGGAGTGTATCCTGTAGGCCATAACCTTCCAGATGCCTGCATATCAGACGCACGCGGCTCTAGGAAAGGGTGAGGGTTGCTGCTCGAAGGGCTATACCGCGGGCTCCAAGGGCTGTATCGGTACGTATCTGAAGTGTAGCGCGTCGCCTTAGCTACATTGGCAGCTTCATCGCTAGTAACTTTGTGGTCGAGGATGCGTTGGAGCGGTGCTCCAAATGGTATCTGGTTGTATATATTTGTATCCTGGGCTATCACGCCTCCAAACAAATTGCTAGGACCTGAGCCAATAGAGGGGGGTTGGGTGAGTGAGGTACCCGAATCTCCGGGGAGGAAGCTGTCAAAATCAAATGGTATCGGGTCAGGTGGATTTGCATTGTGGGCCATCGACCCCCCAAATAAATTGCCATGACCTGAATTAATAGGGCAAGCTAGGATGGGAGAGGCACTCGAATCTCGGGCGTGTTGTGAGAACTCATCAAAATCGAAGTCTGTTGATACACCCATCCTGTCAAACCTGGAACTTGGGCGGTCAAAATTAATTTGCGTATCTTGGCTACAGCTCACTGCGCTAACAGTAGTAACGGGGGTCAAAGGCCTAGGAGTCGCAAATTCATATATAGAGTCGGTGGATGTGGTTACTTCGCTGCTTGTAGAAGGGTATGGAATCCTTTGAGACGCCCACGGCGATATTAAAGCACTAGGTTCTTTTTGTGCCCGGGGTTGATCTGTCCCAAGAGGGTCATTGTGTATGCCCCAAAATAATGGGGGACTCGCGAGAGCTTTAGGTTTTTCATATCCTTTACCTTTTGGACGAGAACGGAGTCCAGGTTGGGAATTCCGTACCATCGGCGGTAATTCGTATTGGCTTTGCTGAGAACTTGTCTTGCTGGATACGCAGTTGATAAGGCCAGAATTCCGGAAGCCCCCAAGGGAGGATGATATTTGGTTGAGCTGTGAAATGGCTCGAACCCGACATATCTCTGATCTGTGATAAAGGGTAACAAATTCAGACTTTTGAAGTACCACGTGCTCAGCCGAATGCTTGTGTAAAACAAGGACTACTTCCTCAAGAAGGACTGTGCTGACGTTCTGGAGCGTATATTCATCTACTAGTGTGAGTATGTCTCTATAATTCCTTGATAATAAACGTACCAGTGTCTTTGAAAGACTGGATATAGAGCAGCCCATGTTTTTTATAATGGGATTTGTGAGTATCGCTAACTCCTTTCTCACCATCCACTAATGAGCGTTCGATATCTTTCACGACGGGATACAAGCCATTATCTTTTTTCGGGATGCGTTTCTGTGTAAAACTGTTGAGCGTCTCTAGGGCGGTCCTAAAGGAATGCAGTACCCCTTGGACGGCGACGACATCGTCGATTATATCCGTACTTGTCCCCTGAGACGACAGGGCGCTCTGGAAACTCTCCACGGATGACGAAGACTTTAAGCTCCTATATGAAGTGCGCTTTGAGACGGTGGTAGGTAAAGCACACTGTCCCTTGGCCATCGGGGGTTTCATTCCTAAGCTGCTAATCTGAGATATGGATTGGCTAGCTGCTGGTTGGCTGGCGGCATTTGTGGTAGAATTAGGAGCCCAACTGGAAACTTCCTTGGTAGGTTCAGTCCGGTTACGTTTCGTAATATATGCTGATATTGATGGAAGAACAATAAAGTTTGATTGGGCTGAAACATGGGTGGTGGCTACATCGTATTGAGTTGTAAACACCTGAGAACCCTTTTCGGAATAATGACTGAGTTTTTCAGGGATCGCATATCTTGATACAATCACATTCGATTCGACGGCTTTTTGGGCATCTTTGAGAGTCTCGATTGTCTCGGGCAGTAATGGCTGCTCATGAACTCTCTGGATCTTGCTTGAGCTGGAAATGTTCCTGGTATCCAGGTTAGAGCCATGGAAACCTTAGATTAATCCAAGCCAATTACTCACAATAACGAGAGCTGTAAATCGACTTGCAAACTCATCAAAATGGTCGCCAACGTCCCTTTCATATCCCTCAGCCTCGACAACAGCTTTCGAATTTGGCCCTCCTTGTAAACGAATTTTACTCGTAATTTCCAGGTACTTTTTCCATGGCCACCCAATTTCACGAGGACTTTGTCGATTTTGACATATAGCTCTGAGCAATCTTTTATGATCTTCGCCGTCAACAGATATATATCGTCCGAGTACCAGCATTTGCTATCCTCGAGCAACCGTGAAAGTAAGGTAAGGGACTGTGAAAATGTTTTCAAATCATCGGCAAGTGCTTGAACATCTTCACCTGCAGACGCAACTGCTGTCCCGAGAGAGTAGAGCGTCTGGGAGAGAGATAAGGCTGCGCCAGCCAGCTGGACAACGCTCGCTACAGCGCCTACCGCCGATAGGGGATCCATTCAAGGCGCTTCGACTGGACACATCAGTATGCGTCGTGTGAGGCTCCGCCAGCACTTGGCTGCATCAAATAGTGGATTCTATGGAAGAGTTGTGAAGATCTATGGAGTGGCTGTCTTCCTCGACGGAGGTTTGGCTTTTAGGAGGGGAGTCTTATCAGCCTCACTGGCACTGCCACGATCGCCACAGGGCGCACGAAGCGAGGTTTTCTAGAAGAGAACTGGATCGTCGACGAAATCGCACATCATACCTACCTACTATGTAGATATGTAGATGGCTATCTATTTTAGGCTACTAATAAGCCTCATTGACTTATCGAAAACTAATTGATCAACTGAACATTTTGACATTGTTTAGTAAATGAATGCGCGATTGAGTGAGTACCTGGAGAGTTGCCTGGTGTCGTACAGTATCAGGGGCGGTGCAGATAACATGCGGGCTAACGTGGATGACGTTCGGAATATGGGGTATCGATCGGACTCAGATCATATGATTGCCAGGTTCGTCTGGATCTCTACTGTATTAGTATGGTTCTTGAGCTATTATATATTATTGGGCGCGGACATAGCAGATATTCCGGAAGGTGCTTCGTTCCTAGAAGGCGGTGGGTCCGTAAGAAGTACTCTACCAGTCGCGCTATGTGAACAGTGTCTTGCTGACGAATTCTGATGTCGGTGCTGCACCACATGTGTACAAACTCCGCATATCAGTAATGAGTCTTATGACCTGTCAGCTATAAGTTCTTAGACAAGCTATAAGTGTTAAGCTATTGGCAATGTAAAGCGCGACCCAAGGCCTAGTGCATGGACGACAATATTGCCGGCAGGTTGTCTGGGCGTATTGATCGTAGGAGACTACTCGTACGGTACAAAGCACTCCGCAGAGTCTGAGCCAACAGTGATTATTGTGCGCACGTTATCTAGCGATTGTTAGTGCCCTGGATTCCTCCATTTCTCTTTGCTGCCTGTTTCTTTAGTCTAACAATTGCAGAGCTGAGCAGCTAAGAAGTACCTACTGCATCTACGGAGTAGACACATTAGTGGGGTGGTGTGAAGTCTCAAGATGAGGCGAAAGCCGAACCACAAACCACCCGCTCACGGCCCCAAAAGAAATGAGCATTTGGCATAGTTTGTTTGCTGATCTACGCCAGAGTTCCCCAATAGGAAGATGAGATTGTACAAAATCCCCCGTACTTCGTACTGCGTCGTACGCGTGTAGTAGTAATAATAATAATAAAGTATTTCCGAAGACCTGGTGCAAGTCCTGTGGGGCGCGGCGGCCTGGGCGAAAGGGGCCAAGCGTCAGGCACAAAAAGCACAAAACGCAGGGTTCGAGTCGGCTATTGGCCCGGGGTTCTGGGTGTTGCGAGTCCAGCCCCTATCTCTCCTCGTGGACTCCTTGTACTCTTGTACAGTTACATTTTCTGCTTCTTCAAACGTGTCGGCGGAGCGCGGTTGGGATTAAAATGAGATGTTTCCTTCCTTCCTCAGAGGCTCAGACGCCCAGCGCGCCTCTGCAACGCGTCCTGCTGCAAGAGTGATGCATTCGAGGGAAGGGACAAGAAAAGAATAGGAGGTCAGATATGCAGGATTCCCGACGCGCTGATTCGTTTCTCTGGGACATTCTGAAACGTCTAATCCCACGGAGCACCTCATCGGATATGCAAAAGAACGAACGCCTTGTGGAAGATTGGAAGTCCTCCGGTACGTGCAGTACATGGCTACATGTACAGCTAGTACTTCGTAGCAGCAACCAAGAAAAGCACCAACAATACTCGTACAATTGGGAATCAAGGGGCCAAGGCGCGCCGTGCCCCGAGAACAGGCAGGGAGCTCCGAAATGGAATCTCAAGGTCGACAAACGCACCTTCGTCTTGAGCAAACGGCCTTCCAGAATCATATTATAACTTCTGAAATGTGGATCTATCGGGAAAACAGCGCGGGTCAACCATCCGCCCCCGTCCGCCCGTCCCAACAATCCTAGAGGATGAAGATGACGGCGCCGTGCCGTGATACGGCAACGCGAAATCACGGTACTCGTACATTTACATGGCTCTTGGGGCTTTGGTGAGACCTTCTTGCAGACTGCAGGTGAGCGGTTGCCGCTTAATTTATTCGCAGGCCTGATATCTCAAGGCTGGAATTCGAAATTGATCGGCATCAAATCTCAGCCGCTCGAGGGGAATGATTTCTGTACTCGCTCCATTGTCATTCCACGCACAGAACGGCCGAAAGGGGGCCGGGCACTCTCCAGACTCTGCTCCGTAGGTCCTGTAGTACCGTCCGATAAAGTTCAAGTCCCGGAGGCATGCTTTATGCTGGCTGGCCAATACCGGCATGCAGATGCACATGCGCGAGCCGCTGGAGAACACTCCAACGCGCTCTCACCACCTATTACTGCTGCGCTACTGGCGAGAGAGCATGCGTATGGCGCTATTATTCGCGCAATAGTAGTAATACCATCGCTGCAGTGCCATGGTGCAGCAGCTCCTGTGCCTCGATCAGACGCGGTCCTCAGCTTCTCCAGCTTTTTTCCAGTTCCCTGTCCAGCGTTTGACAGGGCAGCTCGGCCAACTCGACCTTTGGGCCTGGAGTCGTCGACCTGGGCCAAGAGTCTAGGACTAATAGCACCCCTGAGGCGCTCCACGGAGCCTGGGACCCGATTGGAAGCCCGCCATCGCGGTTTTTTCATTATTTGAGGACCAGGACCAGCCGGGGAGGATTTCGAATAAAATGTTCAGAGGCGCCTTGAGAAGCTGCGGGCGACGTAATCAGACAAAATGAGTCTCCTGGATCTGAGGCAACACGCCCCCCCCCCGGAGATTCGAAATAGCCCAGCGCGAGGAGGCGGAAGCAAAGAATGAAAGGGCACGGATTCTTACTGCAGTGTCTAGTTGAGCCTGCGTGCTGGGAGCCTAGACGGCGCACCTGGGCGAGAAATCGTTATGCTGCACTGTACATGTACGCTGCGCTGCGAGGACAGGCCGTAGTGCGTCAATCTTCAACCATCATCACTGAAGAAGTACGGAGTTAGCTACTTCTTATTAGTACTTGTTAAGTGCCCTACCTAGGTATAGTACGTACTATCTACTTATTTATGAACTACTGGCCTTACTGACAAGTGAGCCAGCGAAACGGGTTCGACGGAAGGCTATTTAGCGTCAGGTACCAGAGCCCACCTAGTTAATTAGTGCATCAACGAAATACATACTACGGAGTATGCTCTTTTACCCCTGCGTCAAAAAGCGGTGCTTCTGACTTCTGTCATTCCAATGATTCCACTCCCATTTCCACTACTGGCGGCGGAGCGCAATCCAGCGTCACTGCTCACGCTCACGCCCATCAACATTTCCCTGGAGTCCTAGTCCCAGGCCCGGCCCCCAGTTCCAGTGTGCCCAGTCCTTCTCACGCCCTCCACAGGCTCCCAGCCCTCCAATCCTATCATTCCTCTTCTTCCTCCTCTCCCACCCCCCGGTTTCTTCAACTGTGTGTGTGCCACACCCTTCTTCCACTCTTCCACCTTCCACTCCTTTTGTCCCCTTTCAGCCATTATTTACCCACAGATACAGATCTCTGCTCCCCCCGTTTCTTCGTTTCTTTCTCCGCCAAACGTCGCCCACTCCTTTCTCGACGCACATTCATAGGTGCTGGTAATCGGACAGAAGTCACACTACGACACAAATTACTTTCATTGCCTTTCCATCTTTACATTCCAATACGCTGCAAGCGTCGTTGTCTGTTAATGCATTGTCACACCAATTTCAGCGAATTGTTACGCCGCGTCTGCATAATTCCATCTGAATTCCTTTTCCACGCGCCCTCAATCCCCCCCCCTGAGAGTTTCTCTTCCACGCCGAAACTTGGCCCATCTTTCCAAGTCTAGAGTCCAATTCAGTGTGCAGGTCACTGAGGATCAAGAGCCAGAAAAAAAATCCAGTCTAAATATCCTCGACGGAGTCGACTGTTCCAAAGGGGAATATTAGCTTCTCGGGGAGCGATCAGTCAATGCAAGCCAGGTTCACCCCACGATAATCCAGGGATAACGAAACGAGCCCGACACAATCATTTCAACTTCTGAAGCAAGACTTCTCTCGCTCCTTACCCACATTTCAAACTTTCATTCCGGGGCCGATATACTAAGAAACGGGGTTTCTTATCCGTTCTCACGCTCATACCAGGGTTCATCCTCAATCCCGGCAACGCAGGTTTGTTATTCCCCAGAAACTACCTGCCGTGTCAATCTTACTCTTCAGCGCTGATGTTTGTATCATTCTAGGGAATTCGTCTCTCCTTTTTCTCGACCTCCTGAGCACCCTACGTCTGATATCCACCTTCATTTCGAGTCGAATTTACCTCATACCAACCCAGTCCTCGACAACTACACACGGTGGAGTAACTCACCTGTTACTTGTGAGCGTGCTCACCCACAACTGTCAGTGCCGCTGCTGCTGCTGGAGCATTCTTCGCAAGCGCTTCACGACTAACTTTATACCAGCAAAGCACATCGACCTAGGGTAGTAAAGATGAATCGATTCCGGACAAAGAAGAAGGCCAAGGAGGCCCCGGAAGGCACGGTTAGACCATCGAATGATTCCGAAGCTCCCTCGCTCGCAACCATTAAGAAGACGAGGACATTTGGACGAAAGAAGATCCCCGACCCAGAGCCACAACTGCAAATCGACCTGGTCAATGCACTCCCGTCGTCATCCGATTTCCGAACCAGCTTGTTGATGAATGGGCTTTCTGCCAGATTTTCGATGCTGCGAGAGCAGGACGATCCCAAGTCAAAAATCGGGAAAGCAAGCGATGATAGCGTCCTGTTTCCTAAACGCCAATCAAGGCTCAATGATTTTGGGTTTCAGTCTCATGGATTGTCAGATATTGCAGAAGTATCGTCCATCAACGGCTCGATACGACCTCCTTTCCTGTCGGATAGGAAAGGCTCATACTCGACGGAAAGCACTGCGGGAGACGATGACTCTATGCACAGCGGTAGCATAATGAACCGTGCGAAGCCAGGAGAAGGTAATAATTTATTTGGAGGTCGTCAGAAAATCTATAAGATACCGGTCAGTGCATCCGGATCAACAAAAAACCTGGCCGATGGTGGTAGCGGAATGGGAGGCCGAGCTTTGTATGAGAATGATGTTAGCCAGTCCGCATTTCAGAAGCTCAGAGAGCGAGAACGGGAACAAGAGCGGCTGGCTCAAGAAGAAAAAGAAGAAAGGGAGGCACAATCTTCTCGCCCGCCGTCGCCCCCTCTTGCTGGATACAATCGGAACCGGGAAACGTCGTCAACAACCTCTTCTGGCCCCTCGTTCAATGCGCGGACCTCGACCGCCGCTACATCTGTCACATCTCAGAGAACTCCCTCCCTCAGCGGTTCACATACACCAATTACCCCGGCGGCTCCTGTCTCCAGTAATAGTAGTCTGGATCGGGCGACCACCAAGAGCCGCAGACTGTACGAGACCGGTTTGGACCAGCATCTTCATGAGCAGCAATCCTTTGCAACGAACAGAATGGATATTTTGACCAGACAGCGAGCACTTGGTGCCCGGAGCCCTCCTCTCAATTCACCAACTGGCGCCTATTCACCAAATGAGAGGTGGGATAGAAATCCGCTGGCAGGCAAGGCTAGTATGCCGAATTTACGATCTGCAAGCCCTGCGCCAAATGCTGCATTAAACGGCTTTGACTTTTCTAATCAGACAAACGATTATCCGGATTCGAAGGCATATGGAATATCCTCACCACCATTAAGCCCACCTATGACTGATAGTGACGATGCGGTTGCACTCTCAGTTCGACCTAACGACAAGGGAAAGGCCACAGCTCTTGGGGCATTCAACAAACCCGCGCAAGCATATGATGAGAACAAATATTCGCAACGTCAGATTCAGATGCAACAAGGACGAGAGACACCGCCGCCTAGGAAGCCCTCTCCAGCTCGTCCATTTATTCCTCGCCAGCAGCCTGTGGGACGGATCCGAGCTGATTCTAGTGCCACCTTCTCTTCAAACAGTACGGCTAGATCGAGATCCAATTCATCTGCTCAGCAGCACTTCCCACTTACTGACAGGCTTTCGGAGAGCGGGTCAAAGACCCCTCTTACCGTGCCCGAGGATCGTGAAATTCCGACTGGGACCTTCTTAAGCTCCCCTGAAGACAGCACCTTGTCATCTCCCGTGGAACAGGCAGGCAAACTAGGACCTACTTCTAATCCGCTCGATCTCTCAAAGATGCACTTCCAAGACCACAATGTGAACCTACAACGACCGCCGCCCGAAGCGCAACACCCAGCAAATAGGCTTCGGCCAATGGGTGAAAATATACGATCCGGAGTAAATAGCGTAGATTCTACGCCGCCTCCCATTCCACGATCAGTCCCTCAGGATTCTGAGAAGCCTTTATCTAAAACCCCGGCGGATTCCCCGACGTTGGGTCCTACGGTGCCAATGGCAGGACTGAGCGGTATGGTTCGCCAGCACCTTCGGTCAGACAGCAACTCATCATCAATATATGGTGGCCCCTCTGAACCCCTTACCTCCCGTTTCCCTCCTGATCATCTGGATTCTGCGCCACAGGAATATTATGATAGCACAAGTAATCCTTGGGATAATGACAACTGGGATCGGGGTGATTATGCGAGTAGTCAGTTTACTTTCAACTCTGCGGAAGAAACCAAAGACCTCGAAGCTGTGCCGCCTCCCCTCTCAGTTCGGTCACCCAATATTGATATTGGGGAGGAAAGTCGCAAGGCGCCGTGGGAGAAAGGGCTAGAAGCTCACCACAGCCGAGAAGGAAGCACAGAGACCCAGAAAGAACGTCAGGATTTCCAGAACGACCTTGCGGAAAGGCGGCGGCGCGTTCAAGAAAACTTGAAGAGTTTCGTGGAGACTGAAAGCAGATCCGCCAGCAGATCCGCAAGCCCTTCACAAGCAGATCCCGCTCCTTCAAGGAGTAACCCCCTTGGGCTCCTGAAGTCCAAGTCCAGCCGGGGATCTCTTGTCGTAAAAACAAGAGAACAGGGACCATCGAAGGCGATGAAAATGTTGGGTATTGGAAACAGTACCATAAGCAGCTCACCATCTCCCAACAGACAAGATTTCAATGAACATTCTGGAGGGCGAGAACACGAGGAAGTAGACGCCTCACAAGGCGGGCCAGTTGGTGGTCCGGGACAAGGACCTCCTATCATACCCGCACAAATGAAGGCTTTCCGGCAGGCACGTAGAGAGGCTCAGCGGGACCGAGAGCGACAAGTCGCCGGGAGACATCAACCGAGAATGGGACCAGGAGGTAACCGCCCTGAATGGTCAAATCCGACGGGCGAACATCGTTCCCCTCAGCGTGAACGAAACGGGGAAAGAATGCCACCAAATATCAGAACTCGCCAGCGCAGCCCTAGTCGAGAGAAAAGACCTCCACCAGTAGCGTACACCCACCGCAACGGAACTCAAGAAAGCCTAGGCAATGGGGGTTCGAACCGATCTGGATCCTCTCCGCCGCGGCCATCGCGAGACAGATCGACCTCGGACGATTCTGGACGGTCTAAAGTTGTTAATGGGAGACCCCCAGATGATCGAGCACGAGGCATGTCTGACGGCCCTCCCAGACCAGGCCAACCTTTGAACATGGAGTTGGAAATTCCTTCTGGGCACCTTGGAGCAAGATCGCCCGGCACACCTGCATTGCAATTCCAGCCATCTCCAATCCCATCCCCAATGATGCCCCCGGCAGGTAGATCTCGGAGCAACAGCAAGGTCACTCCCAGCGGTTATTTCGAGTCGCAAAATCTACAACCAATTCGCGTAGGTGACGTCGCACAGTCACCTCGACCGTCTCCTACAGCTCCATTCTCGATCAATCCTACCCCGGCGCAACCTTCTCCTGCTGGGTCTGGCAGAAACACGCCAACTGCACAAGCTTTCCAATCTCAACAACAACCCCGGGGACCCTCTGCCCGAAAGCGATCGATTAACAAGCATGAAATATCTGAGCCCAAATTTGTCTCATCCACTTCGAGAATCACCACGGTCGAACTCCCTCCCGAAGCATCTCTTCAGAACGGCATGGATACATCTGCCCCACCAATTCCGCCTGTAAACCCTATGCGCCGTCAAACTCGTGCTATGTTTGGTGGTCTGCGCGGGAAGAAGGATGATCTTAGTGACATTCAAAGCATGCCGGCGGCTACCCAATCCACCGAAGAGATGAGCACATTTTCTGCAGATGAAGGTGATCCTAAGCCCAAAACCCGGATAAAGTTGAGAAAGAGCTCTAGCGAAGGTGGAAACCTGAACGCCAAAGCTCGACAGGCTATCTTTGCGCAACCAAGCCCAGCATTGCCCACAGGCGCTTTCCCAACATCGCGAGGTGCCAGCCCTCCACGTCCTATTGAGGGCGGCATGTTTTAACTTGCGTCTCATAACCATCAACAATACCCGGAGCTATATATCCTTCTGATCTGTATTACCTTCCATTTACTAGATAATGTTTAACACGACCTTCTCAATTTTATACCTTTGCCTCGTGGCGCTTAAAAGATTGGACCTGGACTGGGCGTTTTAAAGAGTTGTACCTTTTGTCGCACATTTTGGAACATGTTCTTTTATATGCCTTTTTGAGAAAATGCAGAATTTGTTTCCGGTGGAGGAGAGAGAACAAAGTGCGCCATTTGTATCACGTTTGTACTTGATGGCTCAGCTGGCCTGCGTCGTTGGGGATGGACGACTGGTACCCAGCCTTGCTGATTCTAGCTATATATATCATATGTCTGGCGGTGAAGTAGTTTTAGCAGAAGGGCTCATAGGGATCACTTGAGCCCTACAAGAAATAATATAAAAATAAATGCATACATATAGCTTGATTTTCAGTTGAGATGCTTGAAATCGAGATAGTACTACATATTGAGCTGGTGGTTAGGCTTGTACCTAGCAAGTGACATTGCGGTATATTTGTACTTTCGGTATATGCTTCGCTCTTCACCTAGGAGTAATTAGAAGTATTTCTCAACTAAATAAATGTTCTCATAAGCCAAGATACCAAGTCCTATATGTGACTTATGGTTGGGTGTTCTGTCGGGGAGAAAGGGGCTTCGCCAGATCCCTGTCTAGTCCCCTGTCAACTTCAACGCCTCTCGTTACGGTGGCATCTTCAAGCTCGCTCCAACAGCTACAATACAAGAGCTTTCGAGTTCAATATCCAGCTATCCCACAACAACAATAATGCGACGAATTGAAGCATTAGTGCTCCTAAGCACTCTTTCAGCCTCTGTGCTCGCATCAGCGTCCCCCAGACCCCGTGGAGTCGGACCTGAATGTACGTTTTATTTACCCTCCAAGCCTAGTAATTGAAGCAGCACAGTTAACACGTCTTCTTAGTTGCCAAATTCTACAAATCCCCAGATAGCTTCACATGTATCTCGCAGCCATCAATTAAACTCTCCGCATCCCAGGTCAACGACGATTACTGCGATTGCCCCGACGGCTCGGACGAACCTGGCACCGCAGCCTGCACATTCCTCTCTCCCCTCTCCCCTCCACAACCTCTAGGTGGCCAGAACGCTACACCTGCCCTGCCAGGCTTCTACTGCAAGAATAAGGGCCATATCCCCGGCTACATACAGCAGACCCTTGTCAATGACGGCGTATGCGATTACCAGGTCTGCTGCGATGGGAGCGATGAGTGGAGCGGGGTAGGCGGTATCAAATGCGAGGACCGGTGTAAGGAGATTGGGAAAGAATGGAGACGTATCGATGAGATCCGACAGAAGAGCGCGATGAATGCTTTGAAGAGGAAGGAGGAACTGCTCAAGAAAGCCGCAGATTTGAGGGTTGGTGTTCAGAATAGCATTGTAAATTTGGAGGGGGAGATTAAGATCGCGGATGCCAGAGCACAAGAGTTGAAGCAAGTTTATGAGGAGACTGAGAGAAGAGAACGCGGCAAGGTCGTTAGTAGCAAGGGGAAGGGGAGCAAAGTTACGATACTGGCGGGGTTGGCGAAGCAGAGGGTTGAGGAGTTGAGGGATGCTCTTGTACGAGCTATTTCGAAGAGAGATGCGCTTAAAGAGAAAGTTAAGGAGTTGGAAGGTATCCTCGCTACTTTCAAGGAGGAGTATAACCCTAATTTCAATGACGAGGGTGTGAAGCGCACTGTCAAGGCTTGGGAGGACTATGCTGCGAATAGGAAGGCTACTGAGGATGAATCTACGGAGGAGCGCGATGTCGAGGAGGTTGCTAAGCCGGATACTGAGACTGAGGGTATCAATTGGGCAGAGTGGGAGACGGAAGGGGAGGAGAGCGATGTTGAAGCGCGTAAGTACCTTTCTGTTTCCGGGTGCACATTCCATTTGCTAATAACCTTAGTGTACAAATTCGAAGCATACCTTCCAGCACCAGTACGCAACTGGATACAAGCAAAACGAGTCCTCATCCGCGAGATTCTCATCGAGAACGGCATCCTTGCTAACAATGGCAACTCCGCCACTGAATCCAAAGCCGTCACGAACGCACGCTCCGCGTACCAAAATGTCGAAAATGACGTGGCCGTCAAGCAGACTTCACTAAACGACCTTAAAACCGATCTCGACAAGGACTACGGCCCTAACGACATCTTCCGCGCACTGAAAGGCACATGCATCTCCAAGGACTCTGGCGAATATGAGTACGAGCTCTGCTGGATGGACAGCACCTCGCAGAAGAGCAAGAAAGGTGCGGGGAATACAGGGATGGGGAATTTCGTGCGGTTTGATACGATGGACGTGGATGAGGAGGTTGGTGTTGACGGGAAAGGCCTCGGGCAGGGCAAGCGGATGGTTATGATGTATGAGAATGGCCAACACTGCTGGAATGGGCCCAATAGGCAGACTACTGTCGTTCTGGGCTGCGCAGAACATGATGAGATCTGGAAGATCGTGGAACAAGAGAAGTGTATGTATCGGATGGATGTGGGCACTCCAGCTGTTTGTGAGAAGGAGACGAGGGCCAAGCAAGGGAGTGGGGAGGGGAAGGCGAAGGAGAAGGATGAGTTGTAAAATGGTTGGTTAGATATATAGAAAAGAGCGGCAGCTTCGTTGGGTTCTCCTTTGTCCCCTATATATATATCCTTTACTAAAATGGTATAGCTCTAAAATGTAGCTATTAGGGATATTTTATTTATATGTATAAGTTCACCTGGTTTTCCCTAGTCCTTATCCACTAGCCCTCTTCAGACTATCCTCTAGGTGCCAACGATTCTGAACTACTTGTTTCCAGTCTTAGGAGCCATGCAGGCTTTTAAGTTTATCTTAAAGCCTGCTTGTGAGAATAAACAGGCCTGTAGGGGTAGGGCCTTGAATGCGTCTTTCCAGACCCATACGTGCCTCACTGGGTATAGAGACACGAGTTGTTTAGACACAACCGCGCTCACCACTACCCCTCTACTTATCCTATCTAATAGACCTGAGTTTGCTGGCGCGAAATTCCTACGCTCTGTAATGGGATACCCTGGGGAGGCGTTTTCAAAGCAACTGCGAGTTGCCACTCTCTGAATATACCGGAAAGGTACCATTAAACTCGTAGTACACTCTCAAATCCATCTTCCAGGGAAATATATTCATTATCATAACACATCACATTTCTATCTCATATCATATCATGACATTGGCATCAAAAGCCCTACAACAGCTCCCACGGCCCTCAACGGGCCCCGTTCCTTCACCAGCCTATCAAACATCTCGGGTATCTTAACGAGACTATTCCTCTCATCCGTATTTTGCCCTAGTTGCGCACCGAATTAGCTTTAGCTTCGTGGGGGAGCTACGGCGAAGAAAGAGCAACCTACAATTCTTTGGCGTCCTCGCATAAGCAGACAGAGAACTCTGGACCTCTCCCGTCCAATCAAAGCTAATATTCCATTCAAATAACAGTTGCACCTCTTCAGTAGCCAACTCGAAGCTCGTACGCCCCATGTGGGGCAGCACTTGCTTCGTCGTCCATTGCTGTTTCGTCACCATCTCGTCGTCATCTTCATCATCATTGCCTTCATGTTCATCGTCTTCGTCGCCCTGAATGACAGGCACCTGTGTTCGTTTCCGCTTCTTTTTGCGAGTCATTCGGTGGAATGATATATTCCTTCCTTCGGCGGTGCCGAATTCTTTGCCAACAGCACACCAGAATCCTGCTCGTTTCGTGGCGACCTCTGTCCATCGGCCCATTGACCAACAAATTACGCTGATGTCTTTTCCAAAAATGCCCTGTGTGCTTACTCTCTTCCGTACGAAAGTACCCAGCTCTTTTTCAGCACACGCAGTCAACTTGAGAATTTCGATCTCCGTAATCGAAAGTGTCAATGAGTCCACAACCATAGACAGTTGGGCAGCGAATAGTCTAGGTGCATGGGATACATTTATATGATAACATTGGAGAATTGAGCGCTCATGGTTTTCTGAAGTTAAATCTGGTGTGAGTTGCTCAGAAGGTGGTAGTAATGTGATTGTTGACGTAAAGGTTAGTGGGCTGAAAGCCTGCAGATACGGGAGAGGATCGTCCAGATGTACAGGTAGATGAGATGGTAATGGTTTTTGAATACTGGGTATAGCAGGTGGTTTGGACCTCCGGAGAGATGAAAATGGCAAGAAAGCGCTAATGGTCTTGAAGATGCTTGGTGGTTTTAACTTCGGTTTTGAAGGCAACTCTGTCGATCTTAATAGCAGAGCCAATAATTCATCGGAATTTGGCGCTCTTTTTGGATAGCGCCTTCCTGAATCATGCTGGAGACGTAGCCGTTCGTTTTCTTGATTTGCAAGAGCCACGTCGGCTTGTAATTGTTGGAGCTCTTTGAGAAGGTCGTCCCGAGCTTGCTTCTTGGCCGCATGAGGATCCTCAGGAGCTATAAACCGAGCAGATCTCCGACGTATTATCGGGTTCTCTGGTTTATGTTCGGAACGAAACTCTGGCTCCAGCACGGCCGCAGTATCTTTCGTGGGCAATGGCAGTGACTGATCTCGAGGCTTTAATGGCGAAGACTTCAGTTTGCTTCCCAGAGCGCTTCTTTTTCTCGCTCGTTTACTGGGGGTATTAAGTATACCGCTTGGGGGCGTCGTCACTATCGGATCCGGAATACCTCTTTCAGTTGGAGTTGGTGGTAATTCAGGTTCGTTGAATGGAGACGATCTTCTGAAGATACCAAGTTTTCTGGAATGGGTAGTTCCTGCCGCTCGCCAATCCAACGGTTTTGGCGGTGAGATCGAGCTTGTTATTGGTTTCTCTTGTAGTTGGATATCATCAATGGTGCGTGCAGTTGTTGTTATTTGGGACAGGGTATGTGCCGCTTCTGGCCCCTCTGAAGCTTCCAGCTGTTCTAGCTGTTCCAGATCTTCTTGCTCCTCTTGTTCCTCCTGTTCCTGTTGCTCTTGCTGCTCGTCTTTCTCTTGCTCCTCGTACTGCTCTAGTTGCTCATTTTCCTCTTGTAGCCGAGTATCATCAGATATATTAGACCCAACAATCTGCCTAATTGGGAGCGTTTGGTTGAAATCTGGTACCACTGCAGGGTGTTTTGGCCGCTGAGTGTCAGCAGGAATGAGGTGATCCGCAGACTGAGAAGGAGGTGAGCTAGTAGGTGTCATAGATATTTCCGGCGGCGGTTCATCCTGAGCACTATCTTGCGCGGGAGCATCCACAACAGGAGATCTCCTCAATCCACCCTTCCGAAAGGGGTCGATATCATCCGGTACTGTGTCAACTTGCGAGGGGATAGGCGAGCGTTTGAGGCCCTTCTTCTGAAAAGGGTCGTCAACATCCTGGAAATCTCCGTCGTATATGTTTCTCCCGTTTGCCTGACTTCTCCTCCTGGGTGGCTTGGCCGGAGAACGCGACATCCTCTTTGGCTTCGCCGCTAATCCCCTCCTAACGGGTTGGGATCCCTTTGTATTTGGAGTAATAGGCTTCCGATTATCAGTCGAACGTAACCCATTGTTTCCCTGCATTACAGTCCCCTGAGATAGCACCCCGACTCTATCCTTATCAACTTGAGCATTCTGACTCTCGATAGCCGGTCGCACTTCTCCCAAAGCATTCGCGAATATGTCGTCAAGCTTCCTGGACTTAATGCTAGTCCTCCCGACACCAGACCCAGACGACGAAGGCCGTGTTAACAATTGGGGGTTGTGTCTTGCGATACTCGCTTTTGTCGGTGAGGCAAAGGATGGCCTGCGTGGGGGAGTCTTTGCGGCATCTTGTCGCCGCACTGGTATTCGACTTGGAGTTCCTGGCGCGTCGATGGGAATCGAGGTTGTTGGCGATGTTTTACGCCGTTTCGCGGATGATTGCTCCATTTATTAGGTGATCTTATCCTCGGTCCATCCCCATCTTTTGGCGACGACCATCCACGTCAATTTAATCGCGTTGATTGAAAAGCGCTGTAGGGGTAGTGGTAGAGGAGCGTTTTAAGTTGTTTTAATGAAGTCGCGTACAAATGTTGCGATCGTGACGACGCGACGAGGGGACCTTTTGACATTTCCTCGGGCCGAAGCGCCAGGGACAATTCGACAACTGAGCGCTACAGTAGAGGGTTTACACGATATAAGGCCACCCCTTGAAAGCATAGAATACATTCTTTTCCTGATATCACTTATTAGAGTCCCCATTCGAGGTCACGCGACCTCGCATTTACCCCATCTGGTTGCTGTCGCTGTCGCTGCCACCTGTGTCAATGACGTCCGAGGTCCCCGGTGCCTTCAAAATTCGCCTTTCCTCGCCATCCCGAATAATGCTCCCGCGATAACAACAGCACCCATTGCAAGCTCTACCAATGCGAAAGAGACGCCTCCACGTACCTTATATGTAATAAATCATGGAAACACGGGTTTTCTTCCACGCCTCCAGGCGCCTGAGACCGTTTCTCTGCGCCTTCCATACCCGCACCCGCACCCGCATCCGCCACTCCTCAACTAGCAACACGCCTTCAACCCAGCAAGTACACCCATTAGGGGACTACTATGCCTCTATCCTCGAGTCGCCCACCCCTAAGATATCGATTAAACCACCCACAACAGCCACGCCATCCTCCAAACCCCCGGAAGACGATAGTAAACCCGAAGCCGCGATCCTCTTCTCCTCCCGCCTATCCTCGCCACTAGAACGGCGCTCCGAAATAAAGAAGAAAAGTGTTCGGGTGGCAGGTGTGTGGGTTCCTCCTAGACCCGATGAGCCGGATAACTGCTGTATGAGTGGGTGTGTGAATTGTGTGTGGGATCGATATCGGGATGAGTTAGAGGAATGGGCTGCGGCCAGGAAGGAGGTCAATAAGGTGCTGAGGATGGAGAAGGTGGGGAAGAAGAGGCCGAGTGGCGTTGGGTTAACTGGTTCTGGGTTGATGCTGGGGGAGGGGGAGAAGGGTGCACAGCATACCATGGTTAGTATGGATGATGATGGGGGTGGCAGTGAATGTAATTGGGGAACGATGGACAGTGATTTTTCGGACGAGGGTTTGTTCAAAGGTATCCCAGTTGGGATTAGAGAGTTTATGAGGTCGGAGAAGAGGTTGAAGGAGAAGCATGCCGCTAGAAAAGCGGAAGAGGCTCGCGCCGGTTAGATGATATAGAAGCTAGACGTATGGTTTTGTATATATTTGCTCCACAAAGATGCATCAAACAATGATTCCGAGCTCTTCATGACCATTAACAAGCCAGACTCACGGCAAGAGGATATTGGTATTGTAAACGGCGTCCTTTCCGGCTTTCAAGCCAACTCCAGACCATATATCCTAGTCACAAAATGACACCCACTTCAATCAACGTCGACACCCTTAGTTCTCAGATCAGCCCTCGCCAACTCAATCTCTTTCATGAGCTCGGCATGCGCCTCTGGAACATCGTTGAATGTGAGGACGCCGAATCCGAGTTTGAAAAGTAGGCATGCGCCGAATGACACCAGAGCCCAGAACGGTAACTAAACATTAGAGAAAGCATTAGTTAACATTCAACTTAAAGAGCTTTACTGGGAGCTCTTCGCTGGCAGCATAAACATAGGTAGCCCAGGAGCCGCCCTTTAACTAGGTCTTCTATCAGACATATTGGAGACCACCACGCAGACGGATTTAGGTAGGTGCGCAGCGGTCATGGACTCCCAATTAAACACTAGTTGGAATGAAGGGGGGTAAGGTATATGTGGTAGGCTTTTCGGTTCTTTCTGTTTCGAGTGCGCAAAAAGGGGGGGAGGGAGGAGGGGATGCCGAGTTCGGCGGCGCAACGTACAACAGGTATTATCTCGTTCGAAATCAAGCTTGGTAGTGGAATAAGCTGCAGGTAGAGGGCAAGATAGAGCTATTACTGCTATTAGCTTGGATGCACGAGACCATATCCGCTTCCGACATCGACAGGGAAGGAGGTCTACATACAGATGTGATGAGGAGGCCGATCGAGATAGTTTGCTGTGCTCGAGTCATGATTGCGATTGAGCAGCTTCTAACTGGCGCTGCTTCGTCTGATTTCTCTGCTGTGCACCTACGATGGGGAGTTGGCAAAGGAATGTGGTTCAAAACAAATCGGTTATTAAGTTAAGGACAGCTGGAGCGCGAAACGGTTTTCGAAGTCGCGTCTGGGTCACGTGCTGACATCACGAACCCTTCAGACTGGGAGGTACTACGTAGGACGAAGACTCGAGACGCTGTCTACGGGGAAGAATTGCTATTCTCGTTTTCTACAAATCCAGACATTTCTAGCAAAGCCCAAAGCCAAAGTACAGCAAGGTCTGATTAGTAGCGGCACATAGGGTTACGGTTATTATCATGGAACCGCGACTTACAGCTGCCCGAAGGCTTTGGAAGACACCAGCTTTGAATAACGTTAAGGGTTATTTAAATGCAGGTCAAGACTTTAGAGCGATTCTGATACACTTTTACAACTAATATACGATATTACTTTTACTCTCTCAGTAGGGTAGTTAGGTATTTAATCCATCCCATTCACGTATTTCACCAACGGCAATCGAAGCACAAGGTCACGCAGTCGCACTTATAGAAATTCAACGCCCTTCTTCATATCGTCGCACAAGGCGCCGAGTACAATGAAAGGATTTGGGTAACGGCAAGCCGTTGGAAGCAATCAAAAATTCCGCCGATGAGGACCCCGAAGGATACTCAACGATTCTCGACGCCCCGATGTGCAATGGAGGTCTCGTATCGTAGATTCCCAATTCTTGAGCTGGGAGATCTTCAACAAGGTAAGTATGAAGAAGAAAAGACTCTTTGTTGCGGGCGACGGCCGGCCTTTATAGATTTCTGGACGCCTCGAAGCGAGCGAACGCTAACCAATAATGTACTAGCGTCTGACGGCAATTTTGCATGTTGAGCAAATAGAGCAAACAAGCAGTCACGTGCCTTTCAGATGCGCTCCTTCCAATTGTGGCCTAAGGCAAAATTGAAAGCGTCGAGATGAAGCAAGCCATCACACGTGATCCACACTGCTGTCTGCCTGAGGCCTTCACGTCTCATTTTCAAAATTCACTGTTGTGGGCTCGCTTCGGAGCCCTCAAGGGCACCCCCCAAAATATTTCGTTGAATCTAAGACTTGTAACTTCGACATCACGACGACGACCGACCAACCACCCACGAATTGTTGATCGCACCGATCGCAATACCGACAAGATGGCGATCAAACACAACCAGATGATCCCGCACAACCGTGAGTTCTTTTCTCTACGGCGCGATGTGGCAATGTGCTGACGATGGGTAGATTTCCGAAAGGATTGGCAGCGGCGGGTTCGCGTTCACTTCGACCAGGTAAATACATACCAGCAGGATACGGAGGATGGGAGAAGAGAAGAGAATCTAACTTTGAAATTGGTAGCCTGGCCGAAAGCTCAGACGCCGCAATGCGCGTCTCGCAAAGGCATCAGCAGTTGCACCCCGACCGGTTGACAAGCTGAGACCCATCGTTCGATGCCCAACAATCAAGTACAACCGCCGTGTACGGGCTGGACGTGGTTTCACCATTGCCGAGTTGAAGGTAGACGACTCCCGACGACGTCAAAATTTGGGAGATGGATGTCTAACAGTACACAGGAAGCCGGTATCCCCCGCAAGCTCGCTCCCACGATCGGTATCTCCGTTGATCACCGCCGCCAAAACCTCTCCCAAGAATCGCTCGCCATCAATGTCCAGCGCCTAAAGGAATACCGTGCCCGTCTTATTCTCTTCCCTCGCAAACTTGGCCAGCACAAGACCGGCGATGCTACCAAGGAGGAAGTTTCCAAGGTTAAGGACACTGTCACAAGCCTCAAGCGAACCCTTCCTATTACCGGCGTCGAGGCAGGATTCAGCGAGATCAAGAAGGATGATGCCCCAGAGGCCGTTGAGGGTGGTGCTTATAGAAAGCTCAGAGATGCGAGAAGCGCGGCGAGATACGTCGGTGTTCGGGAGAAGCGCGCGAGGGAGAGGGCTGATGAGGCGGCCGCTGCAAAGAAATAAGCTTTGGTTTGCTCATGGGTCTCTGTTTTTGTGCCTATTGCGTGGGAAGAATGAGGGTTACATTGGCATCATCAAAGGCTTGCTTAGGTGTACACTCATAAATGCAAATGGCTATTGCACAAAATCTCTAGGTATCGGTGACATTTGCTTCCAGTTCGAGCCAATTTTGCCTGTGACTGAGTTTGCAAGAAAATGAGAACTAACTATAACTAACTATACTCCTGCTATTCAATCGGCGTGTATTAGTTGGTTGACGTGGAACCAGGTAACTCACTAGATTCATATTCCATCATCCTCCGCGGAGAATGATCAGTTATGTAATGGAAGTTTGTCTCTGCTAACTATTACATAGGAAGTTGTTATGTTTTCTGGGCTATGAAGTTCCTCATAGGATAATCCCATCATTCCAAATCGCACATATAAGATTCAGGAACAGATATTCCAACCACGCCCGAACAGACAAATCAGAATTAATCGTTCCATTGCCACCATGCCCAATAACGGATCGAACTCGGTCGAGCCTATTACTCAATAGGATAAGACTGCCTACCATCGTCTGAAGAGCAGTTAAATCAACGAGCATCATCTAAGTCTGATCACTAGCCAGTATCTTCGGAGATAGATCCAAACACCACTTATTCATCGAATCAAAAGCCCATTTCAGCTACCGAAACGATCCGCCCTCGATCCGCTATTTCCAACCTGCCAGATAGAATCTTGCCCAAGATGAAACAACAGGCTCAACATCTCGTCAGTTGCCATACATTTCCTGAGTTGGGCCCAAGGCGCAATTCAGTAACAGGAACGTCATCCCAACCAACAGCCACCTCGACAGCAACACACGATGCATCACCTAGGTGCGAGGCATCCGACTCCCTTCGCTAGTGCGAATACTGCTATTATAATGCCCCATTCAAATCTCAAACAAAAAGCCCAATGTGTTTAAAGCAAATCCCTATTAGAGATAAGTGAGAGTTAGGTTGCGGCAAAAGCTTTGCTGAGTAAAGCAAGAATAGGGGTATTTGCGATAATATTCCTGCACGATATTTTTGTAATTGTCAAAGCAATGAAAAGTTCGATATCAAAATCCCCAGCATCAATATGATCCATTCCAAAGTAGGTGCTACATCATAGATATTTCCCACATGGTCTCGTATCTTCGTAACAGAAGGTGAATTATGAAATTATCTCACGCTACATCTGGTGAAGTCATCGAGGGTATATTCTTGCTTTCCGCCCCTGAACTCGAAGAACCAAGAACCAGACACCTTCAGGTATTTAATTTCAAGGCCTGCAGACTGTCATTTTCCCGCAAAGGGTAGCGATAGCCATATCACAATATCGCGGCAATAGCCACCGCCCTCTCTCGGCTACCCCTTTCACCGCCCAAAACTGCCAGCACCCAAACAGTATACTTTATAAGGCCAAATAAGCAAAAGGCTATTACTCGGCACAAGGGCCGGCCACTTGGCGAAGTGGTCAAGGATCAAATTGTGTGTGCGAGGTTGGAGAGAGTTAATGTCTTTATTCTTAGAGAGATCTCGAAAAAGGCTCAGCCAGTAAAAGCATAAAACTCAGTTCGTCTGGTTTTAGCCAGTGGCGGGCGCCGAAAGGCGCTTCCTGGATTTTTGCAGTTTTTAATTTCCGGCCTTTATTTATTTGTTGTAGCTTTTTTTTTTGGAGCTTAGCCTTTTAAGCTTTTCCGCTTTATATCTATAGGCAGACTGGGTTCTAATGGGTAATACAATGGCCCCTATCTATGGTCTATGTTCAATCATAACTGGCGAAATGAATATGGCGTGGCACATTGCAGCGTAGTGCTTCAAGTCCTAGGTAATCATTCACCAGCCTCGATGATCTCCGTTTAAGGCTCTCTACTTTGCCATCCTGTCAGCCATCTCCCCTTCTCAAAATTCCAAAGCCCCATATACACACACAACATACAAAAAACGTTTACCATCAACCCAAGAACCACCTCCGTCCCTCGAGTCTACCGACAGAAGCTCCGTGACGAACAGTTAACTTGACCATGGCAGCCACGACCATCAACGAGCACGACCCAAACCACCCGGTTTGCCACTACACTCCATGTGTACGGTGTGGTTGTGCAGGATGGTGCGGCTATTGTCCCAATTGCGGACAAGGATCTGAGACTTGAAGCTTGAAGCTTGGTGTTTGGCGTTTGGTGCTAGGAAATGGAGCTCGGCCAGAATTCATATGCTTTGGAGAATGTCTATCTGGGCGTTAACGGTGGGGCGTCACTTTACACCCCTGTGGGTGTTCGAGCTAGTGATAGAGCTCAATATCAAAGGAGTTAAATCAAATAAGTTCGCCATGTGTACGATAAAACCAAAGAAGCTAAATAGCTTCACCCTTGAGATCTATGTACGACGTCGCTAAGCTCAAGAAAGAATCGTGTGACACTAACGCCGACGACCACCTCTCTTCGCACTACGATTGTCCCCTCTATTGCAGCAAATATAGACTTCATTATCTTGTGATTGCCATTGTAATCTCTTTGCTGTCTATCCTCCCTTTGATTTATTTGTCCGCCTGCGTTCGTGCGAGAGACTACGAGGTTGATTATCTCCAACAGCCGGAGCAGGCGGCGAAGAGGTCATGAAGGAGTGGCTGACAGCATACAGTGCCAGCTACAAGTGAAATAGACCACTTAATTTGGCCCAGCTCTCAGTCTCTCCATGCTTTGTGGCGATTTGTTGCTTCCAATCCGAGTATTTGGTTTAGTGTATTTGTTGAGCTTTCTTGTTCAAGTTTTGCAGATGCTGTGAACGACTGACTTAACAGGTAATATATATTAAGGTCTGGATAATTGGAAGCCCAATGTCTTGTTCGCATTAATAGACCAATACTAATTTTGTCCACTGTTTTATTCATAGCCGGTTTCTTAGCTATCATACTGCAACATGCTCAGAATCAAGATTTGTGTGTATCAACGATTGGGCATATCTAAAGCAAACGCATTTGTTCTCTTTAGTCCAGACTTTGGTATTAACTCTTAGGCCAGATCTCCTTCCAAAACAACCAATCCAAGATAGCACCGCCTTGACATCGTTTCAGCATCTTCCATTCCTTCTCAATATCCTCCATCCAATCCAAGAAATCCTCATCGCACTTGCTTATTCCAAACAGTTTCTCCATTCTCATCTTTATCCTCCTGACGTTATCTGAATCTAAGCCCTCGCAATGATCGAATACATGGAAGGCGAGCACCGCAAAAATCTTTCCGCGTTGTTTGTTGCCTCGTTCGGCGACAATATCGAAACAGTCCAGGTATAGCCGGCCTAGGCGCCAGTCCACAATATTTTCCGTCCTCAACAAGGTAAAAAGTTGTTTGGCGGCCAGAATTGCAAGTCCTTGATCCTGCTCCGACAATCCTGCTTTGATCATATTGTGAAGATGTTCGTTTCGGAGGACGATTTCTGCTCGGTTGTTATTGCTCTCAGCCCTAACTTCAGCGGGAGCAAGACACCACTCGCAAGAACACGCAAAATTGTACTTGTCCTTGAGGTATTTCTCATCGATTATGGCTTCTGGGGCGTACGAGATTGTAATCTCCTCGTTCACTGCGATATCTCGAAATGCATGGATTGTAACTGCTCTGAGCTCTGAGTTCCAAGTCTGTTGAGCATTTGGATGACACGAGTGGTTGATTCGCGATAGAGTCGGAAAGATTCCGATTCTTTCAGCCCCGCCCGCTCGCCTATCTAGGGAGTAGGGGATGGCATTCGACTTCACAATACCACTATACTGAGTGGTAAAAGAAGTTAATTGTGGATGCTGTATCAGGTGGAAAGGCTCCATGTTAGGGAGCTCCATTGCAATTTCTCTGATATGTGTGGGCAGCTGCTCGAATGCCTGTTTAACAAAGCTTTCTCGCTCCTCCGTTGGGGTGTCGGTTAGGAAATTGACACTGGTTGTATACAGTGGAGATTCTACTAGCAGTCTTGTGCCAGCGTCAAGGTTGATTCCGGCACGCAGGCCTTCCCCACAGTCGTGGCGGCCAACGTAACCCACTATGAAAGTCTCTTCAGAATTACTCATGATGCAATAAGCTCCTAGAGCAAATAGGAATGCCAATCGTGCAACTGATGCTTCTTCAGGCGGTCCTATGGCTATGGACGCTGATGGCGATGCAGCAGTCAGACAATGATAGTCCTGGAGGTTTCTTGAGATAAGATCCGGGGGTCGAGTAGTAATTCTTTCAATATAACCGACTACTGTGCCTCTTGATGTCTCCTATGAAGACCGTTTGATCGGGGATGAGGATCCAAGACTTCGTGAAGAAGTTATAGCGCTTGTGATGAGTCGTGGCAAGAATTATAATTGTGTAAGGTGCCGGGAAGGGACTTGAACCTAAGTGACACGACGGAAGTTTAAATGAGAGTGTCGAGGATGGGTAGTAGATATGTGCAGCCTGCTTCGAGTTGTGTGTAGATAGTGGTTGTTGTATGTAGTTTTCTTTTGTGTGATTGATGACGGAGGAAAATAAATTACAGTAATGAGGAAGGAGTAGGCTTTTATGAACATTCAGCGAGACGAAATAGGGAAGAGAGAGAGTGAATGCGGCAAAATTATTCCTTAGGATGCCGCCATGGATATTGAATGTCAATATGTCCACATGTAGTTAGTTCAGTAGGAGAATTGTTAGGATTCACGAATTCCTATGTATAGGTAGCTAAATGTGCACAGTTACTATCGATTACGAGTTCATAGTTTAGTGATTTATATGTAATATTTAACAGGGGGATCGATGAATCACCTTACTTGAAAGAAATTATGCATAGGTAGTTGCACTGTCATGGACTCGTGTTTTTCTTCGGGCTGATCTTGTTTGGCTCATTAGTAACTGGAATCACTCGGGGCTCATTTTGTGCAGCAAGGGCAATGGTTTCAGAAGATGAATTGTTTGTCAAGTGAACTGGATCCTTGGTAACAACATTTTGGTATGGGTTGATGTCAATCGTCGTGGTTGTTGTTTGGGAATCAAAGTCCAGAGAGCAAGTCGCCGGGCATGGTATAGCCTCGTGCGCCACAGCCAGTCTTATCTTCACATGCCAGACAAATAACCCTGCTGGCGGTGGTGAAAAGCCCCAGCCTCAGCCCAGCCACGCGGCACCAGCCACAACCGCTACGCACCCCCACTTCCTAGACTCCAGATATCGTTAGACCCATTGGTTACGTCATGCCTGCAGCTCGCCACCCCGCGCCAGTCGTTGACGAGTTACTTCTACAACCTTCCGTCTCTTTAATATAAAACACTCCATATCCCCCTTCCAAACATACTCCATAAATCACATATCCCACTGTTTGCTCCCTCATCTCTATAAACCACTACTACTTCTTCCTATATTTGGAGAACACATATCAAATCCTACCGACAACATGTCTGCAAGCACAGTTCAAGTCTCGAACATCAGTTCGCAGACCAGCGAAAAGGAGGTCAAGGATTTCTTCTCTTTCTGGTAAGTGCTTCTATCATTCCCTAGGTGCCGTTGGTGCTCGCCGGATTCAAAAGCTGACTATTTCTCTGTAGCGGTAAGATCACTAGCATTGAGATCACGCCGACTGGCGACACAAAGAAGGCAACCGTCACCTTCGAGAAAGATACTGCAGCGAAGACTGCCCTACTTCTTGATAATACCGCCCTTGGCGCAACTCAGGTTCATGTTTCTAGTGCCTCCGGCTCAAGTGCGGACGAGGGAAGTCACTACACTTCGAATGAGCACCGTGACAGCGACGAGATCACCCAGGAAGAGAAGCCTCGAAGCCGTATTGTCGCCGAGTACCTCGCACACGGCTATACAATCGGTGACCAAGCCGTTCAAAAAGCGATTGACCTCGACCAGAAGCATGGCGTCTCCCACCGCTTCTTGTCCACCCTGCAAAATCTGGACTCAAAATATCACGCCACCGACAAGGCTAAGTCGGTTGATCAATCGTACGGCGTTACACAAAAGACGAACTCGCTCCTCTCTGGTCTGACCTCGTACTACGAGAAGGCTGTCGGCACCCCAACTGGCAAGAAGCTTGCAGGCTTCTACACCCAGACCTCTCGCCAAGTCCAGGATATTCATAACGAAGCTCGGCGTCTGGCAGATCTCAAGAAGGAGGAGGCGGGCGCGAAAGGCTCGGGCACTGAAAAGCAAACTTGTGAGTGCAGTTCTAATTCAAAGAATTGTCCGTGTGCCCCGGGAAAATGTGCCTGTGTCGGCTGCGAGAAATCAGACGTCAAGATCGTTGCCGAAGGCAAGACGAAATGTAGCTGCGCTGGTAACGTTGAAAAATGCGGCTGTCCACCAGGCCAGTGCACCTGCGGATCTTGTCCTAAGGCTGAGGTGAAGGTCGTCTCTGGATCCGACAAGACGACATGCAATTGTGGAGGTGACTCGGGGAAGTGTGCTTGCCCTCCGGGCAGATGTACTTGCAGCTCCTGTGCGAAAGCGAACGATACTCTTCCCCAAGCCGGAAACGAGAGCTATGCCCAAGCAGCACTTGGCAAATAAATCAGGATTTTATTCGAATATATTTGAGGAGCGAAAATGTACTATTAAATTTGATTTGGACCTCTACTGACATATGGCTCACGCCTTGCTTTTTCAGCGTTCGCTACCCCTTCTGCACCTGAAGCTGCCTCTACTGCCACTGGCGTCGTTGATTCTACAAAAGTCGCTCCTTTGGAACCCGAAAAGGGAACTTATGCTTAGTTCGTCTTTTAATTTGCCTGTGTTTTATGTTTAATGACGGGCGAGGCTGGGGCAGTGGTTTATGAGGGTCATATGGGAATGGGTGCGATTTCAATGGCTTTGTCCTTGATTCTCTGGTTGATAGCGTGTAAGGACTGCGATGGGTTATAGGCAACTAAATTAATTCATTAAATTGAATATTGATCTACGTTGTTACCGACAGTCTCTCCTCTGTGATATCATTTGAGGTGTAAGTCTAGTACGATATGAGCATACAGTTTGCGGCCTAGAAGATTAATAGAGCATTTTAATAGCACCTTTGATCTCACCCTAGGAATTGGGTATGGCATATAATATGAGAGCTATTAGGGTTGGCTTCTACAGTGTACCGCTTGCATATAGCGTAGTAAATAAGTAGATCATACATACCTATATAACTAGACTCAAGTCTCACCGAAAGCTACGTAGAGATGCGAAGTAAGTGATAATCGTTCTTATTCGGATTAAATTTCATGGAGCTGAATCGGATAGTTCGGCAATCTACGAGCTGATGCGCCAAATATAGTAGGCGCCATATTTTTACCTTCCATTTCCATCCCATCCCATCCCGTCCCATCCCAATCTGAGCTCTCCAACAGCAAAAATAAGAACAGGCAATTCATAGGTATCATATCATCCATCAAACAGCCAAGCTAGCACGTAACAAGTTCAGGGAATATTCATCTGGGAACTCCAGCACTCCTGGCACTCTCGCCAACCCTGACTCCGTCTTCTTCATCCGTTGCCCTCTCCCTTCCCCTACGGTTGGCAGGCTCTCTCACGCTTGCCGTCGTACTCACACTCTCACTTCTCGTCCGACTAGCATCACTCTGCCTCCTCGCTCTCAATGTGAGTTCCAGTTCGCGAATCCTACGTTTCAATGCTTCGTTCTCGCGCTTCACAGCTTCCAGCTCGTGGCGGTGATAGGCTGTTTCTTCGTACCGGCCGGTTGTAGGCACGCTTGTTATGGACTCTGAAGTGGAATTGAGGAGGCCAGGGATATTGCTTGATGATGAATAGGAGGGCTCGCGGTATTGTGAGAGACTTGGTCGCTGTTGGTGTTGGTGATAATGGTATGGAAATTGATCCGGATGATGGTAGGAGGATTGGGTGGAGTTGAGGAGGGTTGGGGAGCTTGTGCCACTGCGGCGAGAGCCCGTTGTGGAGTTTTGGCGACTGAGAGACTGAGAGGAAGGTTGGGGGATAGAGTCATGTCGTGGGATGGAGCCGCGTGTTCGGTCTGCAGTTGAGGTGATTCCGCCGACGGTGTTAATGCCTGCTGTGACGCTGCGTGTGCTTGTGCTGGAAGAGGTACGATGATGTCGTCGCTGAGAGGGTACCGGGTGGTTTGGACCGGAGAGGAGGTGATTTGCGTTATGGTCAGCATTATCAGGGAGGCCGGCGGAGGTGGAGGATGTGTTGGAGACGACAGAGGCGTTTTGTGCTGCTCGAAGCATAGAGAGTTCACGGGTTAGGCGATTAACCTGTTTGTTGTTCTTAGTTCACTTTGCATTCGAGGAATAGGGGGATATTGTAACTTACGACTGCTTCCTGCTCCTTCTCTAATTGAAGGTGCAAATCTGCTGCGGTCAGAGGTTGAGGATGCCTCAAAGGACCAGGTCCAGCTCCAACGCCCGTATTGTCCCCCGCAAGAAACCCCCCGGTAATTGTACTAGTTCCTGCCATATTTGGCGACGCCAACGGAGGTGAGGTGGTTGTGTGGCTGACGGTACTCTGATTAGAAGGGAGGACGTTTAATGAGGGCGATGCTGGGGGAATAGCCTGCTGTGATGCTCGTCTTGAGGTAGTTCGCGAGCGGAGACGCGGGGATGAGGCTAGTGGTCGCGGGGATGGAGGAACAGAGTTGAGATCGGGCGCCATAATTGGGACTGGATATTAACTTTGGGGGTCAAAAAGGGCGTGGCAGGAGCATAAGTTTAGTAAGGAAAAGCACCAGAGAGTTAATAGATCGAAGGTTGTGATAACAAAGAATAGCCAGGTTGTAGGAGGACGTGGTCTGTAGAGTGTGGACCCTCCAGTTCGACGATTAGTTTCAGCCCTTCCCGAGGTGGAGTCGCGGGATGCATCACGTGAACGATCATACCCACAGCTTGCCTGGTGCCTGAGGCGTGTAAGGTTTTTGCCCACTACGTAAGGTACCTTAGTGTAATAAGTCTAATAGGTATCAAGAAGTGGTTTGAGAGCGATCAGGGTCAACGTTATGACGTATGAACTGGGGTGGGGCAAATATGTTGCACGAGTAGGTTCATCTTACTTTCGTTACAAAGGCAAGCTCTTCTTCCTTTTCAATTCAATTCAGATCCATCAAACCTAAGATCTATCCAAAACAATTGTTCACGAGTAAGTTCCACTATCCTTCCGCTATGTCACATATGTGGGTGGCTCTGCCACTCTTCTCTCAGCCAATTCAACCCTTCCCCAACCATCAAGTTCCTAACAAGAGTCATGGATTCTAACGCTCACAACGTCACCAACAGAATAAACCCACATCCATTCCAAAATGTCACCAACAACGTCAACCCACCCAGGACGCCAATCGCCATCTCCCGACAGCTCTTCGGGCGCTCAGCAAAAGTCACCACCTGGAAGTGGTAAAGGCGTTGACTCTGACACCCATAACCAGGACGACTGCAAGTCCCAGATCAAGGTATGACCACCTTCATTTTCGTTACTCAACGAGTTTAGCAAATGATAATGGACGCTGATCGCTGTTGATACAGGGCTTGGAATCGAACCCCAAAGGCCCTCTCGAGGACCATCTCAAAGAGGCATCGAGTAAGACGATGAAGCCCACTCAGGCTACTAAGTGAGGTTATCGGATGCTAGATGGCAACCGACAATGCTACTGCGCTGAAAATGGAGGATGTTGAGCATGCGCTGGGGGGAGCAATGAAGGTCGAATTAGCGACACAGGAATGAGAATGAGAAAAGGCGTTAGTTGGTAAACGATCAGAGACATGCCTCCAATTATAATTTCTTCCCCATGACAAATAATATCGCGAGATGAATTCTGAACATAGCCTGATAGAACATTGTCGGTATATATCAAGGGATGTTTGAGAACTGATACCTCGGAGGAAGGGAGGGTCATCTACCGAATATATCTAGCCCTCTGAGCTTCGATTCCGCGGATCTGCTCTGCAGCAAGCATCGGCCATACCCATGTCAGGCTATTTGCCCGGGTCCGCACTACCCAAGTATTTTAGACTGCCATCAATGATTCTAGCATGTTGGGCTCCCTAGTGTTGCGCAATCCAGTTTTGGGAGGGAAGTTGCGCAAGCGTGGGTGGTAAGACTCCAGGTAGACTCATGATACGGGTTTTAGTTTGTCAGCTGTTGTCTCGTAGCTTAGCAAGTGCAGCAGCGAGGCCGCCACTTAGCTCCTCATCTTTTCGCGTCCTCTCGTTTCGGCTCTCCTTTCGCAGCGTATTTTCCGCTTCAGCAGCGGCGGCGGCTAAAGCCTCCAGTTCGTCTTCATCTGGTTCACTCGTATCAGGTCCATTTGATGGTACCCCTGGCTCTTGGGATATCTCGTCCTCGCCAGTAGATTGCATCTGCCTTCGAGGTACCGTGCTCAATGGAATAGCTCGCTCCAAAACCCCTCTTCTCGCCTCAACATCTTCCGTTCCTCCATTTCTCGAGAGGCCACGTCTTGCAGCTTTACGTACCCTAAAAGGTTCGTTGACAACGGTACACCACTTCCTAACTTTCTTCTCGCCCCAGCCACCAATGACTGCGATTTCTTCCGGTCGAGCATTGACCGCGGCTCTTAAACTGCCAAACGCACTTACTAATGTGACAGCATCTGTCTTATTGATGCTTCGCGGAACCGTCACGAATTCCACCATCTTCTCTGCATATCCCTTGCTCTCAACACCTCGAATAGCGGTTGGATTCGCATGTTCATAGCTCTTATATAACTCCAAATAGCGTGCTGCTTCCGCGGCACTCCAGGATAATATGACAGTAACGTTGTTGACCAAACTCGTTTTCGCCAACTCTTTCAGACTATCTTCATGATTCCCGATATCCACCATTGTAAGCAGGATACGCAGATTATATTTCCCCTGAAGGTTCCGGATGCGGTTGTAGATGTATTCGGGATGCAAACGATGGTACTTGAGGGAAAGGAAGAGCGCGCACGTAGTCTGTCCTAGAACATAGTCGGCAGGGATGTCGGAATACTCCCACGCAAAGGAGCGTAGATTGGTGAGAATCGGATTGCCTTTCTGACGCGGGGAGACGAGTATGGAAGAGCCTGAACCCGTGGCGCGCGAAGGGAGAGCTTGTGGTGTTGGCTGTACAACCTTTGGATGACTTGGAACACTGCTCACAGGAGGGGCGTGGTCAAGACGCTGCGGGGTCGGTTGCTGAACACGCGTTGGAGCAGCCAGAGCAGCTTCGGAGGCAGCTAGAGCCGCCAGGAGATCGGCGTCTGTATCGAACTCATCGTCGTCCATTATAGCGGGTCGTGTATCGAGACGGGCAGTAATACTATCATCCAGTCTGCGGTGCCACGCCGAAAGCAAGGCAAGCGGTGCGAATGTCAAACAGACCGTACCAGTACTTTTTTTTTGGCCTCTGTATGAATGTGCTGCGGCTGCCGTCGTATTTATTGCTGTATCTGGAGATGCGAAGAGTGAATGAGCAGGCGGAGAAGCTGTTCACTGATATCAATAATACAGAAGCTCAACAGGGTCTGTCGCTTACTAATACATCCAATTACAATACCGGTGGCCAGGTACGAGTACGGAGTACGACCGCGGAGTTGCGAACGGCAGTGAGAGAACTAATAAAGCGGACCCCCCGCCACTCGAAACCTGGGGAAACGTCACAGTCGTCACTATTTGCGTGACAAGTTACAAGTTTTCAAAAGGATGTTTGGAGCATGATACATTTAGATTTAAATTCCAACTCAAAGTCGTAAGTAACGTACCAGGCGGGTAGGCTTTCCTCGATATAACGGCCTAGCTAATGCTGTCCAGCATAACGATCAAGCCCATGCCGTCCCTCGGGCAGTTCGGCGTACCCCGGTCTTTACCCCAGGAAATCCATCAACTTCCCTCTCCAGCATATTACTTTACTTATTCGCCGAAATACCTCGCAAGATAATACCGCTTATATCATGTCAAGCTCTAGCGCCACTGAAAATGAAAAGATGCAGGATACGAGTAAGGATTATGTGATGGGACAAGGTGGTGTGTACCCTTTATGTTCCGTGGCGATCCGGTTGAAGCAGTCACTTGACTCTTTGAGAATAACACCCAACCTCTATTCTCCCCAGCAATTAGCAAATCCACCAGGAGAGCGGGCCTGGTGTCCTAGTTGTCTGGCCCTCCCCCAAACCCTGCGCTCCCCCTAGTTCCTTGCCTTTAACGCTATTCACCGGCACTGTAGGTGCGAGAAATCAAGTTGATTCCACCCTATAATGTAACCATATATTCTCGAGAACCCTTCTTTTATCTTTCGTGTACCTTAGCACCAAGGTTCCTCCTTCTCCTTCGGATACATTAAAGTCGGCTTGATCCGGGGAAGGATAGATCGAAGACTCAGCTTCATTACCGTCCTTCGTAAGAGGACATCTCCTAATCGCTAAACGGTATATATAGGAAATCTAGCGTGCGTCAGCCGATTCATCAAGTCATATTTTATTATCAACCTGTAGAGGGATCGGCCTAGTCGACATCCTGGACTCGCAGGCTTGGCCGTTGTGTTCTCACTGCCGCGACGGAGCTCCTCCGTCCTCCCAAGAGCTGTGAGGAAGGGAAGTGCTTTATGTTTGCATTGTTTGCATTTGAGGATGATAGATGAGCAAGAAGAGCTTTCTCGTTTTCCTATCCGCCCGAGATATAGCCCTAGCATTCATAGGAGTCGTTCCAAGCTCGAAGTCTAGCTTGAGAGATGGAACTGATCTAGATTCAGAGGCTAATATGCAGAATTATAGTGCAAATAAATCTGATCAGGAGCTCAATCAACAACCACAGGAGCCAGAGGAGAGTCTAGGTCAATGTCGACAGACCGAAAAAGAACACGGATGGCGCAAAGTAGTGCGAAATTTCAACCCGCGGTAAGTCACAAATATTATATACCGGATATACGGCGATCACTCAAGGCTGACTCGGTATTTCAGATGGTTTACGGTCAATATGGGGACTGGAATTGTGTCCATTGTCCTATACAACCTTCCCTATAACGGAAGATGGCTTTACTGGATATCGGTGGTGATATTTTGTCTGAATGTCGCATTGTTCGTAACTTTCTTTCTTATCTCAGTCGTTCATTACACTCTCTATCCATGGATATGGAAAGAGATAATCCAGCAGCCTGGCGACAGCCTCTTCCTCGGAACATTTCCGATGGGTCTAGCCACTATCATCAATATGATCGTCTATGTTTGCGTGCCTGCATGGGGCTATAGGGCTGTTCAGCTGGTATGCCACTCTAGGCAAGGATTGCGTTCATAGACTAATCAAAATAGGCCTGGGGTCTCTGGTGGATCGACGTGGCGCTATCGCTCGTCTGCTGTCTATTCGTCCCATTCACTATGTAAGGATTCTAATCCGAACCCCCTTCACAACTACTCAACTTCTTAGGATGTATTATTACGAAACTTCACTTTCAGAAATGACTGCCGACTGGATCTTCCCGGTCGTGTCAACGATAGTCGCTGCAGCATCAGGTGGTGTCGTCGCCGAAGTACTTCCCAACCCAACCCACGCCCTCTGGACCGTCCTCGCCTCTTACGTCCTATGGGGTACAGGCGTTCCGCTCGCCATGGTTGTGCTTGTAATATACTTCCAGCGGCTGACTGCCCATAACCTCCCTCCTCGTGAAGTAATCGTCTCCGTCTTCCTGCCTCTGGGACCCCTCGGTCAAGGAGGCTTCGGCATCATGCAGCTCGGCAAAGTCGCAATGGATATCTTCCCCAAGACATCGACTCTCGCTCCCTCGACCATAAACCCTGGAGAGGTTCTGTATGTAGTAGGCTGGTTAGTAGCGACCGTTCTGTGGGGATTTGGGCTCGTGTGGTTGTTTTTCGCAGTCGCGAGTCTTGCGACTGAGAGGTTCCGGTTTCCGTTTGGTTTTGGATGGTGGAGTTTTACTTTCCCATTGGGTGTTTTTACGGCTAGTACTACACAGATGGGGAAGGAATTGCCTTCGAGATTCTTCAATGTTTTTGGCACGGTAATCTTATCCCTCCCGCTATTTTTACTGCAATAGTCGTTATAGGAAGAATGAATACTAATATCACTATAGATCACGGCTGTTTCTGTAACACTTTTATGGATCCTCGTCTCGTTTCATACAATCAAAAATGCGGCTTCAGGGGAATTGTTCATTGCGCCTAGTTCAAAGAATTTAAAAAAGAAGAGAAAGGATGTTAGAGCTACTGTTTGAAGCATAGGTTGGCTCCAGGGGGTTGAGTCGATCCGAAAAGCATTTTATAACTGGTGCGAAACTGCCTTCTTTTGGGTTTTGGCATGCCTAGCATGAGATGATATGTTTCTCAAATTGTGAATAATGTGGATGCATATCTCTCTGTAAATAGTATACATAAGCAAAGTTCATCAAGTGATTCATTCTGTCCTGTTAGGGAGATGTTAGTATGCATGACTTATGAATATGTATTATTAGGTTATAAAGACTGTGTTTTGCCTTTCCCACAACTATATAATCACTGCCTAAATCCGTTTATACAACTGGCGAGATAGCCCTCTCCCCTCTAAATTCGGAGATCACTGGCAAATGCATTTTACCCGGTTCTTACTTTGCATTTTATATGATATTTCTATTCTTTAGTAATTTGTTAAATGATCACCCTGTGTATATAGCTATAAGTAAGGCGGGTGACGGCTTATGCTCAATCACAGCCAGCTGAGGCTGTGTATAGAACAGCAATTCATAGGTCACGTTTGATATGTTATCCTATCGTGTTGTATTATAGACTGCCAGCTATTGAAGTAGTAATCAACTACTGCCCTTAAAGGATCTCTCTCTTACCCGTTACACCACCGGGGACAGCATAGAGGCCTATTGTCGCTTTTACGAACGAGGGCGACAATACGGAATATAGAATCAAAACATTAAATGAAATTAATAGGGCTCAGAGTTGGAGTTTTTGATACAAACGGCTCAAATTGTATTACATAAGAAAAGATAAGTTCTAAGAAAAGATACTGCAACACATCGGTAAATATCGCCGAGACTGTAAATGCTATCGACTTCGAGATTATCGCGGTCGTACATTTTTATTGAGGTAGATTTTGGTCCTTTCGAGATTCAACAATCAGTAAAGCAGTATTTTGGGCCCTTAATGTCAAGCCCAGTAATTCCACTTGTCTCGGACATTTGAACTCTGTAGCTGTTCACACATAGACCGCCAGTAACGCAGGGCCGTCTCGCAGTCCCAAGACTCCTGATCGACACCGAGATTCTGCGTATTGTGCAGCTCCTCCATCTCAGTCATCCAGTCCTTAGTCCAGCGCCGAACTGTCTCCCTGACCGTGTCGTTCATCATGCATGTCTCATATCTATCATCTACACAATTGTTGTAGTCCTGACAGAAGCTGAAACTGTCATCACCTATAACTTCTATATATGATTTGGCAGTCTCGAAGTTATCTTCTGCGTCAGATAACGTTCGTGATAGGTGTTGCACAAAGTTGAGCATATCCATATGCGATATAAGCTTGGAAGTGCTCACAGGTGTTCCGGAAAGGTTTTTGGAGTATTCGCGGCTGCTATGGTTATAAACGTTATCGACAATGTCGAGCTTTAGGCGTATACCTAGCATTTGTGTTTCAATTTGATCGTAATAGTCTCGTGCGTCTGATCTGGCCTCCTCGACTTCATCTTTGATTGCTTCGCTCATAGTCGGCTTTCGAGGCATTTTACTAAAGCGCTCAAGCTCCAATTCTGCACGCTCTACTTTCCGCATCAACGTGGCCCTTCGTTCGATCAGTTGTGCTTTAAGGAACTCGGCAGCCTCTAGGTTGTGACGCTGATACGGTGGTTCCTCGCCTGCTGCTAAATGGTTTAATTGGCCATTTCCCCATAAAATTAGATCATCGACCTCCAATTGGTCGTTCCTGGTTTCTTGTATCTTATTGTCATATCTGGCCATTCTGCCCTGGTACCAAAAGAGCATATTTATCCGCCAACTTAGCATTCTTGTTACTGTCACTGGCAGTGGGTCCTTGTCCCCTATCGTTTCGCCTTCTGGGTATTCGACGGTCTGGTGACAGTTATAAGCTGGAGGATGATCTGCTTGTATCTTAGGAGTATCCATCGACCCGGGCTCTGTATCACCTTGCAGATTGGAAATTTCTGGCGATGTGCCCTCATCAAAAAATTTAAGGCTATCTGCGCCTGTAGGCGAGTTGGGCGGATTAACTTGAACAAGCATTTTCCTGTCGAATTTCTTCTCTGTGCTCTGTATAAGTGTTTTTTCCGACAATTATTCAGAACTTAAGAGCGCTTATAAGATAGTCTCAACAGAATTTAAAGCAAAGTGAGAAGAGATTTTCAAGTTCAAATCCTAGATCATTTTGGTTGTTTGGGCTCTATTCGCCTTCCCTGCGACACACGAAGAGATATCTGTATGTTTAGTTGTTCTCCGTAATAAAACGCCCTCTCCCTTTGTGCATAATTCCATAACCAAAGCCGAAGCCTATTTCTCACAAAGGCTTTGTTAATTCTAACAATGATATTGTCCATGGATTATTTTGCTTACTATGCCGGAGAACAATGGGTTTTCACATCTCTGTTTTCCTGAGCAAGGATGCTGCGACAGTTGTTCCTACCAGTGGTATAAATGCTGCAGAGAAGCTCGTAATTTTCTATTTGTTTCTATTATCTTATTATATAATTTCCCGGTAGGCATATTGAGACTAGAACTTTTGGGAAGGATATCGAGTGCTAGAACTAGACTATAAATAACCCAGGAGAGGATTGATAAGTCCTGATTAGGGCATAATTATATAAAATGGCTCCAGTGACATTTAGGAGGCCACTTGCTCATCAAGATAGAAATATTGTCCACCAACTGACGAGGCCGCAAAGCATTCAAAAGACTGCATATCCTCGCAGAGGCCGCTACGCCTCAGGAGCTTCTAATTTTATAAAACCAGAGAAAGCAACTTTGGCATGGGCATCATCTCCTGGGCCTGTTTGTAATCGGAGTGAATATAAGGCGGGTACCGTGTTCAGTGTTCCTGTACATGAGCACGATAAAGATCAGCCACTAAAACCAAGGTCCGTATTCCAATCAGTAAGCAATGTTGGGATCGTTTACTCTAAGTACAGAAAATTTATAGTGGTCAAATCTCACGGGGCTCATTGTGTCGCAGTCCCAATTTACACCCATGAGGGTCGTGGGCTCTCATGCAAGCCTAACAAGCATGAATATATCTCTATCCGAGACTTGGATTGGCATTGTGAAGCGGCTCCCCCTGAAAGCCACCATGGGCTCCTCTGGACTGAACCTTACCAATTCACAGGGGAGAATGTTGGATGGTACAGAATGACCGATCGGACTGCAGTGCATATCACAAGTCCACACAGCCACAGGTATGGCACAGTGGCCGAGATAGTTGGTTATCTCACGCCCGAATCCACGAGAACGCTTCTCGAACTCTTCAATATCGGCGTGATGGATCCGGAGAGCTTGAAACCCGATGAATCCACTGAGCCAATAGACAGAGGCCAAGATAAATTATCTTGGACTTGCTATAATCAAAGGCGCGAAAAAATCGATCCCCCTTCGAGCTTGAAACCCGATGAAACTACTGAGCCAATGGATAGTAGCCAAGATCAATTATCTTGTACTTCCTATGATCAAAGGTGCGAAAAACTCGATCAGCCTTCGAGCTCAACTACCTCTAGCAGTTCTCCTGACTCTGGATCTCGTCATCCAAAATCCCGAATTGGAGAAACTCGTCAACATCCTCAGGCTCCTCGTCTATCGAGACTCAAAAAACTTCTTTTTTACGCAAGTAAATATTCCATTCAATATCCCATTAACAGCCGGGACTGATGGCCAATTTTGCCTGTATATATCTTATCCTGTAGCGCTGGCCGTTTGTACTTCATGTTTAACTTGATAATTCTAATAACCTGCTAAAACAGATGAGTAAATAATTGATAGTATTTCTATAAATCCGAATCCCTTGATTTGCAGTTACAATTACTCATACCAACCTTCTGGTGTTTCACTTTGGCCCAAGTCGTGATAAAGTAAATAGCATAGACCCTCAAGACCATGAAAATAGTGAATCCACTCAGATATTATCTCTTCCATTTTGAGAACCTAGTACGCAAGCCCTGCATTAAATGTCCAAACTCGACTAGAAATATCAAGCGACTACTGAAATGAAACTCCTTGTTGGAGTTAATGTGTAACGGGTTATTCTGGTTATTATCCTGTGATTTGTGATCTGCTCCAATCCATCCCCCAATGCTAGGCTCCCCCTTCCCCCATTGGCACAGCTCCTTTCAACTCTACGATAGACAGCTGTTAAAAACGAGCCGAGCTTTAGAGAGTATCCAAGGATATGCATTCCAGTCGCGCGAGGAATCCAGGGCCACCGAGCGGAGGGCATACATATTCCCATGCAAAGTACGCATTTAGCTGTAAACAAAAGTGGTCCAGAAATGCGCTTTGCCATCACATTATTCAGAGCCAGAGCAGCGGCTCCATAGACGGCATTGCGTGACCCAAACAATCCCCTATTTGTACCTCTATTCCCTCGCTAATTTGTCTCGCAAATGGGGAATCACTGCCAAAATTATAGAGCTAGGGGCATAGTATTGCTATGGGCTGATGGGTGAGGGGAGTATAATTATGTATGTATGAGTAGAGAATATACGAAGTAATGCGTTGGAATTGACTGTTGCAGGTGATGTTGGAAAAGTGAAGGGGATACTCCAAAAGCGGCGGGACAGAATATTCAAAGCAGCAAGACAACCAAGGCGGAACAACGCGTCCCCCCCAGAGCGGCATCTTTCCGCCCTGACCAAGGATGCAGCTGCGATGTTGCGTTTCCCTCCCTCTCGCTTTGCATCGGGACTACTGCATCCTGCCTATGACATGTTTGCTACTACCCAATACGAATATGATTCGGGGACAGAGCTGGAGACGCTTCAAATACAGACGCAGCAGCTTATAGGTTTGATTATCTCAATTCCTTAACCTCTCATCTTTCTTTGTACTGCCTCGCAGAAACCAGCAAACTTCGTTTTTGATTTACACACTCCTCCAATAATATAGTCATCATGCCGGTCACCCAGTTTACTACGCCTGAGAAGTACAGATATCAGAATGGCTTCAACTCATACCATGAGTAAGATTTACTTCTACTCCTTATGAAGCTCCCTAACAATGTTCTACTTTGCAGGTCCGAAGCCATTGCTGGAGCGCTCCCCATAGGAACCAACTCTCCTCAAAAACCCCCTTACGGCCTCTACGCAGAGAAGCTCTCTGGCACAGCATTCACAGCTCCGCGCCACGAAAATCAGCAATCATGGCTGTACCGCATCCTCCCTGCCGCGGCCCACACACCCTTCGAGCCCCGCGAATCCTCTTTCTTTGACATGAACGAAGAAGGCCATAAGATGCACCAGATACCTAACCAGCTGCGCTGGGATCCCTTTGATCTAGACGAGGGCGTCGATTGGGTACACGGGCTGAAACTTGTTGCTGGAGCTGGTGATCCGGCGATGAAATCTGGGATTGGGATATTTATATTTGCTGCTGGGAAGAGCATGGACAGCACCGAGGCTTTCTATAGCGCGGATGGAGATTTCCTGATTGTGCTACAACATGGGGTCTTGGACATCCAGACAGAGCTGGGAAGGATTCTCGTGAGGCCCAATGAGATATGTGTCATTCCTAGAGGGATACGATATCGAGTCGAGCTGCCGAATGGACCAGTTCGAGGATATATACTGGAGTTATACCAAGGCCATTTCCAACTTCCTGAACTAGGTCCAATTGGGTCGAATTGCCTTGCCAATGCGAGGGATTTCCAGGCGCCGGTTGCTTGCTTTGACGAGGATGCAGCGGGCCAATACACTGTACTATCGAAATTCAACAGGCATTTATTCGCTGCGAGCCAAAGCCATACGCCTTTTGACGTCGTGGCCTGGCACGGCCTCTACTACCCGTACAAATATGATCTAGGACGCTTCAACACCATTGGTAGCATATCTTTCGATCATCCTGATCCGAGCATTTTTACCGTGCTTTCAGCGCCGTCCAGCCAGCTGGGCACCTCCATCGCAGACTTTGTCATCTTTCCTCCACGCTGGCTCGTTGGCGAAGATACCTTTAGACCGCCCTGGTACCACCGTAACACCATGTCCGAATTTATGGGCCTCATCGGCGGCGAGTACGATGCGAAGACAGGAGGAGGCTTTAAGCCTGCCGGAGCTAGTTTACACAATATCATGTCAGCGCACGGTCCTGATGCTGGCACGCATGAGAAAGCCTCGAATGCGGAGCTCAAGCCAGTGAAGGTCGGAGAGGGAAGCATGGCGTTCATGTTTGAGAGTTGCTTAATGGTGGGAGTTACGGAGTGGGGACTGAAGCAGTGCAGGAAGGTGCAGGAGGACTATAATGAAGAGAGCTGGACACCTTTGAAGGATCATTTTAAGGTTCCTCAAGGTGTGAAGAGAGTAAGTCATTTAGTGGAAGGTGCTGATGTGTAACTGGGCATTACCGCAACGAGTACTTGGGGGCTATGGAATAAAGTTCAGGCTTCCCCCGAATAAGCTCGGCCACTATAAGGCTGTTATTAGTGCCATGAGAGCTGGCATTTTGGAACCGGAATTCCATAAGTTCGGATTGGGTGCTCCGGAAACAGTTGGAGAAATAGGGATCTGAAGGAATTGAGGCTCGTCGAGGATTTTAGTAGTTTACCCCCACTCAGAGAGAAGCTTCTTCGCTCACTACTCCACAAATATAACAGACTCTACCTAAATTCAACGTTGCCAGGACATTGCAGAGCTTTTCTTAAATTTAACATAGCATGCCTCACAAGATAATGATTATCATTACATGGAACCCCACCTATATTTTGTACATTTGCATCGACGCATTATTTACATCATACTAATTTCTGCCAAAAAGGTCAATAGTAATAAGCTATATCGATCTAGAAACATAGCATAGCCCTCCCCCATCGAAATTAGGATATGTCGTGATGCTTAGGTAGTTGCATCTCGCACTTATGAGCTCTATATCCGGTCCACCCCACATCCAACGACCGCCAACCCCACCCGCTTGCAGCGAGGCACCGCAAGCCCCACCACCATGCATCTACCGTTCACAAGTACACCGAGGCAGGAGGAGGTACGTACATCACAGGACTGAAAATAAATATCCCAAGCGGTTTGAGGACCGGATTTGTATGGGCGGAAGCAGAAAGGCGGCGTGTGAGTTCCTTCTCCGCCAAGTTCGCAAACATGTAACCAAGCAATTCGGCAGCTAGATGCGGCGGAATGCAGGCAGGCTTGGCTTCCAAATGATGAATAATGGCAGGTAAGGTATGAACACGGTGATAATGCTAACCCCTCCTATCCCCGATCCACTAGCTCTTTATCTGTTACCCGCCTGTAGTCAAGATCCCCTAAGGGAAGGTTAATTTCGAGGGAGCTTGGGGCGCGTATATATAGAAGGAATGCGCGCCGCCACGTCCTTATTTCTGTAGATTCTTTTTCTCGATTGTCCTGCCTCGTTGATTCTTGCACTTAAGCTACCCTCCCAATTACTATATTTTCACAATGGCGAAACCACTCCCCCGAGGCCTCGCCACGTCGCTGGAGAACAGCAAGGCGGAGTTTGTGCAGCTGGGCAAGAGCGGATTACGAGTTTCGGTGCCAATCTTCGGCACCATGAGCATTGGGAGTTCGAAGTGGGAGCCCTGGGTTATCGACGAGGATAAGGTAATATGAGTGCGGCGGCCGTTCCTCACATTGGCCCCCTCCGCCTAATTGATTGTTCATGGGCTGATTGGTATATGCTTCAAGGCCCTTCCCATCCTCAAAGCTGCCTATGACCGTGGAATCAATACCTGGGATACGGCAAATGTGTACAGTAATGGGGTATCTGAGGAACTGGTTGGCAAGGCGATCAAGAAATATGAGATTCCGAGACATAAGATTATTGTCCTGACTAAGTGTTTTGGTGCCGTGGGTGAGGAGATGGATTTAAGAGGCATCTTCCTTCCCAAGGAGATGAGGGCTAGCAAGGATTATGTGAACACCTTTGGTATGTGTTCCCCCTTCCTATATTCTTTGGCTCTCTTGTGAGCTTGCAGGAAAAGAAAATGGGGGGCTGATGCCGATGTTCATATTTGCAGGCCTCTCCCGTCAAGCCATCTTCAACCAGGTCGACGCCTCCCTGAAGCGCCTGGACGTTGACTTCATCGACCTACTTCAAATCCACCGATATGACAACGAAACGCCAATCGAGGAGACGATGGAGGCTCTGCATGATCTGGTCAAGAGCGGGAAGGTTAGGTATATCGGTGCCTCGAGTATGTGGGCGACGCAGTTCGCACAGATGCAGTTCGTTGCTGAGAAGAATGGCTGGACCAAGTTTATTAGCATGCAGAACCACTATAACTTGCTGTATCGGGAGGAAGAGAGGGAGATGATCCGGTTCTGTAACGCGACCGGTGTGGGATTAATTCCGGTATGTGATCATATACGCTCGCTCCCTCCCTCACCTCTTGCCCTTCCCTTTTGTCATTTTCCATTTGCTGACTCTTTCTACAACAGTGGGCACCACTCTGCCGCGGCCATCTCGCCCGGCCCGTTGAGGCGCTAGGAAGCACAACCAGGAGCAAGCCAGAAGCGGAGGGAGGACTCAGCAAAGAAGATACCGAAACCATCAAGCGCGTGCAGGAGCTGGCTGAGAAGAAGGGCTGGAAGATGAGCCAGGTGGCATTGGCCTGGATCAAGACGCGGGTTAGCAGCCCGATCATTGGGTTCAGCAGCGTGGATCGAATTGATGAGGCTGTTGATCTGAAGGGCAAGACGCTGACGGCGGAGGAACAGACGTATCTAGAGGAGTTGTATGTGCCCAAGGCTATTTCAGGGCATCGCTAGGCACGAAGCATCGTACCGGGTACTGTGCCGGCTGGTGGTAGAGATAGAAACGAATAAACCATAAAATCAAAAGCATTGGAACCTAGCCGAAATATTCCGCAGTGAGATACATGATTATTCCAGCCCAGCCATGTATTGATTTCAACTTGGTAGAGTAGGTACCTAGGTCGTAATTGATACAAGCAGGGGTAGCTAGATTTGGATGCCGTCGCGACGACGGCTTTGGCCCCAAGTTCCCATGCCAACTCACAAATGAGGTGACTGGCTGATTACTGGCGTGGATTATTGCGCGTTGACCCCGGGAGGTGGCAACAATCAGCGCAACCCTACGTATGATTTCCTACCTGCTGGCAAGACTTCACGCATGTTCGTTGCCGGGGGACAAATTAGGCAGGATTCCCACAATCTCAGCATTGTGCAAACCCCTCAAGCCGAGAAAACACAAAACAGGGTGAACAGTTCAGGAACAGTACGAAGTAAGGGCGCTCGTTTCGGGAACAATAGCAATGATGGAATGGAATATTCCCGCCTGCGGGTGTCTCCCCGTAGTACTCTACGTGGGACGGAGTATCTCCGGAGTATGCAAGAATGTACCCCCGTACCACGTTGGATTATTAAGCGACTGGCACCCCCGGCACCCTGCTGGCCTGCCATGCGAATGTTGCTCTTTCCCCGCAAGCTAATAATATGCCGCTTGGTCTGTGTCACAATGACGCCTGCGAACGTCGCGTGATGCCGTCATGCCAGGTAAGGTCCGGTAAGGTAACAAGGTAAGGTAAGGCCATGGAATGGAACTCGACGGATCCGTAGAGGAGAAGGGAGAGAGGGAGAGATAGTGATAGTGACTTGGGGATGGAGATGGAGATGGGAGCATATCATGAACTTCAACAGCGGAGGGGGATAGACGCAGGAGGGGAGGGAAGAACCCAATTGGGGCATGGTGTAGATCCAATTGATTACCGGTGGCCCCCCTCACACGATACATACCTTATGTACCCATCAGGTACTTCACTACCTAGAGGTACCTTAGGAACCTTAACCAGCAGTGAGCAGTTATTCTCCCGGGAGCTTGCTCGCTCGCAATCACTCAGCTCCAGCGCTAACCCCGTCTCGACCAGCACCACGTGAGCCCGCCCCCTTCGAATCAGCAATCGAACCCCGCATCCATCAATGAAACTCACCCATCGCCCAGCGCCCAGCGCCCATCGCCCCGTCTCTTCCTGCCTGCATCGTACCTGATCCCCCCTCATCTCATTCCCCCCTCACACCTCCCTCTCTCTTCCTCCTTCATCCATCATCATCAACATCAACATCATCAGCTCCAAGCACAACTCCAACTCATCTCATCTTCCAGCTTCCTCACTGAAAGCCGTAGTCCCCAATCTGATAACTCAATCACCATCACCGTCATCTTACGACCCTATCGTGAGATACTCTGATCCCTCTTGACCTTTACCTCCACGTACAAGTCAAGCAGCCCCTCAACCCCAAGCATGTCTGCCGATACAGCACCGTTAACCAAGGTCGACTCCGCCATCCAAGGCCTCTCCTCTAGCCCACCCAAGGAGGCAGTCAAGGGCCACCGGAGAGCAAGCTCGAGTGCAGCGGGTGTCTACAACATCAATGACTTAGGTATGTCGCTCTACGTCCTCCATCCCAATGTGTCCGTTGCCATCGGGTTTCGGACCAGCCGGGTGAATTCCATCCAAACTTGACATTGAGACTGAGACTGACAATAATCGCCATATAGAAAAGGAAGGAACGGAAATCCAAATTGCAAAGGAGACGCAAAAACTGAACTGGTATGTTGCACTGCACTTGCCGTGCTAGCTTCCTTACCTGTCCCCATTCCACCCTCTGCTGCCACCACTGAGGGCTGGATGGGGTTCGATGGACTCTTGCTGATGCCTGCTCTCTGCTCAGGCGTATCAACAAGTCCCCCAACACGCTCGATGAGCCAGAGAAATCGGCACTGAAGAAGATGCTCACCACACCACCCGTCAAGAAGATTGACCTACACTTCCCCCTCGGACTTGAGGTAACAGCACGGAACTTGAAGGGAGTAACAATCAAAGATGCATTAGATGCAATCTACAAGCAATTCCGGAAGAAGGTACGCTCATCATCTCCTTTGACGATCGGCACCCCAAGGAGGGCTCCTGTCGTGGCATTCCAGTCGCCGACATATGTCTTCGTTTCTCAGTGCTGACAAGCAATATCCATATAGGCGGACGACGAGCTTGAGACCCCAATCCTAGCAGGCTTCGAATGGGACAAGGAAGAGTGCTGGACCCGGTTCATCGTCCATTGCAAAAAGGAAGGTGCCCCACAGCCCAAGAAGAAGGGAAAGAAAGGCCAAGAAGGCGACGAGCTCTAGGTTCTTCCCTCCTGAAATCCCTCGCTCCACAATGTCTTCCTCCTTTGCAGACTAGAGCTCAGTATGGGTGTTTTTGCTTGCTGGCAGGCAGGCTCGGTTCGGTGGCAGTGTAACTTTCAGACTCGATCGGCAGGCTTGCCGAGGAATTTATAACGGATGGAGTGTCCTAGCGATGCCTGGCTGTCTTCATGGCCAGTGTACTTTTACTGGCTCTTGCTGAGATGGCGATCGTTGCTAGAAATTGAAACTCTTCTCCATTTATTCAGACACGCTTGTGACACCGCTGCTCTATGCTTATACTGGACAACGAAGGGGTTGGACTGTTGTGGTTCTGGCAACCGTCATTTCGGATGGGAACTCGATTTTGCCATAAAACATGTCGTTGAATATTGAGTGTCGTTAAGGGATTTGGAGATTGCTCTTGAAAATAGATCTGTGGGGAGAACGCCTAAGAAGTGACCCACTCCAAGCCCGAGGTAGCCAGATACAGAAACCCCTGGCGAAAATGTGCAGGGCCGCCACTCTTTCGTGAGCTGCTCAACGCGCCATCTATTGATTAGATGTCTACGCAGTACCATATAACTAGTTGTCAAGGCGTTATCAAGATGTACGGTAGGTCGCTTACAGTATCTGTCTTAGTTGATGCTCTTTTCTCAAGTCATCTTTTTCTCCTCCCTCACTGCCTACGCAAACTTCTAACTTTAGCGCCATCTCGAGCCCGACGTCCCAATTCAGTACCCCCTCCCAGAACTGCCTCTCTCCAGCGGCACTTTCGAGGCATACATAATATCCATCTCTAGACATATAGCAGCCCACGTACAATGGATATCCGCGCCCGCCTTCCCGTCTCCCTCCCTCACCCAAATCACACCACCAGCTACTGGCAATCCCCACTCGATGGCTCTCTCGCCGATTTCCTCAGCGCCGAAACTGTCCCAGGTGACATAGTAGATACAGTGGTTATAGGAAGTGGGATTACAGGCGCAGGGGTAGCGTGGAATTTGCTCCAGCAAGAGAAGAAGAGGGAAGGGGGCGTTGTTATGCTTGAAGCACGCCAGACTTGTTCTAGTGCTACGGGTCGAAATGGTACCCCATCCCTCCATCTTCGCAGCATATCTAACTCCCTTTCTAAAGCAATATAGAGTAGATGTCTAACAGAGAATAAAAAGGCGGCCACACAAAAGCAGCATCATACCGCACCTTTCCCTCGCACGCGCAAACTCTCGGTCTTCCCTTGGCGGTCAAAATCGCCCGCTTTGAGTATGCCAATATCCAGGCCCTCCATACCTTCGCCGCGGAACATAACATCGAATGTGAGGCCCGGAGTTGCGATACAGTGGATGTTATATATGATCAGAAGCAATGGGAGGAGTGTGTCAATGCTGTAGAGATGATACGAAGGGGGTTCGTGGAACCTGGAGATGAGAAGGGGGTTGGCAGATATACACTATGGAGCGCCGAGGAAGCGAAAACGGCGTTCTTAGTAGGAGGTATCGGTATGGATGGCGAGTCTGTGAAAGGTGCGGTGAGTTATGAGGCAGGGAGTATACATGCTTCTAAGTTTGTGTATGGGGTGCTCAAGCTATGTTTAGGGGATGGGAGCATGAGGTTGTTTACGAACACGCCTGCCACCAAGATCGAGAAAGCTGCCGATAATGCCTGCTGGGCTGTGCATACCCCGAGAGGGATTATCAGAGCGAGGAGAGTTGTGCTAGCTACTAACGCCTATACCAGTTTTCTATGCGACAAATTCCATGGATCTATCGTACCACTAAGGGGTCAAGTCACTGCTCAGAGACCAGGGAGCAATATGCCCCCTTCTGGTCTGCAAAATACTTACTCCTTTATTTACAATGGCGGGTACGAATATATGACACCTCGCCCTGGCTCTATCCCTGATATCATCATCGGCGGCGGCTTAGCCAAGTCCACCGATCAAGGACTCGGCGAATATGGAACCACAGATGATTCATCCTTAAACTCCTCTATCAGCGTGTATCTTGGTGGAGCTGCCAAAACTTACTTTGGTGATGAGACTTGGGGCAAGGATGATGAGCAAGGGAGGGTGAAGCAAGAGTGGACGGGGATTATGGGGTATACTCCTGATGGGTTTCCGTTTGTGGGCGAGGTCCCCGATATAGAGGGTATGTGGATTGCGGCGGCGTTTCAGGGGCATGGGATGGTGTTGGCTTGGGAGTCTGCGAGGGCTCTGGTGGGGTTGATGGGTAGAGAGGATGTGAGTAACTGGTTTCCTAGCCCATTCATAGTCACAGAAGAGAGGATTGGGAGGAGGTTCGAGGGACGAAGGAGTTAGTTACATAAAGATAGCCTCTTACAGCTACCTTATTTAATATCATTTCGAGGTGGTTTGTTTTTAAGCTGTGAACATTGAACCTACACTCCAAAATAGTAAACTTGAATCGGCGGGCTTTTATATATTGCCAGCCGTGCCGTCGCTTATCAGAGCAGAACAAGCGAGACAGCAACTAAAAAAAAAAGAAGCAATTAAAGATAAAAATGGCAAAAGAAATACCTACTCAATCGTAGGTTACCGAGAAACTTTGAGCCAACTACCCCCTAGCCTCTTGTTATCTCTGGCGGAGCGTCCAGGGTCATTCTCAGTTTGCTAGCGGTGGCTTTTAACCACTACCCCAAGTCGCCTGTCTCCAGTTGTTAAGGTGATTCTGCTTATTTTGATATATATATCTACCGCCGATACCAGATACCGGGAGTGATCACGTGTGTACAGCCAACAAGCCGAGCAGGGGTATTGGTCAGCTCCACTGACTAACCCCCGCACTGGATTTCCAGAACGGAACGGAGGACGGAGGTATTCGCTCGCGATTATTTCCCCCCTCAAGAGTGCATGCGCATATACGCAGCGGCGGCTTTTCTACGACGATCCAAACCCTCTGGTCTAACCACACGGTCTCCACCCCTTCCTTCATCGATATGCTATTGTTACCATGAACGTCCTTGAAAGCCAAGTTACCGACCTCAACTCCCTTGTCGAAAGCCCCATCGCGACCGTATCAGGCATCATGAATGGCCAGCGGCACACCTCCAGTGCGGAGAGTCCCGCGGATGCTGCTGGAGAGGGCGGAAAGAAAAGAAAACCGGACGATTCCCCCAGTGTCAACGGCACTACCCATACGAGGGCGAAGAGGAATCGGTATATTTCAATTGCTTGGTACGTATAGCTACAACACCTGGGTACTTTTTTATAATTGGGCCTGTGGTATTGCTGCGGTTCTGGCAAACCTTCTGGTTCGGCGCATGAAGCCGCGCGAGCCGCCCTGGGTGGTACTCTGTAGGGGACTCTGATATCCCAATACCCCGGCTTCAAGAAAAGAGGCCGCGGGTATGGATACCTGGGTCTTGCCATACAAGCTCGGAGAGGAATTGGATTGCGCGGTGATCTATAATTGTGATCCCGCCATATCCTAAATTTTCTTCGGAATTTTGGAGATATCGCTGTTTACCGCGCCCAAACATTGTCAACGGAGCTTATTGCCAAATTAGACAACTACTAACGCAACTAATAGTAATGAATGCAAGCGGCGCAAAATCAAGTGCAACGGAAATACGCCCTGCCAACGATGCGGAAACCTCAATCTCGAATGTCAATACGCGCCCAATTGCTGCAGCAATGGCTTCAAAGACTCGGAAGAATTCCGTCAGATGAATGCCCAGCTGGCCTCGCTTCAGGAACAAGTGGACAGTCTATACGCGAATTTAAATGCTCTGAGGGCAAGCGGGGATGCTATGGCCTTTGTGCCTCCATCGGAGAGGTCAATGTCAATGTCACAGACTCCGAATGTACAGCCTATTTCTCCTATAGACAAGTATCGACCCCCACCGCCGAAGCATCGTTCATATCGCGGCCCCACGAGCTCCGCATTCAGTCTTGATGTTGCGAAGAACACACTGCATAGTATGGGATATCAAGGGCTTGGTGTAGATGAGGGAATGATGACCCAAGATGCTACTCCCCTCGCCTCTCCTCCAGCAATCCAACCGCCACCTCTGCCTAATACCAACAGTAATCCTAGCAAAGATCCTCTCTGGTCACTGAGTAAGGAAGAAATGATCCGACTCTGTCGGGTCTACGAAGAAGAAATGGGTATCATGTACCCGGTGGTAGACATCGACCAAACCATCATCCACGGAACGAATCTCTACGAGTATCTTGGGGCAGCCGTACGGAACGGTCTTGTCACCCCGTCACCTCCGGGCAAAGGAATAAACGACGAACAATCTCTTGCCTTGAAAATGGTGCTGGCGTCTGCGACGTTGACCGAGGGTAATGGCCAGAGTGAAATTGGGTATCGTTTGTTTGAAAGTGTTAGGGAGGCTGCGGATCGGATTTTGCACAGCGAGGCAATTGAAGTCAAAAATCTCTCGTTCCTCGTTCTTGTGGTAAGTTGTTGGGCTCTCATTTTGTCCTTGCGCTATGTTATTTTCTCATATTTGCCCACTCTAGACCTTGACTAGTTGTTTAATAAGCTAACATGCCGTTCAGGCCATATACCATTTTCATTGTGATCAAGAAGCGCTAGCATGGCGTATAATCGGGCAGGTTGCTCGAATGTGCATCGAGTTAGGCTTACATCGGCGGGATTCCCTTTTCAAGATAATACCGAACGCGGCAGAACGCTCGAACGCCATCAAATTATTCTGGTCTATCTACGTTCTGGATAGACGGTGGAGCTTTGGAACTGGTCTGCCATTTGCCTTGCAAGATGCTGATATTGACCCTAACTTGCCGGAACCTGTGAGTATCAACGGATTTGCGATTCTACCAACCTGACTAATATATTTCAGGAACTGGGTATTCAATATCTCAACGTAATGATCGCGTACTCCCGGATCGGCTCCAAGGTTTGGCGATCAGTCTGTTCCTTCTCACCCAACCCCAATCCCATAAACATTGAAGAAATCGGATATCTCGACTACCAAATAAACCAATGGCAGAAGAACATCCCCCAGGACCTGCAACTCCCCACAGCTGCCTCGCCACAACCAGCATCTCGCGCAATCCGTCGTCTCCAAATCCTCCTCTACCTCCGTACCAATCAAATGCGCATCCTGATCTACCGCCCTGTCCTCCACAGCGCCGTCTCCATCCAAGAAAACCACTCGTACGCCACGACTGTCGTCTCCCTCGCCAAAGATACTATTCGCGCTCTCACACACCTAAATCGAACGTCAGACATCTACAGTACCCAGCAAGTCTGCTTCAACTACTTCCTCACCTCCGCCATCGCCGTGCTATTCCTTGCCTCTTGCCATGCACCTGTCCATTTTAGTTCGTTCTGTAGAGAGGAATTCTACATGGCGCTTGATCTTGTTAAGGGGTTTAGTAATAAATCTTGGATTAGCAAGAGGTTATGGAGAACTATCAAGGGACTTAAGGAAATTGGACCGAAACTAGGGCTTGTGAGCGATGTGAGAACCGAAGAGGAGGATCCGCATTCCTCTGCTGCACTTGCGATGGCTGGCCTGGCTGGACATGAGATTTCGGGAATAGGCAACGGTTTCGTGCAGGATAATGGTAATGGTGGTGGAATTAGTGGGCTGAATGGGAGTGGGAATGGAAATGGAAATGGGAACGGGAACAGCCCGGATGGATTCCAGATGAGTCATGATATGACCAGCCTTTTTGAAGCGGCGTTGGGGAGTGTGGGGATCAATAATGGGAATGGCGGCCCTGGCAATGCAGGTGCAGTTGGGAACGGCAATGGAGGGTATATCCCGATGCAGGATGGCGATGCCCTTGGGGGCGGCGTTGGGAGTAATGTGTTTGGTGGGGACGAGGAGTTGTATAAGCAGTTGAAAGACCTTTTTTAGGGGTTATTTTGATTTGCGAGTTTTGGCCAGGGAGCTTGGAGCTGTGTTTTGTGATAAGTTGGGAAAGGGGTTTGGGAATAGCTCCATGGAAAGGAAAAGGGGAAATAGGAATTATCCGCGTCACTATACATATATAGGGACCTACAGTAGTTTGTGCCAAAGGGTATTATTACATTACTATATTGTATGGCCAGCCTGAGGGAATAAGAAGTGAGCAACGAACTTCACGAAGTTACGTTTATATGGTAGGCAAGGAGGTAAGCCATTATACATGCGCCAGCCTTTACTTAAACCTCACATTCGTAGAAAGGTATCCCAGAATTATCGGTTGAATTACCAGGTGTTCTTCTAAGTATTCCAAACCTTTAAATCTCCATAAATCATACGAACACCTCTCCTCCGCTATCCCCAAAGCTCTTCGCATCCACATAACCCCTTTCTCGGCGAGAGTTGGCGGCCCGTCGCTTAAACCTCGGCACCTCGTGCGGGTACCCCCGCCCGGGCTGGTTCCAGTCATAAGTATTCCAATAGGCGATTTTTTTCTTCAAACGTACCAAAAAAACACACTCCAGTAACGCGTAAGTCACACTTCGTTACTGCTTCATGGCAAAAACCATAGGCTAATATGTTTTCTGGTATAGAGTGGTTAGCGTGTCGTTCTTATACGTTTTTGGGAAGCCGAAAAAGTATGATTCTTTCCTCTTCGAGAGATGCGAAAGTCGCGGGTTCGACTCCCGCCTGGAGTAATTACTTCTATTTTTTTGTTCTTTTTTTGTTCTTTTCTTGGGTGTTGAGGTTTTTGAGGTTTTGGGGAGAGGGTTAGCCGAGTGTGTGGCGTGGGTAGGTGAGGTGTGGCTCGGGCCGCGATTGTAGACGTGGGCTGTAAAAGGCACAGAACGACTTAGTCGCAGCACTTCTTTTGGGAATCTCAAGACTCTCAGTTTATCAGTCTTCTCTGTTAGCTTGATTGATTGCACAAATGTGCTGTCTGTTTAGCTCACTTTGCGAAGTATTATATTGTTTTGGCGCATAAGCTGGCGAGTACTTCGTACATTTCGAATTTCTCATTTTGTAGTATTGTCAAGTAATCATGCTGGTAATAAATACTCATTCACATCTTGAACCTATGACCTTTTATAAGAAATATCAAATTCCTCTCCAAGGGAAGTAAACGGGAAAATAATATCCGCAATATTTGCTTTTCATTACCTCCTAAAAGGGCACCGCACTCGCAACAGTCCCACTACACTGCCCAAACCCAACATAACTACCCTCCTCCCCGCAGACACCTCGTATCGTAACTGTATCCCCATCCGCCAAAAACCGTCTCACGTGCATACCTGTCAGCATAATATCCTTCTTCCCACCCAAGCTCATCTCCAATAAACTCCCCAAATCGTTTTCTCCAGTCCCACTAATGGTCCCACTCCCCAACAAATCCCCTGTCCGCATAGGGCACCCCCCAGCACTATGATGCGCAATCATCTGGGGGAAACTCCAGAGTAGATTTGAGGCGCTGACACGGGATATTGTGGTCGTGTCGCCTTCTGAGGTTGTTAGGTCGACGGAGAGAGATATGTTGTATACGGTATCTTGGCGGGATTCCTGTAAGTATGGGAGAATTTTCGCCTCGTTTGGGATCTTTTCGGCGCGGAAGGAATCAAGTGCAGAGGGTAAGACAACCCATGGACTTATCGTGGTACCAAAATTCTTGCCATTAAATGGGCCGAGCGGTACGTACTCCCAGGCTTGGATATCGCGTGCGGACCAGTCGTTCATCAAGACAAAACCAAATATGCTCTCTTCCGCTTGTTTGTTTATGGAGATGGGAGAGCCCATATCATTGCCTTTGCAGATGAAGCATCCCAGTTCGAGTTCTATGTCTAGAAGCCGACTTGCGGAGAATGCCGGAACTTTTGGATCGGCAGTGGGGTCCAGGAGGATTTGGCCAGACGGTCGAGTTATTGGGGTTCCAGAGACCACGACGGAGGAGGCACGGCCGTGGTAGCCAACGGGGAGATGGGTATAATTTGGTTGGAGAGCGTTTTTAGGCTCACGGAAAAGGGCTCTATGTATGGTTAGCAACTTAGCTTTGTAATACTCAAGTCTTTGCGGAGGATTGGATTGGGCGAAGTCATCAGGAGTGGAAAAAAACCAAGGTTACGAACCCAGTATTGAAAGCATGGTTCTTGCCAGCGAAAAAGTCAGTATAGTCTCCAATTTCCATTGGCAGATGTGTCTTTGTCTCATGTTTCGGCAACAGAGCTTCCTTCCGCAAGGCGTCGTTGTCCTTCAAAATTTCCGGGCGCGACGTAGTTTCCGAGAATACATCCTGAATATACTCACGTACTGAATTATGAACTGGTTGGCCAAGCGCTGCGAACGCATTGAGCGTCGATTGGGAAAAGACCTCCAGGTGCTCTTTGGAGAGCGAGGCAAGACCAGCGAAGCCATCCCCCTTGGAGAAGGCCTTTAGGTCGAGAACATGGTCGCTAATTGCGATAGCGGGACGCTTTTCCAAAGGAGAACCCTTAGAATTTATGATCCCGAAGGGAATGTTGGAGAGGGAGAATTCGCTGTCTTTCGGGATAGCTAGCCAGGACTTGGGAGGTGCCATTTTGGTTTGGTGATTGAACTGGACGTAGATTGCTCCTCTTTAGTATGAAGGTACTGGAATATTGAAGGATTATGGTAATACCTTAGCCAGGGCCGTGGTATTGACGCTATTCCATCGTAATGTCAAGCTTTCTAGGTGAATGAGGTAAGTTGAGCGTTAGGCCGCAACGGATACAATTCCGTGGCCGGGAGCGGGGAATGCCCAGGGGCAGTTCTTCCCGATGTGGCGCTTACTACAGCACTTCGGGGGACTGGGGGACTCGGGGGACCCTGATCACAACTATCACTTCAGCGGTTTGGCTTGCCAATCTGCCCTAAGGTATTAGCAATCGATTGATAAAAACCAAGGTGATCGACCTGAATGCCACTTGTACAGTACTTGTATTCTTGGGAACTCGGAACCAACCCGCCGCAGATTACCTTCACATATCATTTGAACATTTACCGGAGTTACCCCACGAATACTACGTACTATGATACAGGCGGCGCTCGGGGTCTGCCCGCTTGTTTAGCATACCCGTCCCCGCGGCCGTATTCCGCACCAGCCCCCCTTACCTAGGCACTTTATCGACGGCCAACAAGCCCCAACAAACCCCGCATACGTAATGCTGCCGTTATACCAATCACGGTCATTCTTCTACGCATTTCAGAGGCAAAGATGTGATTGATAGGCGTCTTGCTACGTGTTAACGGTAAGGCAATGACGGCTGTTAGCATCCTGCGTGTATCAGGTGTAACAGCACTGGCAGCGTTGAATGATTTGCATCCGCCAGCCAGCTAAGTCTATATCAAGAGCAGCTGCCTAGAGCTTTTTACTGTTGGCTGTCTCCACCAGCTCTCCAGTCTCATCTTTTCATCCTTTCATTTTCCATCGTCTCCTCCCTGGCGTTGATTCCAAACATGTCTATCCAGACTACCGGCCTTGCCTTAATCGTAGCCGTCTATTTAATTATTAGGTACCTCAACCGGACAGATACTTGCAAAATCAAAAACCTACCCGAGGTACCAGGCCTTCCTCTCTTTGGAAACCTTCTTCAGTTCGGAAACAGCCATGCAAAAGTGGCTGGCGATTTGGCGAAGAAATATGGTCCGGTATTCCAAGTCAGGCTAGGAAATAGAGTGTGTCCTTTCTTGTGCCCAGCTCCAGTGAATATTAGCTAATAGTTAATAGCGCATTGTCTTTGCAAATACCTTCGATTCTGTGAAACATCTCTGGATCACCAATCAATCCGCCTTGATATCTCGCCCAACACTCCATACTTTCCATACGGTTGTGTCCAGTTCGCAAGGTTTTACAATTGGCACATCGCCATGGGATGAGTCCTGCAAGCATCGACGAAAAGCTACAGCAACCGCCCTGAACCGACCAGCGGTGCAGAGCTACATGCCAATCATTGACCTAGAATCAAATATCTCCATCAAAGACCTCCTCGAGGACAGTTTGGACGGCACCAAGGATATTGACCCAATTGCGTACTTCCAACGATTTGCTCTCAACACCTCCCTAACCCTCAATTATGGTACACGGATCGATGGAAAGATTGATGATGAACTATTGCAGGAAATCTGTCATGTGGAGCGTGTGGTTAGCAATTTCAGATCTACCAGTAATAACTGGCAAGATTACATCCCCTTACTGCGATTATTGCCAAAGGGGAATGATGCTGCGGTGGAATATCGTGAACGGAGAGACAAGTATTTGACCTTCTTATTGAATAGACTCAAGAAGCAGATTGACGAGGGTTCGGACAAACCTTGCATCACTGGAAATATATTAAAAGACCCTGAAGCGATACTAAATGAGAGTAAGTGCGAGCTTTCAGCAAGAGATATATAACTAAAGGTTGAACACAGACGAAATTAAATCCATCTGCTTATCCATGGTCTCCGCTGGTTTGGATACCGTGCCCGGGAACCTCATCATGGGAATCGCCTACCTCTCATCCCAGCATGGTCAAGAGATCCAAAAACGAGCATACGATGAAATCATGAAAGTCTACCCCGACGGCGATGCCTGGGAAAAATGCATCATGGAAGAAAAAGTCCGTTATGTCACGGCACTTGTGCGAGAAATCCTGAGATTTTATACCGTCATCCCAATATGTCTTCCGCGAACAAGTATCAAGGACATACAGTATGGGGATGCTGTCATTCCTGCTGGCACCACATTCTATATGGTACTTTACTCTTTCTGTGTCATTGTTAAATTCCTTATTCTTGGTAAAACTATTAACAACAGAGATAGAATGCTTGGGCAGCCGACTATGACGAAACGCACTTCAAAGACGCGCGCTCTTTCAACCCGGAACGATATCTGGACAACCCCGAAGGCTCAGGGACCCCACACTACGCCTACGGAGCGGGGTCGCGCATGTGTGCCGGTTCTCACCTTGCAAATCGCGAACTCTATACGGCGTTCGTGAGACTAATTTCAGCATTCCACATCGATCCTCCGAAAGATCCAAAAGACAACCCGGTTTTGGATGCGTTGGAGTGTAATGCTATTCCGACTAGCTTGACTACTGATCCAAAGCCATTTAAATGTGGATTCCGCGCGAGGGATTTGGGGAGCTTGCAGAGGTGGATGAGGGAGAGCGAGGAGAAGACGAAGCATTTATGATCGTTAGGTCAGGTGAAGTAAGACGGATGGGTGGGTGGCAATGGAAAGCTCTGTATGAAATATTTAATAGGGGAGCTAATAGGGAATTTTACCATTGGCGAACATCCTCTTCCCTCTATCATGAATCGTTCAAGTCATACCCTAGAAATCCGAAATTCAAAACTGCCTATGTATCCCGGCTGAGAAAAGATTCAGCGTTGATCTGGGTTGGAAATTTCTTCAGATTAAACTGCGACCTTTGTTCACTCTCTGGTAGCATCGTCATACACTTACTTCCAGGTACTGTACTTTTGTTCTTCTGGACATGTCACTTTCCGGCCCTCATAATATCAGCAACTCGATTATCTCATACCCTGGTTCTACATTATCTTAATTACTAGAGTCTTCTCCAAGCTCGCCCACTGACCTTTTCACCTTCACGGGCAAATATATTACGGCCAGCCTCCCTCGAGCTAACAGGTCAACTACAAGGGGTGTTTATGCACGTCATCGCATTCCTTGCAACAACAAATACCTAGCGTTGGCACCGCGGCATAACTATTGTGCAAGGATTGTGCCTGGAATGATGTTCGTATTGTGTGACCCGCTATTGCGCTAAGGAGCTTCCACAACAAAAGCTTTGTATTGTAGCGACGACGCGAAAACGATAAATATTTCCACGACACCGTTCGCCCCGACTCTTCTTCCTGCGAGTTCCCGCGCGACGTCTACAACTTCGACCTCCTCGACATCGATTCTACGATACTTGAAGTTATCGCCTCATAGTATTTGATTCCTTGATAGATACCTTTCTCTTCAATTCCTTTTCTAAATAACTCGCGCCATCGTACGATAACGCGTTGCATTATCGCAACTCTGACCTTCAAAATGCCACCAAAGAAAGCCAATACCTCGGCGGCGAAGTCCGCAGCAAAGCCAGCAGCAACGAGAGCCAAGAGAGCCGCTACACCAAAGCCTGCTATACTTCCTAACACGAAGAAGCCCGTTGCCGCCAAAAAGTCCACTGTCGCGTCCAAAGCATCGAAGCCAGCTGCCTCCAAACCCGCAGCCAAGGCAAGATCCGCCACTCCCAAGCCTGCCGCAGCCCCAAAAGCCGCGAAATCCACTTCAACAAAGCGAAAGGCTTCTGAGGAAGACGTCGAGGAACCTAAATCAAAGAAAGCAAAGACCGCCGTCGAGCCAAAGAAGGCCGCCGCCAAAGCAGCACCTAAGCCTCCAGTAAAGAAGGCGCGTGCCAAGTCTGTCACCAAGAAGGCAGCAACCGAAGAACCTGATGAGAAGCCGGCCAAGGTAAGTTGCTCTTGTTGATCTTGGAGCAAATGTTAACTCTTCCCCCAGGCCGCAGTCAAACCAGCAGCTGCCAAACCTAAGAAACAACTTCCTACCCTCAATACCCCACCTACTCAGAGACTTGATATCTACGTCTTCGGCGAGAATTCAGCTGGCGAGCTTGGCCTTGGAGCCAGAGGCTCGAATGGCAGAAAAGTTACTGATGTCGCACGTCCTCGCCTTAATGATAAGCTTTCCGCCAAAGATGTTGGCGTTGTACAGATTGCTGTGGGTGGCATGCATTGTGCTGCTCTCACTCATGATAATAAGATCTTAACCTGGGGTGTCAATGACCAGGCTGCTCTCGGTCGCGAGACCAGTGATGAAGGAAAGATGGTAACCCTTGACGCTGGCGAAGCTGAGAATGAGGATTCCGATTCCGATTCCGACGATGATTCTGGCTTGAACCCTTCCGAGGCCGAACCCCGCGAAGTTGATCCAAAATACTTCCCAGAGGGCACCAAGTTCGTCAGCGTCCATGCTGGTGATAGTGCTACATTTGCTCTTACAACTGTTGGTACAGTGTACGGATGGGGCACTTTCCGAGTATGTTATCCTCATTTCCAATGCTTATACCTTGCTCCTTGCTAACTCTATTAGGGTAATGATGGTATCCTTGGTTTCCGCACCGATGTCCACATTGCACACTTCCCTATGCTCATTCCTGAGCTTAAGAACATCACGTCTATGGCCATTGGCTCCAACCATGTTCTCGCTCTTAATAACAAGGGCAGAGTCTTTGCCTGGGGTGCTGGTGAGCAAAATCAGCTTGCCAGACGCGTCGTCTCCCGCACAGCCACTGGTGCATTGATTCCTCGCGAGTTTGGCCTACAGCGCAAGACCATTGTTCACATTGGAACTGGTGCTTATCACAGTTTTGCTGTTGACAACAAGGGAAATGTTATGGCCTGGGGTCTAAACACATTCGGTCAAACTGGTGTCCCTAAAGATGACGACGAGGACGATACCGTCGCCACTCCTACCTTAGTCGAGTCATTGAGCGACTATTCCGTTCAACAAATCACTGGTGGTGCCCATCATAGTATGGCCTGTACCAAAGATGGCAAAGCACTTATTTGGGGCCGAGCAGATGGCGGACAAACTGGTCTTGATATTTCCAGCCTCCCTACTGAGACATTATATTACGACGAGTACAACAAACCTCGCTACCTTGTTAAACCCACCGCCATCCCAAACGTCAACTGCTCATATGTCGCAGCTGGCAGCGATACTTGTGTAATCCTTGGCGATGATGGAAAGGCATATTCATGGGGGTTCTCAACCAATTACCAGACAGGTCTAGGCACAGACGAAGATGTGAAGACCGTACAGCATGTGGACAACACTGCTGTACGGGAGAAGAAGTTGGTGTTTGCGGGGGTGGGGGGACAGTTTGGTGTTTTGGCAGGCGTTGCAGCATAAAGTGTAATTTTACAAAATTCATTTCTTTTACCGGGCTTTCTGTTCCTGCTTCATGAGGTGAAGCACATGTTTTAGTACATATTTCTGACAATGTCAAAGGGAATTGACAATGGTAGTGGGTTCATTCGTGGACGAATTTGCATTTGGGGAAGGGACCGTATCTACCGGCGAAACGGCGATAACAAAATAGTTAGATCATACGGAGGAATATCACAGCTAGATACATTCAAGACCCTCTCCTTCTCCATGATTAAAGGCTCAAGTGCCAAGTGCTTGTGGAGTGAGACCGTCTCTCGCACAGAGGTAAAGACTTCTTTGTCTAGGTACTTTAAAACACCACTCTCGCACCGCGCAACTATACTACGCATCATGATGCTTCTTCTATACCTGTATACCTTGACACTTATTGTTGATTATACAATAATAGCCAGCTTGTTCCACTGCAAGTTTTCGAATACGTAACACAAAGCTTAACTCGATACCAGAAGCAAATTCGGTTTACGTATACCACCGAAAACTAACGTTAACGGTGTAATACCAGGTCGAGCCCCTGACCTTAGCCATCACTGGCAATGCTTAGCCATTATATCGTTGCCCTAATACTAATATGTACAATGCACCTATGTAAATTGACACCAAGGGGTTAAACTGACAACAACCTATAAGTTGACAAAAGAGAGTATTTAACAACTGTCTTCTCCCCAAAAGCCACGAGCTTTACCGATTCTGCTAAAACTGGCTCATCTGCAAGTGCACAGTATATATGCCCGATCACTCTGCCCACTCTTCCTTCCCTCTGTCCCAGTTCAGTCAGGAATAGGTCGATCATTGGCAGGCTGGGCTACCGAAAGCGGTGCATCCCTTTTCGACTTTTGCGGCCATAAGTGTGTTACTCGAGGAAGCGGCTAGCACGAAAGGTACGAAGTACGAAGGCAAATTACTGCGGTTCTTTGTCGGACATGAACGTGATGGGCCGCGGGCTGGTGATGGCAATGCTGAGCCGGTTGAGTCATAGGGGGTGCCCACAAACATATCTCAGGCATATAGTGTTAAATAAGGGAGAAGTAGCGAACATGTACCGGTTGTATAGTGTAGCGGTTAGCACGGTTAGCTTCTACCCCATACCATCAAATAATGTATTTGGCCACTGATTTCAATTAGTGGGATTTTGATTATATCAAGATATTCCCGAATCCCCGGTTCGAGCCCGGGTACGACCTCTGAGTTGTTGATTACTTTTTTTCTTACTTTTTTGTATTTTTGTTAAAAAATTTTGGGATGTCTGTTTTTTTTTTGGGGGTGGTTTGGAACTTAGAGCGCTAAAGAGTGACGCGATTGGGGGGGGTTTCTGGCGTGGTGCAGGGGAATGCTGCCGAGGCAAGGAAACTAGTAAAGTGTTATGATCTAGGATATTGCTTGCGGGTCAAATAGGGCAGAAGGAAGTAAACAAACCTTTATGGTATAGTAGAAGGCGAATTAAGTGTCGCTAGATTTTTAGTTAATTATTTTTAGCGGGGTCTATTTCCAGACACTTGTGGCTGTATATCCCGTAGGTACCGCTACTAATTGTCAGAGCTAATTTGTCATCGCAGAGCGGAGCCAATTCTTGCCCGTACATAGTCTAGTCTGATGAATTTGTACTAGAAAAATACATCTTATATAAAACCATCGGCGCATTCGTTCTCAGGATACTCTTTTCTATAGACAGTTAAAGGCCTTATATTGCTTGCAAATTGGCTTCGCCCTCTTTTTGGCACTGGCACCGCGAACAAACGAAAGCCACCTATCATCAATTAATGTTCATCAAAAAGTTACTGTCATTTAAAGGTCATTATAGTTTGTTTCAAAGGCAGGAGGTAGTGAAATCTCACAGTATTGACTGGACCAACTTTTATACCAATAATAGAAGGTCAAAGTTTTGGTGTAGTGTCACGTGGTAGTGCATCTGAACGACACGTGACTGCAGAAATGGGTGAGCTGGTGAAATTATTTCATGAGTGACCCGGCGTCGCGCTACGCGCTCCGCATCTAGTTATCTAGTTCTTGATTAGCCTTTATTAAAAAAAGCTATATCTAAAATCAAACTTAGGTTTAAGTCCTACGTAAAATTTAGCGATAATGTAGTGGGGATACAAGAGACCACTAGTTATTTACTCTGTTCTTGTATTTTCACCTGTACTAGAATTAGCACGTGGATAAGTGGAGCCGCCTGGACATATAAGCTCCTGGCACTCACTCTCCCTTTTACCCACGACAACACACTGACGAATTCGTCACAATACAGCCGGACTAGGGAGAAGCTGGCTAGTTAGGGTAATTACGAATATAAACTCAATTTGCTATACTTATAATGATAACTGGATCTTGTGACTATTAGTCGTTCTGAAACTATGGTTTAGACTTCTTTAGCCAGATGACCAAACGACGATAATCCGACACCGCGCCTATCGCCTAATTGATGCCTATTACTTTGACTGTAGTCTTTTGGTTGTTTTATCCACGATTCCTCCTGATAAATCTAAGGGTCCTCCTAGCTCCTCTACAGTAGTATAACGACAGCCTCGTGTAGAGTAGTCTATAATAGTAATATCTAGCTATATATCGAATCCTTAACTTCGAGCTCGGCGCCCCGGTCGAGTAGTAGCGTGACGACAGCATCGTGCCCGCCTAGAGCAGCGTACGACAGCGGTGTCTGGCTACTATAATCTTTGGCTTCGAGCTCGGCGCCTTGGTTGAGTAGTAGCGTGACGACAGCCTCGTGCCCGCTTAGAGCAGCGTACAACAGCGGCGTCCGGCTACTATAATCCTTGGCCTCGAGCTCGGCGCCCCGGTCGAGCAGCAGCGTAACGACAGCCTCGTGCCCGCTCATAGCAGCCCACGATAGCGGTGTCCGGCTATATATCGAATCCCTAGCTTCGAGCTCGGCGCCCCGGTCGAGTAATAGCTTGACGACAGCCTCGTGCCCGCCTAGAGCAACCCACGACAGCGGCGTCAGGTTAGATTTCGTATCCTTGGCCTCGAGCTCGGCGCCCCGGTCGAGCAGCAGCGTAACGATAGCCTCGTGCCCCCTCCGAGCAGCCCATAACAGCGGCGTCCGGCGCCTAGAGTCCTTGGCCTCGAGCTCGGCGCCTCGGTCGAGTAGCAATGTAACGATGGCCTTGTGCCCCCTCCGAGCAGCCCACGACAGCGGCGTTAGGCCAGATTTCGTATCCTTGGCCTCGAGCTCGGCGCTCCGGTCGAGCAGCAGCGTGGCGACGGCCTCGCGCCCGCTCCGAGCAGCCCACGACAGCGGCGTTAGGCCAGATTTCGTATCCTTGGCCTCGAGCTCGGCGCCCCGGTCGAGCAGCAGCGTGACGATGGCCTCGTGCCCGTTCTGAGCAGCCCACGACAGCGGCGTCTGATTATAACTGTCTTTCGAATCAGGACTATTACTACCAAGTAAATCTCTAACTGCGCTGTCCACTCCGAAGTATGCGGCTAAGTGCAGGCCAGTCATTTGCTTTGGAATTTCTTGGCTGTATCCTTTATTCCCGGACCATGGCTTAACAGCCATAAGTGCTTGACTTGATGCCTCGACTTGGCATTGTTTCTGAAGAAATTCTGTAATACCCTGATACGAATTCGAAGCCTCCCGAGCATGATATCCCCAATTATGCGCTACATAATCGTATAACTTGTTTGATTGAAGCCGTTGCTCAAACTCGTCGTCGTTCTGGCAAATCCCACTCTCGAACTCGTCGAATAAGAGGTATGAAATGCAGATTGTGGTGATATTAGTCTGCGCGTTAGAAAACCATTGCTTTTGCGTTCGCTCGAAGTATTCCTGTGTTGTGTAGTGGACTAATCGAATAATCCCGCTTTCCTCGTCGATTGTAACTAACCCCGCACATACAGAGACCATGTCTTCAATCTGTGGTAGATTCTCTTCATCGAGCTCGGAGTCGCCAACCTCTATAGCAAGGGCATGTTGGAGTTCCAATGTAGTCAACGGTCTCTTTGCACACGTGATCCAGGATAGGACTTGTTTTGCCAGCTCTTTTTGGTCTTGTAGCTGCCCTTCGACACGGTCCATTGCGTTGTTATATGCACAATCATATATGTTTGTTCCCGTAGGTAGCTTCGCAATAGCGGTTCGGATAGCTTTAGCTGATCTCTTTCCAATCAGGGAATCAAGATAGAGCTGTGCAAGGAGGAACCTTTAAACACGTTAGCGCTTATACACGGAGGACACAGGGAACCTACATTCCCTCTACTAATAGCACAATCCCAGTTTTGATCTCCTCTTGTAGGTCTAAGCTACGACTAACGAAGGCTGGGAGTCGAAACATACAGCTATCGAGGTATCGTCGGACATCTTCTTCACTAGCACGAATCTCTAGTGAAATGCTCCCTTCAAACCTCTCCGTAACCTCGGGCAAGAATCTTGAGGTCGCAAAAATGTTTGCTCTTGACTTAGCTTGAGCTAAGAAGATCTCTGTCAAGAGTCTCGTCCGGCAGCCATCAGTCGTTCGACACTCGTCGACTGCGTCGATAATAATAAAGACTTTTGAAAACATTGCAGTTACAGACTGAAACGTTTTCGATATTTCATCAAGTGTTGGTCGGGTTCGTTTGTCTTTGTGTTTTTCATACAGGGCCTTTACACTATCTGGTAAAGAAGACCTCTCCTGGCTCAACTGCTTTAACAGGCTTGCAAGCAAGTCATCGGCCTTCTGCTCGTCTTGCCGCCGGAAGTTGCAATAGAGGTACGCGATGCCAATGTCTACCTCACTCCGGAACCGCATAGTCAAATCATCGATGGTGATCGCAGTAAGGATTGTCTTCCCTGCTCCAGGAATCCCAGGACAAAACAACGTCTTCTTTGGCGATTTCACCCATGTCTGATATTCCTCCGAATCAATAAGCCATTGTCCAGTCCCCGCTTCTCGCCGATTAATGAAATCGCTTTGTTGTGGAGCATAATCGATAGTGGTAAGCCACTCGAGAATGGTCTGCCGCTCTTCACGACACTCTCGGTCATCTTGGCGCTTATTCAAGCGATCCACAGCCACTTTCGTTGCTAGGGAGGTTTGACTAAAGACATTTAGTCGGAATATTTTATATGTAGGAGATGATGCGCAATCACCTGGCAAGTTTTCCCTGGAACGTATTTAACAGAGTGATGTTTGCTATGATACGGCTCCGTAGATCACGTATATCATCCGGTTCCCACTTTAACCTCTTCCATACTCTCTTTATACTTCTGCTGACGCCCTTCGGCCCTGGTTCGAGCTCGTGATACCTGTCAAGTGTAAGTTCTAGCTTCTCGAGTACGTTTCGACAGCCGCTTGCGATCTCGTGGAGCTCTTCCGTCTCTTCATTGTTGAGCTCTCGTTCCGATAAGACTTCGAGGTCTTGAAGAACAATTGAGAGGCTTCTGACTCTATCAAATGAAAATAGGTTAACGCCAGTCAGTGACTAGACTGTATTTCATACTCATCGGAAATGTCCTTGAACTGGCCCGGGGCGTCAATGAATTCCTTCCGGATTCTCTTCGCAAGCTCAATTACTGCAATGAAATCGCCAACGCTAAAACCAAAACTCATCGTGATAGCAAGCACAGCTCTGTTATTAGCACAGGAGAAGGTAGGCTAAAGGAGAGTAGACGTAGAGAAAGCAGAGAGTGAAAGAAGATCGTCTTACGGCTTCGCAAGCACGCCGTCTGCACTCAGCCTCACGAGGCTAGATTGCGCCCGCTTGGCAGACTCGGGCTTCATGCGCTGGCCACGTCGGGCTAGAATAGGAGGCTGAGATCGGCCATTGAGGAGTTAGAAGGGTCACTAACTCTTCAAAATGCTCTTGGCTGGGAGTAGCCCTACAGTAGTCCCGCAAAGATATTGGAGGCACGACCCGCCATGGATCGTGCGCATGCAATGACGCCAACACGTGCAATCGTCTACATTTTGCGGCGACGACCATTCTTGCCGCCAACGCGAGTATCTGGGGTCTTCCAGAGCGTGTACCATGAAGTGTGCCCATTTTACATCCCAGGCGAAAGGGGACCAAGCTGATTTTGCAAATTTGACCGTACAGACACGTAATTCGCCCTCTACTGTATCCTCGCTGAATTTACATTTAAGTCCCAACACATGCGATAACTATCAACAATCCGTCTATAAACACAACCTGAACGCCATTTTTGATTTCCTCCATATTTACTATCCACTCATATAAGCCCTACAACAAGCTCTCATAAGCATCCAATCCCGATTTTTGCGTAGGAGGCTTCGCCTGGCCAGGAGTCCCTAGCGCTGAAGGGAAATTCGACTGCTGTGGAGGCTGCCCAAAAGCCGGCCGTGGAGGCGGCGACGTCACGCTGCTCTGCTGCATCCCGAATGAGCTTGACCCTGGTGGCGGAGGTAGTGAGAATGAAGATTGAGCAGACATGGCTGGTCTTTGCTGGTTTAAGGACATATTTGACATTGAGTTCCCAATATTTCCGAGAGGTGGTAATGGCGCGTTGAAGGATTGGGAATTGGTATTACTACTCCAGGGGTTTGGTGCGGCGGCACCCCAGTTAGCTGCTGTCGGGGTTTGAAACCCAGAAACAGGCTGTGGAGCTGGGTTCGAGTTGTAAGTGTTTGTCTGAGCCTGCAAAGGTGTATTAAAGGACGTCCGAGGTTGCAGTGGTTTGGAAAATTGAGTTGAGGATGGAGAAAGTGCATCAAAGCGGGATAAATCCGGGGTGACGGTTCTCGAAGCAGGTCCAGCTTGCTGTGGTTGAAGAGTTGACATAGAACTTCCAGAGTATGCCAGCGTTGCTGGACTTGGTGTCGACCAAGAGAATGTAGGCGCTTTCGATTGAATCGAGTTGCGCGCGGCTGGCGACGTTGGATTTGCTGGAGCACTGTCCCAGCCAGAATCCAGCGGGTTCGTAGATCCATTCGATGATACATCACCCTTCACGAGTCGCTCGAAGTCCACTTCGCCGGCATCAGAACCGCCATTTATGGGTGGGAATGCATTTGTTGCACCAAATGACATGAAATCGTCAGTCCGAGCAGAATTCGTTCCCTTCACCCCCGACAGTTCTTGAAGTTTCTTCGTTTGTTCTGCCTCAACGCGAGATGACAGGGCTTTAATAAGTTCCATGAAGGACTGGAACTGGGTGAGGTCAAGCAGTGGCCCCAAACTCATGCTCCACAACACGGGTAAGATATCCATAGCAACAAAATCCGCATCGGCTACACCTCCCACCTGTCGTAGAACATTAAGCGAGGCCATCGCAACAGCTGGCTCCTTCGTCTTGATTGCTCTTACGAGAGGGACAATCTTTTCTTGCATAGTGTATTTATCAAGAGCGGTGGAGGAGCTCTTCTTGCTAGCACTTGTATTCATGATACCATCTAGGCCATCATTACTCGCTTCGAGGGTACTTGAACCACCACATAGAATTACAAATGCTTCTAATCCTCGAACCTTGATCGCGAGACTGCTCGTTTTGGTAAATACCGAGGCAATGACGGGGAACAGCTCGTTTTTGATAGTCGAAAAATCCAACACCGGGAGAATCATCGGCAAGGTCCGCAAGGAAGCGTCTACAATGCTATGAGTTGGAGACTCAATCGCCAGGTGTACAATAGGGAGGATTTCTGCCAAGGTTAGCAATTAATGTAAATTCTATAGCAAGTGACGATTTACCATCTTTAAACTCCTTGCCCGAGCAATTGGAGGTAATTTGTTTCATATGCTGCAGCAGTACCATAAGTCCAGCTTCCTTAGCCAAGTCCCGCTCAGCCGGACCTTTGGGATTACTGGGCGTTATGAATATCTCTCTTAACCTTGGCATGATCTTTTCTGTAAATGGCCGCCGGCCAGATGGTAGTAGTTCAATAATCGTGAAAATGTTTTGCAGTATGAGAGAGAGCAACTCGCGGTCTTTCATTTCTTCTAATAACGCAGGAAGGATTTTCTTGTCAAGGACGGATCGGGGGAATGACGGTAGGACTCGGGAAAGTCCGCGCATGAATTGTGCTTTCTCGTTTGGAGATTTCGCCGGCAGAGAGTCTAAAAAGCGGATTGTAGACATTAGGATATTGTCAAAATAATCACTTTGCTGGAACTCTTTTGCAGTCATCCGCTGCGCTGGACGTCTGGTTATAAGCCGGGGAAGTACCGAGGCGGTCAAGTCTCTTGGGATCGGCCGGGAGGATAGAAAGCTGTTGCTAGCTGAAGGAATAGTTGATGAGGATGTGAATATTCGTTTGTAGGTTGATATGCTAGAGTTGGTTTGTAGAGGAGATGTATGTGGGGAGTTGTATAGGGCAATTATTAGAAGACCGAGGGAGAACATATCCGCTGCCACATTTAGATTAGAGTCCAAGACAAAATCCGGTGAGCAGTAGTCAAGATTTATTTGTACAGAATGAGGGAGCCGTGGGTCGATATTCAATATCTCCGAGAGATTTATGGGCTGCACCGAGGTTGGCTTGGTTGAGTTATCAGGAGGACTTGAGAAAGCAAGGCCACTGATCTTCCAATCCGACTGCATACAATTAGTCAAACATCTTTTAGCATTCGGGTGTCTTATCCCACCTTGGTATTCACAAAAATCGCATCTGGAGTCAAGTTCCCATGCACTAGGCCTGCATTATCGTGTAGGAATTCCAGCGCCTTGCTGACTTGCAATAACCCCTTTTGTATTTCCAACTCGTCGATTTCAAGCTCGCGCCTTCGCCGGGACCCTTCCGAATCTTCGGTGACGTATCGACTCGACCGACCGCCCACACCTCCAGATCTTTCTTGGTCATCTTTCTCTTGCAACAACCCGGATAACGATGCAGTCACAGTTTCAGTCGCAAACTGCAGACCTCCATTTCTTGTCTCCTCCACGGGCTCAACAAGCTCTAGAATATTGGGATGTCGAAGTCTAGCAAGGGAAGATGCCTCCTTCTTTAGTCTTTCGACAACTTCATCTATGGCGCGCTTTATCGATGAGGCACTTGATCGACCAAGTGACCCTGAATGGGATTCTAGAGACTTTCGATCGAGGACAAAGATTGACGCCGATTTGCCAGTCGATTTCTTCTTTCCGTCATATATCTTCCATGGCCCTGATGTAGAGATGGGAGCCGAAGAAACGGTGTAATTGGAATTTATGTTCGAGGAGAACGACTTGAGCGCCGAACTGAACATGATTGCATTGCTTCAAAGCTCCACACCGTCATGCCCAATGTGCCTCGTCGATTTATATTTGTGCCTTAGTCATAGGAATTCGAGTTCTCGTGGGCTGTAGATTTCCTAAAATAATGGTGAACAAAGAGATAAATATCGTGTACCAGCTGAGAAAGCGTCCCCTAAGTAAGATACAAAATGATGCGTTGTCTGCGATTGGTGGATGGGGAATCAATTGAGCCTCGTCAGAGAGAAAGGTGTCAGCCACTTGTGATTAGTCAGCAAGGCTCGGTGGTAAGCGGCCAGGGGTCTCCGTTCCGTTATTCGGAGCGCGTACAAATAAACCTCAATCCGGATATCGACGGCGATAGAGCTGACTCTACTTCTCCACACCGCTGTAACTTATAAAAGAGCCCGTCCAAACTCTTGACTTAGCTCGATACCATCCTCGACATTGAATATTTGGTGTCAATTCGTCACAATGCTTCGTCAATTGCGACCTCGAAGCGCGCTCTTCAAGCAGTCCCCGTCGAGGCTGCTAGCTGCTTGGGAATCCCCGAGAGCATATAGCATCAAAGCCGACGCAGCAACCACACAAGATATCGACCCCTCTAAGCTATCTATCACCAAGACGACAACTCCCAAAGACTTGGTTCCTCAAAATGAACTCGTTTTCGGGCGGACGTTCACAGGTACGCATCACTCTCACCCACTCTTAAGACTCATAGCTAACAACTCCCAATAACAGACCACATGCTCAGTCTCGAATGGACAGCAAAAGAAGGATGGCTAGCACCCCGCATAACGCCCTACCAAAACCTCTCTCTCGACCCCGCAAGCTGCGTCTTCCACTACGCATTCGAATGTTTCGAAGGCATGAAGGCATACAAAGACAGCAAAGGGCAAATACGTCTCTTCCGACCCAAAAATAACATGGAGCGCATGAACAAGTCCTCGGCACGCATAGCACTGCCTACATTTGACGGCGCGGCTATGATTCAATTAATTTCTAAGTTCGCTGCACTGGAGGAGCGGTTCATTCCCTCCGAAAAGGGATATTCTCTCTATCTGCGCCCAACAATGATTGGTACGCAAAGAACACTCGGAGTTGGTCCTCCGGGCTCTGCCCTGCTCTACGTGATTGCTTCTCCAGTCGGCCCATACTATCCCACTGGCTTCAAGGCGATATCACTAGAAGCTACGGATTACGCAGTTCGAGCCTGGCCCGGAGGGGTAGGTGATAAGAAGCTGGGCGCTAACTACGCGCCTTGCATCTTGCCGCAATTGGAGGCCGCGAAACGTGGTTTCCACCAGAATCTGTGGTTGTTTGGTGAGGAGGAGTTCATCACCGAGGTGGGCACTATGAATATGTTTGTGGCGATGAAGAACAAGGAGACTGGCCAGAAGGAGCTCCTTACAGCTCCGCTGGATGGTACCATCCTTGAAGGTGTCACTCGGGATTCTGTCTTGTCGCTGGCGCGCGAGAAGCTTGTAAAGGAAGGATGGAATATCGTTGAGCGGAAAGTTACCATGAAGGAGCTAGCTGACGCCGCGGCGGAGGGCCGGTTGTTGGAAGCTTTTGGTGCGGGAACTGCAGCCATTGTTGCCCCGGTGCGGAACATCAGCTGGAAGGGCAAGTTGGTCGATTGTGGGCTGAAACCCGATGAGGAGGCGGGCGAGGTTGCTTTGAAGATGAAGGACTGGATTGAGGCGAGACAATACGGTGACGAGGAGCATGAATGGAGTTATGTTGTTCCGAAATAGATGGATTTGACTGGGCATGGGGTCTTATTTGGATATAATGCCGTGATGATTGTATTATACCATCCTTCGTAAGGTGGCTTGAGTAGCAACCTTATACAGCGGCTCTGCATGGCGAGCTTTTACAAGACCGGAAGGACGGGCTGGGTTCTTGTTATTTAGTTATGACTTAAAATCTTAGCCTCCTAAATCCTTGATACAACCCATGCACATAAGAATGGAGCAAACCCAAACCTCCAATCTTCACACATCACCAGCCAAAGTTATTATCACCATGAACTTCAACGCAGAAAAAAAATCTAATTGCCGTTCTACTGCTATCTCATAAGCAGGCAATCCCAACGCAAAACCAACGCAACAAAGGAAAACAATCCCCATCCCATTTCTCCAGTCTCTCCCTAAACATGGCTCACAAAATCCGCATGTTCGGTTTCATCTCCTCGGCCAACCCGGCAAAATCGCCCTCTCAGTGTATGCGCGCGTGCACTACATCTAAACTCAACAACCCCCTTTCAGCATCATATATACAAACCCCTTCCTTCCACTTCTAGTACCAACCCAGTTCCCCAACATCCAAACCACGCGGGTTTATTTACTCTCAGGCTCCTTCAAGATCCCCTCTACTTCTAACCTCCGACGGGCTTCCTCGAGGGCCCAGGTTTGTATCCTGTTAATGAATTGACAATTAGCACGCAATTCCTCATCTTCGGTGACCATCTCCTCATCCCCGGTATCCATACTCGCTCCCCTCCTATTCCCCACTTCCGGAAAAAGTGAAAAAGTAACTCACGAGGTATCAGGCTTAAAAGCATATGCCACAAATCCCAAGCCTATAGTCCCAAAGAACCCATAGAACCAGATATTCTCCCACCCCTCCTTCTCCACCTTCTCGCCGGGCTTAACGCCAAAGAGCCATCCAGACGGCGGGTCGTACTGATCTGCGTGGTGGTCCGCTGCCCTAGCCAAAGGCGTGCTAGAGAATGATCTTGAAGCTGGACATGAGAGGGCTGAGATGGGGGTGCGTATGGAGGTGGAGAGGAGCCGCGATGTGGTGCTTGTGAGGATGCGCATCTTGTCTTTGTGTGTGTGCGGCGGCGATTGATTGACCCGATGCGATGTGCGTAGGGGGACTCTACGAGAGGAATTGAATCAATTGATGGTGCGTCAGGATCCGGCACCGTCAGAGTTGGTGTTGGTGTTGTTGGCAGCTGCGAGGTAGGTATGACTGGCGGTCGCCGAAATACGGTCTGAGGATGAGGTTGAGGTTAGAGTTCGCCGTTCGCTTGGCTTTTAGCGCGCCAAGACTCGACCCCCTCTATATGTACAGTGGTACCTCCGCGTTCCCGACGACGACTAGGGCGGCTCAAGTTGATCGTATATAGTATATATAACTACATGAAGGTATCATGATACTTAAAATATAGGATGAGGAGCTGTGTCAAGCTTAACCTACTTATTATCTCCTAGAATAGGTTTCATTAGCCCGAAGAAGCCCGGCCGAAGTGAGCGTATAGCTAGCTAGGTAGCTTTGTACCCTACACGTAGTCACATACATCATCAAACCAGCTCACAATACAACGATTTATTATTTCTCACGAGTTCAGTTTGCTCATTTTACTTATTGATATTGATTAGAAAACAGACTCTGCTAGCTCGCAGAAGATATTAGGGCACTGGTATCATGGCGGCCCTCTCCATTTCCATGCCATGACCCGAACGAATGTTTAACATCTTCCTCTCTAAGACTTCTCGCAAGCTGATTTCTATGGCCCCAATTCCTCAACTCCAGCGAAGTCCACTTGTCCCGAAAGATAAATCTATCCCTCCGCCGCGGGGCAAAATGGTATTATGCATAAAAGCGCTCCGCCATAGACAATACAAATAATAGAAAGAGATGAACGCCGTTTGCTTTTTTATTTTCTCTTGGAAAGACATAGGAAAGGACCTGAAACGCCCGATGGTTGGCGCCGAGTCATAGCGACGCGACGATAACAGATATTTACAAAAAAGAAGCGAGATGTAGTGTACACTATCAACATATTCGGATAGAAGGTGAGCGAACGTTCCTAGCAAGGTGGTTATTATGAAGTTGATTTTCCGCTTGGTTGAGGTGGCGACTGAGGTGGGCTAGAACCTGAAGTCGTGGCAGGAGTAACATCCTCCACTTGACTTGGTGGCACACTAAGTCCCCGAGGATCTTCTGTGATAATCGGATCTTGAGGGTTTGTACCAGGATGGGTCTCGACATCATCTCTGGATTCCAACTCCGCACGGGCATTATGGCGCGAGAATCCAATAGAATCCCCATCGCTGTAGTTACGCTCAATGGGAGACCATCCAGCAACACTGCCGGCAATAATACCTGCCATGACGGTCGTGGCTCCCAATGCTGAGTTAGAACGAGATCGGTTGGTCCGGCCACGTTTTCGGGACTCGGGAGTAGGGGGTGGGTTGCCAAGCTCATCTTCACGTTGAGGTTCGTTATTTGGGGTATGAGGAATCGAGTTGCTTCGAGAACGAGAACCGCTCCTGGAACGTGGCAGGATATGATCGCGGGTCTGTTCGATTGCGAACTTGAGATTATTCAAACGACCACCTTTGACCTTCTTGAGGAAGCTTAGTTCTTCTTTGACATCGGCTAAAGGTTTGGGGAAACGGAATTGCTCCTCCTCGTCGGATATGGTCAGTTCCGGGCCCTTTGGCCTATTCTTGATATAGTCCGGAATCAGCCTTAGGATTAATTCATCGGGAACAAGGCGGATGACAGCACCAACGGGGATAGAAAGGAACCCGAGGACGACGGAGTAGGCCCATTGAGCAGCATTCAGCTGCACAACGTTGAATGCTTTGCCACCAACGAAGATGATCATGACCTGTCCTCCAACCATGACAACATTTATACCAATAAAGAACCAATTTCGTGTAATGCCCTCAAAGATGTTGAATTTGTTATCAAGACGACGATTGCTAGGTGCTTGTTAGCAACGTTAGAGATCATACAGCGAGGGATACACTTACTTCCATTGGTTGAAAATTTGCATCCACACAAAGGTGTTGAAGACAAGGGTTGGCACCTGGTTCAGCTCCCGAGGAGATGTATAGGAGAGAATCGATTTCGCACCAAAGTGAAGAAGAAGGGTGATGGCGAGCTGATAAATTGCTTCTCCAATAATCATCTTCCACATTGTAATGCTAATGAGAGGGGCTGATTTGGGGTCTGGTTTCCGGTCCAAGATACTTGGCATTGGAGGATCCGTAGCCAGTGCAAGTGCAGCCATAGTATCCATAATAAGATTGACCCAAAGCAGTTGGACAGCTGTCAAGACAGATTGTTCAGATCCGCTAGCAACTGCGGTAATGAAGGTAAGCAGAACCGCGGTAATATTGACCGTGACTTGAAACTGCAAAAACTTCTTCACAGCGTCATTAACCGCTCGCCCCCACATCATAGCCTTTACGATAGAGTTGAAGTTGTCGTCCATGAGGATAATGGCCGAAGCCTCCTTAGCAACCTCCGTACCAGCGATACCCATAGAGAATCCAACATCGGCAGTCTTGAGAGCGGGTGCATCATTAGTTCCGTCACCGGTAACAGCAACGGTCTCCCCAAGCTCCTTGAGGCGCTTGACAAGGATACGCTTATCTTCCGGGCTAGAGCGGGCAAGGACCTGGAGGCGTGGAATGATTTGATCCATCTTTGCGGCGCTCAGCTTGCGGAACGCAGGGCCTTCCATAACAACACCACCGGCGGTATAGATCCCACACTCGGTTGCAATAGCCTTCGCGGTGATTAAGTTATCTCCAGTAACCATGCGGACAACTACGCCAGCATTCTGGCATGTCTTCACGGCTTCGGAAACACCCTGGCGCAGAGGGTCTTGGATACCCACAATGCCCAAAAGCACCATGTTCTTGAAAACATCTTCAAAGACAACCTCGGTTCGTTCACCTTCGACAGTGCGGGCCCCCTTCGCCGGCCATCTATCGAAGTCGCGATATACCATGGCAATTGTTCGGAGGGAGCGAGAGGCGTAGTTATCAATTAAGCTAAGTAACGTTTGGCGATTGTCCGGTGTCATTGTAGAACTGGCAGGTTCCTTGGTGGGATCCCGGATGACGCTTGAACACTTCTCGAGAAGGATTTCTGATGCTCCCTTGACGTAGAGTCGATATTTATTCTTGTCCAGGCGTACAACAACTCCCATACACTTGCGGCCTGAATCGAAAGGAATGAGTTGTACAATGTTTCCATTCGATCGTTCTTCATCAACGGGCCCCATGCCGAGGAGCTCTTTCGAAAACTCGAGAAGCGCAGTCTCTGTCTTGGATCCGATGAATGTATGAACTCCGTCAACATCCCCCTCGAAGGCGGTAGAGTTGATGGCGATGGATTGCAATAGCATCATCTTGACCCCAGGGTGTAGGGCAGCGACGACTTCTTGAGCCGGGACATTCTCAACCACTGTATTCTGTGTCTGTTTGCCTTTCCCATTTGTAGAGTCCGCATCGGAGGTGTCCACGGTTCCGCCGAAGCGTGAAGTCGTGCCCAGTGTTCCGGCAACAACAGTCATCTTATTTTCGGTCAAGGTTCCAGTCTTATCAGAGCAGATGGTGGTCGCATTACCCATAACCTCGCAAGCTTTGAGATGCCGCACGAGATTGTTATCCTTCAACATCCTTGTTGTGGCAAACGCCAGTGCCAGTGTAACAGCCAGGGGTAAGCCCTCAGGGACAGCGACGACAATGATGGTAACAGTGACGATGAATATGTTGAGAAAAGATTGCCCTTTTTCAGTAGGTGTAGAGTGATTATGAGGCAAGCGGACAAGAAATTCGATGAAGAGAACAATAAAAAGGAGGCCACCCGCGGCAGCGCCCAATTTAGCGATATAAGTTGCTAGACGATTCAATTTAGATTGTAGAGGAGTAACTTCTGGGTCTTCTCGTAGAGACATCAGTGTCTTTCCGTAGCTCGAATTGACGCCGGTGGCCGTAACCACAAATGTACCAACTCCCTCAGTGACTTGGGCGCCGGAGAGAATAAATGGATCGAGTTTCCGGAGGTTATCATGGTTTTCGATGGCCGAGTAAACCGCATGGGCTGGGGTTTTTCGGATCAGATCAGATTCTCCGGTTGTTTGAGATTCATCGCATTTGATATTGTGGCCATCGATAAATATCCCGTCCACGGGTATCATATCTCCTGGTGTCAAGGTCATTACGTCTCCGACTAAGATATCAAAAACGGATATCTCCCGAGTTGTGCCCGATCGGATAACATTGACGTCTCGATCCTGTTTCTTCTTGTTCAATTTCACAAACTGCCGCTCCTTCTGGTAGTCGTTCAGAGAGCCGACAATTACCACAATCAAGATAGCCACGATAATCGCAACTCCTTCAACCCACTCGATTGGTGGATGCTCGGCATCATGCGCAGTTCCAAACGTCTGGTATAAACCAATGGCCAATGAAATCACTGCGGCGATAGAAAGTAGCATCAGCACCTTGTCGTTGTAGGTAATCCACATGAGCTGCAGTAAACTCTTGCCCTTCTTGACCGGGAGTCGATTATCACTGTAGATACGTTTTCGATCGAAGAATGCCTCATCGGATGCCGGCGATCGTCTGCGCGCCGAGGTATGCGAATCTTTCGATTCTATCCGTGCTAGAGGTGACTTCGAGTCGTCATTGCCAGTCGCTGCCGCCTGCTGAGCGGCAGCTGTTGCTTCTTCGAAAGTGACGACCCCATCTAGGTCTCCCTCATCCATGCTCAACCCAGCTTTCAGATTCGTTCGTAATCCCTTTTCTAGTCCAAGCGGCCCGCCCAGCGCGTAGAAGGCCGATAAACTCTTGGGGTTTATTAACTTGTTCAGCTGCCCCTGGGAAAAGGCAAAGCTGTTGTCCACCGGCTGGAAATCCTCTTCGGTCCCGGGGTCGGGGGTTAACGCGTCCGGATCATTCGTAACATCATTGTTCCCTAGAGCATTCTTAGCTCTATCCTTATCCGCCTGGGAGCTATTCGCCAGCGTGTCTCCGCTATAATTCGTGTTCGCATGGTTTCCATCGTCGGACTCAATTGAGTTTTGTCGTGATCTCAACCCGGGTACCGCCAAAAACCCAGTTGCTTTATCGCCGCCTCTCGACGCTGGCGACGAGACATGGTGCGGTGAAGTCGGCCGGCTGTCCCGGTCCCTGCTCTCAAAAGAGTTCGACGCTCGAAGTTCTGGTATAGATATCCGGCTTGCCTGGCTGGCGTGACTGGAGTGGCTGGCCTGACGTGGGAAATTGTTGGGTGGGTTTACCGGTCCCTCATTCATTGGAGGACTCGCCTCCTCGACCTGGATGGCCGTCGGCGAGCTTGATAGGTGTTGCAAAGCAACGGCATCGCTTTCCATATCTTGCGGCAAATTTGGGTTATTGACCGCCGAAGTATCGATCGTAATTGTAGGTCTGCTCAGCAAGGGGTTAGCGCGTCGTCGAGCCAAAATACACGAGCAGGCTGTCTGATATCTATATACCGGGGGGGACAACGTACGCTCTTTGTCTTCGGCCACCGGGACTTGGTGACGGTGATGGCGATGGCGATTCGCCTTCAGGAGCTGTCATGATGGATTGTAGAGGCGCCGACACCTGATGGAGTACGTTTCCTTCACTTCACAGCCCGAGGCGCAGAGCCTTGGCGAATGTCTGGGAGATTTGAGTCGCACTTTGTCGGCGGCATCTGCGAGAGGCTATGTTGCAGTCAGAAAGGCAGACACAGGAGAGATTATCGATCTCGGCCGGGCTGATCCAGAGTATGTATAATAAGCTTAGATGCTCTGGCTCTGGCTCTGGCTCTGGGAATGTCTGGGGGTTCCTGGACGGACTTGGCTCTTGGGCGTGGGAGCTGCTGAGCCAAGCAGCAACACTTCTTTGTGGAGCACCTCCGTCCAGCACAACCTCGCCGGCACAAAGGCTCTTGGCAGATTCACTCCGTGAACAAATTCCACGGGGAGTGTTACAGAAAACTAGGAGATGACAAGCTTACCTCTGTGCTTCGTAACTTTGGCAGGTCCACGATGGAACAGCGCGCAGGCTGAGGAAGGTCGAAGGATGGTTCTCAGGTCTCTCGATCGCAGGCCTCTCTTTCTCCGGCGCCCATTAAACGAACACGAACCCGCTTTGGGCGTTGGTCGAGGACCAGAATTCAATTACCCGGGTCTTGGTAGTGGACTTGAGGGCAGGAGCAGGAGGCGCCGAGCGCAACAGCGTTTGGGTGGTTGAGACGGGGGGGGAGCGTGGCAAGAGAGGAATTATGGGCATTGATTGAGTGAGCGCATCGGCATCCGCAACAGCACGGGCATCGACAGGTTGGAACTAGGAAGAACGAGGTGAATTGAACCTGAGCTCGTGGTGTTTCTAGCGTAGCGTTGCGTTTGCGTTGCTTTGTGTTCAGGGCGTCGAGGAGACCAACATGGGCCTCTGGAAGCAGTGGAATGCCCAGCGTCGGGGGGCAACGCGCCAAGGGCAGCGCCGCGCCAATTAGCAGCGGCGGCAACCCAGGGATTGGGGCGGAATGGAGTCGGTGGCCAGCGGCTTAGCGTCGACAACGAGGCTGTGTAGACGATACTGGAGATTGAACGTTGGAGCGACGCAGAAAGGGGGAGGAGAAAGGGCAAGAAGAGGGCCGGTATTGGCTCATTCTTTGCTATCTGGCTGTTATGACTGACTACTGTACGTACATGTATGTACATGACATTACATCCAGCTTGTATACGCCTACGCTACTCCGCGGCTACTGCTCTATGCGGTAGGTAATTTGGCAAACAACAGCTGAGTGAGTGAGTATGGGTATGAGTACTGAGACTCTCTCTTAATCTTGATCTTGATCTTGAACTTGAACATCGAAACTCCCTGACGCTCCTAACGTGCACGCTCCAGAAGTCTGGGGTTCCGCAGTTCTTAGTACTATAGGTCTTATTGCCCTTACGGCGCATATACAGGCCAAGCGCCTGTTTGATTGTTTCTGTTTGCTTGTTATGATTATGATTCGGAGATGTCTATCGCGCCTGCCTTCTCCAGCGACTGTCTATCTTGCCAACTTCCCTTCCGACAAACAGCGTCTCTTGGCTGTCAGCCAACGCTTACCACACATGCTCCTTACGGCTCCCTACGGCTCCAGCTTATTCCCAGCAGCTTCCCGGGGAATCCCCATGACGATCAAAGTTTATTTATTCTGATGGCTATAGACTACCTCGGGATACCTACTACTCGCTGCTTCCTTCTGGCCTCTGACATGTATGGTGATGATACAATGGTGGCGAAGTTGAACATCCCTCCTGGCTGCCAAGTGCAATATACAAGATACGATATACAATATACACGATACCAGTTACAGGACACCAGCCAGCTCCAGCATTCTAGCACCGCCAAAACCATAGGACTAAGGTACCTTAGCCAGCGCTACCCGGCTGCACGACCAGCTGTCTCGTCGAACTTGAAGCCGTCGAAAGCTCGATTATTGATGCCCGAAGCACCCGATCCAATGATCAACTCCGCAACAACTCATCAATACTCATCGGACGTTACTTCATGAATCCGCCACCTACTGTCCACCTACGAAGTACTGTCCACCTGCTGTACACCCACGTCATACACCGCAATAATCGCACACAGCGGTGAACACCAGTGACACCACAATGCAGTAATCAGCACGCTGAAACCTTCGATTAATAGAACGTTAATGTTTGAAGATTCAAGCCAATGAGAGCAGGTCGCATTGCTGCTTCGTATGTCCAGTAAGCACTTTAGCAGTTTAGGTGCCTACTACCTGTCGACCTAGTCCATGCCGATCACAATCACAATCCACTAAAGCCTAGAACGCCATGTTCCGTTGCTAGCGATGATGATCGCGAGGCTGAGCGCCCGAGACTCCAAGAATTTTTCACCTCTTGGAAATGTAATGCAGATGGAGCACTACGTATCACACAAGTTCCAGAATGCAATAAGTTCAATACAGGATTTTGGTCAGTATCATTGGCTTCAATATTAGCATCGGTACATGTAATGTATCAACATCCCAGTTTCTCCTCGTGGCAATTCCTTATCTCTATTACTCTGAACTAGATTCCCACAGAACAAATATGTCGGTCTCCGAGCAACACTGCCCCCCTTGGCGCGCGAATTGTAATACCCTGGATATCTTGCCAATGTCATATCTAACCCGGGCGTGTACATTCTCTGACCGTAATACTGCAGAGCAAGCACGATAAACCAGCGACAGCCAAGAGGAAAACATCCAATTTCTCCCTCCTGGGCGTCATCTAACCACCTGCTTCAAATTCCCGAAACCGCCGAGACATATTGCATGCGACGGACGCTAAGTTTTACAGTTGACGATTGCGACTTTCAGGCTCTAAAGCCTAAACATTGCTCACAGCCTTGGCTGGCACGAACCAAACAACCTGGAATATCGTAGCGCCATGCGACAGATCAGATACGCGAGTAAGAGCCGTGTGTGTTGGTTATTAACTTCCATGACCTGCCTTACCTAGGTAGGTGGCCTACAACTATGGTGGTGCCATGGACCGAGGTGGTGTGTGGATTCTGGCAATGCAGATTGTGGCAAAAAGGCAGATCGGCCGGCGTCTCGCCTGGCCTCTTCTCGCCTCGCCTGATCTTTTTTGTGTGAAGAAAGGGGTTCGCTCCCGAATGAACCCATTTCGTTGGAAGCTCGTGGCGACCAAAGGGGGCTGAGTATATGTTATTGCGCGTCAAGCACCTCTTGGAAGTCGAGGTTTGTGTATCCCGTACCGCTTCATAATTTCCGTATAGGGCAGCTCGATGGGATTTCGATCGCTTTCCCATTTCGCCTTGTGAGAGTGGACCGTGACGAGTTGTGGTTCAGGTTAGTTAAGGAGGCTGAGTCCAACTGACTCGAACTTTGTTTTACCGGTGTCAACCTCTCCCTCATCTGTATCAAATCCCCATAAGCCGAGCCTTAACATATGAATCACTCTGTATCCCCGCATATTCTTATCTGCCTCAGATCAACCGCTGACAATTGTATGACAATGTATGACAAGAAGGGGGGAATGCATCTCTGAGGCTGCTCAGCCTTCTTGTTGACGACGATTCGTGACACGGAAACGAATGCAGAGCCGTTCCATTAATGCCAATAAGGCAAGTGTCAAGAGATGCCTCACGATTCTACAGTTTTTACCTCTGATCTCACAAGTACGATACACCGGTGATACGAGTACGCTGCTTATGGGTTTGATGCCGGTGGGCGCAGTCATTGCATGCCGAAATGCCTTTGCACGGGGTGAGTGAAGCAAAAACGCATCTCAATTTTGTCCTGGATAATCCACCTAGCCCAGATTCCCCTTTGAACGGTAGCTCAGCACTCTCCCATTCTCCATCTTCCCATTTTCCATTTTCCATTTGGTCGCTTTTATTCTTTTATTTTGTTTCTCTTCTATCAGACCCAAGCCTAAAATCGATATCAAAGCCCCGGGTACCTAGGTATCTTATAATAGTCCAGCTCCGATTCTTGCAGCTACCATAGTAATCGAATACAGTGTAGGTAGCAGCTTTAGCAAGATACCCTACTGTCTTAGGAGTTTTCAAGTCGCACTAATCACTCTTCTTTTTATCAACTTTAGTTACCCTCTTGTACTATATTTATACCATCTTGGACCAGATCGCGAGAAACCACCACCGTACACCATGCGAACAATTCCCGTAAATATGAAGATACCAGAAGAGAGGCAGAAACGGCGGTGTCGAAAATTCGAAATGCCATATGATATTGCCTAGGTCACCAGTGGAGTTTCCTACAAACTGCAAAATCCACAGACATCCCAGGGGGAGTAGTACAACAGCAGAGAAACACCTCTGCAGCACTAATGGATATCCCCATACTCCCCACTCACGGAACTCCGTAAATCCAACCCACGGACATTGACGATATCGCCAGGTAGGAGGGGACCAACATACCTAGGTGCAGTACTTTCCCTAGCTATTTATCCTCTCTTTATCTTCAATGACAACTGTTTGGTCATAAATTTATACTTTGGAAGGGCTCTGCGGTAAAAGAAGAAAAATTCGAGATGTCTAGAAAACGGGAAGAGTTCTGTTTGCATATGAAAGTATTTTCAGTAAAAGTAGTAGTGTTTTGCGCGCTGGGCTGGGCTATGCTATGTGGCCGCGCGGATATGCCCACTCGTCCCCCACTGAATCGATGGTCCGACCAGCCTAAGCCCCATGTAACGTAGGCCACCGTTAGATCCCCAATTTTGTATTGCATCATCCACTTTGCTGAAAACCGGCCTTTGAAGCTAAGATGTTCCTAGATAATGGCTCCTTTTTTGTCCGGGGAAATGATTGTGGAGCTAATGAAGGTAATAAAGGTGGAATACGTAGGCATATGCGAAGCGATGAAGAAAGAAATGAAGGACCGGATTAAAGCGGGGTCACTGCAAGGTCCGTGAGGGTAAAAAGGCAAAAGTCCCAAAAGGTAGATAGATAAGGTATCTGTACAAGTATTCCGTGTATTAAATCTATGACAGAAGGAATGGGGAATGGGGAGGCCCGAATATCTCACTTTCTATCTAAGTATAGTTGATCACCTGGCTACTAAATGGCAAGATAGTCTATAAGTCTTAGTTGATGTCACGATATGCGCATTGCTACTTTCATTTCCATAAAAACCCCATCTCGCTAACTGATCAAACCGGATGACTGGGAATATCGATCTATCTAGTGTACGCTAGTCTTGCAAAGAAAGAAAAGAGGTGCACACATCGTTTGAAACCGCAATGTAATGCTAGTAAAGAGAAACCTGGCAAGCCGAACTACCTAAACTCAAGGAGAGAACGTTGATACATAATATAGACGGTAGACAAGAAGCTCCTGAGAAATCAAAGGTACAAATTTACCCATGTCTTACCTGCCATGATGCGCTCGCTAGAACGCCAACAAAATGACACGAGAAGCTTTATCCACCGCCTGTGGCACTAAGCATAGAGCCACTGCGCTCCATTTTGACAAAAATGAAAAAGTATGTAGAAGTATGGATTTACTCCTTGATCGTGAAAACATGACGGCTGGGAAATCCTTCTTGTAGCGTGACCTCCACTTTCTGATCCTCAGGAATCATAGGGTGTTGCAGATCCCATCCAGCGCGGCGGCAGAGCTCTGCAACTACCACATCGCAATCTCCAAGCATGTCGACATCAAAGTTGACGTGTGAGACTGGTGTACGCGAGATGTACATTTGCGGGATGTTGGACGGAAGGTATGGTACAACTTCTGAGACAGGCGCAACCTTCAAAGAGGTGCCAATAACAATGACGAGGTCCACTTTGTCCTTGTCATGATTTGTGAGGCGGTCTGAGAAGCGGTCAGGAAGCGGCTCGCCAAAGAAGGTGATATCTGGCTTCATAACTCCCACAGCAGGGATGTCATAGTCCTCTTCCTCAGATGAATCTGAATCTACATCTCGACGGCGGCGTTTCTTGTCCTGACCATTTGCAGACCGCTTGCGCTTCATAGCAGCCGGTGCTCGGAGCTTACGTAGGTTTTCAATACACCGATCGCATCGAGGTATACGGCCCGCTCTAATGTCAGGGAAGATCTTCTCTCCTGGCACCTGGTGCTTGCACTCAATACATGAAGCAGTGGCGAAGGAACCGTGGCATTGGATGAGCTTCTCTGGAAGGATACCGACAGTTGCCTCGATATTGTCGATGTTCTGAGAGTAGTTGGTGAGCAGCTTCCCTTTTTGCTGTAGGAGATGGATGAAAGCGTGAGTAGGGGTGAAGCGATCGCCCGAAGGGAGAATGTCGCGAGCAACAGTGTAGAAGTAGTTAGGGTCCTCTCGGAAAACATGTATGTCAAATACTTCTTGAGGATCACTGAGGCCAAGATGCTGTAGCTTGGAGTAAAGACCGGTATCCTTGGATCTGAAATCTGGGATGCCAAGGGAGGTGGAAATGCCAGCGCCGGTGAGAACGATGATATTGCGCGACTTTTTGATGAGCTCCACGGCATCATCGATGGTGTTGTACAGTGGAATCTTGATCCGCTTGGATAGCTCTCGGCTTATGCCAAGACTGAGAAGTCCATAGTAGGCGTCGTCTGGCGAATCATCTAAGAAAGCTGGTGGACGAATATTAAAGGCAGTGAGCAGCTTCTTTGCGGTAATAGTACCAGCCTCTACGGTTCTTTTGCAGAACTCCTCAGGCCCCAAATCGCGTAGTTGTCTTCGAAACGCGACTGCTTCCGCGTAAGTGCAGACCTCGGGACCTATAAAGTCAGTCAATGCTTAGCGAGTCAAAGAGGCAACGAGTTGAGTTGCAGTTTCAGTTTCAGAATGCTCACCACTTTCAAAGAGCTGTTGATCGTCCATCTCACCCAGCGTGTCTTCAAAGATCGACTCAATCTCCCATTCCTCATTTTCGTCGTCGTCGCCGCCAGTGCCAGAGTCGCTGTTGGCATCACCTGACTCGTCCTCCGAGCCATCAACCCCGTTGACGCCGTTAACACGTGGAACTCCGGCCAGCGCCTCGCCAATCTCTGATTCCTCTGGGGACGACGATAGATCGATCACCTTGAAAGAGGCCTCCTTGATAGAAGCCCGCGCATGGGTAGCGCCCTCTGGAGTGAGATCCATGCCAATTGTGGAGAGCGGACCCATGGAGGAAGACACTCCCACCGTGCGGAGGGAAAAGCGAAAGGAAAGGAGAGTTTAAGTTTAAGAACGCAATTGAGAATAGTGAACAAATTACACAATTATCCTTTGCCACAACAGGACCTGGCATGTCTGGCTCGCTAGGGGCTCTTTCTGCACGCCTATTGGTGGATGAAGCGAGCGATAGCACGGTAATGCCAGAAGGGGAAAGGCGCACCTTTAAATATACAGCCACTAGCCCCTGATCTGCTAGCGCCTAAAAGCCAACCTAGAGCTTTCTGCTTGCAGATCATCTAAGCTGCATTACCTACCTAACGAAGGACACAATGGAATCCGACGTCGAGTACTTCATAACCCATTATTAGGTTTGAGGGGATGCTGGTGATGGTTCCTCGTCAAGTGACGTATTGCTCTCCGTGGTCCAGAAAAACATGAAGTATTCCAGCCTATTGCAACGACAACAGCAAAAGCAATTGGATGCTAGGATCAAAAGCAATAGCTATGGCAAATCCGTCCCCGAAGGACGGCGCCGACGTGGGTGGTGAAGCACAATCCCAAGCTTTCCCGTTCCCAACCTCCAGCCTAGGACCATCCTCGGGGGCTTCAAATGCCGTTGACACTGGGTCTAAGTCCGGAGTGCATCTTCGCCGACTCTCCCGGACTGCTCGCGAGAAGGCAAAGCACATCCGCCTTCCAGCTTCGACTCCCAAAAGGAAAACATTAAACCCGGGCATTTACACCGGCTCCTACACTCGCAGTCCTCGGTCAAAATCAAGATCAGCGCGAGGGACCCCGGCGAGTTCTATCCATGCGTCTCCCAGAGTAAGCATGAGCCATGACCATTTGAACGGACTCCTGCAGGACCTCAATCTGGAGCTCCAGACTTACGAGGTCGAGGAACTCCGAGATGGATTCTTCGATGCTTCCTTTACAAAACCTCCCAAGGTGGATCACGAGAGCCTTCTGAGAGATGCAATGTTCACTCTGCCTTTAGCATTCAACGAGAAAAGCCCGCTATCGTCCAAGCACTTTCTGCCTAAGCAATGGCAAGGAATTAAGGGAGTGGTTCGAGCGGTAACCACCACTAGATCGGGCATTCAGTTGACGAAATCGTTCCTAGCTTTCTTCATCGCTTATATTTTATGTCTTATTCCAGCCGTTGGAGTCTGGATGGGGCCATCCTGCTATATTATGGTGGTTTCTACGATAATCAACCATTCTGGAAGGACAGTGGGAGCCCAGATAGACGGCACCTTTCTTACCATTCTTGGATCAGCCACCGGCTTGGGATGGGGAGCCTTCGCACTTTGGCTTTCCGATTCTACATCTGTTGCAAGGAGGGGCTATGGTGGAATCCTTGCGGCATTTCTTGTCGTTTTCATGGGCACTATTGCAGTTCTCCGCTCATACTACATCAGAATGTACCAATCAATACTTTCTGCAGGAATTGCTGTCATATATACCTGCCTTTCTGGTTCTGCCCACCATCCTAATTGGCAGACGCTATTCAACTATGGTATTCCTTGGCTTTTTGGTCAGGCTATTTGTCTTCTGGTCTGTTGTGGGGTCTTTCCAGATGCTGGGGCGCGGCCTCTCGCGGTAAGACTTCACAACGCTTTTAAGACCATGCAAGATGGCCTAGTCCTGCCTCACTGGAACAGAGTTGGCCTGCACCGGCAGCTCGCGTGGACCTTTGTCAGCCTATCGCAAGCCTATCGAGATCTTGCGTTGGATATAAGTTGCACCCGCTTCCAGCCATCAGATATCTTATCATTACGAAATTGTATGCAGGCCGTGATCCGATCTCTGCTTTCTTTGAAGATGGAATCCGCTCTTTTCGATTACTATGAAGAAACTTGGCCCGAAAATGGTGGGCACGAAAGTTCCCAAAGCCCCATTTCGGGACGACACCTTTCTCCTAGCGAAGAGAGCAAGTCTCTACCGGATGGTATTTCCGAGAAGACCGCTACACCCCAAAGGGAAGTAGTCATCGACATCGATACAATTTCAAATGCTCACTCGGCGCCTCATACAAATACGGGAGAACGCACTGCCAGATTAGTGGTTTACAAACTTTCTGATCCCACTTTAACCCTACTTTCATGTATGAGGAGCTCATTGGCGGCATGCGACGCAGTGTTGATGGACATGTCGGGATATCGTAAATATTTGGGTCCCCCCAAGGCAGTGTCATCTGATATAGTCGGCATCTTGACCAAGTTACGAAAAGCGAGGATTAAATGTGGCGAGGCGGAAGATTCCTTGATGAATGATCCAGCACTCCCCCCAACATACTCTGATCATCCAGAAGTGGTCGAACTTTTCCTCTTCGTCCATCCGATTAGGCAGGCTGCAGCCACTGTGGAAGCTCTGTTGATCAAAGTCATGGGATTACAACAACGGAACCGAGGTTGGCGGATATACCTGCCATCCTATAAGTTTAGCAAGGGCATGCAACGGACCAATGCTCAAGTACGGCATGACCGTGGTGGTCTCACCGCTGGATTTTACTTTCGGAGCCAAGCAAAACTAGCAGAAACAATGAGGGGAATGGCAAATGTTTATAAGCCTTCACCTCGTGGGCGGGAATCTTATATGAAACAGGATTCACATTCAACTGACGCCACAACAATTGAGCCACCTACAAAATTCGGCGAGGATACTGCCATAAACAGCAAGTCGCGTTCAAAAAAACGGCGACTACGGTACAAATTATGGTTGGTGTTACACGGCCTGCAGGGCTTTGAGACAAAATTTGCTCTCAAAGTTGTGATTGCAACATCCCTTTTATCAATCCCAGCATGGCTAGATCACAGTAGAGGCTGGTGGAATGAGTATGATTGCTGGTGGGCAGTAGCAACTGTCTGGATCATGTCCCATCCGCGAGTCGGCGGGAACTTTCAAGATTTGATAACACGCGCCTTTTGCGCTGCGTTGGGAGCTATGTGGGGAGGCTTAGCATACGGTGCCGGGGGCGGCAATCCGTATGTGATGGCTGTTTTTGCAGCTATTTACATGATTCCAATGATTTACAGGTTCACTCAGAGTTCACACCCTCGCTCGGGGCTTTTAGGCTGCGTATCGTTTATAGTAGTTTCCCTCGGTGTCAAAACTACTGATGGCCTACCTTCGGTCGCAAAAAGCTCAGGAATACGAGGCATGGCACTTGTGATTGGCGTTGTAGCGGCAGTGGTGGTGAACTGGGTGCTGTGGCCATTTGTCGCCCGGCATGAGCTTCGGAACGCGCTATCATCCATGATGATCTACTCTAGTATCATATATCGAGGGGTTGTGTCAAAATACGTTTATTATGGGAAAGGAGAAGAACCCAAGAAGGAAGATGTCGAGGCCTCAGGTCAGTGATAATGTCCAAAATAAGCCAGTATCTGTGCAAGATTTGGAAATGGCCTGATCTTCCAAACTTTGGATAACCCCATTTCTGATCTTTATGGTTTCCCTTTACTAACACGGTCCTCAGAAATTCTTGAAGGTCGTCTCCGCGAAGGCTTCGTCCGAATCCGCCAGATACTAGTACGTACTCACCTCACTAACACTAACTTTTCCAGCGGTGTCCAGTAAGTGTCTAACATATCGATCCAGGCCCTCACACGCCACGAAATACGTCTTCGCGGCCCCTTCGACCCACTTCCCTACTCAGGTCTTATTGATGCTTGTGAGAGCTTCTTCGAGTACTTGGTCTCGGTCCGGCAATCCTCCCTCTTTTTCCACCCACATTATATGTCCTACAATAGTTACGCAGCGACGACGTTGCTAACCTACCGCCGTGACGCCGTCGCTGTTATCCTCATGAATTTATACGTTCTTGCTGGTGCACTGAAAGACAATCGGCCAGTTCCGGTATGTATTTCATACTTTTTGCAAACCCTCGTCCCTCCCTCCTACTATTTTCCAACCCGGCCCTTGCCCACCAAGCCTGAACGAATCCAATTCCAACGTACTGATACTACCACAAGCGCTACCTCCCTAGTGCCGCCCTAGCACGCAAACGCCTCCTGGATAAGATGGCTGAAGTTGAAGCTGCCATCGCGGAGGCGCGCGAACTCGAAAGGATCGAATCTGGAGGGAGCATGGCAGACGGCCAGAAATGGAGCCAAATATACGCTTATTCGTACAGCCAGAGCTTGACTGGATGCGTGAAACAATTAGAGCAGTTGATCCTATTTACTAAGGAGATTGTTGGCGAGCAAGCGTGAGTCCTTTTAACTCCTGTCCCTGTCTTCATCCTAGCTCTTACTTTCAGCTTTAAGCGAGGTTGATGTTTTTGTGTTGCAAATTTGTGAGCTGGGAGTAACTTACTAATTTTAATAGTTTCAACGTAAATGGCAGCTAGGGCTGCGAGGTAGAAGGCTATAGATGGATATAAACGGAAGCCTGATCATCTTGTATACGTTCCCACAACACACACAATTATTTATATTGTCATATGATACGTCTCTCTACATTTCCCCCATATTGCTGTTTCGGAAATGGCAGTCATAGCTCTATACCCAACGAGGCATGTCTGATATCTGTACTTAAATATTGCATAGCAAGTATATATAAACATATTGAAAACAGAAGAAATCAAACATCACATATAAGTTGATTCCTCTTACTACTCGAGAAAACACAAAAACAAAATCCGTCTATTGACATTTAAGTATCTATTTTGACTTGTCACTTGCTAAAGGTAACTATTATACCCTGTTCACACCTGTGTGCAATATTAATTAGAAACAAACTTTAACCCTTCTCACCTCGTCAACCCACCTTGTCACCTCACTATTTCATCCCTCCCAGAGACCTATGCCCCGTGTAGTAGTGACTGTAACACTAACCTCGGAATTGGCCATTCATCTATCTAACCTTTCCACTCCCTCATTGTCAGCTTTCTGAAGGCTGTCAAGTTCAAGTCCATTGTCAGGTTGACAATGGACTCTGGGCTGACTTCCGATTTTATAAGTTTAATTCAAGACAGATCTTTTAAGAATGTACAAATCCCTGTGCTTGGCTGCTTTTCCTTGCCCTTCCTTTCCTGCCTTTGAAGTTCCCCGTCCGAGTCCGAGTCGGCTGGGGAGGACCTCTGGGCCCTGGCTGATCGCGGCGCGGTTGCTCTGGTCGGCAGGAGATCGGGCTTCGAATACAGTTTGATCAGGCCCGGCATCTAGGTCTTGATTTTTCCCGATCATCACTTTTCAAAATCTTCAGCAAGGCAAGCTTTAGGATCGAAGCAAAAGCCAAAGCTAAGCACCTCTAGCAGGTTTACTAGACTACACACGGATTATATGCGGGTGGGAGCAAGTAAAGGGCGGGACCTGGTTGGAAATGTTGTTGTTACTATCAAGAAACAATAAACAAGGGCATTATTCAAAGTCTGTTGCAAGGAAATAGGGGACAAAAGATGCTCTCTTCCTATAAATATGTTATGAGTTAGCCACTCATACGACCATTACATGCCTCAAATACATGATAACCTTTCAATCTCATATTGGTATAGTAGCAAATTACCACCGAAGTAACTCCTATAATGCTACTCCTCGGGAGTAAATGAGCTCAATTGCGTAACTGAGAAAGCAATGCCTTTACACTTCGGAGACGATGCTGGGGGTAGCGGCGGCATTGCTTTAACGAAGTGCCTCTTACACATTGAAGAGGCAGGACAGAAAGATTAAGGTAGGATCAATCATAAGAAACTCTAGCTTGCGCGTAAGCCTTGTAAGGTTGGTCACATGCTTGTCACCTGTCCGTCGTTGTCCTATATATATCAAAATAGGCGATTTTCCGTTTAAGGAAGACAACCGGCGGCCACTTGGCTAAGTGGTTCAGGTCAAATTGTCTTCTGTAGAGGAATAGAGCAAAAGCGACAAAATACGACAACGAAAATCGACAAGAGATGTAGGCAATCGACCGGGCCGAACCCTTTTGCTTCTGGGGTATATAATAATCTTTTTTCCTCTGTTGCCTTTATAACAAATGTCGAAATACTACACATTTTTTTTACTTCGCCAACTCGAGTAATGTGGGTTACGAGTTGGCGAGAGAGGCCACCACCTACCTACGCGAATTGCCTACCTGCCTGCCTGTGTACCTGGCCAGCGTCTGCTATTGTATTTTGGAATAGGGTTGTGTCCGTTGGCTATATATCGAATGGGAGACACAGTCCTGCCAACCTATATTAACAATCGTCGAGACGTCACACTGCCCGTACTCTTTCATAAGCCTCTCTTAACCATCGTCTTCCTCCTCCAAACATTTATAATCTGGTCGATCAAGAGCATCACATTGATTTCAAGCATAAACCGAAGCGAATATGGGCAGAAAAGGAGCACCGCCATCCTCTACTCGCTTAATACTCCATCGAGAGGTGGACACTCTAGAATCGACTTTTGCTTGAAATCCAAAGCAAAACTTAGGGAAGTTTATCTTGCATCGAACAGATGGAAAGGGAATATACAAAGTGGATTGGAAATAGTGTAGGTAGTAGGTAGTAGGTGGGCAAGGTCCGTAAACTCATGACCACCCTCTAACATATATATCTTCACTTCTGTCTTCTACCTAGCTATTCGGATATTGTATTTATAGCACTGAATCCCTCATAAAACTTAATTTTTCTAGTTTTATTCAACCGTTATTATGTAGTAAAACAATTGGTATTCAACTCGAGCAGAGTAATAATCCTGAACGCCGCGCTCCTATACCCAACGCTATAACACCTCCTTTCCTAATATCTTATATTCAAACATCCGCTGTCTCCGTCTGATGCATCTCGTTAACCAAATCCACTAATACCGACATGCTGGGAATCTTAAATGGCTTATTCCCACGAATCTTCTTCTTGGGCTGTCTCATATTTGTGTTCTCCTTGCCCTCTGCTTGCTCGAGAACAGTCTTTCTCTTCACACCCCCTATATCCCCCTGTACAACTTCCTGGAAAACTGGAAGCTGAGTCCCACCCAGCCGACTCGCAGCAGTACTCGTACCCTGCGTGCCGCTATCTTCAAAATAGTGATCCTCCAATGCCCCCTTTGGTAAATTAAAAACCCAATTTCTTTCCTCCATCAGCCCCACGAACCTTGCAACCATCTCCGGCTCCGCCTTCTCACCACCATCATCTCTCCCCTTAAGCGTTTCTCGACTACCAATAACAAGCAACTTAGTTTTCGCCCTCGTAAAGGCAACGTTAATTCTTCTCCAATCCTTCAGTAGTTCGCCGATTGACCTAGCTTCGTTGCTGCGCACGAGGGAGAGGATGATAACTTCCTTATCACGCCCTTGGAAGCGGTCTGCGGTGTGCATTTCAACGTCTTTATGGTGACGGAGATGGTTTTTGAGGAGTGCGAGTTGGGAGCGATAATGTGTCATGACACCTATTGAGGAGGAAGGAACACCGACGCTGAGGAGCGATTCGACGAGTTGGGTGCAGATGCTTGCTTCCGTAGGATTGACGATGCGGTTTCCCTTTGCTTGTTCGCGGGAAAGGGGGAGGAGAGGATCTGTGTTGATGAAAGCAACTTTGGTAGATGGGTCGACAAGGGTGCGTATCCAGCAGTGGCCTGGAGTTGGGCTATGGCAGATCGTCTTGGGATTCCGCGAGAGAGTAGAAGGTGTAAAATGGTGGTTGTCGAGACTGGACATGTTGGGGACGTTGATATGGCGGTTGGCTACTTCCTCGCTGCCACATTTGAGGCGGCCGTTATAGATAAGATTGTTGCTTAACGCCATTACGTCTTCGCACATGCGGTATTGATGCTCAAGATATACGACGGAGCTGGGATGAGTATCTGACAAGAGTTTGAAGAGACTGATATCTAGACCACCAACACGAGCCTCCTCGTTCTGGACCAGGGGCGGAAGCTGGTAGTGGTCACCAACAAGGATAAATGTCCTAGCAAGACGTATAGGTCCAAGGCACACAGGAAGTGTAATTTGTGATGCCTCATCGACGATGCAGTAATCGAATGTCCTCTCATTGAAGACTGGGTGGTTGATCCCAAGACAAGTCGTTGCAACAACCGGAGTGTCGTGCCAAGCACTTTTGATTTCATCGAAGGAAGTCTTGGGTGTGACCGCGAGAGTTGCAAATTCTCGCACATCAGGGTGTATTTTGGCCATGGTCCCTAACCGGAGAATCCCTATTTGGTCGTCTTTTAGTTTCAACAGAATGTTGTCCACTGCGGTATGTGTGTACGATGTGAGAAGAACACTCTTTCCCTGGGACACAAGTGCTCGAATGATATGGGCAATAGTAGTTGTTTTTCCAGTTCCCGGCATGCCGAGCACTAACGCGTAGTCTTGGGCGCTCATGACCTTTTGGATTGCCCTTCTCTGATCCACGTTGATGTTCTCACGATCTCTCAAGACATAGCCGGTAGATTGGGTCTTGAACCTCGGTGCGTTCAGATCTACTACCAGACCTCGTATCTGACGGGAACCAAAGGGACCGTCCGCCATAACTTGGATGAGGTTGTTCCGTACAGTAGCCATGCCATTACTAAACTCATCTTTGTCAAGCCTGTACCGGACTGGCTCTTGCGCTGTCTGTTCGCCCGGTCCGCTGGTGGGTTGCCCGGGTGATACCTCCATAATACCTGAAAATACTTGATTATCGAATTCGTCGAATCCAGCACCTCGTATACGTGCATTATGCAGACGGCGATCGACGGCAACTGTGATTCGTCGCTTTCGCACATTGGTGACATAGCCGTTCGCAAGAGCAAAATGCCCCTTTTCGTCAGATATCACGACGGGCTCTCCGACAATGATCTGGGATTCAAGGAACGAGAACCCAGTTGGAGCATCCTGTTTGATTAAAGTGTACTGGAATCGGTTGATTTTGGGATTGTTCGGATCTTCATATTCAGAGCCTGGCTCAAGGATGACGTTAGAGAAACACCTTCCTAGTTTTTCTCTCTCGGAGCTAAGCATTGTCCACAGCTCTCTTCGGAATTTCAGGCTTTCTTTCTCTTCCTTGGTAAGGAGATCATCCCATTTTAGGAAGAATTCCTTGTGTTTCGGAGTCAGGTGCTTCACTACCTCATCGAACTTCGCCCCCATACCGCTTGTCTCGCCATCCCCATCATCGGCGAGTTTATGGTAAATGAAGCATGGGACTTTAGCATAACATCGGCCACACATATTGTCCTTCTTTAGCATAGGCGGCAGCTGAGCGTGTCGTTCGCGAACGAAGCATGCAAGTTCATTGCGTTGCATAATCATATGGCGAAGCTCATGACGAATTACTGGTATCCTGATGGTTTCGGATGTTTCCATATAATACAAGATACCACACGCAACTTTCATATCGTAGCGATCCGATAATAACAGGTTGTATAGAGCCGTTTGTGCACGATGCGAGGCATTTTGGCTTTTGCCTGTTTTGACCTCGAAGGGCACGGTTAATGTACGATTCGTTTTGCCATCCTGCATCGTAACCTGCACCGTTGCGTCGATATTGCCTTTGAGGCCGTACATTGGCGACCAGATATGTTCCTCTACGTCAAGCAGCTTAGTGATACACATCTTGGCCGTCTCGCCATTGCCAGCTTTAACGATGGCCTCGGGCTAAATATGTTAGCAGGGACTTTTCTAATTGGAACGGAATTGGCAACCTTTGGCTTAGATGAGACAAACACCGCTGCCCAGGCTTGCAGTTCCCCCATCTTGCTCTGCAGATACTCAATTGCATGGGGTATCTGTATCTTGATACTATAAAGATCCTCTAGATGCCTTGTAGCTATATCCTCAATGATTTCGCTTAGCCAAACAGAGTCCCATCTGTTTGCGACCATTGCAGCTTGGAATATCTCATGCAAGATGGTGCCATAGACAAGAGGAGCGCTTGTGTCATTCGTGGATTTTATTCTATCTTGCAGTACAGCGCGACGAATGCAGCCGAATGAATCTGCGACCACGGTAGCGGAGATAAGGTGATCGGGATGCAGGATCAAGATGTTATGGTCATCATCTATAATGCACCGGCCGCTGGCGTCGAAAGCCCCAATGACATGAACATATGCTTTGACGGTTGCTGGTGTATCATACCAGGTCCCACGCAGGTTGACGACCTTTGTAGTCTTCGTGTTCTCGACTTGAAGTAACAGGATCTGCGATTGAGGTTAGAAAAATGGGCAATGTTAGAATAAATTACTCGCCTTTTCTCTGCATACACGGCCCTTAGCATTCTCATACTCAGAAGGCAAAATGGCTGTGACGAGATATCTCTGAATTGCTTGTGCTTTCTGCGTGGACTGGAATTCTTAGCGAAGTCATTGGGCTATATACTGCTACGAAAGCTTGGTACATACAGGTAGTAGCCCATCAGCTGTTGGTTGCACCGATTGGGTAACGGCGGCTTCCGCAGCATCAAAATCTAATTCATCTAGGTCGTCATCGCCAAATTCATCGTCAGAATCCGCTATTGATACTATGCCGGTCTTTTGAACAGTTGGAACGCTAGTGCCTCCTCTTGTGGTCTTCGTTGGAAACGCTCCGCTATCAAATTGAGATACAACCTGCTCCAGATCCGCCCCAAGCAAATCCTCGTCGAAGTCACCAAACTCATCATCCTCAATGTTTGATGCGCCTGGGGGTTTTTTAGCCAGGATAGGGCCCAAGTCTGTCGTATCTCTGAGTCGACTAGGTTTTGGAGGCGAGTCAGGAGGTGGCTTCGACGCTGATGCTCTACGTGTGTTCGAAGCTGGTTCTGGTCCAGATTCCAAAACGTCGAATAGACTGTCGTCAAGCTCGCCATCATCGAAATCGCCATAATCCGAAGAGTTTGATTCTATAGAAGGTGGGATCCTCTGGGGGGTCTCATGATCGACTCTCCGCATGATATTGGGACTGTCATCTGTTGGCAGGCTATAGGCGTCTTTCGATCCCATTTGCCGCTCAGGCGGTCTACAGGCGGTATCTCTAGAAGGGCTTTTAACCAGTCCATCAGGAGACTCGGAGGTATCGCTCAGAGGTAAAGGCAGTTTCGGCTGAGTCAAGCCTTCTTGTACCCTCTCGATCAGGACCGCTAGCTTTGAAGGGCCAATGTTCGCAGACTCGGTGAAAACATCACCGTCCGAACCAACAACCCTACGACGTTTTGGGAATTGATTCCCGCAGCTGTTTGCCCTTCTAAACGTTGATCGAGGCGTCGTCCCTTCTCGCGACGGTTGTGGCGAAGACATGTGCATGAGGTGGGCCAATGCAGGAATAGACGGTACCTGAGGGGTTGGCACGTTGGACCCATTGAGAGAATACCGCCCCCATAACTCAGAGCCAGGGTCAGCTTGTCGATCCAAATTTTCGCTGTTGGTTGGGAAATGTGCTGAGACCTGAGCTGGAGAAGAGGATATCGGCGACGAGCTTCTTGCTCTCTTCTTTGCTCTTCTGATGCCTCCAAAAACCGAGGCAGACTTATGGCTAGAGCCTTCTCTGCCATAGTTCCAATCGATCCGTTCGTCTGGAGATACGTCAAGTACGGCGCGCTTGACATCACCCATCCCTAGCAAGTCAGGCAAGGCTAACCTGCTTCCTGGAGTCGAAGGGACATCTTTCCTCGGTAGATCTGGCTGCACAGTTCGTACTTCTCCTGAGTTTTCCGCCTCATCTTGCCCACTGCCATGTGCTGCCCTTGTTCCAGCTACTAAGTTCTCTTTCCTATCATTAGGTAGTAAACTTATCACGGCCGCCTTGTCGGAAGGTTCTGTTGCAGATTGGCCACCGAATTGAAACATGCTCAGCTTGTTCTTCGTAGCGGTAGAGACTGGAATAGCCGGCTTCTCTTGTAGAGGTTTTGATTGCAGGTTATGTTTTGCGGCCTGCAGGCCCTGAAAACTCTTGTTCCGACCCCATTTCGACCGTTCTTGCTGCTGCTGTTGCTAAGGTATAATTAGAAAAATTGCGTGGATTGGCACTCAAGTTGCTTACCCTTGCTGTTGCGGAATGGTTCTGATCAGAAAAGGACTTCTGAAGAGGCATTGTCTAGTTTCATATCGTGTGTTCTCTTCAAAACACAGACTTATAGGTACGTAGTACGTAGTAGGTATTAGTTTTGTTGTCTCTATCGATCAATCCGTATCTCACGCGCCCCCACACCCAAATAAAGCCACGCGACGACGCGACGTGAATTCCGCGATCCCCGAAACCCCTTTTGGGCAGGCACCCCCCGGCCCCACTCTGCAGGGGTAGCTGCACTCCGCCTGCCGCCGGAAGTTACTAAGAAAGTTGGGGGTTCAATAGTGGTCCAACCATCCATTGGTCCAATCGCGTCGGGTGGAAAAGTTGCAAATTCCAGGCTTCCGACCATCGGCTACATGTCCATGCACTGTGGGAAGCTTTTCCAACGGATCTAACATTTGGATAAGAGCGAGACCGCCCCACGTTAAAACAACGTCCTCTTCTCCTACGTCCCCAAGCATCCCAAGGTACAGATATTGTCCCTTACATTGATCCAGTATCAGATTCACTGGTGCTTTGTTGCTGACAATCAAATCTTGCAGATTTTCCGCAGCTATGTCGTCCGAGAAGCCCTTACCGTTCATCTATCAGTTCGCGGCAGGTATGGTCAATTCTGGTTTTATCTTTGTCAATTGAAGCTTACGCAGTATCCAGGTGCCGTCGCCGGTGTCTCTGAAGTAAGTTTGTACAATTCCGGCGCACGACAAAGATGACACCATGGCTAAATCGCGCCATTCTTAGATCTTGGTGATGTAGGCCATCCCACCCTTAAACACGCGATTGAACAAAAAGTACTAATCCTGTGTCGGTAGGTACCCTCTGGACGTCGTCAAAACCCGAGTGTGAGTCATAACATAGCTGGGAATAGTTGGTTTGAAGGGCGTATGTTGATCAGCATACAGTCAGTTACAACCAGCCACAGCCAAGGGTCCTGATGCATACAATGGCATGATAGACTGCTTCCGGAAGATCGTCAAGAATGAAGGGTGCGTCTGCCGAAGCCGAAGAGGAAAGTGTAGTGCTTATAGGCAAATAGGTTCGGACGCCTGTATCGCGGTATCGAGGCACCCATTCTGATGGAGGCGCCAAAGCGAGCCACAAAATTTGCGGCTAATGATGCTTGGGGCAAATTCTACCGCGACTTATTCGGTATGTCCAAGATGAATCAATCTCTCTCGATTCTCACCGGAGCCACTGCCGGTGCTACAGAGGCTTTTGTCGTGGTGCCTTTCGAACTGGTCAAGATTCGTCTCCAGGATCGAGCCTCTGCTGGCAAGTACTCTGGGATGGTCGACGCTGTGACCAAGATTGTTAAATCCGAAGGTCCCCTGGCACTGTACAACGGCCTTGAGAGCACCATGTGGAGACACATCTTCTGGAACGCGGGTTATTTCGGATGTATCTTCCAAGTACGGGAGCTGCTTCCAAAGGCGGACAATAAGACCACACAGATGGGTTATGACCTGATCTCCGGTGCTACTGGAGGCACAGTTGGGACGATTCTGAACACTCCACTGGATGTGGTTAAGTCCCGCATTCAGAACAGCCCAAAGATTGCTGGTGTAGTTCCCAAATATAACTGGGCGTTCCCAGCTATCGGCACTGTGATGAAGGAGGAAGGCTTTGGAGCGCTGTATAAGGGGTTCATTCCCAAGGTCCTCAGATTGGGCCCAGGTGGAGGTATCTTGTTGGTCGTGTTTACTGGGGTCATGGACTTCTTCCGGAAGATGAAGGCTGAAGCATGAGGGGAGACTTGCGACGAAGGACTTGGATATTGAAAGTACGGCCCTTCGCATTCGTCCGTTGTTTCTAGATGAGAAGGCCTGTATATTCTGTTTCTAGACGAGCGGCCATGTATATTCTGATTGGGCGCTATGGGGCTTTACAGGATATGGTTGATCAAGTCGAAAACCATGCCTCAAGGCAATTCTAGAAAATAGAGCAAGTGCTAATTCCATTACCGTTTAAGATTTATTATGGGGTCTCTATTCAGTCTTATTTATCATTTGTTGAGCTGTTACATCGATTCTGAGTTGTTTTCGACGCCTGGCGCTGTTCTCTAGAACATTATAGCACGTTTAGATTACTACGTTTCCTCCCCTCCGACGTGCACTGGCTTCTCACGCTGTTTAAACTTTTTGTCAACCTTTTCTCTACCTCCATTTGCATTCATAGATTTGAGGCACTCCGAAATAGCGCATTATAAAAATGGCAGTTTATACTTCCAAAAACACCGTACCCAGCCAGCCTAAATATTAAGGGCGCATCTCATAAAAAGTGAGGAAAGTGGAATGAGAGTAAGAGAGAACAATAGGGTGTCTCTAATAGTCTTCGCGCGGAGACGGCGATCATTTGGAGAAGGTTGCTAATTAAGCTTTAGCCAAGTTCGGGATTGGCAAGTCAAGCATGCTCTTACCCTGACAGTGGTTCGGTGCTTAGCTGTTGGTTATTATTATTCATTTTCTACATTTGTTCCGTAGCAATCATGCTATCATCATGTTCAACCCCCATGTTACTCAATATGCCGTTGGGGCTCCTACCAAACAAGGCCAATACTATACTATACACCCTCATATGTTTGGTATCTTTGATAAGACTTGGCGCAAACTTCTATGATTATTTTCCATGACTAACCTGATACCTCTAACACATAGAATGAAGATATACAAGCTGCACAAAAAGACACCTATCTGCCTAGTCGTTTGTTCGGTTGATGAAGGAAGGGTCTTGAAAAGCCAGATCCCCCGCCGTCAACACGTGATTAAATACCGATCTATACCGGAACAAGCACCAAACTTGGATACAAAGTTCATATATGTTTAAAATTAAAATAAACGCCTGCTATACTTAATTCAGAGTCGCAAAATAACTCACCAAAACTTTCAACTTCTGTGGTCTTTACCCGGTGTGCGGCTGTCGAATCCGTGGCTTAGCGCTTCTGGAGTCTGCAGCATAACAACAACAACTTGCGACCTCCTTCCTCCTCTTACAATCCCACCACCCACCAAAAGAATCTACCGCCACCTTTCCGATACCATTTCTAGATACCTCGAGCTTCCGCGACAAGATCTCACCAAATACAGTGTCTTTCCAGTAAACTCCCAGCTTAAACAAGTAAGTCTACGTCAAGTTGCTGTCGCATGATGGGCGCTGGAGGCGCGTCCACCCCCAATGCGCCATGTCAACCCAAGTATCCACAAGACACAGTTTTGCTGATTCAGTTACAGGAAACAATGGCTCGCGAGGGCACTCGATCAGCGACCGGTCCGTATTTATCGCATTCCTGTGCTGTCGCTTTCCGCTCTTGATATAGCTCGGCGCGTTGCTTTGCCCTAGTTGTGTGCTAAACCGCATATAGGAAACTCCCGACCGAGAGTCTTCCCAACCGTCCCCGAGACGACCACCACAACTACAAAGAAGCGTGCTACGGCCAATACTGGAGCAAAGAGAGGACCAAAGAAGGCTACTGCGACTAAGGGAGGCAAGCCTGCTGGCGTTACCAAGAAGGCAGCTCCTGCAAAGAAGCCATCTGCTGCTACTAAGGTGAGCTATTCCAGGACTATATTTTGGTACCTAAGTATGTTTACTAACGCTCCCAATAGGCTAAGGGTCTGGTCAAGAAGGCTGAAGACGCTATTACCGACACCCTTAATAAGAAGGTATGCTATACTCTGTTTCGTCGTATTGTTTTAAGGCGTCAACTACCTATTTATTCAATAACTACCCTCAAGGACTACTCAGCTGTGGTCTATAATACATCTCAAGTGAGATAACTTTATCCCTTTACATATTTGTCGCAATCTTCAGCAATTTTGATTGTTTAAACTCGAAATATCCTGAAATACCCCTTTATGTCTCACCTGATACTTCATGCTCTTTACACAATAGACTAACATAAAACCCTCGACAGGCTGCTGGCACCAAGAAGACCAAGGCCGCCGATGTGACTGCTAGCAAGCCTGCCACTAAGGCCCGCGCAACAGGAAAGACAGCCGCGGCTAAGAAGTAGATGTTTTTCTAGCCCCATGTTGTGGATTCTCCAACGCATGCAACAGCAGAAACTAGAGAGGGATCGAACTATGCGCCGCCATGCCAGCTTGCAGATCATTATTACTGGGATGGCACTTAACGCACTTGTATCTTTGCTCTTATACTGTTTCTAACCTGCTTGCGCCTTGGAGCAGATATGAATGGCGTTCGAGGAGTAATACGGGACTGTCATGCCAGGGTGCCGGTGTATGAATGGCAAGGGATGACTAGGAAATGGGTTTTATAAATGGTATGCACTCTGGCACATGCGATGTGATTGGCATACAGGATGACTTTTTCTTTTACATTTGAGTGTTCTTTGCTTGCTTGCTCTGGTCGAATAGCGAATGTCTGTTATGATGGATTCCTTTAGTGTTAAGGTACATGCGAGACTCTTTACATATATCATATGCTTTTCATGCTTGATCCTTGCCGTGATACTCCTTTCCTGTTCCCTCCGTACTATCTCCTTCCAAGCGCCACCTCCCCAACCAAAATCAAGCTCTCTTCACCTTCCTTCCCCTCCACCTCATCCCCAAAGAAAAAGTCTCCCACAGCAACTCTTACAACGTCTTCCCAGAGCCCACCTACAAGCCCTCTCAATTCATCCCCCGTTTGTTGGAAATCCGGGTAAGCATTAACCTCTAATAAAAACGCAGTCCCCTTTTCGTCGACCAGGAAATCCACGCCGTAGACCTCAAACGCATTAGGTAGTGTTTGGAAATGTATCATCATAGTTTGGGAAGCCGCAGTGAATAGTTCAGATGTTGTCTCACAGATTTGGGTGAAAATGCTGTCTTTGGTAGATTGAGGAAGCGAGGAGTTCGGAATGGACCAGAATTCAGACACAGGGTTGTAGGCATTTGAAGAAGCAGATGAGGGTTGTAGACAGGTGTTTGTCAGGTGGGCGAAGAGATCTGTACTAGAAGAAGCGGTCCATGGGGGAGAATATGGCGTTGAGGCGAAGAGGGCAAGCATCGGCTTGTAGACGTAGATTTTCAGACTGCCCACGGCGACGACGTACGTCCTGATATGGAATTTGGTTGGCGCACCAGAAGCACCTGGAAGTAGGAGGGGTGGATCGATGTACGGCTGTGCGATGAAGTGGCGAAGGTGGGATGTCATGATGTAGTCATCACCTGCGGAGGCGTCTTTGACTGCATTGCTCGATGAAATATCATCGTCTTGTTCTTCGTCCTCGTCCTCGTCGTCAGAATCAGGTTGCGCAGCCTCCCATTCCTCAAAGATGGACTGTAGTTCTTCCTCTGTGCTGAATAGCCGGATCCCTTGTCCGCGATCACTCATACCTGGCTTCAGAATCCACCACTCCCTCTCATTTGGTTCCTTCCCCTCATTCTTCTGGAAACTTTCCTTTAGTTCCCAAGCTTCTACCAGAGCATCGTCAAGGAACTCGGCATAGTCAAGCTCGAAGTCACAAGATGGCTTGATATTCGTGGACAGGATGGAGGAAGGATGTTTCACAGTCCAGTTATACGCAGTAGTGCTGAGGTAGTGCTTTCGAATCAAGGCTTTGCGGATGATATAGGAGTTGACCAACGACATTGATGGATGGGCCATGACATGATCGAAGGGGAGGGATTCATAATCCCCTATTTGAAGGAAGGGGGCACCTGGTTCTGGCAGTTCGGATATTGAGGATATCAGTGTGTATGAATCCTTTGGTAGGCGTGACTTAAGGGCTGCGAGAATTAACGGTTGGACGTACTCATCCTCATAATTGATGACGGCGTAAATATGTTTGGTATCCGAAGGCTTGAGGGATAATGTAGCTAGATTTTTTATATCTTCTAATGGCCTGAAAAATCTTAAGTTAGACACCAAATTCGAAGAATAGTAAGGATCTATCTATTTGTCTAACATGGTCTCATACGCCAACGCTATGCACTCACAACTTCAACTCCCCCTCTATTTGGGCCGCCGCATGCATAAAGTTTGCTTTTAATGGGGTGATGCTGGGAGATAAGATTAGTTTAACCTCAGAAAGGAATATATATGGAGATGATGAATATATATGGAGATGCTTGCCTTGTGAAGTGTTCCTTAACAGCCCATCCATCGTTGCCGGGGCCTGCCTCCTCAACTGACTTGTACACATCGGTAAACCTGGGTGCCCACTTGAAAAGCTTATGCGTATGTCTCGTAACAGTCTTCTCTTCGGTCTCCCCATTAATCTCCTCCTCCCCTTCTCCTTGTCGTATTCTTTGCTCCTCGTCATCGGCATTTCCATCCTTGTCTTCAACCTCCTTGAAACAGCTTCCAGGACCCCAATAATTCTGCAGCATATTTGTCCACATAACCTTCCTACTCTCCACCCCCTCGACCAACGGTACATTAATGGTGTATAAATCGACATCTTCGCCCCAGTTATTATATAGATGCTCGATAAGCTTTATGGACAGTTTGGATGCGTTCGCAATAATTTCCGGGTCATGAGCCGAGTCTGGATTCTTAGGATGCTCCATTGAGAAGAACGCATAACTCAGCGCGATCGCCTTGCGTTTACAGACAGCTGCTTCAAGCGCCCCTCCTAAAGTCCCACTGCTCAAACTGAACACCGCCGTGGAATTTCTTCCGTAATTTGGCCCACTGACAACAAGGTCAATTGGTCCACGGTCGTGAAAGTAGTGGTAGAGTCCGATTTGCACACAGCTTGCTGGCGTCCCATCTACTAATACCCATTCTTCTTGCTTCGTTGAGCCTGCTGGTAAGGGCCTGTGGTGGGTGGTTCCGTCGTCTTTATGAAGGGTTCCTGGACGGTAGTATGTTGGCTTGACCGTTTGCCCCACCATATGTGCTTTCCCGATCCATGACCGTTGCGTATGTGGTAGGACCACTGACACAATATGTCCTGCTCCCTGGAGAGCCTGTATGAGAGAGTGGACGTATGGAGATGATTGGTTTGAAGGAGGACCGTCGTCGTTGACTACCTGAAGTTTATAGAGTAGTTAGGAATCGAGACTCACTGTATTATGGCTATGAAGGGAGACCGCCAGCACGACTTACAAGTATATGCATTTTCAAATCGGCGGGTGATGAGTGTAACTTAAACGGGTTTTTGTATAGGATGAATGTTGACGTTGTACGTTGTACAGGCCGCAAATTCGCGGGACAAACAGCCTTGCCCGATCACGCAAGTGGCGGGGCAAATATGTCTGTGGGCTGCCCCGCCTCCGACTCGATCTTTTCGGGACTTGTTCAAACTTCAAGGCCAACTAGGGGGCTAGCTTTACGTAGTATTCCAACTTATAACACCGATAGTAAGTAGCACGTTCACGCACTTAATCAAGAGACCGATATTATTTTTAATAATTAAATTTGCTCTAGGATAAGGTCGACTGGGAGTACAGAGAAGGACTAAGATGAAGCCATGAAAAGCTGGGCATGTTCTTAGTCCAGATAAAAAGCCCTTGAACCCCAAACAACGAAATCTTTTCCGTGGATATTGACGCTCTCAGTCCGGAGTAGCGCCAATACCTGTCAGGTCATACCGAATCATTAACCCAACCGTAGTAAAATGCATGAAGTCCCCCGACGGGCGCATCAGAACCGCCTGATTTATAGGCAGGTAACACAAACAAACAGTCGCGCCCATCGATAGCGGCCAAACTCAGAATCAGATCCACAGAACCCAATGTCTCCATAAACTCCCGCTAGCCAGATGTAACAGAACGAAGGGGAAGAAATCCGGGGCGACGTTGTCTAATTACGGATTCTCTTACCGCCTCTGCCTCGAGCAAGAGGCTCACCCTCTCTCTTATTGGCACCCTTTGGCTCGTCAGCCTTGACTCTTTGCCAGCTATCAAAGGGACTGACTTTTCCACCTCGGCTTCGACTCCCCCGCATTCGTGTTGATGGACATTCATCCCCACTGCTAGGTGTTGCTGGAGAGCTCATCATATCGAAGTTTTTCGATCGGGTAGTCCTAGTTGTAGTAGGCGGAGAAACAGGTGCGAACCTGGGTGCCTTGGGAGTGGCGACCTCATCTTCCATCTGGTCCATTGGAGTTGTGGTAACATTCCGGCTACCACGAGTGTAGGGGCTTCTGGTGATGCTGGATGGTTCCTCAATGTCAGTGTCGGCCTCTTCTTCTTCAGCAGCAGCTTTGGCTTTCAACTCCTTGGATTGGAGTTGCTGGGCGGAGGGGAAAAGCAGGCGCGGCTTGACGGATGATCGAGTAATACGGCCACTGAATTGATTTGAAGCAGGAGCATCATAATCACCACCCATTTCGGTATCAACATCCTCCTCATCAGCATCCATAGCAGTGAAAGATCCCGTATTACCGACTACCTCGGAAAACTTGCGGAAGACCTTCTTGCCCCGGCTAAATTAACTTATTAGTACTGTGAAATTCACTAAATCCAAAGTTCTGACTTACAAAACATAAATGAGTCCATCCTCACGACGTTCAACCTCCTCAAAATCCTGCTCGCCCTCGCCAGGGACAACGACCTTTCTGCGCTTACTGGCGCGCTTGGCTGGCTCAGGTGAAACCTTGGAGCTCTCGCCGTAGAATGGGTTATCTGGGCCTACATCAACCTCAGGGACACGATCTTGAGAATCTGTGAAGATTGAAATCGGTTCATTCTCATCTTCCGCCGCGAAGCTATTCATAGTGTATCCGGAAAACTTCTTGCGGCCTTTCTTTTTGGGGGATGGCATGACCTCGTCCATAGTAGCTGAGTGGACAGAGAACAAATTGCGGGCCACAGCCTTAACCGCTGGATCCGTCTCTCCAGGTGCCTTCTTTGGTGTCTTTGCTGGAGTAGGAAGCATGCCATTGCTGTCAACAGTGATAGATCGGCGGGCGTCCATTTTGTCAGTTCTGTGGGGGGTAGGTAAACCAAGAGCCATAGCTGCGGAAGTGGTAGCTTCGTAGTCGAGAGCTCCGGAGACTCGTCGGCCGCCAACTTGGAGTGAGCTTTGGGGAACTCGCTTCTTCGACGCTGTTTGCGGGGATGTAGGCAAAGAATCAGCCATGGTGGAGGATGATGATCTGTTGGATGACTGTGGAGTGGAATGGCTTGCTCGTAGGTTGTGGCTCGAGACCTGGCGAGGCGGTGTTTGGGCAGATCGAGACCGCTGCGCTACGCGACTTGATTTTCGAGGGGAATATGGCTGGTAATCATCGTCGAAGGTGCCAAAGCGAGGTGTTGTCGGTGTGTGGAGAGTAGGAGGTGGTGGGGTTGCGGTATCGAACTTGGCCGCCATTGCGACTCGATTCCAAGATAAGCGTAGGTATCAAAAGATCGAAAGGTGAGGTTGTGCCAGAGGAAGTGAACGTATCGCAGTTCGTGTCTGATAGTATAATGATCGATCGCTTTAAGGGAGAGATGGGCGGCTGCACGAGCGCATTGCGGGTTCGGCGCAGACAATAGAGCGGTCAAGCAAAACTGCCAGGCAATTGCAACCAGAGCGACGGCAAAACAAATGGATAGACGTAAAGGCAAAATTCAAATTATGTTGTTGTTGTCGCTGGATGAGCAGAATTGTGAAGAGGGTATAACAAATAACAAAGTGAAGAGGTCGGGACAAAATCCCCAGCCACCTGTCGCTACGGGCACTTCGTAGGCGAGATACACGCCCTGCCGGCACCTAATCGTGCACAGGCCCTTCTGCCACATCACTCTATTTACCCCCTCGTCACACGTGTTTTACGCGTTAAACGTTAATTACCCTATTTGGACATTTTGATAAACTTTGAGCCTTGTTCTTGTTCCTGTTCCTATCCCACTTCTACAGCAAAAATGTCCGTTCCTGATATTGGCAAGCTGGATCTCTCTGATTCGGATCATGAAGATCCCTTTGCATCTCCATCAAAAGCCCCCAAGTCAAGCCACAGCCGGAATCCAGGGACAGCAGACCCCCGAAGCGCACCGGCGCAACAACGCAGTGGGGAGTCAAAGTACGATGCTGCGCAAGCGCGTGAAGCGTCACTGCAGAAGGAGCTTGAGAGTGTGCGGAGTATCAATGAGGTCATTGAGGGCGTAGTATCAAGTCTAGAGACCGCGAAGGGGAATATGGATGTATGCTCTAAGTGACCAAGCAAGCAACCATGGAGGGGCAGTGCTAATTTCGAGATGGATTAGACAGTATCCCGTACGGTCACTTCGGCTTCTACGCTTTTAAATACCTGGGTCCGAATACTTTCACAAACGGAGCATAATCAAAGACTAATCCTCAATCCTAATTGGCAAGGCGCAAGCCAGGATGTCGCAGATATGGAAAATGAGGTTGTACTGAAGGCACAAGCGGCGGAAAGGCGGGCAGCAGAGGAAGAGAGGAGACGGGAAGAAGCAAGACGGCGGGCAGAAGATGAGGAAAGACAGCGGCAGGCTGGTACTGCTGTTCGGGGAGCTAGGGGAACCAGGGGAAGATCAAGAGGTAGAGCTGTGGGACGAGGAGGTTTGAGCGGTAGCGGCTATGCAGCTGGCGGAAACTCTTTAAGTAACTTGTCTGGGGGCCGAGGCGCGTCACAGTCCACACGAACTGGGTCAGGTTTAGGGAGGGGACCTGGCAGTGTGAGAGGTAGAGTACGTGGAGTCAGATGAAGCACCAAATTCATCATTACATTGTTATAGACCCAAACCCAACCGCCGGCCATATATCCTATAACGCCCTGCTTTCCAAGTCCAAGTAAACGGCTTTGATCCGCCCAAATGCTATTATACTTAATTATTTCTTCCCAAAGAAATCGCTCATTTTCTTCATCCCACTAATATTGACTTTCTTCAGGTTCTTCACCCCTCGACTCTCTCCAGCCTTCTTTCTCTTCTCCTCCTCTTCGATCTTCCGTTTTTTCTCAGCGCGGCTCTCCTCCTCCTCGCCATCATCTAGCATAGATCGTTTCCGTGAGACGTCACCTAGTGACCTTGCAGCAAGGGCGTCTTGCCGTAACTTGGCTAAATGCGCAAGATGGGTATCCAGGGGTCCAAAATCTGTACTGGAAGTCGGGGATGAGAGTAAAACCTTGATAGATTCGCTCAGGTGAGGTGGAATATACTTTGAACAGAGGAAGAAGAGTGCGGTGCGAAGTCTTAGTAGATCCGCCACGCCATCCGGGGCGCCACTGATGGGCAGTGTGTTTGGAGCTTTAACCAGTCCTGTGCTCAATGAGTCCTCTGAAAATGACGTGGCTGCAGTAGAAGTATTTGAAAATGAGGCCGAAGCGCTCTCGGTTGATGTATCTGTTGTCTGGGTGCCTGGAGTGTCTGCGAGAGGCGTCGTGAGTCCCGACGCCGCAGGTGTAATATCTTCGTGGTTTGTAGAAATATCCTCCGGACTGACGATAATAGTTGGCACCTCGAGTGGTTTCCTAACAAACCTCTCTTCCATGCTTGCCGTCAGACCATTTTCGGCCATTTTCGTTGCCTTCTTTAATAACTCTGCTAACAGTTTATCTTCGCTAATTCTGTACATTATTTCGTCTCCCGCGTCGGCTGTGTCGCATATCTTTGCCATCCTTTTTTCAATGGATGCCCGTATCGATTCGACCTCCAGAAAAGCACTAATCTGGGGTGAAGCAATAGTTATTCTTTCAAAATAGTCCTCGCTAGACAGAAACAACTTCTTTTGGGGTTTTGAGCTTTTTGATGTCGATACAGGGGGAGCAAGAGCCGGCAAGGCAAAGAACAAGCTGTCAATTGGAGTTGCAACCAATAGATTGGCGTTTCGTAAAACGTATCCTTTGGCTGAAAGCTTGTCACTTTTGTCCGCTATGGGTTCCGACGGTATGGCATCCTCCTGATCTATTGATGTCGACGCTTCTGAGGATAATAGCCAACTTCTGCGAGTCGTTTCTGGGGCGCCAACTTTCGTGAGCTCGTAAAACCCTCGCTCTGGGCAGACAACATATGGGCTCTTGGTGCCATGTCTAGGATGTTCCAGCTGGATAATTCGAGCTTCATTGCTCAGGTGATCTGGCAATATAAAAAGTTGTGGAGGATTGGCTTCTTCAGGGCTCAATTGAACTTTTGCTGTAGAAGAACCAGATATTGACTCAGGCGTCTCCTTTTCGGACTTTGTGGATGGCTTTGATCGAGTCTTCATCGTACTTTGCTTGGGTGTTGAGGGAGACACGAGAGTTTGGCTCGGTTGATATTGAAAGGCTTGACGAAATAAGGTACACCATGGGAGACGCGTTTTGACGCGTCAAACCGCGCTTGAAACACGTCGGGTAATAAAGTTTGTACCTCCCGCTAAGATAAGCAACTCCTATTTTGGATCAGGACATTGGCTGGTAAACCAATTGTCAAATGTAATAAGTCATTTTCACAGTTTAGAGGGCTGTAGACAGAACGCTACCCGCTTTTCTCCAAATTCTTTGCAGTAATACTGTGTCCCTTACAGATTGCGATTTGCTGCTGATTGCTCTAATACCATCACCAACCCACAGCCCTGGTATTAAGGACCAGGGTTCATTCATAAACAACACCGACGAGCAGTGCGCGCCATAGATGCCTCATGGCTCCCGAACCAACACTACATCATGTCACAAGGTAGGCGCTCCCATGTGCTTTGGATTCCCTGGTTAACCATTGGAAAGTTAGTAACCCTGAATGGCCTCCGAAATCTCCACATGAAGCACTTCTTAGTACCCCCGGGGGTCGTAGGCGGCTTCAACGTCTACAGAAACGGGCCTCTCCTTCGCCTTCTCCGATAAAGTCGACTTCAATGCGGAGCCGTACCAAAAATACGATGGACCCGAGTATGGGAGCGGATGATTCAGAAGACGACGAAGAAACTTTGGAACTGCAGTTGCAAGAGATTCAAGCCCGGTTAAAGCTCAAGAAGCTGCAGAAAAAGTCGAAGCAGGGCTCAGACACAGAAAATGAAAATCGAACGGGACCAGCACCTTTGCCCAGGGCAAACTCAGTAGCAGCAGGTCGAGCCCAGTCGAGGATCGGTGGGGTGAGAGAGGAGCAAATCGCAAGATCTAAATCACAAGCAAGTATCCATGTTCCGGTCTCTCCTATCCGGCGGGCAGCACGACCGCCTGAGGCGCAATCCCCGCAGAGAGTCCTATTAGGGATTGACAAGGGATTGACAGGTCGCGATATTTCCCTAAAGCGGGCACCGAGTGTACGGAAAAAAGAGGGAGATATTCACGACAAGCGAACCGGCCCATTCTTGCAAAGGCCTACTTCACAAGCCGCGGGACGTGCTTCTTCAGCGGCCAGTAGTACTCAGGATGGAGAGCGGCCGAAGAGCTTCAGTGAAAGAATGGCCTCAATTAGAGCACAAGATACCGATTGGCAGGAGCGACAGGCGCGTATCAAGAAGTCCAGGAGCATGGCATTCGATATTGGCCACGAAGAGATGGAATCTTTTAAAGCAACCGCTGTAGAGTTACCAGATGCGCCCCAGGCAGCACATAAGTTCAGCAGAGACGAAGTATTAAACTCTTACCACAAACCTCGTGACAATCTGCCACGCAGCAAAACAACACCGAATCTCCGATCTGCCATGCGGACCACGAGCAGCATTATGGAAGATACTACCTTGAGCTCAAGCATGTCTGACTCCCGTGGTTCCTTAAATATCCCTCCAAGGAAACCAACACCCACGAATGCCAAAACACTACCAAGTGATAGCGGTGATCCGGAGATCTCGCAATTTGAACCCTTCTCATCAATGCATCTCTCGAAGAGAATCATTCCACATCAAGTCCTCACCCGCACCCTCTCTGGAAAGAAGTCCTTTCTTTTACCTGATATTCTAAGGACTGTAAAAGCCCCGGACTTTTCTGGCCCCGACATAGAGGAAGATGTGGTGATAATCGCTGTCATTTCAAAAAAGACAAGCCCTCGGGCGCATCAAGAAAACTCCAAAAATTCGAACCGTGGTAAATATATGATTATGGGATTAACCGATCTTAAGTGGGAACTCGACTTGTTCCTTTTCGACTCTGGCTTCGACAAATTTTGGAAACTTCCAGTGGGCACCGTCATAGCCATACTAAATCCTGGATTCATGCCCCCCCCACGGGGAAAAGCTGATACTGGCAAGTTCAGCTTAACCTTGAATTCTGACGCCGATACGATTTTAGAGATTGGTTCCGCGAGGGACCTTGGATTTTGCAAAAGCATCAAAAAGGACGGCGCAACCTGTGATTCTTGGGTTGATAAACGTCATACTGAGTTTTGCGAGTTTCACGTCAATTTGACGCTCCAAAAATCCAACACCCGACACACCATGAGCTTCCCCAAAGGCGATTATGGTGGTCGGAAGTTCAATTCCCGAAATATGACTGGGCATCTCGAACGTATACAACAGGAGAAGATGGACCAGAAAACGCGATATGACAAAGATACCCACTCCCAAATCTTCATTGGGAAGAAAAGTACTGCGAACCTCCTGGATGATACAGATTTCGCTCCGGACGCATTCCATCGCGGCTCAACCAAAGAAGAACGCATGAGGCGCCAAATACTCGCTTTAGAGAAGGAACATGAACTAGAAAAGAAGCTAGGGAAACTGGGAAGTGGCATCGGCGCGGACTATATGCGAGCCAAACATACTGCAAGGACCGAATCCAGTGCCAGTCATTCCAAGGAAGTAAAGTCTCCTCCTCCAGATGCCGTAAGCCTTGGTCTACTCAAGGTGAAGGCAAAAGACATAACACTTAGTCCCGTCAAGAGGAAACGTACAGACACAGCCTCGAGCTCGACGAGCTCGGCGGCGAGGGGTTGGGGAAGCGATTTAAGCAAGGAGCTTGGTAGGATGAAGAATGGTGAGAGCTTACAGCCGGTTAAAAAGAAGACGAGGTTTGTTACTGAGAAAGGCATTCGGGAGGCTGGGCGGGAGAGCATAGGCGGGGATGCGGCGAAAGCTATTCTTAATGACTTTAATGATGATGATAGCGACGATCTTGATATTGTACGGGAGTAAAGGGCGGCAACACCATGGGTTGGTATTTAGTATTCATAGAATGACTCTCGGATGAGAGCAGCTCAAATTAACAGTATTCGAGCTCCAATTATATCACTTGGTTTCACAAAAGATAAATGATAAGCTCCATAAACTAGTAACTTAGCAGCCTCCCAACACAAAGTCATGTTTATATTACAGTTCTCACACCACCCTCTCAAACCAAATCCTTCCCTCGTCCTTCATCGCTAGCTCCAAGGCAATCCAAAAGGTCCCAGCAACCCCATCGTTCCGCACAACAAACTCTACAGGGTTCGCCTCCTTAAACACCAACCCCGTGGCGATTTTCGTTTATAAGATGCCAAATCAGGACTTGCTCGGAGCCATTGGATGCCACTCTTGTGTTTCCGAATTCGACAAGGCCATAATGGGAAGAATACTATTAGGGGAAATCCAGAATCAGCTTAATGGGCGAGTAGGAGTATGGAGTTTATTAGAGAAAGCACCGGGTCGTAACACTGAGAAAGGATGAACGGAAGGTAATGAGAGAAAAAAATTCTTTATGCCCTAATAGTTGAATTTACTTACCAAGTTTGGCATCAAAGGCTACTAACCCGCCGACAAGTTCGAATAACTCATATCCTTGATGTATGCTAGTAAACCACCCCAAAACATATGCTAGTGGCCCGGTATATGTTGATAGTCTGAGAGTGGACGGGGGTAAGGTACATGGCGTGAATAGGCTTGAATAAATATGCTTTAGACAGGAGGCCTAAACGGGAGAGAAATGCCTATAGCCACTTGGAAAAGTCCAGGACCGTGGATATAACGCTACCGGCCTCTTTGCAGCACACCAGGCACTCAACGTATTTAGCCGGCTCGTCACCTCTCCTGGGCTTTTCGACCTCAAATGTAGTGAATTTTCAAGGCACCTCAAATATCTCTTCGTATATAAAGCGGTATTAGCATATGTACCTATACCATACAATACGGATGTCGAGAACCAATCACAATAACAACCCTAGGCACATGCTACAGCTCAAGTGTTTTATTTACTAACAGCGCGAATTTTGTAGTAAAAGGAGGCTTATCGGCTTCATCGCTCAAGATTTACTCTTCTGTAGCAACCCTTTTTGAAGAATGTTGTTGCCAGAAGAGCTACCTGGCCTCCTGCTATAGAAGATATTAACGAGATGCATTTATACCTCTGTAGGGGATGAGGAAACAGAAACTTAGAAATGTGACTCGACGCCTTGTAAGCTATAGAGGTTTGTAGAACAAGTAATCCCATCTTCTAAGAGACTTGTTAAATAAGTCAATATACTTATCACGTCCATAAAATTTACTCCACTAGCACACCATGATGTTTTTAAATTATATCGATTAGTCTAACCCCCTCGCTATGGCCTGTCACACATGGCGATACCTCAGCTAAGCCGGGCATTGTAGACCGGGTCTCCTGAACTCGTACATAACCGGGTGTATCATATTTTCCGCCGGAATGCACACATAACTCTAACACAGCTTCTCCCATCCCTCCCAATATCATATATGGTATGACCGTTTTCCAACCAAATATGTCTAGGAGTAGTAAAGACCACTAAACATTGTAGATCCGTATTAGGTGGCTCGTCCACGAGCCACACTTCATAGCTCCTCGTCCTCATCCGCCGCCATTGCAGGCGCTGGGAGAGGCGCATGAGCTGCTTCTGCCGCTGCTACAACGTCTCTTCCGCTTCCGAATCCCATGCCCAAGCGCTTTTGCAGTAGATCGCTGTCAATGCCGCCTACACTAGCTCTGTGCTTCTTGAGCGGGCTTCCAACGACACTATCGTCGGGGAGGTTTGCTCCAAAAACACTACTCGAAAGAGATGGGCCTGGAGTTTGGTTTGCTTCTGGCTCTGCTGGAGGTGTCGCGGTGGCGGAAGGTGTGCCCATAGATCCTGGTGATCTGCGGGAATTTAAATTCAGCGGCTCAGCGGAGTGTTGGCGTTTAAGCTGTCCATAGAGTAAGCCGATATCAATGATAGTGAGAAAGGAGGGGCCTACCTTGATCCGTCCAACGCCTTCTGCTATTTCTCCTTGATACTTGGCATCTTCGGGGCTCAACATTGTCTTCACCTCCTTGTCGTCTACTTCTTCTATATTCCCTACAATATCGATATCATCGTCATCTTCTTCGCTATCTTCGGCCATTGCCCCAGTGGCACTACCATTACTCTTCTTTCTCGACTTGTTTTGCCGGGCAGTACCATTATTATCTCTGAATGACGAGAATCCAACAGTTCCACCAGACTTTAAGGGGCCAATACTCGAGAAGTCGAGTTGAGTTGAGCGTCTCTTGACGGGTCCAGGAGTGGTCTTTTGCTGCTTCGATGCTAAGATACCCATTTTTTGTAATTGTCCTGATAGATTAATTAGTAGACGATCAAATATCAAGCGTTGCCAACTTACGCTCGCCTCTATAGAAGAAAGTAAACGTAGCAAAAGGCTTGTCTGGACCATCTATACCCGTAACAGTCTGTGTACTGATGGATTTCGGGTCCAATGTCTTTGGCTTGGCAAAGCTCGTGGTATGATCAACATCTGCTCCATCGCCTTCCTTCTCCTTCGTAGATCCCTCCTCATCGTCATCATGGGCATCAAATTGCGGAGAGTATTCTCCCCTCTTAATTTCTCCAGATGCTAATACGCGGAACATGGCAACCTTGATCTGCCCAGCAGCCTCTGGTACATCATCATCCGAGTCAGAGCTCATATCATCGTCATCTTCAGAGAGCCTCTCAACTGGGGATGTCGCATTATCCCCATATCTCAAGACATCTCGCTGCCCCGAGGTTTTACGCGAAGACATCGCATCTGCCAGGTCATCATCGCTGTTCATCTCCTGTCTTCTCCGTCTGCGGCGCTTCTCAAACTTCTGTCTGCGCCTTTCGATCTTGGCCGCTGCGTCCTGCCCATCCAGGTCTAGCCCGTTCAACCACCTCTCCAGTCCAACTTCGCGAAACAAGAACTCCCTTTCAGCAAGTCCACCGCCTTCGGATTCCGGTACCTGAACCCAGCGAGAGTTCACCCAAGTCTCCTCTCCAGGTCGCAGTAAGGTAGCAACTTCTTCCTTTGCTCGACCGTCGAAGTAGATATAGGCAGCAATCGTTTCATTTTCGGACTTTGTAATGGGTATATAAGGGCCAACTGCGCCGACATAATTGCCACGCTGGGACGATATGCCAGGCAGTCCGGCGACGACCTGAGGCTGTGGGTAGGGGGTATCGGGTGTCGGTTTGGGTGTGGAGTAAGGGACTGGTAGGCCAGGCGTTAAAAGCGTGATGGAAATGGCGAACTTGGACGGCTCGGGCTTATCGGAGGACGCATCTTGAGGTATCTTCGCCTTTGGTACTGGGATATATGTATTGACGCGCGATACTCTGGACTGCTTCTGCACCGAGAACTCTGGGAGCGGAGCGCCTTCGGCATGAACGCTGACGGCGATGCCCTTAAAGCAAGGCATTTTCCTTCACTTCAAGTGAGCCGCAGCAACCGAAGCCGCGAAGCGGGAGGAAAGAGAAATTCGGGCTGTGAGGGCGCAGTCGGTGGAATGGGGAGCTGTCGAAGCCGACTTCTGGTGCTTGAGATTGATGGGTTGGAAACACAAGGGGAGGCTGAGCATGGACAAATGCTCAGGCACTGGAACTTGTAGCTGTAGCTGTAACGAGAGCCAAACCGAAACTGACTTGGCAAGCGCAGAACTAGTATAGAGGTGGGGAGATAGCAGATTGCAATGTTAATCGGGCAGCGGGTACGTAGTATTTGAGGATGTTGGGAATAATAAAGGCTCCGAACACATTGGCAGCGTGGACAATAGACTCGGCAAGCCTTAGAAGCGGACCTCAGACTACAGCACCGGTCATGCAGCGGCGTCACGGTCACTTGTGAAACTTGACAGCAATTACATGAACAAGTCATTCGGGGATCTAGTTATATCTATAATAATTCTACTCTCTAAATTATACGGGTACGTTAGTTGGTCATCCCTCCCATGCTCTGTGATAAGCTGACTTTCCAGGAGGTCGCGTCAACCGCTGTCTAACGCCAAAGTCTTCCATTTCCAAAGCCCAGCAGCTACGACCTTCCTACAGTAAGACACTGGAGCTCGGTGGATATTCAAGGGCGTTGTATTGTTGCATGATCTGGTCATGCGTTGGTTCGAAAATGGGTTGTGGTGCGGTGCGGTATGGTATTTGTTGGTAGTCTGAAACAAGGAATTTAGCATTTATACATTTTGCGCAAACAGCGCCAACACCGCGTAGTCAAGTATGTATAGGAGAAGTGGAATGAGATCAGACTGTTGAGCTTGATATATTGTTTGAATCAACATGAGTTGTCAGTTGGCCGTTCTTAAGGCAGAAAGGTAGTCATCAGGATGCCACGAGAAGAGTGAAAGAAAATTGTAGCAACGAACCATTTAACTGTATTAGCAAAGGCTGCTATAGGAAATCCAGACAGCTAGCGGATTGTCTGGAAGGACAATCAAGGGGTCTTGACTCTGGATGGCGGAGGGCTTAAGGAAGCCCATTTTAGCATTGGGTGAATGAGTTTTGGAGATGTTTTAGTTTTCTTTTTGGCCCTGAATGCGAGCTTAAGTACCTTTTAGGTGCGAGTACCTTTGTGCATCACGCTAAGACCGACAGTCACCTGACCTCGCCTTTGTGCAGATAGGCGCATCGAAGCTCCGAAATTACCCCACCAACGCAGACCCAGAATCGCTCTCTCGACACCCAACACATCGCACCGGACCCTTCCATCATCTCTACCCAACCTCAAACAGAAATTCCTCTAGAACATACCAGCCGCACCCAGGCATACCACCAAGATGGCTAGTGAGTCCAAATAGTGCCCTACTTCCACAGCCCCGAACCTTTGCTAATATAATGCTGCTATGCCAGACTTCCAAGATGTTGCAAGTGAGTAACGATCATTTCGAGCGAGCAGGAGCCGCGCCGGCCGTATACCTTCGGATCGAGGGCCTATGTTTGCCGAAGATATATATATACGGTCGTGATATTCTGGGATAGGGCTAATAGCAGCCCCGCAGAGCAGTTCACCGAGTTCTACTACAACCAATTCGACCAGGACAGGACCCAGTTGGCCGCTCTCTATGTGAGTCCCACGCAGACCTACGATACAACCCCGCTAACGGATAATCAGCGTGAGAATTCCATGTTAACCTTCGAGTCTGCCTCGGTCGCTGGTGCACCTGGAATCGTTGAGAAACTTACTGTGAGTGAGCCCTCGCCCTCGAGCTTATTAGTGATTAACGCGCTCATTCGTACAGAGTCTCCCTTTTAAGCAAGTGAAGCACCAAGTTGCGACACTTGATGCGCAACCGTCTGTGGATGGGGCTATTTTGATTCTGGTTACCGGAGCTCTGCTAGTACGTTGAACCCCCTGCCCTACTTGAGCCTGGGTCTCCAGGTATTATATTGGCGGCGCTAACTCAGCAATCTTTAGGTCGATGAGGAGCAGAGACCAATGAACTACAGTCAGGTATTCCAGCTTCGTCCTGACGGTGGAAGTTACTATATCTTCAACGATATCTTCAAGCTGGTATTCGGTTGAGCGCACCGTACTTTGGGAGGAATATGTGTTTGGGTACATTCAAAGTCGGGAGCCACGGAGGAATAAGAAAGCTGTGTGTTTCTGCAAGCCTTGCCGATTTCTAGAGGACAAGATACATAGCGTTGCGATCACGATGTTTCGGAATACAAAATTAAGGATATGACTATTTCAATTCTCCGGCAGCAATGCATCCCAATGGTGCACAAATTATCAAGCGCTGGAACGAACATATACACCGCCAACTAAACCAATAGGTCTTAGGCTTGAACATAACTTCTCTCCCCTATCGACCTAAGGCCTTGTGGAGCCTCGTATTTCTGCTTCTTTTGCACAGCCCCAAAGATAATATCAAAGCAGGCTGCAATCTGCTAGGGACAACACTTCTAATGCTATATTCTACTTCCAACGCTTTGAAGCATTGCACCACCTCGTAAATACCACCTACCTACCTAGTTATTACGGTATCTAGTGTCTTAGTACTTTCCACGAAGTCCTGTAACAGTATCCTTCCAGTCTTTCAGTGTTCCGCTTAATATGGAATATTGTGTGAAGCGTTGCCCAAATAATGTAATAGTCGTGAAAAAATTATGTTTTGGCATTGTTTAGATCAGCAAAGGTGTTGCCTGGACATCCGGCAACATCAGCCTCGTCAGCATGCGACGAATGTGGCACTAGCGAGACAGCTCGGTTCTCCGACACGTACTTCTTTGCGGCACTATCCCTTCCATACATACAAGAAGAATAAGAACCATCAAAGAATCCTACACCATTCAGATCCCTTTCCGGAGCGCCATTACTTCGCTCAGTTACCGTAGACAGACGACGGACGCTGAAACACCACCGTTCGACAGCTACTAGCTTAGAACCCGGATTCAATCCATCACTCTATTGATCTTCAAGGTCGAACGCAAATATGACGATCGCTGAAGAGTTCGCGACGAGGAATTTCAGTATGCAGACTCTAGGATATTCATGCCTAAATGATAGATTGACTAACTATGATTCCTAGGTATTTATGGGCAATGGTAAGCACACTGTCTTTGAAGTCCATCCCCAAGCATCCGGAGCTCGAACACCATCTACAACGCCATAACCTTGTATCTCCTACTATTGATGCGGATACAATAAGAAAAGCCCATTTTGGGTTTTGCTCGGTGTATCATCTGGGGATTATAATTTTCTTGAAAGCATACTGATGGAATGGTTGATGGCAGGACCGGAGTAATATGCATATTCCTCTGTTTTGCCCTTGGCATCTCGCATCTCTTCCATGTTAGCATTATGATCCTTTTCGGCGCGCTCTGCCTGTAAGTTACCTTCTCCATTCTTCGCACAACCCTCTCTAACCATCCCACCCGTTATTATAGTGCGAGCTCCTTCCTCATCATCTTCATCGAAATCCCTCTCCTGCTACGCATATGTCCAACCTCTTCAAAGTTCGATACCTTCATGCGCCGCTTCACCACCAACTACATGCGCGCCGGGATCTACATCGCCATGGGCATCATTCAATGGCTTAGCCTTATAAAAGAGGCGTCAAGTTTGATTGCTGCGGCTGTCTTGCTTACACTGGCGGCGAGCTTTTATGCTTTGGCTGGAATCAAGGGCCAGGGCTTCGTGGGAAGCAAGACGCTTGGTGGGCAGGGGGTTGCGCAGATGATCATTTAGGAGGGAGGAGAGTTAGTGATGTTGGATGGTAGGGGATAATTTGGGTCAGGGTGGGATGGGAAACCATCTGGAGGAGCTAGGAACCGGTCTTGATGTTACGGCACTGAGGTCGAAACCATGTTATTTGGAATGGATGGAGAGCTAGAAAGGCGAGGAGCTTATGCGATTCGGGGTATGCGGCGTCCGCTCTCGCAAGGAGTGGAGAAGGAGAGGATGGAACGACAGCATGCGATTTGGGGGTATGGCGTTATAGGTTTTTGCTGGCTGGCTAGCCTTACTATATCATAGCTTAGCCGTCGTCGGCACTCGACCTACCTAGGTAGTGTACTTTTATGAATGCTTTTCGAATTCCCAATTCTTGCCTTATGCGGGGTTGATGTTGATAGAGGAGCAGAGCTCTGGGAGAATCAAAGGTATCTACAGCTACTTACTTAGGAATCTGGGTCTAATTGTACCTAGGTAGTGTAAAAGGACTAAAAGTCTCGATTTAGCGATGACTGTCTCAAGCTTCTGGGTTACGGAGGAGGAGGAAGTAGCTAGCTAGCTACCTATAGATAGTGTCCTATATCGGAAGATTTATTAAGGCGGTTTCTGGATTTAAGTTTAGAATCCCCAACTTTGTTTGCTTTTCCTTAGAAGCACTGTCTACAAACGTCTTAGCTACTTCAACGGCGCCCTACTATTTCGGCTTTATGCACAGTACATAAGGTAGTCAAAGTCACGAGCAGTCCACCTCTCATCAACTCAACTCCATAGCATTAGGACTAGGGCGTCATTCAAAAATCCCTCAAAGTAGATATGTCAACTCTTCTCGTTTGGCTAATAAGTTGAAATTCGACGATACTCGGTGATTGGCAGCTGCAATAAGCTCATGACCTTTGCGGGGAAACGTTTCAGCCTTTCTCCTCAAACCCAACAGAGACACGCCCCACGTGAGCGCTAAGGTTTTGATATTGTGATTGGAGATATCATAGCACGATGAAATCATATGATACGGATATCTCCCTCGACTGCTGATGAGCCTGGAGGCATCTCTCACCGCCTGTTGCTGCTCACGTTGAAGACATATAAAGCTAGGCAAATAGCTAGAGCCTAGCTTATCGGAATGCCACATGCCGTACGTAGTACAAGTAGATAAAGGTCTCCTGCCATTCGACTGTGATATGATGTTCGAGCCCATTCAGTGGGGCTTAGAGGGGCTTCTCCGTGCCAGCAACCCGTACACAAGTAGCCTATCACTGTACTGTGCAAGGTAAGCCGTTTCCCGTTATGAATTAGAGGGACGATAAGTGGTGGAGGAATCGATCTGGTGCAGATGAAGATGCAGATGGTGAGGCGCTATGTGCAAATCATGGCTTTCCAGAGCACAAGTGATAAGTCTTTTCATAAGGTACTTCGTGCAAGTACTTGGTAGTGCATGACGCTGGCCGAGTTCGCCTATTCTGCACCTGTTTAGTGGCCTACGACCTTGGCTACTGTGGCTATATACGGACCTACGTAGCTAGCTATGTACTTGTGTACTTGCTCCGTATGTACCTGAACGACCAAAGACCCCCAGACCACACCTCATCTACAACCTGAGACCCTTCCCTCACGTAGCTGATTCACACAAACACATACACAACTACGCCCAGCTTCGATGATTGATCTTTAAAGACTACCCTTTTGACACTTTTAGCATACCATGTAAGTGGTGCATCCTCTCCCATCCAGTCCATTGCATGTCTGGGGCTGCGTTGCTTCGTTTGGTAAAAGCCTCATAAAGACCTTGGCCCGGGGAGCCCTCTTGCATCATACCTTCTCCCTTGTTGGGGCTGCCTTACTTATGGCGATCCCAACATTCGCCATGGGGCTGAATAACACCTGCAGGATATCGCTGGGCCTCACTGGTCTCATTATCCTCCCGATCCATTCTCTTACCATTCACACTCCAACTGCTTGAATGGCGTATTGGGCTACTAAGGTCAAACTTTAACCCAACACCAGTTGCTGACGAGGATTGTATACAGATAAGAAGGCTTTCGACTATTACCTCCCTACCTCCAACTACGCCCAAAATGTCGACCGCCATGCCTCCAGTTCCCCCTCGTCCTACACGAAATCAGAAAGACACAGCATCATCCTCGAGCTCTATCGGGAGCGAGATGCCCAAGATCCCCCCTCGCCCGCTACCTCGTCGTCTTGACCGCTCAAGCTCACCCTCGCGGGAAAGCTTTGCGAGATCACCCCTCAACGAAACTCCCTTCCCTGCAAACCAAACCAAACTCACCTCGAGTAACCTTCGGGGCGCCAGGCGTCCCAGTGCAGAGCTCTCACAGAGCTCTCCGAATATTGCACTTCCGTCAATTGGGCAGGAAGGAAGCGAATATGCCGAGATCTTCCCAGCTCAGGATGAACCAGGGACATCTCCTACACAGACAAGGAACGTCGCCGATGACCTACAGCTTCATGCGCCGAAGCCCTCCTTAGCTCCTGAAAATGCCAAACAGAGGCTATCTACAGTCACCCGTACAGACTCAGGCCAGGCGGCATCGTTTGGCATTGGCAAGGCCAACAGCGACGATAAGGAACCAGCCTCGCATCCATTGAAGGCGAAAGCAAGTTTTGCGAGCCAGGCATCTACCAGCGCCGAACGTCCCCCATCTAGCCACGAGAGCGAACATGGCATCCCAGAAATCGGCCAGCGTGTGCCTATGCTTCCTGATGCTGGGGATGTTCAAGCTCCTTCGCCATCTCCCTTCCCCACGCCTTTTACTCCAGGAATTGGCTTTCACAATGACGGCTCGAAACCGAGACATCACGGACGCAGAACTAGCGCTCGGGACCAGGAGGTTCCCCTAGAAGCGTACGGCAGGCATGGTCATCAAGTACTCTCCCACGATCGTTTTGAAAAGGCGTACTACGAGAAACGTCCCGAACTTTTTAAGAAGGAGCTTGGTCAGTACGGAGACGCCAAGCCGGAGTGGGCTTTGAGCAGTGAGGATTTGAACAAGATTGTTCGAGATACGGCCAATAGAGGTCCTGGGCTTGGTAAGGGATACAATTGTGCAATTTGCACATAATCGATCCGAGTAGTCTAATATAATCTAGGAACATCCCCAGCGATCATGGGAACCCCAACTGAGCAAGTCGGCTTCCAAGCGACCGATGAGTATACCTCACGTATCTCCTCGCCCCTCGCTACGAATACGTCTCAGGTACTCGCGGAATCGCCATTGAGGAAGGAATCATTCCCAGCAGAACCCCATAGGGAGGCCGAGCTTGAGAGAGCTCTTTCTAGAAGTATCCACGCTCCCTCTGACGCAGCTCTTGAAAGCGAAGCTGAAGACGACGATGTGATTCATGTAGACCCAGCTCGTTCTCATAGCAGGCTCTATTCTCGTGAAGGCCATATTGATTCCACAGAAAATCTTGGAACCCCTGGTGGAGACGAGGATAGAAACCTCGAAGAGTTCGGCTATTCCGCCCCTATCTTAGCCTCTGATGAGGTCGCGAAAGAACCATTTCTCTACCCACTGCAGCCCGCGGTCTCCCCTCAGGGAGACTTCAGAGGTGGTTATGACGAGCCTGGATTTTATCACAACAGATCAGGCAGCCAAGGTAGTCTCAGCGGCAGTAGACCTAGTAGCCGCCCAGGTAGTATTCACGGCACTCTCTCCGGTTTACGCTTGCCTGATTCGACGAAACTCGAAGATCTTGAGGAGTATGAACCATTGTTCCCCGAGGATGAGAAGAATGGGGTCGATAAGAAACCTCTGACTGCGGCGGATAGATTGAAACGGCCTTCAAACCGTAAATTTCCGAGTCAAGATATCTGGGAGGATGCTCCTGATAGTTCGCGATATACTGCAACTGTGTTGACACCCCAGTTGCCGGAAGAAATTGCAGCTGAGAAAGAAACTCCTAAGGAGGAAACACCAGAGCAAGCATTTGCTAGGAAACAAGAAGAGCTTGCAGACGAAGAAGCCAGAGAGCAGGAAAGCGAGAGCTTCTTGCATCAGGAAAAGAAACCGTGGGGAAATAGTCCTCACATCCTGGGGGAAACAAGACCGGGAATGAAACAGCGCTTCCCTAGTCGAGATATCTGGGAGGATACACCCGACAGTCTCCAATTCACGACTACAGTAGCTACGCCCCAAATACCAGAAAACGATGCCCTAACCGTTCATGAAGAGCGCCCTACCACCGGTGCCGTTATATTTCACCAGGAGAACGCAGCAGCTGGATTGCCGCTGGGCAACGAGGAGGACCGTGCTACTACTGGCCTTGCTGCTGCTGTAAAACCAGCGATTCCTGCTCGTCCAGCCAAATCAAGGCTCTCGCAATCCCCAGAAAAATCACAAGCAGAACCGATAATCCCCGAACGACCAGGTCAGCGGGCACGACAAAGTCCTCCGACAGATGGCACTTCTCCTCCAGTACCAACGAAAACCAAGCCTCAGGTTCCTGCCCGTCCGTCTAAGCCAATTACACGTGGATCATCAGAAGACATCCCCCTAACCCGAGCAAAATCAAATTCTTCTGATCAAGGGGTAGCGGCAGCCGCGAAGCCAAAACCTCCTGTTCCCTCAAGGCCAGTTGGAAGCAAAATCGCTGCGCTTCAAAGTGGTTTTATGTCTGATCTCAACAAACGTCTGAAGCTTGGGCCACAGGCTCCTAAGAAGGAAGAGCCTCCTGCGGAGGAGGTTGAAGTAGTCAAGGAGAAGGCCCCATTGTCTGATGCTAGGAAGGGTCGGGCGCGTGGGCCGGCACGCAGAGCTCCCGCTAAAGCTCCCGCCCTTATTGCTGAACCCTCGGAAAAACCTGCTACGCTAGCGTTTTCTGCACCATCAACTTTCTGGCAAATTGACCCTGAAAAGGATCTCATAATTGGTGGCACTCCAGAAAAGGAAGAAGCTAAATCTACTGCACCTATAATAGAAAAGATATCGGAAGCTCCAGCCCTTGCGACGAATACTGCAGGGGAGTTATTACAGGATCCTGCTGCTAAAGAGGGGGTTGAGAAACCATCGCTACCTTCAGCAGTAGAAAAGGTCGAAGAACCTACGACGACCAAACCAAATGTCGAAGAACCAGCAACGACAGAACTAGAAGTCGAGGAACCAGCAACGACCAAATCCAATGTTGAAGCACCAACAACGATTAAACCAAGTGATGATGCCCCAGAAATAGACAAACCAAGTGATGATGCCCCAGCACCGACCAAACCAAATGGCGAACCTGCAGCTACTTCGGAGGGTGTCTAGGAATCTGGGGAAGAAGATGTGATTCCGTCGACTAATACTCTGAAGACTGAAGCAGCGAATGAGAATGTAGATTAGATATACACGTTTCTACCCTTTTCTACCTTTTCCTTTTAATCCGCTAGAGTAGTTGGTATGTAGGAAACAAGCAATAGCAACGAGTACAGAAATAATATATGAGTTCTAAGCAGAGTTTAGCGTGCTAGTGATTCCTGATCTACGTGAGACAAAATCGCTTTTCTAGTGTACAAATCTCAATATGCTACATACAGAGTGGATTTGCGACCTTATTCGACGCACTTACTCCATAATTCGGCGTTATATTTCTATCCGAACATTCAATTGCCACAGGGGAAACGCTTGATAACCTTGGTAATCAGGGCAAACCTCTGAACGACGTGTATAGGCAGCTTTTGAAGTGTTCACGACACTTGCCTAGTACTAATAAACAGTCGGAAACTATTATGTTATGTTCACTGCCTTTCGCACAGCGAGTTAAGTCATCAATCATAGTATCATCATATTATTCATCTCAACCTATCCTCCTTAACTTTAAAATGTCATCTAGCTTTACCACTCCTTTCCCACCCCATCCCGCAACACCACTCTCCACGTCTGGTCTAACATGGACATACCAACCCCAAGCCCGTCTATCCAACTCCTCCTTCCCAATATACTCAACCCAGCTCTTAAACAGCAAATCCAGTGCACCGAGCAACAATCCCAAATTTCCTTCCTTCTCCCTTTCCAGTGCCACTCCAGACTTTTTCTTCTTCTTGCCTTCCTCGTCAGCTGGGGACGCAAACGCTTTCAAAATATATGACCGCGCGCCGTCAGGTTTATAAATAGGGAGATTATCACCAATAACAGCTGAGTCCGTACTCTTCATCCCCTCGAGATCTAATCCCCATAAAGCCTCGTGGCCAATGACACCGGTGACACGCAGACGCTGGGATAGGGCATCCCGAGATACTTCGGACATTATTCGCCACCTATCTGGACCGAGGAAGACACCGCCGTACCAGCGGGAAACGACCAGTAGCACATTCGTTAAATTAGATGAGCGGAGGACAGAGAGGAGGTGGCGGCCGCCACCTGTTTCGCCGTCATCGTTGGATTGTTCGATTATGCTGCCGCTGGAAGCGGAGGATATACGGTAGGCGGTTATATTGTGAGATGCCGACTCGAGTGAAGGGTTATTAGAAAGGAGCGTTTGGAGCATAGTGCTAGCTTGTGGTGCAGAGGTCACGGTGATTGAACGGGCGACGAATTTGGAATTTTTGGATGTTATTGGCGCGGAGATTGTCCATCCACTCTGGCCTTCACTTCCTGATCTTGACGGTTTTGAATCGGATTTTGAAGGGTCACTGATCGTTCCTTGGCCTTCAACATCCTCGTTCTTATTCCCACCAGCCTTCTCCTTCCCTTCCCTCGTCGAGCTCGAAGCTTCGAGTTCAGCACCCGATTCAGCAAATGAATCCTCCCTCCATTGATATCCACTCCTCTTCAAAACACTAATCTCCCTTCCCATAATTTTAACCTTAGGCTGCCCCATCCCCCAACCCAGCTCCTCCGCACTCTTCCCCCGCTCCAACCCCAAACTCGCCGCCTTGCTCCTCGAATTAACGCTCACAATAGCCTGTGCCAGACTAAGTTTGCTACTCAGCGGCTGCTCTGGCATCGTATATTTCAACAACTGCAGCGCAAACGCTAGCACTAGGGGTGCTCGGTTCGTGTATATTGTGGTCTTGGAAATGGCATCTTCGTCTGCGGAGGGCTGGGGGAGGGCTAGAGAGGCTTCAAGCTCTTGGGGAGTTTGCGGCGCGTCCATCAGGGAATACGCGGACTTGGTACGTTTGGCAAAGGGCGGGAGGCTTGAATCGGAATCGGTCGGTCGTTTGGAAGTGCTGGCCGTGCTGGTGGAGGGTGATTTCAAGTGCGCTTTACAGGCTCCAAGGAGATATTTGGCCGCCTTTTCATCGGAGATGGCGCTTGTTATGGTAGGGAGGGTAGCATGTGTTATGTCTGATATACTTGAGTGCTGTTAGCAGGTATATAGCAAGGTGGTGGGATAGGATGGGATTACCTTACCTTCGCAGGTCTACGTCTTGGAGAGCCTTCACGCGTCCCATTGCTGCCATCATAGGAAGCTTGTTACGGCCTGGAGCTGTCGTAAGCAGGCGCAGCAGGTCTTGCACATCCTTTTGGGACGCCATGATGATTATCGTCTCGAGCTGATGTTGATGTTTTTGAGGGGTCAATGCTGCTGGCGGGCAGTGTACTTATTGTAGTAACTACTCAGGTGGCTAGGGTCCAGCGTGCTAACACGCAAAAAATAATCACAACTAATTATCGATTTAGGTTTCCAGGAGGTATATTGTTGTAGTTGAAATCGTCACATTCTTTGGAACTGTCCGGCCAATATACAATACAATTGGATACAGTATCGCCGGCGATAACACGTTGTATAACCAGTGCCATGTACGAAGTACGGTTATAGGAAAGGTATTGAGCACCCTACTAATAAACAAGGGAGCTATATGGTATTCTAAAAAGTGGTGATTTCATTGAAAGGGACGTGTATTTGCTTGGTTGTGAAGTTAGTTCTGCTTGTAGTCTCCGGACATTTGTATAGTATATGCTGCTAGCACCATATAGTGCCCACTATATTAAAGTAGAAACGGACAATCTACAGAGGCATAGTCTCAAGTTAAAACACAATTATGGTTGGAATTGGAAATGTCAACCGTCATAGCCCCTCAACTCGATCTATTGGTCCAGGCAATGAGAGTAAATTCGTATTGCACTACCTAGTACAATTAATAGTAATTTATATATTAATCCCTTATTTTCATCACTTCTCTTCCTAGTAGAAATGAATTTTAATTGATAGCAGTAGCTTTTATAGACAGCTACGTCCGTAGCAAACCACCTATTACTACTAATAGATGCCGAGGTTAAAGCTCGAAGCTACCATCAAGCTGCTTAGGAACTGTTCTTCAAAAACTAACACTAACGTAAACCTTTCAATTAGTACGTCTTCTTCAATACTGAGATATCGTAGGTACTATGAGTTATAGGAAGTTTTATGAGGCATAGTGGTAGATAGATTTTACATTGTAATCATTAGAAGTGCTTTGAGAGTGAGATTGAACGATCTATAGTTAAGGTGTATAGAGAAACTTATGGTAGATTGAGAATATCTGAACAGGAGTATTTGTGTTTTAACTTCAGGAGGATATACTCTTTTTATAACCCGTATTCCAAAGAGTAATATATCCAAATGTTTCAGATATACTGAGAAATATCAGAGGTTAATAATTTCAATGGTTTTAAGACAATGTTTCATCAAGTTTAGGAGGGCCACACTTTTCGCTATCGATGCGCCTACTGTCGTAGATTAGGAGACAAGGAAGGTGGGCAAGTGTTTCGTCAACTAGAGGGGTTCGGCGGCTAAGGTACCTACCTCATGGAGTATACAGCGCTTGGCAAACCTAGTAAAACTGTTTATTTTGACATAAAATGCCCACGGAACTCATGTTATCACCGGCCCGGCTTCGGTGATATCGGAGTTACGCATTCATCTATTTCGTACTCCTATGAGTCTTCGTTATATTTATATACTACTTCCTAGCTTCAAAAATTATACTCCTATCTCCTAGGCTGTATCAAGCGGTTGGTTAAATTGCTTTGCAAATGAACCACCAAATCAAAGCCATGAAGCTCATCGTTACTGGTTGTACCGGGTTCATTGGAGCCGAAGTCTTGTCCCAATGCCTTGCTAACCCCTCTATTACGTCCGTAATTGCTCTCTCGCGCCGCGAGCTGCCAGATGCTGTCGGTGACAATCCAAAGTTGAAAGTGGTGATTATGAAAGATTTCAATTCGTATTCCGATTCTGTCTTAAAACAGCTTTCTGGTGCGGATGCGTGTATATGGTAAACTCCTCTCTCATTCCCGTTTCATAAAAATAGGCTTGCTAACTAACTTCAACAGGTGTATGGGTACAACAGCCGGTGACAAAGCTTTGGAGATCGACTACCCCCTCGCATTCGGCAATGCCATGTCGAAGACGCTCCCCGAGAGCAAAAAGAAATTCCGCCATGTGCATCTAAGCGGTGCACTAACGGAGAGGAATCAAGAGAGGTCGCTCTGGTTCCTTGGAAACATGCGGAAAGTCAAAGTAATGAACTCATAACTATTATATACACTTTCCAAGAGTGTTTGAATACATGTGCTAACAAATTTCCCAGGGAGCAGGAGAAACAACTATGCTTTCCTTTGCAAACAAATCAGAAACTGGAGGTATGTGGGAGACACTGATCGTCAAAGCTGGTTTCGTCACAAACGTGCAACCCAAGGGTCTTAGGGATGTGATAGGGCCGCGCATATCGAGTAGTATCCGGGTTGATGAGCTGGCTGCTACCCTAATGGACGCTGCGATGAACGGCAGGGAGGTGGATACCATCGACGATAATATGGCTATGGTTGAAAAGGGAAGGGCGCTTCTCTCAAAAGCAACGTGATAGCGAAGGCACTATAGTTCAAATTTACTAGCCCCTTGTTATAGCGTATTATTGGGCGAATTTGTGCAACCCTCTTTTCGCTAGAAATATTATATATATAATATCGAGCTTCTGTACTATTTTTATACGATCTACATAGTCGGCGTATAGTACTATACTCTGTTATTCGAATATCTAGCTAGTTACGAAGTAGAGCTATTCCTAGATCTCAACTAATATATTCAAGTAGGGTAAATATCACAATTTCGGTGAGATATTCGCGCGATTTGAATATCTTAATTTCAGATAGATATTTACAAGACTTGAATACTTCAATTTTAGTGAGATATTTGTACGACTTGAATATCTCAATTTCGGTCAGATATAGAGGCTTGGGCTACGGGGTATAATGGCCTGATTTTAGGAGTTATCTTACTTTGCGATTAGCTAGATATTCGAATAATAATTATATATACAAACCATCTAGACTGTATAGAAAAGAGTATAGGAGCGGGATATTAGATTTGTATCTGAGTAATGGTCGTTGGGCCATACAATATTCACGAGAAGAGTGTTGCACCAAATTCCCCCAAGAATGCGCCATACGGTACATTTGAGAATATGGTAGATTGTTCGAGGTTTAGTCGCAACCTTGATTTATACGTTGGAGCGTAAGATCTTACAGGAATTATTACCGTAGTAGCAAAGAAGAGAGTAAATCGGGTTTGCTGATCTGTAATCAAAACCAACACCTGAGCACTTGCCATGGGGGCCCGCTATGATATAAAGGATATCCTGCTTGTTAGCCAGCCACAAATGCTTTATGGCCTTTGCACAACAGCGCTCCAAGTTCCCGGGCTTCGGGGTTCATTGTGACCTTGGCCCGATCTGGCATGACTTGTCTATTAAGATTGAAATCGCCTCATACGCTTCAACTCACTGGCAGATCGGTGGTGCAAATAGATCAGAGTTCCCATTTTATAATACAAATAGAGCCACCCACCCCTTCCTGGATGACAATAAGCAAGTAAAATCATGTCCACGCCATATGTCTGTTTTCTGCGCCCTCCATGCCCGTATTTTGCCCCATCTTGTCTTTCATACAGAAAGTGGGAACGAAAACATTATCATGTAAGATGCATTAACTAGGAAAGCATTGCAATCCCTAACCCCGCCCAAAGTGCCGCAAATCTTGCAAAATACGCCCGCCCCTCGCTTGCTATGCAGAGAACAAATATTTAATGATCTGGGACAATGAACGCCGGTTTCGCTTTTTCTGATAGAATATGTAACATTTAGGAAACCGTTCTTTGCGACAATAGTGTCTTAATTAGTGGAGTGCAAAGTTGGCGAGGGAGGAGTCGGAGGGAATCCGCACGGGACCTCGTGCTGGTAGTTGCTATTGAGTATTGATGCCTGTGCCTATTGCTCACATTGGAATAGGACGGGTTGCAATGGCCGCGAAACGTTCAACCACCTATAATTTTGAGATCAGCAATTGTCCAGACTCTAGGGCAATCAATTTACATACATCTGGATTCGATTTGATGAAGGGTAGATCAAAGAACATATACTTCTCGTTCTTGACAAGCTCATGAATGGTAACAATAAGACCCCAGGGGTGTGGCCATTGTCCAATTAGCCTCTCCAGGAGTATGCGGGTGATTTGCTGCCGGATATCAGACTCTTCTTGGTCGTTGAGGTCACTGCCAAACACTTCCAGCAGCGCCTGGCTAAAATAATGAGTATGGGCATTGGGGAACCGCAGTTGGTCAATGAGACTGCTAAGAAGGTAGTATCGTGCTTCAGGGCGGAGCTCATGAACGAGCATGGAGATTAATGCAGCATCAGGAGACGCCGGAACATAGGATGGCCCGCCTTTCTGTGTGGCTCTGGCGATGGAATGCATGCCCACGTAGACCACGAGGGACTCAATCAGCTTGCGGTCCACGTTGATAGGGACAAATCCAGGTCCAGATTGGCGTCCTTTTCTCTGCTGAATTGCATGAGCAATATGAGCAACGGCATCTTCAGAGGGGCCGCTTTGTAGCGCCTGATCAAGCACCTGTATTAGACCAGACTGTCGCAGGGGCGCCTCGACATCATTCATATTGTCCGGAGACTCACGAATTTCATCAATTCGGTCAATCTTCAGGCCTGGCTGTAAAGGATCAGGTAGCTTGGAGAAGGGTGCTGGATTGGCATTTAGGATCAAGTTGTGAAGCTGAATGCAGTGGCTTGGAATGTTGGCGCAAAGCTTTGAGTGATTGGCCGCGACAAAATCTGGGAAGTCATGTTGCAAGACCACGAGTATCTTGAGTACTCCCTGATATATCTCCTTAGTCACTGGTGTGAGGTGCAACGGTTTGAGAAGCTCGCCAGTATACGATGTCAGATTCTCCATAAGGTTGGCGAACGGCTCCCAACCGACTTGGCCAGGAAGTCTCAACAGGTGGGGCATGAAGTCACGGTGGGCGACTAGGCCAAGCCATCCGAACATGAAGCCAGGGAAATAGGAAGGCTGAATATCCTGGAAGATGCGCGCAAGTACTAAGAGGGTTTGTTGGCGTTCAGACTCCGTGAACTCATCCTCTAGAGTATTGAATTCGGTGAGGATTGTGGAGAACAAGCGGAAGAACACCTTTTGATTGAAGTGCTCACCACGAATGACATGATGGTGGTTCAAGACCAAGACAGCCAAAGATAGGATTGACTTGAGGAAAAGAGGCCTATCGATCTTGACTTCACCTTCACGCTCGCGTCCGATGACAAGCAGCGCAATAAGCTTTGCAAGCGAGTCAATCGAGATGTAGCCATCGTTGATGCTGCCATTGTTTTGGGTGTGTTGCTCGAAGCGGTCGACAGAAGAGTCAATTGAAAGGCGTAAGAAGAGGCACAAGTCATCCCTATTGTTGATAATCTGCTTGTCGTACATTTGTGAGATGAACTGTTGTGTCGCTTTCTCACTAGCATTCGGGTTACTGCATAGATGCACCCATTCCTCGAAGATATAGTCCATTTGATCTTGGCGTTCAGCCATCTGGTCATCATTGCTTCGGCCAAGGGATTGAGGAAGACCAGAGCTCGTCAGCTTCTGCTTCAGTTGTTGCCCAATTTCAAGTTCTGGGTCCTCCTCGATCCATTGCCACGCAACTTCTAGGCTCTTTGCGAAGTCGGCATATAGTGCAATAGGGGAATCGTTCAGTAGAACCGCGTCAAGCAAGGACGACAAGAAACCAAGAGCTTCCTCCTTGCGCTGCAGGATGGCTTTGGATGCAGCCGAATCGATACGCTGCCACTCCAACATGTCGGCTTTAACTAGCGCTGTGACCAAGGCAACATTTAATAGAGCTTCACCAGGTTGGTGCCCAATAAAGAGAGCCACCCTGCTCGCAAGTCTGCCGCCAATTCTGCAGATATTCTGCAGGACATGGACCAGGCTCTCCACAAGGAGATCGTCTTCTTGAAGGCCACTGAAGAGTAGCCCGCAAATCTGATCTACAATATGGATATCCAAGGATTCTGGGCCTTGGGCGCTTCTGAACATCAAGCCATACAAAGCATCGAGAACGTCAAGGACTGGGTGAGGCCGTGGCAGATCTGCATAATGCTGCTCAGAGGCCTCTCCACAGACACGCTGTAGTTCAATTAGGGTTTTATGCACTTTGTCTGCCACGCTTCTGATATCCATCGTTATAGGCATTCTCGCATTGGCCATGCTGGCGTTTGGTTGAACATACGGAGGTTGCTGATTGCTGAGATGGGGCATCGCCGGAGGTTCTGCTGGTGTTGGAAGATTGGGTACAGCGGGATACTGGTCTTGTAAAATATCATTCGCCATCGATCTTGTCGTATCAGAGGCTGAAGGAATGTGAGTAGTGCCTGAAAGGGATGGTGCACGTGGTTGTCTTGCAAATTCATCATAGATGGCCATTTGATCCTGGTTCAAGCCGCTCATAGATGGCTGCAGCTTGTATGGACTTGGAATCGTCCATGACCAGCGGCTTAGTTCAGGGTCATAGTAAGGTTCATCTGGCCTCAAGGCTCTGTGTTGGCGACGCCGTTCAAGTTCGGGTTCGATCATCTCCTCGATTTCGGGCACAGCACGTTCCTCTGCCTTCTTCTCCACTTGGCTACATGCTAGGTCGAGATTCGAGTTGACACACATGATGATAGTTCCCTCAGGTAAACCCTGGGGCAGCTCTTGAGACAGGGCCCTGATGTAGTTTGTCATACCGGCCCGTAATGGCTCCTTTGACGTGACTAGGGCAAGGCTACCTGCGGTCTTCTTTACCATGTTGATTGCTGCAGACCGGACTCTGGCTTCGTTTGGTTCAGTTGCAAAGTCCTTGTGTATCATCTGGGCAGTTGAGATGGCGGCAATAGTGACAGAGCGCTCCACGACAGGAGAAATAATTTCATGAACTGCACGGGTGATCGCAGTTCTGAGGATTTCCTGTAGGCGGGGTTGATTGACGAGGTCATTGGTAGGTGGATAGACGAGGAGAGGTCCAAGATCTGGGATGGACGAAGTGATTTCTTGAGGTGAGAACCGTCCACTTCCAACGCCAGCACCGATTCCGTTCAATGACAAATTTTCAAATCTATCCATGACCTCTGGGGCCATCACTTCTGTAGCTTCTTCGATGGGTGGAACACGGTTCATGATATCGGCCGAAGGTTCGATTCGAGTATGGTCTAACTCCAGCTCTGTACAAAGCACCTCGATCTCGAATCTCTGATTGAGCTTTAGCTCGGCATGATGATAAAGTTCAATCAGAAGCTGAACAATGTCCATGATCCAGGGATTCGGCGGTTTGAAGACTGTTGAATATTTGCCCTGAGCAAGAACCTTGCAGACAAACGGGATGACGATAATCAGCCGCTGGGTATCATAGGCCTCCATAAGTAGTTGCTTGAATGCAATGTTCCTGTGCTTGATAGGCTTGTCTCGAGCAAGTGTCAGGGAACCTAACCAAACCCCCAAGTTCTTTAGATGTGCTCGCTCTACCTGGGACTGCATTGTGGCTTCAGAATTGAGCATCCGGATGGCACTGATGTAAGTCTCGCGTAGAGTCTCCGCCCAGAGGGTTTTTCTTCCGAAGAGTTTGACAAGATCCAGGTATAGTTGATGGTAATTTGGTTGCATCTTCGCTCGCTCCTCGACCAAATGGCCCGCGAACCACTGCTGATTATGTTCGTCCATTACATCTTTAAGCTCGTTGAATTTGGTCTCCAAATTGTCAGCGGTGATATTGTTCAACACAAACTGGATTTTCTCCTGGGCATCTGTGCTAGGATCTTCACTGTTACCATCCACTCGTGGATCAACGTTCAATGCGCTGAATGGAGGGGCAGTGGGTTCATTGGCAAGCATTTCATCGATGTTCCCGTTGGTCATTGGGCCCCCGTTCATTAATGGGTGATGACCGGCATCCCCAAATCCATTACGAGCCATATCTTCCTGGTGACCGCGGCAAACATCTTCAGCTTTATTCCAGGCTTCGGTTCCTTGAAGCCCGGGAACTTGAAGTAGCTGATTGCAGAATCCTGGCCACTCGCGCAGTCGAGGGTACAGTTGAATAAGAGCTTGTAGGCCAAACTTGTACATTGATTCGTCGGGAGGGTGGTCTCTGACAGCTTCAAGGATCATGCCAAGGCCAATCTCAAGAGGAATATCGGAGATTAGTTTGTGCGAAATGATACCACCAAACAAGACCGCGGTGGTAGCAAGGGCCTCTAGTGGATATGTGCCATAAAGGGAGTATTCGTCGAATAAGCCATGGATCATGCAAGCGAAGACATCTTGATCGGCTGGATCACGCGAGTGCTTGTATCGATCAAGGGCCTGTACAACGTCCCGAGGCTGCAGATCTTGGTTGTACATTCGTTTGTAGTGCTCCTCCATCTTCTCATTTGCTTCCTTGGGCAAGGAGTTAGATTCTCTGCCATTCGTATCGATAATGTCGTCGAACCCTTCTCCATAGTTGATGAGTCGAGGATATGCGGTAATACACGTCCGTTGAACGATGATGAGATCCGGTTCAGGTGTCTTTGGGAGGATCTCACTGAGGATGTTCAACAGAGCAGAAATAGTCTTGACAGGAAGCATGACGCTGACCAATTGACCGTCTTCAGAACGCTGATAATCTAACTCGTGACGAGCTTTGATGTTCAAGAAGGTCATCAGAGCTCGTGCAAGTTCCTGATTTCGGCCAGTGTTCATCTGTGCCCATTTGTCGAGGTCCAAGAAACCACGCGCATGCGCAAGGGCTGTGAGGTCGAGACCAAACCCGCTCAGGATAAGGACCAAATCCTCGAGCCATTGGTGTCTGATAGAGTGGTCGAGTATAGTAGGCAGTTCCATGGGAGCTTTTGCATGAGCGTCGACCAATCTCCCGGCAACCCAACCCTTATCCTTTCGCCACAGGCCTTCCAGAACGAAGTCGTAATTAGGATCATATTTGTACAAGAAGCGATCAAACAAGGTGTTGATGGTGTCATTCGCAATCTCAGGCCACGGTTTCGGCACACCAAAGGCTGAGACCAAGAACACATCCAAATTCGGAACAACCACCCCTTGGAAGAGCCTCTTAGCTTCAACAGTCTCAGATGCGCTTTGTGCATGCAACGCGACATGAAACATAGCCGACAAGGCGGCCGCCGACACAAGAGGGTGTTTGACTGCCCGGGCAGCGCGTTCGTAGATCTCGGGTTCAGCGCCAGTAAACTCCTCCAGAGTGAAAGAGAACTGGAGCCCTGGGATGGATGTAGCATCCAATTCATCCGGCGCCAGGGAGAGGAATGCACCGATAAAAGACAGCTGAGTCTCAGAATTCTGCCACTTGCCACCCCACATTTGCTGTATATCAAGAAGCTCATCAACCGCCAGAGGTCGGAGAGCGGAATAGAGGGCAAGGAATTGTTGAGAAGTTATTCGTAGGTCTGACTGGTCGAAGTTTGCGACAACCTGTGACCAGCTAAAATCTTTCGACACTTCCTTTCGAAGGCTATTTACCAACGTGGATGTTGAGAAGGAATGGGTTCGGCTGATTGTAGTATAAATTAAAGCCGCTGCAACCTGTGCCTCGTCAAGCGGTGGATCTCCAACATTGCGCAGATAATTTCTGCAGGATTCCTCATCGGCGGTCATGGCTGAGCCAATCCGCTGTATGTATAGAACTAATTGATTGCTGTCGCTCAGACTTCTCAGGAGGTAAAGGGCTGCTAGAACCTCTGTTGAAGGCGTCGCATCTGGCCCAGAGTTTGCATATCGGTAGTGGATGGCAAGGTGAAGATCTTGCCGGGCTTGATTATCGAAATTGGGAGGGTGCTCTTGGATGAAGCGGTCTATAATGCTTGCTAGGAAGCTGGGTGTGAGGTCTGCATGCTCGGGGCTAGGCCGCGCGAGTGATTGCAAGAAATTGGTGTAGTTCGCGGAGAGAATGGCGTCGGCTGGGACCTGTTAGCATGACGGAGCGCATCTTGATGTGTTCACCTACATTTTGTTTTCAGATCTGACCTTGATCCGGTCTTGAACGCCAATGCTAGAATAGTCTTCTCGAGCGCATCTAGCTTAAAGTGTTCCATGAATGTCGACAAGTCGAAATCGCGGAAGATATCTTCATTTGCGGTCTCTATCGACTCCGCGATCTTCCCAGCCTGGTCGACATCGTGAGATACTTTGCGCACTTCGTTGACAAGCACCTGGTAGTTCCCAGCATTTGCTACTGGTCTGTTCAGGCCGGGGAATATTTGAGGCGCATTGCCAGCCACAAGACGACTGAAGTATTTCTGAAATACTTCCATGCCGTGTTCATCGATCAGCTGTGAAGAAGGCGCCATCAGTCGCTGTTGTATCAAGAAAGGGAGAGCGCGTATATACCTTTCTGAGCTGGTCAGCTTGGAGTTCCCACTTTGTGCGATCCTTATCTTCCTTGATCGTGCTGAGAAGGAGGTAGACTTGGGCGACAACGATTTTCGTAAGGGAGTTGGATCCAGTAGGACTGTTCGTGCTGGGGCTAGCGCCAGCACTGAAAGCACTATGATGGGAGCCGTGGGGCGAATGGCTGACGCCTGTCACAATCGTTTGCTGTGCGGGCGAAGGTGTGAAAGTCCCCCCTCTTGAGTTCACCATCGAAGTTGCTGGTATTCTGGCGCAGACCCACTCCGGAGAGCTAACTCTCGATCTCTAGAGACGAAAGTAGATCTACCGGGGAGGTATGGACATCGATGAGGGTGATGCGAATATCGAGGAGGGTTGTAGAGGTCGAGAGACCTGGGGGGGGTTGTATTGGTGGTGGTGAAGGTGGATGGGGATAGTTGGCGTTGACCTTGAAGTTGAAGAACGTAGTCGCGACTATGGTTGTTCACAGCAGCTAGCCTATTTGGGGCTAGTGCCAGGGCGCTGTGCGAGGTACGGGGAAGCCTGAGCTCTCGTGGCCAGGTATGGATGCTTAAAACATTGCAGATGTACGGAAATATCTACTGGAAAGGAATCCAGGCAGGAGTATGTATTGCCTTTTACTATTCCTGTTGTCGATGCCAATGGGGCCTCCGATCCCGCGACATCCTCTTTATCTTCCCTTCTGCCGCCAGGCGATGGTGCCGCGAACGCGGCACCACCACCATATCATGTCTGCAGCCGTCCAGTCAGGACAGCAGCATCTGCAAATACTAAGGTCAAGCTAGTTATAGGGCTAAGTATCGCTATAAAGTTTATACGGCCTGTAGGCGAAGTCTATTGAATTGTCGCGGTCGGCGTGAGGCACTCTAGCATGTGGGGGCACATTCCCAAGCTGATATGATGAGAGTAACATTGCACCCCGTAACATATCTGAACTATAGTGATATCACACGGGGCCCCAAATAGGTATATTTGCTATCAAGGCCGATCTTTCATTTCGGTTCAGATATACCAAGACAAAGAGCTGCGGCCATCTTCAATCATGCGCCTAGGGAGAATACATGAGGTAGGAATTTATACCTAGGTAGGTGAGTGTTGATCGGCTCAAAACAACACAAACCGTGTAGATTACTAGAACTTAAACCAAAACTTACGAGGAAGTATTTATGAAGCCGAGCTACTGTACCATGGGACCTATTAGCTCATATCTACCAAGAGGATTGCGCATGAACAATGGGAGTTCCAGGTTGTGTGCAGCTCACGTGACGTCACATTTGCATTCCAGAATTCCGGAAGCGCCAGCTCCAGTTGCCGTGGCGACCAAGTAAACACGACACTTCATCCACCGCTCCATTTCCATATCTTGACTAAGTTGCTCCCTGCCCTTAACACTCAGCCATTTCATTTCAGCCCTCTCCTTAGAAGACTGGACTTCTACCTCGTTTTCTTTGAATACTTGTACTTAATTTAAGCACTTGTTGAAATTTACTCGGTGTGTGTCGACGCAGGACTGATCGAAACCAAACATCACTACGCCGTTGGATTGGGCATCATGCCAGGAACGGTGTCAGAGGGTCCGTCCGTGGCTCTGAGTTTTGCCAACAATTTTTGGGGCAAAGATGACGCTGGAGTCGACCCTTTACTTCAGCGCATGCACAATGCAAAGGTTACGTGCGACGAATTGAAATCGTTCTACCAAGGTATGTGATTGAGGACCGAGGCCCCCCCCCTCTTTCCCTGCTGACGCCAGTTCATAGCCCGCGCCTCGATTGAAGATGACTACTCTCGCAAACTATTGTCCCTTTCCCGCAAGCCTTTGGGGTCCCAGGAGGCGGGCACACTTAGGGCCTCGTTGGATGTCCTACGAGGAGAAGTTGAGGCGATGGGGAAATCCCATCAGAATATCGCGGGACAAATGAAGACAGAACTCGAGGAGCCGCTGGCGGCATTTGCAGGTGCTATGAAGGAGCGGAGAAAGATCGTACAGAATGGAATAGAGAAGCTATTGAAAGTCAAGATACAGCAGACGAACCAGGTTAACAAGGTATGGCCCCATCACCTCTCGCTCAACTGTAGCAGGTACTAACCACCATACACAGACTCGGGACAAGTATGAGCAAGAATGTTTAAAGATCAAGGGATACCTAGCACAAGGCCACATGGTCATGGGCCAAGAGGAACGGAAGAACAAGGCGAAGTTAGAAAAGACCCAGATAAACCTCGCAACATCCAATACGGAGTACGAAAGTGCAGTCAAAGTTCTCGAGGAGACCACCGGACGATGGAACAGAGACTGGAAAGGTGCCGCGGATAAGTTCCAGGACCTTGAGGAGGAGAGATTGGATTTTATGAAGAGCAGTCTCTGGAGCTTCGCAAACATAGCCTCGACGGTTTGTGTTAGCGACGACGCGTCCTGCGAGAAAGTTCGACTGTCGCTCGAGAACTGCGAGGTCGAAAAAGACATAGTTTGTTTCATCAAGGAAAGAGGAACAGGCCAGGAGATACCTGATCCACCGAGGTACATCAATTTCTGCCGTGGAGATGTTAGCGATACACAATCCGAAGCATCAGAAGATGACAGCTACTCAGTCGCACAATTCCAGCGAACTATCAACCCAGCTTATAGAAGCTCCTCTCCTCAACCTTCCACATACGAATCTCACCATGATCCCAAATCAGCTCTTGCTCGAGACTTCGGCCACGAACCCGGAACCCCTGAGAGTCGTGAGGCCACTGTAACCCCACAGAAAATGATACCCGACCGATCCAGGCAACCGCAACTTGACTATCAAGCTCAACCTACCAGGAACCAATACGATCAGAGTCAACATGGCGCGTTGGCTGCTGTACCGCATGATCCCTATCCAATGGATGGAATGACAATGCTATGTCGAACAGGGCCCCCTTCAGAGAGAAGCTCAGCACTCAGCGGGGGAGGTCGGCCTTCGAGCCGCGACTCTCAAAGCGAATATTCCAACCCTACCTCATTCTCAAGTCAGGAACCGCCTAGCGGTAAGACATCTCCAGTCAAGCAGGTCGGCCCGCCAGCGGAGAAACAAGTTTTGAAGAAGAAGAGCGGGTTTTTCCAAGGCCATAGCCCATTCAGACGCAAGAGCAATAAGGAGAAGGATCATTCAAGGACTGTTGGCGCCCCATCAAACCGAAATACATGGTCTGCCAGCCGCACTACGAATAATCAAAATGATCAATCGCGGCGATCTCAGTATGGTCAAGATTCTCAAAGCATGATGATCAGTGACAGAGCCACTCACAGTCCGGAACCGGTTGATCCTCGAGCGAACTTTCAACTAAACATAGGAAATAATGTGTTTGATGTCCAGGCCTCGGACCGAAAGGCAAAATCTGGCCAGAAGGGATCTCAACAGGAGGAAGAGCTAGATCCAATTGCCCAAGCTCTCGCCGAGTTGAAGGGCGCAACCAAGGCTTCTTCGTCACGAGTCTCAGCAGATAACTATCACGGGATACCAACTCCAGCCCCTGGAGCAACCCCTAACTCTCGACTGGGAGGGGGTCAGATGGCTAACGGTGCTCTAATGGCCGGAGTACGAGGCACACCGCCCCCATCCTATGATCAGCCAGTATCAAGACTTGGACTTCCACAGCCAGCCTTCACTTCCAAAGCGATGCAACAGACTCGGCAGAAGTATGAAGACCAAGCAAGAGAGATGTTCAAAGCGCCCCAAGCACGTCCTGACTCCCAGGGAGGATACGGTTCAGGCTCGCAGTCTCGGCCAGGAACGCGAGGGAATGATATGCCACGAGCTACATCTCCAGCCCCGCCCCGCAGCGTATCCCCCCGTCCAGGCATGCAAGTAGATACCAGACAAGGATATCGATCTGCTTCGCCCAATCCTTATGGTGGGAGTCAGCGCTCTCGGACCCAATCCGCTTCTCCCCAAAAGCGTGGTTCTGACCAAGGCTACTACCGCCACAACTCGCCGAACGAGGTCGCTCGAGCTGTTTCACCAGCTCCTTTCAGAGACCAGGAACGACCTAACAGTAGTCATGTTAGCAATGATATGGCTGTCCAGCTTGCACCTGCTGGCGATGGGTACGGATCTCAAGGACGGGGAAGCGGACGATCGGGTGGTTCTAGTTCTTCGAGAACAATGAGTTACTATGAAGGCAGTGGTTCACAACATGGTTCGGCCACTAGGCAACGGAGCAAGAGTGTTGCGGATGTTAGACAGTATAACAGAGAAGGACGGCCAATTTTACACTTCGGTAAGTTCCCTTTGCACTCCCGTATATTGACCAGGATGCTAACTATCTCAAGCACGAGCCATGTACATGTACCAAGCAGCTATTCCGGAGGAGCTGAGTTTTGCTAAAGGCGACATCCTGGCGGTGTTGAGACATCAAGATGATGGATGGTGGGAGGCGGAAATTGCTGGGAAGAATGGACGACCGGGCTTAGTACCCAGCAATTACCTTCAGAATTGCTAATGATTTTGACGGGCTAATGATCTGGACTAACGGATGGTTTGATTTTGTGTTGTTTATCTACATTTTGAGGAAATGCGCGTTGGCAAGTTACAGCGTTGATATTCTTTCTTGTCTCGGGATTTCGCATGGGATTTGTACATTTGATGAGACGAAGGGTCTCAAAGAGATGAATGGAGTTTTGAAACATGCCCAAAGCCGTGATGTGATGTCCTTTGACTAGCAAAGAGATCAAATATTCTATACAATTGAAATAATTCTAACCTTGAGTTGTAATTCCAATTCCATCTCCATCCATACTGTAAAATCCCAGCTATTGTATGCCATGTTCATTCCGGGATATTCGTCCGCGGTGCCGAGAGTGGATGCAAATGTCAAGCATGTGGACGTCATTCCGGGAGCGAGGGGAAGCTCCACCAGCTCCAGCTCCAACGCCAAACGTCAACAACACCAAGATTCCGAAGCACCACGACGACGACAATCGCTCCCTGCCCGCTGCGGCCACGGCAACGCAGCAAAGGCCAAAATGGTACGTATATCCAGCTTCCAGTCCTTCCTTTTCCATATCCTTCTACAAGATAACCCTACTATTTCAAACGGCGGCTGCTAATCCTTTCCCAATTCCAGGACCTGATCCTGGAACCCTTGCGGGTCGCGACATCGAAGCCAGCACGGAAAACATACCTCAACACGCTACTCTTCCTGATAAGCTCGACATTCCTGCTAGTCCTAGCGACCGGTGCTTATGCTGCGTTTTATTACAATTATGTGCCGCAGATTGGGACTGAGAGGGTTATTCATTTGCAATATGGGTGGGTTTGTTACTTTTACTTGCTTTACATTCCTTTCTAGGTGTTTAGCGTATCTAAATAGATTGATGGGTGCTAATAAAGGCATATGTTATAGAGATGGTCCACATCCATATGGAATCGCATGCCTGGACTCGGAATTGATCTCCCAACAAGCATACGATATCAGCATCACCCTGCGTGTCCCGCGCTCACCACCGAACCTCGACACAGGGAACTTCATGCTCTCCCTCAACCTGCTCTCACAATCCTACAAACCATCCTTATTCCCAATTACACCACCACCAAGCAGCACCAACCCTCCACCCACTCATCTAATCTCAACCCCGTCCCTATCCATCCCCCCAGAAACAGTTCTGCACTCCTCCCGCCGCCCCACCATCCTCCCCTACGCCTCACCCCTGATCTCTCTCTCCTCACGCATCCTATCCCTCCCGCTATATATCCTCAATCTCCGACAGGAATCCGAATCCCTCACCATCCCCATGGCCGAACGCCTTTCCTTCCCCGGCCGCAGCACAAAACTCGTCCCTAGATACGCGTTCCTAGAAGTACAAGCCGGGCAACACATACAAGTCTACTCCGTTCAGATAAACTTCACAGCACGATTCAGCGGTCTACGATGGGTGATGTATAACCACCGCATCGCCAGCCTGATTATTTTCACCAGTGCATTCTGGGTCGTTGAAGTAGTATTTGCTCTCTTAGGATGGATGGGCTTTCGGATGCTATTTTCATCCACAGAACCACCATCATCATTATCTTCAAAATCAAAAGCACAGATCAAGAAGGAAAGGGGAATAGAAGACGAGGACACAGAAACCATCAAAACTGAGCCCGCCACAGAAGACGAACCAGATCTCTCGGACACCCCACGCTCATTCCCTACATATGGCCGCCAACCTCCTCTGCGGTACGAACCCAGGATTAAAGATGAGGAGCGTGATAATGATGAGGATATTATTGAAGGCGCGGCTATCCAGCCGTTAGATGCCGATGACGAGGACGAGCATATTCTAGGTGGCATGCGGGGAAGAGAGAGGAGGGGGGTGGGTGAGGATTCTGGACTGGGAACTAGTTTTAGTGAGGGTGGAGCGAGGAGTGGAGCTGCGAGGAGGAGGTCTGGTGGTTTTGGGAGGGGAGTTTGATGTAATCATGTGCAGGGTTGTAGATGCTTTATTTATTTGTATGATACCCATAACATTTTCTGTTTATTAGAGACATACCAGAGAATGATTTATTATATTACTTGCATTCCCCTATTTACCCTAGGTGCTTTTATGAACATCAGGGAGCAATTATAACACTATTAAGTTCACTATATATTATACTACGTGCTTGCGAAAATTTTAACCGTGCTTGTAATAGTTAGAAGTTTACTCCATCCATGCCATATGCCTTGCCAAATTCCCCGTTAATCCATTGCTAGGTAATTTGCGGAAAAAAGACGATACACATCTCTCTCTTCACTCCTCTTTCCCTTTCTTTTCTTCCTCTCCCCCCTAAAAGCAACTAAACTCTTTCAAAGTCTAAGCTCTCTCAAAACCTGGTCTGCCATATTCTTATACTGCCATGTTCCTCCAGCAAGTCTCTTGAACTGGATTCCATGAAGAGAAAGTAATGGGACCTTGACAATAAATATCTCGAATTCCAGGATCATGCTTCCGCCAAGTTCGCTCTGGACATGTGTGCTGGTATCCCCGACGACCCTGGCAGATGAGCGATGCACGCTCTCGTCCGAGGCCTCGGAAGTAGGGTAACTTGCATCTCCACGGGATCTGCCGGGTGTTCGCGGAGTAAGTGGCTGTTTATCAACGTCTCTGAAATCGTCCCGGTCGCGGTCCATACTGTTGCTACCACCCCCCATGAATCCTCCAAAGCTGATTCGGCGACGGTGGCCTGGCGTTTGAGTGGAGTGGGTGTTGGGCGGGAGATCAACGACCTTCTTGAGATCGATAGATGGTGTGTGCCGACAACTGAATCCACCGCGGATCTCAGTGAACTCCACGCCCAACTGCTTGAGTACCCTGATGATGTCGTTACGAATGACATAAACTGGCTTGGTTGAGGTCGTCGAAACGCTAAAGAGGCCTTTCAGGAATACAGGTTTGACATGCTCGGCACTATTAACACGTTCAGTGGAGAGGCCACTTGCATCTCCTCCTTCACCGTCAGTCTCCTCGGGCACGTTCGCCTCCCGAATTTCGTCCCGTCGAGCCCGCCGAGCCTGGATGCTCTCCCTCCGGGCATGGCCAAGTGACTTGGCTCTCGTCGTTGCACTTTTGGGGTTTAAGTGCCCTGTGCTCTTCTGCTCTGGTTCATGTAGTGCCTTCTCGTTCGCTGTTGAATGATCAGAACCGCTGGTAGGAGGTGGCTCCTTATATGTGACTCGAGGTGGAGGGGGCACTTCAGATGCCCCGCGTCTAGCCTCTCTTCTCCTAAATTCCGCTGAGTTGACGCTTGTTGACCTTCCCAGTCCCTTGGCACTTCGTGGGTTATGACCAGCAGATCTAGGTGGTGATAAGAGGTCGCTGTGCTGAGGCTGGCTGCCTCCCCCATGGAACATCGAAGTCGACCCATCATCACGGTCGCGGCTTCGTCTCATACTAAAACTCTTCCTCAGAGTGCTGTGTTCATGTGGCGTCTGAACGGTAACCATCGGGGGATGGCTCTTATCGGAGGGCTCTTTGCGCCTCCTAGTGCTGAACCGCCGCAGGATGCCAGCTGCAGTGCTTTCTTTCCGGTGATGTGTCTGCTCAGGGAGAGGTTCAATGATAGCTGGGGATGTAGGTCCACCGCTCGTGCTTGCTATCTTCAAGTGCTTCATGCTCTCCGTAACATCGTCCTCTCCATGAGTTCGCGCGCGGGGTCGCGACCGACCCCCCGTTGGCTTTTCGCCTGCCATCTCATATGCAGCTGCGTTTGTATGCGCTGCTTTAGGAGCCGGAAGATCAGGTATTTGGAGAGGTGCCTCTCCAGGAACGCGGGGCATCGAGGTAGCGCCTGGGTTTGCTGCTAGTCGATCGCGCTCCTGCTTCTCCCTAACAAGGTAGTAGACAGAAATAAGCGGATGATAAGCATTGACTGGGTCACTCCCAAGCGCCAAGGCATCAGAACTAGAAGCTGTGAGAGTATCACGACTAGTAGCCGAACTCCTCCTCTTGTAGAAATCAAAACCGAACCCCCTTTTCTTCTCGGGGTCTTTCGGTATTGGTACTTGGTTTTCACGTTCATGTGCAGCCGTTCGGATGGCTCTTTGGTAATCCTGGGACTCGATTACGTCCGTCAATTGACCCTCTATCACTTCTGGTGGGCCAAAGTCAAAGCCAGTCATAGCTTGTATGACTGCTGGATCAAGTGGTAATTGGATCGGCTCGCGTTTCGGTAGATAGTTCTCTGGTGGCCCTCCAAATCCTTTAACCATCCAAGGATGGTTCATTATCTCTTGTAGAGATGCGCGTTGTCTTGGGTCGGTGACAAGCATCCGGGAGATGAGATTTTTGCATTCTGTGGTTGTCAGCATAGCTACAAGCTTCATAGGAGGATGGGGGGGGGGCTTACCAGGTGAAAGCCAATTAGGATAATCTACCAGGCCCTTCTTGATTTTGGCATGCAGCGCCGGCATGCTCTGATCATCGAATGGTACCTTGCCACAAACTAGAACATAAAGCACAATCCCAAAACTCCATATATCGACCTCAGGCCCCGTATACGCCTTGGCCTGTAACAACTCCGGCGCTGCAAAGTATAGACTGCCGCAAAATGTCTTCAGATGTCCCCGAGGAGAAAATAGGTTACTCAAACCGAAATCAATGATTTTGATATCTTCCGTCTTGCTTATCAAGATGTTCTCGATCTTGAGGTCCCGATGCACGATGCTGTTCCGATGGCAATAATCCAGGGCACTCGCAATCTGTCTACTGAACTTCCTCGCCTTCTTCTCCTTCAATCGCCCCTGGGAGATTATGTAGTCGAGCATCTGGCCACCATTGACGTATTCAAACAGCATATACCAATGATAGGTTGTGCGAACGACATCTCGCATGCCACATATATATGGATGATCCAAGAGTGTCACAATGGCGGCCTCACGGGCTGTGCGGACCTCTTTTGAGTGATCGGCCCTCTCTTTATCGGCGCGACTTTGATTGGGATTATCATCCGTAGATCCTCGAGGCACGATCTTGACCGCAAGCTAGAAGCGATGTTAATTTTAAACCTGCAACATGACGACGATTTAAGGGCATACCTGCTCACCCCCTTCCACTCTCCTGGCCAGTTTTACCTTGCCCATGCTCCCAGCCCCGATCGTCTTCCCCAGGACCCAATTGCCCGTTTGCGCTGGAATGGTCGTCCGCGATTTCCCCGACCTGCCCGAGTGCCTCGACTCGTGGGGCGTCACCACGGGAGCGGGGCCACCTCCATTTGCAACGGCCGTCGACATGTCTGATGAATATCGGTGGTGGTGGGAGTGGCGATGGCCGTGGCCGTGGTTGGAACCGCTTTTGCGGTGTGATTGTGAGTCTGACCGCGACGGTGGGGGACGATCTTTGCTTGAGCTTCTTCGATGGACTTGTGCGACGTTCGAAGTCTCATGGTTTGCGGCCGACCGAGCTCCCTCGACGGCGCCGTGACGCGACGATGTGCGATGGTGCAAATGCGTCGAGTTCGATCGGAGGGGACTGCTGGTGGATGCAGATGCGGCGGTGGATGTAGGTTTAGATCTGGTTGATTGCGACCTTGCGGGGACGGAGTACGAGTGGGATTGAGATTGAGATTGATGTCTTCTCGGGACGGAGCGATCGAGAGTTGTTGGCGATACCGACGTTGCTGTTGCCATGATCGTGGTGGAGGAGTGGAGGAGTGGAGGAGGTCGGCGGTGGCAGTTTGGGGTCCGCCAGACAAGGGAACAGGCAGGCAATCAATCAATCAATCAATCAGCCGGAGCCTTGAGGCGAGGGACGCGGACGGGTACGGGGACGGGGAAGGGGGAAGGGGAAGGGGAGGCTCCAGCTGCTGACGGGGGCAGTGGAAGTGATCAGTACGAGTAGTGGTTCCGTGGTTCAGTATCGCAACCAGGAGCCTGGGGGGGAAATATTCGGGCCTGGGGCCCCTGATCGTAGATGGCCGACGGGCTGGAGACTGGAGGCTGGAATACGAGTACTTTGTACGTAGCTTAGCAGTGGAGGGCTGGCAAGCTGGAGACGGTGGAGAGAGAGCGGCCCCCTAATAATAATCCAGTTGTGCTGCTGCACCGACGTCACTCACGCCTGGACCTGGAATAGCTGGCGAGAAGCAGGACGAAGGATTGAGTACTGAGTACGGGGTACTTCGTAGGTAGTCGTTGGTTGTGGCTGTGAGTACCTCCTGAGATGTGCTGTAAAATAGGAGGCATATGTTGGCATCACCGGGTGAATTTGGGGGCGGTAGTGGTGGAAGAGGTGGTTGGTTGGTAGTTGGTGATTGGTGTCTCTGTCTGTGTTGGGCTGAGATGATGCTTTGGCCGATTATTGGGCGAGAGTAATTAGGACAGGACAACTCGAAAGCGGTACAGCTCTAAACTAGGCTCGACTGGAACCGGACAATATTATTCACTAGAATAGCAGGCAGCTCAACAAAGGTTTCTCGAGTATAAGTTGTCCCAGAAGCAGGCTGCGGTGTTCTTGGCATCGCCCGCATGCGTTTAGCAGTCCTCATTCCCAAGCTCAAACCCCTATTTATGCCGACCCCAACGACAATGAGATATACATAGATTATGCACATCGAGTAATTGACTACCTGCTAGACCACTAATTTGTTTATGTAGTAGTATATAGAGGCCATTAGGCTCACTTTATATTACCTAGGTAGATAAATAGTTGTGATATTATTTAACAGCTTTATATTCAAATGACAAACCGTCTTAAGTTGATAAACTACCAAGTACTATTACTGACCTTTTACTTAAAGTTTAACGTACAAGTAATACGAATTCACATACTAGCACTACCTCTTAATTATTCACACTACAAGACACTGCAACATACCGTTCACTTGTCCCAACTCGTAAGTATTATTAGTCATACTGCGCAAACAGCACGCCGGTGTTTGCCGGAATAGCAGAGTGTCCTGCTCTAGACCGGTTTCTAAAAAGGAATACTTACAAGCTTTTATAGTCGGGCAGACGGCGGGACTACGGGCATCATAGGCGGTGTGCTAAAGCGACCGGAGCCAAGCGAGCTGATGTCCGGGGGAGTGAATACTAGTACCGAGAATATCTTATTGCTTATTTTATTTATAATACTTTATATAGAAGTTATAAGTTATAAGTTTAGAAAATATTAGAGCTCTATAAAGTCTTGGTCTATTTCTAGAGCTTCTAACTAACTAGCTTCTAGAAGCGTTCTTCTTATAAAGTATTAAATAAAGCATTTATATTATATTTTACTAGCCTAAACTATTATACTTGTTACCGTTTTGTTCAACAAAGCTAACGAAATCCCATCATGGACAACGATCTAGAAACAGCCGAGGCGTATGTCGTGAGCAATCATTTGTTTAGCGTGAACGATGACAACTCCGAACTGGAGATTCACCGTTACAATAAACGGTTCTACATCATCATCAGACCTGGGAATCTCGAACAGTCACCTGCGATCAAGAATGAATATCTTCGATACCTCAATGCGCAAAGAGCGGACGCCGACGGTGACGTGCAGAGCGAATGCTCTGTTGACCCCGAAGACATCTACGATTGGGCCGTAAAGCCTTGCTTGTCTCTTTTCAAGGAGCTTTCTCCAGAGCCAAAACAACAAACCGCTAAAATATCACTCTACGATTACTACCACGCTGAAACGTTTTATTATCATCTCCATGCGGCCAACGATAAGCTCACTCCAGTCACGAATCCGAAAGGGGAGAGCTTCCTCCCACCAGCTGTGGAGCTTGCGCCAGATGTGTTCCACCCGTCTTGGCCTGTCTACAAAGCTTCGGATGTTTTCCTTGATATAACTAACTCGTACCAAGCGCTCTGTCCTTCCCCCGGCAAAGTCGTGATCCGAGACAGTCGGAATGGGAAAGAAGTCAAATGCTTTTTAAACCTTACAGCAATGGCGACACGAATGGGGCAACCCGTGAAGTGGCGAGTTACCGAAAGACCACAGAGTCAAACCTTACACCTGATGTGCGGATTTGTAGACTAGACGGCGTTGTAAAGGATGAATGGGATCGACTTATGGGTTTGTTGTTAAACTACATCGATTGCGATCATGTTACCTTGGCATGTGCCCCCGATGAGGAGACACCGGATTCCCTCAAGCAAAAGTGGGTGAATCAGATCAAAGAAACACTAGCACAGCTCCACGATGAAGGACTTGTATGGGGTGATGCTAAACCAGAAAATGTATTGATTACTGAGGGCGATGGTAGTGTCGGTGATAAAGAAAAAGCCGGGACGGTTGAGGGGGATTTGCAAGGGCCAGAGAATATTATCAAATATGTTTTTGAAGGCAAGGAAGCGTAGAAAAGGCTCATTTTATTGCGGGGTGGGAGGGGAAGGAGGTGATTTAGAGAGGATTCGTCGGACTTTTCCTCTGTCGTTAACCTTGGAGTGGGCTGAGACCTGTATTCTCTAAACTTATGACCGCGACCTCCGCCGTATTTGAGAGATTCGGGTCTTGTCAGGCTGCAATGCGAATTGCGCTTAGCTGCCCAATCAAATACTGCTGGCAACTTTCGTCTATTGCATGACAAGGCTGAACCCGAACTTACCACTTATCACGTATCATCCGCAGCCTTCCCGCCCATACACCTTTTCTTCTTTGATAAAACATACATGTATATATTTTCACATAATCGACTGCAGCCCGTATGCCGTTGCCATGTCCGGCAAACGCTCCCGTGCAATATACGAGGCCGACCTACAAGCGCAACAATCCCCTTTCGTAGCCTACGGGACACCTCTACCTCCCCTGGATCCGGATGTGCGTGATGATGGTTCATACGTGCCAGTTTGGAAACAAGAGGTTCGAGATGAGCGAGGCTTAAAGCGGCTTCATGGTGCTTTCACTGGGGGTTTCAGTGCAGGGTGAGTCCGTTCTTCCCAAGCGCATGCTGCAATCCAATGGCCGAGCTAATTTATTCGAGGTAGATACTTCAACACTGTAGGTTCAAAAGAAGGATGGACACCCTCGACATTCGTCTCTTCCCGGACGAACCGCACGAAAGAGGGCCCAAAGATCCCCGAACAACGACCAGAGGATTTCATGGACGAGGAGGATATTGCCGATGCAAGCGAAGCACAACGAGTTCAGATGGCCGAGGGCTTCTCGGGACTTGGCTCTACGCAGGATGATTCTACTCGCCGCGGGGCATATATCGATGTTTTCCGAATAGAAGGAGAGACGATTGGTGTCAAGCTCTTGAGGAGAATGGGCTGGAAGGAAGGACAAGGCATCGGCCCTAAAGTGCGCCGGAAAGCACGCCTAGATGCATTAGAAAGGCCAGGAGATGAAAAGGAGCCTACGCATCTTTTTGCGCCTGAAAATACACGCATGATTAGCTTTGTGAAGAAGAGCGATCATAAAGGGTTAGGGCTCGAGGGGCAGGCGAAATTATCTCCCATTAATGGCCTGGGATCGGAGACTGTTAAATCAGACGACGATGAGGAGGAGGGTCACCTTGATTTGGTTGGTCCTAAGAAGGGGAAAAAGAAAAAGGCCGTACGCGGTGGGATAGGCATTGGCATTTTGAACGATACCGGGTCGGATGATGAAGATCCGTATGAAATCGGCCCACGGATATCCTACAACCGGGTAATAGGAGGGGAGAAGAAGAAGAAAAAGCCCGCCAACGGATCGGTCAACCCACTACTCAAATCAAAACCGGTTTTCATATCAAGAAAGAAGGCATCATCAGGTCTGAGGAAGTGTCACGATGGGCGGCTCCCTTTAGACGGATTTATATTAAGCAGCAGCGACGAATTCTCCTCCCTCATCCAAGCTTCAACCAGATATGCAGCTCCCGAGATACCCAAGGACTGGAAATCCTCAAAACAGCCAAAATCGAACGCCTCTAGCGCTGCATATCTCTCGCCGGCGGAAGCAGCCAAAGCCTCAAGCCTCGACCCCAAATCCCGAGCCGCAATACTAGGAGAGGCTGCGCTGCCAGGGAAGTCGGTCTTCGACTTCCTAAGTCCCGCTGCAAGAGACCGATTAGCTTCCGCGTCCGGGAAAGGCAATCTCCCACCCGCGCTCGGCGAGATCCCGAAAGGCTACAACCTCAGCGAAGAAGACCGACGAAAGGAACTCCTATCTCAGATCCCCCAGGTCGACCCATCGACGGCCCTCGCGGCGCTGACCCGCGGCGCAAGCGGCTTCATGCCGTACGCAGAAGACGAAGCAAAACGCACCCGCTACCGCACATATCTCGAGAACCAAGCCGGTACATCCCCCGTGCCCCCATCCCCAGCTCCGGCCATGTCCCGAGAAGACTGGCTGAAGGAGCTACGCGAATTCGCAAACTGTGCCCAGATCTTCAAACCCATGTCGGGCATGATGGCCACGCGCTTCACCAGCTCAACCAAAACCACCATGTCAGGGACCGTCGGCTCGGACGCGGGCGGCTCCTTGCTCAGCAAACCAGAACCAAAAATAGAAGATCCCGCGGAGCAGGCTGCGAAAGTAGGCATGTACGGGCCCCTGACGCGGTCGTCGAAGGATTGGTTCCCAAGCCGTTTGCTGTGCAAGAGGTTTAACGTGAAGCCGCCTGCCCATGTCCAGCCCGGTGCTACGGAGCACGATGAATCGGCAGCACCAACGAATGCGGCTCCGGATCTGGTGTCGAAGGAGGCCATTAGCGAAATGATGGCGGGTGTGAATTGGAATGGGGGTATGGCTGGCGGTGCTTCTGTTATAAAAACGGAAAGTAGGGATGAGGATGAGGATGAGGTTAAGCCTGAGGTCGTGGTGGTTGATACGGAGAGGAATGAGGCGTTGGAGGGGGAGAGGGCTGGAGAAGCAGTTTTTAATGCGATTTTTGGGGATGATAGTGATGATGATGATGATGATTAAAGATGTATATTTTGAAGAAGGGGGCAGGCAGGATATTTTTAATTGAAATATGTATGATGGTAGTAGAATAATATCAAGCTCAACCCACAAGCTTAGACACGTCGAAATAAATATTATAAATTCATGTATTCTTCTACTAAACAAATTCCTTCAAAACAAAATATCTCCCACCCTCACGTAGGTAGTTAACACTCATCAAAAGTCCGCAATCAGATCCTTACGTTGGCTATTCCCAGGAGAATAATCTGTAGTACTTCGGGAATTTATATCAATGTGTGGATTTGTTGCATTTCATATAAATATATAGAGAAACATATATATACAATTTAGGAATTAATAGAGAGAAGTGATTTAATATATAAAGAGAGGAGGAAGGGGGGGAAAAAGGCTGCATGATAGCGAAGGTAATGGTACTTCCCCTGATAATAATAAATGTATTAACTAGAGGAGAATAATGTATACAGTAGACAGAATGTTCCGCTAGGAACAATAATTCAGGCAACAAAGTTAACGATGCGTAATAAAGTGTATTACTACAGTGTAGATTCCACTAGATTCAGTTTTCTGAGCGTTTGTGAAATAGGAGAAATCCGGAATGGTTAATAGCACTAAATGGCAATGCATGTTTCTGACAGCGTTGCGTTTGTGAGGCCGTTTGTTAGTGGGTAGCCATATAGAGGCAAACACTTCTGCCTCCTGCCAGCAGCCAAAACCCTCGAATAGGGGTTCCGTGGGTGATGCGAGCCTATTACTGCCCCGAAGGTGAAGCAGGTCTCGGGTGTAGCAGCTGTCATATTCGAGCGAAGTTGGTGATATCAAAAAGGTCGATCAGCCGTTCGGACTGAAACATTGGTTTCTGGAGACTCGACCAGAGGAAAGGGGGGGGGGCTGATTCTTGATGCTAGGCTGTAGAGAAACTTGGTGGACGTGAGATCTGTTTAGTACTTACGCCAGGTACCTATTTACCTAGAGGGGCGCCAACCACGTAGGCTTTCGGATACATGTGGTCGAATGCCTGGTATATAACCTGACGTTCTGCGAGGAGGCCATCTATCCACCGGGCGCTCAGCTGCGGGCTAAGAGCAACCAATGGTGACCCTAAGAATATGCTCTCTCTCGAACGCAAGGGATTTCGGAGCCTGGAGTCTGGAGACAGTACTCCGTAAGCGTTCGGGTAGATGAGGCTCACGGCAGTGGAATTTGAGACATATATCGCATCCTTTTTATAGTGCCAGGCAGGTCGACAGGGTGGTTTATTGCTGATACTTGGCGCATGACTTCGCATATCGCATATCGCAGGTCGCATATATATATCGCATCGCATAGTTGAATCCTGGCTGCGCATCTTTCGTGCGAAGGAAGTTTCGTGCGTAACCGCGGAGTCCCCCGTCACTTGGTCCAAGACTTCGCACCACTCCGTGAACCTCGGAGGGTGAGCGCAGAGCAGAGCAGACTCCGCAGAGGCTGCTTGCTTCCTTGGCCGGGATCGCCACAGTGGTACTCTACTCTACTCGGCGTGGGCTTCGCTTCTGCTCTTCCACGGTGATGGGGAACAGCGGAAGCCTCGGAGTTGGCGATTATGATGATATAGCTTTCTCAGGACTGATTGTGCGTGTTCGTGCTTCGTACTTCGTGTTGATATTAATTGTTTATGGAGGAATTCGTGGTACAGTATATACTTATTACTGTGCTTGTATGCTTGTAAAGTGAGTGCTTGTTGCACCCCCATGGATATAACCTGGCCAGGCCTGCAAGCAGATCCCTACCGTGGCACAGCTCGCACTGGACGCGTCTCCTGCCTCCTGCCTCCTGTCTCCTGTCTGTTGTCCCCTGAGTCCTGGAGTCCTGGAGTCCTGCGGTCTTGGGCGTTTGATTGGCGGCGGCGGCTGGCCTTGGAGGGCTTGGAGACCTGGAGCGAGAGAGAGAGAGAGAGCGCGAGAGTCAATTTTATGAGTCACCGCGCCACCCAGCCACAGACTCCGCATCCCTACCGTCCTCCCTACAGCGTGCATCGTGCATCGTGCAGCCAGAAACGGAGAATAAATAAGGTATCGATCATATAGAGTATATCTTCCCCGATTGATCTTACAGTATGTCCATATCCATATCCATATCCATATACCTTATATGATAGGGAGCATCCCGGGGATCCCGCAGGCGTCGCATTTTATTCCGGCACCTTTCCGCGGCCCTGTTTGCATGTGCCGTCGTGTCGCAAAGCCAAAGCCAACGGCGCAAAGCAAAGCAAAGCAAAGGGCTCGGTCGGGAGTTTGGGGGGGGGGATGGGATGGGCGGTGGAATGCGCTGAGGATCGAACGCGCACACCACCAACCACTCCACGGCCAGGGAGAAGCGCATCCGGAGCTGAAGCCTGAAGCCTGGCCGATAGTCGATTGTAGTGCTCTTGGTGTCAACACCAAAGAATGCAACAACATCTGGAGAATTCCTTTCTCTTCCCTCCCCGTTGTTTTTTCCTTTCCCATGGCCGGGTTTGTACTGGGTACCAGGCTCGAGGCTGGGGGCACATCGCCCAAATCTCCCCAAGAACAAGCAGCAACGCGAGAACAAGCAAGATATCCTTCCCTGTGGCGCGCCCAGCAGGGTGTTGGGCAACTTGGGGGTGGAGTCCCTCCTCTGTGCGTAGTTCGATGTCGCCATCAGACATGCCATGCCAGGCCAGGTCGGTACGGAGGATTTATTGCGCTCAGAGTCGCCCCGTGAGTGGAGATGCGGAAGTAAATATCAAATATCCATATCCATATCCATATAGGTAATAAAGTTAAATAAATAAACAAACAACAATAGAACCCCCCGCCCCTCCCCCTTTTATTATAACAGATGATGCTGCCCGTGGACGCGCACGGCTTCCAGACTCAGCGTCCAGAGCCCCCCAGCCTGGCGTTATCTCCCGGTTTCAGCGGGGGCTTATCGTGGTGGCGGGCGGGCGCTGATTGGGTGCATCGCGGCGCTAGTGGCCAAAAAAAAAGGAGCAGAAAAGGCAAGCGCAGGGAGAATAGGGCGCCTGCCTCAGGCCATCCGCCGCCCACTCGGCAGTATATAAGCTGTCTCTTATACACATCTAGATGTGTATAAGAGACAGCCCCCTACCCGACACCCCCGACCACCGCGAATCCCGTATATCTAGATCCCTCTCCATACCTCTCCATCTCCATCCTCATCTCCTCTCCTCTCTCCGCAGCGTCCACCGCCTCGCGGTGTCCCCACGGCAGCCACTGCACATCTGCGCATCGCATCGCACCGCTCCGGGTCGCGTGCTTTGTTCCATTCATTCACCAGTGATCGCGCTCCGCCGCCCAATCAGCTTGGTCAGTCGCAGAGAACAGAAGAAGAGATCTGGAGATTTGGTGCGACCGCAGGATCCATTCACATCCCGCATCCGCATCGACGTCATCCTCACCTTTCTATTGTCGCGACGCTAGACCTATCGGTTTCGCACCCTTTGTCTCAATAATAGTCTATTGAGTTTTCATAGCATTGTTGTTGGTCGCGATCTTCAAAGCAAAAAGATCCCTTCCGCATCCTCGTCGAGCAGCGACTGTAGGGGAGACATTGAGTTGTTCTTCTCCTCCAAACGGTACGACCATCTCCCATCTCGACAATACTAGTCAAAAAGAACGGGCAGAACGCGCGAAAGCGAAAGTGAAGCGGAGCGAATATATAAAAAAGCAGACCGCCTCTCTCTTCGCCTTCGCCTTCGCGTCCCAATCCCAATCAAAAACAAACCTCCCATCCCCATCCCCCAAATCCTCTTTTATCTTTCGATCTCGAGCAGCATAAAAGCTTCGCGATCGTTCCATCGTTCCATCTCCACCTTCTACTACCATCCTTGATCGCAATCTAACATACACCACCTCATCAGACCTGCTCTTCGAAAACTCAGCTCCGGCTTCAGTTTTAGGCTCAGCTCCAGATACCATCCCAGAGTTCTTGAAGATGGATCAGATTCAAACACACCCTTCCAACGCGGCGCAGGCGCAAACTTTCATCGCCCCCGGCTCGCTGTCATTCCCAGGTGGTGCTGGTGAACTGACCCCGCCATCGGAAGTTGAGAGGTTGAATGGTCAGAAGCAGGCGAATGGTCAACCACCAGTGGCGCAAGCTCAAAGTGGCAACGGGGTGGCTCCCGCGACTCCTGCTGCGACCCCAGGTACCACCGCAACGACGGGTGTGAGCGGCATCGTCCCAACCTTGCAGTATGTATCCCCCCCCCCTCGAGCCTCGTTTTGAAATAAACACATGAGGCTTATCTTGCATGTAAAGAAACATCGTTGCCACGGTCAATCTTGATTGCCGCTTGGACCTGAAGACGATCGCCCTGCATGCGAGGAACGCTGAATATAACCCAAAGGTACTTGCTGACTCTAGGATTGCTATACTCTCCCTTTGCTCTTGCTAATCTTTGCAGCGTTTTGCGGCGGTCATCATGCGTATTCGTGAACCCAAGACCACCGCCCTGATCTTCGCCTCCGGCAAGATGGTCGTTACCGGGGCGAAGTCAGAGGACGATTCGAAGCTAGCATCACGAAAGTATGCGCGCATCATTCAAAAACTCGGCTTCAACGCCAAGTTCACCGACTTCAAGATCCAGAACATCGTCGGCTCCTGCGACATCAAGTTCCCGATCCGTTTGGAAGGCCTTGCGTCCCGCCATCACAATTTCAGCTCTTACGAACCTGAGTTGTTCCCGGGTCTCATCTACAGAATGATCAAGCCCAAGATTGTGCTCCTGATCTTCGTCAGCGGCAAGATCGTCTTGACAGGCGCGAAAGTTCGAGAGGAGATCTACCAAGCCTTTGAAATGATCTACCCGGTGCTTCAAGGTATGTTGCGCTTTTGCCGTACGCTCCCCTGTGTGTGGGCTTTTTGACTAACATGCTCCCAAGACTTCAAGAAAGTCTGATCTGGCCCTGCCAGCATCTGCATCAGCGGTTTGATCATTCAACCTCTCTTCACCGCAAGATGTACCAATACAGCCCCCCCAACTTGTACAAGTATTTGAGATTTCACGATCCACACGACCTTTTACCAAAAAGTCCCCATTGCATTTGGTGGCGGGCCCCACAGACCAACTGGACAAGGCATGTCGTCCTTTGGTAGCCACCATTTGCTCACGTTTGATATTTTGCATTGCACCGGCGTTTCAGGGGGCGGGAAGAGCCTCAAATGAGATAAAGGGCTCCTGGTTTTACAGCATGTTTGTTTGCGTCTTCATGGCGCACCCCCGCGAAAGAACATAGACTGCACACAGCACCCCATCCGGCGATGGTATGTGCACAGGCCGAAAGATGCCGTCATTAATTGCTTGCTTTCCCAATTATTTCCCAGAGAAAGTTAATTGTTCTCTCGCATCGCATGGTTCTCTTGCCGGCGGGAGGCAGCGAGAGGATTCCCTAAGCATCGAGATGAGATGTTAGGTGGTGGGTGGGCTTTGGACGGACGGTTTTTTGATGTCTAAGGATTGCCTTAATATGGTTTCGTGGGCGAATGATAGGTCTAGTCGTCTTTCAAATAAAGATACAGACAAGCAGTTGGTTCTCAACTGCTAAAGCGACAGAGGGCCTGATGATCATGAATTTTAGCTCTGCAGGGTGGTAGGAACATAGCGTTACTATATCCAGATAGACAATTCAAACCCACGATTGATATAACCTTTTGTTCCTTTGCTCATGGTGAATCCAAGCGCGATCTTCCCTTCTAAGCCAGAGAGAACTTCTAAGATCTCACACCCGTGCAACACCTCTCCTTCCACCCAACTTGCATCTGCTTTTTTCCAAGGTGTCATTTTTTTTAATCAAATTAACTCATCGCCATTTCAGCTCATATCCCTCATTTCCGCAGCCTCCAGCGCATCAAAATTTTGATACAATCCGCCTAACACACGCCGCAAATTTTGATTATACGTTTCTTCGCGCCAGAGGACTACGAAAAAATGAGGGGTTATACGCGCGGAATCGTATCAAAACCGGGCTTCTACCTATATAAGTTTAAATTTGATTAGATAGGGTAGGTTTAATTTATATTTTAATATATATTATCTAGTCTACTTTACATGCCTACCTTGGCTATAAAACTCGAAAATACGTAAAGCGTAAAGCGTAAAAAAATACGACGGGTGTCGAGCTAGCTTGCAAGGTAGGCAAGCAAGCAAACTGGCTTGTGATTTTATTAATTTAATACCTTTTCGCTATAGGATTTCTTAATTTTTTTATTCTTGCAGTTTTTTTTAATGGGAATTGATCAAATCGCAGATGAGCTTTTATTTGATACCTACGAAAAAACGAAGATGAACTTGAAGTGATTCCACACAATGTCTTACAATCGGTCAATAATGCCTCTCCTTGCAGCTTGAGTGAAGAGGTGAAGTTACACGTTTAATCTACAACTATACTAACTCACGAGCTATCTAACCCGCGTCTTCTATCCTCCCCTCCATGTCTTCCTCTCTGTAAACTGCACAAAGCCCTCATTACTGGGTCTTCTTAGTAGTTATGAGGAAATCAGTGGTTGTCTACTGGGGTATACACACTATACACATTATAGTTCCCGCACGTGTATACATATAATAGCCAGTAGTGCATGATATATCCTTTCATAGATGTTAAAATATCATCTATACATACAGACACCCAAATTTTCGACATAGGCGTATTTGACAACCACGACTGTTTATCTAAAATTTCCGATATAGGGTTGACAAGCTGTGTTATATTCGACGTGATACTGTGATATACACTATGTTATTTACTGTTGAATGATAGATAGTTCTACGAATCGTGAATATCCTACCGACGCTAAGACGCCGGGACGACGACACACAATCGCAACGAGAGGAGGGACCAGCAAGTTCCTAATCCACACCCCCCGAAGTTTAGTGGTTCGGTGATGAACCCAAGGAATGGGTTTCCTACTCGCTATATATATTTCATATCTTGGATGATGTCGAGGGTACATGTGTCCGCGCCATCTCATCCCACAATACCATTCCTCTTCTTCCGCCACGACTCCCGTCTTCTGTTACAACATTGTCCACTACATTTTCTCTCCATCTCCACTTCTCGCGGAATTCCGGTGGACAGCGCGACTCGATGCAATCCGCAATGCAGTCGCCGATTACAGGGAGGAATTTATACCCGTGGCCGCTTCCGCCGGTGGCGAGGAAGAGGGATTTGTTGTAGTTTGGGTGGTATGTAATTATGAAATCTGCGGTTGGCGTGTCGGTGTACCAGCAGATTTTGGTTGCTGAGAAGGGTCGAGCTGGGAGGGTTGGGAGCATAGATTGGAGAGCGTGCTTCATGGCGGATTGGGCTTCTGGTGGGAGGGTGAGGTCTGGGTGGTTGTGTGTAGTGGCGGGGAGGGAGACGATTATTTCCTTTTCTTCTTGCTTCCCTGGAGAGGATGAGGGATTAGATATAGCCACAGGGTTGGTATATCCATATCCATGTCGCGCTACCTTAAGCACATTATTCCGTGGCGGGATTATGAACATGCCCGTGCTCATATTAAGCAGCATTGGCATACTGCCCAATTTCTCCTGTTCTGCATCCGTGAGTGGTATGTATCCGATAACCTGCCCTGTAGCCTGTGATCTTCCACGGAGGTCGATCAAGGAAGGTGTCCAGGCGCCGGTTGCGAGGATAGTAAAATCCGCCTCCAGTATCGTATTATTCTTCAACCGCACACCTGTGACTTTATCCCCCGAGGGAGAATATAGCAGGGAGATAACTTCGGCGGTTTTGAATGTAACCCGTTTTGTGGCGTCGACTTGGGCACGTAACCATTTCATGCCTGCTTCTGCATCAGCCCAGCCGCTGCAACGGTTGATATATCCCCAATCACCACTTCCCCCGCCCGTTCCCACGGTCTTCGCAATTGCCTCTTTGGATGGCAGCTCTGTTACTGAATTATCGGCCACGCCATTGCGTTTGTTCAACGCAACGACATTTGAATAGCTTTCCCGGACATAGTGCTCCCCTCCGTTGCCAGTATCAGCAACGAGAACCAGCCCGCTCTCGGAATACCGTCCTTCGCCGCCGAGCTGGCTAGGTTCGGTTTGCCGCCATATGGATTGTGCTTTGGATGCTAGGCCGGCGTAGGCTGGGTCTGCATAGTCAGCCCGGATTATGCGGGACGAGTCCACGGAGCTTGCGTCGTGGGCGGGAAAGGGGAGGCGGTCGAGGACGGTGATGGTTGTGGTTGCGAAGGAAGGGCGTGTTGAGAGGGCGAGGGCAGTGGAGAGACCGAAGACTCCGGACCCGACTATGAGGGCTGATTTTGGACTTGGCGGGGAAGCGGGGGATGAGGACATTGTCTTGATTGAGGAGTTGAAGAATAGTGAATGGAGATGTTTGACGGGAAATGATAGAACGGGAAACGGAACGATGTAGACGGTATGCCTTACACTTGGTCTGGCATAGAAGAAAGTATATACAGTATATACAAATGAACAAGAGAGGGAGGTTAGTGAAAGACAAAAGGAAACAGGGGATAATAGACGTTGGGATAAGACGGGAATGACTAGATCCTGGCGGTTATGAAGGTGGGGTTTAGTCTATTTCGACGCCGTTAAGGGCGTCAATGTCGATTTGTCGATCCAGGTCAAGGACCTCGGAACCTTGGCTGACAGGGGATTTGGCGGAGCGGAATAACAGCAGTTCCGTGACCTTTTCAATTGGTACAAGTACACCAGTTGTTTGCGACCAGCCAACCAGTTCATTGATTCTATACTACCAAGCATGAAACACATGGTTCCTGCTTTTCATCATGGCCCCGGATGCTGACAAGAAGGTCGCCGAATTCCCCGATGTAGAAAACAAACTCCACGCACCAACGAAGAAATCGCTCTTTGAGCGCCAGAAAGCAGAAGCAGAAGCTAAACGACTGCGCGAGGAAGCGGAAACCAAAGCAGTATATGAGGATTTCGTTAAATCATTTGATGATGAAGATGCAGCTGCAGGTGCCAGCGGAGGATTTGGACGTGATGATCATGGTGGGAGATTTGGTGGTGGTGGGTTTGGGGGAGGAGGGATATCAGGCCCGCCAAAGAGACATTATACGCAGGGTGGTATGGGAATGGGAGCTGGCATACCGAGTGGACCAACCACTGGGAGAGGCCATGGGCCTGGAGGATTGGGAGGCAGAGGGATGGGCAGTGGGCTTGGGAGTTTAGGACCGCCACCACCCAGTCAGGGCAGGAAGCGACCCTCCGAAGGTTTCTCGCAGACGCCAGCGAAGAGAGATAGAGATGATCGCGGTATACTAGCCTTTGACGACTACGACCATGAACAAGATAGAACACCTGCGAAGGTGTTCAACACGTCCGATGACGAGGATGAGAGGAGCGGGACACAGGGTGGAGGAGAGGCTAGAGCCGTCCCGAAACCAACATTGAGACTTGGCTCTTTACCACCTGGGACTTCGCCTGCCGTTATAAAAGCGTTGCTGCCACCGAACCTGACAGTCGATACAGTTAGGATATCATCGAGCGCACCGGGGGCTTATGCCGAGAGGAAATCGATGTCAGCCATCGTTACGCTGGCGAAAGATACAGCCGCGAATGATATTGATGCTGCTGTCAATGCGTTGCAGAATAGATATCTAGGCTTTGGATACTATCTCAATTTGCATCGGCATCTTTCCTCGGCGGCCATATCGAGTCCTGCTGCTCCTGGTCTTGGAACTACTACAGCATCACAACCATTCGGCGCAAAGCCGGTCCCTGTAGCACCAGCCGGTCGGGGGCATGCTCCTCCCCCTCATCAGCAGCGAGGGTTCGCACCACCAAGCTCATATGGCCCGGGCCCGGGACCATTGAATCGAGGAGCTCCGCTACTCCACGTCCCTGTCCAAGCACCACGAGATATCAAGGAGTTGAAACTCATCCACAAAGTCATTGAGTCCCTCCTGAAACATGGCCCAGAATTTGAGGCTCTACTTATGAGCAGACCAGACGTCCAGCGTGAAGAAAAGTGGGCATGGCTCTGGGATCCTCGAAGTACGGGAGGCATCTGGTATCGTTGGCGATTATGGGAAGTACTCACGGGATCAACAACCCGAAGAGGCCAAGGGAAATACCTGCCGCTATTTGAAGGATCATCAGCATGGAAAGCACCAGACCAGCCATTGCCGTACGAATACACCACTCGTCTCGAGGAGTTCGTGTCTGATTCCGAATATAATTCTTCTGACGAAGATGATTCTGGCGATGAAGGTGCAAAAAGATTGCACCATAGTGGAGCGCCTCCGGATACCAGCGTACTGACAGATGACGGAAGGGCGTACCTGAACCCACTCGAGAAAGCCAAATTAACACATCTCCTCGCTCGACTCCCTACAAGCACGGGGCAGTTACGGAAAGGGGATGTGGCCCGTGTCACAGCTTTTGCAATATCACATGCTGGGCGAGGAGCAGATGAAGTGGTTTCTATGATCATATCTAATATCGAGAAACCGTTTGCATATACATCTGCAAATCCCAATCGACGGAAGGACAAAGATCCAAGTGGCAACGATGGCGCGGCTGTTGGTGAAGACGAGGAAAAGTCGGATATGAGTTCAGCAAGTCTGATTGGCGTCTATATAATTAGCGATATCCTGTCCTCATCCTCGACTAGCGGCGTTAGACACGCATGGCGCTATAGACAACTCTTTGAATACGCCTTGCGGCAACGGCATGCCTTTGAAGGTCTGGGTAGAATGGAGAGGAAGATGAATTGGGGAAGACTGAGGGCAGAGAAATGGAAGAGGAGCGTAGGCAATATCCTTAGTCTGTGGGAAGGTTGGTGTGTGTTCCCACAAGCAAGCCAAGCGCATTTTGTGCAAGTGTTTAATGATCCGCCTTTGACGCCTACGGAGGAAGCTGAGGCTAAGAAAAGGGAAGACGAGGACAAGGCTGCGAAGGGGAAGAATCGGTGGAAGGCTGTGGAACATGCGCCGGAGGAGAGAGTTAAGGAGCAGGATGTTGATGGTGTCCCTATGGAGCAAGATGAGGATATCGATGGGGAGCCCATGGTAGAGGATGAGGACATCGATGGTGTACCTATGGAGGATATTGATGGGTCTCCTATGGAAGAGGATATTGAGGACGAGCCGATGGAAGAGGATCCTCAGCCGGCTTCTACTACATTAGAGCCTCCCCCTCCTAAGGAGCCAGAACCTGCGCAAGTAGATGCGGCGCCTGTGGGCCAGCCTCGGAGGCAGCGTCCCAGGGCTGTGGATATGTTTGCTGATTCTGATGAGGACGGTAATTAAGTCTATTAGAAAAATTAAGAGAGATAAATGATCACAATTATCATGATTTTGTTGATTTGCTACTGCGTTCATGGGCCCTCACCACTCTTTCTAGCATCGAGGACAAACAATGAAGCAGTAGTTATTACCAGCTCAGGTATCGTTGCCTGCATTATATTCAGTAGTACATGACCTTGTTGAGATCGAATGGTTATTAGATGCTATGCTAGAGATGATTACTCAGGCTTTTATTCAAGTCGGAAAACGCGTAGCTCTGTTCGACTTTCAATGCCTACCGCAAGCCCTTAAGAGTTTACCCTATGATATCATAATATACAATAAATGCTAGTGGATCTGTACCACTGTGCGCTTACGTCGTACATTATCCCCTCCATAAGGTAGGGACAGTAGTACATAAACAATATCATCGCTGTCATCACACTTGGATAACCTCGCGAACCGTGAAGAATTATTGAGGCTCAAGGATTCGATCCTATTTAAGTTGCCAAGCCTCGCTTGCACTAGCGTCCCCCGCCGTTCCGCGAGTACCTAGGTAGAGTACACCGCGCCCATTCATCTCCAGCAGGCGCAAACAACCACCGACTATCTTAAACTTAACCAAACACCAAACAAACGAAGCCCTATCGCCGCCCAAACTCTTAAGTCTACTTTGATTTATCTCCTATTGTCTCATCTCTGTCGGGCAACGTGATTGCTTCGTCGGCAATCAAGCCCCGTGCGAGACAAAGCTCTCACTGCAAAGCCTCCCCGATATCAAAGCTCGACTTTCACCCTCACCGTAACCTACACACCGTCATCTACACCACCAAAGCTGCGCCGCCCAGTTGCCAGCCGCTTCAGTCAACCACGATGCTCCAAGGGGCGCATGTCTACTCTCATCAGCACTCCTACAACCCCCAAGCCGAACCATCATGGATGCACCAGCAGAGCCACCATCAGCATGCTCAGCAAGCCGCTGCCGCCGCTGCTTCTGCCGCCCAACAGCAACACTACAACCGAATTGCCGCCAGCCATAATTCCGCTACTCCTTTGGGAGGTTTAGGACACGGTCAGGATACTACTGTTATGGACAATGTTACGGAGGAGAATAAGCGAACTCTTGCTTTTATTGCCGACCTGTTGAATGAGGACACGAGGGAGGCAGCACTTTTGGAACTTAGCAAGAAACGGGAACAGGTTCCAGAACTGGCACTGATCCTGTGGCACTCTTTTGGTATGATAATAATGAGTATGTTAGAGGTATGGCAGATTCTAACCTCCTCTAGGAGTGATGACATCCCTTCTCCAGGAGATCATCTCGGTCTACACGCTTCTTAACCCCTCGCAGCTCACGGCGGCAGCCTCGAACCGCGTCTGCAATGCGTTGGCACTCCTCCAGTGTGTTGCGTCTCACAACGAGACACGCGCTTTATTCCTGAATGGTACGGGTGAATTATTTGGTTCTTGAGATCTTGGCTAATATGAGTGATAGCACACATCCCTCTTTTCCTCTACCCCTTCCTCAACACCACCTCGAAGTCTCGGCCATTCGAATATCTGCGACTAACATCCCTTGGTGTCATCGGTGCCCTTGTCAAGAACGATTCCTCGGATGTGATCAATTTCCTCCTCACCACCGAGATTATCCCACTGTGTCTTCGAATCATGGAGACTGGCTCCGAGCTAAGCAAGACTGTCGCGATATTCATTGTGCAAAAGATCCTTTTGGACGACCATGGATTGAACTACATTTGTGCTACATATGAGCGGTTCTATGCCGTTGGAACAGTTCTTAGCAACATGGTTTCTCAGCTTGTGGAGCAGCAGACTGCAAGACTACTCAAGCATGTTGTGCGCTGCTTTCTACGGTAAGCACTATTACAATCCTTGGGGAATAAGCTGGCTGACACAGAATTAGCCTTAGTGATAATGCCCGCGCTCGTGAGGCCCTCCGGCAGTGCCTTCCTGAGCCCCTTCGGGACGCGACGTTCTCCTCTGTCCTCCGAGATGATGCTGCTACGAAGCGCTGCCTGGCACAACTCCTGATCAACCTATCAGACAATGTCGTCGAATCTTCCGGCAACCATCAGGGCATATAACGCAATATAATCCTCCCTTTCTCACTGTAACATAAAAGCGCCAAAGTATTTCCTCATGACGAAGCGCGCGTGGTGTTTTCATCTCTGGTTCTCCATAGACACAACGATACCCGGTCTCATTTCGTCAAAAATTGCCGGCTGCTGCTGGTATACAACAACGGTTTAATGGAAGCATTTGCGGCACGATCATGGCTCGGTTTAGGTGTTTATTGGAGACTCGGTCTCGAAAATCGGGAGTTGGGTTTCGCCCTGAATACCTTGCGCAGAATCACAGATCTATTTGTTTCCTTAAGCATTTTCCTTTTTTCTTCATCGATCTGGTGTCTGTGGCTCTGATTTGGTCTCTTGCATTTCCGGATGGAGTTTAAGGTCGATGGCATGGGAGGCGGTCTAGTACCGCTGGGTAGCTGGGGGGGTGAACTTTGTAAACTACGAGTCTTTAGGAATAGAAGAGATGAATGTGAAGAGCGGTGAACCGGCCTAGGCTTAGTACGATGTTTATGGCAATGTGATACATTGATCTCCAACTTGTGGCTTCGGCATCAGCTACAGTGATAACTCGGCCGTTGCGCGGAAGACACAACAAAATTCAGGTTGGTCAACCTTCATGTGATATTGATATTGCGCCATTACGCAGCATTTCTATAAACAAGCACCTGACCAATAGAACTGGATTTGAACTCGCCTTTCGAAGTTTTCGAACCATGTGTGCATATAGGTAATGAGGTACCTAGGTACCGCTAGGCAAAGAGCATTGGTGATGGTGGCGCGCAGTCATGAGTTTGAGTATGAGCATGAGTAAGCGGATATGGCTGAATAATCCACCCCTTCACCCCCTCAATAAAGTCCGAACGACTGCGATCAGTAATCGATCATCGCAACTCCATCCGCGGTCGACAGCACGAAGGATAACATAGCGGCCAAGACATGGGACATATGCGAGTACCGGCAGCCGCCTGATACCACCGTATATCTCTGGAGAAAAGAGGCTACGATCATCTCCGCGGCTTACGTGACATTGTCTCGTGGAAATTCCATCGCCACCGTACTATCCCCCCTTAACCCCATGAGGCTGGAGCCCCAAGTTCAACTCTAGTGATGGATTCCCCGTACAACTTCGCGCAGGACGACTATGCTCGGGCTATTATGATGCCTGCTACTGCTGCTGCTACTATTACGACGTATAAGTATGATGGCACCATCCCCACATCGCTGGGCATAACCGGCCTCCCGGGCCCGACCCGCCAGATCAGTAATCACCAGCTCGACCCCCGGAATCTCAACAACCCAGTTGGCAGTACAAAGGCAGCCACACCCAACATGTCTGAGCATTATAACCCGCCATTTCCAGCTTCTATTTCAATGGAGACCGTTGTGTTCAACCACGGCCATGGCGGCAACCAAAATCACAATAACCCGTTTCTAGATCATGGGTTTCGAGGGATCGGCGCCGAGATATCCAGAAATTACGCCAATAATCTGGGGGTTTTGAATGCGGAAACTTATAATGCTGATGGTGCCTCGGAAAAAGGTCCTAGGAAGAGGAATAAGGAAGTATCTGCAGAACTCAATATGGTTTTCGGTTTGAGAGTGGACTCGGAAGAGCCTGAATCCAAGAACGGGTACGAGGAGCCGGAAGGGACGAGGAGAAAGAAGAAACCTCGTCTCGAGAGTAATAGCGCAGACGACGATGAAGACGCTCGCAAGAAGGCTAGAGGCAGGCCTAGGGTTGATACCAAGGACGAGACTGCCGCTGATGTGAGTAATATCTGCTTTATTTGTGATCAAGATCTTGATTTATTGAATATCTATAATGGTGGCACATTGAAACGACCTAAAGCATGCGTCTACGGGTGTATCTAGTGACTATATAGTTAAATACTGATAATTCACAGCGGCGGAGGACGCAAATACGTCTAGCCCAGAGAGCCTACCGTCATCGAAAGGAGACTACCATCTCCTCTCTCGAAAAGCAAGTCCAAGAGCTTCGGGGAACAAATGAGGAGATGAGCAGCATCTTCATAACCCTTCACGACTTTGCCGTGGCCAAAGGAATACTTCAACGAGAGCCGGACTTTGGACAGCAGCTACAGTCCACTACTGAAAGGTTCTTGGCGCTAGCGAAGGCTAGTTCTGAGTATCTGAGCCAAGATGAGGGACAGCCTGAAGAAATCGAGAAGCAAGACCGTCCTAGCGATGAGCGCGCGACTACCACGAAAAAGAAGAAGGGTGCACTAAAATCCCCAAGGATTCAACCAGAAGTAGCGCCCCCTATGCCCCCCATGTCAGCAAACCCCTTCCCTGGAAGAATCCTCAATGGCGAGTCTACAAATCCAGTTGAAGAGATCCAAACAGATTACCACTACCCAAACTATGGGGATATGACTGGCCAAGAAGAGCATCAGATCATAACACGACCTACGGTACAGAATGCCAGCTTTCCGTTTGATTTTACGGATTACCAACAATATCGAGTCGATGCTCCTTCCGTGGAAGACTTCTCGCAATATTTCAGCCCAGAATCTCAGCCATCGCTGCCGAGAAGTTATTCGCATGGCGAACTCTCCTTTGCTCGCCGTCTGCAACGACAGGCTTTAGAAACAGCTATGAAACTTGTCACTTCCCCAAACATGCCCCAAGACATCTATCTGAGAATTTTTGGGTTTGCCGCATTATACGAGAGTCCAGAAGCCATTGTGCAACGACTAAAAAACTTCATAAGGACCTCGACAAAAGACAGTCTTCAGAATTGGCGCGCCCCTTTTGTCCACCTTGGAGGAGCTGGCACTTTTTATCCGACGCATGAGGGTGATGTCAATGAAGAACTCATGCCGAAAATTCGGACGGGTTTTTCTATGGGCCCATTTTCCCCTACAGTCGCCCAAGCTCAGGAGGTTATACAGGAAGATATGCGATTGAACTTTCCTGGCTTCGAAGGGGAGTTTTTCGACCCTAACGATGTCGAAGGCTACCTCCGTGGACGTGGTCTCAATATCCCCCCATCCGCAGATGCTGTCACCGTCCAGATAGACTTCTCGCTGCTATCGGAGTCTAGTTCGACAAACTCCTCGAGTGCTGCTAGTGTAACCACAATAGTATCGCCCTCAACTCCCAAAAGCTCAATTCAAGATTTACTCGTCCAACCACAAGGCTTCGAAGAGTCTTATAACTTCGATCCAAACCAACTAAATAGCGGAACATATTCCTTTACTTCAATTCAGTCAAAGCCATACCCCACTGCGAAAGAAAGTGGCAATATCGAACCTTCCCTTTTCACGATGGCGGACCCAAACCCCGCAACAGACACACCTAATACTTTCTCGGGCAAAAGGCAGTTGGAAAAGTCTACTATTGTAATGAATGTCGAAACACTTCTTGAAGGTATATCTTAGTCCGCTCGTGTCATGATGATAGATATTCAATACTGATCCTTCGTGATAGAATTAATTAGCCGCGGAGTTTGTCTTGGTCGAACACCGGGATTTCGTCCTTCTGATGTGAACGCGGCGATAGTGGCCGCCGCTAAAGCTGGCTATTCGGTTTAATGTTCGAACTACACCTAATTTTAGTTAATACCCTTATTTGGTCCCTTACTTTTTGACTCATCGTTCTATTCACGTTGGTGATGCAGTATACGATACGCGGAAAAGTATAGGGTGGTTGGGCGTTGCACAATGTTTTTCTTCACGTCTACAACCAACATCATTTTAGTAGCCAAAGTTTTGGTTAGTCCCTGGTATTGGAGCCACACTATTATGAATAATAATGATCTGTCTATGTCGAGAATTTGGAGTGTCCGTCTCGGTCTGTCCTGTCCGCTCCTAGTGCTCCCAATAGACTCGTTTTCTTCAAGTCTACAACCCTTTCTAGTTACGCAACCATACTTTAAAGTTTAGCCCGCTGCCACCGACCAACTCTCTCTTTACCATTTTATGTGTTCATAATATCCCGAAGGGTACGCGTCCGATAGGTACATGATTTGGCTCCAACCACCCCTAGAGCTAGCCATCCAGGTTCCCTGCAACCCTCTACCCCGATTTAGTTGAGTATCCATAGTTTTGGATGGATGGTTGAACCCTTTGACTCACTCTTCCCTCATCATGATGGCCGTTGTATGGGGAGAGTCATCTAATAAGGGGTGGGCTTTACACCCTCACTCAAGCTCCAAGCTAGATAGTTAGTAGCATCCTCTGGGTATAAGATAATGGGCAGGTCCTCTTCTACTTTTTTCGTCTCCATCACTCCTACAACTGCCTTCTCCTCATACATTCCAGACAGAGAATCTTCAACTCCTTCACGTTGACTCTGTGAACAACCTACCTTCCAACTCCATAACAATCTTCCACTTTATGACAACTTGTCAATCCACAGCAATCTCCCACCCTCTAAAAAGCTCTCTCTACGCCAATATCTCACTCCTCTATGGTGATTGAGCCACTCTCCAACTCTACAAAAAATTCCTCAATCTCTCAGCGCACAAGAAACACTCAATCAACCATAAAACAAACGACCGCGAGAGCGTCTTTCTCCGAGTCGTCTTCAATCTCTGAAGAACCTCAAACATCCAACTTGAGCAACCATAGAGACAGCATGGAGCTCAGCAAAGTCCTCTGCACCAAAAGGTGCACAAACAACCACAGAAGCTGGACACGTATACGAGAGTTTATCCATCGCCATATGGCGATCAGCGCAGGCAAAAAGTCCTGCAGCCTCATTCCTACTACCAAAGATGAACAAGAAGAGAAGGAGCTATGCGCTCCTCCCCCAACCCCAACAATGAGTCCCAAAACGGGCACCTCGATGGCCTCAACTACGACTACTAAGTCGCAAGATCACTTCGCACGGTGCACGGCCAGACTCATCACATGGCTTCGCCGAGCATATGTCGGAGTGGAAGAGAAGCAGAAGGATACCGCCCTGGATCGGGAGATTCCAGGGCTGGAAGCCTACCTTCGAAACTTCTATATGGAAGAAAGAGTTGATTACCCATCTGGAATGGGGATTGATGGGAGTTCGGCGGGACGCCGCTAGGTTGAACGACCAAAAAAAAAACCCCAACTTGACAGAAATGTCCACTCGTGTTACGCGGGACCTGGATGGGTGGTGTTTGATATAGTTCCTCGTGTGGACTGGCGTTCGGATTTAAGTTTGGGTAGTGCCTCGTGTTGCACTGTTTTGGAATTTCGGGATACCACATCGTCACTTGTTTGGAGTTCGCATAAAGATACCATTTGGCTGCATTGGGGGTTGGGAAGATTGGATTTGGGTCTGGTCCTGGCTATTTTTGGGCTTGAGTTGGAAATGGTTATAAGAAATGGAAACTTCTACGGCTGGTTCGGAAGTTGCTACTGCTAAAAGTGCAACAATAAATGAATTGAATGAACTGTTCTTTTCAATAACTTCCTCTGCAATGTGCAACCCTGTGATAAATATGACAAGTGTGACGATATGCGACTAGTCTTAAGATATTGAGACAACTCTCTGGTAATATGCTTATCCTCTAATGTCCTGGGGGAATTAAGACGCTTAGCTACCGTGATGTCGAACAAAGGTTAATGAATTCTAGCCCCTACGCATTAGATAATACCAATAAATTTTAGACGACTAGACAGAGGAGTTCTAAACTTATTTTGAATTGTATAAGTGATTTTCGAAGTTTTTGTATCACTTGTTGTTCGACGCTCAATAAGTAATTCCTAGGGAGGTTGACCTCTAATAAGTAAGAGGTGGGGAGACTTTCAAACAACTGCCTTATTTTAAAAAATTGAAGCTATCTCTAATACAAACACCATTCCATCCTTTAAACCTTCGATCATCACCATATTACCCCTGTCAAATAGGGCGCTTCAAGAGACGTCATGTCATGCACGTGACCATCCTTGATCCCTGTAGAAATTTGGTATTCTAACAAGTCTGAGTTTCATAGAGCTTTACTAGTACTCTCCCCACCACAATACAGACGTCTAAATGAATGCCGCGGTATTTTCTTCCCCGAAAGTCAAGTGCTCACCGCATAGCCGGCAAGTACCTCATGCCCTTCGATACCACCGTTCTCTCTAACTTTACCGGTTCTTAGCCAAGGCGTTGTACCGAGCCCTCCTCGAACAATGTCCACGGATCCCCCTCTCCGCTGAGCTGCAATCGCGCGGGCCGATAAACCCAATCAAACATTTCATCCGCAAGAAATTCAAGCAGAGTATTTACCTGACGAGTCCGACGCAGGTGGTGAAAGGGTTAAAGGCTGGATATGCTGTTCGTTAACCTCCATACTCCTTTCTTGATGCGGTTCCTACTCCCCTCTTTGTTGAATAGGGATTCACAAAGATTAAAAGTTTCTAACACGGATTTGGGAAATGGACAGGCTGAACAACTCCTCCGCTACGCGGGCGATGGTAACCCTGCTGCGTTGTCCCAAACATATGCCCTCGTTTCCATGCTCCACGCAGACGCGGCCCTCGCCCACCAGCTAACCCCTAAACCCATTCCTCGCCCTCGACCGCCACGGCCAGCGCCATATCCAGGCGCACAGAAAGTTCTCGATATCCGGCCGCTGCCTAAAGAGCAGCTAACGGGTCGACGTCATGTGCCACATATACGATTCATAAATGCGGAACGCACGGCATTCCTGATGTTCAAGAAGCCACAGAGCCCATATCTCAGTCGGGTGTTGAAACAAGTAAACAAGGCAAGGATAGGGAGGCTTCAATTCCTGGAAGATGTCGAGGAGGATATTCAGGTAGCTAGACTGGAGGCAGAGTGGGAGACTCTGGTTGAAGAGGCGGCAAAGGCCGAGGGCCAGGATCCTCAGGTTGTGAGGAAGGGTGATAAGGAGTGGGGGGCGTCGGAAGCTTGGACGAGAGATCTGGCTCGTGAAAGACGTGCTGTTCAAAGACGTCTCTCGGCTTCGCATGTAAAGGCGGGCGAGATAGCTGTCCGGATGATGGATATTAAGGACGAGGAAGAGAGGTTGTTGAGGGAGGAGAAGAAGGAGGAGAAACACAAGAAGAATGAGGAAAGGAAGGCTAGAAAGAGGGAGAGGGAGTTAAGGAAGAATGATTCTTAGGATGAGGTGAAGCATGGCGTGTAAGATATTTTCGGTTGCTTTGCATTATATTAAGGGGCGTTGGAGTGTACTTATTGCATGCTGGGGTCACGGTTATAGAGTATATTTCTGGCGCAATATATATGTCTTTGAAAGGGGGAGGAGAGGGGTTTAGATAGATCCCTTGTATGGATTTTGCCCTGGAGGAACATAATGTATGGATATTCGGTTTCCGCTACCTCGCAGTAAAAGACATATCTGAGCAGAAGACCAGTTTCGCCGCGCTGATGCACCCTAAAGTCGTCTTAGAAACTACCTCGTTTCATCAATTTCATCGTTCCTATCACGCCCTAGCCGTGATAGGTGGCCCCCCCATTCTAACGCAAAGAATTTCTTTCGAGCTCATAACATATGCTGCGTCGAGGGGCCTAATAGGTCGAGCCTTCCGGGGGTTGAGGGAGTTTCTTGTGGTTAGGATGTGCCATGTATCTTCGAAGCTCGATCAACACAGTTTCCATCGTCATATCGCGGGTCCAGGTGGCAAGGCATGGGAGCTTGGTGGGGTCAACCTGAACCAAATATTAGCATGGACTCTTAAGCAACCCATAATTAGGTGGGAGTATATATAAGTTGTACTGACCACGCCGTTCTTTGGATTAACACACGGAATATTCACTTGGTTAATGAACTGGATAGTGGGCGGTTTATCCGGATATTGGTCACCGCAATGCATTTTGAGGGAGTAAATTCGGTTTTGATGGACAGACTGCAGAGCAAGGACTAGTGAGACTTTGTCTATGGATATAGTTAGGAGGAATGCGGACGTACATGTGGTGGGCCAAGGATGGTGCCGTTCCAGTTGGACATCAGCAGATCGTCTCCTTCTGCGAGACCATAGGAACACGCCTCTACAACGTAGGACGCCGTGTCAGTCACAGAGTTTGGCATATATGCGTAACCAGCTGCTCACCAGCTCCAAGGCCTTTCTCGCCCTTTTCCAACTCCTCCAGTAATCTGAAGTTTCGCGGTACTTTGGCGCCCATTGTGCTAGCCTTCCTCAGGATGCGCGGAGGTGTATGAAGTAGCCCCTGAAGGATAGATGGTCGAAAGAAGTGAGCTAATTTATTTTACTAAAGCGCCCAAAGAATTTGCGAGATCTGTGGAGGGAAGGAGCTTTTGGGAAAGAGAAAGATCGTGAGAATACCTTAGGTGCGTGTTAATGGGCTGCCGACTGTATGACATACCGTCACGTGCGAGGGCGACCGCCTGGACCGGGATCCAACCCCACCATCCAAGTACGGGGAATCTAGCGGGGATTTGCCGACTTCGCGGCTACGAAGTAATTGAATCATATCTCTGTTTCTGTCTAATTTTAAGTTTGATTGATATTAAAGCTAAACTCTAGGGGACCGAGCTAGATTATAAACAGATGTTCATTACGGAGCTTTAAATAATCTTTCGTTCCTCACAAAGTACGAAGTACCGCTAATATAATCTGTCAGGTGGCCGCGTGAAATTCCTTTTAGGAAGTCCATAAATAACTTCGACTACAACCAGATACTTCGAAGGATTGAAACACGAGATGTGAATATCTCGATTTGGGTCAGATATTATAGTAGATGTAGGCCTGGGCTACGGGGCATAAAGAAGGCCTGGAGAGAAGGCCTGAGGATAGGAGCCTGGTCAGATATTCATACTATGCGCCGACTCTCTCTATATTGTATAGAAACAGTATAGAAGCTCGATATTAGAGTCATAACTGGATAATGGCCGTTGGCGCCTGAAAAAAACTGTTAGCTCCAAATGCTCCCTATAATGCGCCATATAGAAGCCGCCGCCGGAGTGGGCTGGTAGGGTTGCTCGACCATCTCGTAGCCAGCTTCGTCTTCGTATGCGCTCGTCTCATCCAGCTCGCAGTCAAGAGCAGGCAGAGGAACTGCTTCGGCGATGGGGTGAAGGCCATCGCGGCGGTGCTTCCAGTGCTCCTTTAGCTGGACCCTCAGGGTATACGACTGCTGCCTCGCGTGATCTTGTTCATTTCTAAGCCCTCTTCGGCCGTCCTTTTGCCCTTGGTAAGTGTCCTTTACGTTTGCCGTCGCGAACTGATGCTGGTGGTATTCAAGTGTGCCGTCCTCTCCCGACGGACCAGCATAATGTGCAAAGAAGTTGATGTTAGTGCCGTCCGTGGCGAAAGTCGTGACCTCTGCATGACCCGGGGGGTCAGGTTTCCCGATATGTGACAGGGCCTGGTTCCGGGCGTAGACAATAGCCGCTCCTGTATAGGCACTCTGCAGCCGCGCTTCTTCCATATCCTTTCCGGCACCTTTCCACTCGCCGGCTAGGTGCGGGAATGCTATAGAATGAAGATCATCCTGATAAAGAACGGCGCCGTCAATATGATTGCCGACTGGAAACGGGCGGAACTCTTCCATGTCTAGCCCCTCGACAAGGTCGGGTTGTGGAGCCGACAGGCCATTGTTGAAACCAACGTCTTTTGGAAAGGCGGTGAATGCGCGGTTATAGGAAGTTTTATAACCCCCGTCGTCATATTCCTTTAGCATATGCTTGCTCACCTCATGGGCCATGGTCGATTCGTTACCGGCACCCTTGACTTTGTTGACATAGCGTTTGAACCTTGATTCGGTTGGAGAAGCGGTTTCACAGGATCTGGCGTGTCGTTTGATGATATCCTCGAGGTTTGCGGGCGGCTTGGAGCTCTGGAGGTTGAGTATGCCATTGTTTCGGGCCTGGATGGCGAAACCGGACGTTGCTGTCGAGATGGACTTTGCTGTTGTTGTTGACTTGTCCGTGGAGTCGGGGTGAGTAGACGCCTTATTGAATCCCTTCTGCTTCCCCATCTTGTTCAACAGGGCCAAGTTTTTCCGTGTCAACCGCGCTCTCTTCGCAGGCAACAAATCATCCTTAGGTGCGACGTCCAGGTGCCGTTTGCTGGACTGTAAGGGCGTCGCGCCTTGTGCGGGATCTTCATCTACTAGAGAACGATCTCTGTGGCTCGGTGGAAGCTCTGTACCTGACGAGTTAGTATGTCCTCCTACTTTCCAACAAGGCACTGCTGATATCACAACTGCACGCGTACCTACAACTGAGTCTAGCAGCTTTTCTTGCGAGGCCTTGGATAATCTAAGAGAACGGGAACCCGCGCCTTGGACACTTTGCTTTTCATGGCGAGAAACGTACTGGTATATAAAAAAGGGATAGATTTTATACGTAGTATCAGAGTCTAGGCTGGCCGACGTAGGGGCTTAAGACCACATGGCCTTCGGTTTCGTCACGGGAGGTTTCAAACCTCTGTTTTCGCAGAGGTAGTCTTCCAACCTGGGTAGCTCCTACTCCGTACGCAGTACATAGCATGGTTTAGCCTTTTATTCGCTGGTGATAGTCGGCCTGTCCTGTGAGTACCCGTGCTGGGAAAGCTTTGCGTTCGCAACGATTTGCTGGCTGGAGGCCGACTGGTATAATGACTCATTATCCGGGCCGTCCTTGATTGCAAAGGCGCAAAGGCCGTCAAGAGGTAGTATCAGCGGCGGTGGGAGTCGTCGTTCTTGAATTGCACTTCTCTAGGTTCGTAGGAGTTCAGCTCTTTGTTGGCCTCCTGAGGGTGGACAAAGGGGCCAGCCGAAATTGGCACCCAGGCTGGCAAAACATGGAGGGGCAGGAGAAGCAGCGAGGGCGGTGAGCTCGGCGAAACCCCGGCTAAAGTTGAGAGGCCACCTCCGCCCTCGTGCTTCGTAGGAAGTACAGCACAAGGAGACTTACCTAGGTAGGGATTCACATTTACATAGCATTCACATGACCATGGAATATTCGGATTCGAACTTATAACATGACGGCCCAAATTCTGTCGTCGGAGCTTGGGAACCTAATCCAGGAGAGCAAAAGGAAACATACGGATCTTCGAAATGTGAGCTTACGTGCCTCCCCACGCGACCTCCCCCCCAAATGGGTGGACACCGATACATCGTACTAACTCGAATACTAGGCCGCTGAAAAGTCTCTGGACGAGCTCAAGGCTCTACGTTCAACCTCTGAAGCCCAGATAGCTGCTGGTAATTCGCCAACTCTCTTGAGACAACATCTCTGACCGACGTAGATCTCTCCCAACGCCCCAATTTCGTGACACCGCTCCTCATTGCATGCGGTACGAAAAATGTAAAGTTCACTGGTATTGCAATTGTATGCTTGCAGCGGCTTGTCGTATCATCTGCCCTTCCAAGGTCAAGACTGAGAGAAGTTCTCGAGGCGTTCAGAGAAGCTACTTCTGCTGGGCTTGATGTCCAGCTCAAGATTCTTCAAGCATTACCGTCGCTTCTTCATAACTACGCGGATGACCTGAAAGGAGAACTGCTAGCGGCTGCTCTGAATATTTGTACTATTCTACAGGCTAGCAAGAATGGCATTGTCAACAACACCGCGGCCGCAACCCTGCAGCAGCTTGTTGTGTCAGTATTTGACAAAGTTGTTACCGAAGACAGTAAGGCCTCCCAAACATTTAGCGATCTATCACTGATAAACAAATAGAAATTGCGCTCGAGGTACCCACTGTTGGTGAAGCACCCGTTGAAAATGGCACCGTACAGCTTCGAGCAGCAGCACTGGATGCATATAGAGTGTTTAATGATCTCTGTCTCCTCACGGAGTCCCAGAAACCACGCTTTCTAAAATCTACTGGCATGCCCCAAACATTCGGCCTGGAGCTTATTGAGTCGGTCTTGACCAATCACTCTGATATATTCTTGTCGCATCCAGAACAAGCTAATATACTGCGCACAAGAGTGATGCCGTTCATTATTAGCTCCTTGTCTCAGAGGTTAAATTTCGCCGTAACTGTCAGGATAGGGCGCATCCTATATATCTTGTTGAGACGACACCTAGATATTCTCGCGTCCGAAGGGGAGATGGCTCTAGGTCTTCTGACCCACATGCTGGACCATGATACTGCATTATGGAAAAGATCTTTGTGCATGGAAGTTCTGAGAGGAATATTCGCCGAGGCTGTGCTTATCAGGCGAATATTTGCCATGTATGATGCACAGGAGGGGAAAAAGGCAATATTAAGAGACCTCGTGGCTGCGTTTGTTCGAATAAGCACGGAGAAACCAGCGATCATTGGCCTAGGACACCAATCTACAATACCTACCGCAAGTTCAGACCGAAGTGCTGGAGCAGATGAGGCGATGCTTGAAGCCAGTGGCGTACCAGGTATTATTAGCAGCTCGGTCGGCTCCAATGAGCCTGTAGCTGGGATTAGTACTCAATGGAGTACCATGCGGGTACCATGCATTGACCAGCTTGACAAGACGGATCCTCCATCAGTGCCGGAGTCGTATATTTACAGTCTTACCCTTGCTTGCATCAGTGGGTTTTCGGAAGGGTTAGCTAAATTCATCCTTCCGTTGACTGTTCCGGACCGCCCTCGAAAGAAACCAGCGCGACAACCGGAAGCAGACTCTAACGTCCGAGAAACGCCCGAACGACGATCTTCGAATAAGAAGAACCCAATTCCAGTAAATCCGCTAGTTCTGGAAGATCACCCGTTGTACGACGAGGTCAAGATTTGTGCAGGAATTGTAGATCAATGCTGGCCTGCTATACTTGCAACATGCTCGACCTTCCTTTATGCCGCGTTGGACTCGGATTATTATCATGGCCTTGTCAGGTCTTTTCAAAAGTTTACCCACGTAGCTGGGCTTCTACGTCTTGCTACCCCACGAGATGCTTTCTTAACTACACTTGGCAAGGCAGCTGTTCCGTCCAGCATTCTATCCACGAGCGCTGGGGCCGCGCCAACTCCATCGACGCCACCGCCTACAGAGACTTCGAGCATGTTTAACAATGCTAAAGGTCTACTCAGCGTCGAAAGTCTAACAGATCGCGGGCGGCAACCTTCGATAGATGTTGGGGTGCCATCTCTTAATACGCGGAACCTTCTGTGTTTACGCGCTCTTCTCAACTTAGGCATTGCCTTGGGACCAACATTGGGTTCAGCTTGGGGCATCATATTGGGCACCCTTCAAGAAGCCGACTTAGTGCTTTTCTCTAGTGCCAAATCAGCGCGGACTCCAACAACTCCAAAGGGCGAGCATGCAAGTGTTAATGACGGGTCATCTGCGCTACTGGCTAACTTCGGGACTGAGATTAAAGCTGTTGAAACAGCTGCCGCTAGACTTCTAGAAAGTACCATTGAGTTCCCAAATGAGTCTTTCCTGGAAGTCGTGACGGCACTTTGCACTTTATTTGGAAGGGATGATATTCCTAAGGCCCTATCCGGACCTACAAGCCCCCCTTCTCCTTCGGCTGATGCACGACGACTGTCTCATACTCATCGAAGAATCCAAAGTATTAACACGGCCCCCGCTACCCAAAACCAGGAGGATCTATTCGCGCTAGCCAAGTTAGGTGAAGTTGGCACCATCAATATTGAAAGACTTATGACCTATGCCCCTGAAATAAGCGGTTGGGGGGTCTTGAGCTCCGAGTTAATACAAGCTGCATGTGCTACTGATAGGCCGCCTTCAGTTAGACTTCGAGCTGCGGAAACGCTAGTTCACCTGATTCTTGAAGCGGCAACTGCGACTTTATCATTCCCAGATGATATTCGAACCCCTGTTCAACTGCAGTTACTCGAAACGCTTCGAGCTGCGCTGCAACCACTTGAGTCAATTGACCGCCAATCGTCGGTGGCAACACACAGCATTGATATTGATGTTCACAAGATAATTCTCGAAGGGCTTAAAAGCATCTTGGAACAATGTGGCGAGACATTCATTAGTGGTTGGGACATTGCCTTTGAAATCATTGGGAGTGTTTTCGTCGATGGCCATGAGAATCAAGCCCGAGGACTGAAGTCTTCTACGACTCGGTCGTCACGGCTGATTCGATCTTCGTTTAGTTCACTGCAACTTATCTGCTCCGATTTCTTGTCATCGCTTCCGAATTCTTGCTTTATAATCCTCGTCGATACCCTTTATAATTTCTGTACTCAGGATGATGATCTTAACATCTCTCTAACTGTAAGTATATCCTGTATATCCCCTACCTACTTTTAAAGAATGAACATACTGACAATTTAGACTGTGACTTTCTTCTGGGTCTTGTCAGATTTCATTTCTGGCAGAACAAGTGCCTTCTCCCTGAATCCAGATCTCATCCAAGGCTCGGATGAACAGCGTCTGGTAGAAATGGCATCTGGCACGGACATCGGAGTTTCTGATGCCGCACTGTGGATGCTGTTGCTCCTGCGCCTAACAGCTGTTACTACAGATGACAGGCTGGAATTGAGAAATAGTAAGACTCGTCGATCAACTAAAGTTACGTTCATTTTCTGACTATTGGAAGGTGCTATTCAAACGCTACTCAGAATATTTGACGCTTACGGAGATCAACTAAGCCCTGAAGCTTGGTCGATGTGTCTACAATCCGTCATATTCAAGTTACTCTCTTCCATGGAAGAGCAGCTCAAGATAGCTAATAAATCGGAATCCTCGGTCTCGGATAAAGAACGGACTGGCTGGAATGAAACCACAGTAATTGTCCTGAGCGGGATTACCAATCTCTTGGCCGACTACTTGGACACACTATCGAGCCATCACACGTTTGGGGCCTCTTGGGACACTTTACTGGGCCATTACAAAACACTACTGGAGTTCCAAGTCCTTGATATAAATACGGCGGTCTTCAATTCTCTGCAGCGGATCCTTGCTAGGGGCAATCTAGCAACAAACGGTAACACGAATTTCGACCGTCCTGCTATTGACCTTGGTTGGGAACTTTGGTCTCACTCCTTGCCAGTCGTGAAACGGGATGTCTCCGACAAGAGATTTGACAACCAGAAGTACTTGCTTGCATACGTTTCAGTTTTGCAAGAGATATATCGATTGGTGCAAGCAGACCTTACTGTGGACCATGTGCAAAGAATGCTTATTTTGCTCCGTGAAGCAATTCAACAGGCCAGTGCGGCGACATACTCTGCAGATATCGAATATCTCACCCCACTGCAAACCCAAGTCCTAGAATCCCTCAAAGCCATTCGCACAGATATCGATGGCGTTCCGGCTGCATTGATCGGTCAGGTATCGGACTTCGTTGGTCTAGCGTTTGAACCGAAGGATGCGTCGTCTCTCGAATCGCAGCGTCCGACGTACGTTGCCTTGTCGAAAGCGTCAATGACTCTGATGGATAGCCTAGTTCTTGCGCATTCATCTGATTGCGGGGTTTATCTGAGTGGCGCTGTGACATCTAGTCTAAATGCTCTTGCGAGACCTATTGTTCTCAAGTACTCCTTTCCCACCGTCACTAAAAGCATATCACCTTGGCGTCGAGCGACAACTTCAGCTCTTACTATTTTGAAGGCGATCCTACCCGTCATAACCAAAGCAGGCCTCAAGGATGACGTGATTAGATCCATATGGGGCTCGATCGTAACCATTGCAAACGCTATCACGACTGCGAACTGTGAGGATGCTCCACAAACGGGCAATATCAAAGACGACCAAGAATTCGATATCACATCCTTCCTCACCCTCCGGACGCTCATAAACCCTGCTCTAGGCTCGCAAACAATTCCCGACAAGACTCGACGCACATACACCGAATCACTCTTCCACACATCCCTCATCCACGCCCCTTTGCCTAATGAACTCCCCTCGGCAAACCAGGAACTTCTTGCCACCCTTTACCAACATCGAAAAGGCCGTACCATAGATCCGCCTCCATCACCACGCTCCAAAATGAGTTACATTTGTTTTGATGAGCTCGTATCCCTCGTAACACTCCATGATAATTCACCTCCCCGGGTTAAACTCGCCCAAGCTGCTGCGCCCTACCTCATTCTGCGCTCAGGGCTGATACTCCGCGCATACATCGCCGATCAGCCGCTCCGTGGCCGTATGCCGCAACCCCTCTCACAACGCAAGGAATTACTATACATTTTGAAAGCATTGGTAGAGTTGAGATGTGAGCCTGATGCCATCCCTGACGCACCGGGGGTAGAAAGCGAGGGGAAGAAGCATTTGCATAGGCTGTACCCGCTGTTGGCTAAGGCAGTGAGGGCTGCAGCGATGGATCAGGAGGTCTTGGAGCTGTTAGGAAAGGCACTTGATGAGGTGGGGATGGAATTTGGTGTTTGACGATTTGTAAAGTTTTGGATGAACGTGCCAGGTTGCATTAAGAGGTGTTAACATGTGTATGATTATCATTCATTAAAAAGAGTTTACTACTCTTTCCTTTTGATTTCTTATTGCTTACTTTGTGTCCTCAATCCTGAATATATACTTGGTAGCGGAATTCTTCCCAGACTTCATATCGGTCAGCCCCTTCTCAACACCGTTCAGGCCGCCAGGGACGACCTCGTACGGATGCCCAGTAAACCATCCTTCCTGCAAGCCTCTCGAGAAAAGCCTGAAAAAGACATGGCCAAATTCTTTCCCTCCAGTCTTCATCCCAGCCTTTCCTCCAGCTGACTCTGGCGCAACGTCTTCATGTACGGCCCCGACCATAGTCCAGCTGTTTGCAATCCCGTCCGGGACGCTGAAATCTTTGATAGGCATCACAGTAGTGATTTTACTGCCTTGTTTTGATAATACTTGGCAAATATTCTGGTAGCTGTTATGTTCACTTATGGCGTCAAGAGCGTAATGAACTTCGTTGGTAGAGGCTTTCTTCAATGCTTCCTTGATACCAGATACAATTCCCTCGTCACCGATACGGTAGTCGATGATTGTGTCGCCTTTGCTGCGGTCGATTAGTCCTTCTACGTAAGCTTGTCCTCTGCCTGAAATGGCGATGATTGGGTGGATGTTAGAGAGTCTGGCGAGTTTGATTGCGAAAGCTCCCTATCAGGTTGTTAGCGATTAGTTTCCTATTATTGTTGAGAGGAGTTATCCTTACAACAGCGCTGGAGCCACCATACACGATTAGAGGGGTTGGGCTCGCTGTTGCTTCTTTCCATGGTTCAGGAAGGCCTAGACGGAAATAGAGAGCAAGGGCAGCAGTCATTGCTGCGAGGGGAATTGTGGAACCCTGTATTTAATATTAGCGAGACGTAACGTTGAGGCCTGGAAATGCTCTCACCTCCTCAAATGATGTCTTCTTTGGCAAATGGAAGGTAGTAGAGGCGAATGCGATAGCGTACTCGGCGAAACTTCCATGGGGCGCAAGCATCTCATGGAATGCAGCAACTCGATCTCCTTTCTTAAATTCAACAACATTTTCGCCCACGGCTTCGACAATACCGGCAATATCGTCGCCAGAATTATGGTCGAGCGTCCGCCATAGAGGCACTTTCCAATCTTTCGGGTTAGAGCCAGAGAAGACAACTTTGATCAGCACTTGGTCTGCTCGGGGCGTTGGGATAGGCACGTCGTGAATTGCTACCGTTGTGACGCTAGAGACAACTGCTTCCTTCATCGTGTAGAGTGTCGCAAGTGGATCGGATAAACTATGGCAATACCTAAAAACCGAACGGGGTTGGAAATTAATAGGCCTCTCAATCCGAATGCACTATATAAGTGGACTTCTTATACTGGCGTTGGAGTGCAATTGTCTGAGAATTGTTTGGTATTTATGACGTGCCATAGGACGATTGCTGACATATCGTGTTGATTTCTAATTAGAAAATAACATTTGATGGCAGTAATAAATAATCCGCCAAGGAATTGCCGACAACCGGGCAACACGAACAAGGGAAGAGTATGAGCTCATCACACCTATACAGTACCCACAGTAAAGGCTCGGGACTCCTGATACGTTGGGGGGCTGTGTAATGAGGTTAATAATGAACAAGAGGTTCCGTGTCAAACCACTCATTTCTGGCGTATATTCTTGGCTTTCCGTTTCTTAAACACAATCTCGGGGGCAACTTGCGTTTGTGGTTCCTGCTTTACAGTTGCATCTGACAGTGGAGGGGCGGTTTCAAGATGGAGGGTCCCATCCGATGGCTCTTTCTTGATGGATGCTGGACCTTGAATGTCGTCGCTAGCTCTTTCACCATTCTCTGGTTCCAGCTTGACTTCCGCCTTGATCTCAGAATCTATTTCCAACTTAGCTTCCTCCTTGATTTCAGAGTTGGCGTCTTTTTCGACTTCGGTTTTGGTTGTTGGACCAGCACCTTTCCGCGTTGCATTGCTCAATAGCACGTCGAGATCGCTATTATCTTCTGCTGCTGGATGTGTCCGATATGCCGAGCCCCATCTTCTCCTCTTGGTTTCAGCTGCGTCTTCTTCTTCCTCTTCAACGGTTCTTTTTCTCACACCTAATGCAATGGCATCCGGCCCTCTTTCCCCATCTGGTACTATAACCCTCTCCGATGTGACCTGCCATTCCCCAGCCATTGCCATCTCAGGTCTAAATTCATCCGGTATACTAACGCCCAATTCTGCCAGCTGTGCTAACTGCTGCTTTCTCTGCGAAGGCGTTGCTTGTGACTTGGGTAATGATGGTGTCGGCCCCCTTCCAAAACCAGATGAGGAAGAAACTGTAGTAGCTCCACCGCCCGTAACCAGCCCATTTAGACGTGCCACTTCCGATTTCGCACGCTCTTTGTCCTTTTCATCTTTCTCGTGCCCGCGGTGTAGGTCTCTGAGAAATCTCTTGAGGTTGCCTTGATGCTTAGGGGTGGCCTCATGGTTCTGCTTCTCGAGTTTCGTGTCCCGTACATATGTTTTGCAGTATTTGCACCAATATTTAGGCTGCAAGTCCATTAGCATCACCAAATAGATTAATCTGGAAAGAGTGCTTACCGTTGACTTCCAATACTCGGACATATTGGCCAGGCCTAGATGACTGCTGCGCAATCAAACTTCTCTGGTTCTGCGCAAAAGATATAGTCACAGGCGGTCTAAGTAAGTAGTGGTGAGCTAGTGCTTCTATCAATTTTATGCTTTAGAAAGTGACTCGAATTGGGTTGGGTTGGGTTGCTTGCGAGTCGATGATGTATTAGTGTTTTTGAAGCGGCTGTACAACCTCGCCGCCGCAGTTCAGCCTCCTTCGCCTCGCGTCCCGCAAAATTTAGCTCCAACCTCACGAGGCAGCGAGCACCGACGTTTCTCTTGCTCTGGCACAACTCACGACAATCATATCATGGGGTTGGCATCGCGCATACCGTTAAATATGGCCTCATCCAGCGGAATGCTGCGCAAGGGCATCACATCCATCGTTCCCCGGACTACGGTGGGAAGAGCTGCCCTTCCTGCTTTCCAACGACAGCTCCATGACGGCCAAGCACGATCGCAAAGCACCAGCTTATTAGGACTCCAGAACAACAACCCTAATATCCCAACCTCCTACTTCCAACGCCCCTCGCTACCTGCCAATACCATTGTTCGATTTGTACCCCAACAAACCGCGTGGATTGTTGAGCGCATGGGAAAGTTCAACAAGATATTGGAACCAGGCCTTGCTATTCTAGTACCATTCCTTGACCGGATAGCATACGTCAAGAGCTTGAAGGAATCTGCAATAGAGATACCCAGCCAGAGTGCCATCACGGCGGACAATGTTACGCTTGAGCTTGATGGCGTCCTATATACCAGAGTATTCGATGCTTATAAAGCAAGGTATGTTCCCTTCCATAATCCCCCGTTCGGCTTTGCTAAGGATTTACAGTTATGGAGTTGAAGACGCCGAATACGCTATCTCCCAGCTAGCCCAAACAACTATGCGTTCAGAAATTGGCCAGTTGACGCTCGATCATGTCCTGAAGGAGCGCGCGGCTCTCAATACCAATATCACACAGGCCATCAACGAAGCAGCACAAGACTGGGGCGTCGTCTGCCTCAGGTATGAAATTAGAGATATCCATGCACCGGAAGGTGTCGTGGAAGCCATGCACAGACAAGTCACGGCCGAGCGAAGCAAGAGAGCAGAGATTCTGGATTCCGAGGGCCAGAGGCAGAGTGCTATTAATATTGCCGAGGGAAGGAAACAGAGTGTTATTCTGGCGTCTGAGGCATTGAGGAGTGAGCAGATCAATATGGCTAGTGGTGAGGCGGAAGCGATCTTGCTGAGAGCGAAAGCTACGGCTGCAGGTATTGAGGCAGTTGCGAAGAGCATAATGGAAGGAAAGGAATCTGCCCAAAATGCTGTCAGTCTCAGCGTGGCGGAGAAGTATGTGGATGCGTTTGGCAAATTGGCAAAGGAAGGCACTGCGGTTGTTGTACCAGGGAATGTTGGCGACATTGGAAGCATGATTGCAAGCGCAATGGCAGTGTATGGACAGGTCGGAGATGCCCAGGCTAAGACAATAGCAGCGAGGACGTTGGAAGCCCAGAAGTCCGCAGCACAGGAGGGTTCGGAGAGCCAGCCGTCTCAAGCAGAGTCACCAAACGACGAGATGAAGAGGAGCATGCTCGATTCTTTTGAGAATGCGAGAAAAAAGAAGTGAGGGAACTGGGCTGAACTAAACAAGGAGTAAAAAGTTGTACAACAGTGTCTATATTATTCATTAAAGGGAGACGGTGCAAAGGCTTTAGTCGCAGGAAGATAAATAGCGGAAAACCTCTAATCCACTCAACCGTACTAGACGCGTATGTAGAGCTATCAATAAGCAGCCAGTATCTTGCCTATCGTGAGCGAAGTGGAGGTATTCAGAGCATTTGAGTTTGAAAGGTGTACGTAGTTCTCCGTACCTGGACTATTTATTGCACCCAATGCCGAGCCCATAAGCCACCGCTAAATATATGCCGATCAGTGACAGACCCCGGCGCCCGAAACGCCATCCTCAGGCGAAGTGGCCTGGCTGGCGCTGGCGCATCTTGCAGCATGAAAATAGTCGCGACTTCGCGTTGCTCCGTTCTCAAGCTCCGATAAAACCAACAACTTAACGATGCCCATCGATCACTTCTCTGGTGACAACCATGAAGTTCATCAAGCCAGCCTGGCTGACGCATAGTGGTACGTCGGCGTGTCTAGTGTTGATCCATCTCCAGTAGGAATCCTTGTGACAGTTGGCTAACTTCTGCGCCCTTTGCGCCCGCAATATTAGGAGAACAGAAAGACTTCGAGGTTTACAGCTGTCACGTATCGCCCGATGGGGCCAGGCTAGCTACTGCTGCTGGAGGTACGAATATCATGGCGATGGAATCAAAATTAAATATAGCGCTGATGGGATGGTTTAAATAGATGGCCACGTTCGAATATGGTCCACCGAAGCCATTCTCCAAGCAGGAGATCCCAATCACTCCAAGCCCAAGCAATTATGTCATATGAGCTATCATTCGGGGACCATTCATACGGTTAGATTCTCACCAAACGGTCGTTGGCTAGCTTCGGGCGCAGATGACAAGATCATATGTATCTACGCCATCGACGCGAATCCACCCGCGCACTCAGCTTCATTCGGTATAGCATGCCATTCCACATTGGCCCGAATATACATAGACTGATTCTAATGGCGAAACAGGAACGAATGAGCCAGCTCCCGTTGAAAATTGGAAAATCGTCAGGCGGTTAATTGGACACGAGAACGATGTGCAGGATCTAGGCTGGTCTTATGATTGCTCAATACTAGTATCAGTTGGACTGGACTCGAAAATCGTCGTCTGGTCTGGGCATACGTTTGAGAAGTTGAAGACTCTCTCAGTTCATCAGAGCCATGTTAAAGGAATTACCTTCGATCCTGCGAACAAGTACTTTGCGACAGCGAGCGATGACCGCACGATTAAACTCTTCCGATTCACCTCTCCACTTCCTAATGCTACCGCCTACGACTCTATCAACAATTTTGTGCTCGAGCACACTATTGTTGCACCCTTTGCTTCTTCTCCTCTCACAACCTATTTCCGAAGGTGTTCTTGGTCGCCAGATGGAAATCATATTGCTGCTGCAAATGCCGTGAATGGGCCTGTCAGCTCGGTCGCGATCATCAATCGAGGGCTCTGGGATAGTGATATCAATCTTATTGGACATGAAGGTCCTACGGAAGTCTGCACATTCTCACCACGTCTATTCAGCAAACAAGAAATCAGCCCTGAAACTACCGATAATAGCGGGTATAGTACTCAAGCTTTAGTTACCGTTATTGCGTGTGCTGGACAGGATAAAACTTTAAGTATCTGGAATACTAGCTCTTCAAGGCCGTTGGTCGTGTGTCAAGATTTGGCAGCAAAATCGATTTCGGATCTTGCTTGGACCCCAGATGGCCTAACTATTTTTGCGTCAAGTTTGGATGGGAGTATAATTGCGTTGGAGTTCGAAAAGGGGGAGCTTGGCTTCATAGCACCCCTGTCAGAGAACGACAAAGCCTTGCAAAAGTTTGGCGTCAATAGAAGAGGAGTTGGTGTTGTTGAAGATGTCGCTGCTCTTCGACTAGAGGAGAGAAGCAAGGCCGGGGAGCTACGAGGGGCAGAAGGGAGGATGGGAGCGCTTATGGGAGATGCCGCCTCAAATCCGACGCCCGTGTTGAATGGGGATGGCAACACTAATGGAACCTCAACCCCAATGACTGGAGTAACATCTACTGCACCTGCGGTAACGAACGGTCGATCCCCCGCCCAAGATACGCCAGCACCAGCACCTGCCGTTGTGAAGGACCCCAATGCAGAGAAATTGGAAGCAATGAAACAGCGGGTTACTATCACAAAGGAAGGAAAAAAGAGAGTTGCACCTTTACTTGTTTCCTCCTCTGGAACAGGACTCTCTTCGTTGCCTCAGTCACAGTTGATGGCTGCAAGTTCTAGCAACGCCCCAAATGATGCCCCCCAATCAATACTAGATCTATCCAAACCATACGACGGCCTTCCAAGAGGTGGTCTAGCAGCGATGTTACTTGGGAATAAACGCAAATCTGTTGCCCTTGAAGAGGACGAGCAGGACGACCAAGCCAACAAACGAGCTGCTGCTGGAGGAGCCAACGGTCCAATTCCAATCATGGTTAACGGGGTAAATGGAGTAGAGCCAGCTATCCCTCTCTTACCTGAGAATGGTGTAGTGCCGACTCCCGAATTCATCAGACCAGCTGTCGTAAACCCTGCGATGTCAGTCAGTCAAGTAAGATTAGCGGTGCCCAAAGTACGAACACATATTCTAAGATCTCTCGACCGCGGTGCTTTGCCATCAACTTCGGGAACAAACGGCACTATCAACGGAGCAGAGGAATCTACAAAAGCGATCGACGATGTAGTTTTCGAAGCTCAGAATCCATCGAACCCATCCCAAATGAGGGATCCTTCGAAAATCAGCGCAAGCAAACGAGGCGTTAACCTCTGGCAAGACTTTCTACCCCGAGCTGTCATTCTGGTTACCGGGAATAAGAACTTTTGGGTAGCTGCTTGTGAGGATGGAAGTATCTATACTTGGACTCCTGCTGGGCGTCGGATATTCAATGCTTTAGTTCTGGAGGCTCAGCCGGTCATAATAGAATGCAGAGGGTGGTGGCTACTCTGCATAACCGCGGTTGGTATGTGCTACGTGTGGAATCTCAAGACACATGGGTCTCCTCATCCGCCAGTGTCGCTCGCGCCGATATTAGACATTGCATTGCACTCTTTGGGTATGCATACGACCAGCGCTCCGGGCGTCACTTCCGCACATCTGAACTCCACTGGTCATATCATTGTTACACTTAGCAACGGCGATGGTTACCTCTACTCACCATCGATGTATGTATGGCAACGCCTATCAGAGGCTTGGTGGGCCGTTGGAAGTCAGTACTGGAATTCGAACGACTCGTCAATTAACACCTTGCAATCGACTGGCGTTGGTCCTGATTCAAGGCGGGATGGGGTTACAACTTCCAACATCTCCGCAGGCATTATACCGCACCTTGAACGGCATACTACGAACGAAGTCCTTCTCAAGGGCCGAGCGTACCACCTTCAACGGCTCATCAAGTCCCTGCTATCTCGGGAAGGGTTCGAGGGCTTCGAGTCCGGTGTCAGCATCGCACATCTAGAGAATCGTGTGGCGGCGGCGTTACAGCTAGGCGCAAGAGACGAATTCCGGATTTACCTCTTTATGTACGCAAAGCGCCTTGGAGCTCAAGGTCTGAAGACCAAAGTAGAAGAGCTCCTGAAGACCATTCTCGGCGGTATCCTTCAAGATAAGACGGAGGGTGAGAAGGGTGAAGGCTGGCTTAGCGAAGATGATAAACTCTGCGGGTGGGATAGAAAGGAGTTGTTAAAGGAGGTTGTCTTAATTCTCGGTAAGCTACTTCCATATTTGAGATAACACGGGTTCGAGCTAACATAATACAGGGAAATTCCGAGATCTGCAAAGGCTTACCGTGCAATACTCACGGGTGCTTGGTATGGATGAGGATGAAAATGAGGCTTGAGCTACTTCTTTTTTGCCTGGAATATTTTGCGGCGGCGTTATGGTTGGCGTGAGAGGAGTGGCGAACTTGTATAGTGCTTGGGATGGTTTGGTTGAAGACAACAGTGTAAGGATATTACAGGATTTGAAGTGCGCTTGCAACAATGGATCGAGCAGCCCTTGAGCCATGTAGCTCAGACTTATATAGGACGAGTTCATGATTCTGACCGCACGACAGCTTTTGCAAGATCTTGGTACGAGTGCGTTATTCTTGTTCGCTATTGACGGGCATGTTCTAGTTATACATCTCTGAACCTAAACCTTCCGTTTCAAGAGACCTTTCAAAAAATCAAAACTGTTACTATCACTTTGCAACTCCCAAACCTTGCCCGTGGGCCGATCCTCCCAGCCTAGCTCTTCCGCAAGCAGCAAGCCCCAATTTCTCGTGATTCCCTTTATCCTAGCCCTGGCACCTCCCTGCGTCTCCAGCGTCACAATCTGATCCGTATGAAGCCAATTATCGTAATATCTCTGTTCGATCGCCCGATCGAACCCCGTGCGACAGAAAGATTTGTAGAGTATCTCGAATTTGGTGAGGATCCGCGCGAGGAGCTTTTCTAGGGTGAAAGGGGGAAGGTGGGATGGTAAAAGAGCGTTGAGAGAGGTTGTTGGGGCGGCGTTGGTGGTGTTGAGGCCGATGCCAACCACTAGGTCGTAGTTCCCTGAGGAATATGAGGAGTTTACGAGGATGCCCCCGATTTTGACGTACTCTTTCTTGCCTGGTTTTGTTGGGTCTTGGGCGTCTGCACAAATTAGCCTGGGTTACTCTGATGAATACGTGTACTTACATATGTCATTCGGCCATTTTAATTTTACAGGCGTCTCTTGATACCCCGGGTCGTATGATTTTATACCCTCCACAGTTGCCAGTGCTGCTAGGTACTGTATGAAAACAACTGGGGCTGTATTACTGAGGTCCATTGGATGCTTCATGCATACAGAGAATATCAATGATCCGGCAGGCGATACCCACACATTCGAGCCCCGACCTCGGCCAGCCACCTGGGTAGTTGCTGTGACTGTGAAGCCTTCTGGGATATGGGAAAGCAACTTCGGATTCCTGCGACCTATTAGCGGTGTCTTTGCACACGTTATTTTGATACGTACTTTTCCAGTATTGTATTAGTACTTGTCACAACTTCCCCATACATCAGCGCCTGCCCAAAGTCCTCTGCCTCTCCTTCACTCTCATGCTGGTACTTCCTCAGGTTTGCGTAGAACGAATGGTGGTTGAAGCAAGGCGTCTCTTTCGTTCCGGGCCAGTCCGTTTCATGGGGGATTATGCGTTTGACAATCGCGTTAAAGTCGACTATTCTGTCATCCGAACCGGAATCGGACTTCTCGTCAGCCCCATGCTCTACATTTGCGCCAGACAGACCAGGTAATGGAAGTGATTTGGCAAGAGAGTTTAGGGACCACCGAGAACTCCGTTTCTCAATATGGAAAGTATCATTCTCCCCTTTGATGTACTCTTCGCCATCTTCAATAGTAATAATGTCTTCCCATGATGCGAGTAGTTCGCCCACCAAATAATGATGTTGAGATGAGAGATGAAGGCGAGAGAGGGAAGGTACCGAAGATTTCTCCTGATTCACGGCCAGCTCAAGCTTTGTTAATAATGCTTTGAGGAAGTTAACCCGGGACTCATTATCCTCAGCCAATGCCTGCACAACTTTTGGATAACCAGGGCCATTGGCATTGGGGTTGAGGTTTATAGCGGCAAATCTAATACCACGGATTAGTTACAAATCCCTGTTGGAACCGAGCAACTTACTCCGGATGTGGACCTGTCAATACCGCTCTACCCTCACCGACCTTGCAATATACAATAGCAGCAGGTCCTTCTCCTCCATCGATATCTGTAGGGTCCGCGTAGGTTGCAAGAACCTCAACGCCTTTATCTGCATACTTTCCAGCATCCACAAATAGACCGCCGCCATTGTAGTATGATCGAAAGCTTTGAAGATCACTCTCCCCTTTGAAAGCTTCCTTGTTGACTTGCAGCTTCACAGCTTTCGCTCCAGCTTCGCTATGGTATACGAAGCCTTTGAACGCGCATCCCCGACAAATCCCAGGAAATAAAGTCAATTCTCGAGGCCCGACGACCTCCAACTTCCCATTGCCCACCTCAAACTCACACCTTGAGCTACCATAGTAACCTCCAGCGCAGAACCCGAGGTACGCTCCGCCTCGACGCAGATATTGTTGAATGCGTCGATTGCCCTCCCCATTCAGGGATCGACAATATCCCAAATCAGCGCCTCCGGGAAATACAAGAAGGGCACAGGAAGGTGTCCAGGGTTCCTTAAGGATGACAGTATCAGTCACGGGAATGACGGCGTAGTTTGGTGAGAGCAAACGACGGAGAGTATACAGGCAATGCCTGACGGACTCGATCGTACTTCCATTGCCTGAAAAAAGAAGAGTGTTAACTAAACATTTTATTTTAAAAATAAGAGGGAGCTAGTTATATATCATACCTGAGTAGACAAGGACATTCATTTTTCTCTCCACCATGATCGTATCGCGGACCGGTTCCAACCGAGGGAGTCAATTGCTGCACCGTAACTTAACCTCACACCTTGGAATCTTGGAACCTTGTAACCTTCACACCAGGGGAGCAGAAACCACAAATATGTCGAAATCCGAGAGCGATTCGAAAAGGGCCGCGGCAGCTGAAGACGATGATGAGCCAGATGACTGGTGAGATATTGCCCTTGCCCCTGTACCTAGCTTCCCAACGGACTAAAGATTTCTGCTGCAGGGACAAGCGGATTTTCAGCACCGGATGTGCAGGTGAGTCTGATCTTATATCACCGAGAGTTCCGGAGACCGATAACCATTCTAACAGGAGATGCAGCGGAGAACACGAGGATGAACGATTGCTATTATGACAAGAAGGATTGGAGGTTATGCAAGGACGAGGTGAGTTTTAAAGGCTATTTACTTCCCGCTGTGGCTTTAGCGATAAGTTCCAGTTGGTGACTGACTCTTTCCTCTACTATATAGCTGGAGAAGTTCCGGCAATGTTGGAAGCAGCAACAGAATGATAAGAGGACCGAGATGAAAGATGTGAAAGATGCTTAAGTACCTAGGTAAATAATGGAGCGACAACGCCGGTCCGGTGATAGTATGAGAAGTTTATCTACTGGGGATATGTAAGGAGAGCTTGAAAAGATTGTATTACCACCTGTATAATAAACCACATATCTCTTCTCCTGATTAAATCAGTTTCATAAAAATAAATACTTTCAAACGCATCGCGGTGTTGCTCTGACTTTAATCCACTTTCACACGAAATTCAGGTGGCGCAAACGCGAGCTCCTGCATACAACCATCGCGAACAGCCTCGCGTCCAACTTATTTTCCAAAGCTCACCGACCATACAGACGACCATGGCAACATTAATTCTTAGGGCAACGCGCTCTGCGTTATCAGAAGCAACCTCAACCTCTATACATGCGTCAACCTCTTTAACAGGAGCCATCGCACGTTCGACCGCCTCGAAATCTAGCAGAACAAGAGCCCAATTTCAACATCTTTCCAGACCTTTCTCTTCGACGTCCCGATCCCATCAAGTCGCCCCCTCTGCCTCAACTCCAACTCCAAACTATCCCCGCAAGGTCAGCAATAATAATATCAATAAGAATGCAACAACAAAACCTCCCGCCCCCTCCGCGAAACCTTCCGCCATAGACGATCAATCACCCATCAAAGACATGACTGGCGGCCTAGCGGACGAGCCACTCATCCTCGACGAAGGAGTTAGGCAGGTGGATTGGACGAGGTCATTCCACGGCTTATCGGCCCAACCGTTTTCAAAGGAAGCAGCAGACGTGTTGCTCGCGCCAATACCTTTCGATGATGTGGAAGTCAAGCCGGACGGGATCATATATCTGCCAGAGATTAAATACAGGAGGATATTGAATCGATCTTTTGGACCAGGGGGTTGGGGATTGGCACCGAGAGGAGAGACCATTGTTACGGGGAAGAGTATCACGAGAGAATATGCACTTGTTGCACATGGAAGGTAAGCTTGCTCTCGACCTTGCTCGTGAGTTTATTGTGATACGGGAACTGATTGAGGTGCGGTTTTATAGGTTAGTATCCGTCGCCCGAGGAGAACAGGACTATTTCTCGCCCGAAGGCATTCCAACTGCCACCGAAGGGTGTAAATCCAACGCCCTGATGCGGTGTTGCAAAGATCTAGGGGTGGCCAGCGAGTTATGGGATCCGAGATATATCAGAGTGTTTATGAAGGAGAAAGCGAAACAGGTTTGGGTCGAGCACGTACCCTCGAAGAAGAAGAAGCAGATATGGTTGAGGAAAGATGATGAAGTCAGGTATCCATTCAAGGAAACCAAATACAACGCATAGAGGGATGGTTGCACAACTGGCGTCCACTGGCATACTTTATACCCGGAGGAAATCTGTACATTTCTGGTCAGATAGTAGGCAAATTTCCACTCTGATCGGCCCATATCGCACAGCATTCACGGAGTTGGCATTGGATTATGTAGAATTATTAGAACTATCTCACTATGGGTGTCCCATGCTGCGAATTGATCCTCCAATCTAGCACCCGGCCAATTCTAGGGCCAACATAAATATCCATCCTATACTCCGTATACATATACGTACCATCCTTTTCTCTTCCTACTGCTTCCCCCCAGCCAAGCTCAACCCTACGCACATCAATTCAAGACACTCCAAAGTCCCAGCCCAAGCCCCGTTCCAAGCATCAAACACCTCCCCAAATGCAACACCGCCCACCAATCAACCAGCTGATGCACGGTCTCCCCCTCCACTGTAATATCAACAGCGTTGTCCATCTTTCCTAAACCCCTAACTTCTTCCTCCTTCCTGAGCAACTTCCCATTCGTGCCCCGCATAACAATCAAGGTATAGGGCACAATAGCTACATTCAACACCCCGGCAGCCACATATCCAGCCAACCATCCGCTTATTTCGCGGTTATGAATTTTATAGGCGAGATAGAAGAAGGAGGCAGAGGTAATGGCGGTGTTGACTTGGGCTACGGTTTTCATAGTGCCGTAGAGCGAGGCCCATTGTCGGAGAAGAACGCCGCTAGGGGATTGGAGCAAGATCGGGGTGAAGAGGAAAGATATGCTGAGGGCAGTGCCGGTCATAAGGGAGGAGGATGTTAGACCGATAGCTTGAGTAATGCGGAGAGGGAGGGGGACGGTGGAATGAGTTGCCATTTTGGTAGATTTGGTATAGGAGTGATGGATAGATCAGTAGGTGATGGATTCGTTGGTATAGACTGTATATATTAGTGAGATATAGGGAAATATAGCACAGGGCGGTGGTGGTGGTGTTGTCGTGCCTCGGTATAGTAGGTGGTATGATTCCTCTATGCGGTGATGTAGGAGGTGAAGGTCGGATCCCTGCCACCAAACCAACACCCGCCATCAACGTCATGACAATGTCCAGTGTGGAATTTGGTGATAGTATTACGCACAACAATAGTCTCGCTTTATATCTATGTCATATTAAGGAGCCTATCTCCATATCAAGTGGTGGGATTGAGGGTGTAAAGTAAGTTTGTTAATCATCGTCACGGCCTTAAACAGATGCAAACACAAAGAAAGGTCTGATTGTAATGTATTCATGTATTCCTTAACGCCTTGTCTCTGCAATACAATGGGCGCGCCCATGGCCGCCGAATGCGAGATTCCCGTTTCGCTTTTTTACCCTCATAAATTCGCTCCATCAGCTCCTCAGGATCAAGTGCCGACCAAGCCAGAAACAAGCTCACGCCCAACTCAAAGTACAAACGCCTCAAGACCCGCAAAGAAAACCATATCCACCACAGTAGGTACCAAGTGAATACCCCCAGTGTGCCGAACAATGTCGATGCATACTTAGGGTGCTGCATTGAGAAGGCGAGGGACAAGGCGAGACTGTAATTGAACAGATCCTCGAGCGCCATGTTTTGTCGACTTCATCAATGTGTATTGCATTGGTATCTGGAGGGTGGTTGAATCTAGGCGTTAGTGAAGTCGGTCTCCGTTGGTAGGAGGCCACCATCAGTAGCCTTCTCGCAGGTGCATGAAGCTGTTGCATGGTCAATATAGTTCATAAGGTAGTGGTCAATATAGTTCATAAGGTAGTGGCTCGATTGGCCCAGGATTAAACATACCAGCAGGTCGGGCACCACAGGAGCATGTATCACCGCTCAAGGTAGCGTTCTCAATATTTGCTCTCTCGCAAGTGCAGCTTCCAGCAGCGCGAGCACCTGTTACTTAGTTAGATCTGTCTTGAAGAGGTGAAGACGTCAACATACGGCATGAGCATCGGGGGCCAGCGACAGTGTTTTCAGTTGATGCCTTGTCGCAAGTGCAGTGAAGCGCAGATTTCTGGCCACAGGAGCATTTGGCATGGGAGGCGCTGCGAGATTGTTAGCAGTCGCCAGGGAGAAGGGAAACCGCTATGGGTATGGGGTTCACATACCAGACGCAGCCTTGGCTGCTCTTGCCACAGCAAGTGACGGGCGTAACCATCGTGTCGGCGGGTTTGTTGAGCTTCAAAGAAGAGATGCGAGTTATTGTCGAAGTAAGGTGAGGGCTGGCGGAGCGGCGTGGATGATTTGAAGATTTTGTGATAGAAATTTGTATAAAGGGAGAAGACCAAAACCCCTCCCTTATGTACAGGTCTAGACACGGCTGCAGCCTTATCGTGGGGCGATTGCTTTGAATTACTTTCCCTCTGATTGGTTGGTGTGGGACTGTGGTTGAGTCCTCGAACTACGTCATTTCCAGCTTCAACTACTATCCATCTCTCTATTTCGTTGTAATCAACCTATTCTTATTCGACGAGGTCTAAAACGCATAAGAAAGTTCTATCATCTAGATGCGTCTGCGTCTCGCTTAAATCCGAAACTCTCAAACTCAGCACCAACTAGAAAAAACGCTCTTCGTTTTGGAGGCGGATATATGCCATCCTTAGACGCTCTTAATAATCTAACAAATAACAGAAAATTCCACCGCTCCACCCAATCCTCAAATATTATACCCCTTCCCACCTCCATGTCAAAAGACAAATCAAGGAGGCATCTCATCGTTGATGCAGATCGTTCCAACTTCAACCAAGTAGGTCGAAAGCCGGCGCGCGTCTTTCCCTCCGATCAATCGATCGTAGCTCGGCCGTTTGCTCCTTACTTCCATGCCTTGGACAGTCTTTGTAATGAAGCTTGTGAGCATTCATTTGAGCTCCTTTTTGAGCCTCCTTTTTGAGCTTCCTTTTTAACTTTCCATCCATCCTTCATGTGGCCACCGATATGTAGTAGGAGGGGCATATTCAGCCTTCTAGCATAGGCTTGCTGAAAGTCGTACAAACTCTTCTTGGCTTCTTTGGTGATACATAGCTCTTGCAACTCCTTGAATGCCTGGCGATAGCGATTATCCAACTCCTCTTGAAGACATTTGGGAGCTGTCAGGGACACCTTGTCGCGAAAGTTGTCGATCGTCTCTTGTAGCATCTCATTGCCAAGTCTGTCGTGTATACCCTGCAAGCGGCCTGCCCAATATGAGGGTGGCATTGCTTGGTGGTGTTCATTTGGGTTTCGTGGGGTCGTAGCTGCTAGTGAAGGTTCGCAGCTTGTCCCAGCAAGCGCAGTTGGAGTAGTAATACTAGCGACTGCTGTTGTAAGGGGGATGAGATTGTTGGTGCTAGCAAAGGCCTTGACCTTAGGTAGGCGGATACTTGAAGGTGTAGAAGAGGTAGGTTGTATAATGGACGGCAAACAGTCGTGACCTTTGCTGCAACTCGAGCTCATATTGGAGAGCGAGAAAGTTGAAGTAAGGTTTGATAACATGCCCATTGTACGGGACCTTGGAAGATTTGTAATTTGCCGACCTGCTCTATTAGGGAGAGGATCCACGGGCCGTACTGGTACCGGCATAGTATGCTAGATGGTTGTTAGCTGAAGTTTCGACGTCACTTTCCAACGAATGTTCGAACTCACCTCTTTCTCCCCCATCTTAGGGGTCAACAAACGAGGTGTGACGGGGTGAACAGTATCATCGTGACCACAGCCCTTTGTACCAATAGATTTTGGGATACGCGTTGGTCCCATGGTGTCTGGGCTGGAAGTGCTGCCCTCGCTTTCAGTAATTGGGATGAAAGGAAGAGGTTTGTTCTTGGAAAACTCATATCTCATCGGATTCTGCAAGCTAATAGGACCCGATGGTAAAGGGGGCGGAGAAGACACCGTATACTGCTGGTGCTGACGGGGGTTGGGCTTGGAGGTTCCAGCCACCGCCTTTAGAGAGGTCTTTTGGAGGATCTGAACAGAAGAAAGCTTCCTTAGGAAGCGGCGAGGGAGCTGTGAGAATGAAGGAGTAGAGGCAAGGGAAGGGTTTGATTGTTTGGCTGGATTGGAGACATCAATATTATCCATCTTGCTGGTTGGGATGGGATTGTTGTGGAAGGTGTGATTGACGATGGATCTGGGAGGATTCCATTTTGACAATAGTGAGAGGTATGATAAGCTTAGTCTCTCCTAATTGCTCGGCGGTGAATCGTCGTCGTGAGATGGCCGCCCAGTCCAGTTGAGGGAAATATATTAGTCGTCGCCATAACGCGGCCATATAGATATAATCAAACTAGGCGAACTTCTGATCAATAGGCATATCCTTCTGCTCGATGGTCCAGTACATGTGGGATATTAGAAAGAACTAAAACGTATAAATAGGTGGCTCGTATTGTTCAGTTTATGTTAATATATATTGAATGTTGGCAAAGGTTTGCTGGTGCTAATTAAAATCGATTTTGGTCTAAAACGCGGTATAAACAATTGCCCCCGAAGGACTAAGACAATCTGCGACTTACTTGTGGAATTGCTAAAGTCACTTAAACAACCTAAAACAGGACAAGTTGCAGTGTCCTCTCTTTTGTTTTGGGTGCGCCACTGAGTCCTTTGCTTAATGGAATAACTAAAGGACCAAGGCAACCAACCATGTACAAATAATTTTCACAAAGTGTCCATGTACAAGCAATTTCACAAAGTGTAAGACAAGAGAAGTCAATATATAGCCATAATAGATTGTGAATGGTTTCAATTTGTTGGGTTATTTATTCATCAAGCACCTTGAAGCCCTTACTACTAAGCTAATTGTTCACTTGCTACGAAGCAGTATGAACAGCCTTTGCAGCCCAGGGCGGAACAAGATATTCCTTTCACTTGAATGTCCTAGATGCGTCGACTCAATGGCATGCATTCGGAACAATTACACTGAATATACCACAAAATCCGTGGAAAGTATCCATAAGTAGAGAATGCTTTGAGTCCTCTGCACAAAACTAGCGTAAAGAGTGATTCAGGCCTAATTACTGTAGGAACGGGATGCTACCATAATAGCACTTCCCAAGATTAAGCGATGCATCGTAGTAGTATAGCGAGTATACACAAAATGTTATAGGAACCCTCATTTGTAGGCTACAACTTCGTGCTTTAACTCAGCACATGCAGTAGGCGTTGCTAAAGTGCAACACGGCCAAACAGAAAGGATACACATATGCAAAGTGGATAGTTCCAAATAGTGAGGGGCTAGCTGAGATTTCTCGCCAATCAACTCTTGTTTGTGTACTACCAGGGGGTTGGCCGTTGTGCTTCAGCTGGCAAACGCACGGCCAGTTCTCCCTTAAGATGCCTTCCCTTCATGGCATTTTCTGTTCAAAATGGGCTGTGGATATTGCATGCTAAACAGGGGGGAGAGCTGGAAAAAGGCTTGACTTGCCTCTCCGACAGCACAGTGAAGAAAGTGGGCTTTCGAATCCGGAGAAACATGTAGGGAGCACATTTATAGAATAGCAACATCTAGAAACTTCAGACATTGCAACGATAGCAAAGACTGAGAGCCACACTTAACAATATGATTATCTCTATTTACGCTCATGCCATATCGGCATTAACAGGTACTGGAATTGAAAACAATTTGATAAAAAACAATTTAATCTGTGTCGTGTTAATCATTAGCCATCTACAACACCGAACGAGGGTACACTACGATGCCCTTACTTTCTCCTTCCCAATCCTTTATTTTGAATTCAAACTTCACGTCCCCTTTTCCCCTTTCTATAGGATGGCCCTCTTCATCCCATAACGACCTTTCCCGGAATGACACGTTTCCCTCCCAGTCTACTAGAATGATGCTTTGTCTTTGGGTACCATAAATACCCGGTATTCCACCATTCCCAGCTTCTGGCGCTTCTGCCGCCCTTAACCTAGCGTCCAAATGCTCCCCATCGCCGCTGAGCGCTTCGGGACTGCCGGTCGCAATCTGATCGGCTTCAGGTATTGTTTGAGGGGGTTCAGCATGGCCAATCGAAGGAATAAATATAGATTTTCGGAGCTCGTATAAATACTCCTCGAAATCCTGACCATCTTGTTGTGGAAGTGTGTTCGTATCGAGGATGGCAAACAGTCTGTCGACCAATTCCTCTTCTCCCATGCCAGCCTCGACTACTTCCGCGACAACACCTAGCATTTTCTCCTTGCCAATTTCGATCTTCGGCCAAGATATCGGGTCATCATAGAAGGTATTACTTAATCCATAAACTTCCCCTCTTCGCTTCGCAATCCATGGCACATCATCAGGAGTTCCAGCTCGATTTGATATAATCGCCAGAGGCTCAAGCCCACTGTCCGAACTTTTCTGCTTCCTTAATTTCCCGCATAGCAGGGAGAACCCTCCCACGCCCTTGACGCCTTCACCGTCCAACAATCGATGTACGAAATTCTCGATTCCCTCATCTTCTGAAGCTGAAAGCCAGGCGGTGACCATACCGCCTCTGCTGCGTGCCCCTTGTATCGGATGGTCAGCATCTTGAGTGTCGGTTTCGCGGTAATTTGTCAAGACGGCGAAGTTTCCCGTTCTGGTGATGCCGAGCCACGTCCCTTGCTCTGCTCGTTGTAGGTCTCTGGAGGAGAGGATCTGCTGGTCATTCGAGGTCCACCAGTGCGGTCTACTAGTTGGACGAAGGATGAATTCATCCCGATTATCGATGATGATGATTGAGTAAGTGGGGTGTGCTGTTGTGGCGAGGACAATACACATGGTGGCGGTTACCTCGTAGAACTGCGATAGTTCGGCCCAAAGTGAAGCTGGCACTAATGGTGATTTGATAGACCCACGAGAAAGGAGTAACCACAGAAACACGCCTTTTTGAGATGCGATTTCGTTTGGTTCCACATATATAAATACGTACAACAGTCTGGAGGAGAGGGAACGAAGGGATTCCAAAAAGACCCGATGTGTTGGGGGATGTACTTGCCTGTCAGGTACGTGGACCCTTGGCGCTAGAATTTATGGGCTGATGTGTATCTGTTGGTCTTTTGGCCACACGCTTGAGCTGAGTATTGAACCTCGGCCGGTCGCCAAGTATTCTGCTGAGTTGTTCCACTGATTTGTTGTTTTCTTCATATCCGCACCATGGTACACCGCCATGTGTTATCGGAACACTAGTAGCACCATATGCGCAGGGTAGCCACTGTTGTTTACCTATGGCTTAGATAGGTTGGCAAAAATTGAATTAGGTGGGAGTATGTAGGAATGAAGAAAATCAGGAGAACGCGTTTACACCCGCAACCCCGGAATTTGGCCAAGTGCACGAGCTCTGGCTTAATAAGCAGCCACCCCACACTTCTTCGACCTCACGCGACGTCATTGTGACATTGAATAGGGACCGAACGGAGTTAGAAACTATAACGACAGTCTTTCGTCGCCAACAAATACCAATAATACCCACTCCCAACGTTGTATGCTGCGTTGCTGCATATACATACGACCCGTTAGATCGAGACCCCAACGGTTTTGGGAGTCCATATGATACCTACATATTCATGGAATTCGTTGAGGGCGGCACTGGAACAATCTTGGAGGACGACTAGGTACGACAGCCATGCAAAATCCAAGTTAGCTCAAAGTTGAGATATTATATTGAGCAGCTTCGCCATATGCCTACTGCCGGTTATAAAAGAGCGGCCTTAGACTAAAATCGATTTACGCCTATGATTCTCGATTTTGTTCTTGTGGTTTCTCGATTTCCGCAGCTATCAAAATTCAAATAATAAACATCATATTCCTCACATCCGCTCGGCAGCGAACGAGAATTTTATGCTACTACCGCGAATGGTTTTATGTCAATATCCAAGGGTCAAGCTGGCCCTCTTATCCGCGGGATACTTTTCACGCATCGTGACCTCAGTCTTGCAGATATCATGGTTAGAAATAAGGAACCAGCTACAATTCCCGACTTGGTGGCTAGTGGGCTAGCACCCTGAGTACGGGGAGTTTCCGACCGTTGAACGCACATAGGTCAGTTCCTTGCAGCCTAGTCAAGGTTCAGGAAAGAGCTTGGCACTTGGAACAAATACCCTGGGAGCGATGTGATTGTCTACGGAGTACTTCGTAGCCCTGAGGATATATCCTGGTCCATCCTCTCGTATGGACCCCATTCCCACCAGTAGTTTGGACTTCGAGCCTTGACGCTCGATGAATTGATTAACAGTTAACTACTTGAACTCCTTTTTTCTAAAACATTTTGCTAGGCCACATACTCACATGGTGTGATATAAAATGTAACGGATCAATAGAATACAGACAAGTCAGAGATTTCGTTAATTGGGGACGGAATAAAGAACTTGCTGGATACCATGGTTTTCCGGTGAAGTCGCTGTATTTCAGTCGTTTGGGGGCCTTCATCCAAGTTCAGCTTCTTTGTTTCACTTCGCTTGGCATTCTTTCATTTATCATCTCTTCCTCCTATATTTCGCCCTTGCATTCCTTTCTCCCTTTCAGCTCCAATCCCTATGAAGTTATTTTTGGCTTATTTTATATAAGTTCGCCTCGCTTCAAGTCCTTGGCACTCGACCAACCTTCGCTGCGCCGCAAAAAAGAACATTGGCAGGCACGTGCCGGTCCAAGTGTTTCGAAGTCGGTAGGAGCACCGTATCCGGTACTGCCGTTAGAGTTGGCGTAAGAATCGCCCAGTCTCGGCGTCACCTTCACTGCTGCTCTGTGGCTTCAGCTGTTATGTAATAACGGAAATCACTGCCTCCCCCTTCCTTGCTCCCAACCGGGGCTCTATTTTCGCTACCCCACAAGGCAAATTGTTAGCGCAGGTTTAAAGCTACAGCGTAAGATTGACCCTGGTTCGGAATAACCTTTGGGCCCTTAAACTGCCATCTACGGGAAATGTCCGGCTCAGCCTCTTTGTTTAAGAGCGATTTTCTATTAGGGAGCAGCTGCGCAAAGTTGCTGTCACCATACAGAGGTACAACCGACCCATTTCCCCTGTTGGTATGTGGATCTTGAATCCTTAAGAATCCTCCTTCAGTTATAGTTGGGTAGATCCTTATGTATAATGCTCCTCTTGAAATCAAGGAAGTGACGAATTTGGAATGTTTGCCCGGTCAATCATCAGAATCTTATATTATCATATTCTATACCACTATCAGGTCTCTTCTTAAGCATGTATATATATGAGGTCAATTTCCCTCCATTTCAACCTGCCATCGCCTCATCGCCTCATCAATACCACCACTTGCCTACTCATCCGAGTACCTTCTATTGATTTACGGGACAACCTCCTCAACATCATCACCATGAGACTTTTGGCAACTCTACTGGCCGTCCTGGCTACCCTTCAACTTTGCTCCGCATGGGTTCTCGAAGTCAACGGCAAAGAACTGAGAGCCGGTTCTCCCATCAGCGAAACGTTTAGCAGCCGACAGGCCGAAAATGGTTGCCACGATATTGCTAGCACCATCACGAAGAAAGGTGTGAACGATTTCCGCTTCTGCACCATTCAGATGTTTGGTTGCCAGATCTCCTTCTACTCGGAAGCTCTTTGCGCGGGGGCAAACCTGGGCCACAGCGGCGGTCGTGGTTATAGCTGGAGAAAGAACCCCGTCAGCCCGGCTGGGTCAAAGATGGGCAGCTTCCGTATCACTGGATGCCATAGTCTCGGTGGCGAGTGGGGAACATGGGACACCTTCAGGACCAAGGAGTGCTAAATAAACACCACATGGCTAAGAAGTAAGTTGGAGTCTAGAAGAACCCGATATTCCTCCGCAAATGATGCTAACGAAAATAGATAATGATGGAGAGGGTTAGAGAAATAGAGAAACGGGGAGAGGATCTTGTGTTCTTGGGGGAAGGTGAAGGATAGGGGTTTTGGTAAAGTTTTTGTAGAGTTTTGTACATAGGGAGGGAGTTGAGGATGTTAGAGCAAGCGTTAAACATTTTTGTGTTGTTCAACCTGAAACAAGTTCAGCTATTGGCCAAGCTATATTTACCTATTTATACGTACCTCTCCTCTCACGTGAGCATTCGCCTGTTTGTCCACCCGTTATGCATACCCCATTTAAGCCACTCCTTCGCCTCATTACTGCGCATCAATCCTGATTCCTGAAAAGTGACGAAGATGGTTGGAGTGCCCCGAAGCAAAGGCTGCAGCCTCTGCGTTAAGCGTAGGATAAAGGTGTACCCTCCAACGAGCGATTAATTTTAATTCACACATGACTAACGACGCTCCAGTGCGATGAAGGCAGGCCCCATTGCGGAAACTGCAGGAAGTATGGTGCAGAATGCCCTGGGTATAGCAAAGAGTTCAAATTTGTAGCTGGGAGACCTAGTCGTGAAAGGCGTCATCGCAAAATCCAAAATGAAGACAACCCTTTCCATGAGACTATCGTCAACTGGAATAGATGCCCCACTTCGAAATCTCCCGAGGAAAGGGAATCTATTATGCAACTCCAGGTCCGGATCCTAGACGGCGTGACATTTCCGGATCGCCTGCAATCGCCCGACCTTTGCCTACAACAAGGCCTTTCGTTCCTTATTGGGCACCTGCAGCCGGCTACTCAGAGTGCCGCGGGCCATATGGGCCTTATCAGCTGGTTATCATTCTTGCCAACACACCCATTTACCAACGAAGGGTTGAACCGCGCAGTTCGCTGCTTTGTAGCCCATCAGGTTGGAAGAATAAGCAACGACCAGCAAATGATTCACTATAGTCGAACTGAGTATGTGCACGCCTTGTCGATGCTACAGAGAGCACTTCGAAGCCCAACGAAATGGAATTCATCCGAAACGTTGTGCTCTGCAATACTTCTGGGAGTCCACGAGGTAATTGTGTCTCTTAAGGAGCTACCAATTAAGCCACCCGTTAACCTAAACGTGTAGCTCTTCGCTGGCTCGGTAAGCCGCGAGTCCTGGATGAAGCATGCAAGCGGCATTGGAAAGCTGGTGCAAGCTCGCGGACCAGAATGCCATCGCACCAAGTTTGACAGCTGCATGCTCAAATCGTTTCGAGGAGTCATAATTATGGATGCAATGTTCTCCGGAAAGGATTGCTTCTTAGAAGAGAAGGAGTGGCAGGCAGTTACTCGCGAGCGATTAGATGGCAAAGACCCCGACGAAGTCTACGAACTCCTTGAAGATCTCAGTTTTTATTTATCACGTTGCCCTACCCTTGTCCGGCGTGGATACGATTTACGAGAAGCAAACATGAAGGGTGCCATGCCAGATATGGCCGATGTGTTGGACCTCAGCACCAAAACTCTTCAACTCTACCACGAGTTCCAACCTTGGTTCGCAAAGTTTACGTCCATTGTGGAGGCACCAACAGAAGCGGTTTCGGCACGCGCTGACTCTCTCTATAAGGTGATTTACCAGTATTCGGACTTCGCCATAGGGACAGCCTATCTGGCATATTGGGCTTGCATCATTATCATACAGGAGATTCTCACATCTTGCCACTACCCAGAAGACTTTTCAGCAAAGAGCGAGGAGCTAGCAGACAATATCTGCAAATCCGCGGAGTGTCTAGGAGAAGGTCCTTTTGGAGCCTATCGTATGGGTTTCTCTCTCCGGATTGCGTACGAAGTAAATAATATCACAAGAAGGAAATGGATCAAGGACTTGGTAGATGGGTTTTCAAAGACTTATGCTGCAGTTAACCCGGACGGCTACCCTAGGTAGTCTGGACAAATCTTACCCCTGAATATATTTCAGACTTGACAAAAGAAATCGGATCGTAAATACGTCCCGACATATGACAACATAAAACAACAGGCAAAGACCACCCCATTAGATTAAACTCGATTCGAGACATCCACAGAAGTGGAGGCTTCCTCATGCATACTTGGAAGCACGAGTCCACCACCCTCCCTGGACGTCACCGGCTGGATAATCGCTCTCCCTGCGATCAACAACAGCATTATCGCAACCTCCATCGCAAAGGCCATCCCAGCTTGGAATTGCCAGTCTCCCAGAATGGGGCTAAACCTGGCAGATCCAAACTCAGCCAACATGAGGTATGTAACCCTTACAATTAAGAACGGTATCACAGTCCCCGCCACCAACAATGCCTTCTGTCCCGCATCCGTAAGTCTGTACCTAATCCGAGGCGTCATCAGAAACACGGCTAGGCAACCAATATATCCAAAGGTAACTAGGAACACAACGGCGCCCGCTTTATAAATCGTGAGGCGGAGGGTGAAGGCGGAGACTACGATAAGGACAGCTGCGATCACGAGCGGAAGGCGGGACCATAGCAGGGCGAGCTTTATTAATTTGGGGTAGAGAGTCTCGCTTCGGTCTTGAGGGTTTACTCTCCCACTGCATATAGCTTTGTTAGCAAGAGGAACGAAATGCCTAGGATACGAACTGGCTTACCACCGTAAAAGTAGAAATATCCAAGACATGAGCAATGGAATAACGCCGACTCCTTGAAGCACGATTATTGTGACTGCAGTGCTTTTATTTGCGACTTCGACGGCCAGGTACAATGCATTTCCAATGATGCGGACTACAACGGACCGATGTTAGCTCAGAGCTATCCAGCAGCATTTGGTTTTCATACTGAGTGCTACGATATTGATGAGATTCCAAACCCCTCTTAAGATACACCTCCGAAGATTCCTCTGCCATTTCTTATGCTGCCAATACCACCAGGTTTGTATCGAGCGGAGGCAGATATTGATCGAGAGGATGGTGCCGAAGATGGCAATCTGTGCTATGGCGAGATGGAGTTTGTCTGGAGATGTTGGCAGGCGAATATGATCAGGGAGATTCAAAGACATGGTGGAATGATAGCACTTTCAAAACTTAGAGGAGAAATGTTGATAATCTGAGATAGAACCAAGACAGGGTGTTTAGAGTACAGCTGAAGGACCGAATGAGTCCCAGACTCACTGGACTTGCCTCTTCTTATATCTTTCATGATTCCGAAAATTGCATTGTAGCATCGCGGCAAATATCTACAAGAGGTTTGATTCCACGAGACGGGTTGCACCATAGCTGGTCCGCGCACTACTAAACCATTCCAATTTTGGTCTTATTCCACGAGGGGTGGACTCGCAAAGTATTCAGCTTGTCACATCGATCCAAGCTGAATATTCTTACTCCAGAGGTAATTAAGTCGAGTTGGCCAACGAGAGCGCAGGACTACTGTGGGCCTTGTCGCTCGTGGTATGTGACTATATTGGGACTAGCGCAATTCCCATGAGAGTGAGAACTGCGATGAATTCTCCGGCATCCCAGGACCCTTAATATAGGTATGAAGCACCACTGAGCACTTCGTTCGGGTGTTTAGGTGCGACTGGAAAGTACAGAACGGGAGACAGTGCTTTTCTGCTGTGCTGTTTCGCTGTTTCGAGCTTACTCAAGTAGCAAACGACTTAAGAGACCAGTGGCTTCGGGGGAAACTCAACAATAAAAGAAAGCGGTAGTACAATACAATACATGTCCTCGCTCACCACCACTACATTTTTGTAGAACACTATCTAGGCTATGTCATGAAGACCACATGCTCCTCTCCTCATTGAGAGACTGTACCGGTCGCGGAAAGGTTGAGGGCGATCTTCTTGGGGTCAGGTTGGAGGCTGCGGATGGCCGATTTTGACGCATGCGGATATTGGGCATAGGGGCCCCAAGCCAACTAACAGTTCCGCTCAACGCAATGACCAGATTAGGCTCTGCGAACGTTGAGTTAGGTATTCAATGGATGACATCGGTGAAGAATTGGGCGTGAAGCGTGAAGCATAACGAATAGCGGATAAATAAAGCACCGCGCAACGGCCTACGACAGCTAGGCAGGCGGCATAAGACGGGGAGCGACGTCACAAGCTGCGTGTTTGATACTGTGGTGTTGCGGTGACAGCACAAAGGAGAGCCGAGCACCGAACCACTGCCTGTGCGATAAGGTCATCAAGGTCATTCCCCGCCGCCGCCGTTCTCTCACTACGACACTCACACTGCTCTTTACTTCATTCATAGCTGAGCTCGATAATTGCGTATCGCTCTCCATCTCTACGCAAACCTCAACATCTAAGCATTCCATCCCGCAAGAGATAAGGCGATCATGTTTGATACATTCGCAAGGCTCTTATCGTAAGCTTGCCCCGCCATGTCATGTTCTGCCCTGTCCCACCTCGAGCTGCGATGGCAACTAAGTTATTGCGATACAAGCTATATACATGTTTTGTGCAATACTGACAGAGTGGCAGATCGATCCCCACATTCCTCTTCCCTGTGTTTGCCTCCTATAAAGCTCTCAAGACCTCCGATCCCGCGCTACTTGCACCATGGCTGATGTACTGGGTGGTGTTGGCATGCGCGTTGCTCGTTGAATCATGGGCTGGTTTTATTCTATTCTGGTATGCGATGTTCAAGCGATGTGATATGATATCCTGGAGCTGAAGCTAATAACTACGGTCATATCAGGATCCCGTTTTATTCCTGGATCCGCCTGGCCTTCCTCCTCTACCTCATTCTTCCGCAAACTCAAGGTGCCCGCGTCCTCTATCAGACTCACGTCCATCCCTTCCTCCGCGAAAACGAGCTCGCCATCGACGACTTTATATCATCCGCACACGATCGCGCTAAAGCAGCAGGTCTCTCCTACCTAAAGCACGCCATCGAGCTATTCAAACAACATGTCCTCGGCCTTCCTCCCAAAGCGCCAACGCCGCCTTCCACACCGGGTCCATTTAGCTACACACAAAGCCTCATGGCCCGGTTTAACCTCCCATCAGCGCGGGCTTCTATGCCCGCAAACCCCGTTATCGGCGCAACCAACACTGCAAACGATTTCTATGCGCTTCTCGCCTCAGCAGTGAGCGCCGCCACCTCGCGAGATCCTACAGCAACCGACCCCAGCGAGGCCCGTGATTTCTCAAACTCGCAGACACTTATTCCGCCCACCGTCCAGGGCGAAGAGCGCCTCTCTTTTATAGCCGCTCAGCGCGAACGCCTCTCCATTATTCTTTCAGCCCTGGATAAAGAAGCCAATACCCTCCAAACTGGGGATGATTCCCCTAGGCGCCCAGTAAGCGTCTTAAGTAGCCGGAAGAGCGAGGGTGATTTCGAGAAGATTGACGCGGAAAGCGGAGCAGAAGATGGGTCGCCCCACGCAAGGCGGGAGGCAAGTGGCGGAAGCTGGATGCCATGGAGCTGGGGCGTGAAACCCGAGACGGATGCCGATACTCTTATGACTGGGATCACGACTGGATTGCAGAAGGATGATGGTAAGGGAAAGAGTTCTGGGGTGGACGCGTAATATTATTAGCTTTGGTATTATTATTTGGAGTCGTGCTTGGTTGGGTTTGATTTTGGATTGTATGGTTAGTACTGAGTAGATAGGGTCTCACGGCTAGGCGTATTCTATATGTGGTGGGCAGACAGAGTATGTTTCCAAAATACTTGGAAGGACACGCACGGGCTTTGGTGATCGAGGCACTCAGTATACAAATAGACAGAGGACCCGTTCTACCCCAAGATTCATTTAGTACTTAGAAGGACTTATGCCTTATTTCACTATTTAAACTTTTGCAGTGCCGCTCTGCTTGGGTTGTTTTCCTTTTTTAATCTGTTTGAATTATTTATCCACCCTTTATCACAAGATCTATCCCTTCTTTCCTCAATAACCTTATCAACACTTTATTAAGAACAAACCATAGCTTCCAAGAGCATAGATCATTTATACTTGGCGCTCATTAGGATGCAACAACTTGCAACTTTTATTCAACATATCTGATAATTAAAAGCTAAATTCAGTTCATATTCCAACCTTTCGCGTCTTTGCACTGGCCACAAATGTTCCATTAGGACTTATAACTTTCTACATAGCTGGTTCACCACACACCGTATTCATTGCCGCCTTTTAGTGCACACATATACCCTGTTAGTTATAAAGCACTCTTGAGAGGTTATTTTGTCGCATATCGCACATGCTGGCGCTTGCCTAACTTGGTCATAGAGCACCCTTAGAAGGATGTTTTGTCGCATATCGCACCTCTTGGCACTTGCCCAGCTTGATAGTAGCATACCACGCTAGCGACATACTACACTCTTAAGATCGATACTTTACCGCCTTATAAATCTCTGGTTCGTCTTTTTAAGGGATATATAGTGCCGGGCTTTTAACGCGGTATGGTTTTATAGCGACTACTTCTTGTAGATACTACTTGTAAAGAGCGTTTCAGCTCAGGTGTTTTCAAGAGCAGTGGTTTGCTGCACGTCCCAAACCTGTATTTGCTCTGTGCATTTTATATGTTAAGATGGTGAAGTATTCAAGTACGGTAGAGGCAAATCACCCTTTGAAAAACTAGTAACAACAAAACATGCCATTACATAGCTTTGAATCATCTGGACAAAAGATGGGATTTTGTTATATGTTCTAAACAGTGGTGGCATTGTATAGAGCAGGTTTTGGTGCATATGGCACATCCACAGGAAGTAGAGAGTAGAGAGTTTGAGTCTTGTAGTGCATCGTGATTTGAAGGAAAATTTGACAGAAGATGTGACCAGTGTTTTGACGCATTTCACAGTTTTAAAAGGGCCACTTGTTGCATATCGCAGTGGTTACTAGCATTGCTACAAGGCGCAAGAGTAGATTATGTCGCAAATCGCACCTTTACGGCTATGTTATAAAAATAGGGTTGTCGCAGTTGCAAATTCTAGGTAGAACTTTGTTGCACTTCGCGATGCTCATTCGCCTTAACTGCAAGGCACAAAAACACGTTTTGACGCAAATTGCCCTTTTAAGGGAAGGCTGAAAGATTTGTTGCATGTCGCATCCTCAAGAAGGCACTTTGTTGCACATCGCATTATTCGCCTTATATGTAAGGCGTTAAAGTGGTTGCAGTTAAACAGGAAACCAATAGAGAACATAATGAAAGAGCTGGCGTGTATCGCAATTTTAAGAGGTGGCTTAATTACTGGGCTTGGCACACCCTACAGGCCTCTAGCTTTCTGTTAAAACCCGCATAACATACGCGAAGGTTCATTTTGGTAAGGAGAATAATCACCGCTCATGCCTGTGACATATCCACTATTGTATTCCCGTAGTTTACATTCATTCTCCAGATGCCAAACGCTTAACATAGACGATGCCTTGAAAACTGCTGACTATGTGGCATGAGACACCTGCCTCTAGACATAGGACAAATGTCAAAACGCAAGCTACGCAACAATCCGGAACTTATTACTAAACCATCGATTCACTTGGCACCTAGAAATGTACATGTAGCGTTCAACACCAAATATCGGCGAGACAATTGGTACTTATAGAATATTCTGCGTCCTGGGGTGTGGCACAGCTGTCCCAGGAGGATATCTTGAGCTGAGGGCATATTGAGAATCAGGAAATTTGTAGGGTCCGGGTTGAGCGGCTTGGCTTCAAGCTCTCAGAAGTTCGCCCCAATAACCAAGACGCTCGATACAAAACTAAGCCGGGCGCTGGCCCTGTTGGCCATGACAGCCCGGGAATAGTAGCAGTGAAGCAACGAGGCAGGCTCAAGGAGTCTTGGGGTTTTTTCAACGAGCAGCCCATGCTTGATAACAAAAGTCGCTTTAAAGATGGTGAAGAGCCATCCATAAGCGAGCTAATATTGGGGGTGATCCGGATTAGGGAACTTGTTGTTGCGGTAATAAATTGCCATTGAGAATTTGGAACGGGAAAGTGCATCTGATATAATGTACTGAGCTGTGTTTGACAGGTTTGACAGTTGTATTTATCGCCACGTGACAGGACGATAATCCAACTACTCCGGGATCCTTAACTTTATCAACTTCAGGTTCTCCTCATTCCCCTTCACGCCCATATAACATTGAATATGGAAAACTCAAATCGCAGATATCGGGAAGATGATCGTGTCCGAGACTCAAGATCTCGATCGCCCCGAAGACATCGCCCAGATTCCGAACGAACACGATCTCCTCATCGACGTCACCACAAGCGCAAACAGCCGCACGATGCTTCCCCAGCCGTCGAGCTCCCTTACAATTCTCGTCCATTGACGAAGAGAGATTATGCGACTTTCAAACCCATGTTTGCTTTATATCTCGATATCCAGAAGGGCAAGTTCTTAGAAGACATAGACGAGATAGAGGCGCGGGGACGGTGGAAGAGCTTCATTGGTAAATGGTAAGGAATATATTGTCTCACTCCTGGGGAGATGGGGTGTGTATTTTGGCTAACCTGTGTGAGGAATCGTGGAGAACTCGCTGAAGGATGGTACGATCCTGCCACACTACAAAAAGCTATACAATCTAGTCAAGCTTCCGAAGCCGATCCAGAGATCCGAGAACCGAAATCCTATAGTGCGGGTTGCAGGGAATCTGCGGAAAGACCTAAAGACGATCAAGATGGAGGAGATAGTGATAGTGATGATTCCATTGGGCCAACATTACCAGGACAAGAGAGCAAGTCACGAAGGGGTAGAGTCGGACCGAGCATACCAAACATGCAGGACTTAGAGCTCAAGAGGGGTATGCCACTCATGTAAAACCCAGCTCTTATTATAACTAACACGAGCCCAGAAATGAATGTTGAGGATAGCCTTGCACGCCGAGAAGACATCCGATTTGCCCGCAAAGTCGATCGCAAAGAACAAAAAGCTGCTCTCGACGAACTAGTCCCTAGAGCCGATGCAGGAACAAGGGAGCGCCAACTCGAAAAGAAAAAGGAGATCAACGAGAAGATGAAAGGTTTTAGAGAAAAATCCCCTGGAGCTGCTGAGGTTCCGGACTCCGAATTAATGGGCGGAGGTGAGGGAATAGAGGGGTTTAAGAAGGAGAAGCAGGAATTTGAGAGGAAGAAGAATGAGAGAGAGTTGAGGAAAGAGGAAATTTTGAGGGCCAGAATGGCTGAGAGGGAAGAGAGGTTGCAGGAATATAGGGCGAAAGAAGAGGGGACGATGGCTATGTTGAAGGCTCTGGCTAAACAGAACTTCGGATAGTGTTGGCTTGACAAGAAACCAAAACCTCGACGAAGAGACTTTATATCTAAATAGCTAGGATCTAGCAGTTTCATGCTAGCATTAAAGGATACGGAGTAAGTACAAGTCTATCTATAGAGACCAATGAGTACCATGTCACATCCGTAAATATGCTCTTATATAGGCAGTATAAGGCCCCTACCTACTTTAAGTTTAAGGCACTCAAAGCGGTCAATATATCTCGGAGTGTTGACTCATAAAGTGCGATATGCAACAAGAGCCTCTTGAAAGTCACATCCCACTTACGCCTTAAAGCCAAGGTGATGGTCAACAGTGGCAAATGTGTCCAAGGCTCTGACTCACCAGTGCGATGTGCAACAAGACTCATTAAAACCTTCGGTTTATTCTAGAATATTCTTAACATCTTAAGGCCAAGTCGCTTAAGAAGTGTAATGCGTGTCAAACTGTTGACTCATCTGTGTGATTTGCAACAAACCCCCTTCCTGTCTCGATGTGATACCGGTGAAAGGGCGGAGAAGCTCTTTTGCCATTTGTACTGAGGGATGGGGGGTAGTTATTTGCAGCCAATGTGCAATGGATAACAATGATGTCTCGGAGTGTGATGTGTAACATCTAATATTGTTATGTACTGGCCGCACTAAGTTTCCTGTTTAGTAAGTTAACAGGCAAGTAGTAATAGTTTGTTAGAGATTAAGCTCGGACTACTATATCTCAAAGAATTTTATTGCTTAAAGTACTATAGAGCATTCTCCTTGAATATGAACGGTGTTTAGGACATTGAATATAGGTGGCTAGTTGAATGCACCTCAATTCGCTTTCTGTCACAAGAAGCAATATCAAATTCCATAACATTTTAAAGTAAATTTATTAGTTTGATGCAGATTCGCTTTCTAGAATAGCGTAATATATATAGCTCCAATAACCTTGAATATCCAAATATCAATCCTGCCAACTCTCCGCCAACCACTCCTTCTTCTCCTCATCAATCTTCAAAACCAACTCCCCCAACAACCCATTTGCCCACCTAAACCAAGCCCGGGTCCAATCACCCGCATTCCACGCGTTAACACTCTCGTGTATAACGCCTGTTCCGCCAGTAGAATTCAACGCCATGCTCAACTGCCCCTTAACTTCCTCCTCTAGCTTCTTCTCGCCTAATCCAATCCGGAATGCAGAAAGAGCTCTGATAATAGCCGCCATGGGCCAGCCCTTTCCAGGGCTAAGATGCGGACCCCCGATAGCAGATAACGCCGGCCCTTTGGCAAAATACGGATTACTGTCGCTGAGGATGAAGTCTCGCGTGTTCTTATAGATTTGGGCGTGGTCCCGTTTAGGATCGCCTTTGGCGGGTTCTGGAAAGGGGAACGAGGAGTTTGCATAGCTGAAGAGTGGGATGGAGAGGAGAGAAGGAACACTGATTCCAAGGGCGAAGTCCCGCATGACCGTCGTGAGGTTCTTTACCTGGTCGCCTTCCAGCTTTTCCATGATCAGGGAACCCTGTTCCAGGTATTTGGCGAACATCATGTTAGCTGGGACAAGAAGTTGGTAGATGCATGCATCATCTGAAGGTCTGAAGGCCGACCTGACCATACCGTTCCCCTTGGTTGGGTTTCCCAAACCATCGTTGGTCAGAGTCTCTGAGCTACGGTTCGTCCATCCAGTGAAAGTCCATGCCGACTTCTCGACCTTTCCCTCGGGTGCATAAGTGCCCAGTCTCATAGCGCCAGCTGCATCTACAGCAGCTTTCACGGCTTCAATCCAGTCATATTTCTGAAAAACGTTGAGGTCCTTGGTGCGCTCATAGTATGCCGTAGAGATCTGTAGAAAGGAGGCAAGGGAATCCAGCTCCCATTTGCAGTCAAAAACCTTCACAGGATTGTAAGATGGTTGAGGGTTGTTCTGAGTGACGGCCCCGTTATCTGTGGGATTCACACCAGATTCCGGGGGTGGTTGGAAACTATGGCAATAAGGAGAAATGATGATATACCGCGCATGGGTATTGATGACTCCTCTCCAAAGACTTGCTAGGGATTTGGGGTCTTCCGAGGCTTCAAGGAGCGGAAGGTAGGAATAAATTTGCGACGCAGAGTCTCTCAACCACATGGCATCTATATCACCAGTGATCACGATTCCTCGTCAGTAACGGTTTCGTTTTTCGTCTCTGGGTCGATCTTCTTAGCATAACCACGCCATTTGATCATCGTATCCAGTGTGTTCGGATAGCTGTTCTCAAAGAGCCAGAAGGGATCTGGATCCTTGACTACCCCTTTCATCCGTTCCAGGAGCTTCTCCATGGCGGGCAATTGAAAAGTTCGGCATTCCGGCTCTGGCCTTGAGTATGGGAACTTGCGTTTTCCTTCTGAAAGCGGAGCTTACTTTAAACTTTGCAGACTCTCGTATCCCATACACTTTTTCGCGGCGGCTGGGGTTGGCGATGGCGTCGGTGGGCTTGTGTCACCGACATTCTTAGAATCCGACTCATCGGCATTCTTAGAATCTAGCTCATCGATATTCTTAGAATCTGAGTCGGGAAAAATTGCTTGAGGAGCATCTAAATATTAGGAGGAACTCGAGACCGCCGTAGAATCGAGACTTGAATCTACCTCGTGTGGCTACGTGATGGAGAACTCATTGTTCGGTCTGCTCCACCAAGTGAATATAAGAATGACAGTGATGCCTACAGCAATAGCAGCAGCTCGGATCCGTCGTTGCTGCAAGCGTGCCATACTCGTAGTAAGAATGGCGCGGCCATGAGACGAAAATCGAAGATGGAGGACAAATGGGCGTCAGCAAACGGTGATGGCGGCTATTTTGATGGCGGTCGGTTCGGGGTGCTGCTGCAACCTCAGCCAGCCAAGGTAGGTAGTAACAACTACGAAGTATGAAACCAACATGCCGGTGCTTCTGAACAAGTATCCCGCCTTGGCAGCTCGAGTTCACGCGTTCCTATTCTTCTGTCTTCTTCTCCGCGTTCTTCATTTTGCTTTTCTCTTGATTCCTATGTCCATCGTGCTCGTTTTGTCGCACCCTTATTTCCTAGAAGCCTACGCGAACGGCCATGAAAGAACAACGCACCTCAACCATCTTGCTCATTCCTCTAGCGATATTTTCCCATCAAATATTTCGCCCATCAATTCTTATTGCAATTTTGTCCCTCGTTGTCGCCTTGAAAAGCTTCGCGATCACCGGAAACCTTCGCCCCAGTCTCCTCTGAGCATCTCCCCTTCCCCCCCCCCCCGGTGACCCAATTTGTCATTGTGGCCATCCTCAATTCTACACAGCTTGCACACTCTCTGGTCAATATTATAGCCTATTCCGGCTGCTGGCTGGCTTTTCTGACGCGATCGCTCTCCACCTAGGAGCCGAGAAAATGACCAGCGTATTGGCGCTAAATAAAGTTCGGGTATGTGGATGAAGTGGCCAGGGCTTCTTGCATATCTGGGCGATGATATGGATTAGAGAATATAAGGAATTGTAGAGAGATGGAGATGAAAATTAGGAATGGAGATGTAGTTGAGGTTTCAGAGACTTCATCGTGCTTTGCCGCAGATGCTATACATACTCTATTGGGAGATGGCCCTCCTACTATGGCATGGGAATATCAATACTTGTTGATGAGTATACCGTTACTATCATCAGTGCCGAAAGCTAGAAAGCAATTCTTGTCGAGTTAAATCACACCACAAGCTCATCCATCCCTTAATCATCTCCTTGGAGCATGGAACCTAGCAAATAAGGTGAAGCAAATTCCGATACCCTGGTTTGGCGGAAGAGGGCTCCTACTCAACTGCAACAGAATATCAGAGCGAGAAAACAGAGGGAAGGAAAAAGATGGAGAAGCATCACGGTAACCCTCCCGTCTCTATTCAAACTCGTGACCTGGAACATGTTCAAGAAGCTATGGGCATCTGGCTCTGTCAATGCGCAGGTAAGTATGGCACGTAGGATATTTAAATAGTAACCAAAGTTAAAGGAGTCATTGATAGGTTTATTAACTATGCCAGCATATACAGTTAGTCTTGTATCTACCTACACATTCTGCTGTTGGAGAGCAAGGTGGGATGTGAGTGGGATGGGGAATTAGGTTAAAGAGTCTAGGTTTTAAGTTTGCGTACCAAGAACCGAGAAGCAAAGGCAATGGAGCTAACTAATAAGTAAGTTCTACTAGAAAGTGTAATTGTCGCTATATGGCAGTTGTGGTCAGTTGGAACCTGCTATTGAATTGTAGATAAAGGATATCCCCTTAGGGGAACACGCTTGCTAATATATTTAAAATGGGTTGTTTCTCAATATATTGATAACTTCGAGAAGCAATCGCACTGTTTATATCTTCGGACCAGTCCGTAAAGTGCTCACTCCCTAGCCAAACAACCTATCTAACCAGGCATGCCATCTCGTTGAAGGCGGTTGTTCGACATAATTTTTGGTATATTCATCAATTTCATCCACCTCGGATGTTCTCAGCACCACCTCTTCAGGCTTAAGCCATTTGGTCTTGTTCAGCAATTTCCAGCTGATGAAGATGACGGGGAAAAGAAAGACCATCATATATGAAAAGAGGAAGGTGGGGATATCCCATTGTCCTATATCCAGGTTCCCTGGTTAGCATATAGTTTCGAAATAAAGCAAATTCAGCCCGAAATGGGGAATGCTGGGGATAAGGCATGAGGGGAGCCAATGCGGAAATAAATTTTGAATTACCTGGCATGAAAACGGTATATCCTCCAACAAACGTCATAATAAATGTGCCAGTCAGCGCATAGTACGCACAGAACGGTTGCCAAAAGCTCGTATGCGGTAACGATTTCCGATCCAGACCCTGAGCATCACATGCCCTCTTCCAGGCAATAAACGTATACGCCATAACAGAGAAGTTTATCAGTTGGCTGGCGGTCACTAGACTGACAAACCAACTTAGAACCACGGCGGCGTTGTTCGATACCTGTAGGAAGGAGAGGAGCGAGATGGCTAGCACAACGGCTACACAGTAGATGGGCACACCATGCTTGGTGCATCTAGTGAAGATTCGGGGAGCTTTGCCTTCCAGCGCCAAACCGAAGAGAGAGCGGGATGCGCAGTAGACGTAGCTGTTTCCGGCGGAGAATGCAGCTGCGAGAACCATGGAGTTGACAATATCGGGGAGGATCTTGATTTTGAGGCGGCGCATAGCGACGACATATGGGGAGGCTGCTGCTCCAGGGAGGCCGTTGGTGAAGGCGTCTTTCAATTCTTGGTCGTCATAAGGAACGAGGATCCCGACTGCCAGACTTCCCAGCACGAAGAATGCGGTGAGACGGTAGAAGACTCCATTGAACGCTCTAGGCATCGCTTTACGAGGGTTCTCTGCCTCTCCGGCGGCCATAGACACGTAATCTGGACCTGCAATGGTGAAGGAGGCTTGGATAAGACATTGCAGAAAGCCTAGAAACCTTCCTAGGTCTCCAGTCTTGTAGAGCTCTGCAAATGCGCCGGGACTAGACCAGTATCGGAAACCGAAGCGATCATGAATCGGATTGCCTCCCACCATAGTGATGAATGTGAAAATAATCAGGCCAATGATCAGGAGTACTTTGCCCAATGCAAGCCACTATTGCGTGTTAGTCGGTTATTCAAAATTGACAATAGATAGCTCACAAATTCAGACTCTCCATACAGTTTCACCGCGAAGACGTTGATAACTCTGCACGCCAGGATTAGACTTTGCGTTGGAGTGAGGGCAGTATGATTGATAGCCTACCCATAAGAAACGATCACAATCGCAATAATACCTCCTGCAGGAACGGCGTCACTCCAGTAGTGTATAATAACATTGCAGGCCACAATTTCGAAGGGCACCAGAGCCGCTTCGAAAATAAAGAAGTTATAACCAGCGGCAACACCGAATGCTTCGTCGACATAACGGCCAGCAAAGCGGATGAAAGGCGATGAAATAGGCAGGTATGTGACCATTTCAGCCATGCACTACACACGAATGAATATTAGAATTTCCAGTTTATTTCGCGCTTTGGGCTGAGGCGCTTTGGGCAGATCACTAACATTGGTAACGGCCAATATAAATGTACACCTATCACAATAATGTATAAGAACCATGATCTAGTAAGGGAATTTTGACGCAGGGGAGAAGCTCTTAATGAAAGGAAGAGGGGAATATAATCCCCTCTCCTCAAGGGTTTTCGTTTTCCCTTCATTATCACCAATTCGCCCTGTTAATCCATGCTTCGGCATGATCTTGAGCGCATCGAGTAGGTAGATGCTTTGGGTTGTGTAACTTCTGCGTAGCATCACGGGGCACATCTCCAGACATAAACATACCATATTGTAAAGGCCAAAAACAAACTTCCAGGGCCTCCATTGATCAATCCTTTTCCAATCTGAACGTAAAGAGCCGTGCCAATAGTCCCTCCAATACCAATCAGTTGAACATGTCTTGGTCGGAGCTGGCGATGGGTTGAGTCGTTTGTGGATTGTACTGAAATCGATACAGCATCTTGGGACTCGATTTTAGATTCTTCCTGAATCTTATCGTGGCGATTGTCCGCTTTTGGCAGATCAAACCCTGTGGATGCCATGTTGCACTGTGTTTGCCGTTCTGGGGCGACTCGCAATCAGCCCTCGAAGATACCCGTTAGGCACTATTGTGGGGACGATGGAGAAATATGGTATGCGATAAACTCCAGCACAGCAAGAGTAAAGTTGGTCCAGAACCAGTGCAGGGGAAATACGACCGAAGATAAGCAAAATCTCTGTCGCTCCATTACCATGTTTTCCCTGGCCGATCGCCCTGCCCAGGGGAGCTTGTTTATCCTAGCAAATACATATTTTGCGTGCAGCTAGGTTAGGTTGTCGATCCCCACAGCGTCCATGTCGGAGGTTCAACCCCAAGAGACTTACTATTACTCCATAGGCCATCGTCAATAGGTAAAGCACCTTCGCAGGGACCCGTGGGGGTTTTTCGCTGGGTTATCTCCCTGAAGACCCTGCATCGGTAGAGGTAATACGGAGTATTACCACGGCGAAAGGCTGACTAAGGATACCTAGAAGTCGCACCAAAGACTTCTGGCAAATCAGAGGTCAACCCCCGGAATCTAGGCCTTGCTAACGAAATCTTCCACTTGGTTACGAGGCAATTACTGGAGGATTGCAGTAACAGGTTTTCTATCCAGGTACGCGGTAATACCCGTATCCAGAACTTCGCAAATTTTCAAGGATCAACCACTCACGACGAGGATAACGTGAAATCCGTAACAATCCTAGCTTGCAATAACGGGGTGCACTAGCAGGTTTCGTGCAGTACGAGAACGTCGTGGGTGACATGTGGGCAACACTCGGCCACCTCCGTAGCCAAACAGCGGGCGCCTAGCGCGCGAACTCGAGGCGCATCTAACAATTATTGCCATCTCAGACCTCCCAAGAAGTAAGTACTAGTCGTGCATACTACGTAAGAGTGGGGGAACCCTCGAGCCTTTTAACAGAGCGGTTACTGTCAAGCCGTAAGCCCTAGTCTACCAATCGTGACATTCCAACAGACCTCAGGAGATCACACATCTCGGTGCCTTGGGAAAAGCGGTAAGGGTGAGTAGGCTTCTAAGATCAAAAAGACAAGGCGATTCCAAGCTTCCGACAAGAGAAGGGGGCGCCGAAGGATGACCGCATAGCTACGCAAGCATACCAGATGAGGCAAATCCAAGACCAAAAATTGGTGTAGGCAGCGCTTGGCTACAAGCCCTTTTGTCTGGGCATAGAAATCTTTGCCGCAGCCACCACAAATCACCTCATAAACATTGGCTATGGCATCCTCTTGTTGAAAACCGTGCACAAGAGGTATTCAAGTGGAGGAAACCTTCAGCGAAAATATTTTTGAGATTCGGAATCGGAATCAAGGAGCAGAGCCGTGTTTCTAGCGAATTTGCAATATGCCACATTAGCGCTCTCACATCAACCTTTTGTGCTACGTCCGCTGTCCGTTGCTAGGAGGTCCGAATTTCGAAATTGCGCTGCCAAGTTGGAGTGGCAAGCTTGTCTTCCCTGGCACAGTGGCAAGTGTTTAGCCAAACCACGCAATTTGAAAATGGACACTGGGATATCCCGGCGACACAGTTCCAGTCCTCGAGAGCATCTTCTGTAATATTTAGTGATAATCTTGAGATGCGATTGTCTGGGATTTCATAGGCCTTGTTATACCACGGGTATGTCGACACTTTCCAACCTTCAGGCTCTTGCTTCCTATATCTTTCTTCTATACTTTTAAGTATACTCAGTGCCCTTGGCCCACCTTGTCACACTTAAGGTATTTAAAATATCGCGGTTCCCCATCTTTGAGAGCTATCCTTTCTAATTATGAAGATATTCCGCCCCATCTTTAATCTATTCTTTTCCTCTATCCCCTAATATTCTCATCTACACTGATGGTATAGGCTTCTTGACGACCTATACTACAACGCTTCTTCCTAAGATCCACGGCTCTCTTGCAGCCATGAAATGCCACATTTCTCCTCTTATTGATAAGAGACAAAGTTATGTTGTATAGCGTAACAAACTTCGGCAAAACCAATAAATCCCAAGCGCACGCCAGAAGACTACGGTGCCACTATTCGGAAGCACAATGGTTCTGGCGCCCTTGAGATGCAGAGGCCACGAAGATAAACATTACTGGCATATGTCGGAAATGGAAAAGGTAAGAAAATGATCGTGTATTTAGATCTACCAGTGGCTCTTCACCTAACACAAGTTGTTTATTTAATTTTTGGAATCGTCTGGAAATGCGGTTTGCCTTATTATCGTCTACATCTAGTCTCGCGCTGGTGCTTTATAGCCAATCCATGCCAGTACATTTATTTCACCCTTTCTAGTGGGCGGGTAATCAAATCACTTTACGCCGATTCAAAGTGAACAAATACGCTCTCGCCGAGTTTACTTAGGCTATTAAGACTAGGTATACTCTAAATCGAGTTGGTAGGCTGCTCGTAACTGTCCCCAAGCTGCGTTGAGATCTCTGCGGAAAGGAAGGAAGAAGTCTCTTACACAACATCGCAGCTTGCTGGTAAGCATTTCGTAAGATACGGGATCTTGTGATGGTGTATGTTGTTCTCCGGCATACTAAAGATAAACCAGCCACCTCAACTATCTCTTGAACCAAGAATGCTCCAACACAGCCTCGACAGTCAGTCGTTCCTTCGGATCATACTTCAAAATACCCCTCAAAAGATTCCCTAAAACTTTACCTTCTTTAATCGGAACAATGAAACCACCTGCCTCATTCTTCTTTCCCTCAAGGTCGTCACCGGACGGTGACCTGCCGGAGAGGAGCCCCTCAAGAGTATCTATCATCATGTACGGTTTCCCAGTATCAGGATTAAGCAGCGGCATTCCATCCTCCTCGTACCACCGCCCCCGTGCTTCCCAAGAGCTCCACCAAGGTTCCGGGAGCTTCCCAAGCATCGGCCCCATTTGCATAATTACCTCGTCGTCGTCATCCATGAAATTCTGAAAGAGGGGACTCCTGATCCGAACGTCGAAAATTGTGCACGCAAGAGCCCACAAGTCACATCCAACGCCGATAGTATTGTCGAAGAGGAGCAAAGGGGAGCGAAAGGGGGCTGTGATTCCGAGATCTTTAGGTGGACTATGCATATCATAGGATTCGCCGAAGTCATTGATAGAAACTTGATCTGATATAAATCGAGCATCCAGTCGGTCTAGGCTGAGGCCTTCGACTAAATATTCAGGTCCTGAAGGTTCTGGGCTCTCTCCAGATATGGCACGAAGAGGCTCTTTGTTTGGCTCTCCGAGCTGCTTTATCAATTCATCTTCAGTTAGTTCGTCAAAACCCGTGAGTCTCAAGAGGATGCTAGATGGGCGGAAATCTAATAGAAAGTATTAGCAGACACCACACACTATTTTCTTGGTGAAAACTAACCACCATGACAGATTCCGTTCTTATGCAAAAAATGTAGTCCACGTGTAACTTGCAACGCAATCTCTCGAGAAACCCTCGCAGGATCTTCAAACTTGCCCCACAGAGCAGAAACTCATGGCCCCAGTACGGGGAGAACTAGGTGCGGATGTCTCTCGTTAAGTCCATCGTGCCAGAAGTGTTCACGCGGGACTGCAATGCACTGTCCGCCAGCCTCTCCAAAATCCAGGCCTTCTTCGTTCACCAACCGGAGCTCCGAAGACATTTCACGAGACTCATCGGCAATGATAATCTTCAATGCGACGTATTTTTGTGTGTTCTGGTCCCGACAAAGCCAAACTGTTGCCAAACCGCCACTTCCCAGCTTATGTAGGACTCGAAATCGACCGGCTGTGCCAAATCTGTCCCCGATATGCACGGGATGAAACCCTCCCGGTCGACATTCCTCGCGATCCTCGCGTCATGGAGCCAGCCTCGCTCGTACAACTGCTCTACCGGACCATTGTCAAGGCTTTCGTCTACGTTGTGATGGGACTCATACATAGGGGATTTCTCAGTTGATTCGAACATGCCACAAATGGATGCGGTAGACTGAGAGGGACGATACAGCCTCGAATATTGGCTCCGCAATGCCCTGGATCGATGGGGTTCTATATAAGTCTAGGCCGTCACCTACTAGACAGGAGCTTCGTGCTCAACTGAACATAGTATTTGGAATATATTATTATTCCTTACACTGTACAGGACTTGTTATAATCAACACCAGTGCATACTATCACGAATGCATGAATGAATTTTGCTGTATTTAAACTTGAATCGTAGGAACGAATACGCTAAACGAAGAAGAAAGCAAGGAGAAGAAAGAGAGGAGAGCTCTTAAGCTCTACATCTCGAAGTCGTCGCGTGACTATTGACTGCGCCACATCAAGACTCGCGAGGAGCGAGACACTCGCCACACTTTTGCCACCCCGCGATACAAAAGCCGCGAGCGTCCACCTCCAAATAGCTCAGTTACACATCCTCAGCAAGCAATTATAACCAAAGTCACATCAAACCTCCAGTCTCCCAATAACACATTAAGACCACAATGCCAAACGCCACAACCTCCTCCGGCGAGAAGCCTTCAAACTCCTCCAATGTGCCCAACCCAACGACGGACCCCTCTATCCCAACCTCAGGCAGTGCGCAAGCTACTCACACGCCAAACCCACCAAAGACGAAGACAGAAGCTGAAGAAGCCGCTGATAGGTTATACGAGGAACGAATCGAGGAGGAATATGCTAAGAGGGAGGGTGGCGCATAATACATAGTCGGTTTGGATGTCGGGGAGGTGGGGTTGTATGATATGGCAGAGGAGACATAAATAGATGATGGGACAAGAGTTCCTTTGGCGTTAGAGGGCTTCGAAGGGGAGCATAGTGATGCACTTGCATATCTCCGCTTCTGCCTTGTAATTATGAGTAAATAATGGACTATTCAACTTGGAAATATCAATCTCCCAGCCAGGAGATACTGCATAGTGAGCGTTTGATAATTTCACTTTTCAGGTGCCTAGAACATACCTAAGGTAAGATAGAAGGAACAGAGAACAAATTAGAGGGAAAGAGACCAGTCACGATCCATTAAAGATACTATTCAGAAATCAGAAATCATCAACTAGAATCACTTAACAATCTTTCAACTTCACTTCCCTTTAGTAATCTGTGCTTTATGCAGTGGGGTTCGTGGGCTTTGATGTTAACATCACGAATACCAACACATTCTTCGTGGTGCTCTAAACCTAGGTATGGCGTAGATTTGCAGGATTTAACTCCCAACGTCTCGTGTTTGTGTTTTTCGCTCCTGGTTTGGCTTCCTTCGCAGTGGTTTGGGTTTCGGTGTGGTGGGGCGCTCCCTCCTCTAGACCCTCGACATCACGAGCACCAGTCATCTCGACCTTTTAACAGTGACCTCTGCCTCAGCGTGATAGGTCAGGCGATAATGGCCGTGGGGTTGGAGATTCCTCCCTGGCACTGATCAGATTTTGTCGGGACAAGTGAAACATTGATACTACTCATGCCAAATTTCTTCACTAGAGCATCAAAAACACTCCCCACATCAAAGAAAGCAAAGACAAGAGGTAACTCAACAAGTCAAGTGGCGCTAGGTAAGGATTGTAGTATGCATAGTGAAAATGGATAAATAGGCTATCGGAATGTAATTAACTAAGGAATAATTATAAATCTAGTCAGGGACTAGCACTGCCAGCTGAGTTGGTGTACATAGAGTATGTGGAGAGACCAATAAACTTAGCATAACAGTATATCGAGACTATACTAGTATATAATGAATCCCGCTACAAACAGCTAGCCCAAAAGAACTCTCTTATGTTACTTAAACACTAAAAAAGGAGCTGTGACTTCTAACCCCATCCAAGAGTGTAGCGATAGAGCTCGGTTTAAATTAATTACAAACCAGTTATGGAGATAGAATCGCAGAGATGTTGTCCTTAGTATGTTCATGAGGAGTTCGCAATATGCAAAATGGAAAACAATAAGCTAAATGCATTGCGACAGGCATAAGTTGGTGGGTAAGTGACCCATACCCGCACTCAAAGCCTTCTCGCTAGTTGAACGGAACAGGAACCTCAACCCCAAAATATTGGAGGGCCATCAACCCAATTGAACTACGCAACGGACAAAATGCCATTATTGACCCAGTGTAGCCACTGTATAACAGCCAAGGCACACGCTCGTTTCAGTGGGGTTTTTATTGTATATGGCCGAAAATTTGATGCTCCATAAATGAATCAGCACTTGCTAAAGTAGCTACCTCGGCCCAATTATTTCGCATATTATTTGACAGCTTCTGCAAATCCGTTATTAGACGAGGTATTATTTGATTTTTTTTATCTCTCTTCTGTGTTCCAGGTTGCCGGGACGATCAGCGGAGGAAGTTGTGACTGTCTCGAGACGCCCGAGGAGTGTATATAGTCGATACGCAGCGTCAGTAGCGCTAAGCAGCCTCAGGGATATTAGACTAACGTTATGAAAGAATTGTCGACATGTATTGAGAAGTTGCAACGGAAACGTTGATGTGTCAAGTTTGATGGACCAGGAAAAGCGTTCTCGCCTAATTCATACCGGATAGTACGTGTTAAGATTATCCGCTTGTCCTTGTACCATTTTGCCCTCTTTCCAACATTAACACAACTCTCCTGTGCAATTCAATACTAAATCCGGCCCAGTTGCGGCCACATCGACATCAAACTATACATAACTGCGCCCGTTAATTAAAACCAGCGAGCTATTTCGATTTACTCTCCCGCGATTCCCGTCTCTATTTCTAGCTTTCTGCATTACTGTGGCCTTGCAAGTTATTTCCAGTTCCCAACCTGAAATGTTTCGCTTTAAAGTCTGTGTACTTTTTTAAACGCGTCCATTTTCTTTTAGAAGCCAATGGACATATTACTACTTAAGTAGGGTAGGCTTTTAGCCTCACTTGCCTCTAGAAAAGCTGCTTCTGTGGAATAAAAAGGCGTAGGGTATATTTGATGCAGAATAACTCCGTCCCAAATCATTATCATCTGATTTTACTATCATCTTTCTATTATTAAGTTGTTAATATTGTTATTTTGATTATTATCAGTTTATATTGGCCAGCACTATTTACGGGCTGCGATGAGATGGAAACTACCTCGTTTTTTCTCCTATAATTTAATGCTTTTATTTATATCTCGTGTGCACTCATGTTCAATCTCCTACTTCGTCATTAAGCTTATGGTACAAGAGCTCCACAATCGTGCTTAGGAATCCATGACAGCGGAATGGCACGAAGGACAGTTGTATATGTACCCCCTGAGACTCGATCCCTCGCAGTTCGCGTGGTATCGATTTTGTTGCCATATATAAGCCAGTTTAGGAGAATTACTGTCACATACGACCATAGACTGAGGAGAAATGGGCATCCCGTCCGCTCTGCCATACACAAGCCTCAGATCGGCAGATTAGTAGTTGGGTGGGTGACCACCAGCGAATACCTGCTGTTGTATGTTTTTTGCCCTTTTTTTCCTTTCCTAATCTTTATACCCAAGTTAAATTTTGGTACTCCTATCCTATCCACTAGGAGACCGTTGTGAACGGCACTCGGGATTGCCTTCGGCATACAATCCTGCACAAGTGTAGGCATAATACTCCTGATACTTTGCAATGGGAAATATGGTGTGGAGCTGCTATATCATATTTCCTATCTCTCGGTGCAAGATATTCGGGGCAGTAAATGCACTATGCACCAAGTATAGCCCAATCATCAGCTTTAGGGCTTTAAAGATTGCAAGCGCCAGTAAGATGAATTATTCCAGGCGTGGCCGGCTACATGAACTCGGAGTCTTTCGGAGCGGGATAATTCCACGTGATCTGTATTTTCCAGGGTCCGCTGCCCGAGCCGAAACCAACTACCAGTATCTCGGTACTTTATATACATAAGGTACCTAGGTACCTAGGTACATACTTCGGAGCCGATTCAATATGGGTCCAAAACCCGTGCTAAAAATACAAGTTGGAGACTTCATAAAGGCGAACTGTTTTAAGGGCGAATCATGTACTACGTACCCCGCGCACTACCCCACCCCCATTCCTCGCCGAATATCCGAGCTGCAGCAGCAACGCCAACTTTCAAAAGAACTCGTCTTCGAAGCTCCCAAAAGCCTTTGCAGGTTCATTCAATCTTGATAATAACAAATAGCAAAGCACAGTACATTAATTCATTGAGGTTTGTAAATATGGCTCCCAAACTTCCGTTTGAGGTAAATTGTGGCATTTCGATATACTACCTGAAGATGCGAAGCTGATGCATCTAGCTTAAAAACCCGTCTCTGTTCAAGGATCAGTCCTATGTCGACGGCAAATGGGTTGAAGCCAAATCAGGCAAAAGATTTGATGTCGTAGGTATGAAAAGTCTACAGCCCTAATAACCTATCACCAAGCTGACCTTGATACCAGATCCTGGAAGTGGAAATGTTTGGGCATCAGCTCCCGATAACAGCGCCGAGGATGTTGATGTTGCCATTAAAGCTGCCCATGTGGCATTTGAGAGCTACAGAAAAGTAACGCCAAAGGCTCGTGCTCTATGGCTTATGAAATGGGATACTTTGATTCGCGAAAACAGAGATGACATTGCTCGCATCGTCACTTATGAGACCGGAAAGCCTCTTTCTGAGTCTAATGGCGAGATTGAATACGCCCTAGGATTTACTTGGTGGTTTGCAGGGGAAGCTGAGAGAGTTCAAGGAACCATTCAATCCCCGTCCGCCCCGGGAAGAAGAGTGTTTACCGTAAAGCAACCAATAGGTGTTACTGCAGCTTTAGTCCCGTGGAACTTCCCAATTGCGTAAGTAAATCAAATTAATATTGGGGAACACTTTTCACTAATTATTTAGCATGATATTGAGGAAAGCTGGTGCCGCCCTCGCAGCCGGTTGCGCTATGGTCGTGAAGCCATCTCCAGAGACACCTCTTTCGGTGCTCGCTTTGGCACATCTGGCAGAGGAGGCTGGATTTCCCAAGGGAGTCTTTAGTGTTCTGACCACAAGTCTGGAAAATACCCCGCCATTGAGTGAAGCACTCTGCCGGCACCCACTCGTCAAAAAAGTTACCTTTACTGGATCTGTAAGTATGGATTGCAGAATCCCTAGCCAGTTAGCTAATGATGCCGCAGACTAGAGTCGGAAAGCTAGTGGCGAAGATATGTTCAGATGGCTTGAAAAAGGTCACTCTTGAACTAGGAGGCAACTGCCCATTCCTCATTTTCGACGATGCTGATCTAGAAAAGGCAGCCGATGGTATTTAATTCCCCTGGGATCAAGAACTGTAGGCATTAACTGACATTTTACTAGCTCTTGTTGCATTGAAATGGAGACATGCAGGCCAAGCATGCATCACTGCAAACCGGGTCTATGTTCAACAGGGAGTCTATGATAAATTCGCTGAGATTTTCAAAAAGCGCACATCTACACTGGTTATTGGCCATGGTGCTGAGAAGGGAACAACGATCGGCCCAGTGACAGTGCCACAAAGTATTGAAAAGGCTGAGAGACATGTCGAAGATGCCAAGAAGCACGGAGGTCAAATTGTGCTAGGCGGCAAAAAGGTGGCTGGCAAAGGTGGCTACTTCTTCGAGCCAACTATTATCCTAGGAGGGAAGAAGGAGATGTTAATTACGTCGGAAGAGACTTTTGCCCCTGTGTTGGCTTTGTATTCCTTTGAGACGGAGGACGAGGCCGTTGAAGAGGCAAACAATACGAGTGTGAGTAGCTCCTGGGCGAACCGTTTAGCAATGACTTTACTGACATATCAATTTCGCAGATGGGACTGGCTTCGTACTTCTTTACCAGAGATGTCAATCGAACCTGGCGGTTGTTGGAGAACCTTGAAGCTGGCATGATCGGAATGAACACGGGCAATTCTTCAGCCGCCGAGTCGCCCTTCGGAGGTATCAAGGAGTCCGGATATGGAAAGGAGTCAGGGAAGGATGTCGCCATGAACGAGTATCTCATTACGAAGACGGGAACTCTGACGCTGGATGGTCATTACTGAGCGAAATCCCCGAGGTGGCCATATCAGGTCTTCCATCTACACATTCACCGCGCGCTACGTGTCTGATCCGCTCAAAAGTACATAATTAAGAGTTCCATGCTGTGAGCCTTGTATTTTACTCCTAGTTGTATCCATGAATGGAGGAGTTCACAATATATTACCAGTCAATATACCAACGAAGTGCCGCCTAGGCACCGTGAGCCAGGCTAGTAGGTCACAGACCCCCGCTTACGAGTACCTCGGCCAACGACTAGGTAGTTAATTACGGAGATGGTGTATCCCGCCTTTGCCTTACTGTAGTTGTGGTCTCTGGGCGGGGTATTTGCGATTGAAGCAAGGTAGTATTCGTAAGCTCATAAGAAATAGCGAATGAAGTTGTGTTGTACTGCACCCTGATGCGTTCCTCACATGCGCGTCGGGTTATTACTGGACTTCTCCTCACGTACCTACCTGCGTATAGGTAGGGTAGGTAGGTACCTCGAGTAAGCCAGATATGTATCAATTCTATCAGCGCATCCGCCTGAACCTCACAATTATATCTTATCTTCGTAGAAATAGTATCTATCGGCCAGCTCTCGATTTCACGTCTCACAGCTAAAATGCCTCCCAGCCCTCTCGCACTACCATTCCTCCCACTCCGCCTCGTGGCATCTGCATTGTCCACGCCGCTCATCACGGGTCCACTCCTCTTCGCCATCCTATACAATCCCTCCAAATTATACTCGATCCTCCCAGTATCCCTTCACAAGTACATTACGCCGGGTTTAATCCGAGCCCTGAAGGTATTTTTCGTCCTTGGACTCCTACGGAAGGTCAGCAATAAGGCGTCTAAGTTGGCGATCAACAATTGGAAGAGCGATGGAGGATTTAATAAGGAAAAGGAATTGGTGCTAATCACGGGGGCTTCGAGCGGGATTGGGTTATTAATGGCGAAGGAGTTCGCGGAGAAAGGATTGGAGGTCGTGAATTTTGATCTCGGACCTGCGAAGGAGTCGTTACGTTAGTACATCCCTTCCACCCCAAAATACCTTACATCTTGCCCATGCCACACATTGTCTAATATCTTACAAGCATCAAATATCCATTTTTATGAAGTAGATGTCACATCCTCAGCGCAAATCTCCAAAGCTGCCGCGGAGGTCCGCAAGGCGCATGGGGAGCCCACTGTCGTGATCAACAATGCCGGGATCGGCGCGTGTCGCACTATTCTCGATGAGCCCGAGGAAATGATTCAGAAGACGTTTGCCGTCAATAATGTTGCGCATTTTTGGATGATTAGGGAGTTTCTTCCCAATATGATTGAGAAGAACCATGGACACGTAGTCACGATCGCGAGTATGTCGAGTTTTATCGCTCCTGCCCAAGTAAGTTCCTCCTCATATCATACTCTTTTCCTCTTTCTGTTAGGTTCCTAGTGGCTTCTTGGTTCTGTTTTCCCGTTCCACTGCCTCGATCGACCAGTTGTTGGTTCTCTCGACAGATTTCGGATTCTTCGTTACCTTGGGCAAGAGATAGTTAACTCACCAACCTCCGCAGCTTGTAGACTACGCCTGCACGAAAACTGCGGCGATGGCGTTCCATGAAGGCCTTTCATCGGAGTTGAGAGCGAGATACAAGGCGCCGAATGTCAGGACGACGTAAGCAGCAGCTCCAAAACCGTGAACCCGTGCTGACGACGACTAGTATCGTACATCCAAGCTGGATCCGTACGCCACTAATCGAGACGCTGTATACATACCCAGCGTGGAACAGCCCACTCCTTGAACCGGAAGTAGTGTCAGGTGCAATTGTCAAACAAGTTCTATCTGGAAAGAGTGGCAGCATTATTCTACCGAAGGGGGCCGGTGTAGTGAGATTTCTCCGCGCGTTTCCTGGCTGGTTCCAGATGGCTGCGAGGAACAGGCTTGCATATACGATCCCCCCGTTTGGTGGTGTTTAAGCCTTTAAGGGTTGGTGATATTGCGTCGGCTTGTCCCTTTAAGGGATTCCCCTTGTCCCTTTAAGGGATCATGAATTGAACTGAATTGATACTCAATAGAACTGATGGGAGCGACCATTAAGCCACCACGTGGATATTCTGTCTCACTTCGGGGAATCTCTGGAAGGTTACAAACGGATACTGGTATGACACTCATTGCTTTTTCCTGTGTTCTTGAGGGGTCTCTTAGCCTGAGCCTGCCCGAATTGCCGGAACTCTCTGCTTTTTCCCATCCATGGTGTTATCGTGTCCACTTATGTCACGACGATCGCCGAATGTGTGATAAGTTTGTCGACGATTCCCTGCAGTTGCAAGGAGATTCCATGGGGACGTCGACCGCACAGACTAGCGCCCAACCATTGACTTGGTCCAGCCGAGTCCATCACCCTGACTTTTGTAATGATGTCGCGTGGCGCGGTTACCGCGAGTGCACATCAATCAAATACGATATATCCGGGCTTTGCGCCTTTAAAAAAAACGCCTCTAACTTCGTCGTATCGTACTCGTACCACGCATTATTACTTAACGATGCTGAGGTTGCTAGGCGCGCCAACCTCTTGGTTCTCCACTCCTCCACGCAATGATATACGGTAGTTAGGTTGCTAATTAGATCATGGTTACACCGACGAGGCATCTAGGCTTTTGAGGGTGCAGGTCATTAATATCACAGCTTACTCTGTACAGTGAGCAGTCTGTCTGTACCTCGCCGAGGGTGCACGATCCCGGTCCCGAGGCCTCTGGGGCGCGGAATTGCTGGAGTCTATTTGGCACCATTGGTCTTGTCATCACTTGTGGCGCCAATATCGCTCGATCGAGCATGCAGCATCCCAGGGGGCCCGATCTGGGCTTGAAGCTAAAATCCACATCATCGATCCTGGCACATATCCGGCGCTGTGGCTTTTAATCCCAACGATAGGACGAACCACTCGGAAGTCGCCCCAAGGTATTTTGGACTTCTGGGAAAGCCCACGGCGAGCTCAGCATGCCTCTCACTCCTCTATTGGGACGGATGGATGGACTCGGCCTAAGTAGCTGCTGCGTAGTGCTGCCGTCACTAATGGCCGCAGCTGAGGGCAGAACCACAAATATAAGTTTGCTTGTTTCCTTCCCTTCAAGTGGATGGGTTTGAAATATCCGGGGTTACGCAGCAGAAGTCCTCCGGGATGGATTTCCTCTGTAAAACAGAAGTATTTTAATGCGGGGACGCGGTTTGGTCCTTCTTAATGAGGTCTCTGGCATACCGGTTTTTATATTGAAACTCTCCTGTATTGTCCTTCTGATGCATCCTTCCCCGTCTCCTATAAGGGTCTTCTCATTTCAATATATCCAACGGAACACAAAACACCATATCAATCTTTCAAGATGCAATCAATTACCGCCCTACTGTTCGTTGCCTTTTGCATTTTCATAATCACCAGAAGTCTCGTTGTCCAAAAGTCATGGCAGCAGTGGAAGAAGCAGGCGTCATCTGGCCTCGGTTTCACCAAGTCAACCTCAACGGTTTCCTCCTCCACTCATAAAGAAACCCTCCTGAAAGACACCCCACCATATATCTTCCCACCGATTCGGCCTCGAACGGCATTACGGACATCGATGGGCCTTAGACGCCTCGAAGTTTCCAACTGGTTAACTATCGACAAAAACTACAACCCCGAACATGGACTCCGTGTCAACTTGCTGTCCTCACACAAACCACAAGTCATACAATGCCTTCCCGGTTCAGAAGAGGCTTGCCACGAGGTCCTCTCTCTGGTAGTTGATTTCCTAACTTCTCGATTCCCACAACACTTCACAGTTACCAATACTTCCGAGGGAAGGAGAATCTACAACAGCCTCACAAACGAAACTTTCGTCATTGGCCAAGCATGCCCCAACCCTCTTGAAGTCGCCGCCAGGCTAGCAATGGAAGATTTCACGGTTCTAATGAAGGATGCCAACACAGGGGAATATCGTCTCCAAGCATCCGCCACGTTGTTTCCCGCTGGCTGGAAACTACAGGAGAGGATTGGAATGTCTATGGCGAAGCTACACGGTCCTGTCCCCAAATGGAAGGAACAACTTAGCGGACACGTGAACAGGTATTTACCCCTTTCTACCCTCATTTTTCTCGTTTCCATTCTTTCGAGCATTATAGGTTATTATTCCTACTGACGCAAACCCCTCTAAAACAGATATTTCGACCATCTAACCGCCAAATCATCAATGGAACGTACAAACCTCTTCATTCAAACAACACCCGATCTCTTCGTTGATGGCCCTGAAATGCCCCGCTCACCTTCAGAAGCCGCAATAACGCCAAGCGATCTTTGGGTGAGGAGAGAACGGCAAATATTCAGAAGGTTAGAACGGTGTGGTGCCGTGTTATTTACCGTGCGTACTTACATGCAGCGGCTTGTGGAGGTGGAGGGCGCCCAGGTGGAGGCGCTCAAGACCCAGGTTGAGGGGTGGGATGAAGATATTATGGATTATAAGGGGTCGAAGATTTGGGGTGAGACATTTCGAGAGTGGTGTGCGCAGAGGGGTCTAGGTGTCGAGGGGGCTTGAGTTGAGACAGATGGGACCTGGGGATTAAGAGGAGGCGATGGTTATGGATTCAAAAATAATTATGTTTTTTTAATGGAGGGAAAGGAACTGGCAAAGTTCCGGGGCGGATTTTTGATATAAAAGCGAATAATTATATGCTACACGGCGACATTTCTAGATTCCATGAACCTCGTCTCATATCTCTGTCTCAAGGTGTATGTAATGCGGCATCTTCGGAGTAGTTGCTCCTACCTATGCTCGAAACACAGTGAGAAAGTACCAAGGGTTCTTCAAGTCATCTAATCTCCGTTACCAATTCCCATTACTCGGTAGCATCAATCTGACAGCGAGTCTGTGCCCTGCAGCGCGGGGGTGTCTTAGACTCTTAATCTCACCCCCACCCATTTCCAATAAGTTCCATACGAAATCCTACATAGTGCGCAAGTCCAAATTCAGCCCCCAAAAGCAATGTGATGTATCCATAAAATCAAACAAAACCCATGTGTCTCGGAAGAATAAGGACCGTGTTGCCAAGAAGTACCTAGTACCAACCGCCCCAAACAACCTGGACTGACCAATGAACTACGGAGTCCACTGAAACATAAAAAACGTGGAGATTCATGGTGGAAAAACAAATACCATTCTTCATATCGTCATTTGCTTCGGATTTTTAAGCGGCCGATCCCTCAGAAGTCCGACTCTGAGACCTTTTCGCATTCCAGCCTATTAATCCGTAATACCCCCGCCAGGAGGATGGCCACTCAGCTCCCATTTGGAGTTACCTCCGTGGACCTCTCAGAAGCTCAGAAATGGATGCACATATGTCTCCATAGTATATCCGAGATCAGCCTTGGTTAAAGACTGAATGAGCTAATGATTTACATGTATATAGGCAAAGCTCCCCAGGGATGAAACTCGAGAATGTACACTTGGGAATCAAGGTGAAGGAATAGCTGAATTGATGGAGGTTTGAGGGATTTGAGCTGATTTGGATACGCATTACAAGCATACAGCATTCCTATGATGCAGGCAGAAATTTCAAGGAAATCATGAAGATAATTATTGATCATATAAAGCCAGAGAACAAGTGAACTATTGAATCAACGCAAGAGCAATATCTTGAAGCACCTATCACCTCACCTGGCAATTGCCCCAATATCCATCACCTATATCCAACTTCCAAACCATAAAAATGCATTTCCTTCCAGCCATCGCCTCCGTCCTGGCCCTCTCCTTCTCAGCTTTCACCAGTGCATCCCCAATCCTCGAGTCTTCCCTCTCAAACCGAGCCGACCCCCCAACCACTCCAGCAGATGCTGCCACAGCTGCGTTATCCTCCATCCTTGAAGACATCACCAACGTCAAAGGTCTCCTCAATACCTTACTCAAGGTCCACGACCTCCATCAAATCGAAATCCTAGTCACCCTAGCTATTGATGGCCTCGAGGAAGAACTCCAACCCATCAAAGACTTCGTTGCGTTAGCAGCCGGTGCGGCGGGCCTGTCTGATGTGGAGGAGAAAATTATTGCCACCATCGATGAGGTTGTGAAGGGGCTGAAGGACATTCTCGCTAATCCATCGATTGAGACCATCCAAGCTGCGGTCAAGGGTATTCTGGGGAAACTGTACGTTAAGTGATATTCCAAGATGTTGATGAGGAGACTAACATGTTTGTAGTGACGGACTGCTCGGGGGGCTTCTCTCTCAGCTCGGTAATCTGGTTCTGTCAATTTTGGGGGGTATCTTGCCACCTCTTCCGGGTGTCCCAAAGCTCCCAGGCGTCCCAGTCACAGTCCCAACTCTCCCCGGTGTCCCGGCGTAACGAAGTTGCGATGTTGAAATGAGAGCTTTTGGTAGCGATGAGGTACTGAAGGGTTATGAAGCTAAGGTACAAGCAGGCAGACGATACTGAATTTGGCCTACATAACTATTAGAAGTGTGAATTCAGGAAATAGAAAATATTTGTTCCCTTATATAATTTAGATAACGTAGAGCGCTATAAAAGGATGTGAAGTGGTCGTGCCTTGGGAGCCCATTTCAACAGCATAGTTGAAGTTCTTTAATACCACTTGATACCTTGCCAATTATGGAATAAATACTCCAACTGCAGAGCTTATGTAGGCGATTCTGGGAGTGGTAGACCTACTCTTAACGTATGAGTAATAATATCAACTAGAAAAGCCGGCTCTTGGTTTTCTGTGGTCCGTGTCTCCGTACATGCAACGATTCAAGCTAACTTTGCCCTCACCGTAGAAGGCTACTATAGGTCCTTGGATGTTTATAGGAATGAAGCCGATCTCGCCTCACTTTGCCGATTGCACAAAATAAGCACTTGAACTTGGGCCGCGTAGTCAAGATGAGATCATATAGGCATCGTATTTCCACTTGATGCTAATGCTATACTTCTTGACCATCAAACATGGCCACAGCGCACTTAAATGGCCCATATGCTCATAGTGTCCAACACATTTTCCCAACACACCACCAGATAGTAGCTAGAATAGTTTCCGCCCATCTTCGTAATTCAGTCTGTTTAGCAACTTGTACCGAAAGACCACACCCAACCTCAATTTTCGCGGAGGCCTGTCGGATCTGATTTGGGATGACCTTGTAACACTCTTGCCAAGCACATATCGACTAGGAATTCTGAGCGACTCGAGGGCAAATTTTAAATCGCGCGTTCGACCAGATATGACAAGGATAATCAATCACGTCTCGTTATGAATCGTCCTGTCCGAGGTTGATAAGAGGCATGATTAGTCGAGGAATGCTATCCTCTAAAGCCGCATGTCCTAGTACAGATTGAGGTTCCCAGTTGCAGTCCGACCATAAAGACCCCAGCGACAGTTTCGAGTGACACGTGGAGAGCGATAACAGTACGGTCATTCGAGAAGCTTCCTGACGCAATAATATGCCGGTCTCCTTGATAATACGGTAGGTGCAGTATCGTGCAGTTGTCCGTCCATTTGTGGGTATCGATAAACTTTTGCATATTATACATGTCGACACGGTGAGGTGTTCTCAAATCGCCAGATGCTGCAACAAAGGATGAAGATGACGCCGCATCTCCCGAATATGGACCAACTCAACGCTTCTTTTTAGGCGCCGGCACATCACTAGTATCGATAAGATTTTCCGACTCGGAGTAGGGGCGGTAATCGAAATCGTTCTTGGCGATGCGAAAAACCAAGCCTTGAAGTCCCATAGCAATTCGGTATCCGGCTAATCCGAGCAGCGCGATGATGACGAGCAAAAGGTTGATAATCGCAAGCAGGACCAAGGGGATAGTATGCCATAGCTGAACTCTTCGAAGTGGACAACCTGGGGTTTTGGGTTTGCCGTCTTTTTCCACTTCGAGCATACCAGCAAGCATGAACCGGAGAGGACATTTCTTCAGCCCTGGTGGTACTACAATTGTGTCCCCAGACGAGCCTGAAGAAACCGACTCGGAGTCCGTTGTGTCTTTATCCTTTTTGGATTTCTTGCTATGAGAACTGACAGCCGAGTGACGCCGGGCTCGGCTGTTGGGAGAATGCTTCTCCTTCTTTGACGACGACATGCCGAAACTCAGAATGCTAGACATTGGAGATTTGGTGTCAAGGGTTTTCGGGAAGTAAAGTAAAGAGAAAAGTTATGATTCTTAGGGCTCCTATTAATCCAGCTGCGGGGCTGGTCGGGGCCATACTAGCACATTATACCTCGTTGAGATATCGAACATCTTGATAGTAACGATTGTCTAAGAAGCCCAAAGTCAAAGCTAGCGTCTTAACTCTCAAATGCTGTCACGCTCATATGGCATGTGCAACATGAGTATAGCGGGGGTAAACTTTGTGCATGCAGCCAGTCAGATTGTGAGAAACGTGGCAGCAACGAAGAATTTGGTCGCACACCACTAACAAAATGGAGAGCTTGAGGAGTTCTACACATTGTTTCAGACAGTTCTTGGATAGGGTTCCAGCTTCTGGATTTCGGGAAATACGCGCAACCCCATGGGGTCAAGGATGTTGCGTCGTCCAATCATCGCCTGTTAGCATCGAACTCCCAGGTGATGCTTCAAGCCACCATTAGGCTTTAGAATATATGCCCAACCATCTCGAGTACTAAAGGCGCAGGCGTGCGGAGTAAGGTAGGTACCCTATGACGGCTATTCGATAATTTCGGAGACGCCAAAGCGCGAATCCACTTGGACAAGAGCCGTGATAGCACATCAACTAAGGAACAGGAGGAACTAAACGTTTTTGATCTCAAACCAAATGAATACATCATGGCATACGTGGGAAGAACAAGAAAATTTTAACTTTTTCCACATGACACTATTGTTTATGGGGGTAGCTTCACCAAGCCCATGTAATATGGACGAATGACCATGATGAAGGTTGGTGGTCTTTGAATGTCTCAGTTCCCAGTTGCACTACAGCCAAGTCCCGCAAGGATCGACGCCTCATTGCTAATCATACGAGGTAGTAAGCTATCTCATGATTCATGAGATAATGGAGGCCTGCGATACCAAAGCATGCAAAAAGGGACGAGAAAGGAGTGGAATAGAGTTGGGGAGGATGAGGACACTGCGGCCGCGATGGCCGGAGTTGGCGTTTGGCGTTGGGGCGGCCTATGAGGGGCAGAAGCTCCCTCGGCTGCACATCCAAGACGTCGCCACAACAACACCCTCTTTCTGATGAGCTTCACGAAAGTTTACGATCACTGAATACCACGCGACCCCCCTCCCTTTGCACTGCAATTGACCTTGGAGCTGCGCTTTTCGACGAGCATACTGCGCCCATCATCGTGATACTCGATTAGAGTTTCCAGCTCCCGCAATGGTCCTCGAAAATGGCTCCAGCCCCGGCGGACCAAACTCGTTCGATGACGTCCCACGATCTGACGATGACCCCTACGCCAGCAACCAGAGCCGCCCCCAGCCCATATCTTTCGAAAATCTTCCTCAGCCAATGCCCATATTCGGCCGTCTTTTTGGCTACAATGAGAAAAGACTCTCCGCGTTAGTCAATCTAAGGATAAGTGCCGCCACAGCTACCATCAAACGACCCCTCACCACAGAAGAAATCGACTGCCTAACATATCATTCCGCGAAACAGGCGGCGATAATGTCATATAGTTCGCCGATTGGGTTTGCGGCAGGAGCCTGGAGGTCCTGGAACACAGCCTCCAAATTCCGCTTTCCCTTCTTCCAACCGCCCCTCGACAAGTTCGACCCGCAGGTTTTCATTAATTCCAACCGGGCGTTTTTGAGGGGCAGTAGAGCTGTGATCGTCTGGCATGCTCTGAGGACTTTTTGGTACTGTGCTACAGGAGGGTTCATTGCGAATATGTTGGTTGGGAGTTATTCCCTGAGTGTGGCAGCTGTTGGGGAGCTTACGGACCCGCGGCTGAAGAACTTCGTAGAGGATCTTAGAGAAGTGAAAAAGCAGCAGCTGGGCCGATTGCCAAATGCAAGAGGCGTTCCCGGCGCGGCGAATACGCATACGCATACGGAGACGCAGGACTATGGTGATGCCAGTCCGACTGCCGGCATGAATACAGAGGGCGATTCGGGGCTGGCCAATGTGCGAGCTGGCAACCATACTTCCGGGGGAGAACAACCACAATGGAGAAGCGCACCTCCAGCGAATTCAGCGCCCGCAAAGAATTTCCCCACAGAGACTGAGAGCCAACCCTTCAATATATGGGATGACGCATCACCAACCGGTGGGAGCGGCGTATCAGCAGATACTCGGCCCTCGCAACCCACTGGATCGGCATGGGACAGGATAAGGCAAGGAGAAAGGCCAGCGGCACAACCTCCCAGAAGATCTGGCCTCAGCGCTGGATCACAAGGTGGATGGCAAAGGACTGGGGAGAATCCAGGTGAGAGACTCGCATTTTCCTCAACCGAGGGAGAGAAGTCTCATGAGAAGGAAGATGCACAACGGAAATTTGATGCCCAGGTTGATAGAGAGCGGAGGGGTGGGGACTTCAGTTCTGGAGCTGGCGAGCAGAAACGCTGGTAGTTCTGTATATATGTAATATAAACCCCAGCTACCCTTGATATCTCAGGGCCCTACTTAGCATGCTTCAATACTATAAAGGCATGGAATACCTACTCCTCCCTTTTCTATCAACCGCCGCTACGGATTCTACCTCCCACCCATCCCCTTTATCTCCTCTCGCTATCATTACTGCTCCTCTCGCTAATATGTGAGAGCCTGGACCAACTGCGAGTGCGAGATTCCTATTGCTAGCAGCAATTCAGGGACAGTTTTGTGTTATGACATCACCAAAAACATATCCAAAACCAAAGGAGCTGTACTAAACGTAGTTCGAGGCGACCAGAAGTAGAGAAATGGAGAAAAGAAGTAGCTTAATGCTGCTATAGATAGCCAATCCTCTTGCAATTATAATTGGAAGTAGGTTAATCAATAAAAATTGAATTAGGAGGAGCGCGGGCGTCAAGAATCTACTCCAGGCGCTTAACTGAGCTCAGCGCCAATTCAACATCCAATATCCTCAAACATACCTATATACCTACCTAATTTAGATAAATATTAAGACATCCTCCACTTCGCCCTCTCCAACCAAATCCAACCATCAACTCGTGATTCTCCCAGCGCTACAAACCCCAATCCCAACCCAACCCGCCAAGCAAAATCCTACGTCAGCAGCATACCCCAGACGCCTTTGGTCCTACGTACGAAGTGCCGTACCTAGGTATATCACAATGCCGATCCCCAACACACACCCCGTCAGCAACACGAGCAGCTCCAAACCCACAAAAACCCTCAAAATCATCAACTCACTCAAACCTATCCCTGGCTAATGAATGAATGCAGCTCGCCCGTATCTGCAAATAATCACGAGGGGAAGCAGCAGTGCCCCTTCCACAGCGGCAAAAGGAAAACCCAAACCCGAGCGATGCTTGGATCGTGAGTGAGGGATCTGCGGTGGACAGGTACGAAAACAGGTCCTAGTCCATGCTACATGGGTCCTGTACCTTGGGAGGATTACTGCCTACGGAGGTATGACGCTCGTATTAGGGATTTATTGGGAGGCGCAGATACGGACGTTTGCAAGGTGCAAGGTGATGAGTGATGAGTGATAGGTGATAGGTGAGATGGGTTTTGATGTAGGTATATATAGGAGCTGGTAGGTACCTAGGTAGCAGGTGGATTAATGACAGTACTGGATTAATTGAGAAATACAATTCCTTAATACACAAGCAAAACAATACAATCGTTCAATCAATTAATCAATTATACCATCATACCTACCTACCTTACCTATATCCCTTCATTCCACCACCACCACCCCACAACAATGAAGCCCACCAGCCTCCTCCTCCTCCCACTCTCCCTCCTCTTCACAACCACCCTCTCCCTCCCCTCCAACACCCCCCGCGCCGCCCTCGCCACAGGACAATACTTCTGGACCGTCACCAACTACACCGAAGGCTGTTCGCCCGGCGGGTGCGCATACAGCATGACGCTCTCCACGCACAGCTCGACAGAAAACGAACCAGCATTCAGCACCACCTGCAAGGGCACCAACGTCGCAACCGCATACCAAGCCTGCGAGGACCCGGCGATCGCGACACGCGAGGTCAACGGCTTCCAGAACGTTACGTTGGCTGTGAGACATATCTATGATGTGGGCGAGGCCCAGTATACGATTAGGGGGAATATCACTATTAAGGTCCCTGAGGCGCCGACGACTTTTGATGTTCCGCAGTTGGAGATTAGCGCTATTGCGTAGGGGGAGGGGAGATAGGATAGATACCTAAGTACCTAAGTATATGATGAGGGATGGATGGATGGCATAGATAGCGGGATGGTGCATTTACCGGTATTTAGATTTTGTATTTACTGGGTTGGATATAAATATACCACTTTTGTTAGTCCGTTGATCATACGCAACTTGTCGTCGGCATATCTAGGAGGTTATTAATTTTCTGGAACTTGCGGATTCATTAGTGATGCTACGAAGGGGATCTACAACAATTAAGCACCACCGCTACTACAACCGATGAGGGCTTTGGTCCAAGGGACTGAGCTACTATCACGGGCGTAGAACGATGGGGTGGGGTTTTACGTGGAGCGTGGAGCGTGGAGCGTGGAGCGTGGAGCGTGGCTATGCGTGTGCTATAATAAGGCGGAGATGTCATGGAGCTGCTAGCATGGGAGAGAGTCCATCATGCTCGGAATCAGGTAGGTGGTTAAAAAGGGGTCTGAAGATCCGGTCGATGGAGGGGAGAGGGTAATGAGAGAAGGGATGATTAAGGGCGGGATGATGGGGGCGGGGTGACATAAGGTACCAACCTAAGGTAGGGAAGCGAGTTGCTTGTTTCTGCCAAGGACTATATGGCGCATTAAGCAAAGGATCCCAAGATGTTAGCAGCAATTAAAGGGGCTTGGAGATATCTAATGTCACGTCACAAGCAATCGTAAGGTCAAATGTATTAAGAACAACGCAAGTTTGAATTTGATTACGCTAAAGCACACGCTTGGGTCACCATCCCTTCGCAGAGGGGAGACACCAAAGCCATCGCAATATGATGAACACCTGGTGAAGGAAAGAATGGAAAAGGTGCGGTCCTCAGCCGCTATTGAGTTCCAAAGAGAGAGAAGAGCATGCGATCTCGAAACGACCTGTAGCTAAGAACCCATAAAAACGTCTCGCAAGATGACCGTCATAACGAGGAAATGAGAAATACACGAGAACTTTTGGTCATTATCCACGGCCAATAGCGTCCTTGCTGAGCCCCTGCAACAGCTGCTACAATGGCCTCCGAGAGGATGGAGCCTTGAGCTCCTCCCCCCAATCCATGAGGTGCCGGCGACTATGATCACGGGATCATTCAGCCATTTTATGATTGTCCACCGTTCCTTCGCAGGGCGATGTCCTTCCAGTGATCCCGTTCTGCCTCCAGCTTTGCGATCTGATCCTCCAACTCCTCCATCTTCTGCATCTTCCGCTGTCGAGACTTGCGGGCTGCAAGAGTATTGCGCGCTCGCTTCATAGCAATGGTGTCATTTGGATCATCGACAATGATGGGTGGAAGAGGCTTGTCGCGCTTTCGAGAATTGACACCCGCAACAGAAGCATGGTTTCCAGATGTGGGAGATGAGCCTGTTCCAGATCTCCGACGGGCGGTTGAATTTGATCGAAGATGCTCAGAGACCTGGAGCTCTTCCTCGGGAAGCAGAGGCGACTCTACTACCTTTGGCTGCTCGGTGTTGTCATCCTGGGGGAACAGGGGATACCATGGGTCACCAGCGAGAGCTTGGTCGATGTCGTGGTTGTTGCCTACAAAGGGAGAAACATCGAAGTTGTCATTGTACTCTGGGGATTCATTGTACGTTGAGGGGGATGTCAAGTTTGTGAATGCGGTAGAGTTGGGAGCAGATGCGAACGAGTCGCGGACTAGCAGATCTTGAGGCGAGACGGTGCCCATATTGGTGGAGCTTGACGATGACAGGTTCATAGTTGGATCGTAGATCGTGGGCACGGCGGGCGAAGAGTAGGCCGAGTTGAACGTGTGATTGGTCGAGGCACCAGCCCCGAAGGCGGTGAATTCGTCAAAGAGCTCCATGTCTGCGGGGGGTTGTGAGTCACGGCGCGTCAGAGGAAGCTGTGAATGAGCATAAATACCTTGCATCGCCATGTTTGGAGTTTGCGGGATGTTTCCGGTTGATTGCGAGAACAGAGGCACAGGCGGTCGAGTCTGGCGCTGTTGGTGCAACGCAGCAGAGGAGGAAGGCGCGGAGGAAGCGTAGAACTGATGAGGGGAGGTTTGCTGCGCGGAGGCAGAAGCAGGAATAAACCGGTTGGTTAACGGGGCAGTTGAGATAGAATGTCCAGTGGCTTGTATGATGGCAGCGACTCTCTGATTCTGCAACGAGGTAGGCGAAGCAAGATGTTGAGCAGAGTGGCGACGATTTTGCGATTGATGATGTTGATGCTGGCCTGTTACGGCGCTGAGCTGGGACAGACTAGGGGTACTGCGAGCACTGGGAGTCCTCTCGAACAAGACAAAGTCCTGATGAGGCTGTGATGGACTGGGAGAGTGGGGGGATGGCGGAGGCTGTTGCGGAGATTGTGCCGGCAGGCTCGATGAACTGGAGGGAGGCCATGGTGATGGAGAATCCGTGGTGAAGAGCGGGAACTCTTGTGAAGGTATTGTGGCGGTTGCGAGACTTGAGCGGGAGCGCGGAGCTGTGCTAGAAGTCAGGTTTTCCGGGGAGGGAAAAGCTGAAGAATGGTTGTTGGGGGGTTGAGGGGAGTGGTTGACTGTTCTGAGATGAGACGGAATGGTGACGGAGGGGGAGGTCACAAGAGGCGTGGAGGCCGAGAAATTTAAAACATGTTGGGCTTGGATGCTGGTGATGATGTGTTATTGTGGTGTTGTTGTGTCAGAAGGATGTTGGATGAGAGAAAAGAAGAGTCAGAGAAAAGCTGCCTAAGGTGGGCGGATACGCGAGTATTTAATGGTTGTGGGCGCGGGTCGGCGTGGAGGGGGGGGGACAGTAAGGGACCTGTCTCTTATACACATCTAGATGTGTATAAGAGACAGGTGCTAAGCAGTGCTAAACAGTGCTAAACCCCCCCTAAACACTGCTAAACGGCACACAAAAAAGTAATAATCGCCAGGAGTAAGCACGGCCAGACTGACTTGTCGCAGCAGCGGCCTCTGACCGGTGACTCACACTTTTCGCGCCAGGGTCGGCGGCGGCGGGCGGTGCTGATTGGCTGCGCGTCCCGACTGCTTAACAATCCCTCGTCTCCGCGCGGTCGTCTATATCTTCCCACCAGAAGTCCTGAGAGTGCGAGTGAGACTATGGTTCACCAAGGACGACGGACTAAGGACTAAACTAAGGACGACAGAGGATAATATACTCCCCGCTATTTCCCAGCCTCTCATTCTTTGCTATCTTCTTATGTGCCGACTTCGACTTCAAGAGTCCTGAAGACTAGAGAGTCAGTGAAGTCAGACACTCATTCACTCACTCACTCACTGCGCCAGCCAGCCAGCCAGTACCGCGAAATGGCGTCCGACCAGGCCCTCCCTACTCCCCCCGATGCGCGACCCAACCAACCAACCAACCGCCGTCTGGCAAAGCCTCCAGGTCCAAGTCCAAGTCCAAGTCCAAAGTCCACGTCCACGTCCACGTCCAGCGAGAACGAGGAAGCTGGGGAAAACCGTCCTGATTTAGCCTGTGGTTGGCTCCGCGCCGCCATCAACCCGACGAGACAGCTGCAATCTGCGATACTCCGCCTGCGAGGTGGGATCTGTCGTCCCAAGGGCGTCGAGGCGTTGACACCGGTGGGTAGGCTGGTTCTGGAGATACAGAGTCTTGCCGACGTACGGAGTAAGTACTTGACTTGGTACAGGACTACGCACTTGTCCTCGTACTCGTCCTCAAGTTACGCAGACACACTTAGGCAGCGGCTCTGCCAACTGAACCCCTAACTATTGAGTGCACGTCTTCTTCCTCTGCTTCCTTCTTCTTGTTTCTTCTGCTCTGCTAGGCATCAATTGGTACACGTGTGTGATAGATAGATCTCGAACCCCGCGTGCGAATCACCATGAGGGAAATGCGATACCAACGACACGACGACGAGGCGACACGAATACGCTGCGGAATTCGGAATACGGAATAATACGAGGTATAGGTACATGTACATGTACATGTACATACGAAGTACAACTGCTGGTTCTACTTCGCCGAGTCCCTCCTCCTCTTGCCTGCATCGGGGTTCCAGTCCTGCATACGAAGTAACCTACGAGCAGCACGGAGTTGCTGCTCGACATCCAAACATCCAAGACTCCTGCCGCTTTCCCGAATTCCGAATTCCTCTCGCCGAGGGAATCGATGGATGTTGAGACGGAGTTCGTAGGACCAAAGTACGTACAGTAGTAAGTACCTGTACTGTACTTCGTATATGTGCAATAATAAGTAGGTACCTGTACAGTAACTAACACCGTTCCTCGTCCACCTTGCGGTTTGACCTGCATTAGCCATCCGCAGGGTCTCGACCACGGACAACCTGCTGAAGTAACTGAACTACTGCACTCCACAATAAACCCGAGGGGACAATCTAAGATTTACGGCACAGAGTATGACTCACTCAGCCTCCACGACCTCCGCGGCGCAATCAATTACGAAGGATGATCATTATTGGGTTTTTCGTATTCCGCCTGCGCCTGCAAAGACACCGTCTCAAGTCCAAAATCATGGCTTCTCTATTAGGACAGAGGTCAATAAATAACTCACTAGGGTTGATTGAAATTGGCAAGATCAGAGAATAGCCCAGACAAAGTTGAGACATTGACATACAGTACAGTACAGTATTCACTTCAAGTTCCTCTTTAAATTGTAATCGCTTGCTGCGCGCTTGCACGTGATTTTGTCAATGTCACGTGCACGGTAAATCTACATGATTCTGGGGAGTCGAGTCACGTGTATATATCTTGGCGGCCGTCCATCGTCCCTTCCAAATTGGGTAGGCAGAACGCGGTATGTGTACTGGTAGTTAAGTATTAAAATAAGCAGTTTGCTCATAACAACCGGCAACCTGGCTCATCGGGAGACCAGCTCGAACACCAATACGGACGAATTCCCAAACACCAATATTCTGATGGCAGCTAATCCCCCCGGGGCGAAGCTAAAATCGCAACTGTGCAATAACCACCGAGGAGTACAGATTGGACAGGGGAAACGGCTCTAGATCTCGACTAAGTCCTGTCTAGGGGAGGATGTAGAGTGATCCTGGGTGACCAGGATTACTTGAACCTTTTTGCTATTTATTTCTTTCTCTTTTTTAATCCGTTTATATCCCTTTTTTTTTGTCGCGTTGTTGTTGTTGTTTGACTTCCATTTTAGGCGAGTAATTATGGGTCTGGTGGTGGTGGTTAAGCGACCTCCTGACGTTTCTGCGCGGAGTCATATTTAAGCCAGCGCAAAACCCTCACAAAGGCTACACAAGTACGGGATCAAACCCCTACCGCTGGTAGTAACTTTTCAATCACCTTTTAATGGCAAAAATTGAGCAGGTCCCTTCAGGCATGAAATAATATTTCTCCCCGAGTTCTCTTGGATGGTTGCCAATATCACGGCGTCTCATGTTGGAATTTCCTTTCTGCCCACCCGCCAGCTTGCGGCGCTAAGTTGGATAAGCAATGGCATCACCTATCATTTCCACGTCCCTTTTTATTTTCCATTTTCTTCTTGGGAATGATATTCGGCTTAAATTTGTTTTAATAGAATACTTTTCATTCACTTTACGCCAGCTACTATTTCTCCATCTTTGAAATGTATAAAAGTGCTTAAATTCTTATTCCACTCGCCAAGTAGTCACCTAGCTTTGCAAAACAGGGCAGAGCATAATCTGACATATGAAGACGACAGCTTTCTGGTTGAAGATCCTCTGGGGCCGAATGAAAGAAGCAGTTTCCAAGTTTGGCTCAGCACGTTAGGGGATTGACGAGGTGAAGCGCGAAGGAAAATCGCACTGGGGACTGGAGACAATAGCCATGTTAATCAATTCTAACGGCTCAAACATCTATACAACCCCAATGTGCCCTTTGAAGCGTATCAAAAGTGTAGAAATTGTATTGTTATTTCTTATATCTACGATATCAAAATTCACTTGTGCGTTCATGAATAGCCGTATAGTAACTCTCAACCCTCCTTAACAACCAAGAACGAGCCCCTCGACTGGCCATTGCTATCTCTATCCCCTGTTCATTTCGCTCACCCATCCTTACACCGGTCAAAACCTCAACTTTCAAACCTAAAGCCAATACGGGATATAATATCCCCCATTTAATTTTCACGCTCTTCCTTCTTCCCTCGGCATCTCATCTCCTTAAATAAAAACATATAGGCTGCATCACCCAGGTAAACTTTTCACAAGGCTCCCTACCTGCACTGTCCCAGTACCAAAACCTCCGTGCCCCCCGCAAAAATACAATGTTGCACCAAGCTCAGGTGGTGTAGGATAGAGAGAGGGTGAAATTAAGCCAACCGGGTAATGGAATAAAACGGGAAATTCCCAAAAACTTCAATCCAAGAGGGCAGGAACAATTATCAGTTGTCTCGAATGATCGGTGGAGACGAGTAACAATTGGAAACACTATATGTTTTGCTACAAGTATATCTTAATGCAGGGACCATAGTTATTATTACTTGGAATGTATAGATGCTCAGGGGCAAGTTTAAAACTACTCCACTACTCTGAATCAAACGCGGCAAAGTTTTACTTGTTTGTGAGGGTAGGAGGGTTTACTTTTGACTATTGGATAAGGAGTCTCCAGGCATGGAGAGTTTTCTACGGGTTGTTTTGTGATTCCTCCGATGCCCTATTTCCGTCAATCATTTGCTAAACTTGTAACTTGCCATCCCCTATACTCGCACTGTCCTTCAACGCTCGTGTAGTCATCATAATACATATCTATGACCACGAGGCAAGATTTATCCAGACTGGGCATCTATAACTAAACTCCTATCCCTTCTCCAAAGGCTATATGCAAATATAGTGAATGCCAATGCCCCTTTTAGGACCACAAACTTGATGGCGCTCGCTATAAATGGAAAAACTTTGACCTAGGCATAAGAAGTGAATGTTATCATTACCGTCCATGTTATTCCTCTAGCTCTCAGTTGGAGAGATAGCATAAGAAAAGGCCTTCACCATATATCTACCCATAGTTTCAGCCTCATTATGCGTTTTCTTGCTTCTTGCTGCTATCGCTAATTCCCGAATGTCATCTGCCGAGGACTTGATAAATTCTGCATATTTGACTTCTACAAGTGCGCGAGAGGTGTATAAATAAAGCCATATGGAACCCCTTGCCGGTATCAGCTGGGGCGGAAATTGGGTTTATTGTTCGACGGCTACATCGCCAACACATAACAGAACGGCCTTACTCTTTACCGCAGAAGTTAAGTTCATCACCAACGCATACCGAGTGAAGGATCCCAGCTTGGAAATGGCCCACCTCTCTTGATGAAGAATGCCTTGTAGTCAGGGCAGAATTCGGAGCTGCTACTCATCAAATATGCCTGTAGCCATTTGATTAAAGTCGTGAATCTTTGATACCCAACGGAATGGTGCGAACAAGGCTGGACCCAATAACCCAGCGGAGCAAACCTGGATATTCAAATAAGAATATCCAGAGCAAACAGCTTCCCGGCGCGCTGGAGAAACCCTTGGGTGGAGGGTTTGGAGAGTACAAAGGAGATGGAAAATCTTGCGTATAGCAAATCAGAGATCATCGTTGTCTAATCTATTGAGGATGGAGCACGAGAAATGGCCCAGGGGCGATTCCCAAGTGATCTTATCCCTCAAAAGACCTGTCCCAGTAATCTGGGCTCACTTGTTACTTGTCGAGGGTCTAGTCTCATAATGGGTGTTGTTGAGTAGCGAACAGAAATACCTCCAAGGTTCCATGGATATTCTCTCATGTTCTAGAATGATTTCCAAAACAAAAACCATCTGTACCCATGAAAATGGATTAAACCCATCCGGTTTATCATACTGGATACTTTATTGGACCCGCGGTTACGAAATATGAATTTTGGACGCCGTTTACTCACCACTCCGAATCATTAATGTGCAACCAGCTACCGAGCACGCCAATTAAAAGCCTGGTGCTTGGGTTCCCTAACAGCTCCGGTTCTACTTAGAATGCCAAGTCCCTAGGGATGTAAGATGGAAACGCTACACCCCATTCACCACAAAGTTTATACTCGGCATATCTCACAAGTCTGCCCCGACTATCCAGCCCATCTGGGCTCCCCGCCACCAACAGGGCAGTTCGTATGGCGATGGACGGACGATCGCAGCACCCTACGTAATACCGAATCAAAATTCCCAGCTACCAACACAAGGCCAACAGATTTTAGAGATTTCGCGTGGTTTCAACTTGGGGAATATGCAAACTGTCGGGTTTACGCTAGGTCGCAGCCAAGACTGGCGATCAGCGTCAAGCCACGAGGTCGTTGGTTTTGCTCACGTCAGAACACTATCCTGACGTTCACCACGCTACTACCGTCTTTAGGCGAAATCAGGGACTATACGTAGCGTAAACTATACTAGTTTAGCGGTAGGAGATGTTGCGCAAGAAATGTCAACCAGGCTGTCCGCCAACGACAAATTCTGTATGTGTAGGCCAGAGCTCGAGGCAGTTGACGCAGCTTCCATGGCGACCTACGAAGTACTCGCATTTGAAAACCAGCGCACTACGGGGTGCTTTCCCACCAGCTAAGCGGAATGAGAAATGATCGAGCCATAGCCTAGCTCATGCACTCCCCAGGCTCATGGCGGTCTAAGCGGGGTTTGAGCGGCTTCCGCCTTGGAATATCCTCAGC